ATTACTCCATCTCTACTCCTTCGGATGTATCATATTTTCGCAACCTTTGCAACCACATTTATCAATCTCTGAAGTAACTTTGGAAATGATTTCTCACGACCTCACCTGTATATGACGTTTAGTCAACACTCCCCCAAAATCACAGCTTCATGCCTGCGATTTTAACCTGTTAACGACATATCTATCCGTACCAAATAAAAGTTTCTTCAACTTATTGTGAGGAGCTCCCCCATGAGCTTTAGTCAACAAATCGGCGATATTCAACTGAGATTCCACATACTCAATATTGAAATATCTTTGAATCACTTTATCTCTGGCATATTTTACTAACACATCAATATTCCTCCGTGCCATATTACCCTTGGGACTCAAACACTTAGCTATAACTGCTTGGTTATCCTCAAATATAGTCATGTTAGATATGCGGAAACCTAATTCAATTATTATTTGTCTAACTTCGAGGATAGCACTATTCATCGCCACTATTTCACTTTCTGCAGTGGATGTCGTAATGACACTTTGTTTCTTCGACTTCCATCTAACCAAATTCCCGTTCACATAGATGACGTAACCAGTTATCAGCTTTCGATCTTCGTCAGTTGCGAAAGCAGCGTCGCAAAAGACCTCAATGAAGAACTGCTCCTTTTCGTGCTTAAATTTCTCTCTCGAGATTGTTATGTTTTCGTTCAACGTATTGTTCACATACTTCATACATTGTATTAGTTTTCTGAAATCATTTTCCGTAGGTTTATGAGCTACGGTACCTAATTGACCAACAGCAAAACTAATGTCTGGACGGGTATTGTTGGCCGCCCATAACAACGCACCAACACCTCTTTGATACAACCGTGTTTGTTTTGCATCGAGAAAATTGTTCTCTTCGATAGCATTATCCTCTTCAACATTGACCTTTGAGTTATAATCTTTACGCATCGGCATGCTTTCAAGGTGTGAATCCCCTATTTGGAATTCTTTCAAAACCTTTTTCAAGTATTTGGTCTGGTGTAAGATATAACATCCATTAAGTTTCTCAAATTGAATTCCGAGATACTCTTTAACTTCACCAAATGTTTTACACTTGAGTTGTTCTGATAAATTTGAGTATAATTCGTGTATCAAGCTCCTCGAGGTAGCTGTGATGAATAAGTCATCGACATAAAGTGCAACCACAATCTTTCTATTGTCTTTGGTGACTTTCACGAATAGCCCATCTAGTAAATCGTCTGATTTGAACCCTAGTTTTATTAATATGCCTCGCAAGTGGTGGTACCAGTTATAACCAGCTTGCTTCATTCCATGTACTGACTTTTTGAGTAACCAACAATACCCTTACTTCGTCTCGTATCCCCTAGGTGGCTTTACGTATATGTTGGGCAAATCAATAGGTGCATTTAAGTATGCTGATGATATATCGAAATGATGGATTTCCCAATTCATTTCGTTTGCAATGGTGGTAATGATGCGGATTGTAACTAAATCGGTGACTGGTGAAGACACATTATATGGATCATAATGTTCATGGCTTATTTGTTTAAAACCATGTATAACACACCTTGATTTGTATACATCTCCTTTCTGATCGTCCTTCTTGTAAGTATGGACCCATCTACTTGTGATTGGTTTCACTCCTTCTGGGCATTGAACTTCATCATAGACGTTCATTTCCTTGAAATTTTTGATTTCTTTTTCCATTGAATTTATCCAATATGGACCTTGATGATTAACTTGTTCAACGACTAAGTTAATTACTTCATCGTAGTGAGGTGGAGCAACTATCTGTCTACCGGAACGCGTCCTTATGACTGGGAGAGTTGACTTTTCTTTGATATTCGCATTTGATTTCTTCAGGGTTGCTCTGTTTATCAATTTTCCGAAATCAAGCAGTCTATTCTTCTCCAACTTTTTCCTTTGGTTGAACAGCGGTGTTCCTTTCTCTTTAGTAATTCGAACGCTTTTGGAGTGCCTTTGGGATAGTTGGTTTTTGACGTTTTTGGCCTTTTGGATCTATGTTTGTATTTTGTCAACGACGGTGGTATTAGGCAAACCTTTTCCGTTATTCCCATGTTCATTTGATGAACCTCCACCCAGAATATTATCCAATTCTGGTTTGTTCTGACCTTTTGGTTCCAGAACTTGTCCTTCGGCATTTGCAACTGCTGAAGATACGGGTATTGTCCCATTGACATTGGGTTCAATATTTGTTTTGTTGTTAATTGATTTCGATTCAGCCGTTCCGTTCGAATTCAGCGGTTGAATGTATGACGTTTCGTTGTTGGCTTGTTCCTTTCAGAACTTTGGGTCAGAATTTGTGTTTCTGAAGTTTTTCACATCGCTTTCCACTAACTCCCCTGGTGAAAAGGCTCTGGACCGTTTTTGACCTTGCGCAACGGGTTCCCCAACTACTTCATGATCAAATAGCAACTGTGGTTCAATAAAATCAGCGTCAGACAGCGTCAATGAATGGCCTGTTTCAAAACTGCGGAATTCTGTATTTAAATTTAAGGATTGCTTAGCTTTAGCATGTTCCTCAAGTGCTGTAACGTAGGTTTTAGTGAAAAATTTGACGCGGGATCAAGTGCCTAAAGTTGTTTTGCAACAATGTGTATGTTGTTGCTGGTTTCAAGGAATGTAACATTGTTAGTAGCGAATCTGGTAAATTTGGAGTTCATAAGAATTACTCGAAAGTTAGCTTCTGATTCATCTCCGTACCCTACGAACACTGCGTCGCAGGTGAGTGGATCCAATTTTTCCGCTTCAATATTAAATTTCCTCATTGTTTCTTTCTGTTCAAATTTGACGATACAGTCTATCCCAAACTGACGGAATCTGAACTTAGGAACATCAATGTTGTAAAATAATTCATATGCCGTTTTACCATAACGTTCATCATCCTTAGGATAATCACGCATGGTCCTGTGCTCTATGTACGTAGCGTATTGGACAATTTCAGGAAGCAATGAATATATTTCACGGTTGTCTGTGGAAGACATAAGAGTTTTGCGAATAGCGGAAAGAATTACTCGATTTTTCCGTTCTGCAACTCCATTCTGCTGAGGTGAATAAGTGGACGTAGTACTCTTAGTTATCCCTAGCAGTTCTAAGGCTTTCATGGATGGTAGCTCAAACCCGTTGTCACTGTGATAGGTGATGATATCTCCCCTAAAAGTTTGAGTACTTGATGCGAAATAGCTTTGGTTGGATTGAAAGATATTTCAAAAAATCCAGAGTAATCATCAATTACAGTGGTCAAGTAGTTCTTGATACCTTTAATCATGATGGGCCCCATTGTATCTGAGTGTACTAACTCCAAAGTACGCATTGCCTTGGGTAAAGGTTTCTTATGGGGAGCGGCGACTGCATTCACAATTTTGCAAATACGACAATTCCGAACTTGCTTAAATTCTTCTTCAGATGGTTCAGGGTAGATTTTTAATTTCTTAGTCTGTATCATACGCTTCATGTTGTAGATATTCATATGATAAGAGTTCAAATGAGTATTCCATAATGAATTGCTTGTAGGATCAGCGGTATGATGTTCAAAAGAGTGGGTTGGTGGTATGTCAATCTCTTTGATTACCTTAACCTGTTCATATGTTAATGACATCAGATTATCATTTTTACCCGCATTAAAAAGCAAACTAATGTTGGAAGGATTCATGCTAAATGTGTTAGATGTGTAAACTGTCTGGATGACATAGAGTTTTCTGGCCAGGTATTCACTATGAGCCGCCTTCCATTAATGTTAGCCACCTCATACGCTGCAAAAGAGCTGGCGACGTGATCTTGACACTGGTCAGACGAGGAGTAAACTTCCTCATTACTCAGACAGTCATACCTATGTAATGATAACCTCATGATATAATAGGCATTATATTTACTGCGTCTGTTTAAATAAGTGTCTACCATACTAGCTGTCACTCTTACCGGTGGCATCGTATTCATGGTTGGAGTACTAGTCTAGCACTAGCAATTAAAGCTCTCTCCAAGCGCCTTTGTCTCGCGACTACAACGAACAAACGCATTGAATCATCGCCAAGCAACTCTGATATTTGTCCTTTGTACTCGCTACTAGATTCACTTTCATCATCACGTGTGGTGATAAATGATATACCGAAACCGACGGCTCCAAAACAGTATGACCCAACGGCATTTAATTGTTGTTGTGTCATGTCTATATCATTAACGTACACTCCTAATGAGGTACTACCATAGATACCAACTTTACTGTTACTTGGTACGCCGTGTTGATGCAAACATCGTAATACATTCACTGCATCTACTGCAGTACTGTGCGAAAATATTCTAACATAGCGGAGAGTCAAGGACGTTTCGAAACTTTCAGTTCGACTATTCACATTCAATTGTGGGCATCAAAGCAGAAAAAAGAGTCTCGTATTTTGCTCTTTGCTTGTACGGAAATATGTTGTTCCAGGTAGCCATTCGAGCGCATCCGGTTTATCGGGTCAAGATTCGAATGACAGGAATTTACGGCATGTGTCGATTGCTTCATTCGACCAGCGTCGCACACTTAAATCCCATACTACCATTCGGAGAATTATTGGAGGAGCTTACTTCCGAAGAAGATGAAGACGGCAAAGAGAAGAAGAAGGGCGATAAAAAGAAGGGTAAAGTCGTAACCAAGAATGTCAAGGCCAACCAATTGCACCAATTGAATTACCACCAGAAGAATGTCTACCAATTGGGTGGGGGAAGTGGAAGCGGAGGAGAGCCTCCAATTGAACCCCCTAAAAATAATGGAAACCCTGAACCAGAAGAAGAGAAAGAGCTGGGTAGTCGTTGGGAAAGATTCAGAGACAAGTTTGAAAGTTTCAGTAAGTTTGTACTCAAATGTGTGGAAACCATTGGGATCACATTTAGTTCATTATTCATTCTTGGGTTATGTGGTTATTCATATCATAAGTTCTACAATATCCACGTGATTGACAAGATTGCTTCAGCATTTGAAGACGGTACGTATGATCAAATCCGAAAAACCAAGGAGAAGATTGAAAGCTCTCATGCTGGCAAATATTGGGTTGAAAGACCTCAGCAAAAGCTTATAGATGATATTGTTAGTGGTAAGATCTCTGGAAGATACTTTTTATTACTTGGAGAAAAGGGCACGGGGAAGACATCCATGTTAGTTGATGCTATTAGAAAGGTGGATGGTAAGAACGTTGTTATATTTGATGCTCATGCTGATCCTGAAATCTTTCGACTTCGTTTAGGTAAAGCCATAAGGTTTGCTTATAATGAAGATTACATTGGTTCATTATTCAGTATTCGTGGTCCTAGAGACACCACAGCTTTACTTGATATTGAAAGAGCCTTCTCACAAATTGAAGAGATGGCTACTTCTCGATTCGGACTTCAATTCCATAGGCCATTGGTCATTATCATCAACAACAGTCATTTGATTAAAGACAACGAAGATGGGATCAAACTTATAGAACTTTTGCAACAAAAGGCTGAGAATTTAAGTGCTTCTGGTTCAGTTAATTTGATCTTCAATAGTGATGATTATTGGGTTTATGAAAAGCTTAAGAAACTTGGAACTCGTTTAGAGCTAATTAATGTTAGAGACTTTAATCGTAAACAAACTGTGAGTGCCCTAAAGTATATCAGACACAAGTTTTACCCTGAAGAAGATATACTTGGTGATTCTATGTGCAATCAAATCTACAATCTAATTGGAGGAAGACCACAACACGTTTCCCAAGTATGTCGTTACCGGGATGTGATTCAAGCGTGCCATGAACTTATAGACCGAGAAAAGACATGGTTTCTCAATCAATGTGGACTTTTGGGAAGTAGTATGGACGATGATGTGATGGAAAGTGGTAAATTCTCCACCAGCGCCATGTTATTGATGAAAGAGTTTGTGGAAATGGACCAGGGCAATAAAGATTCAATCATTAACACCAACAACACTATCAAGGACCATAAATTACCCGATTTACCTCTTTGGCGGAGTAGGCAAGTGATGACGAGAAACGACTACATTCAAGAGTATGATAACCTCAATATCTTCACCATTGACAGTCTTAGTCGAGTCAAGCCTGATTCTGTGCCCATGATGCGTGCATTTCACGAGATCCACAGTCAGCCATATTTCAACGAGCTTCTAGAAGAGACTACTCAAAGAGTGGCAGACATTGAGGCCTTGAACAGAACAAGAGAGATTCTCTTCAAGGATTTGAACCTCGGAAGCAAGTTTGAGATCATCAAGAAGCCCAACGGGACCACTGTCATTGATGTCATAAAGTCCGAGAGACACATTGACATCCATGGAACTGGAAAGGAACAAGACCAATTGGAAGAAGACGAAGAAGACATTGATGACAATACCTTGGCGCAGTTGGAGGGTATAAGCAGACACGAATACAGAAACTGGTGGAAGAGAAGAATGGGGGCCGCTTCTTCCATCGCAGACAAGGAGAAGGAGAGCGAGAAGGAATCCAAAAAGCGTTAAGTTTCATTTTACTTGTCTGTTTCATTTCAAAGGTTTTAGGTTCATCTACAGCAGACACTGTTGTATAACTATGAAGTCATATGGCGTGCACTTGCGATAAGGTTTTGGTAGGTTCTTAAAAAGGACATTCGTAATTGAGAATGGGGTCCGCCAGAGAAGGTTCTATTGCGGGCATTTGACACTTTGGTATTATCCATTATTTTTATATATTATGTTATTCCATAAGGTCTTCATTGTATTGTAGTTGCGAAGTGTGGACGCAACCTTTTACCTTAATTTAGGGTGGGGTAGGCAGGTTGTATAAACTAAAGTCATGACTTTGTTGCTCGTGTTTATTTGAAAGCCTTCTTGACAGGAAATTTGTCTCCGTATATATTAATGAGGCACTTGTATGCAGGCACGTCAAGTTGTGGTGGTTGATCCCGTAAATTTCACTATCGAAGATGTTCCGACGGAAGACGATCTGACAGTATATCAAAAGCATGCACGACTTCATGCAGACAAAATCTGCTTGTCCTCCAAAAACCTGAAGACATAAAATTCTCCTCTCCTCAGACAATTGCTTTGAGGAAAATTTAGGAGCATTGTTCCAAAGAACTTTCCCCAAAGCGTTGTAAACAAGAGGAGAATGTTTATGTCATATTCCCCTGCTTTCATTGATGTGAGTGTCTGACATAAAAAAGGGAAAAAGAAAGTTAAAATTAAAAACTGCGCCTTACTGTCAGTTTGTCGTAAGGTGGTCTTTAAGTGAACCAAATTCGCATATGATAAAAGGAAACAGACACTTCGGGATAGTTTTGAGAATTCCTACTCGCTATTCCTGAGGTTGCTTGCATTCTCTGTGGAATCGAGGCTTAAAAATCAACTTTCTTATCTGTCCGGGTGAATAGTATTAGTTAAAATTCAGGGCTATGTAAAAAGAGTAGTCAGGGTTTAAGATATTACTAAATATTACGTTTAAGTCGTAATTGCAAAATATTCCGTAATGCGTATAAATATATCAAAGCCCCCATTCTATTCTTTGACCTTGACATTTCAATTCCCATGAAATAGTGACAAAAGGACACGAATTTTTCTCTCCCGTTTAGTGTGTATACGAGAGCTAACAAGGTCACTACATGCGATTAGAGTAAAACCTTCAAAGTGCATCAATGCCTATTGAGTACCAATAAGTAATATTGGTGTCTGCATTACCTTCAAATTACTATTGACCCTTCTCGGAACACAACCTATTAAAAACCTACACTTATTTACATGTGGTTGTAAAACTTTCGGTGTATGAATCCTACTAGACAAAATATGACAGCCTTCAATTTCATATACGACGGGATTCTACTTGCTATTATATGCAAAACAACACCATCCCGTTGGAACCAATCTCCGTAAAGCTAAGAATCACAAATTATTAAAGGGGCCAAATTCCAAGGTACTTGGGGGAGCAGTTAATTGTAGCATAAGAACGGTAGGACAATGAGGTTTTTAATGTAGGTTCTTGTTTTTGCTTGAATTGATTTTGTCAAGCTACGCCCATTTCTGGTCTTTAGGGCGACCGGAGGAAATGCAGGTATGATGGAGTCAATAAAAATATAAAAAGTAATACAAAACCACTTGAAAGAAAAGAGAAACTCGATTACCTATTACTATACATATTGACACTTTCAGCATATTTGTTCAGTCAACCTTATACGACAGTGTGTGGGCTGTCTGGCAAGTAGCCATAAAAATCTTACTTCGGCTTTTTGGTAACTTTTGCGTAACCTTTTACAAAAGGCGGGATGAAAGTGTCGTAAATTTCTAACCCTTTATTCCCTTGTTCGCACTTGATTGCTGTTTCAAAGATGACGACAGTAAATTTACGGCCATACTACTATGGGAGAATGAAGTAGTTTGCTCTCACTTAGCAATAGCAAAGTTCAATCAACTTCGTGATAAGTTATGAATATTTCCATCAAGTTTTTCTTGTTCTTTAAGTTGATACTATCTGGAAACGACCCAATAAGAATAGGCTATTTTTCTCGGTTGTTAGCTACAGCTCCAATTAGGGTGCAGCAGCCTTGGCCGGAATTGCCGAAAAGCCCTTTACTAAGAAAATAAAACAGTCTTACTGTTTTTGCGCGACACCAGATTCGAAGTGAAATTTTCTTAAAAAAATGTCGTGATTTACAGGATTGTCAGAATTATATTCTAGTGTGTCACGTTTCAGACTCAACGATTACTGATTCAACTCGGTAGTTACTCTGTGAGACTAAGGTGTATACGCTTAATAGTAATACTGTGAGTCTATTATTGTAAACCTACGGGTTAGAGAAAACTATAGCGGGAATACTCCGAGATCGCTTATTAGTAATGTATTGTGTTCGGACATTGGATGCATATTGTAGTACTAGCGCCAAAGAGAGTCAAAACTATTGAAGAAACTCTATCGTATAAACAAGCATCTTTTGATGACATTACTAAGTGGAATCTGTCATGGAAATTTCTAGGTTAAATAATAGATGGTATATTTGTAACACTTTGACTTTTTCTGGTTAACAAACAGACATTATTAGCATCACTGCAATCCCATCATAGCCATCACGGATTTCCATGTTTATTGTGGCAAGACAAAAGCACTTGAACGGTGGCAACATTGCATAGCCATTTTTTTCGTTTGACGTCACCACCGGTTATGTTTTTGGCAGCTATGAAACATGATTCCTATGGAACTCTCATTGATGTAATGTTTTGTAAGAGACCCTAAGTACAGTAATGTAACAACTTGAGCCTCACTTTAAGAAGAACGGACTGTAATGTTTATGTGTCAAAATATTTACGATAAAATCTGCAGACCATTATATGCAAAAATCAACTGAGAGCGTGCACTACTAAAAATTTAAATATACGAGCAACAATAAACATAATAATTCTTGTATGTAGGAACAATACTGGAGCTGAGAATTTGCTTTTTTTTTTGTAGTAAGGCGTTGAATAAATATCTTGCCTTATGCAAGTCAGGCATATTGATAAACATTTACCAATGCATAATTCCTCAATTCTGATTTTTTGTCGAGACTCCTTCAGACATTATTATAAAATTGATCGATGTCCTCTGTTAATTATTTCTGGAACCGCATTTTGCTGCGAACGTTTCACACCTTCTTCATCCCAATACGAGTTTCGTTGTGGGCTTGATATATCAAAATATTTAACTGCTCCTAAACACTGCCTCTTTACGAGAAAGTTTGGCATCAATCAATTTCATACTCGTATTCAAAAAAGTCTACATATAAGTGATCACATAAAAAAGAACCCTATAAGATTTTGTTCGTACCAATAATAATAAGTTGGATACATTTAATTGGAAGCATGTACCTGGCATCAATTAAGAAGAAGAAGAACTCAAGAAGAAAGCATCGCAATTCCCATTTGGGTTGTGGCACTTGCAAAAAGAGAAGAATAAAATGTGACGAAGGACTCCCACTGTGTTCCAACTGTAAAAGAGGTAAGCTTCAATGTGCTTATTTGAAATTAGATGAGTCTCAAAGAAGTGCTCTTCTAATAGCTCAAAGAAATCATTCAGAACAATTGGAGAAACAAAAACAAATGGAATTAGAGTCTTCTTCATCAACAAAGGAATTATCAGATACAAGTTCTCCTCCAGTTGAAACTTCATCTGCATCTTCTTCATCGTTACCACAACCGAAGTTCAAACTCGAAGATGGAGGTACTGCTTTAGGTAATCGCTTCCCTCCATTCCCCAAGCATTCTGCATCATCACATGTCGTCCCTAAACCTCCTCCTTCAGTGATTCCTTCACAATTTGGAACCTCTAGTGCAGTTGGTGGTCCACCACCGCCTTCCCTTTTACCAGTTGTGCCAATGCCGTTACAGGTCTCGGTCCCTTCAAGCGATAATTCCCGAAGACCCTCGTTCCAATCACCTTCTTCATTTATAAAAAAGGAACCCGGTAATGGAAGTGTTAGTATATTACCTTCAAAACAAGCATTATTCAACCCTGCAATCGGAACTCTGTCCACTTCAGTTTCTACGTTAATGCGTTCATCCCACCCTCCTAACGTTCCGTTAGTTTTCTCTGAAGGTAAAGATAACTCCAGTAGTCCAACAAGTATTCCACAATTATATCCTTATGAGCCGAAATTTTACGGTTATATTCCTATCGGGATTTATCAACAGAATGGTGAAACCAGGGTGTCTCTTCCTCAATCAGTACAGTTGTCTCCCCAACATCATATTCCGTTATTACCAAGTGGATCTAGCTCTAGTGCTGCTACTACTACTGATACTAGTGCTACTACTGCTACTGCTGCTGCTACTACTGCTGCTACTACTGCTACTACTGCTGCTACTACTGCTACTACTGCTACTACTGCTGCTGCTACTACTACTAATACCGGCCAGGTTGAAATTCCAAGTGTTTCCTCTACAAATACAAGTACAGCTACTCCTACAGTTCCATCCTCTGTTATTAATAGTCCTAGACAACAAATTCCTTCAACACAGTATCTGCTGTTACCAAATTTGGCATTGCCTAGATACACGAATGGTTACCCTAGTACTCCTACTACTGGTCACACAGCATGTGGTCCTGCAAGTCTTCCATCTATGACCCAACAATTAGGGTCAGGGATCTACGGGGTTCCAGATAATTTTGGAATACCATCAGGTACTCCAGTTAACCAAAGTCTTCTTCCACGGTTGATTACTTCAAAGGATCCAAAGTCAGCCCCTTCACCATTTTCTCTTGCTCAGCCTTCAATGATTGTAGCTTATGCTCCAACACCCATTTACTTTCCTCAGCCACGGTCAATACCTACAGGTTCAACTTCCGGTACTCCTAGACCTCCCATGACTTACACATCTCCCTTTGTATCGGAAGATCCATTTGAGAATACGGTGTTGCCTCCTTTACAGAAAAAGTACGAGCATGCTTCGTATCCATCGTATCAATTGCCTCCTGTAAGGTCAAAAGATGAAGTGGCTCTGGTTATTCAAACTTCAAAGTGAAATTATGATGCAGAGCAATTTCGGGCAGAACAGAGCGCTGAGGGTTATCAATACATGGGTGTTTGGTTTTACTTGGTATTTGGGATGATATGGTGGCTTTATTTTTCTCTTCATTTTCTTTTTTTTCTTGTTAATTTCTAATATCTTGGGTTTATGGATTGGTGCTTTAGTGTACCTTGTTTAGGTGTATAATTAATAATTGGGGGTAATTCTATTTGATTTCTTGTAGATTAGGAGAAGTTTTAGATAACTTGAGAGAAAAGGTTATGCTAGCTTTACTGGTAAGTAAACCGGTATAAGCCATATACAATCATCGTATATTGCCCCGTATTATTCAACCAGGTTTGTAGCGAAGAGTAAGTGTTACCTTATTGTTCTTTCCTTAGTAAAAGCGCATTATTATTGTAGAACAAGGAACAAGCACAGCTCAGGCGTTACCACATTCTGATTTACGATAAAGTGTGTGACTTAGCATCTGATTTGGACCTTCTTGTAGGACTTTTTTTTTATACGAACAAATTTCCTTTTACGAACTTTTCCGGTTTAGAAGTCAAGTATTCTAAGCCTCCATCGGGGTGTCTCGTCCGGAGCCAAGACAAACCAAAACGAGTATCGTTGTTACAGACTAACAAAAATAGGTGGATGGATATCATTGAATACTCATAACTTTGATACAAGCACCTTGGCATAATCAGGAGCGTTATCCCTTTATGGTTCTTCCCACTGATTGTGCTTGCTCTTTAGGCTATGCTAAGTGATGTCACATGTGCAATGAAGTAAACAAGTAAAATAACTTAGTGCGCTACCATTACTCTGTAAAGAATGATTTTGAGCTTCCGATGGAAGATCGATGATCGCTCTCTAAGTGTTGGCGCAGGGTATTACATGCAGATACTAAGTTCTTGATAATTCGGGAAGAAAATCCCAACTTGGTACCTCGTAAAATATACATTTTGCTACTTTAAACTAAACGACTCATCTTGGGCATGGCATGGATTAATTTTAGATACTCTTATAATTTCATAGTAGAACAATCTTTGAAGAAGCAAAGCTCATATACAAAGAAGATTATGATTACTACAATTTACGCATACAAATTGGGGGATTGTAATCCCTAAATATCCCTTTTTTGCCCTATGTAATCCTTCCTATCCTCCTTGTTTTAATATGGGGATCCTCTTTTAAAACATGCATGTAACAGGGGCCATGACCTTCGCGAATGTAACTGTCGTCGTCTGATTTAATTATAAACACCATAGATAAAGCAGACATTTTTTGCAGTATGGTAACTACACTTCACAAACGCATAATATCAGTTATATTTGGCATCGGATTCATCTCGTCTCGGCGCTACCAAATAAATACCCTGTAAGATGAAATTGTAAGGCTATGCACCCATTAAAAGTATTTACGGCAATCAGACATAGCCATAGCGTATTGGAATTATATTATTCAATTCTTACTAAGACCATATACTCAATAGAAAGATATCTGATTTCCTTGGCTTGTTTCACACGATATAAGTGAGTCTTATATTATTGTCTGTCGAAATAATAGTGCCCACAAACGGATTTGGCAGACAAAAATACTAATAGTATTAATAATAATAGTATAATATACGAGAAAGAATAAGAGCATGGATTCGCTTAGTGTTCCGGGGTATAATGACCGGCCTAGAAGTGGTTCGAGAGATTCGTTTGCTTCTTCCCAGTTCTCTGGTTTCTCCGAAGTATCTTCCATTACACCTTCTACGAGTCAAACGTGGGCAAGTGAACATCCTTCTTCTAGTTCACTGGTGCGATATCTCCTTCTGAAAAGGAAGGATATAAAAAGTGGTGTGTTTCCCAATGAACATGAAGAAAGACACAGACAGCAAATAGATGATTATCTAATCACCAAGTACTATTCATATGCTAAAGCCGAGAAATTGATATTGCCATGGGACAAATTATTAGAGGTGTATATTTTTGGAGATGAACTTCGGAATAATTCCAATGAACAATTATGGAACTCGCTTCTTAATCATCACCAAGAAAGTGGGCAATTTCAGTTCCGGACAACCGCAAGCACATCTCCATCATCATCAATATCAAATGCTATCGAGTATTTGAACCAATTGGTGACGGATTTAAGCAAGTTGGATGAGATTCTTGATTTATATTCGAAACCGGATAATTGGATGTCGGATAAACTCTTTGAAGCCTTCTACAACTTCAATGAGAACATGGTGGTACCCATTCCCATGTCCATAACGTTATTTGCAGACTATATGGTATCAATTAAGCATGCCAATAGTGAGTTCTACATGAATCATTTGTTCAAGCTGATCAGACTACTGTGGTACATTTATCTTCTTCATCAAAGAAAAGTTTTGGAACCACACATTGAGCAGATGGACACGATGAAACAGATCACGTTAAACAAGTTCTTGAGTAAAGACAACAACACTTCATTAGGACTCTCTTTATTGCATCTAGGGGAATTCTTTCAGGTAAAAGGTGATATCAATAGTGCTACTAATATCTGGGAGATTTCAGCCCATCTAACAAGGGACCCAGAGTGTTGCCAGATGGCTGTATGGGGCTTAAGTGACGGTTATGGGTCAGGGAACAAGTATAAGCTGTTGAACAAATTAGGAAAGAAGACAAAAACTAATAAATATAATACTAAGAGAAGAATAGCCCAATTGTATCGAATAGCTAATGAAAAGAACAAAAAGGATATAGGAGTTTCCTGGGTCTGGAAAGATAAGTATGATTAGCGGAAAAACCGTTTAGTGTAAAATTAATTTATTCGTATAAAAAAATGAGGTGTATGTACTTCTTTCCGTAATTATTCCGTATATAATTCGTATATAATTCGTATATAGTTCATATACATTTATTTAGCTCCTGGGACTGTTGGCTTGGGTTTCTTCTTCTTCTCATCAATCTGTTCAACTGTAATGTCGTGTAACCCCTTCTCTTCAAGAAGCTTCTCAATGTATACCTTGGCCTCATCACTAACGTCACCTTGAACCAAAATCTCCTCCTTCTTGTCTGCGGTTTTTCCAACAGATGCTCCAGTAGCAAACTTGGAAGCAAAAGTCTTTGCCAACTTCTTCATGTCAATTTCAAACACTTCTAATCCCACAATAGAAATTATGTGTTTTCTTTTATTTCTTTCTATTCTTTTAATGGTCACTTTAGAACTCAACTTCTTCTGCAACTCCCGTTCTTGTTTGGCTTCCTCCTTCAACTGCATCTTAGCCAAATCCTTACTTATCTTCTCTTCCTTTTCTGACAGTAATGTGGATGTGGTGTTCACTTTCCCATCTTCACCATATAAAAGATTATATAACTCGGTGTTGGCTCCTTCCAACCATTCTTTACATCTCTTGAAAGATGCTCCGAATTCGCAATACTCCGGAGGAAAGGAACACACATTACAGTATGTAATTGTCTTAGCAACTACTTCAGTCATCTTAATGTAATAGTCTATTAAACTCTATAATGTGTGTTGCTTGTTACTCATTTCTACTTTTCAAGGTTTTGCCATACTGCATATAATATAATATGGCACATTAGTATTTATTATATACACTACCATATAAGTCTCTCCATCAGAAAGGAAGCTCATCAACAACTTCAAACGATCTAACAGGACGTGAATCTTCAAGATCAATAGCTCTCCACAAACTATACGAGAGAAGAGTACGATCATCAAGCATCTCGTAAATCTTTGACAAATAGTACCAGATCTCAGAGTTATTAAACCCAAATGGCCAGCTCAACAGAAACCGTTCTAAATAGTTCTTTATTCTGATAACACCAGCATTCAAATCCTTGGTGGAGATGAAAATCAGGTTCTCCAAATTATCATCAACCACAAAAAGCTTCGCCAAACACAATATGGAGTTCCCGTATTCTCTAATATGGAAATTGATATCTTCACGATCAAGAAACTCAAGGCATCGTTCACATTCTTGTAATGAAAGAAACTTTCTTGTTTTGGATGTGAGCATGGCCACTGATGAAAAGGTCTTAACATTTGGTTCCCATACAGTTTCTGCTTCCACGATACATTGTTCTGCTTCTTCTGTAAGTCCTATTTTAGCATATATTTTCATGGTCCACAACCAAAGTTCCTGGAGGATCTTTCTCTCAATAATGGAGACAGAACTTCTTGATCTTAATTCAGAATTACCTTCAGATCTTGTAGATTTCATGGTCCCCATTCTGGAAAGTCTTTTTATTGATTGCTTTTCTTTATTATTGTCCTGTTTAAGGGATTTCTTTTCCATAGGTCCAATGAAACTTGGCCTATGAGACCATGTAGAATTTATGGTAGAGTCCATCTTTAAGTTAGAGTCTCTGACAATTTCTTGAGGGACATTAAACAACTCATAGTATAACTGGAAAACATCAGGAAGATTATCCAAAACATATTGCACACCATAAATTGATTCCCAAAGTGCCATTTGTGTCAATTTCAACTGTAAGATATCATAACGAACTTCAACAGGGACTTCATTATTTTTCGACAAATATATTGCTGCTATATTCAAAGCACTCTTAATAAAAGTTTCCAGATCTCTTAGCGTTTCTGTGGATATCTGCCCATTACCATTACCATTAGTAGTAGGCTTTTGATTTCCCAGTGAAGGGATTGTACCAGACTTGTCGTTGACATCAAGTGCTGATAAAATCAAGACAAATAAATTCCATGTTTTGAAAGACTCGGGGTATTGCTTCAAAATGAATTTACAAAGTTTCATCGCTGGTTTCAACTCATTTTTATAGGCTAATATCAATGCATATTGGAATAAATAAGTGCATCTGCCTGTAGAATTGACAATCAATGCATTCTTCAAGTATGTAGCCACAATTTCAGTGTAATTCTTTAGTTTCTCAAACGAGGGACACTTATATGACACCAAAAAGTAATTGTAACTCCCCATGGCATACCATGCTCGAGAAACAATCTTCACATACTCAGAGTTATCAGGTAACAATATATTCAAATTGTATTTCGTTGTCAAGAACGACAATGGATCTTTTGCCAACTCAGAGTCTGAAGAGTCATAAGTCAATCCACAGATAACTTCGAGTTTATTCAAGTAGGAAAGTAACTGAGCGGAGTACTTATCCAATGCAGTAATTAAAGTTTCTAAGCTTGTATACTTAAAAAGTTTGCTTCTATTACGGGATTTGTATGGGTTAAACTTCTCAATGCAAAGACCATAAAGATCAATAACCTGCAAAATGTCATGAATATTACCATCATGTTGTTCTTCAATAGTTTCTTCGTATGCTACCCAGGTTTTAAAAGCAGCAAACGCTTCATCGTATTCTTTCAACTCAATTAGCACCCGAATCATTGCTGAAAGAACAACTTGACTTTGATAAGTCTTTTCAGAACAACTGATTAAAAAGTTCTTTGCATTTTGGGCTTTAAGCAATCTGTTTCTAGAACTCACATTAAAAAATGACAGAAACATCCCTCCAACCATATACTCCAATTCATTGGAATTCTCTTTAGCACTGGGGAACCCAATGTGGGAGTGTCTAAAGTCGCTCAATTCCGATTCCAAGTACGTATTGTATTCATCGTGGAATTTTGAGTCAACAAGAGAAGCATAATCTGATGATAAAAGGTAATTGCTGAATCCCATAATGGAAATGTCATTGCTTATAATAACTACATCTTTCTTGAAAGAAAGTTGAACCGTCTTCCCACTAGAAAGAACCACTGCAAGCTTATCATATAGGCAATCTGTCCAATATTGAGCACTTGCTTGAGATTTACTAAAAGGTCTTTTCACTTGCTTTAAATACTCCACCCATGTCTTGTAGGAGTCCTTTGTTAATCCCAACAAAGTGTAATACCGACAAGTCAACGAAGCAAGAAACTCATTGATCACTGTGTTAGGCGTATAATCCCAATTAGGATTGACTTTAACTTCCAATTGCAGAAGTTGGTGTCTCACACTATCAAAATCCAAGTTAAGGAAATGGAGTTGGGAGAGCACAACATTAAAATACAACTTTTCCTCGTAAGTCTTTGAAGAGTCATGATAATTGGCTCCTACAGACGACAAAAACGTAATCATCTGAAGCAATTCGGTTTGGTATCCGATATTGTCCGCTCTCTCAGGTGGCACCAATCCTTCACCATTCAATTTGTTATGAATGAATAACTGGAGTTGATAGTCTAAAAAGATAATCTGCTCCAAGAACTCTTGCGAGTCTTCGAACTCGAGGACCTTCTTGGGGAAGCACCCGAGGTTCAATGTCCTCATGTGCGCCACATTGACGGAGTTCTCGATCAACATCCTCGATAATTTATGCTCGTTGATGATGATAGAAAGGCAACTGGCTGAAACGTTCCTACGTACGCTTCTCGTGTATTTAAACTAGTTTGTGGATCAATTTGGTACGGTGTGTACAAAGACAAGTACAAATACTTACTTTTATAGGCAATTATAATCAGATGGAGCTACCATAAACGACCCAGCAATAATTTTGATCCGAGGGTGGTCAGTGGGTGCATCTGGGTGTACCCGGGGTTGGCCCTAGGGTTGACATGTCACATTGGGTTTACCTGTCACATTGGGTTGACCTCTCACATTGGGTTAACCTGTCACATTGGGTTAACCTAAGGTGGAGATGGGGTTCTCATGGCAATGGTGATAAGAGACAAGGGCCCTTAAGGTGTTGAGATTTGTTTATTCTAAAGAGCAAGAGGTAGAAGCAGCTGCAAAATTCAATAACATTGTAGAATAACTTAGCTAACAGAGTATATGATAGTATGTTGTAATTAGCTATTGGGGACCAACATACTATCACAATATCTTTCGCCTAGAAGACACGAGTCACGTGACGATTTAAATGTCATTAATCTATAAATATCACATGTTCCTATAAACATAACTGTAACTAACATCTTTCAAACACTCGGTATAAACCTGGTAAATCGGCTATTTGTATCACCGAATCCTTAATATCATTAGTCGCCACAAACCTTTGCTTGACTTTGGGGAACAAGATATGTTCAAGGGTATTCTCTGTTTTATCTCGTTCCAATTTACTGTATGCTTGGTCTTCTTCAGTACAGCTGCCTGTAAGCAATACTGGTTCAGGTACATAAAACAACGCCAATTGCTTTAATATTCCTTTCAAACATTCGCGTTCTTCGTTGTAGTTGATTTTGGTTCCCAATCTGTAAATAAAGTAAGGAAGCTTGTTTAAATTGGGCTTAATCTCTTTCAAAAGCATTGGAATGGTAGTTATCACCAGTTGACCATCGTCATCTTCTGTAAATGTTAACCGGAAATACTCATAAAACATTTGCTTCATATTCATAATTGTCTTTATTACTTCATCATTCGCTTGTAACTCACCTTCGTGGCGGGACAACTTTAAGACATCTAGCAACTGTTCCAAAACGATTGGCTGAGAAAGCGTATACTCTCCATAGTTATAAAACTCAGTGAGTGCAACCTGATAATAGAATTCCCGGAGCACTACTCCATAGTCACATAGAAAGAGTTTCACGTCATGTTGGAAACAACATAACCGTTTTTCTTCATCTACTATCCCCACAAATGATAACGACGTGAATATCTCTGTTAACGGTCGATTGCAGTATTCGTTAACTTCGGTTCGAAGACTTTTAATACTGTCTAAGTTCACATTAAATCGTTTTCTATCGGTGATTATGAGATTTGAATCACCATTGATGATCTTACGTCTTTTCACCGTTGTAGGAATATCCTGTTCAAATTCAGGACTTATATTTTCGTTGTCAAGTTCGTTATCGTGAGTCGAAGGTTTCTTATTTAACTCAATCTCGTTGATTTGCTTAGAGAAGCCAGTGATTTCTTCAGCAGGACCCTCGGTATCACGGCTATGTATATCGTCGTCCTCCTCGGGAATATGATCCTGTATGCCATTATTAGGCTCAACCGCTTGACAGGGTGCCGACTTCTGATCTTTATTGATCTCTTCGCTCACATTCGCTTCCTGTACAAATAGGGAATCTTGGGTGGTATTTGATAATTCTTCCTTCGCAAGTGAGAACTCGCTGACAATCAGTCTCTTGAACGACTCGCCATCGACCTTATGAAGAAAAGACCTCAAACGGGATTGTTGGGAATCAACCCTAACAAGCTTATTTTCCTGTCTTGGTTTTTTCGTGCTAGTTGTTGTAGAGTCCAGTGTATATGCGGGTTCACGACCACTTATAATTCTTTGAGTCTTGAATTTCCTAGATTTGTCCACGCTAGACATCGCTGTGTGTATTAGTTCACTTATAGCATCGATGATCTCTTCTTCATGTAGAAAGCGCACTTCTCTCTTGGTTGGGTGGATATTTACGTCCAAGTTCTGAGGATCGAGTTCAATGCTCAAATAAGTAAAAGGCATAGCGTGTTTCGGTAAGAAGATGTTGACTACCGATTGGATTGCCCTTTTCAAAGGCTCACAAGATACCAAACGATTGTTTATAAAAAAAACTGGTTGAATCCGTTTCTTATTATTGAAATTGGAGTTTGTAATCACACCAGTAACTCCAAAAAGGCCATACTTTGATTTCAATTCATTTCTATTATCATTATTAGTCAATTCAAGCTTTATCAACTCATTAGCAATATCGTTGCCAAATACTGCTCTTATCCTATCCTCAAGAGACATTCCTATTCGAGTACTGACCAAATTAAATGGCTCTCCGAACCGTTTACAATTTATGCCAACACCGCCAACATGCACAGCATATCGACCCACGACATCCACAATTTTCGATAACTCTTCTCCCTTGGAACGAAGTGTCTTGAGTCGGGCAGGAACATTATAGAACAAATCTTCTACCAGAATCTGGGTCCCATTCTTCCCTGCTGTTGGTTTAGGGTCAACGTTATCAGCTTGTTGAAACGTCGAAGTGGTCAAGTTCCCATTGGTATAGTAAGCACGGTATGCCAATGGTGCCTTTTTCGTTTTGGTGACAACAGAAACCCGTGAAATGTGTGATATACTAGCGAGAGCCTCGCCTCGAAACCCGTAAGTTGAGATCCGATTGAGGTCTTCAAAGGAAGTGATCTTAGATGTGGCAAACCTCTCGCATAGTAATGGAAGATCTTCCTTGTCAATACCACAACCATTGTCTGATATTTGAAGCAACTTAAACCCTCCTTCTTTAATTAAAACGTCTATATGTGATGAACCAGCATCTATACTATTCTCTAGCATTTCCTTTAACGCGTTCGCTGGTTGCACGATGATTTCTCCGGCTGCAATGCGGTTGACGACAGACGTTTCTAGTCGTTTGATTGGTCTAGGACTCTGTTCAGTCATTTGTGTGCTAATTGGAATAAATGGCTATGGGTTTCAGTCATACTAAAGAGTTAAACCTGTGCTTGTACGTCTGTATAAGTTGATATTGACTTGTGTTAATGGTAGCGCTTATGCGAATTGGGGTATACCGATGATGAGCATCATTATCGTTATCATCAATTATCACCGCCACGACGGAACCCCAATAACTTTCTGGTCCAGGTAGTCAAATGTCTGATGGCAGAGAGGCTCTTACGAGCTATGAACAAATCCAGGACAAGTTATCGTCTAATCTTTCAGACGCGTATAGAGGTGTAGGAGGACAATTGATTCGAGAATCTCTATTAGAAATCGATCAGGTTTATGAGAAGGTACAAGCAGACAAGAAACAGAGGAAACATAATGAAGTGCTCTTGAAAGATGCCGAGGCATTCAGAGACGCGTCCAACTTTGCTGCCATCAACTTCAAGAATGTCAAGCATGGTGATGTTGGCCTAACATTGACCAGGAATGAGTTTCTAAAGCAATTGAAGAAATACCTTGTTATTGATGAAGGTGATCTTGATATAGATGATGAAGAAGATATTGACAATGGGAATGCAGGGGTTAGCAATGATGATGCAGATTATAATGAAGACCACTCGTCTCGTATCACTTCAAGCAACACGTTCTATGAATACAACTGGTTGAAATTAGGCGCACTCTATCTATCAGTTAGTGACAAATCAATCTTATGCGATAGTCTTAACGGACCGTTGGAGACAGAAAAGAAAGCCCCAATAACAAGAACAAGACACGCGAATGATATTAATAGAGGCACCCTGACGACAGCACTAACTATTGACCCTCAAGAGATAATTAAGGATGACCAAACAACGTATGATATTGTGAAGAGCGTGTATTCAGACTTCACTAGTGATGCTGACAATGAAGAAGGGAAGACAATGAACTTCTTCAAGTTCTTCATCAATCCTAACTCATTTCTGCAGTCGATAGAAAACTTATTTTATGTTAGTTTTTTGATTAAAGAGGGTAGATTGAACCTATTGAAGGACGACAAGGGAGTGCCTGTGGTTCGACTTGTTTCTGAGGAAGAAAGACTTCGTACTGTTGAAGATGATAATACTACTGCGGGAGATTATGTTCATCACATTGCTTCAATGGACTACGACACTTGGAGAAAGTTGATTGAAAAGTTTAACATCACTGAGTCTTTCATTGAAGAGAGAGGTTAAACATAATGTAACTATTTACAAGAACCTCATTATACTTTCACCTCGAGATATATCCATCCACATTTATTATATCATTGAGTGGCCATTTTGGTATTGGAAGAATGCTTAAATCATTAACTAAGTTTGAAGCCTTTAAGAATTCAATCCCTGCTATGCCAATCATCACTGCATTGTCGGTACACAATGCTACGTCAGGTATATGGATGTTGAAATTGTTACCAAGATATCTTTCCGACTTTAATTGAGTATTCAATTTCTCTCGAAGTCGAGAATTGGCTGCTACTCCCCCTGATACTACTAAATCATTGATTCCGGAGAATTTGGAATCACATAACGCATATTCCTTGGAGTTCGTGCCATGCTTCTTAAGCGCAACATTTAAACGGTCTATAATATGATCAAATACAAGTTCTTGAAGCCTATAGGCAATGAACTTCTTATCGGTGTTATTATCGTTTTCTAAGGAAGGACCTTTACCTTTTCTTACATGTTGAAGAGAGCTTTGAAAACCTGCAAATGCAAATTGAATGGTATCGGGGACCAGAGGAAGGTCTGGGCGTTTCAAAGGTAATTGTAGTTGGAAATCAAATGGGTTGTTCTTTCTCTTTGAGATATCCCATTTATCAAATTCAATCTTCTCTTGAGGAGAAATCATTTGAACATAACGATCAAGTTCCTTGCCGATCATATTGCCTCTTATTCCCAACTCCCTGCCACATTTATCCAAACTGACACCTACTGCAACATCCATTGTATCTATAATGATTTCATGATCGACGGCTGAGCGCAGTAGCACTAGCATCGTATGTCCTCCACTTGCCAAAAGGGAAAGGAATGGGAACTGTAATGATTTGCTATCATGTACGGCCATCATTATGTGTCCAAGCATATGATGTACTCCAAGTAATGGTTTTCCCCATGCAATACTTAGTCCTTTTGCTAATTGAAGTCCTGCTGCTAAGGAACCCACCAACCCAGGACCTCGAGTACACATGATTATATCTGGAGGATTTTTGCTATCTATGGCATTCTTGGTGAGAAACTCACTTACTAAATTTGCGAGCTTATATTGGTGGAAGGCATGAGCCTCTGTTGGGATTATTCCACCCACGGCGGAAGAACTAAGTGTACTTTTGGAATGGTCTACGATAGTGATTTTGGAGTCAGTATCACTTTCCAAAAGCGCAACGCATGAGTCATCGCAAGATGATTCAATAGCTAAGGCTCTGTAGAAACGGTACCCTCCTTGTCGTGACAAAGGAGACTTATGCGGTATTCGGAGTTTCTTCCATCCCCATCTTGATAGCATTGTTATCTCCGTTTCCTGAAGTTGACTAACATTGAATCATCTTGGACTACAGTTGTATGATTCCGAATGATTACCTGGCGCTACCATTATTTTGTGCTGACGTAATAAGCCGTCTATATGCTCGGCGGTCAAATCACAGCCAACGAAAATTTTCAGTTGAAAGTCGCACATACCAAAACGGGTGTGTGTTGACAGTTCCATCTTAACGATTTAGATTCAAGACCCGGAGGAGGCAAAAGCATTCACCTTGCACTAACAAAGTGAAAGCTGGCAATAGAATTTTGGCCTGCGCCCATTACCCATTTACTTTTAGCTAAGTGTCTTTGTATCGAACCTTTTTTATGTTCCTTCAGAGGTGATAGTTTTCAGAGTTAACGTGTCAAAGATACAACTATAAGGAAGAAGATCAGTTGGTGGATATAATAAGTTTTGATAACAAACACATTTGACTAACATTGACGCGTCACCTTTCGTTAAAATTTTATTTTATTACGTTTCCGAGTCCAATTAAGTTGCGTTCTGTTAATTAAATTATTCCGAGCCAGGGTTAATCTTATCCTTTTGCTTTAAGTCCCACTGCAAATACATCCATATTTAATGAGCATACTATTGACTACATCAACTATTCCAGTTAATTTCCACACACACACCGATGACCGTCGAACGGACCATGGAATTACATCTCAACCTCAGAAACCGCCACCGAAAGATTCGAACCATGATCTGAAGTCTCCCATTGTCCATTGCATGATTGCGGGGGGGTTTGGAGGTATGGTTGGTGATACAGTAATGCATTCTCTCGATACAGTCAAAACAAGACAACAAGGTTTCCCCAATAATTTGAAGTACAGAAATATGATTCCTGCTTATATTACTATTATCAAACAAGAAGGTTTTTTCCGAGGTCTTTATGGTGGGTATTTACCAGCTATTTTGGGGTCATTTCCTTCCACTGCTGCATTCTTTGGGACCTATGAATATACCAAACGTACACTAATCAATAATTTCGGTTTCAATGATACAATATCGTATTTTGCAGCAGGTGTTTTGGGTGATTTGGCTAGCAGTGTATTTTACGTACCATCAGAAGTGTTGAAAACTAGATTGCAACTTCAAGGGAAATTCAATAATCCCTTCACTAAAGGTTGTGGGTATAATTATAGTGGTCTTGGTAATGCTGTAGTAACCATTGGAAAAACAGAAGGTCTCAAGACCCTTTTATTTGGTTATAAGGAAACATTATTCAGGGATTTACCCTTTAGTGCCTTACAGTTTGCCTTTTACGAAAGATTTAGGCAATTTGCCATATATTCAAACAGTGGAGACTCGGATTTACCTGTCAGTATAGAGTTACTAACAGGTGCTGCGGCTGGTGGACTTGCTGGAACATTAACAACTCCATTAGATGTTATTAAGACAAGAATACAAACTGCTACCTTAGAGGGAGACGAAGCAAGCGCTTTCAAAGGTACCACAACGCATAAGAAGGGATCAATTACTCTGATTTTCCAACGTTCATCAACCCTAAGAGCCTTAGGTTCTATTTATCGGAATGAAGGTATTGTGGGAATGTTCAGTGGAGTTGGACCTCGGTTCATTTGGACAGGTGTACAGAGCTCTATTATGCTTCTATTGTATCAAGTTGCATTAAAGAGGTTAGACTCCTATTTGGATGATGAGGGAGATATTTTGGAATGATTAGAAATGCCTTAATTGAAGCTTAAGGGAATATTTCAGTTTTAGATGTTTTAGTAAGTCGATCACAGTGTGTCCAAAAGGAGAAATGTTTTAAATGCAAGCCAAGCTTCAAATATTCTCGATTCCTAAGGCTTCTCCAGGTTTATAGATCTCCTGTAGTAGCTTGTATTTAGGAGCGAACTGTGTAAATAGAGTTAATTTATTAGAATTGCGGAATAGCTACAATTAATCAGGGGCTAGACGGAATCAATAACTTCAATCGTAAAGCAAAATGTGTCAAGAAAATATTCTGCACCGAATAAATCCGAGTAACACTATTGTGTGCACGACAGTGGCTTTTCATTTACCAATTATTTCTGTGCATCAGTTACGAATATATGGCTAATTTAGATCTGATAGCGTTAGCCGAAGCATTAGGAGGTGAAAACTATACCCTCTAAAGAAACAAAGTAATTCATTTTCATTTGCTCCGCTAAACATCACCCATTTTGTATTGCACTTCAATCCCTTCCTTGTTTTACCGTGAGGATCTTACTTCTTCTTGAACCAATTTTTTAATATTTGCATCAATTGAGATTCCCTCTTGTCTACTTCTCATGTTGAACAAATTACTATTTTCACTATTGTAAATGTTAACTGATTCCTATTTCCCTTAACTCCAGATTCAATTTTGGTGTTTTGTGAATATTTTGGCAGCCAACAGTAGCTTAATCGTGCTTTTGGCACTGATCAAGCTTCTTAGTTTCTAAGTTATGGTCAACTTGTATATAGCGCTAACGCGGATTGAATGCTTAGCTGAATCCTAAGTAACTGCTCTTCTCCGTTGCAAGTAATAATGGTAGATCTAGTCAAGCCACTGGAGCTACTAATATTGCAGATCAAGAAATAGTGCGACGATAGTTGCAGCACAAGAAATACCAATCCTTTTATCGAACCTTTTATTGGCTGGGGCTTATCTACCATTTAGGTTGAGTTCTACGTCTATTGGGACATTGTGACTAGAGAATTCAAAGTTGGGTTATCTGTAGATATCCAACTCATACCCAAGCAAATCATTACTGTGTGTATGCTAAGAATACTTCTATTTATATCCCTCTTGTATGCTCTCTAAAATCTTCCAACTATTTGAATTCTGTCTCCTTGGATATAATTGAACGCGGGAATCCCTCGGCCGTTAGCGGTGGTACTATAGTGAGCTCAATCTTATTTTTGAGGATCATTTTCTAATTAGGTAAGTCTTTATCATGTAGTAAACAATTATTCCATTCGTTATACCTGCATACGACGTTGAAGCCTTGGTATAGTTTCGTATCAAATACGAATGATGAATCCCTTTTTACGGTCTTTTACCCGCATCTAATCTGTTAGTTAAAGTATCCCTGCAAAACTTGGGTAAAACTATGGGCTTGTGAGCTTTGTGGGGATTTTCACGCACTTTGATGGCCAGAAGGTTACCCCTTCAATGTATTTGGCATAGTTTTTGCCACGCACCTTCGAACTAACAAGGTCAGTGTAATGGTCGTGTTCGTAGTATTATTAGTTGAATTTTCGTAGTATAGTCAATATTTTAGAATCTGAAATGCGTGTTGCCATTGCCGTTTGGCAAATTCATATTGTAAGACATGAAATCGTATTGATTCTAGAAGGTTGAAGAATGACTAAAGAATCGAATTGGATGATTTATTTTATATATCTTGGAAACGGTATGTGTGAATGTAAGATGTGTGTATCTGGTTATACATGATTATTCCTATGCATGTCAAAGACCGAACCTTTGCATATGTACGTTTCTATGTAGGGGTATTAAGCGGGATACATCTACATATGTTTGGACTGTTGCCGTCTAAGTAACCATTAAGCTGTGGCGTCAACTCTAGAACAGCAGCGAGATGTTAGGTTTTAAGCTTACTTAGTAAACACGAACGTGCAAACAAAATCTTTGTACGACATAACAATTGTTTCATAAGTCCTATTTTCTCTATTGTGAGGCTTCATAGAAAAGAATAATTTTTTTAAATTTAAGAAGGACCAGTAGTGCGGAATCTGCATACTCCATACACCTCGGTCAAAAATACTCCTAGCATTCAAGCTGCAGATCTAATCAGTGGTACTGCAGAAAGATTTACACCTCTTCAAAATGATAAGCTATATTCTGATAGGTATGTTTAAATTCTATGAGCCCGTGCTTATATATCATTATATATCATTAAACTACTATTATAATCAATAAAATTTGGTAATCACTAAAGAGAGCAACTGTTTCCCACCAAGAACTTAAAGCTTCTTTCAAGTTTCTTTTTACGACTACGGAGGCTTTAGGCTGAGTCCCAAAAATAAAGTGCGTAGACGAATCGGCAAGCTCCATATAAACATCTGGGCTCCATAGTAACAAAGAACTGGGTTTTGTTGCTTTAATGGAATTGTGGACTCCGTAGTAACAGTTGTAGCTTAAATGTAAGCGTAACATCAGATTGAATAATCAATGATATATCTGTCTTTTCTCATTCCTTCTAACTGAAACTAAGCCCTTAAGTGTGCTTAAAGATAATTTTGCAGCAAAAAATATCATAGCGCCTCACAACACCTGATGATTAAATCTGTAATTTAAAGTAATATCATATGTGTTACTATGTTGGCTTTGCTCTGACGTAGTAAACGAGTAGGGTTATAATTAGAGTGGCTCTCTTGATGTGTTGGATTCCATCATGGTTTTGCGTCATTTTTATGCTCTCGCACGGAAGCTCGATTAGAAACAAAAAGAGATTTCTAAAGAGGCTTTCTTTTTGAGGGAGTTTACCTAAAATAATAGAGCCAAGTGTTATCAGTTAACATTTGTCGAATGTAACTACATGTGCACAACCGCAATGTACCCGCATACAGCACAGATTCAAAAGCCATTTGAGAATTGACGTGTATGCTACATAAGCTGGGTGTAAAAAACTTCAAATGAACTAATTCGTACTAGTAAAAAGGGATTATGCCATGTCAACACTCTCAGGTCCGTACTTGTGCAACGTAGCAATCTCAGCCTCTGTTGGTAATAACTTTTCAAACAAGGGAAAAAGCCTGAGTGATTTTATTATCCTTTTCTAGTGATTTATTTTGACGCCTACTCCAATGAGGAAACAAACAGATGAAAGTAATACAAAGTGAACTTAAATGTTCACTCTTGGGCAGAAACCCAAAGAGCGGATCAAATTCTATAAACCCGCAAAAATGTCTCATACATCAACTAAAAAGTCCCGTTCCATGTTGCCTAATTGGTGGACCATGGAATTTATTCCATTTGAGTACAAAATCTGCGTAGAAAGAACCTTACAAACAGTTTAAGTTTAATGCGTCAATCTGTTGTTCCTCCCACTTGTGTTAGTCTATATCAAAGAAGTGGATATCGTTTCTAACAATAGATTTTTGTGTTTTACTCAATTAGTATGCCGAAAATTCCGAACTATATTTATACTCCTAGCGCAAAATCTCCATTGATCGGGATAATGGCAACGTGGCCGTCAAGAGAAAGAAACGATCAGAATTAAAGTTAACAATATGGGTGTTCGTGTAGAAGATTTAGTAGAGATGATGGGTTGTTCAAGTTACCTTGATGGGTCAACTATTGATACTTAATTACCAAAGAGGTATAATACGTAGCCCATTATGTCTGAGAATGACGGGGTCAACCTACATGTTTACTCCAAATGAAAAATTAACAGTGTATCCATTCTTTGCCCTTTGTTATCTCAACTTTCTAATTTACGAACTGCCAAGATGGAAAGTATTATCAATGTTCTCCTTTACAATCAAACCGTCCTACAACATTCTCAGAACTAACTAAATTCATTACTATCTTCTGCGAGGTTTTCTTTTCTATTATCCTTGTTCTTATTATTTGTTGCAAGGTTTCTTTCATGACAACAAGACTTTGTTTTTGTGTTCATATTGTTAGCTTTCACTGGGGTTCAATGGCTTCTTGCGTCTTGACCTACTTACTTAGGTTGTGGGCTTCTTTCCGTGGGTTGCAAGGCAAGGATAACTAAATGGCCTAACTGGGCAGTATTTTTGAAATTGTGATTCTAATCTTTTGGACTAAATGGTGACTGAACTTATGTTTACGCTCATAAAATTTACGTACTAATATGACGTGAGGATGCTCCGTATTCTTATGCATGGAACAAAAAAAAATATCTTTGATCGCGTGGTCCCATAAGCTTGTTTATTGTTAATTATATCCTGTGCGAGAGAAGCAATCGCTTATGTAATTCAGGGCGGTAATCTATTAATGCGTACGTCATTATAAACAGCTCTACTAGTGAACTAATACTTAACTAGACTAAGAATCTATCCCTTTCCACGTTTCACCTACTAATCCTTATTTCCCACGAGGTGCGCCTTTACTTTTTATACTGTCATTGAGGGGTTGAACTTCTTGCGGCGGAAAGTTACAAACAGTATAGTAGAGCGGAGTCAAATTCTCCTGTAGGTAACCAAAAATAAACGAATCCCGGTTTGTTATTGCTTGGTGTGTTTAAGCCGTTTCTCAGTAGATAGGCAATAAGAAGCAATATACGTTTTTATAAAGAAGTGCATGCAGAAATAGATGAATATCATCTCTTAGATACACCTCTTATACCGGCCATTCACACTAAAGGAAAGCTAGTTGCATTTTATTCCCTCAAACAGGTAAGTAAATTTTTGGAAACCTAAAAGTGGCAGAAAACCAAGTAGCAAGGCATTAATTTTTTCACCTCTTGTTTATGCGGCATGTCCTTCTGCTGCATAAGCTGCATCTACTTGTAATGCAGCTGTGAGGCTTCCAACGCATTCCGTTGCTACACCTGCAAAACGAAATTTACTTCTCTTCGCCCCCAACAGAATACAATCCAAAGTCAAAGCTGGTACAGGCTCCGTTGGAATCTGCCTAATATCAAGTTAAAAGAATGACCTCTGAACAAAGCCTACTCATGTACGGACCGTCTCGAAAAGCTTCAACAAAGAATGCTTCAGTAAAGTCGCCTTCGATTAACACATCCTGTCGCTTATAAAAATTGAATATATATAGTGCAACTTAGATCTCCGTAACTCTAATTTTGACTAAGTTTTAACCTTCTCGTTAATCAACATTTTACGCGGCTTTTTAGCTTCTGATTAGATTGATCTCATAACGTTAAACTCCATATTACTGTCCGCTCTTATTACTGAAATAAAGATCGATCTGATTACTTCTGTGGCTGCATATCCATTTAATCCAAAGTATACCTTAAACACTCATCATATTCCATAGTTGTCATATTTCAAACAAATTTTTCCATTTTTTTCCGTTATAGTCTCCTGAATCAAATAAAGACTATTCAAAGTATTCAATTGTCTAATTTCCATAACTAGGTTCCACTAAGATTGACCATTATTAACCACTTGTGCTTTGAAAGGACTTCTTCCGCCTTTCAATTGTAAAAGTGATTGCTCCAAAGTGGGATCCAAAATATCGAAGACACCCGTCATAAGACGGAAGAGAGGGAGACCAAACAAGCCGAGCTCGATTGTCTCCCAGATCACAACTCTTATGAGTATAAATGTGCAAGCATCAAATAATGTTCCTGCTGCCAAGTCTAGCTCTCAATACATTCGAAACATTGGTGTCCATGAAAATGTTATGCCTCTGATAAAGGTTCAACCTGAGCACCTCAGCAAGAAAATTGATAGCAAGACAATTATATCAACAATTCAGAAATACAAGAAACAACAAGCTGAAGAAGAATTAGAATTAGGAAGGCAGATGGCTGCCAAGAAGCAAAGCTCTTCTTCAAGTTCTTCTTCCTCTGGACACATTGGTAATTCGTCTGCAATAGCTGCAATATCTAAGGGCAAAAGGAGGAGGAAAAGCTTTATGTCTTCTACATCTACAATAGCAATGGTAAATCAGGGATACAATGGAACATCTTCTGAAGGTTCTCCAACTTCTATCTTTTCTACTATACCCTGTACGCCTTCAAGTTTGATCCCCAATACTAGCACAACTTCATTTTCTTCAAATTCTTTTGCAACTTGCTCCTTTAATAATCCTGGACCTCATCCTGTTCAAATGCATCTAATTCATAAATTACCTTCTGATCAGCTTATTAATCAAAATGTGGCTGAGTCTCCAATGAATCATGAAAGTAATCATCAAATTCCATTGCTGAGTAGTAGCAGCCTTTCAGGTGCCTCTCAAAATGGATTGAATACAGCTAGAGCATTCGTACAACCTTGTACGTCGACCGAACGTCTCAGCAGTTTTGGTGATCTGGTTTCATTTGTCCCTCACTTGGCCAATACTCTGGTTTATTTACCCGGATCTATTAACACCAACAATCAATGCAATGGACAATCATTAGAGCAATCCTGTAACAATGACTTAAAACCATCTCCTAGGTTAATAGAGAAGGTATCTAACTTTGATATAATAGGAGACACTTTACTCTCCAACTCGAAGGGCGTAACGCTTATCTCTTCTCCTCATAGATCAGAAAGTCCTGTTGACCACCAGAACCCTATTTTGAATCTTACAAATATACATTGGAGTCAAAATCCTAACCAAAGTACACTGAAGAACTCTGCATGCTTTCAGCCACCTCACCCAAAATTTGTCAATGGTTGCATTCGGTTTGAAAAGTCATCGGCTGGATCTCATTCCATTATGAAGGTTGATGAAGTTTCTTTTCAAGACACATTGCAAGATCAAACTAAGGGGGAATTTGGGTATGCTACAAATGCAAGCAATTCAAATGACGATAAATTCTTGGATCCCTCCAAAAGTAATTTGGAACGAGCTTTGGATGACCTCTACTTCGAGTACATGCAAGTATCGAATGGTTTTATTTACAGCAACTACGCTGCTGTCACAGGAACTGCGTTTGGTCCCTTTTCAAGCGAATTATCTCTTCAATCATCTACAAATACATCACATGGGGACATAAATTGTGATGACGTTAGTAAGTGTTCATTATGAAGGAAGTTGCATTCATTTTTCTGTTGTCCGTCGTTCTTTTAATGCTTTATTTATGGCATTAGTTAGCATATATCTTTAATTTTATGGGTTTTAACATTTTAGCATATTCTTTCAGCAAAGACAACGGTATATTAACATCGTAGTATATTTGACGAGTATTGCGGTTTTTACGTCTCATGCTTGTGATAGTATTTGCATGTTACTTTGCGATAACGGTCAGCGGCTAGAATTTAGTGCAATCATTTTAGTCACATATCTTAGTGGAGAGATTTCGCGAGCTACTAGAGCTGGGGTTTCTTGAGTTGGGGTTTTTGATTGGGGGCTACTTTAGCCGGGGCTTGCTTGAGCTGGGGGTTTCTTGAGCAGGGGTTACTCGTTTGGCTGCTGAAGTGCAATTTTAGGTTAGGAACGGACGGATTTCAGCACCTATTAGGGTTGGAGGTAGTCGCTTGGCTTTACAGTATATTTCTTCAGGATTAAGGGAATGGTGTGATAAATGCGGTTTAAAGACGGAGTTGTTACAGATAATGATTGATTCATACTTGTTTAGGTTTCAGTGCCTTGTCCCAAGTAACCTTTACTTACGTTTACAATTGCTAATTTACAATGAGGGCTCGACCAATTTGATGCAACCTTTGCATGTTGCACTTTTTTATCTTCCTTATTTTTAAGGCCTTTATTGTTTACGTGTTCTATTGTAATATCTAACAAACGTCAACAAAAGCTGATATGCCTGTTAACGGCCACCCAATGGCAACTTTCATTGAGGTTGAAATAAACACATAACAATTTAATGAATTACAGGTACAATCATTGCATCGTCATCATATGTTGTGTGGAATAAGGTCACAAATCCCGCTATTATCGTGCTGTTAGTCCAAACGTCAAGTTAATTGGCTTGCTGTAGAACAAGAAAATTGATGACCATGATCAATAAAAATAGAAGCTTAGTTACCCATATGCATCTTTCAAACAATAACTCATAATTTCTAAGACTGTAGCTGTTTTATTATCGTAAGCCATATAAAAAGGCGAAACAAAAGCTTTTAGGTGTGAAGTTTTCTTCTTGATTGTCTGTTCAATTTGTTTTTCATGTGAATAACAATGCTACTTCACTTTTAGAAGGTCTATTGAAATGTTCCACCTCAATTAGTATAATAGCATTCCTGTAATATCCATATTGAGTAAATGGTGCTAATTCACCTGTAATAGAGATCTGGCGCTTCCAAGTTGCTAATGTGTCCCATTTGCTTCAGTTTAGAAAGTGTTATACAAGTACATTGGCTTGCGTATGGAATTCGAGGCGTAACCTTTTAGAAGTGTGAGAACCCGCCCAGATCCTTTGTGGAGTGCATGTGGCTAGGGGACATGTATACAGCGTTTGGATGTAAGCCCCTTTCCTACAAAATGAAGAAGAAGCTCGCTTGTGCATTAAGGACCTTGTTATTAAAGCTGTGCAGATATGGTGGTGTTTTCGACGCCGTTGATTGTTCTTCTTTCATGTAGAGTAAACTATTACCTATAATTTAAACTCTAATTTGTAGTTGCTCGTAAATTTAAATCAGACAATATGGTTGTGCTGCAAGTATATGAATTTACTAAAACAACAAAGCATTGAGTGATACGGAATAGACCCTCAATTGTCGTAAAGTTGTACATTCCAACATTCCTACATTCCTACATTCCTATAGTACCATGATTTTTGTATGTTGTTGATACTAACTCCGATAACGCATTCGTGAACTGCTTGACACTATTTTTGACACATTCTTAAAGTACAGTGAGTAAAGGAGTACTGACTTCAACATGTAGGATGTTCTATGGCCAAATTTTCGTTACCAGGTTGACAAGCATATTTTCTTCAATGAAGTCTAAAAATAAACACAGAACTCAAGGTAACATTCTGCCATAACTTGTAACGGCTTTGATAAACATTGTTTCTTTGATGTAGTTGTTCTCGGGGCTGAAACTGCAGACGCCACTAACCCCCCAATATTTTTAACTCCCTACTCCAAGTATCTTGTCGTCATTTTGCATATGGGAATATGCGATTTTATCCGATAGCCTACATGATTCAGTCCAACATAACATAAATTTGCTGCAGGTCAAAAGATAAGTCGCTATAACGCAGTAAATTATATCATTGGGCATAACAAATCATACGATGTAAGAAGCCGCATCATAACTGGTCTTTTCTTCATTCATTCCACTGATAAGTTGTTCCAGGTTTCACTCTGCTTGCATGTCTTGGCTGAATCGACATCAATGTTTCATTTATAAATATCGTTTCAGATTCTTAAAAAGCCTAACATTCTCGTATCTGTATCAATAAACTGGTTGCATCATGTGCCTCGAATACGAAATCGATTTTCCTACAAAGCGTCTAGTACAAAGATATTGTTGCTAACAATCAAAAGCATATAAACTATAGTTATGCATCTGATACCTAGAACCCTTCCTGTTTTTGAATCAAAGTCGGAGCGAAAGTCCAACGAGCGCAATTGTTGTTTGGGGGTTATGTACTCAGTTTCTACTTCTGTTAACTGGAAATTCCGTAGCCTCAAGGCCTATGATGGGTAACTTTCCCAAGATTCCTTTCTGTAGTTCAAAACATTTCTTAAGTATGTGGAGGGCCAAGACAATCTCTGGGAATTGTAAGGCATTTGAATAATCGTTATATTGTGGGGCCGTTCTGCATTTCCATTCCCTACGGAAAGATATAATCATGGAACAAAATATTATTGCCTTAACTAATATTAAAAGTGATTATTTATGATCTTGTACGTTGGCATCTACCATGTTGGCTGGATTCACTTTATCTGTTATTAAGCTATTTTTGGATCAGTAGCAAAGTTAAGGGTTTCTATCTGAAACAGGTTAACTAGACATACCTACCTTCCCGGGTTACTTACTCTGAAACAATGCATTTTTTTTCGGGCTATTGGGGTACCTTGATTCTAGAACAAATTAATGTTGGAAGAACCTCATGAACGAATTCTGTTCTTAAGTTCGAGCCTTTTAAGGTTTTCCAGGTCTTTTTCGGGGGCATGTCATTTCATGGCATTCCGCAACAGTTAAAAAATGTGATTAGCTGCAAAAAAGTATGTAAAAATGCGCAAACCCGGAATCGAACCGGGGGCCCAACGATGGCAACGTTGGATTTTACCACTAAACCATTTGCGCTTGGACAATGCTCCGCGACGGGGAATTGAACCCCGGTCTACCACGCGACAAGCGGTAATTCTAGCCACTAAACTATCACGGATTTCTTGTTTAACCTTTTTGACGCGAAAAACATAAGAAATTGTTTTTAGAGTGTGCCACAAGCGCATCTTAATTTATCTAAGTAATTTCGTTTCAACCATAACTCTATGTAGTTCCTGGTGGTTTCCATAAATGCACGATATCTTTAAAACAATTACACAACTCTTTTGTAACTCTTGCCCTCTATCGTCACAGTAACAATAAAGTGGATTGTAATGAGAAGATCCCAAACAACTCGAAACTTGTCGCGATAGTAATCAAAAAATTATTTAAATATTCACCGGCCCTCAGTTAATCATAACTATGTCTTGTAGTCTGTGGTAGTTACGAATCGTTGTAATTTCATTGTTCAACCAAAGCAAAAAGGAGTATACTGTAATTTCTTCAGTTGTTGAACTCTAAAACTTTCTGCTTAACTTTTGAATGTAAAGTTGCATTATATTAATAAATAGTGTTCCTGTCACTAATATGGAATTGTAACTACGTTTGTCTTTTTTGCCTTCGATAGTATGTAGATAAAGAATATAAGCCAACTCTAAATAATGCAAGCCCTTGATTTTTTAACGAATTTTAACTGTATTTACTTATCAGGTTCCGCAAGAATTCAAAGTCTCCGAACCAAAACCAATTAATGGTTTCTGTCGAGTATGTTTTTATTGTTAATTAAGCCAAAACTTACATTGTATAACATATCTAGTCAAGTACTAAATTTCTATAATAATTATCTAATGCTTAAATATAACACCAAATCTATCAAGGAATAAAAAAAACCCAAAACCATTAAACTTATTTGCTAGTTTGAATCAACCATTCAATTTGATCTTTAGGCATATGAGAAACATAATGATATTGTATGTTTTGTTGCACATCGATATCCAATTCCTCCGCCCAAGTAGCCACTAAACCAGGGTTACGTAAGAAGCCTCTTGCAACCAATGCAATATCAATTACACCTTCTTCCACTAAATCATTAACCTTTGAGCTATCAGTTAATCCACCAGGAACAGCAAGTAACAAGGAATCACCAACAGCCTTCTTAATGGCTCTTGCAAATGGGACATGTTGACCAAATCCCTTAGATCTCTTTGATTGAGATGCAGAGTTACCACCAGAAGAAATATCCAAGACATCAACTCCCTTTTCACGAACAACTTTTGCCAATCTAATCAGGTCTTCAACAGTCCATGCCAATGGGTCTACATCATTGTTTTCAGATGCAGAAATACGCAACCACAATGGAATCTTATCCTTGGTTACGGCTCTAATTTCCTCAATAACTTCAGTTAAGAATCTCATTCTGTTTTCAAAAGATCCACCATATTCATCGGTTCTTTTATTAGAAACTTCACTAAGAAACTCATTAATCAAATAACCATGAGCAGCATGAATTTCAATAATATCAAACCCAGCAATTTTCAATGCTCTTTCTGCAGCCAAACCGAAATCTTTCACGTATTCCTTGATTTCTGCAACTGTCAATTCATGAGGAACCGGTAAGAACCCATTTTGTCTAAATCTAATAGGCGAAGGTGCAACAGTATTTTGTGGCCAACCTCCAGCAGATTCAGGAGATGAATCTTCAATATGAATATAAGGAGGAACGGTACTAGCCTTTCTACCAGCATGAGCCAATTGAGCACCGATAAGTTGGTTTTGAGAATGAGCAAACTCAACAATTGGTTTAAATGCCAAAGCTTGTTCATCGTTCCAAATACCCAAATCATGAGGGCTCAAACCACCATTTGGAGCAACTGAAGAAGCCTCGGCAAAAGTGATACCAGGACCTCTCATGAGGAATTGACCCAAATGAACTAAATGCCATGGAGTTGGCTTACCATCAAGACCGGCAGAATAAGTGCACATTGGAGAAACACCTATTCTATTTTGCAATTCAACATTTTTAATCTTAAGAGGAGAAAACAATTTGGGGATAGCAGTACCTTTGGGCTGAGGATCTAAAGGGGTACCAGCTCTGAACTTTTGTTCAGGAGTGAAATATGGTACACTTTTAGATCCGTGAACTTTCTTTGATTCGTCGCCAGTAGTCATTTAAGTAAATGCTCAGATGAGAAAAGGTAAGTTGATTGAGTTTATAAGATGATGAGATCTTAATAGCGAGAAATAGAAAACTACATCAACTTCAAGTTGGGAACACCCCTTATTTATACGCTTTTTAGCGGCTACTCCATTTGTACCACTAGGTAACATTGAATTTCATTGCTTAGTGTGGTTCGTTGTCGAACCAGTTCCACAGTTGGTATGGCGATTTGTAAGCTGCTCGAGATAGAAGCATGTGGGGTGCATTGCATATCCGAGATAAGAGCACGGTCCGAAAAATGGGAACGGTTGCAGGAAACCTTAGTGTAAAAATACCACCTCATAAATCGGAACGGCGCAGCCGGGAGACGCCGGTCAACATATGAAGTAATCAGATTTATGGAATGACAAGAAGGAGGGTACTTCTTGGGCACACAAGAAGAACAATCGTTCTAAGCACAACTTTCTTAAGCATAATGGAAATTAGCATATGGTAAGCACTAAGCACAGTGGTTACTGTTACCATAGCGTATATTGTGGTACATCTCTGTCAAACCTGTATATAACTACGATTAGTAAGTATCGGACTAAATTGGGATTAACGAGCTGAGCTTTCATTCGCATTAAACGGCTTTCCATGAATGCACAAGGTGGTTAGATACCACTTGAATTAGTAATAAGAGTTGATTTGGCGATATCTTGAATACGATTGAATATACGTAGAGGTTAAACTTTTGGTGTAGAGAAACACAATGAAAACGAAAAATATTCCCACAACCACTACGAGGTTTTGATCGATTGTAGCTTCTGCCTCTTACCACGGAGAGTTGTTTTCTTTTTCTGTCTTAGTCACGAAGAACGTCTAAGTTACGACGGCGCTACACTTGTGAGGCTTCAAGTACATTTATCATTTGATTTTTTTTTAGCCCAACACGGTTTTTCCGTTACAGTGTATTATTACTATATGTGACAAAATGTAAGAAGTTAATATTAAATCGATTAGATGTAACCGATTCTGTTAGCAACATCCAAAGCATCGTGATCGGCAGTCAATCTGATGTAAGCCTTCTTGGTACCGTTAGGTCTGATCAAAGTGTTAACGTACAAAGCATCAACTTCGTACAATTCCTTGACAGCTTGCTTGATTTGGTTCTTGTTGGCCTTGACGTCAACTTGGAAAACCAAGATGTTACCGTCTTCAACCTTCTTCATGGCAGTTTCACTGGCAATAGGAGCAACAATGATCTTGTGAGCATCCATTCTGTTGTAGTGAGGAACAGACTTTCTGGCATATTTAGGAGATCTAGCCAATTGCAAAGTCTTTGGTAATCTGAAGGTGGTAGAAGTTCTAACCTTTAATGCCTTCTTGGAGTTGGTACCTTTCAAGGCAGCCTTCTTAGCAGCAGCGGCTTTGGCTAAAGTAAATTTGTTAGTAACTGTAGAACATACAATAGAATCTATGATATCAAAGGGATCAACATGTTGTGATAATACTATTTGTGATGGTGAGTGGAGGAATTGTAATCCAACCTTCGTCCCCTAATCACCACTTTATAGATTGGAAAGTCCAATGAAAAATCTAGAAGGTGTTTCCGTCACTTTGTTAATATCCACCACCTCCATTAACAAAGACAGAATCATATCCTTCATTGCATCAATAGAAGGAGGACGTGTTAAGGTATACTAAAACCTCTTGATATGATTCTTATAATGACAGAGCATTTATTTCATTCCCATTAACATCTAATTCTCACTTCATCTTCGTCTTCATGGTTTAACTAACAAGGGGAAGCATATATCACATTACATCTGGTCGTATTGGTAATCATTGCATTCATTTCACATACTGTTTGGAGCCATTTTTACTTCACGTAGTTACTAATAAGTTAGTCCTTAACTAAAACGTAGAACAACTGGAGTTATGGTATACACTTTTCTTCACTTTTTTCCAAACCAATGGGTGAACTGCGATGAAGATTTTTCACTCCATTGCCTTTGTGTGCACAACCCACATTAACTTGCATTACCCAAAAGAGTTGCAGTCTACGATGTTGTCGCTACCATAATACATATATCTCTGAAATCTGTACCAGCTAGTTATTGTCACGTGATTATTGCTTTGAAATATATGTATGATTGTTGCTTGAAGGCCCATAGAGTTACACAAAACAATTGGTGACGGTTATAAAATAATAATTGTACACGTGATTTAGGGCTAAACCCCTAGTGACTCTAATTTTCATTCTGTGATTTTACACTTTAGTTTGATATGAGCCATATGTACATGTTTAAGAGTAGAATAAAGTTATATATATAAATAAAGATGTGAATCTGTAAGTTCCTTTGTATGTGGTGATTGGTTTACCCTGGGATTTACTTCAAACAGCTGTAGAAGAATCATCAATGACTGGAAATCATTATTAATTATGCAAATAGCAAATTCTCCAATCTTTGGATCAAAAATAGTCTGAAAAAATCACAATCTTCTTTGTCTCTTTGGCCTACAACCACCGAATCTCAATTTAGTATTATCGAGCATCCTTGTGACTAATGGTCTGACATATTGACCTTCTTTACCTTGTAATGCTTCAATAAATGCATCTCTACCCTTACCAAAGTTATTAAAAATCAATTCCAATTTCTCGTTGGGTGCAATTATACCTCTATCTTCTATCAATTTGAATATTTTAGAACTGACTTGGTATCCGGCTTCATATTCAGATCTTTGAGCTTTACGGAATCCTAATTGGCCTGCACTAACGTGTAATTTAGTTTGATGAGGTAATTGCAAATAATACAAAACCTTTTCGTTGTATGATAAATGAGCATTCTTCTCCATGAAATCCAAGTCTTCGTAGACTCTGACCAAAGTCAAAAGAGTATTATGCTTGTTGAAATGACAGTACATTTTCCACATGACAGTTCTTTCATTCTTCTTTGCAAAAGTCTTTACCTTTGTTGAGGTGGGTTCTGTGGCTATGGTAGTTCCTGTTGATGGGGCTGACGCAGCAGCAAGAGTATCTAGTATAGAACCATTTGTATTTGATCCCAATGCTTTAACTGCCTGGGTTGTGGAGAATTGACGATAACCAGAAAATCTGGTGACAGCAGTTAAAGGGGAACTGCCAAAACCAGTGACCAGCCTGTTCGCCAATATTCTACTGAATCTTGTAAACATGCCTTCTTCTTGCTCTAAGTATCTGGATACTCGAAATGGGTACGCTTTGTGCTTTTGAAGGTTGATCTAGCCAATGAAGGTGTAAAATCTGAAAAGTTTTCGACGGATGTCGCATTAAAATGCACGACATTTTTTTAAAAAGTGTCGTGCTAATCAGATATAGACCCTTTTCTTATATAGACAAGGTAACTTCAAAATTAAATCTTAATTTGATCAATCGACTTATCCATTCAATTCTTTCATTTAAGGTGGAAGAGTTAAATGTTAGAAAGACGTTTAAAAAATAGCTGACAACATAAAGTTAAGTTAAGTTGATGTTCACTGACAAGCACATTTTTCGGTGCAACATTATCATCTTAGACTTCACTCCGACCTCCAGCGAGAACAAGTATAGATTCACAGTGCATGGCGCCCCAAAGCAAAGTTGTATGCTGAGTTGTTTTGTTGTCAAAGGTTGAACTATACGCTTTCTTGGTGAATATGATCTTACCACTGGAAGAGATGGTTCCACTAACCCATCGCATGTACAGTACCTGTGCAGCGCCCCTTGCGTAGGTCGCCTTATCTGCAGGCACACCACGATTGTTCGTAGCAAGACTAAGCCAATAGAGGATAGATAACGGTTTCTCTAAACAGAGTGTAGATCGTTGACATGGTACGGGAAACAACATGAATCAGAAGCATTGTCATGTAGAGTCAAATGATGATTGAAGGTACCGACTGTGCGTATGGCGCTCGTACACTACTAATGGCATACACTTGAAGTTGTTGCATATAATGTTATATGTCCCTTAAGATGTGAATGTGATTAAGCATCAAGCGGCAAAAGGGATAATCATGCCTGCTTCTGTGAAACCTAAAGTGAATGTTTCACATTTTACGAAAAGCAATAAGTTGATACAATGCGTAAAACACTAATATAGACACGTTAGTTCTGATACAATCTCACACCATTGTGATCTGAGCACGGTATAGTATTACAGTACCATACTGTACTGTGCAATACTGTGCTTATTTTAGAGTGTTGGACTGATTAGTGTAGATTTTCGCTATCCACACGCACAGCCTTACCATTCCCCTACACTTGACTTGACTTTGCAGTGCCTCCCTTTACCACACCTCAACACGTACTGTACCTTTCTCCTGCTGTGGTTCAGGGTGGGTGTGTGTGTAGTGATTTTGGGCGCCGTCTTTTTTTTGGTCTTGCTCGCACTTATTTTGTTTACACACTAACAAATTGTCCCTTCACTTTGAACAACACGACTTCACTATCAACAGTTCCAATTCACATTGATTCTTGTATTGGTTGTTCCCTTCGGCGGATATCGAGTACCATTTGATTCTATACATTGGTTTGGTTACCCGGCAGTACGCTCAAAGTATTGGCTGTGATAATTCATCACTAGAATTGTTATTATTATCATCATTACTATTGTTTTTGTTATTATTTGTATCTTATCTTGTCCTATAATTAATACCGTGTTATAATAGAAGGTATTGCTATTACCACACAAATACAAGTACTATACTATACTCCCTACAGTACAATAATAGTATATATCATATTTATTATAGTCATCATTACTATTATCAGTCTGATACTATCCACAATTGATCCACTTTTATTGTTGTTTTGAACTTGTCTCCCTGTCTGGTGTTGTCTTTTTTCTTGCCTGTTTACCATGGAGTCATCAAGCACTGAACCTCCTAAAGCCATCGAATACTTGCACAAGCAAGTGTACGAGAACTCGTCATCCAAATGCGAAGCTATGGTCATCCGGGAATATAAAAAAATAGGATCCGGAGCCTTCGGAACAGTGGTGGAGGCTGTATTGCAACCCGCTACAAACGAGAATGATAATGTTGGTGATACCTCAGAAGACGTTAATACGGATCAATTGAATATTGATGAAGAAAAATGGTTAGGTCCATTTGCTATAAAAAGAGTTCCAGCCCAAACAGATTATAAATCCCGTGAATTGGAAATCTTAAGAATAGTAAATCATCCAAATATCATTTCCCTCAAATACTTTTTTGAAAGGATACGGGTTAAAGATAATAAAATGTACCAAAATCTAGTAATGGAATGTCTTCCTTCGAATTTACAGAAGGAAATCAAATATTATCGTATTTCCAAATATACTATTCCCTATCCTCATATGAAGGCATATACATTTCAATTGACCAGAGCGATGCTTTATTTACATGGATTTGGAATTGCTCATCGTGATATTAAACCAACAAATATCTTGGTGGATCCTTCAAAAGTATGTCTTAAGATTTGTGATTTTGGTTCGGCAAAAAAATTGGAACCAAATCAAGCATCAGTCAGTTATATTTGTTCGAGGTATTATCGAGCTCCAGAACTTACTGTGGGGTCATCAGTATATACAACCATGATTGATATATGGGGGCTTGGATGTGTGATAGCAGAAATGTTTTTGGGGAAACCCATATTCCAAGGTCAAACACCTGAATTACAACTACGAGAAATCAGTAAACTATTAGGACCCCCACCTAATTCCTTTTTCTTTAAGGCAAACCCTAACTATAGAGGGAACATGTATACTACCAAATTATTCACTGGTACAGTCGAAGAAAGATTCCGACAAATCTTTTCCAATAGTCCTCCAGATGCAATTGATTTGTTGATGCAAATATTAGTGTATGATCCAGAACAACGTGCCAGCCCCAGAAGAGTATTATGTCATCCCTTTTTCAATGAATTGAAACAGAAGGATTTCAAGGTGTATCCTCGTGGATCTCAAGAGCCTATTACTTTGGATCTACTCAAGTTCACCCCGTTCGAATGGGAGCTTTTAGGTCCTTATCAAGACCTTGTATGAAATAATAAAAAAGAGGATACGAAAAAGTAGATGGCACTATCTTTATCTTTTCTCTCTCTTCTGCTATTGGTTCAATTCTTGATCTGTTATATCCCTTAATATATTTATACATGACTTTTCATGTGTTCCGTGTATGAATATGTCTTTCTTTCTTCTTTCTTTTTGTTGTTATAGAGATGTTATAAATGATATATTTATATTTACTTTTATGTTTAGATGTATCACAAGGTTAAGCTGTAGCTGTATTCATCTTCAATGTTCTGGGATAACCATAACACAATACAACTCAACATCACACAACCATTGCATACGATGTTACTCACGCCCATTCCTAACGTGGGGAATGTGTAATGCTTCACCAAAAACTTCAATATAAATACCATGAACAGTCCAGCTAACCCCCCGGCCAATAAGGAGAACCCGCAGAATAATATTACTCGTGCGGCCCAAGCATGGCCTCCCGCACCGCCGCCGGTGAACAGATTGGCCAGGTCGATGAACAAGTTGGCCTTCTCAATCAGATTGACAATAAGCATTCCAATGGTGGAGCAAATAAAGGGAATCCAATCAACAAATGAAACATGAACATCACTGGCATTGACTGTCTTCAGATAAATAGCTGCGTCTACCATCAGCCAAAGTCCAATGGAATAAAGGGCGCCTGCAAAGTAAACTCCGAGCAGTCTTAACTTTGCTGATTTGGGAAGCTTGAATCCGTTGAACCGGAAAAGATGTGTAGGTTGTTCCATATTAGAATCTGTACCAATTGGTTGACAGTCGTAGATAGCTCAAAGGGAGCCGTAAGGAGAGGGGAGTTAAACGTCTTGATAAGTTTCTTTCAATTACTCTACTGATTCGGTAGCGCGGGTCCAAGTTGATTAAGTCCAATGATTCCATTAAGTCGACTGAAGCATTACTTTAGTAGTACTACGATTACTATTATATATATATATATATATATATTTATAGTAATATTTATGCTATAATCTATGACCGTGACATCGTTTTTACATTAAATTTTTTGATGAGTCCACTTTTAGTGCAAGTTATCACCACGCCACCAAGCAATGCAACCTGTAATACCGGATCATCATCCCGTTCAGACTTATGCTGATAGACCAATTCCTTCAGTTGTAAATCCCATACGAGTAGTCCGTCTTTGTCACTACCAGACACAACTAAAGGTTCCAGTACCGTTTCGACTAAAAATCCTGTCCCACAACTATACTTGGTCGATATGGGAGCGCCATTAATTCCTAGGTAAGTTTTTATGACTGAGTTCCCCATAAAATCCCAAAGCCTTATTACACCGTCGAGACTTGAGCTGAGAATAAACTTAGAATTGGGGGTTAGTTCGACGTACGAGATAGGAAGGTTGATAACTTCGTTTGTGGATGCGGTAGCTGTACCATGCGACGTACTATATGTCAATGTCTTGAGACAATGTCCTGATTCCATATCGAAAAGTCTCATAAGTCCGTCGTACGAGCCACTAACGATAATAGAGCTGTCGAAGGTTAAAGCTACCAGTGATATTGGGTCGGAATGTGCTGCAAGTGTACGGAGCGACTTCCCACTACTAACATCCCAAACGATGATAGTTTCATCCGCCAGTGCACTCACGAGTAAATTGCCTTTGTAGTTGAACTTGATGGTGGTAACATAAAACGAGTGTTTCTTCATCACCTTCAAGCATCTGCGACGACTTATCAGCCAAATTCTAATGGTTCTATCGTCTGAACACGATGCTAGAATATCTGAATTCACGGGACTGAATTCAATGTCATTAATGCCACTACCGTGACCCTTGACTTCCCATGTAGCTTTACCTGTTGCCATAGAATACACGCGGATCCAGCCCTGTGAATCGCAGCAAGCAAATGAATCTCCATCGGGGGAAATCTTAACACTATTGCACCCTGTAGTAGTATCGATTGTATACTCTACTTCTAACAAGTCAGGATGCGAGAATAACCCTGGCTTCACAATGTTCTGTGCGATACCATTTTCATTCCCAGAATCAGATTCCAAAACTTGGCCAGAACCGACCCGCTGTCGCTTGGCTTGGGGGGTCTCCATAGTCACCTTAAATGTGATTGAGTTTGTCTACGGGTAAACTTCAAACGAACTTAAATCGATTCTTTCTCTTCGCATGGTATTTTCCATTCGCGACATTTTCCCTATGGCGCGCCCTTTCGGTCCTCCATCTTCTGGAGCCACGACTCTAAGAGACTTCGCTCTATTTCGTCGAAGTGAGCATTACTTACATTGCCTTTGCCAATATACTTCGACCTAGTGGCTACACTTCCAGCATCCACAGTATTGGCATTCATCGTATTGGGGTTCGACGGAAGAATTAGCTTCAGTATTAATTCTCGAGTATCATTTGAATCATGTTTCCTAAGCTCCTTAAGAAAATACTTCAAATACTGGAACACTAGTACTTTACTATTGTCTGCCGTATCCTGAGCATACGACACCAACTGAACTAATTGATCGTTCAATGCGACTAGAGCGTCGTATTGACCCGTACCAAGACTCAATCGGTTTTCCAAACGAGCAAAGACTCGATTGACTATTCGCGATAATTCGTGCTGAAGCTCTGAACGGAGTTCTTCGTTGGAATCATTCAACCCATCAACCACTGGCTGGTCGATACCTTGGGGTGACTGCGATGATTCACGGGATTTCCTTGGAGACACCAGACGAGACCCAGCAACGGCGGTAGCAGCACTGTCGTTGTAATTATTGCTCATCCCAAATTGTTGGTGGTTGTGCCCGGGCCCTTCTTTGAGGTCTTCATTCTCACTATTGAGGTCGATGTCGTCGTACCGTATCATACTGATATTGAAATGAATCGACTTTGGGTCCTTTTGTTTCCCTGGACTGTTGCCACTGCTATTGCCTGGGTTATTGATTGGTGCCTGCCATATTTGTTGGTTCTTGGATATCTCTGTAGGAATGTAGAAATGCTGTGTCTTGGAAACATAATTCTCTTGTTCCCAAAGCTGTTTGCGAGTAATGAGGTTCTTTAAAAGCTTACTCTTGTTGGTTTCCTTTGCGTATTTCGATATAAAGGGATGCTTCAAGAGTTGTGATGCCGACATTCGATCTCTAGGGTTCATCACAAAGCATTTCGAAAAGAAATGGTGCATATCTTTACTCATATCATTGATATTGTTTAACCCTATTAAATCGGAAAAGTCACTGTCTTTCTGACATTTGGAAAGTTGTCTTAATGCTCGCATAGGCGAATACTGTGATTGGAGGGGAGCCTTCCCGGTCAACAATTCATACCCACAACATGCAAGTGACCATATATCAGCTTTGAACGCGTGGCCTCCACTATTGTTCAATATAACTTCTGGTGCCATCCAATATGGGGTTCCAACAGTAGTATTCCGTTTAGAAAAGTTCGTCAGTAGTTGGGTCGACACTCCAAAATCAGTCAACTTCACCTCACCCAGCTTGTTGATTAGAATATTCTGAGATTTGAGATCTCGATGAATCTTACCCTGGCCATGGAGATAGTCCAACGCTTGGAGAACCTCACGAAGTATAATCAGAATAACTTTTTCTTCGCCCACTGGCCCAGGTCGAAGTAAATCAAAAAGCGATCCACCGTCCATTAACTCCATCACCACCCATAATTTGTAGCTTTTAACAAAACATCCGTAATACTCAGTAATCTGTGGAAGCTTGCACTCCAGTAGAATCATAATTTCCTTATTGACTTCAAAGAGATCTGTGTTTTCGTTCTCCAAATCTATGAGTTTCACTGCTACTTGTAGTCCAGTGGAAAGTACAACTCCGCGGTACACCACACCAAAACCACCACGACCCACCTCCTCGAATAACTCCAACTCGTCGGCTGAATTCACCCGCACCATTTGAATCTTTTGGTCCTGGTTGGCCATGTAGAAGAAACAGTTTTACTCTTCAAGCTAAATAAGCGTTAATGCTTCGTCTGTCGGTACGCAAACTCGACAAAGAACACACAATGTGAACAGAAAAGGAAAGGTCTAAATGAAACAGAAGTATAGCACAAACAACCACTTTTTTTTAGAGTTGTTACTGCTTACAGCGCTGGAATAAAATTATTTCAGTACAGTACAGTGTCTCTGTACTTCAGTCATGAAATGTACTCTTAGTTACGACAACACGAGTCTAGTCGTTGTAATTGCAACGAGCTCAACAATAACTGCTTTGGCGTTGTAAGAAATTGGTCAAGTGCGAACTGATGAAATCCGCCCCACACAATTTAAACCATGCGAACGGGAACTATAAATTCAAATACATCGCGACTGGATTCAAAGAGACAACTTCTCACCAAGACCCACCACCAGCCCTTGAAGCAAAAACATGCTAGGAAGAATCTTCCCTGGGGTAATCTTCCGACCTATGGGTTCCTTGAGATGGGGCCCCATTCGACGTATCAGCAGTACTCGTAAAGGAACAGACGTCAATCTTCTCACCCGAACACTCATATCTCATAAGTCGTCAGATAACGAGCTCATCCGATGTACAATTTTCGATAACAGTGGAAACATCACTCAACATGGGAAAGAAATTAAGCGACTGGTGCTTTTGAAAGAACATAATTTGGCACCCCGTGATATTCGAAAAATCACTCGACTTCATGTTCGTGGACTGAGATCTCCAACACTCAACTCGGACTTTGTACCGTCTCTTGTTACCCGACACGATTGCATTTTGTTGAATATACTTAACGTTCGAGCACTCATCAAATATAATACCGTAGTAGTATTTGACACGACGCATACGGGTGCACCAAACGAAGGGGTGTTTTCAACTACTCATGAGCAATTCCTTCAGCAATTGGGTGATAAGATTAGGGCCCAAGACGATTTGCCGTACGAGTTTAGAGCGTTGGAGGGGATCCTCATGTACGCATTGGCCAATTTACAAACTGAAATGAAGGTCCACACAAATGTGTTGCGAAATTTGTTGGAGGGATTAGAAGAATCACTCGACAAAACAAGATTACGATATTTATTGATTCAGTCGAAGAAAATATCTCAGTTCCACCAGAAGGCTCAATTGATTCGTGATTTGGTCGACGGGATCTTAGAAAACGACGACGAGTTGAATGACTTATATCTAACCGATATACATCAGAATACACCACGTGTGGGAACAAACCATACAGAGGTGGAGATCTTATTAGAATCGTACTACAACACCTCAGACGAAGTGGTGCAAACGGTTGAAAACTTAAAGTCGCAAATTAAAACGACCGAGGAAATCATTAATATTGTGTTGGACTCAAACCGGAACGAATTAATGCTCTTGGGGTTGAAATTCTCCACCGGCTTGTTATCTATGGGTATCGCTTTATATGTGGCCGCCGTATATGGAATGAATTTGGAAAATTTTATAGAGGAAACTGAAGGTGGCTTCGAGGTGATTACGGTTTTGGGTTCCTTGATGATGTTGTTCTTGCTTTTCTATAGCGTAAGACAACTCCACAAGTTGCAAAGGGTAACAATGACTGGATTAATGGGTAAGGAAAGCAAAATGGCTCCAAAAATGGACTCTTAAGTATCACATGTACTATAATATTATGGGAAATAGTCAAATTGTAACCTCAGTCTTCTCCCTCGAACAGAATATTAATGGGTGGTGGTAGGAAAGTTCCACTAGCACTGCGGACTCTGTCAGACGGGCTTTCTTTAACGGTTTGCTGTGAAGCAGATTGTTCAATCTTTGTTTTAAGTCGAGGAGAGGAGGAAGGCGACGGTAATGGTGTTGTTCTGGTTCTAAAAGGTCGCAACGAAAATTCTCCACTAGGAGGTCGAGGTGAAGGCAGCAAATATCCATTATGGCTGCTACCATTTCTTGTTGGAGTAACTGAACCGTTTTGTGGTGGTGGCGCCAATGTGGGCACTGTTTTTTGAATAGAGATCTTCTCTGCCTCTTTCTTCATTAAATAAGATTTCTCATGTGACCACAACACCTTTAAGAGCTTGGATCGTAATTGAACATCCAACAACTTGGAAAGCAATAAATTATAAAGCTCAAGAGGAGGTTTGAACCCTTTGGAATTCTTACTGGGAATAGGTCGTAAAATCAAATGCACGAAGGGGATTGAACCAATAGCCTCCATTGAGTTCAACTCTGAAACCACCAATTCATCGAGTACGTTTGATTTCGTTTCAACTTTGCCTTCTTCCTCTTCTCTTCCACCCCCATCTCGAAAACTTTCAAAGTCTTCAATCTCATCCAACTTGAACACACGACAAATATGTTCAAGAATGAATAGCAACGAACTCATGTTACTTCGGGGCAACGACGACAACAATTTCACAAGATCTTCGGTATCGATATCCAGTTTTATATGGGAAATTAACAGTTCAAACATCATGCAAGGAATAATAGTGTCGTTGATTTCTAGTAACCAATTGCGTACGAAATTAATCAACTCTTCAAGCGTCTTTCCATTCAATAGCTCTATAAGGTTCTCCATTATGTTCTTATGGATTTCTAACTCCGAAGAAGCCAATTCTGCAACGCTAAGCGGGTCAAATTCTCCCACGGCACGGATTAATTCGTCCTTCACAGACCAATACTGTCTGAAGTCGAGACTTCTGGTCCAAATTTCTCTTAAATCCTCAGAACCTTTCTTCGACTCAATCAATCGTATGACCTTGTACATCAAATAAGGCGTGGAAGCAAACGTCGAGCTTATCTGGTGATTCATCTGCGAGCATAATAATTGAAGCGGAATGTCTTTGAAAAGGTTGAAGCCCGTTTTAACGTCCTGGGCATTAACATATAGTCTGGACTTTATTGGTTGTAGACTGGGGAAATAAATGCCTACGCTGAAATCTTCAATTAACTTGTTATAGTCAAGTTGGAAAGTGTTTGGATCGTCATATTTGGTAATGAAATCTCTGGCAAATTCTTTCAATCTTGTAGTGGAATCCTGCGACGATTTGTATAGAACTTCGGCTAATTTTGTAAATGCATGGTGGATGGTTTCTATCTTGAGCTTTTCAAACCCTTCGATGTCAATGGCTCTTCTAAAGAACTTGGAGTCAAGCAGGTGCTTTGCATCTTGGAACTCGAGGTATGCGTTTCGATACTGCTCTTCGAGTTCTTCCAACTTTTGGTTGTAATCACCTTTAAGCCAGTTAGCCTTAACGTTCTTAAACATCCCACTAAGTTTCAGAGCCACCTCGTTGACCGATGCTTGCGACCCATCTGCGGAGTACAGATATGTAGGATGCAACTTTTGGTCTTCATGGTGCACAACTTGTAATGCCAAGTTGGAAAGTTCGTACCACAGATTATCTGCTTTGAAATGTTTGGCTGTCATAAACCCTGTTCCGGACATTAATTTCAAGTCTATTAGAGCTTGGCCAAACCGTTCGATGCGAGCTCTGCTGGGATCAAATAAGCGATTCGAGGTAATCACGTTTACAAGATCTTCGGATTTGAATATCAAATTCCTATAGCTTGGAATTGGAATAGTCCGTTTGGTTGTAGGAAGCAACTTATCTAGTCTGTCGATCAAATTGGCCAATTCGCTCATATCTTTTAGAACTACTGGACCTAATCTTAAGGGGAAAGTGAACTGCTTATCGAGTGGATTTGATTCCAATGGCGACGGAGGCTCTGAGGGCACTTCTTCAATGCTGTCATCAACAAAATCTGAGGGAGTAGTGGAGGTGGTAGTTATTAAATCTGGAGGAGAATTCTTTTGTTCGTAGAACTCCTTCTGTCTTCTAGTCTCGTCATACTTGCTTCTGAGCGAATCAGCTTCAAAATACGTGCTCTCGTAGTTGGCTAGCAAGTCTTGGAACTCTTGTATGATCCGTCTTAGTTGCGGCTCGTTGTGTCGAATGAAATTATTCAAGTTTTCCATTACCTCTTTCTCGATGGCACGTCTTAATCGACGTGCCGCTTGAGCTTCAGCCAACAAATTCTGGATGTGACTCTCGAACGACGATGTGAGGCTACTAGTGTTATTGTTGCTGGCGTTAGTTAATGATTCCAGTAGTGTTGAATCTGAAGAGGAGAAGGGGTTCTGGTTCTCATTTAAATAGCCTGAAAGTCGCTTGATACCTTCGATACTTGTATCAGCACTTTCATATCCTGTTGCCATAAGGATGCTCTCTCCAAGCTTTTTTAACGCAGTATTACCCTGATGGACCAATTTCTCTCCCTTGACATAAGGACGGAAGCCGCTTTCCAAGGGGAACAATTCTACCGCCATCTTAGTCAATTGCAGATCCCTTTGGTCGCAATACGTCACATAACTGATTACCAACTCTCTAACTTCGTGCAATTGTTGGATCGACCGAAGCGTTTGGTACAGAAGCTGTTCGATACCGGTTCTATTATCAGCAGACCAGTAGATGTTGGCAAACCGTTTCAGCATATCCATTAGGGGTACGTCGACGGAAAGAAGCGTAGGGAGCAAATATATTTTCTGATAGTTGTGTTAATGTTGTAACCAAATTTTCCTGAATAAGATCAATCGAGTAAATCAGTCGAAATAGAGCAGATTCAAGCAAACAATTTAATTCAAACTTTCATTCGAAAAATTCATTCCACTCGAACAAATTAATCAATCCGCCCGCTCGATCGACCCGCTGGAACAGTCATTGGGAGCATTGATCAACCTCGCCAGATGGATTGGGTTCATTAAAGTTACACCATTTCGACATACTTTATCATCAACACGTCTTATCATCAACAAATCTTATTTATAACTCATGGACATGGAAGGAAATATAGCCATAGAGAACGTCCTGTTGAGGGCAGAATTAAAAACACTACAAGAAACATTGGATCAATTGAAACGGGCTAATCCAGACTTCGTAATCGAAGAAAACGATGCTAACGACCATTATCAGCCAGAACCAAGTACGACGCAACACAGTCACTTCGATGATTCGATCAAAGCATATTTTAACCGTTCGGAACAAAAATACTACGGCGATGAAGACGCCGAAGATGTCGCCTCAACAGCTATGGTAACTGTGCCAAAGAAAGAACTAACCGAACTTAAATATAATATTCTCTACGAGAACTTATACCGATTAGCAGGCATTACGATATTCCCCTTAAACAAACAGTTGCTTGGAAATGAAGACTACCTCGGGTTGAGGTTCGACCTATTTTCAAGTCTAACTCGAAAGTTTAAAACTCCTCACTACGTCATTCTCCGTAAGGCGATACCGAATGAAGCCAAATTGGCAGGCCAACTTGGTGGTGATGGCGATACATTGAGATGGACCGTTCACCGACACACACTACCAGTTTTCATACCAATTGACGAATACATTAAACAATTATTGGTGGGCGTCGACGAGAAGGACCCAATGCATGTGGTCGCACAATTCGCTACAACGATACGAGCTCAATTACTACGGTTGAATTATAACCATGATAAATTTGATATGTTGCGCCTAATCAAGTTTACAGACTTTGGCATCGACCGAGAAGAGCCTTTGATTTCAGCGTTAGACAAAGACCTACAGTGTCGCCATGTAAGGATAACCTTGTCGACGTATTTCAAAGGTCAATTGGTACTAGAATTTATGTGTAACCCACAGACGATTGAAACAGCCACACTTATTACCGCCGCGTCCTCCTCGTTCGACCCAACAAATAAAGTTGTTTGCGAATGTATGCTTCGAAACTCTTCGTTGGTCGATCTACGGAAATCGTTCAGAAAGGTATGCGAGTTTCTACTACGGAAACAGTTGGCACAATAATATAATATAATAACGAAATAATAAAGAAAACATATAAACGTAGAAACAATTTTGGTGGTAATTATTATCTGCTTCAGGTCCCGATTAAGTCAGATAATATTCTTATAACTTCTAGAAGGCATTACCAAAGCCAGCACCAGTTGGTTGAAAGCCTAAACTACCATTGGTGATCATTAAAGGTTGGTTGATACCCTTTTGGTCTTCTTCAGCCTCTTCACTATTCTTTCTCTTAATCAAATCAGCATAGACTTCGTTCAACTTCTTTTGGTTCTCATAAGCAATAGAGATCTCGTATGGCTTAATAAAGTTGGTTAATTCGTGTAACCAACCCAACTCCATCACGTAGTCGTGATCAATCAAGCTGTAGCAAACATACAACAAGGCAACAAAACATTCACGATTCCCTGTTTCAACGAAATAGTCCAACAACTCGTGGGCAATCTTCCTAGACTTGGAAAGGGCTGCTGTCTTAAGTAAGTCAGACCACAATTGATCATTCTTTAAGATAGAAATGGCCTTATTGAACTTCTTCTCCTTAGTATATAAAGTAGCAGAGATTTGTCTAAAGAAGATCAAGTCATGGTTCTCCAATTTCTCAGCCAATTCTAACTTATTGTATCTGTTGTTAGATTCATTCTCAATGGAAGATCTTAAGGATTTGTAATCTTCTTCTTCAATCAATAATTCATGGTATGCAGAGTTCACAACAGAATTATTCTTCTCCAATACAGCAACCAAAAATGGCTTGATCAATGGTAAGTTGTCAGACTTAACAAACATACCAACAACTCTTGGTAGATCTAATTTGGGGGTCAATACAGACAACAAATCGACCAATAATGTTGGTTCTTCGTTAAGATAAAAGTTGATCGCCTTGTAGTAAATCTCCAAGTTTGGGCACTTAACAATGATTTCCTTAAATGACAGATGATCAAAGGCTACTTCTGACTTCTCAATCATTGTCAAAGCAGCATTATCCCATTCTTCATAATGACAGTACAAAAAGATCAATTCAGGGTACAAATGAGCAGCCTCACATGCTGAAATTACCTTTGGAATATTAATTCTTGACCAGAATAACTTCAAATGTTCCATAACCTTTTCTGGACTATACTTACTGTACAAAACGGCTAATTCAGTGAACATTCCCATGTGAGCTCTTTCCAAACCCAACCCACTTTCAAAAAGTCCAATTAATTCTTTAAAGTAACCATTGTGTTCATAGATTCTAACCAATGCAGGTAATTCTTCAGCATCAATAATCAAATTCATACCACAAATTTGAGCCAATCTAAATTCCTTGTTCTCAATACAAGCATCATTCACTTGTTTCCAAACATTCGTATTGGAAGCCTTTCTTGCACAATCAACGGCTCCTTGGTAGTCCTTCAAATAAACCAAGGTTGTAGCCAACTTAGAGTACTTTGAAACGTTGCTAAATAAAATCTTTGCAGCCTTGTAGTTCTTGGCTTCAAACAACTTATCACCAATAGCTTCCAAATCTGCTACGTTAGGGCCAGCAACAAACTTCTCGATGTCACTCAACTTATCCAATGAAGCATAAGCATTAATCAAGGCACCATCAATCACGGGTTCTCTTAAGGAAGATCTGGCCATATCCAAGAACTTGATCAATTCTTCCTCCTTTCCACCGTGTTCAGCGATTTCAATAACTTGCTCATAATTTGCTGGGTTCTTGGATTTCACATATGAATCAATGGCTTCAGAGATCCTTAAACCGTTCAACTGAGCATTACCCAATTGGAACCACAATTCAGAAGTATCATACTTTTCAGCATATGTTTCCCCTCTATCCAAAGACATAATGTCTTCTACCAAAACCTTCATCGCATCATTTCTTAATTCAAACTTATCGTACACTTCAAATGCTTCTTCGTATAACTGGTTGTCAATACATAATGGAGCAATTTCAACAGGATCGTACTTGTCCAACTTCTCGACATAGGTAGTGACCTTGGAAGGATCAGCTTTAATGGCAGTCAAGATCAACAAGCCTTGTAAAGAAGTGTTGTCGTTGAAAGGGGAAGGTTCCAAAATGATCTTTTCCAATAACTCAATCAATTCATGAGGCAAGTCATTTTCCATAAATGCTTTAACTGTAATTGAGACTGGCTCAGGATCAGTCAATTCAGGAATACCGGTGGAAATCACTTGGTCAATCAATGATCTTCTGTGTACGTTATCGGAAATCAATACCTTATCCCAAAGTCCAAAGTCAGACTTTTTCAACAAGTATCTAGCTTGGTATTTGTACATCTTATTGTCATTTGTAATATTGATTAATTCATCGTCGTTCCCACCCTTGGAGTAAGCAATATAAGCCAAATAGGGGTCTCTTTTTTCACAGTACTTACCAATAACCAAAGTGTCGTAACTGTTGTTTTCTTCCAAAAACTTTTCAGGTGAATTATTGGAGTCGATATAGATCTTTGCTAAAGTGTTGTACACAGCTTGATCATTAGAACCACCCTCTAAGGTCTTCTCCAAGAATGGCAACAAGATCTTTAATCTGTTTCTCTTTTCAACTTCTTCAACCAATTCATTGATGGGAACTCTACCTAAAACAGTGGATAACAAGTTTTTAATAATATTCTCGTCACAGTCAACGTCCAATAAACCAGCAACAACTTGAGGTGTGTTAGCTGGGTTAACTGATTGAACATAAACTTCAATAAACTTGAAGTATTGGTTCTTGTACAAGAATAAAACCAAATCATGAACAAAGCCGAATCTGTCACAAACAATGATCAATGGTAATTGGTCATCTAACTTGAATTCCTTCAAGAAGTTCTTGACCTTTTCACCATTATACACGTTGTTGTCTCTAACAACTCTTTCAATTTCTTTAACTTGCTTCATCTTTGCAGAGGCCTCAATATACTTGAACACAACATCAGGTTCTTGCGTCAAATTAACAATAGAAGATAAGTAGTAGTATTCACCTTCAGTACACTTGTAGTCTTCGAAGATCTTTATCAAAGTCAAAGGACCAATCAAGTCGGAGTACTTGGTAGCAACTTGGATAACAACTTGCAAATTTTGTTGCATGTTGTTACTCAATAACTCCTTGATACAAGCAACAGATTGTTCAACATTCAATTGACCAAAATAACCAACTAACCAATCATTAGGCAAGACGTTGGTGTGAACGATAACACGTTTAATATCCTTCAAGTCATCGTAATGTTCCAATGCTCTTTGGAATAATCCTGCCTTCTCACACAACTTACCAATAGTTGGTTTGTCGTAATGACTAAACATGCTATTACCTAAGATGGCATCAGCTACTTGAGGAGCATGGAGCAAATTAATTTCCAAAACCTTGGTTTGCAAATGGCCCTCCGCTGGAGAATCATTCTTCAAGGCATCTAAAAGGAAAGCAGTACCTTGTTGAATAAAGTTTTGGGAAAAGAATAAGTCAGCTATATTCTCCACATTCAAATTAGCATCACTGTTACCCAATAAAGATGTAGCAAATTCACTAGCCTTGTCAGGGTTCACTCTCACTAAGTTTTGAATCAAATGAGTGTAATCAGGTGAGAATCCAACCTTTTGGCAGTATGGTAAAATCTTATCGAAATGGCCAATTTCAGCTAATGCAGCAACTACTTTAATGTGAACGTTAGCTCTAATGTAAACTGCAAGTGCCAAAGTAGCATCACTGTAAGACTTAACGACGTCACCCAATTCTTCGGAACTAGTTAACTTATCTTCTTTCAACCATTTTTCAAACAATTCCTTACGGTTTTGTTGTAAAACAGGCTTGGCCAATTCAATAGATTCGTACTTATTCAAGGTACCTCTATCCAATAAGGTAGAAAAATACTGCAATATGGGGGATATTTGACCCGGTTGTGGAGTAATATTCTTCAACTTATTGATAGTATCTTGGGTTCTCAATTGCTCCGAGGAAGCAGCTACTTTGGCGGCGTTGGAGTAATCACCTTGATTCAAAAAGTTTTGGAATTGTTGGGTGAATAAAGATTCTGCACCAGGGAAACCACCACGAGAAGCCAAAGAAAGAGCTAATGGAACATTAGACAACTTTTCCAAAACATATGGGATGATCTTATCCTTAGCAACAGTAACACTCAAAACTTGACCAGATTTGTTGATAGTGACTATACCGGTGCCATTATCGTAGGAAGACGCAGTAAACACAGGATCAGCGGTGATTCTGTTGACAAACAAATTGGCTCCTGTTTCAATATCATACAAGTGAATGAAACCATATTTGGTCAAAATGTAGATAACACCGTACTTGTCTGAAGCTTGTAAACTGATAGGGAAATCGTTTGCTGCATCAGGAGGGAAAAAGATATCAGCTGCTTTCTTTGGAAATGGAGGGTTCCCTTCGACATGGTCAATTTCTATAATATGTAAATTACCTTGACCTTGGGCATTCTTGTTACCTACACAGAAAACCTTTGTAGGGCTTGAGGCACCAGGTAATCTAATTGAAGCAAATTTGGACACGTGACCTTCAATTGCTTGGGAAATACTTCTTGATTTGGAGTACAATTGGATATGACCAGCAATTCTACCATCTTCCTGAGCAATACCGTTAACGGCAAACCAATTTAAATCAGAATCAGCCACAAAGTTGATGATTTGACAATTTGCCAATGAATGGTGCCTATCACTCAATTTGATTGGAGCATCATTGGTACCGTCAAAAACGTTCCAATAATAGATGGAATCAGTGGTTACTAAACCCAAATGAGCATCATCAAGCCATTTCCAGAAGACTACTGGTTGGTTCATAGTATGAGACTTCAATCTTTGTTTCGTACCCAAATTGAAGATTTGCAAAGTAGTACCATTAGCTCTTAAAGAAATGATAAATTCCTTTGTATGCATAATGGCATTATCAGCACTCATATTCTTTCTTGTGATCTCATTGTTGTTTTGTAAATCGACAATTGCCACTGAATTCCCACTACTGGTGGATTCTCTTACACAGACAAATCTGTCAGATTCCAACGTCGTTGACTTGAAATCAAGCGACGCCTGTGAGATCCCAAGGGATGTCAATTGGGTGATCTCCGTGAAGTCAATTGGGATATCGTTGGCCATAATCGATCGACGACACTCGCTCAGCCCTAGTACTTTTTAAATGCGATTGGAAATTACTCTCTGGATCGATCGGGAGAAACTCGGGGGATCTCTTGGACTATGTATACCTTTTGGTAACAATTCTCGGATCAATGTTTAACTATACCGCACAACAATTCGGGACTCTTGTTGTTAAGTATTGCTTTCTTTTGTATGTTTGACCCTCGACTTCTGAGCCTCTAGTTTGTTATTGGAAACAGGGTGTTCCCATTGGTATTTTTCGCTGTCGACAACAAAATGGTTTTGGAATCAGATACACAAAAAAAGGGGTTGGTAGTGTATGCTGATGTAATCATTATGTAAGAAAATGATGCCAATTACCTTAAATGGGTAATACGAAACATTAAGCCTAAATGTTAACAAATATAATTATGAGCACTAATAGTAATTATTTAAAAAAAGAGACAAAGTTGTTAATTAAAAAAAGCTAAGAGGTAGAGAACCCCTCCTCCCCTCTCCCCTATAAAGTTCAAAAAGTGTTACCATGGAACACTCAAGACTGGAAGTTTGATGTATGAGTTCAGACTATTGGCTACGCCTGCGAAACCATTGTAAAACCCGCAAACACCAACACAAATACTGAAAACAGCAGATGCTTTCCCTGCAGCCTCACTGTGAGTAAATTGCTGTATACCGAGTGTGAGAAATGACAAGCATGCAGATACAAAGATGAGGATAAGTGGGATAGTTGATCTCAACAATATTATAACACATATAAAGGCAGTAATGGCCCATCCTATACAAACAAAGCCCATTGCTTGAGGAAATTGTTCTGGAGCTGTAGCATAAGCTTCAGCCATTCCAAATGCAGGAACATACAAAGCACCAGTAGAGATATAGAAGCATCCAAAGGAACACATGGCAAATGCTGCAAATGTGTTGCCAATAACCATTTCCCAGACACCAGAAAGAAATTGTAATAATCCTCCACAAAAGAACATCATACTAACAGCAACTTCAATACTCTGTATACCTTTAACCTTTAAATTGTAAAGTCCAAGAATAAATGAATTAAGTGCAAAGGAAAACATTCCTAAAGCAGCAACATTACCGAACTTGTGTACTGGAGCAGGAGCCAACTTTTCAGATTGGAATCTACCTCCAAAGGCAAACATTAATTCATGTCTAAGGTATCTTTGATCACCCAACATGACATATTCATCGTTGTCACCACAAATGGTGGCTCTTTTTGTGAGTGGAACTACATCATCCCTGTCATCGTGACTCGCAGCGGGCTTGTCGTAAGTCAAGATAGAATTGCTGTCGGACATTATTCCCAACTGTCCTTTTCTACTGGCTTGACTATGCTATTCTTTTGTTAGAAATTGAATCAAACATTGCGGCCAGTACGCTTTATATATCCTCTCATAAACCTTTTGCACTCATACTTATTAATCAACACAACCGCTCTTCATTTTCCCCTCATACAAACTGAATGGGGTTTTTCAATTTGAATTAGTCGTTTTAACTCGCTTCATTAAATCACTATTGCACACCATGACTCCCCTCATTAAGTCATTCCGATTTAGCCCTTGAAGGGCTGAAAACTGGCAGCGAAATATTGTGTACACATTCAGTAGTTAAGTTGCCTAGTGGGATGCTTACCCCCCTAAATGAATACAATAGTTTTTTCATGCCTCCACACCCTTGTAATACACTATCGGAGTTGTTTGCAATAGTTTATCTGGGGTATAAAATGGGCACAATGCACGACTCCTTATATTAGAAGTTTTAAACTCGCTTTTCAATGGGCGAATTCCGATCAAGACACAAATTTACCCACCACTCCATGTTCTTGGCTCGAGTGGCTGCGTTCTGGGACTTAGTTAATCTCGCGCCAAAGGTATCGTTGAAAGCAGCGCTAGATACTTATCTTATAGACTACTATAGCGCCAAAATTCAATAGTAGTAGGAGTATTAGTAGTAGGAGTATTAGCAGTAGCGGTAGTTGTAGTACCCTTAAGGTCCCTCCTTCGATGGCTTGCACGAGTTTCCAGTTGATTATACGACTAGATGTAACCGTTCTTTGTGTTAAAATTTTAATTCATATAATCGTCCATTATGGCAAAAATGATCCCCCTCAGTCGGCAATGCGTATCGTATCGTACCCCTCATTGCCTCGGGATTCGGTTTACCAACCCGCTACTAATGAAACCTTTAGTACTTAAAGTGGGGCTCTCGGCTAGAGATTTAATTCTAAATCGATCTTTGGAGAAGCTATTCGGAGATTGATCTGCTTTTGTTAAGTATGGTCGGTTTGGTACGAGAGAGTACGGCTGTATGGAAGTTCACTTTAAACTAGTGTTTGCTGTGCGTTACGACATTCCTGCTTCCCACTAGAAATTCTCTTGTAGTCTTGCATTGTTCACGTAAAGTTGTAGTCATAATGGAGGTCGAACAGCCATCAAAGTTTCATCTACTATCATATTGGTGTATCCAGTGGGCGAATCTTTTTCAAGTTTCGATTGAGCACCTACCAAATAACTGCGAACAAACCTCCACTCACTGCCATACCAATTACCAGTTAAAGTAGCGATCTCCAACTTCATAAAATCTCTTTGGGCGTTAGAACTCAGGGCTATACTGCTAACTTCTGGACTTTCACTAAAGCTATTATAATCATTCGTCTCCTCGTGATACTTTTTGGCTCTGCCACCCCTTTCAGGCTTCAATGTAGAATAAACCGTATTATATTCCCAATCAATTAACCACGACGCAAGTTGGCGGAACACAACTTTAGCAATGTCTCCAGAGACATAATTCAAGGGTAAATTGGTGGCATTGGGCAAGTCTTGGGTAATCAAATAATTATTGAACGCCACAACCGTTCGAGCTAAAAGATGGAGGTTCTCAATTGATGTAGTGGGTAATCTTGTGGTCTTAGGAGATAATGAACACAATCTATGGGTACGAGAAAACACAACTAAGGAGTACATGTATTGCTGGATCACTGGAGCAATATATATCTTGTCGGATTCAGACCTTAGACTTTTGTATGGCACATTAAGATGTGGTCTGTACGATGATCTATGAAAGGGTGAAGAAGAATCTTCAGACTCAACATAATTAATCAGAAACCAAAACTTTTCCTTTAATAAAGGATAAAGTTTATTCGTTTTGTAGTATTTATGCATCATAGTTATAATAATTGTGAAGGGTTCAGGTAGGGTGACTTTGGTATCATTTATAGTAATTGGTTCACCACTCTCTCTTTTAGTTAGTAGATCAAATTGATCCAATTGCATGAAGAAAAGATATAACTTCTTTTGGTATTCCTTTGAAGTCTGTTGAATACCTTTCCATATCACCACATTGGCCTCACTAAATGGCAATACCAAGTCGTCTATAGAGGGTTCATCTGTGAGCTCTACCACATGGTATTGTAGATTTGATGGTTTCAATATCATATCGGATATTAAGGAAACTAGTCGGGACTCATCGGGGCATTGCACCACAAGTCTTTTCTGGGCAATCAAGGAGATTTGTAATGCAGTGTCTATGTTTTCCATTTCCATGGATCAACAGAGACTATAGTCATACAGGTATAAAGTAATCAATGATCCTATACCAAAGCGAATAGTAGGCTATACTTTTGTTACTACGTGAGATAAAGATATATTCAATACGTCACGTGACGTGAAGTCGCACCGGTCATCATTATCTTGAACCGAAGTAAAGGTTGGTGTTAGGGTCTATTTTATATGATAACTTCATCCTTAATAAAATCGATACGTCCCACCTCTGGAAATATTAATAGAGATAATTGTTGTCAACTACGCATGTGTGGCTGACTATTTGCAGATACTTTCGTGTTTTTCGTTAAAAAGTTCCTCATTCTTTAGGAAATTATGCTACAGTCAAATTTAAACTCAGAGATGAAATTTCTCGACTTACTCAAATATATTGTTCGTACAAAAACGTCCCAAAATACACTAATACCAAACATTAGGACTCTGGAAAATTCACTTGTCATATTTAGTTTTATCTATTTAGATTGGTTTACTTATTTCTCTAGTGATGCTCATTATCATTGTCTGAAGCTTACATAACTCGAGACATTATCTTTAAGACTCTTATGGGTTGTACATATTTTGACGTAATCATTTATGGCGTGGACGCTGTCGGGAACAATGTAGGGCAAACGCCAAAAAGCAATAATAAACATTTGTCCACAAACATAAACAGACATACACGACACAAACACGTATCTCGTGTTAAACTTTACGACAAAAACTGGCTTAAGAAATTAAGGCAATGGTGATCACCTTTCTACGACACTAAAAGGAAAACCTGGGGATAGGGCCAATGTTCTAGAGTCTCTTGAAAAATTCAGACATATACGCTTTTGTCATTGTACTTGTTTCGTGACAAAAAAGAGGTAAAGCTTCACAATAAACAATTCAAAGGTGGACAAGGAGCCTTTTGACTTCAAGGTGGATCAGAGGTTACCACACTGCTTATGTTTGGTAGGTGGAGGTTGTGGATGTTTATGTATTTCTGTTTTGACGTGAGATCTCAGGCGAGGGGTGTTAGAAAATACACGCAGTTGGTAGGCATTGAGTGGCGTTGACGATCTGCAAATTTAACCAATAATACTTTTAAATCTGAACCCATTTACTTCGTTAGAATTTGTACCAATTAACTAATGGTACGATCATCCAGGCTTTTCAGTTCAACAGAGGTCTATCGTCCTCCCACAAACTAAACACGCTCCATGCATCATTAACAGAAAGAGGAAAATCTCATATCGTCGAATCAAAGGTATGTAATTGTTTACTATTTACGAAGCACCTACTTCTAGGCTGTTATTTTCGGTCTATAAGTCTTTGGGCCTAAAATAATAAGTTCGTTGCAGATATAAGACATTTAGATAGTCATTAGTTTGTGTCACTAATGAGTTATCAACACCTGGAGACTTAAAGGTGAAAAGACACATATAGCCGGTAAGTAATTGTTTCCGCAGATAATTACCAGTTCAGTTCTGAAACACTTGGTATTGTGGAAACGAATGTAAGTCTGATGAAAAATAGAAAATATAAGGTATGTATTGCTGCTGGTTTAGTGGACCACAAGTTACGACGACAACAGTGCCATTCACCTACTCAATTTTTGCAGTTGTGTTGTTCTTGCCATTCTGCAACAGGCTTCCATACATTGCTGTCTTCTTAAAGAAACACACCCTGAGACCCGAAATAAAGGGAACTGTACACCTATACCAAATAAGATCATGTGAAAGAATACGAATGCAGTATGTAGAATACAAGTATTAGACTATATTACTGTGAGACAATTACTGCCTACAGTTTGTGTTAGTTATGTAAACAAGTTGGTGAAACAAGCCATGAACCCCTCAAGCCTACGTGCTGATAGAGAGTGTATTTTTTTAACTCAACATGCATGGTGTGTCTTCATTTACAATCTCAACGCTCTCCATGGAGCCATGGAATTCGATCCCATACATTGGGGCTTTGTTCCCGCAGTCCAATTTAAGCTTCAAGTATTGTTTTGTCAAGTCCTGATTAAGCTTTTTATTTGTTGTTGATACTAACTTTAGGATAGTAGTTGGCCGACATCGTTGTTGTTGTATATTTCTGTTGATATATAGATCTTGTTCCACTCTTCCTCTTCTTCTCCATAACTTCTTCTTCTTGTTCTCAGTCGAACATTTTGCTGCCATTAACCAAGTGCTATTTTTACACTAAATACGTGATTCCGTCGACAAGTGTCGTATTTACCTTTTTTCCGCGCACCCTAATTATTGCGTGTACGGTTCCCAAACATAGCTGCTGCAACGCTCGCATACCGTCAAGATTTTGGAGGCCGAGATCGAGGTTCCATTACAAGCTTCAAGCACGAACACATAGCACAAGTTTCCAGCATAAATTCCAGAACCAATCTAGAGCTACAACATTTGAAGCATAGATTGAAGTGATACTGTTGTTGTTGTTGTTGTTGTTTAGGTGTGTTTGAAAGTCACCACGTCATTATTTGTCTTAGCCATCACCGCCATTCAATAAGCCATAAAAATTCGCTTTTATTGTTCAGAAAAAAACTACTACTGAGCACACAAACACCAAAGTGTTCCCTTCCAGACACCGTGTACCTCGTCTTAAGTTACTTTTGGTGCCATTTTGCAATTTTTTTCTCCTTCTAACCATTCCATAGATTACCTTTTTACTGGCAGGGCCTGACCGACATCGACCGTTCATTTCATCGATCAGTCAACAATATAATTCAAAGATGTCGAACTTGCAATCGTTGCCAGAGTATTTTTCAAAGTCGTCAACTATGCCTCGGTGCAACGCTTCAGCTTTCCCGCCCTTCAAGTTGGAGTATCGATACCGAGGGGTGTATGAAAGAGCAGGGTTTGACTACGATAAATATAATCCTAGAGCAACATCACCAACTCAATTGTTATCACCTAATAGTAATCCTGGACGGAACTATTCTAATTCTCAATCAGCGACAACCGGCCAAGCCGCCAAAAAGTTGAGCAGCATTTCTTCAAATGCCACTAGTCGACACACTTCAAATTGCACCACTACATCCACAAGACAGACACTGGTTTCATTGAGTCCTCGGAACTCACCTCCACATTTCTCAAACAATAGTCCCACTGCTGATCATACCACCACCACCTCTAATCCTAATGGATACCATGCATATTCTAAAGGTGACGATTTGCTGATTTATACAGTGAGACCAGTGCCTTTACCCGAGGTAGAATCATTATCAAGAGTAACCCTGATACAAATGTCTATTCCTTCAGATACCCATTCGTTGCCGCCCCAGAGTATTCATTCAAATCAAAAGTTGCATTCATATTCATATTCAAGTAATCCCGAGTTATCCACATCCACATCCACAGCTCCTCCTACATACGCACCATCCAAAACCAAAAACCATAAGAACTTGAATTTAGTCTTGGAGAAATCAAACTTCAAGCAAGCTCCAGTTGAGCTGGTCGTTCCAACTATACCTCTTCCATATCCAGCAAGCCATAAATTGCCAGATTCCATTCTTTCACCAGAGAGCAGTCTTCCTGCTGGTGCACATGACACGAATATCAATAATAACATTCATAATACTAATTACACTCACACTAACAATCCGGCTGTCTACAATGATAGTGGTATGTTAAGCTTGCCGCAACAAAATGACAATCGGTTATCAACACTGCTGATGGTAAGCTCCATTATCTCCAAGGAAGAGCCTTCTATGAGTTTTGCTAATGACGAAGAAGAGGATGAGGATGACTCGCAAATTAATAAGGAATTGGAAATGCAACTTCAACAGTTGAAATGGACTGGCTCTATTTCCTCCGCTTCTGTAAACGGTAGCTCTGCTGGTGAACAGCTCACCTCGTCATTAAAAAGTCCTTTAATTGTCACCAATGAACATGAACATGATCACGATGATGATGATGTTCTTGTTAACGAAACCATTAACTCTTTGGGTTTTGACATAACACCAAAATTACATCAATATGAAGACGGATCTCAGTCTGGAGAACCTCGTACAGTTATTTCCGAGTTTGATGACTTAAATGTTGAACCATTGCTAGTCAAGCGGATCAAATCAGCAAGAGCCACTGGCGAAGAAGAAGATGAAGTAATTGCACCTTTAAACGTCAAGAGAAGAAGTCCTAGTCTTCATAACATTCCAAGATTTGAAGTCTCAGATAATTCCATGTCTGATGTCGAAGAAACACTCCCCTTGAATCCTAACCCCAGTCAAATATTCGTGGGTGAAGGTATAGAGAATGAATCTCCTACAGTTCCACGGAGATTGAGACCTGTATCACCAACCGCCACCAAAGCTCAAACTCAAACTCAAACTCAAACACAAGCACAAACACAGTCACAACAAGTTCAATCGAACCATTCAACAGCATCACCACCTAAATCTGAGCACAACAATGTCTTGTATCCTCCTGGCCAAGGTCCTTGTCGTGGGTGCAATGATACGATTGACTCGAACAGTACTTCGAGACATCTCAAACCTATTTTCACATCTACCACCGATGTTAAGTCGACATTATCGGGACAATGGCATCGTAAATGTTTCCAATGTCACCACGACCAATGTGGTACGAGATTCTCCAAAACAACACCTTGCTACGTATTTGAAGATCAACCATATTGTTTCGACCACTACAGTATACTCAATGGAACTGTGTGCGAAGAGTGTCAAGAAGGGCTCGAAGGCGAATACATTGAAACCGAGCTTCAACTCAAGTTCCACCCCGCATGCTTAAGATGTATGCAATGCAAGAACCATATCACTGGAGGAGAGTCGTATTACATCCACAATAACATTGTGTATTGTGAGACCGATGCTGCATTAATAAGTTTAAACCCTGGAGACAGCAAAATGGAAAAGAGAAGAACAAGAATCATGTTCACTTAATGGGGGAACATACACACAGTTCATATTCATATAATCATACACAAACATATATACATATATGTATAATATTCATATTGATATATTAATGTACTTGCACTAAACTTGAGTATGAGAGTCTTGTTTGTGAAGAAGATTCTCAGTAGTTCTTCTATTGTCGACTTCTATCTCATCATCTATAATGAAATTGTCCATGTCGTATAAATTTTCATCATCAAAGTTACCAAAGATCAAATCATCATTGATATTGTTGGAGTTCATTCTTTCTTCGTGGTAGCCGGCTAATTTTATTTGCATCTTGTAGTAAATCACATAAGTGACCGCACTAGCAGCAAACATCGTTATAAGAATTGAGATTAGGTCGACAATCTTTGACCCCCCACTTCGAGAATTGTCCCCCAATTCCTTGATCTTCCATCCTACAAAAATATGTATAAACATTTTGGGGGACGTGATGACACTGGCCAGCACAAACGTTGCAATACTTAAATTAGGTATCAGTGCCAAGGCCCCATTACTTAACGAATAAGGTAAAGGGCATAGTCTTAAAAGTATCAAGATCAATAAACCTCCGCCATTTTCACTTTCATCAGTTAAAATCTCCAGAAAGGCTCGGAACTTATCACTCAGTTGAACCAACCGTACACTTCTCTCATATAATAAATACTTGAACGTGACAAACGAAGCAACACTACCCAAAACACTGGCAGATGCCAATAACGGCCATGCTTTAGGGAACCCATAAACCATGCCACAAAGCATAGAAAGTGCACTAAACCCAATTAATGGAGGGAATCCAACTCCAAATACTAAAAGCCAAAGAATAACTCCACCCAAAGTTCCCAAAGAATATACCCAGTCCAGTAATTCAACAAGTAAACCAATCAATTGTCGATGTAATATAACAATGAAGACTCCCGCTATACTTCCTACTATTACTCCTACGTTCACCAAAAGCCTCTGGCGAGCGTTTAGTCGAGAGTACCAATCTTGTGACTTAGCCACCATCGCTAGCACCATTTCCTTAGGTGAATGTCCTCTTGATGCCAACGGTTGCATTGGTGCATTTAATTGTGGATCGTTGATTTGTATGGGCATTTATCAGACACAGCAGGCAATTAATGTCAGAAGTTTAGGAAGATTTAATTTATGACGATGAAAATATCGTATCTCCATTTGTCTCTCTGTCTAATACCGGACACCGGTTTCATTTTTGACAGGACAGGATTAACAAAAAAGGAAAGACATGAGAAAAAAATAATTAGAGATGATTTCGCCCAGGATCGAACTGGGGACGTTCTGCGTGTTAAGCAGATGCCATGACCAACTAGACCACGAAACCATTTCTGATAATTAAAATACAGGATGAATAGTACATTATAATTATTACATACTATACTGCATACAGATAATGAATAAATTTCACACGATACTAAGTTTTATTGTCTGTACACAAGTTTGAACCTAATTGCCCAACATCGGTGATAAGTGACAAATACCAGAGATTTGGTGTTAGGGGCTTCCCCATTTTTTTTATAGATTTAATAATATTAAATAATAGCTCTATAGAATCTCAGTAAATATAAATACATACACAGTACGCGTTCAACCGAACTGTTTTAAGTGAAAGGAAAAATCATCCTTACAAATCCTCATCAGCTTCCAACACATTAGGCAACTCATTAACATCGAAATCCTCATAGATAATGGCATATACAACTTCCATTAATGGGAATTCACTTTGTAAGTTGAAAGTAGTTAACAATTCGTGTACTTCTTTAGCAGTAATGATACCTTGAGAAGATTGGCCATTTAATAAAATCTTTTCTGCTTCCCAAGCACTAACTTTATGTTCAATCATATATTTTCCGACTCTCACGTTCCGACCACCGGAACATGTAGTGATTAAATCAGCCACTCCACAAGATTCTTCTGTGAAAGTTGAAACCTTGGGGGCTTCTCCCTTAATGCCGAATTTTTCATAATAAGATGCAAAATGAATGATTTCCTTAAGTCCGATTCTCATGACAGCTGCCTTAGCATTATCACCCCAACCGGCTCCGTCAACAAAACCAGCTCCACAAGCAACAACGTTCTTCAATGCACCAGCTACAGAAGTACCAATGATATCATCAATGACTCTAACATGGAAATAAGGTCTATGGAAACAGTTCTTGATAATGAAGGGATCAATATCTAAACCAGGACCTTTGAAATCATCTGGTTTCAAATAAGCCACATTTGTTTCAGACCATTTTTCTCGTGCCACTTCGCTAGCGATATTGGCACCACTGAGAACACCACAATGTAATCCAAGGGTATCAGTAATGGCTTGGGAAAGCAATTTACAACCATCTTTATCGACATTCAACCCCTTCAAACAAGAGATAGCTCTTGTATGAGGTGAAACCTTTCCAACCAATTGCAGACAGATTCTTCCAAGGAATTGATGAGGAATATTGAATACCAATAAATCCAGATCTTTCACGGTAGAAACTATATCTGGATTAGCAACCAAGTTCTCAGGTAACTTAACTCCGGGTAAATACTTTACATTTTCATGTTCTGTATTTATTATTTCTGTTAATTTTCCCTTAGAAGGAATTTCCTCTTCATAAACCCACATATTCACTGTAGGATGAAAAATACTGGGCTTACTACCACAGTTTTCAGCAACCAATTTAGCAATAGCAGTACCCCAGTTCCCTGAACCGATAATAGACACCTTAAAGGGCTTTGGAATAGAATAAGGAAGAGAAGACATGATTTATGAGTAAATGTATAAATGAATAAAAGATTAACTGAACAAAAATATTTCAATGCTATATCAAGTAAAGTTAGACTCCGTATAGTTGATATCAATCGATTGATAATTATTGAAAATTATACCAAGGATATTGCCACCTTATATATAAACTGTATTTATATCGGTTGGATGAAATCTCAACAAAATGAGAATGAGGGATGACGATACACAAAATCCAAGTGGAGTCGGCGCTCCCCTCGCAAGATACTAAAACGTAGGAGAAAGTAACTGGAAAAGGGCTTGAACAGTTGTGTAATGCGATGATGTTACACAATGATACTATTAATTAGATGGCGAGAAGAAACCTATGATGTAGTGTTTTATGTAGTATGATGTAGTTGATATAAACAACTATATTGTGTACTTTATAGCTAAAATAAAAAAAAAAAAATTTTTGTATTACATTATTTGGTATAGTGATTCATATTTATACCGATACTTGATTGTGATACTCGTTTCTTTTTGTTTGCGGAAAAGCTCGGATCATTTCGTCACATGTGGAAATGGAACCTTTGTTACCATAAATATTTTCTTGAATCTCACAATCTAACTTCTTCAATATGCAGTTGAATAGTAAATAGTATTACATTTCTGAGGTTTAGTACGACATGCCGAGGATTGACTGTTTTCCGGTAAATCAGATCCACGGTGCGCATTATTACGGTTTCGAAAAAGAAATTGCTTTTCAACACTACGCGCTACCATGCATTCTCTTAAATTAATCCGAAAGAAAAAGAAAACTTTAGCATATGAAATAGGTAGTTCAGGCCTGTTGGGTAGTACACGACAGTATACGTTCCCATTATTTCATTTACATCAGAGTATTACTGGGATCCAGACCCATCATTCAAACTGGATCTATTGTGTCTTGTCTTACACATTTGTATATGATTTATATATGAGTATACGGGGTGGTACGAGATCTGTAACAGTATCCTTGACGCCTGTCACCATCATCTGTTGTGTCAGCATATACGATTAGCCTTCCTTCCTTATTCTTGCCAATGACTCCATATGACTCATTTCTGTAATGGGATGCTTTTCGGAGTTAGTATAGTAAGTTTTCGGAGTTTGTATTCCGATATATTACATCATTACAGGTTTGTTATTTCAGTACGATTGTATGTTTCATGACCTGCATTATTTCCTTTGTTAATACATACAGTTTCTATCAATGATCATCGTGTCTGTAATCGTCAAACATTTCCTGCCATTCATCGGTCATTATCTGAGATCTTTGACTAGCAGGCCCCGTTTGATCTAGCCACAGATCATCGTCCATCCAATCACTAGTCTTTACTTGATTCCCACTAACGATCTTGGCAGCTTCTAATGGACTCTTAAAATCGGCTAAATCACCTTCTTTCAAATGCGCTAGAGGGTCTGGTAGATGGTTTATATGCTCCTCACGTAGATTTTGCCTTTTTTCTTCTGTAACATCGGGGAATGGGTGTAAGGGTTTATGATAATCTATTTCTTTCCCATCAGCCATAGGTACCATAGAAACACGAGCGTCTTGCGGTTCAACGTTTATTTGGGAACTTTGACCTTCTTTTTCAACCAATTTATCACCCTCCAACTCAACTTGTCTATTTCCAATTGAGTTCATTAATTTAAGAAAATTGGAGTTTTGAAACTTTTGGGAAGTTTCCTCCAGTTGCAAACTGCCACCATGTAACATCGAACTCTTAACTCTTCTAGCTGTTTCAGCAAACTTTTCCTTTTCAGAATCATCAAATATTTCTTGTTGTTCAGTGGTTTCCTGTAACTCCTTCTCCAACTCATTAAACTGATTATCAAAAAATGCAGCTTCATGCATCTCTTGATGTTCTGTCTTAAATCCAGGGGACAGGGTGTTCATATTCATAGGACGATTATTGATATTCATTGTTGTCGACAAGTTGGTTCGCATATTCAACTGGAAAGCTTCACCATTGGTACGTTGTGCCATAAACTGTCTCTGTTGTACTCCGTTCATCTGATTCTGATTTTGAGTCTGACTTTGCATCTGTTGTGACATATTTTGATTGAACTGTTGATTCCAATTGGCCCTTTGCGAATCGCCTATCGACATGCTGGAGAAATCCAGTACCCAGTTGCTATTTCCAGTCTGGGGTTGATACTGATGCTGAAACTGCTGTGCTCTATTCTGTGGAACTGCTTGAACATTTCTATTCTGAAATTGGGGAGCATGCGAGTTCATAAATTGCGAGGCAAAGTTAGAGCTGCCTCCAGTTTGATTAAACTGGTTGAAATCTTGATTAAGTCTTTCATCTACTAATTGGCCTCCTTTGAATTGGGCTGTAGGGTTATGCTGAGGCTGTCTAAGTACGTCATTCTGTAAACTGTTATCTCTCTGCGAATACTGCGAAAGCTTATTAAGGGCATTAGTAGGACCGCAACTAGCTTCCATTTTGGCGTCTAATTTACGGTGTGAGATGTGAAGTAGAGAAAGAGTTGGTACAATATATTATTCTGATGATGATTTGAAATGGAATTTTCCCCAGTAGCAAATCCAAATGGGGTAATCGTACACGTCATTCCTCGGCCCAGGGATACTTTTACCATTTTCAGATCATGACTACACGGGTTTGTGTAACAGATACCCCAGACTTTTCAAGAGTTTGTATTACTGTCTCATCGTAAGATGTTGTATATTAATTATAACCCTTCTCATAAATGACTACTTCCGTCACCAAATAATTCATTGTAGGAGTCTCCCAAAAATTCGTGTACGTTGGATGTTTGCATAGCCCGTCCATATTTGGCAAATGCCTTCCCACTAGCAGTTCTCACAAGTGTACAAGCAGCAAAGCAGGCTAATAGAGTGGCATCAGATTGATTATCAATGTCAGGAGGATGCGGCCACACTCCTTTAAGATAATTATAGGACCAATTAATAAACGTTCCCAAAGCACCACTTAATGTATCACCTTGTCCTCCAACTCTTCTTGGAGAACTGGCAAGATCAACAGTCAAATATTTATCGCCTTGAAGTATAACATCTTTAGCTCCTTTACGAACAATAGTGATGTTACCAAGTTTCTTCGATACCATACTTGTCAAAGCAATGACTTTTTCCAGACTAACGTCTTCTGTTGTGGTAGATATATCCAACGCTTTGGCTATTCGGACAAACTCAATAATATTGGGAGTGAGAATGGCTTTGCTATAGTTTGTAACAAGTGAAGGATCCAATTGGACTAAATATAGAGCGTCTGCATCGAATATAATTGGTTTATCAAGCTTTTTGATTTCTGTTACCAATCGATACAACTGACTCAACATTAGTGGATCTCTTCCAAATCCAGGACCTACGACAAACAAATCACTACGTTGAATTAATGTTTCCATATGTGATAGAATCTCAGTTACAATTGAATTATCATGCCACAATTTGATATTTTCAATCAACAGGAGTTGAGTATTTAGGGAATATTCAGAATACCCCTTTGAATCCATCAAGTAAGGATGAACCATGAGATCAGGCAGATACAGCTTGATTACTGTAGCTGCCTTTTCCTCACAAACTATGTGAGTTAAATCAGCACCAGTTGATGCTGCAGAGTGTCCAGCAAAGAATGGTGCTCCAGTGTAATCACGACATCCCCCAATTACACATATTTTGCCTGCTTGTCCTTTGTAGAAGTTTGGAAGCAAAGGCTGGACAATTTTGGAGGCCAAACGAATCAATCCCTGTTGAGTCTCACCTTTAAGGTAATTCGACATCTGTCAATTATTGGAAAAGGGAAGTTGGATGCTAAAGGAGTATGAGATTTTAACTACCGCTAGATTCTTCAAGCACCTATATCGCACTATACATTTGTACTCAACACGACCGCTACAGCAACTTGAAGTTGGACGACTCCAGTAACCCTCCTAGTACAATAGCAGACTGCTACTACTAAGGCAACAAGCTATCTCATGCTGAATATTCAATATTGGTATGTGCTTACAAATGAGTAGTTCAATAAGGGGTTAAGCTAGCGCTGTATACTACCAGAAAACGTAGCTTCCAGTGTGTAAACCGTGCAATTGTAAACTAATGCCGCCACCGTAGCATTACTAAATGTGGAGATATCTATATCCGCTCCACAGTTGAAACTGGAGCCAATCAGTGTTCCTATTTAAACACAATGTGCAGGATTTTGTTAGCAGAAAATGCGAGACTACACCTTCGGTGGTCCGCTTTCTTCTAGTTCCAATTGTGGAGGAAACTACTAAGTAATAAATTCCCAACGCTAATTTGCGCACCTTGTTTTAGATATAACTTCATCCTTCTTTCTTTCTCCTTGTTTTAAATTGTGTGTTGATTTAGAATTGTTTATAAGGTCAATTGTTAGCCCTGCAAACGATTTTTTTATCTAAAAGATGTCCTTCCTCAGTAAAGCTGCTAGAACTGTTTCTTCTCCAAGAGTTTTGTATCCATTTCTCGCTCTCGGTACTGTCGGTGTTGCGTACCATTTTTCCACTATGAGCGCCATCTATAACGAAAATAGTAAAACCTTTAAAGGTGATGACAAATGGGTTGATTTGAAGTTGATCAAGTCTTACGATTTGTCTTCTAACACTAAACACTTTGTCTTTGCTACTGAATCCGATGACGATGTTTCTGGTTTGCAAACTGCTTCTTGTGTCTTGGCCAAGTTTGTTACTCCTAAAGGTAGCAACGTTATTAGACCTTACACTCCTGTTTCTGATACTGAACAAAAGGGCACCATTGAATTCGTTATTAAGAAGTACGAAGGTGGTAAGATGAGTTCTCATCTTTTCAATTTGAAGGAAAATGATACTTTGTCTTTCAAGGGTCCAATTGTTAAGTGGAAATGGGAACCTAACCAATTTAAGGAAATCACCTTAATTGGTGGTGGTACTGGTATCACTCCTTTGTACCAATTGGTCCATGAAATCACTAAAAACCCTCAAGATAACACCAAGGTTCATTTGATCTACGGTAACTTGTCCCCCAAGGATATTTTGATGAAAAAGGAACTTGATGAATATGCTGCTAAGCACAAGGATCAAGTCAAGGTCACTTACTTTGTCGACAAGGCTGAATCAAATTGGGACGGAAAGACAGGTTACATCACCAAGGAATATTTGGAATCTGAATTACCAAAGCCTTCCAAGGAATCCAAGATTTTTGTCTGTGGTCCACCACCATTGTACAATGCCATTTCTGGTAACAAGGTCTCTCCTACAGATCAAGGTGAAGTCACTGGTATCTTGGCCGACTTGGGTTTCACCAAGGAACATGTTTTCAAGTTCTAGATGATCTATGAATATATATAGTACATAAAATAGCACATATTGCAATTCAACTTATAGTTTATTCCTAGAAACAGAAAGATGTAGTATGGTTCTTTAGTAACAGTATGTTAATTACTTATGTATAGCGTATTACTGAGAACGGAAATTAGTACCCCACCAAAATATCGCGATGGTTTTAAACCCCAGCTAAAAGGTAAAGGTTTAATTTCTACTGATCAAAGTATTACTGTACGCATTTCAGCCATGGTCCATATAGCCGTCGAAGGATGCTGTCATGGACAGTTAAATAAGATCTATTCTATGTTGATTTCGTCTCAAGTTGACTTGCTTCTTATATGTGGAGATTTTCAAGCTATTCGAAATCGAGGTGATCTCCAAGGAATGGCAGTTCCTGCCAAATATCTTCAATTGGGAGATTTCCACGAGTATTATTCAGGGAAAAGAACAGCACCAGTGTTAACTGTATTCATAGGTGGGAACCACGAGAGTTCCTCCTATTTGAAGGAGTTGAAATATGGTGGATGGGTAGCCCCTAACATCTACTTTTTGGGGGAATATGGAACAATTTGGTTTCGCGGACTTAAAATCTCGGGGTTAAGTGGAATCTATAACTCCAAAAGTTTCCTGATGAACTACTATAAGGATGAAATCCTACCATACACTGAAAAATCAATTAGAACTGTATATCATGTGAATCCAAAGAACACACTCAAAATGTTGTTGGAAGAGACACCGGGTGACATTGTGTTGTCCCATGATTGGCCTCAAGGTATTGAACTCCTAGGAGACTCCAAGAGATTGTTTCAAACCAAACCACACTTTAGAGCCGATTCCATCAAAGGATATCTAGGAAGTCCCGTAAACAAATGCCTCCTACAGTATTTGAAGCCTCGGTATTGGTTCCTGTCTCACATGCATGTACGGTATAGGGTTAAGTTCAAACACCAACTACCTTCGACCCAGACACAAATACCAACGAATAATAAGGACTTAATTGATTTAGATATGGATGATGACGACATCAATCCCGAAAAGATAGAGTTAGATATGGAATCAGAAGATGAAGATTTGAAACCTAGTGCCACAAAACAGACAGTTTCATCTCCTGCACCGAAAAGAGATACTACTGAGTTTCTAGCCCTTGATAAATGTCTTCCTAAACGAAAGTATCTTGAATTTCTAGATATTGAACCTGTACAAGATCACCCATCTATTCTGCATCCAGACAGTCTCTTTTACGATCGCAGGTCAATTTGCATTAACAAAGTGGTTGAAACGTTTATTGTTCAAAACGAGAAGGAATGGAAATCGCTTAATTCTCGCTCTTTGATTGGAAAACTGCCGGAAAAGACACCCATTTACATAAAACTTATGAGGCTTATTGCCAAAGAATTGGAATCTGAGATAAAATTTGCCGATAATGACGTAGCATTACGTATTCCTGAGAACTTTGAGATTATAGCGCCGACTTTGTCCCAGGAAAAAAGCGATTTGGATCACAAACAAGTGCTAACCTATTGGCCCAACAACCAGACAGAACAATACTGTAAAACTTTTGGCATTCCTAATATCAAGTACCGGTGGTAGTTTAGACTATTTTAATTGTATTCACTAAATCATGACGTAACATAACACGGAAAAACATTCCAAGCCATGGCGCACACTGACGTTTGATGATTGCAAACAATTCTGCAACACTGAACCGTAAAATTTGCTAATAAAGCCGGTTTGAACACGCATTATATAACCAAATGAGAGCTTACGGCTGATGCTGATCCGGACTTATCGACTTTATCCATACTCCACAGGAGGCAGCTTTCAATCAAAGTGCATTATGCTGATCTGAAGAACTTCGAATAGCTTTATCTCGCTGTCAAGGGAGTCATCTGTTGTGTAATCACCCGTTTTTTTTCTACCATAAGAGCATGCGATGAGATATTGTATATACAGGTTCCACGAGTATCTGGTTAGGAGTTCTTTTTTTCCTCACACTTGATTTGTGTTTGAAACATGTGATGATAGGAAAACTAACTGCATTCTGATAACGGCTCTATGAAAAAGAAATACGTAAAATAAACGAGAAAAACGTTCACTACCTGTAAACATTCATCCTTAATTTCATTAAAAAAATAATAAAGGACGGCTTATTGTTTAACCTATCAGTGAAGTAGTAACGTCATAAAACATGAAGAGTACCATTACGTACTGGTACAACTTAAAACTATTGGGTGTGTACATCAAACATTCACATCCGGGAGTTTACATAGCATGTCGGAGGAACATGGAAGAGGAAGATACCTTATGCATGCACTTACAAATGCATACGTTGTGGGAGCGCGGACTGATTGTCGCAATTAGCACGTTGGCTACATTGTTGTTATTGTGTGCTTTTAGCCCAGGAGATTTGGTATATTTTCTTTTTCGGAGACAGTGGTTAGTTGATCACACCTGCACACACACATGCTTATAGTCCAATAGATGAGTCTTGTAGTAAGGATTTATATAAAAGGAACTTAATCCCCCGACGTAATCACTAGTGTTAAGGACAACTCACCATTCTTCATAGTTAGCCCTACTAAACACACACACACACACACAAACATGACATTAGCTACTCAACCAATTATCTTTTATATCAATGCTGCATTGTTTGATTGCGACGGTACCTTAGTCAACTCAACTGGTGCCATCTCTGAATTTTGGAGAGATTTTGCACAAACCAGACCTCATGTTAACCCAGAAGAAATCATTAGAACTTCCCATGGTGTTAGAACATTTGATGTGATTGCCAAGTGGTCTCCAGAAGATGCCATTCCAGAAAAGGTTACTGCTATGGAAGCTGCTATTCCCGATTCCTTCGGTGATAAGGCTAAACCCATTGTTGGTGCCGTTGAGTTGGTCAAAACTTTAGATAAATTCTCTAAAGAAGAAACACAAGACGGTAAACAAAGATGGGCCATTGTTACTTCCGGTACTTACCCCTTATGTACAAAGTGGTTGAAGTTGTTGACTATCACCAAACCAGATACTTTTATCACTGCTGAAAAATGTTCTAAAGGTAAACCAAACCCCATGGGTTATCAAATTGCTAGAAATGAGTTGGGTTACGAAAACCCAGCCAAGAAGGTTGTTGTTTTCGAAGATGCCCCAGCTGGTATTGCTTCTGGTAAGGGTGCTGGCGCCATGGTCGTTGGTATCTGTTCAACATATGGTCCAGAGAAAGTGAAGAATGCTGGTGCCGACATTGTTGTCGATGACTTGAGCTCTTTCAAGGTTGAAGAATACAACCCTGAAACAGATGAGTTCAAGATTCTGGTGACTGACTATCATTATGCTAACCCTGAAGTGTTAGCTTAAGTGCTTGCTTGTAAAACAAACACACCTTTATGTATAATAGATTTCGGATAACGTGCTTTATAGACTTGATAAAATAGAAATATAATAATACCTTTAAAGTATCTTGACATGACATGAATTATCTTATCACGTTTACTAATGGTGGGCAAATACCCATTACAATTGGGGTACTTATACCACTCCGTATATTGAACCCCCTTTTCCTCTTTTGTCACTAGTTCAACGTGAGCTTACGTAACAATGCGACACTATCCATTTTTGGAGTTCGCGATGCCATCTCAAGTACGACATTTGATGGTCTAAGATTTATCTGAAAATTTTGTATGGCACCAATAGTGAAGAAAAGGAACCATACCATAGGAGCCAGAGCCATGTCGTTGAGTGAATCTTATATGTTGGCTACGTTGCCTCGTGTCCAAGACTTACCGCTTTTAAGAAAGCTCATACTTCCACAAGTTTCTGAAATTGATGCTTCCTATTTGAAGGTTGGTATTACAAAGTCCTTTGTAGGCTCATATGTGCTCAGACCAACCCCCAAACTTATATGGTCATATCCATTAAACCCAGCAGCAGTATTGGAATGCATGGACGAGCTTGCTCAACCCGGGAAAGATTCTGAAGATACGTATAAAGGATTATATGCTATGGGAATCACAGAGAGAAAATCCAACAGGTTACTAGTTGTTGATTCCAGAGCAGACGAACCTATCAGAATTGAAATCAAGTTGACCAACAGACCTCATGCTGTCAAGTTCCTTTCGTCAGAAGAACTTGCTGTGATTTGTGAGGGCTATATAGTCTTATACAAGTTGACGAACGGTCAACTTGAAGAGTTGGAATCTACCAATATCTCTCTAGACAGAATACTTTTCCATCAATTCATCTCAGAATTTAATAACGAGTTATTGGTGTTGATCGCCGGTACATGTGCCGGGAAAGTGGTATACAAATTAATTTCTTTGGACTTTTCCAGCTTGTTTTTTGAAGTTAAGTCATCAAATGAGTTTGATTATACTCATGAAAACCATTACACATACAACGCAGGAATGTTGTACAAACTCAACCCTGAATCTAAAGTCATAGAATGCATCCAAATCAGCGACTTTGAAATCAAAAACTCTATAGACATTTCCTCCTTATTCACCTCACCAAAGCATACAGAAATATCGTCCATTTTATCTCCAGCTCCCAACAGACTTCTTATATCCCTTGGAAATACCATATATCTTATTAATGTGACATTTGAAAGTTTGTTGGCCAAATATACCATAGAAAAGTCAGATATGATTGCACTTTCACAAGTTGTTGGTGTCAAGGGTTCATCAATGAATACCAGAAAGACAAATGTGTACTTTGTATCCCACAATAATAAGAAGAACACCACCCAATTATTTGTCATGAATGTTGATACATCCTTGAATAAATTAAGTGATTGTTTAGGCAAATCGCTCCACAAGACCTCCACCAATGAAATACATGGGGTAGCCAACATTGTCAATAAAGATTTTGTTGCTGAAACCAATGCATCCAAGATTGAACTAAACCAGATCTATGAGAAATTGCATGAGCTTAGTACCAATTCTGATGTCAACAATTGGGAAAGAGTCGTGGTTCCATATTGTAAGCAAGAATCATGGGAATCTATCCAAAAATCCTTAAGTAAACCCAAGAAATCATTAGCACAAACGGCAGCCAAAGCAGCAGGTAAAAATAAAGTGTATCATTTTCAAGAATTTGATGAGGAAACTGATAGGGCATTGGATCTTAACTTTGTTAAGAAATGTTTGGGTTTGATATTCAAAATCGATGAAAAGGGGACTGTAAAGCTTATCAACAATGAATTCATTCCACAGTTCACTTTAGTGTATTTATTGACCAATTCCTTGTTCCCTTACGAATATACCAAGGGTTTACTTCCATTGTTGGCCAATTTAGAAGACTCTACATTATTGCACCAGGCCGTTAGAACATGTCCTAATTTGTCATTGGAGGAGATTTTGAAGCAACTTATTGAAACAGACGCTAAGACCGAATTGGGCCTTTTCGAAGATATTTTGAGTCGAGTGAACACAGAATATTCCATTCATGAGATCACTCGTGAATTCAAAAGTTTGGCTATGGGGAAAACTGAGTTCAATTTGGAACAAGCATTGAACAATTTGCTTGTTGCCAATAGTATGAACAGTTGGATCCTTGTGCAAGCTATAATGGATGTTGGAGGGTTATTCAATTGGTCACTTGTTACTATCAACAAGCTCAGCGATCTTATTGATAAGAAGGTCAACTCACTTGTCCAGAACAATTACAACCTTATCATGACCGACCAGTTACTTTTGGCCAGCGAATCAGTGTACAAGAAATGGAATAAGAAGAAGAGTCCCAAGGCATCTTCTTCTGCTTCTGCTTCTGTTAGTAATGGGGAGATCGTCGACAAACAACAACAACAATTGGACTCCATAATAAACATTGACAATTTCGGCATAGAGGTAGCAAAGAAGATTCCAACTTATTCCATAGAAAAGCTCGTTATATAAACTTTATAGCATTAATATTTTCGCAGCCGTCAATATATAGGCAGTAAAAGTGACTCAAAAGCAGTAATTTTTTTTCACACCAAGTCATACCAAGTGGATTGGTGATAACAGTACTAAGTATATAGCAAACTTGATTTCAGTAAGGATGTCTGCATTACAGGCTTATAGAAATGCGTTGAGGGCTACCAAGGTGGCGTTCAAGAAGGATGTCCCTGTTTTGACTGCTGCTAGAACCAAGATCAGAGAAGGATTTGAAGAGCATCGTGGATTAAGTGATGAGTCTTTGATACAAGAAGAAGTGACCAAATTGAATGGTATCAGTCAATTTTTGGTTAGAAATGTTGTTCAAGCTAAAAAACAAGACAACGGTAAGTACTTATTGGATATCCATTCTGAAACAGAGTTGGGAGACAACGAGAGTATCAAGAACCCCAAGAAGGATATGGGATCTTTGGCAGGAGTCAAGTCATGCTCTGGATTGAAACGTTAAGGAAGTGGTGAAGTATCTTTTTTATAGGTTACAATTATGTATATAAGGAAAAATTGATGAGCAGTCGTAATACCTGTAATAACGCTGTAACACTGCTAGTACATACCTATAAACATACAAGTTAATTAGTATGTCATAGTGAAGGCCATACTGTATAGAATACAGGCAATGTGATGAGTTTTAAGCAGTAGCAGGTGAGTCATAAAAGTAGCACCTGTAAGGTATACATAAAACATTGAGTCAAATCCAATTTGAGAACACAACCAGTACATAACCATCTCTAATGTCAGACAAACGTGACGTACTTATTTCAAAGCAACTTTCGGGTATACTTCGTCACAAGGCCACGGCCTTAAACATAGCCATTGATTCCAAGGGATACGTTCTTGTAGATGACCTTCTCAAACATGGAAGACTACGGTCATTCAAAACAACGTTTGAAGACATTGAACGCATAGTTAAAGAAAATGCCAAACAAAGATTCACTATGGAAAAGAGAGATGGTGATGGGTTATACTACATATGTGCCAACCAAGGACACAGCATCACCACTGTCGGCGACCAAGAACTTGAATTCTTAACTCCAGAGACATTCCCCAGTAAAGAAGTTTTCCACAAGACAACCTTCAATACTCTAGATGCCATATTTGCGAGCGGAGGCCTCAGTAAGATGAAGAGAAACCATATCCATTTCAAGGAAGCCGGGAATAACAGTGTTGCTGGAGTAAAGGAATATTCAAATACAGTGATATATGTTGATGTTCAAAAGGCTATGTCTGATGGGATAGAATTCTACAGAAGTAAGAATGATGTGATCCTCAGTAAAGGGGTCGGTGAAACAGGTATTTTGCCTACAGAATATTTCACCCGAATCATTGATCTCAAACGAAACCAAGAGATACCGTTTAGAAATAGAATCAAGTGAAACCACATATGTACTTAATAATTTCGCCACTCAGCTAGATCTTTTCTGATATAGTGTCAACTTAACTCAACTTGCCTTCCCCACCAAAGAGAATGGCTCTGTTCTAGATCAGCCGTTAAGATACTTTGAAGGGCCTCGAATTTAAGTGGGGATGATTCCAGAACGCACTACTTGTAGCCGTTATGTTAAGTTATTGTATGACTAACTTCTCATTGTTGGTTCTCGATTGCATTATGCTGAAATAAGTTCAATCTACAGATGTTCCCCCCCGCCACCAGTCTAGATTATATATATCAGAATACAATGGTGTCTATAACAACCATCAGTAGCCAACATCGACTAGCTCAATAGAGTATTGTAAGTGTTGTAAATCGCGAATAGTAGCATTCCATAAACCCCTGCATTGCTACAGAGAAGGGAAAAAGACCCGGTCCAGAACGCGTGCCTAGACCGTCTAAAGCCCGCGTGTGGTCGCCACGCATTCGGAGTCGTCTGTCTACACTGAAACAACAAAATGTTATACAAGAACATGTCGCCTTGACGTTTTTAAAGCAATCATTACCAAGACATCATGCTATGAATATGTATCATTGTAATTCTGCCTCACTTAAGTTGGAGGTCTTTTAGAGTTTAAAAACGATTTTTAAGAAATGCAATAGTCTTCTGATACATGGTGTCAAAAAGTCCCACAGTTTTTTATCCATTGTGAAAGGATAAAACCATGCATTGCGCTTCACATTGTTCCATCTAAGTATGTGTTAAATTAAATGTGGACCAAGTCGCTTGCACGCCTGAACGGTGGTCTAGTCCTGTTGGTGTAAAGAATGAGATACAGTATGCTCTTGTATAATATGACCTTGCCTTAACTATGTAGTTTTTCAGACAAGTGAAAAGTGATGGTTAACTCTATCGTTCATGCATCATGTGGATATATATAAATTTGCCAATAGTACTTATTGAACATGCGTCGAATGCGCATGAAATGCATTGCCCATCGTGCATTATATAAACGTATCACTGGAGCTTTGCATTTGAATACATAAAACCGTGTATTCCCATCCCATTAATGGTATATTTATATCAAATTGATATCTAGCTGCGTTTAATTAAAGAGTTTAACAGTTAGAAATCCCCCAAAAACTTTAGTATTTTTCTTTATTTTGATAGAACCAATATGGATGAATATGCACAAAAGATCAAACAGTAGTTCTATTTGCCAGTGGTACTGTTGCAACTGTGGCCAATCTTACGGGTCAGTAATTTATAAAAACGGCGGGTCCGACTCTTCCATTTATTCGACAGAATCATCTCAGGTATCAGATACTGAAGACTGTTTAACAGAAAATCGTAATGAAATATCAACGTCATCAATAACTCCATACACATCCTCCTTATCGACTTCAACTACTCCAGTTTCAACTTCATCTCCCAATTCAACTTTAACTAACGAACCGGGCACTTGCCAATTAGTTGAACCCCCTTCTTCACACCTACAGAAAATCATGTACTATAGTCAAATCATATACTCCAACAGTGGCGTTGAACGCCACCATTCCAGTAATTCATTATCCCTTCCTCCATTAATACACTCCGCATCATTTCCACCGGCTGGATTATCACCCCTGGAAGAAGAAACTTCCTCCATTCAAAGTCATCTGGGTCCTTGTTCCCCTGAAAGTGCAATAACAGAACCAGAAGATAGACCTAACAACAACAACATTAATAATAACAATAGTTCATCCAGTCAGATTCTCATTGACCCCCCCAACAGATTCAATTGCCATCGATGCTATCACATGATGTGTCCTTATTGTCCCAAACTACGGATGAAAGATTTGGCGTTCTAGAACAATTTGCAGCCAACAAAAATATTACAGGTAAACTTAATTCTGGAAAACTTAATTCACAAAGGAAAGGTAAGGTAAGGTAATAATATACGGTTAATATGGTTATAGGTGTATGTTAAATAGTACTCTTTACATATGTAATTAACATGCCAAAGAGTAATATGAATGTAAAAAGGAAGTGACTTATTATAATATTTGGTTTGTTCTTATTCATATTGAACTCTTATTTTGCTCCAAAGGGTTACCCGGACACACGACCAGAACATAATATCAAACACACCAAAGCTAAACATAGTTAACATTACTAAATTGATAGGCTTTTAGACTCCTCATTCCAAACCCTACCATGTTGCGTAGACCACCTACTACTATTAAGCTAACCCCTGAAGACATACACGACTATGATAATAGCATTCTCCAAGAAACACATGAACAAGCGAGTGAAGCTCTAGATGGGGTGACCAATCAACGGTCAATGTTCTCGCAAAACCGATCATTTAAGGGGGACGAATTTGGAGGTGAAATGAGTTCTTTTAAATCCACATCGTTACACGAGCCCGGACCTTCTGAATTGGGGAGGTTGGGTGCCAGTTCTCCCGCACAATGAGGTGGCCAATACTACTAATGACTTAAGGTTTCGGAATTCTCCTTATCCAATATTATGGCTAGATAGTAAACTAATATACAAGTTAGGGAATCCCTATAACAGGAATTCAAAGTTTATTTATTTCCGATTCACAGACTTCCTTTTCAACCACTTCTCTCTTGTGTCTAAGATTTTAACTTCCAGTTTAGGAACGGTCTTACTTTTACCTCCAAAAGATGCTACTTGTACATGCACTGGACCCTTTCTAACAGTTTCGTGTTTGGCCATTCTTAGTTTCTTCAATTTCTCCATCTTGAGTTGTCTTTTCATTTCCTTTAAGTCATCGGAGAATTTTTTGTGAGTTCCTTTAGTCTTTGGCTTTGTTACGTGGTCTTGGCCCACTTCCTCATCATGCAAACTGTCAAACATATCTTCTGGTAAGTAATCAGGAAGCGCTTGGCCATGGTATTGCTCTAAAGTTTGTGTCTCTTGTACTTGTGATTGTTCTTTAGCACGTTTTAATTCCTGTTGTTCTTTGTTTCTCAAATCTATTTGTCTTCTCTTCTCTTTCTCCTTGTTCTTTAAATCTTGTGCCCGTTGAGCCTCGGCTCGCTGTTTAAGTACAACAGCTTTTCTCGCTCCCGTGGTCGACTCTTCCTCAGGTGCATCATCAGAATCAGAGTCGGAATCTGAACCTGAGTTGGACTCAGACTCTGAAACTTGTTCTTCACCTAAAGCCTCACTTTGAGAAGGAACTTCATCAGCAGTATGGTAGTCTTCCGACGGACTTAATTCTCCATCTTCGTTGAACTTAAGCTTCTTCCCGCTTCTTGTGGTAACCATATTTTTTTTAATTCTATGTGATGTTGTTTGGAGCTACTGCTTGATGCTCATCTCAACTTACACTTCATATTTTACGCTTTTGATAATGAGAAACGGTAGCGCGGAATACATGCCTTCAATGCATCAAGCAAAGAAGCTTAGACGCATGGAACTGTAAACGTATGAATATGTATATGTATGTACAATGAACCCATTTATGTCTTGTGCCTGATCAACGATCTTATACCAAATACATCCCATCTTCTTGCTATAGGATCATTCTGAATTTTCGCAATATATCCTGATCTTACCAAATACCCTAGTGTAGCAGGATCCACCAGAACTCCATCGAGAATTAGTTTATCAATTGTCAACCGAAAGTTATTTGTTTCATCAAATAGTCGAATTAACCCCGTTCCCGTAATAGAAGTACAAAAACTTAAGTCTAAAGTCTGTAGATGAGATCTTCCTAACGAATGAAAGGCTTTATTGAATAGAAGAAGCGAATGATTATCAAGCAGCAATTCATTAAGAAATAAGTGCTTCAAATTTGGACAAAGCCTCAAAATATCTCTTAAGCCTAAGCCTGATCGAGTGTCTGGCAGATATCCCTCGAAGCAAAGACCCAGTTTACCTAAATTTAAGGTTTCAACATACCCTTGAGTGCTGGAAAGAATTTGAAGTAGTCGTTCTTGGAATCTAAAGGTTGCCAGAATACCATAGAAATCAAGATAACGAACATTGAATAGGAAGGGAAATTGAACTTGAGGACTTAAGTTACCCAATGAATTATCGGAGCTTGGGACACCTTCTCTAGCAACAAATGAATCAAGAACAATGGAACTTCGACTTAATGTTTCAAACAATGTAGAGATGGCAATACCATTTCCTTCAAGATAAAGCTGTTTCAAATTTGAGTTTGAGCCCAACCAATCCATGAACCAAGGTCCTGAAGGATTGTCCCAATGTTGGCAAACAAGTGTAAATGAATGAAGATTATGGCCCAAACATTGAAGAGTTTGTTGGTCCTTCAATGGTGGTAAGTTCTCCCTTGGTAGGAAGATCAATTTGGCAGCTTCTAAGGCTTTAAATTTGTTGTTGGGATCTGCATTTCCTATAATAGGATTGAGATTCAAGCTCTTCACATTATAGTTATTGTCTGTGCTGACTATTGTTAGCTGTTTTAACTGAGGAGCAATTGCAGCAAGAAATGCCAAACACTTCAACGGTAATCCTATGGTTAACAGCAACGATTCTAGATTCACAAAGAACAGCTTTTTACTCTCTTTAGTTATTCTGTTCAAAATCAGTAGTAGATTCCACCGACTATTTTGAACCAGAAGTGATTCTAATTTGAAAGCAAATGATTCTAAGGCATAATCCAAAATCTTTGTATCCTTCGTGTCAAGTTTTAAAGACATACTTTTGATCTTGCCATATTTAGTCAGTCGAGTGATTCTTCTTTGGAACTGAACACCTGCTTGGAACTGTTGAAGACTTATAGAACTCCTACACTTGAACTCAAACAAATGTGGGAGGTTATCAATCAACGTGCACCATCTTCGTGATACCGTACGACACCGTAGAACGTGAGCCATTGGTAATAATGAAAAGATAAAGTCAAGTAGTTCAAATGGTAGGTATTCGAAAGGGTCAAGTACAACGTTGCTGCTGTGATGAGACCGTTTCAGATCAAAACCTGATCCAGAAGAGGCAGACCGTTTTAAGGGGACTAATTGATCAAATTTCCGTTGTAGACCGGCCGTAGATAATTGTTGAGCTTTTATAATGGCACTATCGGAGTTGTTATTGTTGCCTCTGAACCTTTTCAATAGTTGTGAATTCAAATGCTTGTAGTTCTCCTTAAGTAAGCCATACAACGACTCAGGAACAGCAATGCCGTACCTCTTCTGAGCTCTCTTGATCAAGTAGAGTCCCTTTTGATAGACCTTATAGGCTTCTTCCTTACGTTCAAGGAGCTGGAGAATCTTTCCTACTCTTATATAACCCTTGCAACTCAAAGGCTCCAATGTAGTTATTTTGGTTGCACTTTGGAGGGCCAAATCATATTGTCCTAACTTCTCTAGTGTTGCAGCTCGGCCATCAAGTAGTGTGCCTATCCTCGGATGTACCACAGGTCCAAATACCGGAGTCTCCAGCAAGTTATAAAGCGATACGCGTAGTTTTTTGATCTGAGGTATGGGTATTTCATTTACAGTCTGGATCAACTCGGTGTACTCAGTCAAGGCATCAGCGTAGTTCTTTTGTTTGAATAGTGCTATTGACCGCTGCAATCGTAGTTCCAACTCCGATGACATGGCTCATTAGAATCAAGTGCTATATGGACACCATACAAGGATTGTTTATAATACGTAATATTGTTGTCAATGCGTGCTACTTATACATAGTAAATTGTTTGACTAAGTCGCGTCTGTTTTGTGTAATAAATGATGATGGGCTGAACATATCCATAAACATTACATGGTTCTCTATAATAAATAATACAATCTACATACTTCTCTTGCATATGCTTTGAGAATTCTATTAATATGACTTGCGGCTAATTCGTTTTATCCAAAAGTACGAGGCATGCACTCATCACACACATAGTGGAATATTGTACGGTAAGTATATTCATACTCAAGTTAAACTTTAATGTTACCATCAATAACTTTTTACTGTATTGAGGTGTTGATATCTTGCTCAAAGTCATTTAATTGGATTCAGCTTAATTTTTTTCTTCGAATGAAACAATGGCTTATACATTTACTATATAAAAAATCCATAGCTTGCTTGATCTTATTATACAAAACTTAGCATACGTATTCGGTGCGTCTTAGAAAATAAAAGGCACCCTCGTGCAGAACCAATCCCATTATATGCCGTCCGTCTTCTATACATACATATTTAACATGTACGTATCAAAATCTGGGGTCCTTCATCATCATCATCATCTTCTTCTTCCTCATAAATCATGGGTGCTCTAGAATTGATTATACTAACAGCTGTAATGGCCGGTGTCACCTATGGTGCCGGTGTGATACCGTTGAATTGGAAGGTGATGGAGCTGAAGTTGAACTACCTATCCACATTCTCTATGGGTATGCTTATGGGGACCTCAGTGCTATTGGTTATACCGGAAGGTGTGAAATCATTATATGACGCCATAGCAGATGATAGCAGAGATGTCGCAGGATCCATCATTGGGTTCTCCTTGTTTCTGGGGTTCGTGTTGTTATACATCTTGGATAACTTTGTTACCTTTGCCAATGCCTTAGGAGCAAGTCAATTAAGTGAAAGTTGGAAACCAGTTATTGACGTGGACATTGGCTCGGAAGTCAACTCTCAACAACAGCAACAATATCAACAACAACCAAAGAATAAACTACTTACCATTGCAAAGCTGGTGTTTCAAGAGTCTTTAACCGTGGGTCTTTTGGTCCATGCTGGTGTGGATGGAATATCTTTAGGGTCAACCTTTGCATCTACAACTTCATCGTTTAAAATGGTCTTCTTTGTTGCATTGATCATCCATAAGATCCCGGCTTCCTTTAGCTTGACCACTATTCTTGCCAGACTGGGAATGCCCCATAACATCATCAAAATCCATCTATTACTCTTTGCTTTGTCAACCCCATTCAGTGGCATACTCAGTTATCTCATCATTCAAATCTTCAGATTAACAAGTGGCCCATATATTGGAGTGCTTCTTCTTTTCAGTGGAGGTACCTTCTTATACGTGGTGATTCATGTGATAATAGAGGTTTCTGCTCCAAAAGAAGTTGCTCCTCCTTCTTCTAGTCATAGTGAAGAAACCTTACAGCAATACCATACTCATAAAACAAGCCTTTCTGGTCCAGAATTCATATGCTCTTTGATAGGAATGTTGGTACCCATTCTTTTAAGTTTCATAAAAGATGAATAAGCCTTTTCTTTTTAGTCTCCATAAAGATCATCAAGATCTTTCATGTTTAGTTTAATGGCCCTTTCTAGTTCATATTCGTCCATAGACGGTCTCCGACTATTCCGAACTCCTTCAGGAGATGACTCGGCATCAGAATCACCCTTGAATACGAACGAATTTTCACTTGATTGTGAAGAATTGGCTTCTGGTTGGTCTTTGGAGTTCATAATCAACTTTCGTCTCAAGTCTTTGCTGAAAGAATCAATATTAATGTCGTTCAAATTAAACTGTGAACTGTTTCTTGAAGCATTGTATTTCAAACGATTCAACCCAACAATTGAACTGTTCAAAGAAGCAGAGGATCTCCGTGGTAAACAAGCTGGTTCTTTTTGGCACACCTCTTTGATCTCAAATGGCATCTTGTTTGTAACTAGCTTTGGACTATCTAATTCAAATATTCTCTTATTATTGCTATAATCAGTAGGTTCACTAAACTGTACTGGATGCACGTGGCTAACATGTTCTGAGAAGGTCACATTGAAGTTACCAGAGCTTTTAGCCTTTCGGATTCTCCTGGAACTGGAGGAAAAGGAACGTCTTAGCGTACCTTCGTTAGCAAAGTTTTCATTCTTCTTCTCTCCATTGAGTTCAAGATTTTCATTCCCATGTATAAGGGAATTAATTGAAGTCATTGATTTCCTAGAGGATCTGAACATTGAGGAACGTTTTGAATGTCGAGAAAGACCGCTGTTTTGTCTTGAAAGGGTTGGAGCCGTTGGTTTCATGGGTGTTGAAGGTGTGGATTTGTGTTGATTAGGAATGGAAATTGGTACCGGCTTTTTAGAATTTTCATAAGTTGGTCCATAAGATTTGTATAATATTCTATTAGTTGAGGAAGTAATTATCCTTGTTCTCAATGCAGTAATAGCTTTATCAAGAGCAAATTCAACCCTGCAATGGTTATTAATAATTGTAACCTTAGGCCAAGATGCTCTAGCACCTCTAATGATGAAATCTAGTAGGAATTGAGGTGTTGGATTCTCAAATAATTTCAAAAAGTCCGAAACGTGGAAATCTGGAAGGATTGTTATATCACCAGAATATTTCTGGGTTAAAACAGAAATAACTCTGGAGGAGAGATTCTTATAAATATCTAATTCTGATAAGATTTGTAAATAGTGAATCATTTCACATGTTACAAAGTCATAGATATTATTTAACAAACGTCTTCCCTTATCTCTCAATTCATTTTCAATCTCACCTCCAACATTACTTACGGAGACTTTCAAAATTGGAACCACGTGTGGATTGACCTGCACTGCAATAATGTGGTCAACGTTGAACATCTCCAGCAATCTTACAATAGGTAAATCTCCATCCACAGATCCATCAACATACTTCATGGACACATCATTGTTCCATTCGTGAGTTTCGTTTGTTCTGGGGTCCTTCTCATAAATACTAATAGATGGGAAGACTCCTGGGAGTGAGCAACTAGCACAAACTGCAGACCAGATAAGACAATTAGGAGCTGTTAAATAGTTTAATAGCTTTGTATGTTCATGAATAGAAGTCGGGGACACAGTTATATTCAAAATCTTTCCTGTTCTATTGTAGGCTTCTCTGAATGTAAGCTCTCCAACAAATGCTATCATAGTTTCTTTAAGACCGTCGATATCAAACAAAGTACCATATTTCAAGAAATGGCTTAGATGCTCCAATACGTTCTTAAACTTACCTGAGTCCTTAGAGCTGTTTTGGATCTCAAAGATGTTAAACTTGGTCTCTGTGATCGAATACACAATGGAAGCCACTTCTTCATTGGTATTACAACAAAGAATACTAGCGATAATGGAACCAGCCGAAGAACCACTAATAATCCGAGGTAAAAGATTGGCTTCCAATAATGTTGTCAATACACCAATATGAAATATCCCAAACGTACTGCCACCCGAAAGAACCAAAGCTGTTCTTCCAATGTTTTTTCGAGTTTGAATAAGCATCCCCAAAAGATAATGATCATCAAGATCGATTTTACTGGATACCAAGTAGTCCAATGCCAACTGACATTCGTTGATGTATTCCTCAATCAAACGTTTGGTACCCACATAACAATGTCTATATAATTGGTCATTACCCATGTTACCGATGTTTCTTGTCCAAGTAGTTCTGACCAAATATAAGAGCATTTTATAATCTCCGTTTGTCCGAGAGTTTCTAAGATCCATGAGACTCGAATAGATCAAATTATAATCATACAAGTCAGATTGGGGGTTCAGTTTCCACGAATTGTTATTTTGCAACTCGTCTAATCTCATGGCAATGCTGTACCATTGATCATAAGTGACTGCCTGTCTTAAATCCCCCTGTAAGCGATTAATCCTTTCCTTCTTCTCGTCCTTTCTTCCGATAAACCTTCTGATAACAGGAAGCGATGCAAGTGTACTCTTATAGGATGATTCATGACCCGTAGTCAAGGGAGGCGGATTTAAATCAGTGTACTGTGCGTATAGACTCCGGAGAATGTCGCCTGCAACATACCCCTCTGAACCCGGGAACAGGAAAGGTTTCTCGATAAGCTCAAGCGACATTCTTATCGCTGAAGACTATAAAAATGGAAGCTTGCGTCTCCTTCTATTATTTGGTGGGGAGCAGTTCTTATTTATAGTTAAGGTACTCAGATAGGAAATGACAATGTCCTGTACACAGTAAAAACCGAGGTTAGCAACAATGTCTTTTGATTGCGTAATCAAAAGTCTATTCCGGATACAGTTAGAATGAAATCAAAGATGAGCATCAAGCCTATAAAGCAAAATAGTGATCTAAATTACACCCATTTGCCACTTAAATATTGTCTATCGAAGTCTCACTGCTTCAGATGGAAAAATATTAACAAGATCTCGTCTTTGTACCCTATTTCATCGTGCGGTTATTGAAAGCAACCGGCCGTTTCTTAAGCAGCAGCAGCAGCAGCAGCAAATCAAAGACAAAGCTGTTTGTTCCGGCAACGTCAACAACTCAACCCCGAATGGCAGATCCAGAAGATGAAGGTGGGACCCCCAGTCCTTTTACAGGATCCAATTTATATACTTTTGCCACACTTTCACACGGAACTTCTGATTTACGAAGACCCTGTATAATTCTATCTACAAATGAAGGGTATCGTTACTTTTTCGGTAGTATACCTGAGGGTACACAACGTATACTGAATGAAAAGCGAGTTAGATTCCCCAAACTTCGAAGTCTTTTCATGACTGGTATTTTGGACGATTGGTCCAAGATTGGGGGTTTACCAGGAATGTTCTTAACCGTTGGAGACATTACCAAAAAGGGACTTGAAGTGGTAGTTAATTCGTCAAAGATAGCGCACTACATAGTGGCTACATGGAGATATTTTGTTTTCCGGAAGGGGGTTGAGTTTAGGATTGTTGAAGGTAAATCTCCAATAGTAGACGGCAAGATTACTGTTGTGCCTGTTAAAATTGGGAATAGTGCAGATCGTACAGTTGATACACTGATATCCAATAAAATACATACTCAATTGCAAAAACTCACCTCGTTGATGTTCCCTCTTGACACTTCAAAGGTTAACAGTGATGACCCAGAATCATACACGTCGGATCCAAGTACTGATGCACTTCATGTTCATACAAAGCTACCACTGGTGAGTCTGATGGTCAGTGCTTCGCTCCAACCTTCAATGAACTATATCGTCAAGTTTGCTCCTATTAGAGGCAAGTTCAATCCCAAGAGAGCAATTGAGTTGGGTGTACCGCAAGGACGTTCTTTTGCGCAATTGACTAAAGGAGAGGCCGTGGAAAGCAAAACCGGAGAAATGGTTTATCCGGATCAAGTCATGGGGGCACCACTGTATCTTCCTAGAGTAGCTGTGATTGATATTCCTAACAACTCCTATTTAAAGAGCACCTTGGAGTCACCGGTATGGTTCTCGGATGAACATGTAAATGAACGAGAACAATATGGACTCGTGTATCATTTTTTGGGACCGGAGGTTGACTATAAACTGTTTGAATATAATGAGTTCATCGAAAAGTTCCCCCACAACTGCCATCATGTCATAAGCCATGCTCTGCTTGTAAATGACACCTTAATGCATGAGACTTCTGCACTCACAGTGTTGAAGTTGAAGTGTTTACTGAAGAATAACTTCAACTTGCCCTACTATGAAGACTATAAGTCTTTAGAAGGGGAGTCTCCCTTAGTCCACAAGTTACAGTCGTGTCAAGCTTTTGATGTCAAGCCAGGAGAAGTCCAGTTGGACGATTCGTTTGTGGTTCCCCATTCATGGGAAGAAATGTTCAAGAGTAGCATTGAACCACTTGGCCAACACTACCAAATGGAAGACGTTGTTAATGACCAGCCAGTCTCTTTAAATAATAACAAGGGTTCATTAAAGGATCAAGTGCAAGTGATCACTTTGGGTACTGGTTCTGCATTGCCTTCAATTCACAGGAACGTAATCTCATCTATTGTCAGAATACCCAGAGTTGACAATGGGCATCAGTCGTACAATTCTATAATGTTTGATGGTGGTGAGAACACTTTAGGAACTATGCTTCGTACTTTCGGACATAACAATAAGGAGCACTTTATTCAGGTGATGAAGGAACTTCAAATGGTTTATCTTAGTCATTTACATGCTGACCATCACTTGGGAATAATCAGTGTTGTTGATGAATGGTTCAAGTACAATGCCGACAACAAAAGAAAGCTCTACTTGATATTCCCATGGCAATATGGCAAGTTCCTTACTGAATGGTACGAACTTGAAAAGCAGATGTCTTCTCATGTGGATATGACTCGATTAAGGTACATAAGCTGTGAAGAGTTTTTAAATGGCGGAAGAGAGATTGAGCAAATCCCTATAGGTGAGTTTGAAAGGTTATATGACTCCAGAACCCCACTGAACCTTCGAATATTGAAAGGTACAAATAATGCAGATACCATACTGGAGTTGTATAGAGACTTGAATATCCAAAGGGTGGATATGGCGAGGGCACTCCACTGTTCGTGGGCATATTCATGCAGTTTTACCTTTAATTTAGACGATACTTCATCCAATGAAAACACATTCAAAGTATCGTATTCAGGTGACACTAGACCCAATAGTGAGTTTGTGCACACTGGCCGTAACTCCGATCTATTAATCCATGAGGCTTCGTTAGATAACGGCTTAATGGAAGAGGCTATTGCCAAAAAACATAGTACTGTGATTGAGGCCATTGAAGTTGCTAGACAAATGAACTGCAGAAACCTTTTATTAACTCATTTCAGTACTCGGTACAAGGAAACCAGTAGTATGGTTTTTGATGATAGACGTATGCAACAAGAAGCGCAAAAGCTCGGAGAATATTTGGAAAAAACTCGGGTTAAGGGGAACATTTTCCGTAGTAATTTTTCCGGATGTGAACTAGAATACAAAGATCTTAACTTGACGTTTGCTTACGACTTCATGATAATCCGTCTAGATGAAATGGGCCTTCAGAAAACCAAGTATAAGGAGTTTCTCAATGTTTTCCCGGTGACCGATGACGATTTTGAGAAACGGAAAGAGCGTGAACTCAAGAGACGTACGAGAACGACGGAAGAAAAGCGCAATAAGCGGCTTTCTCTTAAAAATACCTCTCAGCTGTAGAAGCTAATATGCTTGTATATGTATATATATATATATATATGTTAGTACAAAGACTGACGAAAATTTTCAAATGTATGAGTGATGTATGTATATGTTTCATACGAACCATCTATGTCAGGTAGTCCGATAATCTTAAGCAGCTGGCTACTAAATAGTGTCTTATGCAGTGTGGATGCAGAGAAGCAATATACGAGTGATCTTATTGCGTCTGATGTTATTGATCCGCATGCGCGTCCTCGACTTGTAAAGATAGTCCGATGGGTTCTGAAATCGTCGTCAACCAATGATATGAACGCCATAATATGTGATGGTACTCATCATATGTTTGTCATTATTCCATTCAGACCTACAATAGTTGATTTTGAGCTGCGGTATCAGCAGCGTATTACATATGAAACTGTAAATACTCATATGGTGGTGCATAAGGCGCGTTTGAGGTTTGCCCTGGTACAAGAGTTGACACAAGGCTTCAGATCTCGTCCTATCATTGGGTTGCCCATAGTTATATTGGAAATTAATGAATTGGCATTCTTCCTGAGAGACAAATACGAGTCTAATGGATCGGATAAACCGTTTATTTACGAGACCCCAAACTATGCTGAGGTGTGTCGTGGTCCTGGCAAGTCTGTCACAGGTGAAGATAGTGAAGATGAAGATTTGATGCTCATGATGAATTCCTGAAACAGATCTGAGTACACAGAGAATCTATATATGATTAGATTGTACTTTTTGGTTGTCTTTAGGTTGTGTTGTACGCAAATTAAAATGAAGCTGCTCCTTAATTACTTTCACTTCTCTTCTGACAAGGCTAAACTACAAGAAGACGACGTTCAAGAAATTGGACAGTATCCGACTCTGAGATCTACAAATCCTGATACCGGTACAGGAGTAGCGTTCGAGTATCCTTCAACCAAGTCGGCTCCAGAGAGACTCGTTGCCGATATTAGTGATGTAGTGGAACACTTTGTTCTGTCTCATGGAGAAATTTCCTACGAAGAATCGCTTGGCCAGTTGGTTAACAAATATGACATTCCTCAAACACCAGCTACCACTGCATCATTTGAGTACTTTGACCAAGCATTGGATAGTGCCTCGGCCTTAAGAATCCTATTGGACAAGCTTCAACAGCGTCTTGATAGATATGGAGAAGAATTGGAACAATATGAGCATTCTATTTGGAAGCAAGAATCTTCACTAAACAAGAAAGCCGAAATGCTTAGCCGAATATCAGCCGTACTCGACGAACGTAACGATGGACTTGACTTGTACTTATGTACGATTTTGGAACGCAAGGCAAAACTAGATGTAATAGATGCACTTATAACCACCAGACTTTATGGAGAATGCCGCAAATTCCTTGCTTCCTATAATGATGTCATTATTCCCTATAAAGAAGAAGTAGATGATATTTTGCAAGCGAGGGCCATTGATCCAACTTATATCCCCTCCAGAAGAAGAGTGTATCTGATTATGACGCATTCATTTCTAGAGTTTGACAGATTCCGTCGACTGAAGCATTACGTAGCTTCACTTTACAAGGTAGAGTATGAGTCGTATATTGTTTTTTTACGAACAATCGACCAACTTTACGAGGAGATTATCCGATTGGAACCCGATGCGCGCAAATTTGAGTTCAGGTGAATCCGTATACATTTTACCTTTTTTTTGCAGCAATTGAATTGAGAATAGGCGCTTAAACTTATTTATACTAAATAGAGTACTATACTATCGAATACAATACTATTCTTGACTATGCCGTTACCAGAACAATCAGACACGTATCCCTCTGAGATAACTAAGAGCTTGGACGATTTGGCCCTTGTTGCTTCCCAAATGAGTTTTGGTTCAAGTCAATTACAAACGTTGTCGCATGCATCATCAAGTGCAGATCGTACGCCAGAACGAACAGGACCACCAGCACCCAGAGCGGGTTTAGGGACCACGATTGGTAGATTGGGTGCTCTCTTTAGTAAACCCAACACTTCCGAACTTGAGTCTTTATTGCCTTTTCATTCGTGTCCTCCAGGAGAGCCACGGCGAGTCCCCCAAAATATTTACGACTTGATTACGAGTCTCTGGGTGTACATTGCAGAGAAGATCATAGGACCCTGTTACAACAACAGAGGGTTCTTGGGCATCTTGTTATTTGGTATAGCATTAATTGTAGGCTCTGTTTTCTATTTCACGGGTAACACCGAATTATTGGTGGATTTAGCACGAGTATTTGTCTGTTTCTGGTGGCCTATATTTCAAGGCGGAACAGACGAAATGGAAAGGTTTTGTAGGGTTTGATATTGTTTTTTAGTCCGTCCCTCGTGTAAATTAATATATACAAGCTATTTACAAGGTTTACCGTCTGGGTCTGTCTTGCACCTTCCATCTATTGGCATTAGAGAACTTTCTGGTCTTGACAAACTTCTTAAGACCCCACATAGATTGTGATAACTTGTTTGACTTAGACTTACCTCTACCACCACCATGAGGGTGATCACATGCATTCATAGCCACCCCTCTAACAATTGGTCTGAACCCTCTTTGACGAGATTTACCAGCCTTACCCCAAGAGATAGCTTGATGTTCCTTGTTGGAAACAACTCCCAATGTAGCTGTACATTTCAAATCAACATAACGATGTTCTCCTGAGCTTAATCTGACTACAGCCTTATTCATTTCTGGATGTTTGGATAACAACCGGCCAAAAGTTCCGGCTGAACGGACCATTTTCCCCCCACCATTCGCTTGTAACCCAATATTGTGGATAATGGACCCCACAGGTAACATTTCTAACGGTAAACAATTACCTCTTTGCATGATTCTAGCGTTTAAAAGTGCTTCATCGATTTCCCCATTGTTAGTGGTTTTCATTTCACGTAAGAAATCTTTAGGCAAACCGGGTCTAAATGATTCAACAGTATCACCAGCCCGTAAACCAGATGCTGCCAAAATATACGATAATTTACCCGTATCTTCATTTTCCACCAAGGCAATATGTCCAGAACGATTAGGATCGTACTCAATACGTAATACTTTATGTTTACCTCCTTCTTTACGGAAAAAATCAACTAAACGAGCTCTTTGCTTATGACCACCACCTCTACCTCTTACGGTAATCTTACCGGTGTTGTTTCTACCAGCCGTCTTCTTTTTGGGTACTGTCAATTCTCTAACAGGTTTACCCTTGTGCAAATGGTCATGGATAGGTTTCCAGAAATTGGTAGAACCAGGTTGATTCAACCCGTTGGCGTAGTACTTCAATTTAACTTCGGCCAGTGCCAATTTCTGCTGTCTTCTATAAGTTTCGTCTCTCTTTTCTAAATCGGTTGTTTCGTCAAGATGTGACTTGTGAGTTGCAGTGCTTTCAAACCGCACAGCCGCCCCGGTCCCAGGAAACACAGAACCCCACACTCGGGTTGCAAGACGACTCCTTAACATCATCATCTTCAATGAATGTAACTGTCTATCGTGTCACAGTAACTATACGCTACAGTCTGATCTCTTGACTTTGGTAGTGAAAATTTTCCAGAATAAATCGGTTCATACACGACTACTTATATGCTACAGTGCGAATCCCAGGACTCGCACAACGTCCACCAATCAAATCGCGGTGTCGCACGATCAGCATATACAAAAAAATTTCGACCATAGTAAAGATTAAAGAAGAACTTGTAGAGAGCTGATACTCCAACCAATTGTTGTGTATACTTAAGTCTAGTCAGTTATGTCATCTCGTGTATTCTTCCGTTCATTGGCTACTGCCAGCAAGGCTGTCAAGCCACCAGTGCAATTATTTGGATTGGATGGTACTTATGCCGCTGCTTTGTTCACAGCTTCCGCAAAGGATTCCACCATTGAAAAGTCTTACCAAGCATTAGGTAAGGTTAAGGAATTGCTTCAAAAGGATCCTAAGATCCAAGAGTACTTTAGCTCTCCAGCTTTGTCCATAGATGACCGTTTGATTGTTGTTGACACTGTTTCCGAAAGCTTGAAGTTGGACAAGACTGTATCCAACTTTTTACAAGTTTTGGCTGAAAACAACCGTTTGGTTGAGTTTGATGGTGTTTACAAGAGTTTCGGTGTTTTGAACGATGCCAACAATGGTGTTGTTGATGCTACTGTTACTTCTGCTAAGCCATTGGATTCCAAGATCTTGAAGAAGTTACAAGCTTCCATTACCAAGTCTTCATTGGTTGGTGAGGGTAAGAGTTTGAAGTTGAACAATGTTGTCAACCCCGAAATCTTGGGTGGTTTGATTGTTGAAGTTGGTGAAAAAACTGTTGATGCTTCTATTGTTTCTAAGCTCGGTAAGTTGAACAATGCCTTGAAAGAAGCTGTCTAAACACAATTATTCATACGATATATATATACTTTTTTATACATTCACAAAAGAGTTACGACACTAATATAGTCACTATTTATTGGTATACGTTGTAGCATATTGGTGGTACCTACAGAATAAAACTATATTGAGACTGTAAATAGTCGTGTGTTTACCAATCTCATGGGTACACTGAATATAAATAAATATAATGTGATCCCCAGTAAAAGATAACGTGTAACATATAACGTATAGTATATATAGCGTATACCCTTGTCTCCGCTTAATGTCTGTGTTCAAGGGCTTGCGAGCGGTACTCTTTGTTACGACCATTGTGCTCAATGCGTTCATCTATTTCTACCCCAACATCCTAAACGAAGCCAGCCAATGTACGTGGCACAAGTTTTCCCATTCCACCTTTGAAATGAAATCAACCAGTGGTATTGCTGATCTTTTGCCCCCACGATGGAAGGAACTCTTTCTTCTTAACTTTCCCCGGTTCCAGGATTTGGAAGAAGATGACAATGAAAGCGCGTACGATAAAGCCGGCAAGGTCAAAGACATCCATATGCTTACGTTTGGAGACCCTCAGATCAACGGTAATTGGCCCCTGACCAAATACATCAAACGTCTCGATAACTATGGGAACGATTACTATTTGGGTCACATCTATAACATCATGCTGAAACGGTTACATCCTACTCATGTGGCCGTCATGGGAGATCTTTTTTCTCTGCAGTGGATATATGATCTGGAGTTCTACAATCGAACCCATAGGTTTGTCGAACGATTATTCCCTAGACCCGACGAATATAAGCAAACAGTGTTAGATGCATGGAAACACCATCAAGATTACGATTGGAATACGTGGTTGAATGATCAAATGTACATGGACAAAAAGGATCGGTTCATGTCTCGGTCTTACGAAGATGTCTACGATTGGGTTCATCCCGAACGCAAGTATCCTAACACCCAAGTTCCTATGTTTATTAACTTAACAGGGAACCATGATATCGGGTATAGTGGAGATGCTACATGGCAGCACATGGCTCGGTTTGAATACTTATTTGGTCAAGATAATTATGTCATTACGTATAACCAAGGGAAACCTGAGGAATGGCGTATAGTTGTATTGAACTCCATGACGTTGGAGGGTCCAGCATTACAAGAAGAATTCATTGACTTCACATGGTCATTCTTGGACCATTTAAAAACTATTGCCAACCCACTTTTTAAAGGTTCAACGGTTTTATTGACTCATATTCCATTCTATAAGAGAGACGGATTATGTGCTGATGGGCCTCAACACCGGTACTATGAGAACTACGACCGTGAACCTTATAAGAATGGGAAATTACGTTCTCAGAACCATTTAACGTATGAAACATCGCAAAAGGTATTGGATATCGTCTTCCCCAATGCTGATAAAGAGGGTATCATTCTTACTGGACACGATCATGTTGGATGCAACAACTACTATAATTATGTTGATAATGAATGGGTAGCAGAAAAGACAAAGAGTAAGGCCAGTACCAGAGCCCCTATTAGAGAAGTAGTTGTTAAGGCAATGATGGGAGATTATGAAGGTCAAACAGGGTTAGTTACCGGGTCATTTAATGAGGAAACTGGTCATTGGGCTTTTGAGTTCTCTTATTGTTCATTTGCCATACAACATTGGTGGTGGGCCACTAAGGTTGTGACTATCTTATTAGGGTTCGTTAGTTCGTTGATTTTTGTTAAGAGAAGTGTTAAGAAATAATCAGGTGGTTAACTTTTGGTTTATATAGTTCGTGGCATAAGATAATTGATCGTAATAATATAAGTTGAAAGTTTATTCTGTCTTGGGATTTGACTCGGGAGCAGATTCAGAAACAGATTCTTTTTTAGGCTCTTCTTCCTTGGATTCTTCCTTAGGCTCTTCCTTAGGCTCTTCCTTGACTCCGTCATCTTCGGATATAAACGTCTCCACATCCAGCTTAGCAGTCTCAATACTGGCCTCAGGACTGATCTGAATCTTCTTGACCTTCAAGACTCCATCGACAAATATCCAATGAGATCTCTTGATCCCAGATGGTGACTTCTTTGCTCCCAATACACCAATCAACTTCTTTCCTGGGTCACTCAACAAGGGGTACTCCAAGTGCTGCTTGGTGACAAAGTTCATTTGAGCCTTGGGGGTGTCGGAGGAAAGTCCAAACACAGTAACCTTATTATCCTGGAAGAATTGATAGTTCTTCTGGAACCCACACACTTGTCTGGTACATCCGGGAGTCAGTGCCTTGGGGTAAGCAAAAATCACCAAGTACTTGGAGTTGGAAGCGGCTTCGGCCAAGTTGATTTCGTTCTCATTTTCATCCAATAAAGTCAATTCTGGAATCTTATCACCGACTTGTAATTCAGTAGAAGATGATGATGAAACTTGCTCACTATTGTCGGCAGCCTTTTTGGCTTTCTTCTTTGGAGGCTCAGAGTTAACAACAGCATTCTTGGTGGAGGTGGCCGTGGCCGCAGCAGCATTGGCCACTCTGGTGGAACGACGTAATTCAGGCATTGATACTATAGTATGGCAGTGATTGAAGTGTTGGTTGAAATTGTGGAGTTGGACTTCTGTCAAGTCTTGTATCCAAATGGGTGCAACTGACACATGAGTAGTGTGGAGACGAGAGCAACGTACTTTCTCCTATTTTCCACGTAGGTAGGTAGAAGGTAGTTGGTTTCCGAGGGTTGATACGGGGAGAGCTCCTTTTGCCGGGGGTGGCTCAAAATTTACAATGTGAAAAAGTAGTGTGAGAACCTTAGGAGTTTAGACATTATAGTATCGCTATTGTAGAGGGGAAATTATAGTGTAAAGTGAACAATTCATTCCTCTTGGCACAGTAGTTAAATGAAGGCTACAGCCGTGTAGGCAAAGTTGCGCATAATGCCATCTACTTACCAGTAAATCTGAGTCTCACTTCATAAGTGTCACGCATTAGCGGAGCTCACTGCCTGATACTAATGAATGGTATATGATACTAAGCTATATTGCTTTTAGCTTTACATACTATACATATTTATTGGTATACGCACTACTTCTGTTATCTTGATAAGACTTGGTGCTCTCCTGTACAGTGGATGGTCCAAATGCTAAGCTCCAACTCCTTGTTATGTCACCATACTCGTCAAATTAGTTGTGTGCCGTCTAAGGCTGACTGTATGCTGGTAATATTCTTTGGAGTATCTCTTTCATATTGATTTGCTATATTGTTGTCCATTCCCGTGCTGTTACTGACGATCCATGGCATATACTCCTCATACTGATCTAATCTATGTCTAATGAAAATCTTTAGAAGAAAGAGTGCCAGTAACAACGACCCCGATCCCGGCCCGAGTGCTAATGGCCACAATTCTAGATCCACTCCAACACGGTTCAATCCTTCATACGCCAGAAGACTGTCACTCCCCACCGATTCCCTTGAACCACCACCATCAAGTAATAATGTAAGAAGACGTTTCAGTATAGCTGGAGCAAGACTATCACGAGATCATGTTCCACGTCAGAAGCCATCATCATCCTCGACTGTCAATGGTGTATTCCGTAACGCAGAGGAAAATAATACGACGACACTGTCTGAAATTGAATCTGAGTGGCCGACGCCATCATCGTCGTCTTCGTCTTCAGATGCACGATCGGTAGCTCTTTCAGACACCAAGACATTGTTCCATACAAGACAATCCCAAATGGAACTTCAAGAAACTTACAACGAGAATTTTACTCTCTATGTTCCCTTCCTCTTTAGGCAATGGAGATTAGCACATCGAAATGCCGTAAACGCAGCTACTGGGAATGGTCGAAACCTTGCACCAGCTCAGTTCCCTGATAACGATGATCCGGAAATAGAGAGTGCTTCGCCAGCACGACAGGAAATGCTCTCTCGAGCGGCAAGAGCAGCTCGGGAATATGCTATGGCTGATTCTGATGTTGATGACGACGACATTTCTACTGTCATCGGTTCGATTCACAATACGGCCATTTCGGTTGCCTCATCATCATCGTCTTCACCGTCACCGCCATCATCAGGTCCTACGTCTATGACTATTATGGGAAGATCTACTTCACGTTATAATAATAAAAGAGTCTTGATTATTGCCAATGAGTTCTTGAAACATAATGCATTTGTATTCGTCGATGGTGATTCCTTTAAGCAATTCAAACAGTTAAGAATGAACATCAAACAAGATAAGAAAACGTCTTCTGTATTCTATGACCCTGCAACTCAAAGTTATAAACGGTTTCCTTTGCAAAACTTACCTTCATCGGACTCCGGGTTAATACCGGACTTAAGACAACATATCATTGGACCTGATTACAAAGCTCTGGGATATGGGTTACCACTTTTCAAAGTCCAAGTGCCATATTTGTCTTCGTTCCGGAAAAACGCACCCTTTGTGGTGTTCAAAAGATTCCGAGAGGTTCCCCTTCCACCTGTATATGGACAGAAGGTGGTGGTTGATGAAGGTGCATTGTACGCAGACGATGATATGGACATAAACACTCAAACCGCCATTTCCAAAGACCATAAAGCCAATGCCCAAGTAACCGAAAGTTCAAGACGGAGACACAGTGATCTGGGTGGTCGTAAGTCCGAGAGTGAATCTCCTGTTTCACTGCAAGACAATGACTATGAGACTTACGATTATTGTACGGTGCATGTCAAGTACTTCCAACACTGTCGACGTTATATCCTTCAATTCAATCCTGAGAACGAGCCACTGTTTTCGGTGTTGGTGTTCCAGCACAACTTCAAGCCGTTTGCTGATTTCCTCTACAAGAATACTCGCTTTAGAGTGTATGGGACTCCCATTGTAACTGGATATTTGGTCAATTACAATCCGACGTTGAAGCTCATGATTGTTGATCCAGATAGTCCTTCGTTAGTAGACGAGATCATCAACAAAAAGCAAGAGTTTGATTTGAAATCTTTAATTAAGCGGAAAAGATCTTCAAGCATATCGGAGAATAGTAATTCCGGTATTGCAATTAATCCGGTGGATAAAAGAGTTGAAGGAATGGATAATCCGTATCCTGGTGCCAGTAATGGACTCATTTATCTAGACTATTTGTCTGCCACAAGCCACACTAGCTCTTCTTTGGTTGCTAATAAGCTACCAACGTTTGGAATCTTTAAAGACGTCATGATATATGATGTGGAAGAGGATAACTTTAGGATCATACCAAAGAAATATACCGAGATCGGAAAAATAGAAACTTATCAAGAACTTAACAATAATCGTTCAACTAGTGCCCAACCCTTTCAAGAATCGTTATCAAGTTCCAAATCTGTTGATACTGATACATTAGTCTTAACTGCTGTTATGTTAACTTTGCATGAAGTAAGCATAAGAAACTCCAATCGTCAAAATAGTTTACTTTCAAATTGGTCCTTACAAGCATTGAACGGCTCAACTTATCGATATGGTAATGTAGGGGCCTTTGCTTATTAATGTATTAGTATTTTTTATTAGTATTTGTATTAGTATTAGTATTATTTGTTAAATTTGTTAGTGAGGGGATCGGATCTCTTTTAGTAATTATCGTATCTCTCAGGTGATCTGGATCTGTCTCTTCTTGGTGATCTGCTTGGAGATCTGGAATATCTTCTTTCTTCACGATGATGGGGTTTATTCTCTCCTCCACTATTGTTATTACTATCATTGTTATTATGGTTACTATTGCCCTCATCTGAACCTCTAATCCCGGAATCATGTTGACGATTACCTCCTTCATTAATTGGACCATCATGTATATCTCCACCTTCCATTCGTTCAGACCTGCTATCATACCCTCCTTGATCTCTCATTGGGCCACCCCTATGGGAACGATACTCCCTGTCACTGCCACCATATGGCGAACCTTCACCATATCCACCACGGCCACCACGGCCACCATATCCACCACCATTGTAGCCATTATATCCACCACGTGGAGCGTATCCATATCCACCACGAGGAGCATATCCGTAGCCACCACGAGGGGCATAGCCATATCCACCACGAGGAGGATACCCAGGGCCACCACCATAGCCACCACCATAGCCACCAGCATAACCACCTCTAGGAGGATATCCACCTCCGTAGCCACCTCTGTAGCCACCTCTACCTCTGAAACCACCTCTTCTCATGGAATAAGGATCCGAACGAGCCAATTGAACCACAAGACCATCTTTCAAGGCATAAGGCAAATTCTTCCCATCGAGTTCCAAAGCCCGTTCACAATCTTCTGGGTTTCTATATTCGACAAAGGCGTATTTTTCACCATCATCAGTTCTTGGAGGAGGAATATCTAAACGGATCAATTCTCCGTATCTAAGGATGTTAGCAATTCTGAGTGGGAAAAATTATATATATAATCTGTTAGATTCGATTCGAAATAATGGGGATACGGATAGAAGGATAGGATAAAAGGATATAGGGATAAAAGGATAAAAGGATAAAAGGGTAAAAGGGTAAAAGGAAAGTATCGGAAAGTATTGGAAAGAAGACTGTGAACGATCTTTGATCACTTATGGGAAGCAAGGAGGAGGAGGATGTGACAAGGACATAACAAGGTCAAATCTCAATCTCATAGTGAGTGGTTATTCTCAACAGCACCAACAATAAGCAACTTTATCTATACAATAGAGAAGTGTTCAAAGAGTATAAAGAGAGACATAGAAACAGAAACTATCAACAGAATTGTCGAATGAATCAACAGATATAAAATTTAAAACTTGGATACGTACTTCTCAAAGTCTGGAGCCAAGTCAGCGGCCTTAGACTCCCGAGAAAACCCGGTAACATATAATGTGTTCTTTGGCATTTTGGATTCGTGAAGTAAGAAGAAGAAGAAGAAGAGGAAGAAGAATTGTCACTATTATGGTCGACGAAAATGGCCACTGAAAAGTGATGAAAATGGTCGTGTGTGTACCGGTATATGTAGCTGTCAAGCATAGAAGCTGCACAGTAATGATACTTTGCAATAGAAAGTGTATGGTAATCGGTTACGAGGAGGATTTACCTATTGCTATGGGGTTTTTAGGAGAAACTTCAGTCATCAGTACAGTTGACGTTGTAAACAAGTGATATGCATAAGTGCTACTGTGCGTGTTCAGACAGAAGAATCCTACTCTGTCAACCACTACGAAAGGGTCCTGTTGCTGCGTATTTCATGTGATATTCTTCCGTAGGCTAGTGAATGACTGGTGGATAATGATATGTTTTCTGGAATGGAAATTAATCTGGGGGTTAGACGTGATACTCTACCGCAGCGTCAGATAGATATATCGATGGAATGGAACTGGCACAGAAACTTTTGGTCTAGATCACTAAACATTGACAGAATTACTACGAACTCATTATAGCTTTCAGTATTAAATTAGTGGAGTACCCTCGAATACCTACCAAAGGTGACTAGAGCAGAATCCCTGTGTCTTGAGCGATGTTCTATTGCATATTTGGTCTGACGCATCATACTATGCAACTAACATGACAGACATTCAAAAAGCAAGTCACGTTCTGGCTGCCCAACAAAAGTGTATGCAGGTACCAGGTGGAGAAGTTGCTGCAATGCAATAAATAATTATTGGTATTGGCGGAGTTACCACTATATCAATTGACAACCACAACCACAGTAGGTTATCAAAATTATTAGTAGGTGGTGTAGAAATTAACAGTTGTAGCTACGATTAGTATATAGTATACCGCAAGAGAATATACTACTAGCTGTAGCTATGCCGCATTTTACATATTACATATACGTGCAAATTACACCTCCGTAGATTATGGCATACATATATGCATGTATTTACGTTCACATCGTACTTCCATACATATCGCACCACAATACATTACACTTTATTGACCTTCTAGACTTTTGTTACCTCTGTTTATAGCCCCCCTTATACGTGTATGGTAGATCAACAATTTTTCCGTTGGGGTGAGACACTCTGGAAAAAAGCAAAAAATTGAAGGGCAACCCCTGATACAGGTCAACTTACTTAACTCAACGTAACTTACATAAGCTTTTCATTCCATACAAACGTCGCCACTAAAATTCATCAACAACGTGTGGAAAGAATACTTGTCATATTTTAAATAGTCGTCAACAGGTCCTATCATCGTGTTGGTGTTAACTCCGTCCTGTCCCGTGCCATACGATACGTTACATTTGATCTCTTCGTTTACATTACATTACAGTACAGTACAGTACAGTACAGTACATTACATTACCGTACACCGCTGTTGCTCTTTGTTGAGACGCTCATATCATGACTTCAGCTATACAAACCCAACCCGGTGATGAGCACATCAAGACTTCAAACTCGACTACAGACATGTTGTTTACTGGTGATACAGACATCCTTGATGAGTTCTTAGACCAAAGAGTATATGATTCCCTTACATCAAACACGCCTACTGCCCCCAGTCCCCCAGCTGGTGGCACTACTGGTGCTACGGCCATCTCACATCATCACCATAATAATAACGGGGTGTCTTCCTCGCTTCTTAACACCAAATTGGAAGATGTAGATGCCAGTATGTTTGCTGCGACTGATGACATGCTTTTACAACAGTTCCACGCGTTGGATCCGTTGCCTACACAACTGCACAAACTGCTGAAGCTGCAACTGCTACTGCTGATTCTGCTGCAGCTGAATCACCATATAGCATCGTACGAACTCGATGATGATTCCAATGCCTATGTGTATTCATTTGATAATCCTTCCGCAACAGAGCAAGACCCTTCAATGCAGCAACATCAACATCAACAACAATCTGATTTAAAACAAGAATTGTCTAGTCCTGCTCCTATTCCCGACGTTAACTTCACTATGGAAGATCTAAACATGCCCACTATGGACGATGACAATGAAGATGATAACTCCCCTTCAGTGGTACCTGTACCCAAACCGTTCTTCCCCACCAACTCTGTGCTTTCCGACTATGATGTGGTGAGAGAAGAGTTCTCCAAAGTCAAATTCGGCAATCAGAATATGAATCCGTGTCCTGATACTTTACAAGTTTTAGACAAGTCATATTTGGACTTTTCACCTGAAGCCATGAGCAAATTACCTTATACATTGGAATTATCGCTGTTACCTTCCTTTTCCAGAGTTGAAACTCAGATCAAATTGAAATTCCATTTACTGCCTCCTCCTCCACAAATTTTGTTACACGTACCACAAGATTTGATCTATAAGAATAAGTTTTGTCTTGCTGATTCCCTTGAGGGACTCAGTGAGAAGTTGAAGAAGTCCATGCTCTACTTGGACGCCTATGTTCTTACTTCCGATCTCAAGGTGTCTTGTGGGATCTGTTCCCGATGTATCAAGAGAGAACAGAAACGTGCTTCCAGACGGAAGATGAATAACGGACAAGGAGAAGTGGAGGAATTTGAAATCAAGCAGGAACCGGTCCCGGCTTCGGCCTCGGCTTCAGCTTCAACTTCAGCAGGCGGAGTTATGAAGAATAATCCAAACTCTTGGGCAAACGATAAGATGATGAAGAAAGCCGTCATTTTCAACTGTAAGGAGCTTGTTTCTTTCCCTCCTCCCAACGGACTTAACACGGACTTATCCAAGTCCCTTGAATTATCCGTTAGAATCATTTGCTACTGTCGACATCATAAGGAATCTGAGGGCTTCAAATTACTCTTCATCATCAAGAACTACGAGGGAGAAGTGGTGGCTAAACAACTATCTTCATCCATTATGATTATGGATAGAAAGAAGAATCTTTCCATGCCTACCAGTACGCCATCGATCAACAACTCGTTACCCGGATCAACTTTGGGTTCGACTTCAAACTTGCAGGCTTTGAACCACTCCAATTCTTTCTCCGATGTCAGCAGCAGTCGATTCAATCAAACAAATAATGACCTTATCATAACCAAAACGAACGGCGATGAAAGTTTATTGTTCCTGTCAGGGCAAATGATGCAACCCATATCACCTAATTCCATTGACGAATCAGCTTCAGATCCTCATACGACCACAAATACAGACCATTCTTCCGTTCCAGGACTCTTTTCATCGTTGAACCATTCTATCAATGCGGCTAAGACTAACATTGCCAACGCTTGGAACTCAAACTTGGGTTCTTCCACTAACCCGGGCATGCTGAATGGAACAACAAGCAGCACTGCTTCTGCTTCTAGAAAGCGAAAGAAGCTTTCTGTTGATGATTCGTTGAATGAATCGACCAACCCAATGTATAATGGAAGTACCAATGGCTTTTCTCCGGTTAGTAACAGTGATACCAATACTTCTGTCACCAATAGTTCATTCATGGCCAAACCAAATGGGGCCAGCAGTCATGTTCACGCAGTTGGTGCTACTATGCCCTCTCAACCTCAACCTCAAATACATCTGCAGCCTTCATCGTTGATCAATGGATCTCCGTTTGCTCAGTCTTATGGTAGTAACCCATTGGTTCCATCTATTCAGAAGATAATCCCCGCTCAAGGTCCAATCAGAGGTGGTATTGAAGTTACTCTTCTTGGGTTCAACTTTAAGCCTGGTCTTCAAGTGAAATTTGGTCCGAATCTTGCTCTTGCAACCCATTGTTGGTCCGAGACTACCATAGTCACTTACCTTCCTCCTGCCAATCAACCTGGCCAGGTTTTAGTAACCTTTGATAACCCACTGGAAGACAATAGTACTATAAATAATCTGGTTAACTCACCTCGAAGTGGAAGCATGGGTACGTCTGTCGGGTCGTCCTTTGCTCAATCATCTGGTATTCAACATCAACAAATCTTTACGTATAATGACGACACGGACCGTCAATTGATCGAGTTGGCATTACAGATTGTGGGCTTGAAGATGAATGGTAAATTGGAGGATGCTAAAAACATTGCTCGAAGAATTGTCAACTCCGACAACACTGGAGGAGGAAATAATGGAGGTAATGAAGGCTCATCAACTACTAATACCAGAACCAACTCCTCCTATAAAACGGCAACTGACAGCGACCGAGAATGGTTTGTTAATGCCAGTAGGGCCGTTGAAACATTGACCAAATCAGATATGGCCACTGAAGAAATCTTGATTGACTTTCTTTCATTGGTTGATTTGCCGAACTGTCCAATCATCATCCCCAACTGGCAATTGTGCAATGATGAAGGTCAAACGTTGTTACATTTGGCTACATTGAAGAACTACGGGTTATTGGTTAGGTTTTTGATCTCCCATGGATGTAAGGTTGATGTCAGGGACACTCAAGGTATCACGCCTTTATTTTTGGCTTCTATGTGTGGATACCGGTCCCTTATGACCATCTTCTTGGAGTGCAAGTCGAAATGGAACACCAAATTGTCCAACCAGAAATACATGAAGGATTATTGTGACATGAATGTCTTGGATATGTTCAATTCCGTTGGTTCTGCAGATGCAACCCTGGATGATAAGTCTGGATCACTTTCGAAGTCTGTCAGTATGGAATCATTGAACTCGTTATTCACCATGGGAATCGGCCGTCATATTTCAAGAATGGTCAAGGAAGAAGAGACTACCACCTCGTCCCAAAGTGTGAATAAGAATAAAGGAGGCTCGATCACCAATGCTACGACCAAGAATAAGCTGAATAGATTCAGAAGCCAGCTTTTGGAGAATGTAGTGGAGGGAAGCGATCAACAGGATGAAGACGATGAGGAAGAGCTTGGATTTGCAGACGATGAAGATGCTTGTAACAATGAATTTGACTATCTGGAATTCACCGAGGAAGAAAGCGACATTGTATACCTGGAAGACGATTACAGTGACTATGATGATGAATACGAAGAAGAAAACATCATTGCTAGCCAGCCGGTGGTAGCTCCGGTGGAGGCACCATCTACCACCAGTGAAGCAGTTGAAGAAGATAATATGTCTGCCAGCTCGACCTCGACCATCGTACCGGGCACGTTGATTGCCGGAGGTGGCATATGGTCTAAGGTTAGCAGATTCTTAAGTAAAGAAGAAGAAGGAACCTCGGCCTCTACTACAACCACTACCAACATGGAGGAATCGTTACCTTCGTACGATGATCTTTTCCCGTTTGGTCCACACACAATGCAATCTAAGCCCAAGACCTTTGTTGAGCGAGAATTGAATGCTCAAACTGCTACTTCAGCAGCACCAGCAGCAGTGGCCTCCACTACGAACGTGGGGTCTTCTGCAGACGTTGTCACCACCAATAGCGATGAGGAAGTGATCTCATCTGATTCCAGCGAAGACATGGTGATGTCGTATATTAACAGACCAAGAAAGACTGTTGAGAACGACAAGATGTTGTTGTTCTTCTGGTTCCCTACATTAGTTTTAGTTGTGGGTATCTTTTTGTTGATGTCTGTTTTTGACTACAAGTTCAAGACCATTGAGAGTATCAAACAACAGATCAGAATGCTGTTGGGGAACTTGTTGGTTGGGAACGAGCGCATTGCCCGTATTTTTGATAATGATGGTGTTACTGCCTGATAATTGGGGGAAGGTCCGTGGGGGATCCTGGGACTTATTTATTTATTTTTCTGCTTTAATATTTCTATGTATACTCAATAATGTAATTTGTTTGACATCACCAAAGTAGTGTGGATACCAATTATATTTCGTATAAGCAAAAATCTGGCACACCAAAGTTAAGGTAATATGTATGCTCTTTAGAGTAGCGTTAATAATATGAACCATGTTCTTCTTCTAAAGAATAAGACTGTTCCTGTGGACCCGTATTTTGAAGCTTTTAGGTCGGAGTATAGTACGACATTCCTACCACTATTAACACACACTCACACTAATAAATCGGACACTATCAAGTACTTATTAAGCTCCGAGTTTCTTACGACAGAAGCGATAATTATTACGTCACAACGAGCTGTGGAGATCCTAGTACAGCTTCTAGAAGAGTTACCAACATCTGTTGTAGATTCCATCAAACAGAACCAAATAGTATACACTGTGGGTCCAGCTACCAGCAAAGTACTTGAAGATGCCGGTTTCGGGCAAGTTCGTGGAGGAGAAAATGCCGGTAACGGATCAAAATTGGCCGATATTATTATTGCCGATGGAATTGGTCAACTTGTATTTTTCACTGGTGAGACAAGAAGAGACATTATACCTGTCAAATTGGCACTGGCGGGGATCCCATTGGTTGAGAAGGTGATTTATAAAACAGAGAACAGACACGACATTATTAGTCTGTTCAACTCATGGGTGGATGATGTTCAACAAAGTGAGGGTATAAAATGGGTAGTATTCTTTAGTCCTCAAGGTACTGAACTGATAGTTGAATATTTGCAAAATTATAAAGGTGTAGATTATAGAATTGCTTCCATTGGACCGACAACCGAAGAATATTTGGTCAAGAATGGGTTGGTTCCTCAAACCGTTTCATCCAAGCCTCAAGCTCAAACACTTTTCCAAGAGATACAAAACCAACGTACAAAAGAGAGAGAGACATTCAGACATAAGTAAACAATAATAAATAGTAATATAATAATAAATAAGTCGTAATAATTATGGTAATAATGTCGCTCTTATTTAGAAGCACTCTTGACAACATCGATCACGTGAGGAACAACCCCGGGATTGGCCAAAGTAGAAGTGTCACCCAATTGGTCTTCTTCACCTGCCAAAACCTTTCTCAAGATTCTTCTCATGATCTTACCGGATCTGGTCTTTGGTAAGTCATCAACCAACAAGATCAACTTGGGGGCAGCGAATGGACCGATTTCCTTTCTGACAGTCAAGATCAATTCCTTCTTGACGGCTTCAATGTCTTCAATTCCTTCCTTGGACTTTAATGAAACGTAAGCAGCCACTGCTTGACCAGTCAACTCATCGGCGTAACCTACAACGGCAGATTCTCCAACCAATTCATGTTCAATCAAAGCAGCCTCGATCTCAGCAGTCGACAACCTGTGACCGGAAACGTTGACGACATCATCGACTCTTCCCAAGATCCAAATGAATCCGTTCTTATCTCTTGCAGCACCATCACCCGAAAAGTAGTAACCAGGGTATGGCTTCAAGTATGTATCAATGTATCTGGCGTAGTCCCCGTAGATACCTCTGGTGATCGAAGGCCAGGCGTTCTTAATGGCCAAAACACCTTCAGAGTCATCTTCCAATTCTTCACCACTAACTGGATCCAAGATCTTAGCATCAATACCAAAAAATGGTAAAGAGGCCGACCCAGGCTTGGTGGGAGTAACACCAGCCAATGGTGTGATCAAATGAGACCCAGACTCAGTTTGCCAATAAGTATCAACAATATGGGCTTGACCTCTACCGATATTGTCGTTGTACCAATGCCAGACTTCAGCAGCAATTGGTTCACCAACAGAACCCAAGACTCTTAAAGAAGACAAGTCGAAATTCTCAACAAACTTTGTCCCGGCTCTCTTTAACAATCTTAAAGCGGTTGGAGCCACGTAGAATTGGTTGACCTTATATTTGTCGACAATTTCCCAATATCTGGAGAAGTTAGGATAAGCAGGAGTCCCTTCAAAGACCACAGAAGTGGCACCGTTCAAAAGAGGTCCATAGACACAGTAGGTGTGACCAGTAATCCAACCAATGTCACCAGCAGTGAAAATAATGTCGTTCTCATGAACATCAAAGGTATATTTGGTAGTCAAAAGTGCCCCCAACATGTAACCAGCAGTAGTGTGTTGGACACCCTTTGGCTTACCGGTTGAACCAGAAGTATACAAGAGGAACAAGGGGTCTTCAGAGTCAACGGGGACAGGAGGAGAATAAGGTCCGTATTTGACCAATTCTTCATGCCACCACAAGTCTCTACCGGCGCTGAATGGAACATGAGAGTTACCGGTTCTTTGGAACACCAAGACGTTTCTAACGTTTGGACAGTCCTTCAAGGCATCATCAACGATCTTTTTGGTTTCAATAGTCTTACCACCTCTCTTGGACTCATCGGCAGTAATGACAATACGAGAGTCGGCATCTAAGATTCTATCCTTAAGAGAAGTGGAGGAAAACCCAGCGAAAATGACACTGTGTTGAGCACCGATTCTAACAATGGCCAACAAGGTGACAATGGCTTCAGGGATCATTGGCAAGTAGACAGCAACTGAGTCGCCCTTCTTAACACCCAACTTGGTCAAAGCTTGAGCCAACTTGGATACTTCCTTCAACAATTCCCCGTAGGTGATGATTCTTCCAGAGTCAACTTCATCACCTTCATAGATAAGCGCTGGCTTGTCGGGGTTCTTGTGGGCCCATCTGTCAACAGCGTTGTAACAAGCGTTCAACTTACCACCCACAAACCAAGCAGGAATGTCTCCGTTATCGAAATCGGTGTCTGGTTTAACGGGGTATCTGGCCAAGTCAAAGGGTCTGTCCCAAGACAAAAGTTCCTTGGCCTTCTCACCAAAGAAGGTGGCGGGATCTTCAACAGATTGTTGGTGCCATTTCTTATAGGTTGCGAAATCTGCAATGTTTGGGGTTTCAGTGGCTCTTTCAAGGAATCCCTTTGGAGGCTCCGATGGAGCTTCATGGTCAATAGACAAGTGTTCAGGCATTGGGATACGTTATATAAGTAGTAAGATTAAAGATCTGATCAACACACCCTAATTACTATAATATATATATATATATGTCGTTGGATATAAGAAACGGTGCTAGCGCTTGCTTACAGTGGAAAAAGATGGAGATAGCAAATTATAGTACCTTTAAACATTATGGGGAGCCATGGGTGCCTTTATATATTTTTAGTGGGGGGACTAAATGTCTGGGGTTTGGGGTTTAAGTTGGGCCAATTATGTCTGTCAGACAGCAACAAAGCCGTTGAATGTACATGCTTAAGATTGTGGTGAAGTTATGGGGTAATAAATCTGGTCGTGTAATACACATATTATGGGGTAAAGGAAAGGAAATAATGGTGGTCACGTGACATGCATTGTCCTTAGCACGATTGATTCACTCCCCTTGTAAGACTTTAAACATGTTGTATACGTGTAAAATATACTTCAGATTACTACTACTTGTCTGTTATATTTTAAAATAGTCATATTATGGTATCGGACTTTCTAAGTTTATAGCCATCTATATATTATTGTCTGATTCTCAAACGTCTTCCTTGTTGGCCGCTTACACTTTACTGATGAAGAATGCACTTAAGTCGCACAGACTGTCTGGCGGGCCCGCCGCATTGAGCCCGTATCTGCATTCACAGCGCGGTGAATAGTACTGTTGTGCGGGGGTTAGTAACTGCGTGTGCGTACCACCCAACTACAGGGAGAGGGGTTGCGACCTTAGCTCTTCTTCGGAGTTTACAAAGGGCCACGATCTGTGAGTTCAAGGGTTAGTGGAACCACCAGTGACGGCGGTACGGAAACAAAAGTCAGATGTTTGTACCAGCGCAATTTTTATTAACGGTTTCGCTTACAAAGTGTCTGGTGTGTCTGTCTGAACAAAACCACACATCTTTGGTCATTTTTTGTTCCTGTTCCCCGCCTCTAGAGTGGCCCAACAATCACCGGGCCTCAACTTTTGAAGTCTTGATTAATTGATTAATGTCTGAACTTCAAACTAATTTATAACAGTTGTAAAAGCATCGCCATTGTGACGACGGTGATGATTCGCAGAATCTTTCTTCTAATCTGCAGACAAAATGAAGTAGTCAATTAGATTCATTCATGGAATGTACTTCAATCAACTGTATCGTAAAAGACATCAGTATTATTCTATCTTTATTCTGGGGTGCTTGCTCGGAGATGTTTCCTTCAGTCCATTTCTTCAATACTATAACTGTTCTTAGTTCCAATACTACTACTAAGTCCATTTATCGAGCCATGCAACAAAACCAACTTCTGTTTCTTGGCATAGTTCGGGTACCTGGCTCTACTACTCATGAATCAAAAAAATGTCCTATTCACTGTACTCACCCCCACAAATCTGCCCTTAACACCACAACTCAACTTCCCGCACCACCGCTTACTATGTATGTTCGACTCCCACTATTAAGCTTTAGACCTTTTTTTTCTTGTCTTTCTTTCCTTTCCTTTCTTCTTTATCTTATTGGCTATGGCATGCCGTAATGGAGATAATTACGGAGCCGGTCAGCTCGGAGTTCATCGCGCGGTGGGGCTGCCATATTTTTCATAGGACGGTTTATGGCGTACCGTTGTCCCAATTTGGATTATTTTGTGGGGTATTACAATTACAACCTGACATCTACATCAACACCTACCGTTGCACTCACCGAAACGTCTTATTGTAGTTCGTTAAAAAAATGGTACGAAACCTGAAGTCAAAAAAATACATGGTGAACGAAGTTCGGAACTTAGCCCGACGCGGGGGTCGAACCCGCAACCTTTTGATCGCTTCTCTTGTACAAGACTAAGAGTCAAACGCTCTACCGATTGAGCTAGCCAGGCATGCTCATGTTCGAAAATTGTGGATGTTATATATTTGCAAAGTATTATAGACAGAGCCTACCGTCCATGTGTATTCAAGGTTTATACCATAGGGCTATATGGCTCTGGGTAGATTCAATGAACATACGATATATATGAAAATAAAATAAAAGCACTCTTAAGTAGTCACATGAGCTGGCTAATTGTTTTACAGCCGAAAGATGGAAATTTTAACACTAAAGGAATAAGGGACATGTTTCAAGCATCTTTTATCTCACCTCATTGAACAATATATAAGCACCTTCATTTTTTTCTAAGATCACCTTTCATCCTTTAGTATTCCAGCGTATTTAAGCCAGCGTTCAGTATTTAAATATATCTAAGAATCGTTGGATGATAAACTTTTATAATTCATTCACTAAAATTGTTTTCTAACACTATACAATTCCCACAAATATGAACAATTAACTTCAAAAAGGTTTATCGGACAAATTCTCTAGTACAACAAGTAAATAAATATACTCAAAGTCCTTGCTTTTGTTTAACTATGTTTAAATATCAATACATTTTATAACCCTCCGATAACCTACTCTTTAAACTCATAAACCAATGGTGTTAGGGTCTGTTAACTTTAAGGAATAAAAAAAAATGCGCAAACCCGGAATCGAACCGGGGGCCCAACGATGGCAACGTTGGATTTTACCACTAAACCATTTGCGCATTAGAAATGCTCCGCGACGGGGAATTGAACCCCGGTCTACCACGCGACAAGCGGTAATTCTAGCCACTAAACTATCACGGATTTCTTGTTTACAAAAAGTAGTGATAAAAACAAATGTTGCAAAAATAGCACAATTATTTTAAATCATAGTAACACAATGCAGATTGTTTTACAAGTAAGGGCTCTGTGGCCGAGCGGTCTAAGGCGGCAGACTCAAGTTCTGTTATCGTAAGATGCGCGTGTTCGAATCACGCCGGAGTCATCACACTATACTTCCTTACTTCTTTATTTTTTTATGTTACTATTAACGAGTACTACATGAGTACCCACCAAGTACAACAACTACGAGCATTCCATAACACGATACAATAGTACTATGAAGCAAATGTTTCTATGAAAATTAAATGACTTAGACTGATACTTTCTTATCCAAGGTTGATAGAAACGCGTCTCTAATTGTACACAAAGGATTTGTACAGTCCATTTAAGTCACTTCGGGATTGAGCGTAATGACAAGAGTCGCTCGTGCGTTACATGGGTTCAATACAATAAAAGGAACATTCTAAAGCCACTTCTTATTAAGAAGAAGGAAAAGACCACTTAATTGCTCACAAACTCGTAAGTTGAGGATCTCGGGTAACTTTTCGTTTGCCGAAAAACCCTTTGTTTGTTTATTAAAAGAAGAATACAATATCGTTTTGCGTTCATTCCGATCGCTGCTTTAGGCTAGATACACAAGGGTCGCTCTGAAACAAGTAGAGATACCCCTCTGACTAAAGATCAAACTTTTCTAGAACCAACAATTGGTAACCATCGAAGTACGCTATTAAAGAGTGCTTATTGTTTAAATTGCAACAGTGCGAGTACTACTAAACTTAGTCACAAGTCTAATGTGACAAGGATAGTGCAATGACAGCGTAATAATAGTGCGATAATAGTGTAACAACATAAACTCTCTGAACGTTTCCCTTGACGTCTCATGATGCATTTAGCTATGTTAGAACTATTTCAAGATCATTCCGTAAGGTGGTTCCAACCTTTTACCTGAACATTCCAAAAAGCAGGACACGAGCAATTGACACGAGACACACGTCAAAAAACCTCGTATGCTGCGAACAGTAACGTTTTAAATGTTATTGTTATTGTTATTATTCTTGTTATTGTTATTGATATTAGGACTAAAGAAGTTGGCTATCAATGTCGCGTAAGAAAATTCACTACTAATTTCCCCACGCTCCCACTTCCCCATTGCATCATATCACTGCAAGTCTTTAAATTGTTGCAAATGTCAACCTGATACAACGAAAACTCTCCCAAATCAGAATCCGGGATGTACAACCGGTTAAATAAAACAACGCCTAGTCAATGTAATGTTAGCCTGGTTGGAATAGTAAAGACAACCAAAGAGTCTAGTCCATATTACTAACAGTACCAACAACAGACTTCATTAGCATATTTAAGCACATACATATCTCTCTGTCGAATTATCTCCACTAATATACTTATATAAATATACATATTTAACAAGTCTAGTGTAGATTAGTGTTGAAGCTACATATTTCTTGTTCTTTTTGCAACCGGTGCAGATTTACAACATAGTACACTAACTTCCCCTACTAATACAACATCTTGCTCTGGTGAGATTCTCTTAGCTTCGTCGTTCACTTGTTCATATAGATACCGACAATCCTAGAATGAACTTCCACTCCTTCTTATGGGCTAGCTTATTTGTGCTAGTTAATTTTGCACTTGTTGATGCAAGCCCCATCCATCTTAATGAAACAACGACTACAGCCTATGTTAGAAATAATGTTACTTTATCTGAAACGGTTCCATTACATTCCAGACATGGAAAAAGCCGTTCTAGAGAAGGCTACGGATCTACTGCCGTTGTGAAACTCGTGGAAACACATACTGAATACTACAGAGAAGTTGCAACCACCTCTACTGTTGTCATTGATGAAACAAAGACTATAACTACAGATTGTATGACAACTGTTACTGAAAAACACCACTGTGATGCTTGCTTTGTTTCTGAAATAATCAACACGCTTGAAACAACTATCACAATCAGTGATAATATGGTTGTCCCTGTTCCTACTGAAGAAGCAAGTTGTAATGCGTGTTACACCGCAGTTATTACCATCACGAAAACAGAATACCACGGTTGTGACAATACCCTCATCGATACCTCTACCAATACGGATACAATGACCGAAGACTGTGATGAGTGCTATTATTCCAAAGTAGTTGAATCATTCCTGACAGAAGTCACTGAAACTGATTCAGTTGGAGTACCTATCACCTTGCTGCCAGCTATCTCAACCAGTGAAACCGGAACAGTTATACCCAGTTCAGTCAGTTACGCAAATACCAGTTTGCCCGGTTCTACAAGAACCAGTTTGCCCAGTTCTACAAGAACCAGTTTGCCCAGTTCTACCAGAACCAGTTTGCTGAGTTCTACAAGAACCAGTTTATTCAGTTCTGCAAGAACGAGTTTAATCAGTTCCAATTCTACTATTAGAGATTCTACATTTGATTTCAGCACAACTAGTGCTCCAATTGCTTCAATCACATCTAAACTGTCAGAGAGCAGCAAAAAACCCTCCAAACCTACTTCTACGGCTATTCCAAAAGTTACTGCTGATGTGTACGCTGATATGTACTTATCAAAAGACTTGAATATCACGTTTGCTAAAGAGATTCTAGACTATCACAATCGCAGAAGAAATATTCATCAAGCTCCAGACTTGAGCTGGAACAAAACTCTTTATGATTACGCTCAAGCTTACGCCGATCGTTACACATGTGGAGCTCCATTAGTTCATAGTGGAGGTCCATACGGGGAAAACATATCTTCAGGATATTCAACTCCCGCAAGGGGAGCTAGAAGTTGGTATAATGAAAGACACGCTTTCAAATATGGTATTGATGATCTCGGTACTTCGGGTCACTTTACTCAAATGATGTGGATATCTACAACACAGCTTGGATGTGCTTATAAGGATTGTGGTACGCGGGGGTTCTATCTAATATGTTCTTATTACACACCTGGTAATTTAGCTAGTCTTGCTCCTGAAAATGTCAAACCAGCACTTACTACTGATTTATCATATTGATAACACAACGATATACATAGCGTTCTATTTAGTTGTTTAGCTCCAACATTCCATGGATTAAATTTCATTTCTTTTTATATGATATTTATGTAGTATAACCTAGTAAAAAGAAGCAAAAATAAAATTCCGATACCGGGAGTCGAACCCGGGTCTGCTCGGTGAAAGCGAACCGTGCTAGCCGTTACACTATATCGGACTTTGATGTGATAGTTTACATGCAGAATAAACGACTAGTAACACTTCTGGATATATCATCTAAATGGCATATTTGTATCCGCACTTTAATTATACATCAAAGTCCGATATAGTGTAACGGCTAGCACGGTTCGCTTTCACCGAGCAGACCCGGGTTCGACTCCCGGTATCGGAATTTCTTTTTTGAATCTCAGTAGTTTCAATTTCTCAACTGAGGTAGAAGACAATATCTAACAAATTACGTCACCTTGACTAGGTTATTCAGATGGGAATAATCCAAAGAAACAGAGCAGCTTAATTAACGCTACAAAAAATAATTTCGCCATACATATTGGTTAATAAGCTTGACCGAAACTTGATAAAGTTGAATATTGTTTCAGTTGTGAAAATAACTGCTTAACTCGAAAGATGTCCATGTTTTACCCGTAAAAAGCTTTGAACAAAGTAGCGATAAAAATAAGTCAAGTTCTTCATACTCAAAAGAGACAAGCTATACACTGGACAGCTACAAATCCTACTAGACTAGGAATGCATAAGCTTGACTTCCATTATGACTCAAACTCAAATAATTCCTTACTCACGTGACAGCTTAGCAGCATGACTACTCAATGTACATGAAATTATACATCAAGGTCCGATATAGTGTAACGGCTAGCACGGTTCGCTTTCACCGAGCAGACCCGGGTTCGACTCCCGGTATCGGAATATTTTTATGGTAGTGCCTATTCTTGCAAAACTACCTCTTTTTTGGTTTTGGTAATTTGACACTCATCTTGAGAAAGGCCAAAGTAAAACTAGATAATAAAGGTAACAATGACATCTATCAGTAACCAATCAGAACTCTAGGTAGAAATGGGGCCTTCTCCGTGACTTTTTTCCGGGATCAGGTGAAGATGACTTTCTCTATGTTTCAAAAAGATTGGTGAGCCCACCTACAACCCCACTATAAAAACATAGGAACGGAAAAGCACTTTACCCGGAGTTGACTTATCCGGACTAAGCGACTAGGAAAATCTTAACTGGGTGAAAACACACAACCATAGGAGATGACAATGAAGAGTCCGATGCAAAATCATCAATACGAAAATCATACAACTTGCTGTAAATCAGGTTATGTTATCCTTACAAGTAATGATCAGCATGAGAAAATTATTTAGTAACTGCTGCCACTGAATAAGAACAGCCATTCTCTGGCATTCTACTCACAAGTAGTAAGAACAGAAGGGAATCAAAAGTCTCCTCTCCTCTTCTGTAAGGGTTACCAATTGTTAAAGCAAGTAGATAATGAAGAGAATTATTCACACAATCACCTCGTAGCACCCTCACGTTCCCATATAATATATCATATATCACGCTTATCACTCGCCCCTTTATTGTTGCCTCCCCACCCCGGTGTGCGTAGAGGTTAATTCTTACCGTAACTACAATCAAACTCACCTACGTTTCTATCTCCACAATATCAACTCCGAGTCACCCCCGCGCACCCCACCAGTTTCAACTCCGACCTGTAGAGAAATCTGAGTTTCTTAATGAGGTTATTGTGCCCGCAAGGTATGTTAAGTTTGCTGAGGATGACGCACCGGTGGTCATTGTCCGATCCAGATAACAAACTATGAACGAGTTAGATAAAGTAGGTACATACTGTATTGTACAGTAAAGACGGTAGTAGAAGTAGTCAATAAGGGAATGATTTAGTAGTATGTACGGTTTCACACGACCCGGAGACCGGAATCAAATGCACAATTTTTTATCATAATAGATGGGCTAATTTTATAAGGCTGTGAAAGGATCAGCACCAAACTATATATACCCTTGTAATCTCCCCATAAACTGTTCAAACAAATAGAAATTTGAAAATTGACAAACTATCACTTCACTTTTTAAAGTTATTGCTATACCCAATACAATACTAAATTAAATTTATACTACTTCTACTATTACTACTACTACTACTACTACTACTACTACTACTACTACTACTACTACTACTACTACTACTACTACAATATGTCATTAAGAACATTGGGATTACAATCAACCTTCAGCCGCTTTTTCAAAGGCGGAGAAACAGACACTGTGGTGCGGGCTGTGCTGACAGTCTTGGACTTTAAAAGATTTCCTCAGGAATCTTTAGACAACATTATTACACGATGCGATCAAGAGATCGGTGGCTATTCAACAGTTGCTGTGGACTATGTTCCCGAAACTCAAACAGGAAGATTCACTGGTTATTTAAACTTGGACTTACCTAAAGATAACCCAGAAATTACTCGTTCAGGGTATGCCATGTTTAGAACAAAAGATCAAAAGGAAAGTTGGCTTGTAGGTGACAGATTTTGGGATTGGTCTCAATTTTCAAGCTTAGTCTTGAGAGTTAGAGGTGATAGACGGAAATATTTGGTAAACATTCAAGCTAACACTCCATTGATCACTGATTTATTTCAACATCGGTTATTCTTGAACACTCCTGGTGAGTGGGAGACTGTAGTGATCCCATTGAATGACTTTGTCATGACCAACTGGGGTGTAATTCAAGATGGCTGTGAATTGAACAAGAATGAAGTTAAAACATTTGGAATTGGCTTATTGGATAAGCAATATGGTCCATTTAACTTGGACATTGATTGGGTTAAGGTTATGACTGGTGTAGAGGTTGAACGTCTTGCTAACAAAAATAGAAAAACTGCCATGGGATTACAAGGTAGTGAGACCGCTACAAGTGATGCAGCAACTGCAGCAGCAGCTGCAACTTCATCGATTTCTACAGAGGGTCCAGAGTTCGAATTGGAAGATGATTCTTATGAACATGGTGCTGCTATTCCTTCAAGAATGCCACATGAACCCCATAATAAAGTGATATAAGCATTCAGTTTTATATCAACGTATAAGTATTTTGTCATTATCAGCGATGTGGTTGGACATTCGTTGCACTAGTTATTTATTCATAGGGAATCAAATTAATTGATCTAATTTTTTTGATTGTAGTCTACAATTTACCAATAGTAGAACCAATAAATTGGGGTAATAGCAGTGGAAACTTTTCCTGTTCAAATGAATGCATGACTGCAACAAATTGAATTGAGTCCTTCTGTTCCCCACCTTCTATCAAACTAATTGTGTCACAATAGATAACTCAACCTCTTATCAAAAAAGACAGGACAGGCTTTAAGTATGCATCCACAATCTATGCTACTAGTGTAAAAAGTTTAAAACAATGCAAGCCTTAAGATGGCCCCTTTCCTTGACTTGTGCTTCGTCTCCGCATTAGAATCTTGAAAGCCGTCTCCACATTTCATAGAAGACAATCAATTTATTCTTTTCAAGGTGAGAGAACAATTGCATTGCTAGAGTGTATCATGAATAGTAGTGACTCCCTTTTGCACTCGATCTCCTCTTTTGCTTCTTGGTGAAGCTTCTCATTCTTCTCCACTAGAGGGGAATCTTCTTTACCAGATGGCTTTTTCCCTACACCCATAGTTAACTGTAGTTGTCTCCTTTTCCATTCATTTTTGCGAAATGTGGGGTACATGGTTTTAGAGTGTAAATCCTTACATGATGGTGGGGATCAGATTATTCCTAGTAGAGAATATGTCAGAGACTAATTTAGCACAATATTCCTCGATTACGATTACTCATGACTCAAGCAAACCTACATGTAAAGGGGGTTAGGGGTAGCTTTAATATTCACTCAAGGCTCTTGATCGAAAAAAAACATCTTGATACGAATAATTTTTCAACCATTGTTAATGATGCTGTTTTTTGAGTTTCAACGCAGATTGCATTGGTCCAATAGAGCGATTCATTCCATTCTATCTTTTCTTAGTTATCACGTACCTTAATGTCTTGAGTCAACCACCTTTAGTACAGTACATCTTTCCGTTTTGGGAACAGACTGAGCTAAAGTGCGGGTAACCTTGAACTTTCATATCTTTTACATCTCACACGACCCCCTCCAAAGGAGAATGAAAAGTGATGAAAAATTTTTCACTTTAAACATCAATTTTTATCTTTTCTTCTCTTTTTATCACTTACAGAACTAAGAACATTATCACAAAATGGCAAGAGGCCCGTATGTCTTTGAATTCCTTTGTATCTTCTTGGAAGTACTTGGGGGTTAACGTTGAAGGCAGATCACTCTGAAGGAGTATAAACCATATCTTCACTAAACTTTATTTATATATTGTTTGGATGAAGCACCAACTATATCGTAAAAGATATCAGTTTGGATGGGAGCCTTGTCATGATACATGTTTGGATGTCGATGTATTGGAGCATAACAAAACAATGGATGCGATTATTTTTGGCAAACAACATGCTTGTCTGTCGTTTTAATCACTTTTATATAGATCAGGATGGATATATACTCTTAAGAAACTATTCTTTTGATATTCTGTTTAGCGGAATATGCTGACGTATTGATTTTCCTGTCGTTTGAATGCTCCTTTTTTTGATATTCGAAATGTTGTATCATGTAACAACTGTTGACCTCAACCTTGAAGTGTAGTATGATTGGTTGGATCAAACAATACTAACAATTGTTTATAGAAAGAAGCATTTGAAGAGATTAGCAGCTCCATCCCATTGGATGTTGGATAAGTTGTCCGGTGTCTATGCTCCTAGACCATCCCAAGGTCCTCACAAGTTGAGAGAATCCTTACCATTGATTGTCTTTTTGAGAAACAGACTTAAGTATGCTTTGAACGGTAGAGAAGTCAAGGCTATCTTGATGAACGAACATGTCAAGGTTGACGGTAAGGTCAGAACTGACACCACTTACCCAACTGGTTTCATGGATGTCATTACCTTGGATGCTACCAACGAAAACTTCAGATTGATCTACGATGTTAAGGGTAGATTTGCTGTTCACAGAATCACTTCTGAAGAAGGCTCTTACAAGTTGGCCAAGGTCAAGAAGGTCCAATTAGGTAAGAAGGGTGTTCCATACGTTGTTACACACGATGGTAGAACCATTAGATACCCAGACCCAGCTGTCAAGGTTAACGACACTGTCAAGGTTAACTTGGCTACCGGTAAGATTGATGACTTTTTGAAGTTTGACACTGGTAAGTTGGTTATGGTTACCGGTGGTAGAAACTTGGGAAGAGTTGGTGTCGTTGTACACAAGGAAACTCACCATGGTGGCTTCGACTTGGTCCACATAAAGGACTCCTTGGACAACACTTTCGTCACTAGATTGAACAACGTTTTCGTTATTGGTGAAGAAGCTGGTAAGCCTTGGGTATCCTTACCAAAGGGTAAGGGTATCAAGTTGTCTATTGCTGAAGAAAGAGACAGAAGAAGAGCCCAACAAGGTTTGTAAGTTATCAATACTTATTATGAACAGTTACGTGTATATTAGATAGGATACTTGAAAGAGACCTGTATTTGTTTTCGTTACAGAAACAACGTGGAGCAATAAAGTAAAATAAAGATTAACTTAATATTGTTCTCAAAGCCCAATGTGTGTAGGGGTTGGGGGAGTTGGTGTGCGGGGCTCTTGTTATCTTTTTGAACATGAACTGAAATCTAACACAGTGTTTCCAGTGCTTTCTTTCTTTCTGTTCACATACCATATATATATATATATAATATGACATCCAGATATAGAGTGGAGTACCAATTGAAGTCGCATCGTCGTGATGAGCTTATTGAATGGATCAAAGGTCTTCTAGCAGTACCATTTGTTCTTCATGCTGATGCTGAGAACCACTTGCGAACCACTAATGAGGCCAATTTCCAATCTACAGATTCACTTTCAAGTTTACCACAGCGATCTTTTGATAAGCTAGAGGATCAAGTGGCTATGGAATGTCAAAAGAGATATGCTGAAGTGTTTAGAGACGTTGAAAAGCTCATTGACCGTACGATCTACATTGATAAGTTGAATGAAGGTCTTATAGTCCAACATCCAGAGTCCAGATTACGTAAACTTGTTCCTAGCGTAGGTAAGTTCTTTACTTCCTTGCCATTGGTGGAAGCTTTCTTGATAGAAGATGAGAGGCGGTTTATTTCCAGAAGACGGTTGGTTTCACCTTCATTCAATGATGTACGTATTATACTTAATACAGCCCAAGTCTTGGCTTTGACCAAGATTTATGATCTGGACAACCATAAAGCCGACAGATTGAAGTTGATTACATTTGATGGAGATGTGACACTTTATGAAGATGGTCAAAACTTAACTCCTGATGCTCCAGTGGTTGAACGATTGATGAAGTTATTGAAGCTCAATATGTTCATTGCGGTTGTAACAGCTGCTGGGTACCCCGGAAAAAGTGGTGCTGAGAACTACTATTACCGGTTGAAGGGTTTACTTGATCGCATCAAAGAGTCTGACGAATTGACAGATGTACAAAAGGAGAACTTCTTCGTGATGGGTGGTGAATCTAATTACTTATTCAGATACAATGTTCGCGCAGGGAAATTGGTATTCATTGAAGCAGATGAATGGTATCCACCTTTGATGGCACTGTGGAGTAAGTTTAAAATTAACTACATTATGGATTCCACTTATGAACATTTATTGTTATTACAAAAACGATTTGATTTGGTAGATAACACCACAATTATCAAAAAGGAACGTTCAGTAGGAATTATCCCTAATAAGGGTTATAAAATTCTTCGTGAAGAACTTGAAGAAATGGTTCTTTCATGTTCCAACAAATTGAATGATATTCTCACCAAACTTTCTAGTGATCTGTTCAGTATTGATACTGTTAGTGACCACCAAGAACGGTTTACTCGTCGGAACTCATTGGTTGAACTTACACAGGATGAGAATATTCGTGTCTGTGCCTTCAATGGAGGTCAAGATGTTTGGGTTGATATAGGTGATAAAGCTCTTGGTGTTGAACTGTTACAGAAATTCCTTTGTCGTGAAGAACTGCTACAGAGTTGTCCCATTTTAAAAAGTGAAAGTTTACATGTTGGTGATCAATTTGCCAGTGTTGGTGCTAATGATTATAAGGCCCGTTTGAGTGCTTGTACTGCTTGGATTGCAAGCCCCAGAGAAACAGTTGCTATACTTGATGATCTTATTGCGAGAATGGAGGATATTGTAAACTAATTGATATGACGTATAGTAATACACAAACTACATGTACCTTAGCATATACCAGTTATGAATATGCTGAACCGGATTTTATACTATTATATAGTCGTGCACGAACCACATATATCCAGACTGTGGGTGCAAAACATACACATACAAAAGTCTTCTTATTCTGGAACCAGACTTAGAACTAATGAGGATTCTACTAACTATCACATGATGCATGCTTTATTTAAAAGACTAGACTTGACAGAACAAGTAAGAAAAATGATCTCAATAAGTTTAGCTGACAGGCTCTGTTTTGACCATGGCATGTGATAACTAGTGTTTAGGGTAGTAACCTTTACGTGGAGGCGAGAGTTGCTATTTCATCTCGTCGGTCTAAGCAATTACACCATCTTGCATTAAGCCGATCAGTTTGAAGTCTTTCAGCTTGTTTCATATTCCTCATCTTACATGTGTCCGCAGCAATAACCCTAATTTCCATATGGCATTATCAATAGTATGATACCAGAAAATCGAACACCCAAAAAATTTCCTAGTGTGGAACCCTACAGAGCGCTACCAAAGAAAAGCTTTTGCTGATTACAGTAGCAATTAAAGATATCCATTGATAAACTTGAATAGTTAACACCCTATATAAAGGTGATCAGGCTGAAATTGAGTTTTTAAAAGTTTATTTTGTTTTTATTCTTTTATCTTATTTTGGTGGTAAATCAATTATGACGAAACTGAACTTTTATTCACTTGAAAAAACACCTTATTTAAACCCTAGAACTGATAGAAGAGTGGCTGTGGTGACTGGAGGCAATTCAGGAATTGGATGGTATGATTGTCTTCATTTGTATTTACACGGTTGGACCATTTATGTGGTTGGTAGAAATGAACAGAAGGTTACTTCTGCTATTCAAAAAATAGAAGAGGAACTGAAAGTTACTATTGCAAAGTACCCTGAAGATCAGTTGAACAAAAGACCAGTGGGGTCATTGAAGTATGTACATGGAGATTTCACTGATTTAGCTAGTTGTGATAAAGCAGCAAAGGAAATCTTGCTGCATGAGAAACTTATTCATTTGGTTATTTTGAATGCTGGCGTGATGGCTTTACCATTACAATTTACCAAAGATAATTTGGAAATCCAATATCAAACTAACGTAACAAGTCAGTTTCTTTTGACTATGAGGTTATTGCCAGCTGTGAAGGCAGTTGCTGAACAAGGCCAAATCGTTCCTCGTATTGTATTCCTTAGTTCTCTTGCTCATACAATGACTCGAAGCTTTGTTAAACCAGGCGACAAATCGCTTTTTAAAGGACCAAACTTCCTAAAGACATGGATGAGATATTCTCAAAGTAAATTGGCAGATATCCATTTAGCCAAACAACTTGCTCAAAGATACCCCAAGATTCTTACTTCCTCAGTACATCCTGGGGTTATTGTTGACACAGAATTGTACAGCCATTGGAAAAAGCTTCCTTTAATCGGAGTGTTTGCCAGAGGATTCATTGGACTTACAGGGAAACTTGCAGGTGTTTCCCAAGAAGAAGGTTGCTTATCTACCTTGCGTGCAGCTACAGATCCTAGTCTTACATTAGAAAAGGACAATGGGAAATACTACGATGCGGGAGGACCACAAAAGGATCCTTCTGATATTGCCAATAATGTTGAGAATGCAAAATACACTTGGAACTGGAATGTTTTGGAATTGAAGGGTAGAGGCTTTGATGTGGAAGAAGCATAGGAGTACAAGAAAGACATTGTGAACGAGACAGTAACTTAGAGACAATAACATATGCAATTGACGTAGTATAAACGTGGGAGGACGACATTCAGACAGAAATTTAGTTCATATAGTTTATTTTATTTTACAATTGTTATAGCTCTTCGGCGATAGTGAAAGAGTCACGTGATGATAAGAAGAAGACTCATGTCATCTTCCGCAGCGATCAGTTGGGGTGTGTATACTTGAAATGGATTAACGTACTGAGTGAAGGCTAGTCAAAGCTGGAACTGCAATCTACTACTAGTATATACTCAGCTAAATCCGTTCAGTACTAGTCTAAGGTACATATTTCCCTTAAGATGGTAGTACCGATGGAAACGACATAGAAATGACTCTAAAATTGATTGTCATGAACACGTGACCAAATGTGGTTCAAGGTTCCAGTAACACGAACACAATTCATTTAATTAGTATAGGAGTTACCTACATCTATATATTTTATATAATTCATGCACTATGGCCATCGATGCATTAATATGTGTATAACTGTATGGTTTAACATACTTCAGGGTCCAGTCCTATTTCATGCGGTCATTCACAAAACTGCTACCTAAATACCCAAAGTCGTGCACAGACTAATATGTGATCAAAAAGGATGTAGTGCACAAACGGAAGAGGGGGTTATAATAAATCCTACTAGTATCTCTTTATCTTCTCTTCTTCTCTCGCCTTCACTTTACATTTGCTTCTTATTCAGCCAAATCAGTACTACTTATTAGGTTGGTTAGTAATCAGGACACCACATAAGAATAAAACATTTGACTTTACATTTAAATTCGCTGTACTCCCTTAAGCGGCAAATACACAAGAGTAACTATGATTTTCAAGACTGCAAAGTATGTATGGAGGTGGTGGTTATACTAAGAACGACTTGTCATGACGTTACTAACATTTATAGTATATTAATATCTGTGGTATACCCAGTAGTCGCTTCATACAATGTTTTGGAATACTACACCCGTTTAAACCAAGAACATAACTTTGGTAGAATCTCGGTAGGTGGCATCAACGTTAACTTGGGAGAAATGTTCAAAAGTGCAATGAATGAAAATGCTTTACCTATGGGCTATACTGAGAAAGCTGTTGCTCAAGTTAGTCTACAAGTTCAAAAATGGTTGATTTATTGGATAGTTTTATCGTTATTAACATTAACGGAAACAATTGCCTCCTTTATTATACCATTTTATCAATTCTTCAAGTTACCTTTGATTTTATATCTCCTATCACCAATGTTGATGAATTCCAGTAAATTGGCAGTTTCTGCCATTGTTGCTAGTGATAAACCTCCCACTATAGACAATGATGCAGATTGGAAACAATTCCAAGAACAAGGTTGTGGATTTGTTTATTTTAAGTTGATTAAACCATTTTTGGATGGAGAAGTCGATGCTATAATGAAATATATACCCTTGGATAAGTTGAAACATTTAACATCCACCATCCCCATTAATCTGACAACCTTATCTTGGGCACTGAAGATTGCAATGTTTAAGATGTCGTCCAATAGATCAATGGATGAAAGTATTGCTGATTCAGTTTCTAGCAGAGGCGTTGATTCTGAAGTGAAGAGTAAGAGCCCGGTACAACAGGGTGCAGTGGGCGGTGTCGGTGGTGCGGCTACCAGCTTTTATGAAGAATTCGATATGGTTGATAAACCACTTGAAACTGATAGTAATCTTAGACTTAGAGACCCCAAGCCAAAGCCAGAGAATAAACGATGGTTATGGTAAGCACTGGCAGGGGAGACCTGACCTGGGGTGCAAATTGGAACTGTATGACAATTTAAATGGATTGTCCAACTGTTATATTTATTCTTATGTTCGTTTGGATTTTGTAATATCCATTTATAACTAGCTATTCAATTATATTATTATTATTATTATTATTATAGTCGTTTATTTATTTACATGATTGTGATATGACAGTTTAAATATAATATGTACAACTGGTTATAAGCCCAAGTATTCCGATACAATAACCCTTTCTTGTACCTTGACGTTGTTCTTCTCAATCTCAGCAACCTTAACAGCACGTGAAGCTCTTGTTTTAGCGGGAACAAATGCATTGGGTAACCGTGGCTTATCATAGATCCCTCCATAAGCTCCTGAAGGTTTATAGACATTGGAGCCTATTGCTTGGTTTTGCTTGGTAACTCTCAGCATTTCTGGTACTTCATTAGCAGCTCTATTAGCAACTTCCTTAGGAAGATCAGGCCAAATAAAGGGTTCTTCCATATCTATAGTCATTTTTTTGTATTGAGGTTCTCTGAACCGAGCATAGTCATCAGGGCCTCTACGCCATCTGGGAAACATCAATTGCACAGTGACATTCAATGCCCGTAACCCATATATATTCCATAGATAATCTCTCAAGTCCATCTTATTGAAGTTCCGAGGTACTAAGAATTTGGCTTGATAAGGCGTGTGTTTGGCATTAGGTCTCAATAATATGACTCGAGCCTTAGGAAGGTATACTTTCTTTTCCCCGACTCTGAAATGTGGTTGGCCAGTTGCGACTTCCTCTTGGAATCTCAAGTAGTTTCTTCTGGCAATGTCATCGGATCCAGTACGATATTTAATAGGCACAGGTTTACCTGCTTCGGTATATTTCTGTTGGATCTCTGTGTTAGGGAAAAGCGTATCAACCACACCTTGAGAAATCAATGGTTGTCTTTCTTTTCTGAACCCGTATCTTGTATGTTCCAAGTTAACATCTTTGGATTGCACTTGAGGGTATGTCTTAGGTGTTAACTTGTGATGCACACCTCTCCTGAACACAGAATTGAACAAGTTCCCTTTAAACATGGTGTACACAGCGTATACTATCAATAATATAGCTTATACTATGTTACAGTACGTTACACTTTATTGTAGTACCTTATAGCCTGTTGTAGCATAGCTAAAATTTTTCATCAAGTTCGAGACAAGTTCCGGGTAACCCCCTTCGCACTCTAAAAACATCACCAGTGAAAAAGTCAACGAATACAAACACCAAAGACAACTACACAGTTATACTTGTGTGACGTGATCGGTTTGACGGAGTAGGAACTGATACCTGATTGGTTGAGTCATCTATAATACTATTATTAATTTGACGTATCACATTTGTGGGCAGTCTCCTTTACAAATAAATTATTGGTTTGATTACTTTTCATTTTTTTGCCATTCGAGTACCACTAATTAAAAATGGACGAAAGTGATCCTTATATGTATGATGATGAAGATCAAGGCATCACGCCTGAAGATTGTTGGACAGTGATTTCATCATTCTTCCTGGAGAAGGGGTTGGTGTCTCAACAATTGGACTCCTTTGATGAGTTCATTGAAACCACAATCCAAGAGTTAGTTTGGGAAGATAGTCATCTCGTGTTAGATCAACCGGCACAACATACCAGTGAACATGATAATGAAAACAGACGGTTTGAAATCCAGTTTGGGAAGATCTATATCTCAAAACCACAACAAACAGAGGGTGATGGTACAACTCATACTATGTTCCCTCAAGAAGCAAGATTACGTAATTTGACGTATTCATCACCTCTTTATGTTGATATGACCAAGAAGGTGTTTAAATCAGATGATAACAAAAGAAATGGTAATGAATTAGAATGGGTAGAGCAAAAGATCCAAGATGAAGATTCAGAAACTCGTGTCTTTTTAGGTAAAGTCCCTATCATGCTTAGATCCAAATTCTGTATGTTACGTGATGTAGGAGAACATGAATTTTATGCCTTGAAGGAATGTCCATATGATATGGGTGGTTATTTTGTTATTAATGGGTCCGAAAAGGTTTTGATTGCTCAAGAAAGAAGTGCTGCCAACATTGTTCAAGTTTTCAAGAAAGCTGCACCTTCTCCTATATCTCATGTTGCTGAAATTAGATCTGCTATCGAAAAGGGCTCTCGTTTAATCTCCTCTATGCAAATCAAATTATATGGTAGAGATGAAAAGGGTACCAGTGGACGAACAATCAAAGCCACTTTACCTTATATTAAAGAAGATATCCCTATTGTCATTGTTTTCAGAGCTTTAGGGGTTGTACCGGATGGTGATATCTTGGAACATATTTGTTATGATGCAAACGATTGGCAAATGTTGGAGATGTTGAAGCCATGTGTGGAAGAAGGTTTCGTTATACAAGAAAGAGAAGTTGCTCTTGATTTCATTGGTAGAAGAGGTGTTTTGGGTATTAGAAGAGAAAAACGTATTCAATATGCCAAAGATATTTTACAAAAGGAATTACTTCCAAATATCACTCAAGATGAAGGGTTCGAAACCAGAAAAGCCTTCTTCTTGGGTTATATGGTCAACAGATTATTATTATGTGCTTTGGAAAGAAAGGAAGCTGATGATAGAGATCATTTTGGAAAAAAGAGACTTGATTTAGCTGGTCCATTATTGGCCAATTTATTCCGTATCTTATTCAAGAAATTGACTAAAGATATCTATAATTATATGCAAAGATGTGTTGAGAATGATAAAGTTTTCAATTTAACATTGGCTGTGAAATCCCAAACAATCACCGATGGGTTACGTTATTCATTGGCTACTGGTAATTGGGGTGAACAAAGAAAGGCAATGAGTTCAAGAGCTGGTGTCTCCCAAGTGTTGAATAGATACACATACTCATCCACATTATCTCACTTGAGAAGAACAAATACTCCTATTGGTAGAGATGGTAAGATTGCCAAGCCAAGACAATTGCATAATACACATTGGGGTCTTGTTTGTCCTGCTGAAACCCCAGAAGGTCAAGCGTGTGGGTTGGTTAAAAACTTATCATTGATGACTTGTATTTCTGTGGGTACACCATCTGAACCTATTTTATACTTTTTAGAAGAATGGGGGATGGAACCTTTAGAAGATTATGTTCCTTCAAGTTCTCCAGATTCTACAAGAGTGTTTGTCAATGGTGTTTGGGTGGGTACTCATAGAGAACCAGCACATTTGGTTGAAACAATGCGTAATTTAAGAAGAAGAGGTGATATTTCTCCAGAAGTTTCTATCATTAGAGATATAAGAGAAAAGGAATTCAAAATCTTTACAGATGCTGGACGTGTATACCGTCCATTATTTGTTGTTGATGATGATCCAGAGTCAGAAACTAAGGGTAATTTGAAATTACAAAAGGAACATATTCATAACTTGCTTAACTCTGAATATGATGAAAATGAAAAGTATGGTTGGACAGAATTGGTCAATGCAGGTGTTGTTGAATACGTTGATGCCGAAGAAGAAGAAACTATTATGATTGCCATGTTCCCTGAAGATTTGGAGTCTACTACTAATGTTGAATCAAATGAAGAAGAAGATATGGATGCTGCAAAGAGAATCAGAACTTCTATCAAAAGTAGTACTCATACATTTACTCATTGTGAAATCCATCCTTCCATGATTCTTGGTGTTGCTGCTTCAATTATTCCATTCCCTGATCATAACCAATCCCCTCGTAATACTTATCAATCTGCTATGGGTAAGCAAGCTATGGGAGTTTTCTTGACCAATTATTCCGTCAGAATGGATACCATGGCTAATATTTTATATTATCCTCAGAAACCTTTAGGTACTACCAGATCGATGGAATTTTTGAAATTCCGTGAACTTCCTGCTGGTCAAAATGCTGTTGTTGCCATTGCATGTTATTCTGGTTATAATCAAGAAGATTCCATGATTATGAACCAATCATCAATTGATCGTGGGTTATTCAGATCTTTATTCTTTAGATCTTATATGGATTTGGAAAAGAGACAAGGTATGAAAGCATTAGAAACATTTGAGAAACCTTCTCGATCTGATACCTTAAGATTAAAACATGGTACATATGAAAAGTTGGATGATGATGGATTAATTGCTCCTGGTGTGAGAGTTAGTGGTGAAGATATTATCATAGGTAAGACTACTCCAATTCCTCCTGATACAGAAGAATTGGGTCAAAGAACTCAATACCATACTAAGAGAGATGCTTCTACTCCATTGAGAAGTACAGAATCTGGTATTGTTGATCAAGTCTTGTTGACTACTAATGGTGATGGAGCTAAATTCGTTAAGGTAAGAATGAGAACCACCAAGGTTCCCCAAATTGGTGATAAGTTTGCTTCTAGACATGGTCAAAAGGGTACTATTGGTGTTACTTATCGTCATGAAGATATGCCATTTTCCAGACAAGGTATTGTTCCTGATTTGATTATCAATCCTCATGCTATTCCTTCTCGTATGACAGTTGCGCATTTGATTGAGTGTTTGTTATCTAAAGTGTCTTCGTTATCCGGTTTGGAAGGTGATGCTTCCCCCTTTACTGATGTTACGGCTGAAGCCATTTCCAAATTATTACGTGAACATGGATATCAATCTAGAGGGTTTGAAGTGATGTATAATGGACACACAGGGAAGAAATTGATGGCCCAAGTTTTCTTTGGACCTACTTATTATCAAAGATTAAGACATATGGTGGATGATAAGATTCATGCCAGAGCTAGAGGACCAGTTCAAGTGTTGACGAGACAACCTGTTGAAGGTAGATCAAGAGATGGTGGGTTACGTTTCGGGGAGATGGAAAGAGATTGTATGATTGCCCATGGAGCAGCTGGGTTTTTAAAGGAAAGATTGATGGAAGCTTCTGATGCTTTTAGAGTCCATGTTTGTGGTATTTGTGGATTAATGTCTGTTATTGCCAATTTGAAGAAGAATCAATTTGAATGCCGTTCATGTAAGAATAAGACGAACATTTATCAAATCCATATTCCTTATGCTGCCAAATTATTATTCCAAGAGTTGATGGCTATGAACATCTCTCCAAGATTATATACCGAGAGATCGGGGATTTCTGTTAGAGGGTAGTAGCTCCCGTTCTTGTATAATACAATAAATATAACGACTATTGATAATGTTAAGGCGCGGTAACCCAATATGGTAATGCCAGTTGCAAGATTACGTAAGAAGAAGACTCAATTTACCGAATAGGTTAAATGAAGCAGTTGTCCTTCCTCTCGTTGTTCTTCTTATGGTTTGAGACAGAGTTCGTGGCAGTAGTTTGAGCACCCATAGTGAAAGCAGTAGTTTTTGTTGATAATGAAAGTGATAAAAACCTTTGATAAAACGAGAGATTGACCAGCTTTTATAGTTTTCGTTAAAAATTCACTGATGTAATTTGGAACTAATGGTTATTAATAGATTGATGGCTATGCCTGGAGTCTATGGCACCTCAATTCATATGCCGCGTTAAAGTGTACTCAATTGATGTACGCTTCCAGTTAACGCATACTCAATCAATATACCCATTTGGTCCAGGGCCCTGGCTTCAGTCTAAGGTTTCCTATCTGTACCGCTATTCACTAATCAAATGCTATTCACGTACATAGTATGCCAATGGATAGCTGCATTATTAGTGAAGAGTTATACTATTAAATAAGCCTACGGTTATTACGTAAGAATGCGTCTTATATTTTCTATCTATGTACATGAAAATGTCATCGGTTACTCTATTTGGTAATTCCAAACTTCACCCGAAGTTGATCAAGTCGAGCTTCATTCTGTTCCAATTGATCTAATTTAGCCCTCATTTCTTTATTCTCATCTGCAAATGCAACCAAGTTCTGCTTATAAGGATGCTCATCTCCATCATATAATTTCAATCTATCCATTCTTACTAATCTTAACTTATTCTTAGGTATCATCCCCTTGACTGCTCTACGTAATACTTCTCCATACCCTTTGTTCTCAATCATCTTCTCCATGGGTACCAACTTTAATGACCCTGGACGGGTGTTATGAGACCAGTATGTCTTATCCTGTAACTTATTACCAGAGAACTTTAAATGAGAACAGTTGGTCACAACCACGTAATCTCCATGATCTCTATTGGGTGTGTAGGTGGGCTTATGTTTCCCTTGTAACGTAAGTGCTATGCTTGACGCCAATCTACCGAGTGTTCTTTCTTCAGCAGCAACATCCACATGATGCCACACTCTGGTTAATGCCACAGCACTGTTCCCGATTCTTTGAGACATGTTTAGGATTACTATTCGTATTAACTACTACTAGCTACCCGTTAGTGAGACTCTTGGATTATGTGAAGAAAAAAATTTTCGACGACATTTTCGACGGTAATGAATGTCGTGAAAGAAAATTGAAAATCGATACGACATTTCTCAATACTTCACACAAAAATTGGTATGAAAATATTTGGACTAATATGTGTATCAACAAGAGAGAGAACTATCACCATACTGAATACTTTCTATTACTATTACTACTTATTACTCCTGTTAGTTATCCCGGATATCAGCGTGTTGCCTTTTATTTCCCACATACCATCCACATTCAAAGCATCAATTTCGTCATAATATTTCACAATGTTCTTCCTCAAGGACTTATCATTGAACTTAACGTTACATCCATCGTATTTCGGTCCTCAAATGGACCAATACTTGAGAGAGAAGTTGCTCAGCGACGTGGAAGGCACATGTACCGGACAGTTTGGGTACATTGTATGCGTTCTAGATTGTATGAACATCGATGTTGGTAAAGGTAAGATCATTCCTGGGTCCGGTATGGCAGAATTCGAGGTCCATTATAGAGCAGTGGTTTGGAAACCTTTTAAGGATGAAGTGGTAGATGGTGTGGTGACCACAGTTAATACTATGGGATTCTTTGCTGATGTTGGACCGCTATCAGTATTTGTTAGTACCCATTTGATTCCTTCAGATATGAAATTCAATCCATCAGCTAATCCTCCAGCTTTTGTAAGTCCTGATGAAAATATCGAAAAGGGCTCCAGAGTCCGTATAAAGATCGTGGGTATCAGAACAGACGTTAATGAAATCTATGCCATCGGAAGTATAAAGGAAGATTATTTGGGTCCTAGTCCTGCTTGATAAAATACCATCTCTATGGTGAAAAATAAACTTTATAGATAGTAAGTGATGATGTAATCTAATGTATAATTGACAGGACTATTCCTGAACAATATCCATCAAATCGTTATTCAATACTATCCCAAGTATTCCCAGTATTCTGCCCCCTTCAGTTCTTGTGTCTTTGGTTCCAATCTCCACTGATGAGGTTTCCTGTCTAGGTGGTGATGGTGCTTTTTCAAATTCTGGCTGTTTCCCTGTATCAGAATCTTTTCTGGCATCAATAAATCTTTCTGCTTCAATGAGTGATGACGTGGCACATCTAGTAGCATCTGGATCATCTACCTCAGGCGAGGAAGGAATGTACTCAATGGATGGAGATGACGATACACCACCTGCAATGGCTGAATGGTCCACCACCACTCCTTCAATCTGTTCAACTGAAATATTAGCACCACTAGATTCACCTTCCATTCGTTTACTCAATGGTTGCTCCTGATGCTCGGAGAGTTCCACTCGTCTCTTAGTGGGTCGATTGGGGGGTAATTCAGTAAGAGATGTGCTCTGGTCCCTTGAAGTTTGCTCTCGGGCTTCTGCAGTTGCTTGTTGCAGTTGTCGCCTATTTTGATATGTTTCTGCAGGATTTGGAGCAGGTCTAAAACTATTGTCACCATTCTGATTCTGTGGAGGCCATGGTGATGAAGAAGATGATGTTGGTGATAATGCTGAAATAGAAGCCAGTCTATGATTATTCATATTGACTGTTGGACCGGGGTTTTGAACATGATAGCTTCCAGATATAACAGGCTTAGAAATATTCATGGGGGAGCTTGCTTCATTATTCCAACATTGCATAAGTATCCGATTGGCTTCAGCTGAGCTTCTAAACTTCACACTCAGAATAATCCCAGATAATTCAACTATTCCCATACCTCGGTGTTTCATTTCAACCATAGTGGCCAGAATTCGTAACTTCATAAGCATAAGTGTACCTCTTAATTCTCCTTTCCCCAAAGAAATCCCCAACTTTCCTAATGATTTGGCAGAGAAAAGAGTATCATCTAAAAGTGCCATCTCCTTGCTGAGTAACGTTTGTAGCTCAAGATTGGAAAGCTTAGTTACATCTCTGACAGCACTAGATTGGACCATAGTACGGTAAGAATTGGGTACATCACCATTACCATTTAATGGAGGATGCGATATAGACCGGTTGAAATTGGGAATAGCACCATTACCAGAATTAGGATGGGGTAAGGAACGATTATTGGAATTGGCATCAGAACCATTCAAATGGGGTAAGGAATGGTTGGAATCAAACAGAGAACGACTTCTCTCTAGGATTGAGGTGCCATGTATTTGAGGTGATGTTTGGAATGCCCCTTGCGTAATATTTTGACGGTATAATTCATTCAACTTCTTTTGTGTATCAATAAATGTCTGATATGCACTGTGTGAGGTTTGGACACCATTCCATGGACCTTGCGGGGTAGTATTACTTTGATGTTGTACCAAGGCAGGTGATCTCGTTGTATTAGGATTAGGAAAAGTTACGTTTGCCTGTTGCTTACTAATTGAATTGCTCTGAGTTGTGTTTCTGCTTCCATTCAGTAGTTGATCTGTTACTTGTCCTGATTGTAAATTAATGTGGTGTCTTAATCCTAATTGCGAAAACCTGGGGTGGACTGCTTGTAAAGCACTAGACTGTATTTGTCCTATATGTTGATTATTGGGGTGTGTTTGTCCTGGATGCTGATTATTGAAATGTTGCTGACCTAATTGTGAAGCATTGGGGTGTTGTTGACTGGATTGTATCATATTGAGGCGTAAATGTCCAGATTGTGATGATCTAGGATACATTCGAAATGAATATGCATTGGGATATGTTTGTCCTAATTGTGGCGTATTAGGTTGCAGGGTAGCTGATTGTGGAGAATGACTAAATTTAGAATTATTCGTTAAGTCGTTGCTTGGAAATAGTGAGCTTGGTACTGGGATAGATTGCATCAGATGTAAGTTTTGTTGGCTTAGTTCAGGCTGTGAATCAGGAATTGTTGCATGTGAGTTTGGTTGACTTGGTGTTACAGCTGACATCAGTTGTTTGGTTTGTAGGTTTGTTTGATTCAATTCTGGTCGAGACACAGATGCGCTTCTATTGAGATTCGAAGCAGCTGGCATAGGTAACCGTTGGCCATTATTTGAATTCAGATTTGGGTTATGTTGCCAATTTTCGAGCTTCAGTGAACCGTTTTCACTTGTTGATTTGTTACCATTAGAAGAACTACTGGATCTCCTTGGAAGCTCTGATAATGGTATATCCTCGTTCTCCAAATCACTGGTATCCATATCAGGACGTACCAGTAAATTTGGATGCTGATGCATATTTGCAAAAACAGTACCCTGACGCAAAGAAGATAGCTCTGCTGTTGTTGTAACTTCTGGCGATTGGGGAGTGACACTGTTGGAACGCGCATTGCCCAGAGTATTATTGGGCACAGTGGATGTCTCATTGCATTCAATACCATTTAATAGCCTTTGAGGAGACGAAGGTGACAAATTAGATATTGGGCTAATGTGGGGTGACAGTGTATTCGATTGCGCCCCAGTGTTATCAACATCAATGCCCTCTGTTGGTGCTACTGTAGGAGCATCGGGAGAATTCGGACTACTCAAAGATGAGACATTGGTGTCTTGATCCCTTTCTCCTTTGGGAATGAGATTGGTCTCTTGTTCATCTTCATCTTCACTTAGTTTTTGAATTTTTGGAGTTCGGTGAATTTCAGCTTCACCTTCAGTCTTATCTTCATATTCCTCCTCGTCATCATCATCACCAGAGTCCAAAATGATTATATCTGCTTCCACAGGAGCTGATGAAGAAGCCTTTGGTTTTTGGTTTTCATTTGACTTTTTTTTTGAGCTCCCTTCCATATCTTCCACGTTATCAGATTTCCAAGTACCATCATCAAATATTGATATTTGGCCATCATTATCAGATGTTTCTTTAAGAACCTCAACAAAGTAGTCAGATACACTCAAATCCTGGAACTTAATTTGAGCCAGACATAATGGACATGACCAAGTTGGAATCTGGGATTGAGATTCTAAAAATGATAAGCCATCAAAACAATCAATATGTGAACAGAAAATGGATCTCACCGGACATCTTATCTTTGCTAAGGTTAATGAGTCTCTTAGACTGACGTTTAAGTTGGAAATTGCAATATCATCATCATCATCAACTGCAAACTGTTGTTTTATTTTTTCAACAGTGGCATTATATGAAATATGACTATGCTTTTGTTGAATAATTTCCAATAATTCCAAAGGCAGAATCACATCCACAATGTAAAGGTACATTAAATAAGAATCTTGAGTACCTTGATATAACAAAGAAACCTTATTTAAATAAGGACTAGGTTGAAGGTAATCAGTTATATCTGCTGCTCTTCCTGTACCCTTTTTACCCTTTATACCATTAAGACTATGTTTATATATATGGTCATTCACAGTTAATCTCATAGCTTGAGGGAACTCAAGATATACATCATTGGAACTTAATGCTCTTTTATCAGTTATCTTCCCGCAATATAAATAGAACCGGGCACCTTTTTCTTTATCTTGCCACAACTTCATTTCTGCCTCGTTCAATACAAATGACATATTAGATTTGCCATCATGAGCTGCGACTATTAGTTGAGGACTTGTATGGACCATTCTCTTGGTATAATAGAACGGCGAGGTTCTGAAATACAACGAGTGACCTTGATGTGGACTTGATTCCAATGGGTGAAGTTTGCTGCTTTCTTTTGGATGCTCTTCAGCGGGTACTTTTTTGGAGGAGGACATGAACTTGTCATTTACATCTAGACCACTATCTCTATAGTGGTTGTATAGATCAACATATCGGGGTATATCTGCAGCGCCCTCCAGAATGTGCATTGTTAGCACACGGACCGTATAGATCTTTATAGGGTCTTGCTTTGAAGGATCACCGGCATTCATGAACTCTAATACTCGCTTAGTTAGATCATTTTTGACTCCACTTATTCGGAGATCTAGAGACCGAAGAAGGGTTTTGAGCTCGGCTATTTTGAACCGGGTTAGCTTCAGCTCAATGTGGCACACATCTGCCGCCGTATTCATTTGCCTTGTTTGTATTGGATTGGTATGGCTAAGACGGATGGTTGTGGTGTGTAGTATTAGAGATAAACATTGTGAGGGAAAGAGCTTTAAGTTCGCGTGTCATGTGACATAGAAAATATATATGAAGAAGCATGAAGAAGCAAGAATGTATCAACACTTAAGTTATATGGTAAACTATATATATATATATATATATATATGAACATACAAGAATTTTCATTTATACTTAAGTTAGCTCATGCCATTACTTGCTTATGTATTGTTATTATATGAATCATACATTGTAATCCATTAGCTGAAGTCGTGATCACATGACACGCAGTGCGCTAACTTCTAGTACGATAAATAGATGCTTTGCTTTATTATCTCTAAATATATAATTACATTCTGTCAACAGGAGTCAATCCCAACAATGTCATACCATTGTACAACACCTGTCTAGCAGAAGCATATAATGCCAATCTAGCAGTAGCCAAATCCTCTTCTTGACCAGCAACCCACAAGATATCATAACACTGTGAAACAACATGAGTCAAAGAAAACAAGTAAGTAACAATGGTTGAAGGTTCTCTGGTCTTCAAAGCTCTTTGAATAACATCAGGGTATTGAGCCAAGATTCTAGCCAAGTTAGCAGCACATGGTTCAGTCAATAAACTAAGATCAGCTTCAATGTATTTAGATTCAGGAATGCTACTGTTTCTTTCAACAGATCTCAAACGACTGTGGGCATATTGCAAGTATGGACCAGTGTCACCTTCAAAGGATAACATTCTTTCCCATTTGAATTCATAATTGTTGATTCTCTTGGATTGCATATCTTGAATCATAACAGCAGAAATACCAACCAAATCAGCAATCTTTTCTGGGTCTTCAATTTGGGCATATTTGGCTTCATTCTTCTTCATAACTTCATGCATCTTGTCCTTGGTTTCTTCCAAAATATTATCCAAAAAGACAACAGTACCTTTACGAGTAGACATACCTTGGACCATACCAAAGTTAATATGTTCCAAAGTTTTGGCCCATTCGAAACCCATTTGCTTAACAATTTCGAAAAATTGTTGGCAATGCAAATCTTGTTGAGCAGCAATAACATAAATCATCTTGTCAAACTTATAAGTCTCGTAACGTTGGATGGCTTCACCGACATCTCTTGTCAAATACAACGAAGTACCATCGGATTTGGCCACAAGACATTTGCCTAATTTCTTGTTGAACTTGGTCAAATCAATTAATTTGGCTCCTCTATCAATATGAATTAAACCTCTTTCCTCAAAGAGATCAGTGGCACTCTTCATCTTTTCTTTACTAACTTGAGATTCACCAGAATAACGATCGTAGTGAATGTTAAGACGGGCATAAGTGTCAATATACTTTTCAATAGATAACTCTCTGAATTTCTTCCACAATTTCAAAGCCTCTTCATCACCATCTTCCATCCTTCTGAAATATTGTTTAGCAGCTTCATTGGTGGGTGAATCTTCACCTTCTTCAGTGATGTCCTTATTTACTTTAACATAGACTTCAAATAAATGGTTAATTGGGTCAGTTTCCAACAATTCTTTAGAACCATACTTGGAAAATCCAACAGCCAATAAACCAAATTGTTTACCCCAATCACCCAAATAGTTCATACGAACAACTTCCCAACCTGCCTTCTCATACAAGTTGGCCAAGAACCCACCAATAATAGTTGATCTTAAATGACCAGCATGGAATGGCTTAGCAATGTTAGGTGACGAGAATTCAATAATAACCTTCTTTCCTTGGCCTAAAGGTAAACAACCATATTCAGTTTTTCTAGTTAAGGTATCCTTGATGACCAAATTAAACAAAAGATCCTTTGCAAAGAAAAATTGCATAAAGGGACCTTCAGCTTTAACTTCACTCAAGTATTTACCTGCTTGGAATTCCTTTGCCCATTCTTCGGCCTTTTCCTTAGGGTTAACACCCTTCAATCTTAATCTAGGAATTGGAATGATCAAGTCACCCTTTTCCAAGACAGCTGGAGTATCTAAAGCTTCGAAAATAATCTTTTTCTCAACTCCAGAGATACGACTCAACTCACTGGAGATGTAATTTCTCAATACATCAACGACATTGTAAGTAGGATGAGATTCAGGGAGCGATTCAGGTTGTTCCAAACCCAACTTAGATAAGCTGTTTTCAATAGTGTTAACAGATGTGCTCATGTTTCTAAAGTTATATGGCACAACCGGTGTTCTTCCGCAGTAGTATGGTAACAGACGGGTGTAAACGGCTCGTTTAATAGGTTGAAACAATTGTTTCCAACTTAACATACGAAGAGATGGCTTACTATATGCCTTCATAAAGTACGGTCTCAAAATTTTCCACTTCCCTATTTCAAGTGGTTACCCGGACACTACTCGTGACTCATGTAGCCTTACTACTGTACTACTATTTGATAGGGCTGCTATTAGTACTGAGACGGCTTGAAAACTACAAATGGAAAGAATCATCCATTAGTAGTTTAAAGGAAGCCAGTATATGTTAGGCATGAGTTACAAGTGAGTCAAGTCTCAAGAAGCAATATAGAACTACTCAGTAATAAGCACATTAGAGGTATACACTGACATACTGATACACCGATACACCGATACACTGATACACTGGTAAGTATAGTCATAGACATTGACATGTAGTAATGTACTTGTAGATAGAACGTGATATACGAAGCCGCATATGCAGAGGCTCGGTCTATGGTGTAGCTTAATACTGCAGTTGTTGCACACCGATACAACAATAACAATACGTCAGATTACACAAGCTTATGTAATGAGTCATGGTTGACAACTGAATACAATTGTGTGAATGTTAGGGGTCGAATTGAGTGTCGAATGAACGAATGTTAGGTCGACCGATTGAATGCCACTCCACCAATTTGTATGCGAAAAAGTCAACTGAACATACCGTGAACCGCTACCCCATATACATATACGTATACCTTCCCATAAAGACAACATGAGCGCTGATAAAGTGACGCAATTGGTCAACATGGGGTTTGAACGGTCTCAAGCCGTGCAAGCTCTTGTTACATGTAATGATCAGCTTGAATTGGCAATTCTGCATTTGTGTGGAGATATCGCCCCTCAGAGTGCTACTCCCACTACTACCACCAGCAATATCAAACAGGATACAGTGGAAATCAGTAACCCTGATGATATCCCTGATTTGTCTCAATATACCCATGGCATCCAAGAGATGGGAGTAATGACATCTTATCAAGTACATAAAGCTGCTGCTGATGCTGATGCTGATGCTGATGCTGATGCTGATGTTGATAGTGGTGCTGATAATAACGATACTGATAACATTGCTAAGTCTGCTCCCCCTCAAGATGCTTTCGAAGTACTGGACTCCGATTTTAATGAAATTTCACGAAGTCAACTGCAAACTCCTGGAGATGTTGGTAGTCGCTATCCATATGATAATGTTCACCAGAACCAGACCCCAGAGCCTTCAGTCTTTGATGACCCTCATAAACTTCTCCCTAAAGAGGATGAGGTAGTTTCACCAGTTGTTTTGGCCAATGGCAAGTTTCTAGAAGGTTATGTTGCCCCATTATTCACTATCTTAGGTCAATTGAATGTATTTGATAAGGCTATCTTTGACTTGTTGTTACCTGAACACCTGTTGGTCTATAATCCTGAATGGTTCCGTAAGAAGTCTACTATTGTGAAGACAGAGGCCCTGAATCCAAATCTTAGAGACTCTAAAACGGTAGAATATTTGATACTTTTACAGCTTTTGCTTTCGTATCTTCGTTCGGGAGATTCTAAAAGGCCCTTTGTGGTTGGGAACTTCCTATCGGAGAACATTCCCTTGGAGTTAAGACAAAACCTTATCAATATAGATGATGTTCTGGACCTGTTGCTTAGTTTCTATAGACACTTGGACGAAAGCTATCAAGCTGTTTCAAGCAATTCAGCATCATTGAGCCACTTATTCCAATCAGAAATCCAAGGACCTCAAGACCCAGTAAAATTGCTTAGTATTAGCTTGGATAGCGAAGTACTTGGTGAGTCTGGTAGTATACAGCAATGGCTTAACAAAGTGTTTTTAACAGAAGAACAAACCCATAGTTTTTCATATGTGTCTCCGATATTATCCTTCAGTATCAGTCGTGATGGTGATGATAGTTTTATACCTGAAGATACTCAAATAGATGAGTATTTGTATCCACATTTATATGCTACCAAGTATATTGAAATCATCGATAAGATGAAGCAAAGGCGAGAGGATTTGGCCAGGGAAAGACAATCACAAAATCAGGAATTACTGGGGTTGACATCCTTTGAAGGGTTCAATGTGAGTAAACTTATGGCTAGGGCTATTGATTCTATGGCCGATGAAGATGCCAGAAATGATTTAATTCAAATCCAAGATGCTTTGAGACAAGAGAAATCCACACTTTCTCATCAGCTTATGACTGGAAGCAATAAATATGCTAGTTTGGACATACAAGACTTTGACAATGTCATGGCATATTTGAAACATAACAATATCGAACAGCCTCCAAAGTTTATATTGACTGGGATTATTATTTCACCTGTTGAATATTACGTTCGAGAGACCCACTCTTCTGATTCTTGGAGATATGTTAGGGAACTACAGACTGCCAAAGGGACTCTTCGAGATTATATCCACGAAGCTGGCCTTCACTTTGAGTCTATTCAACAAAGTATAGGTGAGAACATGGCTAGGTACCTTATGGAGAGTCCACTATTGCTCATATATGTTGAAGAGAGTATTTTTTTTGAAGAAAATGAGTTTACAGTTCCTGAGAAGATCAAGAACTTTATCCACGAAGACAATGAGTATTTAGCGCAACAAAGGAAGACGTTGGAAAAGGATAACGATAAGGAAGTTGTTGAAATATCAGATGATGACGAAGACGAAGTTGATGATCACGACAGTGATACAGTTCTTCTTAAAATGGTTAATAAAAAACTATCAGAAACAAGTAATGAAGAATAGCTGTAATAGGGCTTAGAGTTAGACAGTTGGTGTCCGGGTGTATAGATTAGATTTGTAGTGTATGCAGTCGCCAGGAGTTTTGAAAGTTTAAGTTGAATTTCCACGTCAGAAAAACTACTACTACTATTACTACTAACTTAATCTGCTACTATAATCATTGATCCAGAATGTCGTCGAGTGTACCATACAATCCCGGAGACTTTGAGGATAACAATCCCTTCACATCGGTGCTTGATATCGCACCTGCTCCTCCGCTTGAGGACACGACGTCTGAGAATGAAGGGGAGACACAAGCAGCACAAGCAGCACAAGCAGCACAAGGACTACCAAGTGGAGAAGATAAGGAGACTGAGATTGAAGAAGGTCAGTTGAGCGAGATCGAGCTTAAACGGTTGATTCCAGAAAGATATACCAAGAAATATCTGATGAGTATAGAGATGAAGGCCATTGAGAAGAACAAGCCTCAGAACCCTATATTAAGATTTGAAGTTACGGTTAAAGGTTTGCCCAAATATCGTCAAGAGAAATATGTTAATGTTCGTCGAACATATAATGAAGTAGTCAAGTTCAATAAGTATTTAACTGTATCGAATTTGGAGGTCTTTGTTCCTGTACTCCCACTGAGTGTTACCTCTTATCCACCTGGTAGTGAAGATGAGACCAAGCAATTGCTTAGTGTATGGCAAGAATGGTTTGATACCATTTCCCGGAATCGCATTCTTATTCGGGACGAGGAGTTTTTATATTTTATTGAGAGTGATTTTGGGTATTCCGTGATAAACTCCAATAAGAAGACACTGGTAGCCACGGGGTTAATGAGAAAGACGTTAAAACAATTGAGTGTACCATATGATCCTTATAATGAGCTTTCAGATTTCCGTCCACTAATCAAAAACATGTATTTGGAAACACTGAAGTTATACAAGATTTTGGATAGACACACCAAGCTGGAGAAACAATTATCCATTCAATTGTTTGATTTAGGGAATAAGCTTCTTAATCTTTCACAGTTTGAAACAATGCATCCAGGAATGAAGAATCTATGGGAGAAATTAAGTAAGATCACTCATATTCAATCTGATTTATTTTTGATAGAATGTGTTACAGATATGGGTACTCTTGGAGATGGGGCTCGGAATATGTCTGAAAACTTGTATCAAATAAAGGAAGCATTAACCAATCGTCATTTGATAATGCGTGAGTTGAATCAAGCTGAACAACAAACAAGAAGTAAACGAGCTCAAGCTATTAAGATCAAGAATAGGGCAAGTTTAGACCCAATAAAAGTAGATGAAGCTTTACGATCTTTGGAATATGCCACTAAAGCTGAAGAGTCGCTTAGTTTACAAGTGAAAAGAATATCTGGCGAGATGATCTTTGAAAAGGCAGAAATATTGGAGTCCACTGAATTAAAGTTCCAAAAATTGATTAAGAATTATACTTTACATAAAGTGGATCATCATAGAAAGGTTTTAAAGCATTTGGAAAGTATCAGACTTGATGTTCGATTGGTTGATGATAAAGGAGGATTATCACGATTAAATCGAAATAATCTTAGTACTATTAAACACAATCTTCTTCAATCGCAATCATCTTCTGGAGATTCATGGAGCTCCAGGTCATTCCGATCCTTAGCGGAAGAGAAACAACAACAGAGGCTTAAAGAGGAATCAGGTAAAGAAAATAAGCTTTTTCAAGAAGATGAAGAGATGGTTGATCCTAAACGTGCAGCTCATTTATTAGGTGTTGCGACATTTTGACTACTAACGACATTTATATACACATATATATATGGTTATATATATTTGTCTATAATTAATTGACCAAGTATCTCTTTTCGGCTTCCTTCCAGTTGATAACATTCCAAATGTTCTTGAAGTAGTCAAGCTTGACGTTTTGGTATTGCAAGTAGTAAGCATGTTCCCAAGCATCGATAGCCACCAATGGAACCAAGGGACCAGTAACAGTATCTTGGTTAGCAGTAGTGACAACATCCAAAGTACCACCATTTTCCTTATTCTTGACAATAAAAGCCCAACCAGCACCTTGGATGGCAGCTAACTTACTGTTGGTAACTGACTTCAATTCATCCAAAGAACCGTATTGCTCGATGATCTTCTTAGCAAACTCACTTTCATCAGATGGAGGTTCACCACCACCTTGCTTTGGGGGAGCCAAGTTCTTCCAGAAGAGACAATGGTTGGTGTAACCACCACCGTTGAAGTTGATGAGCTTTTGCAATTCAACAGTCTTCTTGACGTCACCTTTAGCCTTGGCTTCTGCTTGTTGTTCAATGGCGGCATTGTAACCGTTGACGTAAGCTTGATGATGTTTGGTGTAGTGGATCTCGTTAATTTGTCCAGAAATGTAAGGTTCTAAAGCAGCGTAATCCCAATCCAAATCAGGAAGGGACACCTTGGTACGAACAGCACCAGTGGCAGCGGAAACGGCCCTTTTACCGGCGAAACGGGTGTTATTTCTGAGAGTAGTGGAAAGCATTATATTGGACTCAATTGGACCAAAGGAAACAGTGTAGCGATGATAATTGCTTTAACTTTTGTAGTAGGGAGTTTCTGAACAAGTTTGTTTAATTGGTTGGTGTATATGCAGGTTGTGGCGCTACCGATTTGTTCTTCCGGTCCGACATCAGGCATACTTCATATTGGAGACTATGACAAATTAGCTACATACATTGTTATAACTAGCTGGTATAGTGTACTTGCAATATGTACTTGTAGTATGTAATGACGTCAATGCTCAGGTTGTATGAACAATTTTCCTTTCATCAGTTAATAATGTGATGCAAGAACTGGTGTTCAAGATACTGCTAGTCCAACGTTATACATCTTTAAGATTCAGGTGAGCACTGCACAATACGACTGGTAGACCTGACCTGGGCATATATGGTTTGACTGAAGCTTTATTTACTACTCCTGTTCGCACCTGTATATACACACCACATAACCTATTTCAAACTGAAGACAGACACTCACACAATACACTCCACCACAACCAAAGTCTTTTGTCAACATCACCAAATGTCAACGTTCAATACTCTTCGTACTCAAATAGTTGGGCTTGAAAACAAAACCGAATCTCTTCTTGGTCAATACTCCAAGCTTGAAGCAGAACCACAACCGTCAGAGTCAGAAAATGAACTCCGTCATCAAATTGAGGTTTCCCTTTCCACAACAGAACAAGCGCTTTCAAAATTAAATTCCATTCTGGAAATTGATATCTCCCTTCCATCTTCAAAACTCTCTCAATTATCCCGTCTTAAAGATAACTACAATTCACACGCACAAGCGTTCCAAAGAATGACGGCTCAGATCGAAGCAGATAGAAATCGTCATAACCTTTTATATAACTTACAACTGGACCTCACGGCTCATAAGAATCGAGTGCAACAAATTGATACTCAAGATTATGCCTTAGATGAACTGATGCGTGCTGACAACGCCAATTCACTTGCTGATCGTTTGCTTCAACTGGCTTATGCTACAAGGGATGAACTTTATCATCAACGTCAAATATTGGCTGGTACTCAGTCCACTATGTTAAATGCATTGCAGCATGTTCCCGGTATTAATGTGTTGATTTCCCGCATCAACACCAGACGGAAAAGAGATACCGTCGTCTTAGCCACCATCATTAGCATTTGCATCATCTTATTACTATTCTTCTTATAAGGGTATAGGCTATTGGTGGCGCTCCCATGATTTGATGTGGTAGTCCTTCCTCTTGTATGTGTATGTTACAGATGTTGATAAGCCTTCCAAACGAACAATAATAATAATATTATTATTAATGTGTGGTTTAGGGAGGTGGTGGGAGTGATAATAGTATAAATATAAGTAAGGCTCCCCTCCCTTTCTCAACGCTTGTGTTCCCTGCTCTATTACGTTCTGTTTGTCCAGTTGTGTTGTGTTCTACTCAGTTCTGCTCTGGACTTATGGATTTAGAAGTAAGTGAAAGAATAGCACGGTTGAAGCTCCATAGGATTCAGGAGTTCAATGCCCGGTTGATCCAAAGTTTACAACAAGAACGGTGCCTTTCATCAGAAGCTTGTCGAGGGTGAGTATACGTTAAATTCATGTGTAATAATAGTAATAATAATAATAGCAATATTGTTTGTGCTAACCACCAATGTATCAAGTATCATTACTTATTGCGAGGAGACTCGAGACTTTCTTATTCCTGACCACGGAGGGAATGAACCAACTAAATATCGTCTGTATGCTGAGTACCAAATGAGGAAGCCTCAGAGTAGTTCAGGGTGTTGTACAATAGTTTAATTCAGTTAATAACATTCTCTAATAGATATACACTTGTGCAATAGAGTAGCAGTAATAATAATACTGTTAGTAGTAGTATTATATTAACCACCTTTTTGAAGTTCTTCCTTCTCTAAAGCAAACATCTTATTACCCTTCGCATTATCTGTCTTCTTCCGCTTCTTTTCCATCAGCTCATTACCCAAGGTGAAATCTGATTCTTTCTCATCATCACCACATCCACAATCATAATCCTCCAAGATATTAGTACAATCATATTCTGGTTTCTTAAGCTTCTCGTTCACCTTATTGTGGACATAACACCCCCACAATGCAGCTTCTTTCCGTCCACTTACTTGTGGAGGATACTTTTTTAATAGCTTTATAAAATGTCTGGCACAGTCACCGCAGGGATACACTTGTGCAAATAAATGAATGTATTGACGAAGTGAAGTTTGTTCATCTTCAGAGGGAGTCTCAGGATAACGAGCCAAAATCGTATGGAAAAGCTTCCATGATGCATTTCCTAATTCTGCCTTCAATGTTTCATTGGCCATCTTTGGCATAAAGGGTGTAGTAGCCGCTAAGGATACTTGGGCACCGGAACTGGAACTTGTGCTTAACGAATCTTTAGCTAACTCTATGGTACGATCCAGTCCACTCATCATGAAGATGAACGTACCAAATAGTATAGCAAGTGCAAATGCCGTTGCAAGTGGTCTTCTTACCATTTTAACCATAGCCATGTTTGAAGCTAAATAGAATTAGCTTTATGATTAACTTGATCCAATTATTCTGTAAAGTGATGGTTTATACTAGCATTGGGTGTTCGAATCGGAGGTCACGTGACAATTGTTTCATATTTAGTTTAAAAAATAAGGCCATTATTAAAGACGATTTTAGTCCTTAAATTAGATAGCCTCAAAGTAGCTTCAAAGTCTTTACTGTGACTGTTGCATTCCTTCTCTTAACGCATAGCCATTCACTATATGATGTATATTATTATTTTTTCAAGAGTCTCAGGTGTGGTGAATCTAAGTACTCTTCTTAGTCATAGCGTCCAATACACCCGGAAGAGGTTCAGATCCCAAGGAAAACAAAAAACTAACACCACCAGCAATGACTAATGTAGCAGCAATACCAGTCCAGATAAACAAGTTTGCTTGAAACGATACGTCCTTTTTACTACAGTCATACCCAGCCCAAGAAACGGTTCCCTTCTTCTTATCAACAGTAGGAGAGCATAAACATGACCAGCAACCCTTGGACTTGGACATAGTGCAAACACCATGGTTATTGCAATTAGATGTAGACACTTGACAAGCTTCTTCAGAACTAAAACAGGAAGTATCTTCAACACGTTTGAATACTGTTTCCAATTGTTCATTCCGTTTACTTATTTCTTCAACTGTATGTTTAGGAGCAATGTTAACAAGATAAACGTTGAACTTGTGAGTCAATTTTTCCAATAAGTTCTTCAAATCAACTTCTAATTGCTTCAATTCATCACTGTTTCTTCCATATTTTTCAGAAATTAATCTAAGAGCTTGAGAATGGAACACAAACGATTCTCCTTCCCTAGGATTGGACGCCTTTGAGACTGTTTCAGTGATTCTAACCAATTGAGAAAGTTCATCCACAACAATAGGGATATTTTCCACCCAATCGTAGTCATTGTTGGACCACATAACTTTAGGAGAATTTGAAGCGTAGTTCCAAATAGTTTGTAGTCTATTATCAAATCCTGAAAACTTCAGAAGGTACTTGTTATGTGCTGATTTCAAGCTTGGAGTCATGGATTTCCATGAAGATGATTGAATAATTGCTTCAAGCTTATGTTCATCGACATCTTCTTGGTGAGAACGCGAAAGAAGCTTGGATTGGTCGAATGATGGATAGTCATCCATGGTAACAATCAAATGGTTCCATTTATCTCCAAACTCACGTTGCAACTCGGAAGTGAACTTCCAATCAGGTGGTGTTTGTTCAGTGTTAATTTGCAAGACATAATCCAAATAGTCTTCCAAAACAGAGAACTTAGCTTCCCTTTTGTCCGTAGGTTCTGGCGACCATACATTGGTAGCAACTGCTAAGACTGGAAAAGCAGCCAACACAATATCAGAAACCTTCATCCTTTGTTCTTATGATGATGAGAGACGGTTGGCCTAATTGGTTTTGCACTCTCTGTTATCAGTGAAAGATTTCGACGGGCAAGTGTAATTAAAATTCGTTGACTAGTGGGAATAAGTCGTGCGCGGTTCATGCTGATAAGAATTCAACTCTATGCAATTATGTATTCATTCACTATTGATAAATATATACACACGTATCTTGTGACCATACTAAACCTCATCTATAGTGACAGTTGGAGATTGTTGAGGAGAATACGAACGATCACCAGGAATATTGACAGATAAATCTGGACGCAGTGAAGAAGTACTTGTAGTTGGAAGAGGAGGAGGAGAATATAAAGTTCTTGTAATTGATTGCTTCCGTCTTGGGACGCCACCAACATCAACATTCTCATTGTTCAGCAGCATCAGATCGTCTGATGGCAATTTAGGTGAAAGATGAGGTTCTGGTTCTTTGTAATCTATAAAAGCCGAATTCTCTTCCTCCCATTGGTTGAAATCCTCTCGATCCAAGTTATCAGCCAGTTTATGTCGTCTCAATAAATTCTCTTGTTGAGTTATCAGTGCATCTACAGATAACTCCTTTAGTAACTCTGTAACAAGCTCCCGTACTTTCGAAGCAGTTGCTTCTGTTCTCAATATAATCACTATTCGATTAAGAAATGGTAAATTCGACCAATAATCCATTTCAGCATTAGTGAAATCTTGCAATACTCTTGTTTTGAGATAATCAGGTACAGTCATACCCTTCACGCCTTTGGTAATGAATATGTTATTATCCAAGTTGGATATAATGATAGAAGTTTTGGACATTGTAATAATAATAATAATAATAATAATAGATTCAATATTATATTGTAACAATTATCATATATAATCTTCCTATTGGTTATTATTAGCGTACTACCAATATGAACAGAGGTTTGATTATCAATCCTTAAATACGCCCACCCCACAATTTAAGTATTTGCGGGTCACTTTCAAAAAAATTGTTCTCACCTAAAACGAGGCCCAGTGTGACTGGTAGCGCTCGAACATGGAATACAGTACATCAGGTTAATTACTACCAACCAGCATCAATAACAATGTTCAGATACTTCTAATACTTTGAATGAATAAGATATTGGAGGCGAAGTATAATTGTTGTCATTCTTGTTGATGGGAGAACAATAAAGAAAAAATGATATCAATTCTTACTGTCAGTAGTTCCTTCAAAGTAAAGGTTGTAATGTAATGCACAGCCTGGATTGAACAAGCTATGACAACGAATGCACTGGTATCCATTGGAAGTGTACTCTTGAAATGTGAGCTCGCAATGGCATTGTCCGCAAAGCACCAACGGTATGTTATCATCAACAACATTGTACCTTTGGGGAGGGTGGTCTACTGTTTCTTGGTGACACTTGAAACATGGGTAATATGTTTCAGGACAGCATTTGAACCTCAATGCAATAATATCTAGTTCACTATGATAGTGTTCACATCTGGTATGGTTATCCACCAACTTCCCTCGGACCTTATCCATAACTAGCTACAAGAGTGGTATTACTTATTGCCCATCTCAAGTGCTTGATCATTGATGTTGCTATAGACTGTACAGTTACCGAGAACGGCGCTACCTGGATAGTGTCTAGAGTACTACTCTTATACAGCTAACATATTAATAATAAAATGTTTAATATTAAAAACTTATAACTCTTAGAACATCTTCATTCGTTCATCCTTGCTTAGATCAAGGCAGCAATAGCAGCCATACCTGCAGCAGCCATGCCAGCGACAGCGTTGTTGTTACCCTCAGCCTTACTGGAAGAAGAGCCAGTGGCAGAAGACATAAGAGAACTACCACCAGAAGCAGCAGAACTGAGCATAGAACTCATCTTACCACCAGAAGATGAAGACTTGGAATCAGCAGAAGCAGACATGGAAGAAGAACCACTGACAGCAGCAGAAGTCATACTACCCATAGCACTTGTAAGAGCAGAACCAGCAGAACCAGCACCACTTGTAGCAGCAGAAAGTAAAGAAGACATTATTCACAGATTAATTAATTAAAGGAAATAAGACAATTGACAAGACAATAGCTATAGTGAAAATTTACCACGAATTCCTTTTCTAAAACACTGGGGTTAACCCCCTTATAAATACACGTTGAGTTATGTTGAATTCCAGGTCCTTGTAAGGTTTTCAATTTGTGTATGTAAGTCTTTTTATGTAACATGACACAGCCATATTGTTGAATTCGGTGCTCCGCTTCTGTTGCCCGAAGTTTCGTCGAGCAATCTAGTGGTGGGGGGATGACACAAGCTGAAATTTTATGGTGCGTTTGGAAATTTGCAACCACAACGTGTAAAAACTTAAATTTTTTTTCATCGATGTAGATATTTATAGGCGGTTCATACCAATTTACAGAGCAACTTCATCTACATGATGCTAGTATATTAATTCTAAATACTAGCGGCATTGGTACTTTGAAGAATGAATGCTTATGGGAAGTTGTCGTCTACTATGTTCTTGTTCGTATTGTGGAAGTAGTGGGACTAATTGGGATTTTGAACATACCCAATTCTCAATTGGCATTTGTATCGTCGTATTCACACTACCAATTTAGTGCATGTTTACTTATTTACAAATTAAGTATAGGGGAAACTAATGCAAGCACAGTTATAATTGCAAGCTGGGGTGATGCATCCAAACAGCAACCCTTAATATTGTGATATAGTGGAGTGGAGAAAAGAAAGATTGCTCTGGAAGGTAGTGAAGTTGTTGTGTTCTGTGTGTCATGTTAAAATTTGACGGCATATAAGCTATTTCTTCAAATTTGACTGGTTCAGGCATATTGGTGTGTATGGCCAAGGCTCCTAGGGACAGTATTTTTGTCTAATTATAATAATATGCTACTAATAATAAAAAAAATCATAATAGAAATATTACGAAGTGTTCTTACTCTTTCCTTTTAACCCCTTTACTTAGAATCTCCCAATGGAAGGATATTCTTTTTGCGCTACCACTCTTTTGGGTCCAATCAGATCATTGCCGTCACACTTGGCAGTTCCATTTCTTTATTGAAGCATCTGACGAGAGAAAGGTATATAATAAAGCGTCCAATTTGCCTTTGTAATTAATGGCCTTGTCTATACATACAATATAATTCTGACAAATTAGTGTCTGGAATTCTAGTAGGGCTACTTTATACTATTTTTACTCAAGTAAGGGCTCTGTGGCCGAGCGGTCTAAGGCGGCAGACTCAAGTTCTGTTATCGTAAGATGCGCGTGTTCGAATCACGCCGGAGTCATCATTACCATACTTCCTTACTTCTTTATTTTTTTGGAAAAATTGTGCCATCTTGTGCAGTATTAACTACTACCTTGCACTTGCTTGATATTATTACTAAATGCCTATTATATATACATTTACCATTTCTCTTCGGGGTTTGCTTTATATGTCTCGTAGTCTTCCCATTTGAACAAACTCAACTCCGTCTCATTATCTATTCCCAACTCATATAAAGTCTTCTCTGTACCTTCAATTCCATGTCCAACAAGCACCCAATCATCATCATGGTCAAAGTTAACTACTAAATGCATGGATTTGGTACCATGTGCATGTGTGTACACCTTTAACGTATCATAATCGACGTTTCTATATGGTCTGAATGCACCGGTGGTATTTATAATTTCCTTTATCTTTGTCAAAAGCTGTTGAGGTGAAGTTTCTTTCAAGTTGATGCCATTGTAAATATAATTCTTCACATTTCTGTATGGGAAAGATTTAATTACTCGAATAGTGATTAAGGCATCTGTAGCAGGACGTACATTAGATGTAAGCGGTTCTTCAATGGTGATTTCGGTCATTTCTGATTGAACAGGTGATTATGTGGCAATGTCGATCTCTTCTCTTGTCTCATTCATCAAATGTTGGCTTACATCGAGACCTGTACATAGTCACATACTACTACCAAACCATATATTATTGCTATAGAATACACTTTATGTTATCTAGACCCTAAACCCATTATCTACTCTCATTAAGAACTCTTCTGTATCGTATACTTTGTCAAACCCAAATAGTTTTGTTTCTATCTTCTTTTGAATCCCATCGAAAAGTGAACTGCTACTACTGTGACCTCCGTCACTATCATGATCGCTGCCATCGCTCAACAGGAAGTCTGAGTCCATGTGTTTTTCGAGTGACTTTGACGGCACCAGCCGAAGCAATTGTTTAAGAAGAATTGCATCCAAGTTTTCATCTGCATTTCTATGAAGCCAGTTCAATAATTCTTGCTCTGTGAAATGATTACCTTGTAGGAACTTCTCACGGAATAACTTGTAAGTAGACTCAGAAACACCAAGGTCTTTATTAGTAGTAGTAGTAGTAGCAGTAGTAGTATTGTAGTGGGTGATCAGTTCATCCTTCGATTGAATCGTGTCAAAGATTTGGCTCTTTGAGTTGACAATACCACAAATCACATCTAACTTTTTTAATACTCCCGTTGCATGCTCCACAGAAGAAAGAATCTTAATGTAGTGCTCCTTCAAGTCAGGATCAAGGTCATTTCTGGAAAATGCTTGTTCTATTTTCTCAACTAACGAATAAAGGTCCCCTTTAGTCAAACTTCTTTGTAGTGTAATAATGGAGTCACTTATTTTCCGGTGTAGTTGGTTTCCTTGTTGCTTAAGCAGTAAATACTTTCCCTCAAGATACAATGGGGTATAAAATTTAGGTGGGTCGTATGTTAGTCCACATTTTTGCAAGTTGTTGTTGATGTGACCAATTAAAGATTGTAGTTCTGAATAATCTGTAGCAAGCAATGCATTTAATGTACCGTCCAAATACAGCACGTAACCCTCAGTTACACCCATAAAGTCATCCAATGGCGCAGTCAAAGATATAATCCTTTCGGTATCATCATCAACTTCATCTCCATCATTGTCATCACATTTGCTGTCACGTATAAACACTGAAAAATTGTCTGCTTTCAAAGAACTCAAATACTCCAAGTTGCGTGCAATTCTCGGTAACAACGAGTTGATTTTGTTTATGTATCTCAATGCTTTCGTTTCATATGTATTCTTTAATCGAATAGTCTGTATTAGGAATTCTATCATTGGATCCAAAGGAGCTTCCACTTTTTCTTCTTCCAGTTGGCCTACTCCCATTTTTGTTTCCATAACAATGTACCACTCTACTAAATAAGTTAAAACACACTTATCATCAGGTATCAAGTCCATGAACGTTTCCACATCTACTAATCTGGCAATGCCTAAATAAGTCTCAGCAAAAGTAATAATGTTGGCCAAGTTTTGTACTGGGTTATCACATAGCGATAACTTTCCTGGACAATAATGCTCTTGGATCTCAAAGAGTATTAGGTCGGGTCTACAATCACGAGCCAAAGACCAGTCTTTACTCAAATCAGATATGATGATGTTCTTTTTGGCAGCGATGTTTTGGACCCAGTTGACAATGATGCCTTTCAATTCGACAAACCCCCCATGGTCTGACAGTTGAGATATGGTCAACGCGGAAGAGTTGATAAAGAGTAACCACACAAGTCCTAGCACTAGTTTCTCATTACCATTGACTATGGCGTCGGCAGATATACCAGTTGTGTTTATCTTCAATATCAAGCGACAATAGTCTAAAAGATCTTGAATGTTTTCTACCATCTGTAACTTAAAGGTAGGGTTCTTGTGGATAGGCAGAAGAACAAATGTGGTACCAGCAATAGGAATCTGGGTGACTAATTCAACTAGCACTAGGCCATTTCTCAAATCAGTAACGAGATCTTTGACTGGTGAAGGTGATTTAGAGTTTACCCATCGAAGTAATGTCTTCTTTTGAGATGCAATCCAATCTGAATTACCCGAAGTAGTACTAGTGTTAGTAGTAGTCGCACTGGCAGTATTAGTAGTCCCTATCATGGTTACTGTGGACCATCTATAATGAGATAAGATGAAGCATCCCAAACATTCTTCTTCAAGTCAGATATAAACCCCATGGAGTCCCCGGGTAGAATAACCCCCTAACCGAGATGGTCTTGCCGAGTTAGGTTACCACACACTTTTAAATCGTGTCTCCGTTTACGTATTAGTTAACAAATTAGGCTTTGTTCCAAAACGCGTATGTAACTCACTACGTGCATCTCCAATACCTGTGTGGGGTTCGACGGAAACTGCTAACAAGTATCTCAATTTGGTAATGTGATGAGATACGTATTTCGTACGATACGAGTGCTGTACGGCACTGTACCGTGCTGTATAACAGTGGACTGTGATATACTGCACTGTACTGTGCTAACTGTTTCTCACTGAATTGTGCACGATATACTCAGCTGTGAACTACCTTAATGTAGTAGCTGTGTTATACTGTGTTCCATTGATTATGTTCTCTTTCAATTAAATATTAGACACTTAGATATGATTAAATACAGTAGTGGTTAACTAACTTAAACTATAACATCCTTCTATATCAGAAAGAAAGGATGCAGCATGGCTTCTTTGGCTGTAGGTCTTAGTTGATGATCATAAGTCAATAATTTGTCAATGAAATCCACAACTTCTTCACTCACCATGTGTTTATTGTCTTTGGTTATAAAATTGGCCCATGGTTTACGAGTAAAGTTACCCAAAATTCCATTATACTCACTGGAAAGTATGATTCCATATTTGTTAACGTAACTCATCAAATCAGCTGTTCCTAAAACCCTCGCTATTTGAACCAATTGATCATTATTAGAATCTCCTCTGAAAAATGGCTCCTTCTTAAATATAATGGCTGCAAGCATACAACCAACTGACCATAAATCCAATGAATAATCATATTGTTGTAAATTAATCAACAATTCTGGTCCCTTATGATATCTACTTGCAACACGTACATTATAATCCATTCCCCGGTGATAAAATTCAGCTAAACCCCAATCAATTAATCTTAATTTCTTCAGAACAGGATCAATCATGACATTCTGAGGTTTAACATCTCTGTGAATAATCCCCATCAGATGACAATAATCTAATGCAATTAAAAGTTGAGTGAAATAATATTGTATATCAGCAATAGCAAATTTAGGATAAAGTACTCGAAAATCAACATTATTAATTCTTTCAAAAATAAGTGCCGGTATCTTACTTTGTTCATCTCGTACCAAATCTAATAATCCAACAACATTTGGACCTCCGGTTAAATTCTTTAAAATCTTAACTTCACGATATATTTTCTTCATTTTCACCGGTTTCAATACCTTAATAACACATGGTTGATCATTAACCACATTAACACCTTGGAATACTTCTGAGTATTTACCTCTTCCAATTTTAGATATGATTTCATAGTTCTTAATGTCACCCCATTTGATTTTATAGTTTTCATAATCCCAGTATTCCCTAGGTTTTTGTTCGTTGGCGTCAGCATAGACCCTAGCGACCGAATAGGTCTTAGACAGAGGGTTCAACATAGACATAATATGAGGGTAGCCAGATACAACAAACAACAGCTACAACAAAGGGTTCAATCCACTAGACCCTGAATACTATGTGGCAGTCACTGTATAATGTATATATATAGCTCTTACTATATAATGTATATAACAGTTAGTGTATAATATATATGCTTCCACCTTACTTAACGAATGTCGTGGCCAAAGGTGTTTGCCTTTCCTGTTTGATTTCTCGCTGAGATGAACACCCTTAAAAATTTGTCACTGGATGAAGTCCCGAAATAGTTAATGATAATCTCACTAACAAATATCATTCATAAACCAACCCTACGTTATTATAATTATTATGTATGAGACAAGTGGGTACAGTGTCGCTCCAGAGCACTGAGAACATTGTACACGAAGATGTCCAACTATGGAGCAACGACACTTCGGCTTTTACCACGGCTTCGGCTTCTTCTTCGGGTTCTTATGCGGAGTTGAAGGGCCCTATTGAGTGTCTGCGAATCCCATTGGCCTTGGTGGTCGCAACTTCCTTCACGGTTTATACAGAGAACACCAACACCGAAACGTATCTAGAATCTGTAATGGGATGGGAAGCTGTTCTTGACGGTGTTTTGGGTAGAGGGTTTCTAAATGGGAACACTCTATTGATATTTAGGGTCACGGGTGGTGAGACGTTAACATGTATAGTGCTTGACCTAGAACGCGGACCTCCCTTACCATCACTTCCAGCAGTTGATGTATGGTACACACAAGCGGAAGTAGCAAGTATCAGTAACGACAATAACGACAACAGCTACAGCAACAATAGCAATATAGCGAAGCAGAAGAAGACTATAGCTCCAGTAGCTCACTCGTCATCGTCGTTCATTCCCAGTACATCTAAATTCGATAAGGTGCTCCAGAAAAGGAAACTGTCTATCAATCCATTTCTCATGAGTAATACAGTTTCAACTGATGCAAATACATCCTCTGGGAACGCCACCAAGACGGTACTCTCATCAACAGAGCAAGTCGAACAAACCATTAATAAGCTTATTCTTAGTGGCCTAAGAATCCGTGGGTTATCTATAAACCCTTCTCATTCAGTCAACGATAAACTCACCATCAAAGAAATATACCATACCACATACAAATCAGCATTGTTTGCCCTACGCAAATACAACTATTCCTTTAACACAACAGCCTTTGTCCAACTTCATCAGGTTCAAGATATAGTCGAGAAGTTACTCCAGACTTATGTTGATGTGGATGTTGAAACCACACCTATTGATTAGACACTTACATAAACTAAATGTCTTAATTTATTTATTCTAATATGTACAAGATATGTATAATTATAGTCTCCCAATCAGAGATCTTGAAGACTAACGACCTTGTGAGATCCATAACTGGAGAATCTCTTGGTTTCAGCATTTTCAAGTTGTCTATCCAAAGCACTCTTCCTTGCAGAGATCTTTCTTGCGGTCACATCAGAGACGTAATCTAAAAAGATGGATTTGTCTTGTAATAAATAACCTCTCTTTTCCGGGTTTGAGTAGTATTCAATGTCTCTTCTGTGAGTGGGTCTGGCTGGTAAGGGTAAATAACCCTTCTTTAATAAAAAGTAATCAGGTTTGTAATGTGCCTTTAATCCTAATTTAGTCATGTACATGGCAGTAAATTTATTTCCAGCCTTTTCAATAGCATAAATGGATCCTCCAGTAGCCTTAGATGCAACAATGTTTAATGGAACATTATAAGTTTCTTTCCCATCTGACATGATTCTAACACCATCTCTCATGCTACCAGTTAACAACCCACATTCTTTCATGATTCTATAAGTCAAATCTCCACCAGCTTCTAAGGGAATTCTTCCATTATCCCAGAACTCTTGTATTCTTTCCAACTTTAATTCGTGGTAAACCTTTCTATGTGGCCTCTTGAAACCTACAATAGGGAATCTCTTGTAAAAAGGAGTTTGACCACCTTCAAAGAACTGTGGAACTTTACCTCTTGCTTTTTGACCCTTTTGACCTCGTCCAGAAGTCTTACCCTTACCAGAAGCAGGACCTCTACCTAATCTCTTGTAGCTAACCACCGCACCAACGTTAGGCTTTAAGAATCCTAAATAGGAAGAACTCTCACGAATACTGTTCAAAATACGTGCCCCTCCATTCAAGGCACTGTCTCTGAACTTTATTCCAAGCGAAAGCATATTGAATATATTAAGTTGTTTAACGGTTAAACGTCTTAAAGACCACTAGCTCTCCAATTATGGTACTTTGCAAGATCAAAAATTTTCAGAAGTTGGTCGTGCGAAATGGACAGTTGTGTTTATGGTAGCGCTGGTTAGGGAAAAGAGTTGGTGTTTGATTACCCTTATACTACTTTCAAGTTGCTTCATTAGGTTCCTTTAGTGCTTATTGTTAGTGGTTTCATATATAATCAGAGGCTATATTACGTTATAAGTACTTGCGCGTGCTCTCGCTAACTAATCTCGAATCAAAAACCATTGTGAAAACCCCACGTAAACCATCATGATGTGAGTCCTAAAGCAAAGGAAAGATGTTCCACAGGCGTCATTTTCCATTCTTAATTATTAACGAGTTAAAGCTCTGTTAATCTTCACATCGTAATATAATTGTTTTAGTTCAAGCAGATCGGTAAAAAGGTTTTGTATCGTATTCTGTCCGCTGTCGTAACCCCATAAAGCTGCAAATGCACTCAAAATCGTTCAGGCATATATATGGTCACCACAATATTCATTTCAGCAATCGAAATTTGTAATACATTCATCTAAAATATTGGGAATAATTTTTAGGTTCCTAAAGGCAGCAGCATCAATTATGCTAATAGTCATAATTTGGATGATGGAGACACTAAAGAAGTAATCGATTGTTGCATTTGTTGGTTGTATTATTGAGGTGGTATATTTGGCTTCGATTACTACCCAGTACAAAGGGTTTACACCTTTATATACTTGCAAAAATTGATTAGACTGGCCCTGCTTCTATATGGATGTAATTGGACGCAGAATACTAAGAGGTTGGCTTTCTTATAACACCCCAAAGTTGATGGGTGCAAAAACCGTACAGTACCCAATTTCGAGCACAACAGTTTAAAGCTTGATACGATTGTTTGGTCACCAATAATCATACAAAGCTATAAATACATTAAAATCTGAGATCATAATTAGATACATCGTAGAATAATCTATTCTATATCAACTCAGTTGATTACTGCATTTATTAGTGGATACATTGAGGTCAACATGGGTTACACAATTAGGTAATCCTTTTAGAAGGCATGCTTCTGTGTATTTGGCTTGTCTCGGCAATATTGATTACTACATTTGAGTGTAAGGTGCACCAGGTAGAATTAGCTTATCCAATAGTAATAATGATCTTCTCACTATTGCTCCCTTGATGCATATGGTATCTTCCCTTGACGTTATTCGCAAAATGAAACACATTCTAAGGCATAACAAGGAATTCGAAGTCGGGTGGAATAGTAGTTCCGTATTCCGTAGGCGTTGCGTTCAAATTCAAGCTTAACGGGGATATCCTCAAATTATTCTTGAGTAACTAGTTTCTATTGGGCAATGTTGCGATGTTCCTTTGCGCAATAGTAATTGAGTCTGATACTGATAACTTGTGCTAACAAGTTTCATCATCCTCTGTCTCAATCAAGTAATTGAAGCAATATTCAACGCCATAAGGATCCGGTTTAATGTAATCAGATTGCCGAGATATTACCCAATGATAGACTTATAGGCTTAGGGATAAAGGTTAAACTTAAAACCAATATTGCTATCACATATGTGCCAATATTTTACTTTCTGTTAAATCTATGTTATAACTATTTGAAAACGAAGTAAAACTTTGGCAGCTCAAACTTCATTTTTGTAATATTCTATTTGTTACATACTACACGTATACCAAAAAAAGCCATAAACCAGCCTTTATGGCCAAGTTGGTAAGGCACCTCACTAGTAATGAGGAGATCCTCAGTTCGAATCTGAGTGAAGGCATTTTTTTTTCATAACCCATGAAAGTATAAAAGTGAAAAACTAATATGAATATCGGGACATCAATAACTATCATTATTTTTTATTACTTCATACTGTATATTTATTGTCTGCACCATGTCTAAAGAAGAGGATGAGTTGAAAGCACTTGCATCGTTATTTGAAGATGATTCAGGATCTAAGGAAGAGAAACGTAAACGAGCGGAACAAGTAGTTGCACTTGAGAACAAGATAGGACTCCCCCAACAATTAACAGTCATGACGGCATTTGATGAACTTTTGGCATGTTTTGCTATTGGAGGCCAAATCAAGAACTATTATAGATATGGAACGTATACCACTTGTGAGGACCAAAGAGAGAAGTTTTGGTTTGCATTGGGCAATGGAATGTACTCGGAGTTACCCAAGAGCATCGACGATATGAGTGAACGAGACTTGGAGAGGAAGTTCAAGGTACATGATTTTTATATGAAACGTCTTGATAAAATAAGAAAGAGTGGTAGTTGTGAAGATGTTTGGAAGATACGCAGTTAATATATACATACGTTTATTCGTATATGCATACATGTACATACACAATCATAGATATATGCTATATTAAACAAACTAAAGTACACAAGATTTACTTAACGAGTGGAAAACCAATTAATCAATGGTAATGAAAAAAGTTGAGGTTATACAATGATACAACCTTTCTTTTCTGGCTCATTATCGTTAGCACCTTTTGGTCTAGCATTAAGAGCACATCTGGCAGCTTCTGAAAAAGCTTCATTAACACCTCTATTCTTCTTTGCTGAACATTCCAAATACCTTAAAGCACCAATTTTTTTGGCTACGTTCAACCCTTCATTATAAGAAATCAACTTACGAGCATTACTGTTTTGTGAATAAGGATTAAATGATTCATCTTCTCCATTGGTAACCGTGGTGATCTCTTCATCTTCATCATTTCTCAAGTCGCACTTTAAGGCCACCAATACTAGTTTAACCCCTTCGCAATGATCAGCGATTTCACCTACCCATTTGGTTTGAACATTTTCAAGAGAATCGGGAGAGTCAATAGAAAAACATAGCATGATACAATGGGTGTCTGAGTAGGATAATGATCTTAATCTATCGAATTCTTCCTGTCCCGCCGTATCCCATAGAGACAACTGTACTTGTTGTTGATCAATGAAAATATCGTGTACATAGTTTTCAAACACTGTGGGTTCGTACACTTGAGGGAAGTAACCCCTTGTGAAGACATTCAACAATGATGTCTTACCACATGCACCGTCACCGAGGATGACGATCTTACGTTGGACTAATTTGTTAGCAATACTGATATAACATATAACATGCACATAACTGTTGATTTATCATAACGTTTAAATGATGTTCACCTGGTTCCGTTCTTATACATACTTAATTTTGGTCCACTACTGCAAAGAGGCATCTCGTTTCAAAACACTAACAGGTCTTCTCAGTGGTGTTATTGCGTAGGCTTAATGTAAAACAGACGGTAGTTTGGGTTTTTCAAAGTATCGCTGGAACTTTTGGTGATGCCATGTGTACAGGATATATGCTTACATTGCTTATGATAAGAATATGATTGAGTAGACGTAGTTATAGTATGGATAATATGTATGTACCATATGTACTTACAGTATGTACTATTATATATATATATATATATATATATCTATTGCTCGTCAATCAAATCTTCTAAGAACATCGAAGGCACAGTCTTACGTTGACTGCGACCTGGTTGTTGTCTAGTCTGCGGTGAGTTGTTATCAGAAGGAGGAGGAATGCTAGTATTGGCCAACGAATAGTCGCTGTTGTTAACATCATTATTGATGTACAATGAAGGTACAAACGTAGAATGTCTGCTTGTAGCAATAGGTGGATTCCCCAAGTTTGTAGTAGATCCACCAAAAATTGATGAAACAGACCCTCCTCCTAATGGATTACCATATTGGGAAGATTTGGTTCTCTTATGATACATGACTTCAGCAGTAGGTGAAATAAACATTTTGGTTAAATCATGTTTACTGGTTGCACCTTGATATTCAGATTGATAAATAGTAGAATTATCTCCTCCAACAGTTGAGCCTCCTCCTCCAGCTTGACTACCACCTCCTCCACCTCCCATAGGCAGCATGAATGCATTCAACGTAGTTCTTGATGATTGACTCACTAAAAGCGGTAACTTGGCAACGGATGAATTGGTAGTACTTTGCGTTAGTCCAAACGAGCTATTGTTGGAGTTGTATTTTTCAAAGTTCTTGGAAATAGATCTCTTGGTCATCCGAGAAGCAAGCACCGATTTGATAAGATGATACAAGATAAACATCAACAATATAAACCCTACAATGCTTCCCATAGCTATAAACACAGTACCGGTGGGACTGTGTTGTTTAATGATATAGGGGTTGTTGAAATTCGGTGGAACCGTGACTGATGGTGTGGTGAAGGCTTCACTAGGACCAGTGATTGTGGGCATTCCCGTTGCCAGTGGCATGCCCGTTGTAGACATGACGATAGCAAGAGTATGAAAGTAAGTAAGTCAACAGTTGATCAAAATGAAGCAGTTAAACAGCACAAAAATAGTTCAGTCAGAATTAAATCAATGATTTAAATAAAGCGAATGTAGACGTCGACGTTGATGGGTTTTTGATTCAACGAGGCTCAACTGATCTTTGAGAGGTCTTCGCTAAAATTTCTGTTGATTCGAGTTTTATTTAAGGAAATCCTGCGTATAGCCCCGTCTTCTTGTTTTGGTTTTTTCTAACCAAGGGCGGTGGTGTTCGGATGTGCAACCACCCCTTCTTCAAATATTAATTATAGGGTTGCCATTTTGGTCCATTGTGTTCTTAACCAGTTCCATATACGCACACTGTCACAGTCTCTAGTGAGCATTGGTCTAGAGTTTGGTGTTGGGTACTGTATGGTGAACCTGTCAATGTCAAAGGAGGCATCAAAGCAGTACAAAAGCAAGGAATTGTATGGCTCATGGGAATCAATTAATACTGGTTGCTGCCATGGAGGTGGGATTGGGTCATCTGCATAATGGACCACTCTAGCAGTTTCAATTGCTTCAATTGCGTCCCAATCATCACCACCATCTTCACTGTAGCATGTATGTATTGTAGACCTGAACTCATTGGAAAGTAACCCGTATGTTTTGTGAGGCAATGCTATAACATTTAACGGCATTTTAAGCACAACAGCATTAATGACTTCGCTCGAAGTTACCTCTATACTGTGATCTCCCAATGTATACCATGGCTTGTGAACCATACGGGTGTATTGTTTCTTTAAGGCATTAAAGAATAGTTTGCTTGGAGTTATCACCATCAATTCAGTATTGAAAAGTGATTCCGGGTTATTATAGTGCTGTTTCTCACGATGCCACACTAACGGAGGTAGTTGTTCCACAGATTGTATAAAATAATGCTCAGTTTTCACATGATCTAATTGCACATTTCTATAGGCAACAGAAGCACTAAAGTTCACAGCAGGTGGTATACCAAATAATTCATCTACGTTTGAGTTGTCAATGGTATAGCTACTCAAGGTTTCAGTGTTGGCATTGATCTTTTTTTGTTTGGGTAGTATTAGTGAACGCGGGTCGAGATAAACCACCCGATCGTATTCAGTTAAGCCAAACACATGGAACTCAACTTCTGCCTTGGAGGTTCCCATAATACTCTTAATACGAATACCATGATCACTGGCTAGTTTCCTAAGCTGGATATATTGTCTGGCATCCTTTTGACGTAAGGACTCATCGACCACTATAACATAGTTTGACACGGCACCATCGGAGGAAGACTTTTGAATACTCATTAGATTGACCACTGCCAAATTGAAAGACTCTATGTCTACTCCGCTCAGAACATATGCAAGCTTCTTGAATTGATATTGCTGAGACCCCCACTGATCAACCAAGTCTTGTGGAACTGTTCGAATTGAAGACCCATTGGTGCTCATCTCCCCATCCAAGACAAATCGAAACACTATGAAATACACTCCTATGAAAAGTGCAACTATATATTCCCAATTGCAGCTAATATAAAACCTCCACAACCTTCGATTCATCGTGATAACTAACACTCTCGATATTTGCAGCAAACCTTAATCTAATGGAGATTTGCAGCAATCAAATGTGAAACAACAACCTCTTAACAAATAAGTAACAAGCGATTTTGTGTGAAACGTCCGGGTAACAATTATTTTCTTAGAGGTTAAGTAGATAGACTACAAATATTACCGTATGCACAAGAGCATAACAAAGTTAGGCTAAGTTATCTAATTCCAAAACACATGTTATAAATCAAATAAGAAGAACCTAAATATATCGAAGTTCTTGCTTATTACTACTAAATACGAATCCTTGATATTAAATTTCATTATCACGTGATAGTATATCACGTGATTTGGTTTGAAGATGAGCATTGAATTCTTCATACTTCCTTATATACTTCCTTATATACTTCCTTATATACCTCCTTATACCCTCACATATTTACTTATTGCTCCTTTCATTATGTCATCCGGCCGCCAACAACAACAGTTGGTATTCTTCAATGACCACAGTATCATTCCCGAAACCTCAGACGAAGATAGCTCAATAGTTGGGATCATCTCTGAATCACCGGGAACCTCAGCTGCTTGGCTCGTGGCTACATTGATAGAGAATAGTCTTCAAGGAAGTGCAAATCACATCAATTCTGAGTTATCCAAAAGACGTATCAAATCTCCTACTTTATTTATATCTTTTAAGCATGTTGGTGACTTCTATAAAAAATTATGTAAAAGAAATGGAGTCGATTTGGCAACTATAAAAGACTTTCAATATGTTGATTTGTTTACTGATTTGTTCACCAAACATATACCCTCTGGTACTACTACTGCTGCTACTAATAAGCATTTAACTAGTATGTTTGATAATGTTATTGGGGGTATCAAGTCCACGCCTGTTATATTTGTTGAATACCCGGAAATCTTACTCACAACCACAGACATTAGTCCTAACGAACTCTTGGTTCAACTAGACAGATTGTGCAAGCTTTCTAGTCGTACATTCGTACTTTTATCCACCGACAGAACATTGATTGACTTTTCCTTGACCGATTCCAGTGATCCAGTGTTTAAAGTATCGGATTTTATCTCTAAGCTATACCATCGTTCAAACATCAACATTTATTGTCAACCGTTGGCCACAGGAAGAGCAAACGATCTTACCGGGACACTTTGCATATCACGAGGCCCCAATGTAATTGAACCCCGTACTCTAAATGTGGCCTCAAGGGATTATTTGTACCATATCAATCGTGATGGTAACGTTAAACTATACTTGCGTTAAGTTAAGTTAAGACTTCTTTCTGTGCATGTTGTATAAATCGTCTAGAGCAAATTCAATGGCACATCTAGTGTATAATAAAGGAAATAAGGGCCATACAGACTTTTCACCAACCAAGATCCAATAAGGTATGTTTTCAATGGACTTGTGTACATCAAAAACACGGGAAAAGTCCTTAATAAGGTACCCAAGTTCAGGTACTATGGTTATTTCTCTAATTCCATGCTGGATAGTGGGGCGTTCATCAATACAAAGACGTTTGATGATGTCAGTTAACAACCCCAACTTATTCATGACATTCAACCTATGAGTGATCTCCATCCCTACTAGGAACCTCATTCGACGGAAGAAATGGGTGAATAAACCAGCTGTAGGAATTACTAATGGGGTATTTCCATTTGTGGTAGCAGACAGATTTGCAGCTTTGGCATAATTGGCAAGATTTCCATGGGACATGCTGCTGAGTTTTGACAGTTTTGCCAACAGTTTAGGTAGACGATAAGCATCATCATGTCTCAAATTGCTTAGCAATGGTGCTAGGTAAGGTCTGGCCAAACTTATAATGAAATGGTTCACATTAAATACTTCTGTCATTCTAGTATAGGGTGAACCTTCTTGGTTGAGATATTGGGCATTAGTGAATACAACTTCCACTCCATCATCACCACTGCCTTCACCTCCACCACCATCAGCTGCATTCTTCTTGTGCTTGGTCTCTGAAAAGTAGGTTCGTTGATACTTGACATCTTGGGGTTTCATGTACAACACTTCAATATCTGGAGACTTTCGAACCACTTCATTATCGAAGTTCTTGACGTATAACTGAACATTGTCACTGAGTACGCCAGTCCCAATCGAGGCATAGATGGCTGTCCAAATTATGACGTTAGGAGCAGTGATATAATTTAATAGATTTGGAACTGATTGATGTGTTGGATGTACCACTATGTTTAAAATCTTTTCTGTTTTTAAATAAGCTTCTTCAAATGTCAAGTCTCCTATGGTATCACGAACAAACTTCAAAAAGATCAAAATATCCTGAGAGTAACCTTTACGAACCACATTCTCAATCACATTACCAAATCGTTCATCCACATCATGATTAAGTTGATCAATACCCTTCATGACATTGGTAACATTGGTAAGTACTTCGATTAAATCATCATCTTTTAAAGTACATACCAATGAAGCCACAGCTGCACCCACTGCACTACCACTGATGATCCGAGGAAGCAACCCTTCAAAGTAAAGGCCCTTGACTACTCCAATATGACATAAGCCAAATAAGGACCCTCCTTGAAGCACTAAGGCCGTAGACCCAAACGATTGTCTTGTATCATGAAAGAAATCAAGTTTGAGTTGTCTACTATTCATTATATACTCATCATTAGTCTCATTCAAATAGTTCAAACAGTTCAATACTTCAGTGACATACTCTTCAATCATGAACTTGGTACCAGCATAAGCTTTGGTATATAATCGTTTCTGTGCAATACCCCCGAAATTCCGTATAAGTCCAGATCGAAGAAGCAGCATTATCAAGCTTTGATTACCTGCTTCTCGAGCTCCTTCTAGTAATCGGATTCTTTCATTGACTAAAACAAAATCATAATGTTTGGAAAGGAAATTTTGTCTCCATAATTCCACTCCCGTAAGCAGATCTATTTGCTCAGTTATTGACTTCCATTGTTCATAGTTCTCGGCTCTTCTTAACTCCTTGGAGAGCTCCTTGAGTGGGTCACTCTTTCTATATAAAAACACCATACTTTTAACCCAAAAGAAAAAGATATCTATTATAAACTCAACAAGGGCCCATATCGATGTCGGCATGTAGTTCACGGCTAAGGCCACTATAGGTAGTACATACCGTTTTAGAATGCCCATCTTGATAAGAAGGGATGAAACCTGTTAGTCCCATTTAGTAAGTGCAGCCCATTGGATTTATTATAGTGTTTGTTTGGTTAACGCACGACTTACATGTGAATATGTCAAAGTCTGGGGTAAAGTATTATTGGTTATGTAATGATTAAAGTATCCTTATGTAATGCTCCGAATTTATGGTTCTATATACTTTGATTATTTGGTAGTGGAGTTAACCAATTTCTTACCTCTATTAAAGAATCGTTTCCCAAAACTCGATGCTTGGTGGCCAGAATTCTCCATTCTGTCCTTGACAGAACTTACCTTACTCCTTAAGGATTGGTGTCTTCTAATATCACTATGAGCTGCACTTTGATAAGCCGAGCTTGCAATCTTCCCTATCTGAATAGTCGAAGTCTCATCTTGTTGATGAAGAGATTGGTTCAACCAAGCCTGCAAGCCGGAATCATACTGTGACTCTAACAAAAGGGCCTCATTTAACTTGATAATTCTCATCTCTGGATCTTTATAAGCCATTATTTCTTTCCAGTTGAACACAGGATATGCCTTGGGTTTAAAATCACTATTAGTCACTAGAGTAGTTATTGTATTAGTCCCTCCACCACCACTAGATGTGACCCGCGACACAGACGTAGCTGTTGTGGTGATACTTCCATGAGATTGGGATCTCTTATGTGAAAGAGTAGCATTTTCATTCTGAGGCGATGATGCACTGATAGATGATTTGGTACTCTCATCCACAGCTCCAAGTAAACTGGTGTATTTCTGAGGTAAATCCTTTGAAGTTGGTTTGGCAAGGTTAACGGCATCCTCAGAGGGTAATGGGGTAAGTTTTTCTTCCTTGAATGTAGGTGAAATGTATGGTTTATCAGATAAAATAGAATCACGTGTCATTGTTGAAGTGAGGTCTCTTTGAGACCAATTGTGCGTAGTAGAGTTATCGATGTCTTCATGAATACTTGGTAGTCTTGCATCTACTGTCTCAGGGATGGAAGTTATGCTTTCATTATCCTCTGGTCGAGTATTGCCATTAGTAAAATTTTGATATTGTTCTGAAATGTTCTGGTTGGTAGGTAACACAGAGTCCCTATCATTATGACCGATAAATGCATCTCTAAAGTTGTTAGTATTGGGTTCCCATTCTCCGAAATGAAACGTATTATTACTCATGGTTGACATTCTAGAAACCAGAGGTCTCTCTTCTCCTGAAGTTGAAAGTTGAGGTGATTTACCACCTCCACTACCAATGCCTGGTATAGAAGGTGGTGTAAAACTAGTAATATCATAATCGTCATCTTTACCTTCGGGATTCGCAATAGACACATTTGGTACGCGATGAGTGGGGTTTGAGGGCATAATCGATTCACTATTTTCTTCAAAAGAGTATCCATCTGTAACAGTAACATTATCATCAGTTTGCTCAGCTTCATCTTCCTGAATGGTTTGACTCCGTATACGAGATGAGCTGTCAGGTCCATCGCTCATATAAGAGTCCACAGCATCCGCTATGTTTGAATAGTCTCCAGAAACCAATCTATTATTTGGGGAAGACAAACTTGGAGTACTACTGTTTTCTGTCAAGCCTTCAGCTTCGAAAAGATCAGGAGGAGGTTTTCTGATCGATGAACTACTCCTGAGACTAAATTGCCGGTCAGCAGATTTTCCATAATGTACTGGATGAATTTCATTATTGGAATGTCTGCTATCATTATATGAAGCCTCAGTGACTTCCTTAATTAAATCTTGAAGATCATCAGTTGCAGCAACTTTAGTGGTTGATTGATTTTCAGGCTTGGAAGACTTAACAATGTTCAATCCCCGAGTCTGTGTATCTTGCTCTTGATTGCAATGAACATCTGGAATATTTCCGGTATTCGAAGGTGATACCCTCATATCCAAAGTTTCGGGATTGTGGAATGTGATACTGTCTTTAGAACTATGATTGTCAGCACTCTGATCCCAAGAATATGGCGCAGGCAGATTTGTTGACACTAATTCTGGTGTTCGAGTCCTATCAAGTGAATCTTGATGATCTACCACAAGGGCAACGGATTCTTTGACAACATCTTCAACCTCTGGTAAGTCATCAGAGTTATTTCCGTTGTAGCCCCAATCGTCATCACTTGAGTCATCATTGTCGTCACTTTTCTGCCAACTATCTATGTTCAATTCTAATTTGGGAGGATCTGAATGAACTGCTGGTACGAATACTCGTTGTTGGTCTTGTTGTTGACTTCCAAAAGTACTACTGGTTTGTGACTGTTTCGGCTGTGACAAATGATTTAAAGATGCTGAATCACGGACTGTGGGAGCGTGGTTCAAGCCTTCTTCATGAATATCATAGATAGTGGATATTTCATCTTCATGTTGCAGGTTCTTTACATTCAATGTTTTAGGTTCGTACTGAATGGAGTCGGCATCGGACGTAAAGCTTGCTTCCGAGGTAGGTGTATATGGTTGTTCGGTAGCGAACCCATCTCTTGAAGGAGGGTAGTATAATTGCGACACTTTGTTGTTTAAAGTAGTTGTGGTAATTGGCGGTAATGAAGGTAAACATATATCTTCTGTTTTTCCTTCTACTCTTGTAGGAGTCATTGCTTTCTCCAATCTATTCTTGGAATCTTCAAACCCATCTTCTCCATCGTCATCATGATTGATGTGCTCCTTACTATGCAGATGGTTGTATATATTATTATTATCAACTTCGTTTACGTCGTGATCATCGTCGTCGTCATCGTCGTCGTCATCATCGTCATCACCATTGGCACGCATATTATCAATAGAAAGGACCAATTTGGATGTACTACCCAAGGGCACTTGGCTTGTACTTGGTTGTGACCTATTATCAACACTTCCATCATTTGATTTAGCGACATTATTAACCTCTAGAGCCTCTGAAACGTCCAGGGAAAGCTTTAATGTCTTTAAATCAGGGAGGGGAGGAGGCATATTACTAGTGCTCGTTTCTCCATCAAGCTCATTCTCGTATTCGTACCCATCATCTTCATCTTCACTATCACCCCATTGATATGAAGGAGCATTGGCGTTGGCCCATCTCAGGGACCTGTGTCTCTCTATATGATCACTCATGTTAGCAGAACACGGATTATGGTTATTGTGAAGTAGTGATCCTATATTTACTATTCAACCATTCAAACGAGGCACAATGTTTGCGAAAGGGGAATGATATGTCACGTGACTAGTTACGTCAGTTTAATCGTATACGGTACTCGATGGTATAGTATATACCGTACTGGTTATCTACTGTATGGTCGTTTTCTAAGTATGTAGTTGATATTCAATAAAAACTATCTTCCTAATCTACAACTTGCTGACATTGTCTTCGTTTTGGGAAATCATAACACCAGGATAAAGATTACCCATTGGAGAACCCACTTGCCAGAGAGCACCATCAACAACTTGAACTGTACCGGTAATATAAGAAGCAGCTGGAGAAAACAAAAAGACAGTGGCATCAGCAATATCTTGAGTAGTACCTAATCTTTGTAATGGGACCCGTTTGTCAAGAGAGGTTTCACCAGGTGGTGATAATCTTTCCATACCTTCTGTGTTAGCAATGGCACCAGGAGCAATACAATTGGTTCTTATACCGGAAGGACCAAATTCCACAGCCAAAGCATTGGAAAGAGCATCCACACCAGCCTTAGCAGCTCCAACATGAGATTGGAATGGGACACCATAGTAGTGTAATGTTGCAGAAACAAAGAGAATTGCACCTTTAGATTTCTTTAATTCATTGAAACAAGCCTTTACAGTGTTAAAAGATCCTAACAAATCAATACTAACAACAGACTTGAAAGCATTACTTGATAAATGGTTGAAATCAGATAAAAAGTTACCTGCAGCACCAGCAATGACGAAATCAATTCTTCCTAATTCCTTAACAGTTACCTCTACAGCTTTTGCAATACTTTGAACTTCACGAACATCAACATTACCTATACCAATGACACGAGCACCAGGTCTCAATTTTTGAATCTCTGCAGCAGCATCTTCGGTTTTCTTTTGGTTTCTACCTAAAATAACAGCGTCTGCTCCCAACAATACAAGAGCTTCTGTTTGAACACGACAAATGGTACCAGCACCACCAGTGATGAAGGCAACCTTTCCTTTAAAGATATCGGGTTTCCAAGCACATGCTTCCACGTACTTTTGATCTAATGTGTTTCCCATACTGTGTTAGTGTGTATGTGATGATAATCTTATTGAATAAATAAGCCCTTTTTATTGAGTACTTATGGTACTCTTCTTATTGGAATGAATATATAGGAATTCATTTTCTTATATACGGCCATCCACATGCCAAACCTGAAATGCGGGGGAAGGCCGAGGAAGGACTAAGACAACTATGCTTACCGCATTATGTGCACTCCAATTTTTCATCTCTAGATCTTGGTGGGGGGACGAGGGACACAACGTCTTAAGTCTACCACGGTTAAAAAATATATGTATTTGTTACCGACAAGCAACCAGAACGTTCGCTAGTGAAATTCGTTTATTCAATTGTGACTGAACCATTAGATAGTTAAATCTGTTAATCTGTTGTGTATCTCAACAATAGAAAATCATTAGTGGTGGAACTTTACCGGATATTCACTACATTATTTCAATATAATGAACGATGAAACCTATATGAACTCTAAACTATTTGGTTCAGTGTCCAAATACAAATATTGGTTCATCCTATACTATATTAGTTCATCCTATACTATATTAGTCTTTCTTTAGTTTGAATATGGTTACCCGGACCTATATATATTTATCACGTGACATGGACCTGATCTGTGTTTGTATGTTTATAGTAAATGAAGACGCATCTTTCCACCCACACACAGCACTTACTAAAATCACCAATGCCGTCATGTCACAAGAAGAATCTGAAGATATAGTGAGAGTGAAACGACCTCTAAAGGATGATCAAATTGTATGTGTACTTCTAGCCTACATTGAATTGTATTGTGTTGTGTTGTGTTGTGTTGTTACTAACTAATCTATTTAGCTTTCGGTAGCTGAAGATTTAAGACAAAGATTTAAGAGATCTCGACGGTCATATTTGACTCAGAGGACTCGTACCAATAATGGTTCATTGCAGGAGGACGACGTAAGTCATCTGGATCTGGACCTGAGTCTGGCCCTGGGCCTGGGCCTGGAGGTCGATCTGGATGTAGAAGAGCTTGAAGGTCTGAGTACAGATGATTTAGATGATGAATTAGACGTAGAAGAAAACTCGGCTACAGCTGGGATTATAGAGAAGATTATCTTACGTAATTTTATGTGTCATGATAACTTCGAATTGAATCTCGGACCTCGAATAAATATAATCATCGGATCCAATGGTTCAGGTAAAAGTGCCATATTAACAGGTCTTTTAGTGGGGTTAGGTGCAAAGGCATCACTGACATCCCGCGCAAGTTCTATTAACAATTTAATTAAGTATGGGAGGAATACAGCTCAAATCACCATAGTGTTGAAAAATGAGGGTCCAGCTGCTTATAAGCATGAAATATATGGGGATCGAATTCTGGTTGAAAGAACGCTTAGAAGAGAAAAATCTGCAACTTATTCCATAAAATCAGAATCTGGGAGAGTTATTACTGATAAGAAGAAAGACTTGGATCTGATCTTAACAAAATTCCACATCACAGTTAACAATCCACTAGCTTTTCTCTCTCAAGACACCGCAAGGGAATTTTTAACCCAATCAGATGGTAATAAATTCAAGTTTTATATGAAGGGAGCTCTTTTGGAGGATATAATAAACAATCTTGAATTAACGGCTTCTCATATAAAGAATGTGGAGACTTCAATGACAAAATCAAAAGAGTATGTCCTCAAAGCAACAGAATTGTACAATACTTCAAAACATACTTATGAGTTGTATGACAGACAAAGAGATCTTCGAAAGCGTATGGAAACGATTAAAGCTAAAATCTATTGGTTTAATGTATTCAGTATAGAGAAACGACTTACAACTTACAAAGAAAATCATGATGAGAAGCGGAAGGCCATAGATGAGTTTGAAGAGGAAAAGTCCAAGATTAATGAAAAGCTTCCAGAGCTGGAAACGAAGAAGGAAGCAATTATAAAAGAATCTGAAGACATGCAACGACAATTGGAGCAAGTAGAAACCCAATTACGAGAAATTGTTGGGGCTAGAAGTAAAAAGAGATCTGCTGTTCTACAAAAGAGAGATGAATATAAAGATGCTGAAGGCAAAATCAAAGAAGAGAAAACTAGAATCCAAAAGCTTGAGAAGGAAATTGATGATGAAATGACCAGACTAGATCAAGCTAATAGTCAAGGGAAACATCATCTTAAAGAAGAGATCGACAAAATTAAAGAACTTCTTAAGGATAATGAGGCTGAAAGAGTTTCCCAAAGTACTGTGTTGGAGTCATTGGAAAACAAAGTCAATGATTCAGAATACGATGAACAGAAAAGTGAGATTTCAAGAAGAATTGAGCAGATGGAACGTGAACTTGATAATGTTTCTACTGCCACAAGTAATAAATATGGTCCCTGGGGTAAGAGTATGACGGAAATTATTCGAGATATTTCTGCTAAGAGTTCTCAATTCCATCGTAGTCCTGTCGGACCCTTGGGAGTACATATTTCCATAAAGCCTCACTTTTCCAGTTGGAAGAAGATGTTGAACTCAATTCTTCAGAAATCACTTGCATCTTTTGTTGTTGTGGATGAACACGATAGAAATATCTTGTCTGGGATATTAAAGAAACATACAGATGTCCATAACATGGCCAATATTATAGTTCGGAAGTATGAGGAGTTTGATTATAGCAAGGGTCAAGTAAATGTGGGTAAAAGTATTTTAGATGCTTTGACTTTCGATAACGTTGTTGCTAAATATACATTGATTGATACAAATTCCATTGAACTGACTCTTTTGGCATCCTCAGAATCCCAGCTAAAGGAATTTGCATCTTTGCCTGGTGTTTTCGCTAGTTTGAAACTCCATGACGAGAATAGTGGTGTGAGAGCCACTAAAAAAGGTGCTTCTTACAATAATGATCCAGTATTTTACAAGCGAGGTCCAGCAATGTTTTCTGGTGGTGTCTCAGAAGCTGATGTCAATGAAATACGTCAATCGCTTTCTCTGCAAAGACGAAAGCTTGAAGAGTTGAATAGTGGCGAGAGAGATATTCTTAATCAAGTGAAACACATCAGAAGGACTCAAGCAAAGCTTGGAGTCGAAGAAAGTAAGCTTAGAAGACGTCGAACTCAATTAGAACAGGAGATGCGTAAAGAAGGTGATACGGCTTTAATTGAAAGAAACAAAGTTGAGATTGAAAATCGTGGAATCAGTATCAGCAATCTCATGAGAATTTTGGATTCACTTAAGGATGAGATTAGAGAAGACCATGAAACCCTTCAGGAGTTGAAACAGAAAGAGAAGGAACAGCAGGAGAAAGTTCAAATAGTTAAAAAGAAGCATAGGACATTAGAGAAGTCTATTCAAGAATGTGAGTCCCAACAAGATGAGTATAGGAATTTGAAGGCACAGTTAGATGCCCAAATCATACGAGAACAGGAAGCATTAGAAACCATTGCTAAGAAACGAGATGATATGCAGCAAACCATGCTTCCACACCTTGAAAAGGCACAAGAATTATGTCCTCGGGAAGATATCCATATAGATTGGGAGCATGATACAAAGGAAAGTATCACTCAAGAGTACAAAGAAGCTCAAGCACAAGTGGAAGAAATGGAACGTGGTATTGGGAGATCATTAGAAGATGTACAACAAGAATTTACTGTGGCCAAGCAGAAATTACAGGATGCTACAGAACAGAATAATGAAGTGATGCGCTCTTATGAACTGTTTAGAGATCAAATGGAGATGAGAAAAGAGTTTTTATATCTTACCATAAGGAACAATAATAGTTCAATGAACCAAGCCTTTGAGCAATCTCTTTCTTACAGAGGGATGCATGGAAGATTACATATGAATCTTGATAGTCAATCATTAGTGCTTCATGTTCAAACAAGAAATGAACAAGATAAGAGAACAGTTGATTCACTTTCTGGTGGTGAAAAGTCTTTTGTTCAAATTGCATTTCTACTGTCACTTTGGCACATTATGGAATCCAGAGTTCGTGCATTGGACGAATTTGATGTCTTCATGGATAGTGTTAACCGGACTGTGGGTATAAAAATGTTAGTACAAGAATTACAAAATCTTCCTAAATCACAAACCATTTTCATTACTCCACAAGATACTACAAATATGGACTTGGACTGGCAGGCACTCGGGGTTAAGATCCATAGATTACAGCCTCCTAGACACTAACTAATAGGGAAATACATAGAAGATAGAGCTTATCCATACTGTAGCATTAGAAGGAATCTGTAACAAGTATTGTAACTGTAGATTCAAAAAAAAATAAAGTGGTGAACGATGTTCGGATTAAGCCCGACGCGGGGGTCGAACCCGCAACCTTTTGATCGCTTCTCTTGTACAAGACTAAGAGTCAAACGCTCTACCGATTGAGCTAGCCAGGCTTGCTCGTTGTAGAAAAAAGCTAAAATTTTATAGGAGTACTACTTCATGATAATAAACATAAACTTTGATAAATTGGCTCCAAAGGCTCGGTAAAATTATCACGTCCACGGTGAGATGTTGAATTGATCAACTTCCATGTAACATAAGGATCAGTATTCTTACCCTTGAAATGATAATAAACTTTATTTTTGGGAACAGAACGATAATCTTCAGTATTGGCCAATGATTCACATTGAGAGTAATTGATTTGAATGATCTCCACGTTATACTGAGTCTGTGTAAATCTCATAATCTTAATTATATTGTATAAATTTATAACCTAATATAATGATCAAAAAATATAATAATCTTTTGTATATCTTTTACAGAAGATACACTTAATTGTATATATTTATTTTATTAATAGTTATACATTAATTTAAATTTAATGTTTTTTTATACTATTCAATAAATTAAAATTATACTCTTGTTTTAATTGAAAACACATATCTTTACTTTTATTATTTTTACTACAAAATGAACCTTCTGCCATTGTAAATCCAACTAATCAATAATTAAAATAATATATTTTATCAAAATCATATTTAATAATATTATTTTCAGTATAATTATTGATTTTATCATTATTAATTATATCTTTATAAAATACTATATTATTCTCTAATATATACTTCATTAGTAAATATTTTTGTCTAGTTACAGTTAAAAAATGTATATCAAATTTATTTAATAAAGGTAATAATAGATTTTTAAGATCAGATTTATTTATTTCTAATATTGCTAGCTTACTTCCTTTATTAGGTGTTATACAGTATACATTTCCTATATTTAATTCTGATTTATAATAATTCAATAAATCTAATTCATTTTCAGTTAAATTTATAACTAATGAGATATAAATGTAATCTATTAATATTTTATTCTTATTTAGCTTAGATTTTTTAGTTACTCTAATGTAACCATCTCCATCTATAAATACTATAAATTTAAATAATAAATTTAATTTATCATCAGATAATTTATCATTCGGACTATGCGAGGTATTAAATATAGATATTAATATAAAATATAATGGTTTCAGTGTAGCTTTCATTTTAGTTGCTATCTTTTTCTTACCTTTTGATTTAGAAATATCTTCTATTTTACCTTTCGTTGTTAGTGCTTATTCTAACGGTATCTACGGTTTATCTGACTTTGAATTAAATGAAGAATGGCAAATATTAAGATTAAACAAAATAAAACTTCACTAATTGCTGAAATATCCTTTATTTTTTATATATTTACTATATAAATAGATATTCACATATACTCTTTGTATTAGTTATAATAATATATATATAAGGACACTCCAGTATGGCCAGGTGCTTTACCCCCATATATAAATCTAGAACGACAAGGTATAAGCACGCACAAGCCGTTCAAAGACAAATATAGTCCTTAAACTCCTTCTGTGTTTTTAGGAGCTGGTATGCGTGCAATCGAATTGAATTACTTGATGATACCTGACTTTGAGGATATTAGTGCAAAACTTCTAGCAGATTGGCAAGTCCGCATTTAATCTGTTTGTAAGTCTTTCATTTGTGCATAATGCTTCAATAATTCAAAAAAGAATAGTTGATACCATTAATTCAATATATCTATGAAAGCCACTATTAAAATGCTTTAAAACTGAAGCATTAATGCAAAGATATAATCACACTAGAATTCTTAACTAATATCAGAATTCTCAAGCCAATTCCGGTTTTAGTTCTAATGATAAGTTTGATACTCCTTACAGTTCAAGACCCGCACACCAAAAGTAGATCATACAATCAATTGTGCTCATAAAAAACTTCGGCATTTTTTCAGCAACGAGCAAGCCTGGCTAGCTCAATCGGTAGAGCGTTTGACTCTTAGTCTTGTACAAGAGAAGCGATCAAAAGGTTGCGGGTTCGACCCCCGCGTCGGGCTTAATCCGAACATCGTTCACCACTTTATTTTTTTTTGAATCTACCGTAATAATAGAGATTGATCTTTATAGCTTCCAAATACGGGATTATCACTGAGGTGTATTGAGTGCATTCGAATCGTTTCATTTCGTAACCCAAAAAGAGTTTCTTTTTACCACAACATTCTGCGGTGGTTTGATGAGACATACTCGTGCTCACTAATAAGTCCCATGAGAAGCGCATGGTCAAATACCAGTAGATATTAGCTATTTACATTATTTTAAAGATAATATATTTTTGTTGCTGAACTAACACTCTCTTTAGGTATTTTATACAAATCCTAAGAAAATACCACTTCGATGAGATTCAACCTACTAGCAGTGTATGGCACAACACCGACATTCACCTGGTGTTAATGCTTTTTTAAAATATTATGAGTACTCATGGGAAACCCACTTAGATCTATTTCAACCATATAAATAATACTTATAACCAGTGGAAAACAAGGGTTATATATTGCCAACTATGAATTTTTTGTTCAAAGCTACCATAAATTCGTAAGATAATGTTCTACTATATAGATTATGTTTTAGCAAGCTATAAACAAAATACATTATTTACAGAACAAGTTTGGGCGTGTGGTCTAGTGGTATGATTCTCGCTTTGGGTGGAAATTACCTAGGTAATCAACACAAGCATGCGAGAGGCCCTGGGTTCAATTCCCAGCTCGCCCCTTAGTTTTTTGGTATTCATTAGCCATTAACGGTAGCGCCACTTTATATTTTTCACACGGTTGGAAGTTTTCTGGGAAAGGCAATGTATACTGATTAGGCCACCCAACAAGAACAACTAACCAACTAACCAACTACACTCTAATAGGGAGATATAAATCCGATTGAAGATGTCTTACACTGCAGACCAGGAAAAGGTAGTGCTAAAGATACTTTCTTATAAAGCGCACGAGTACTATGAGATTCTTTCAGTTGAACGAACCGCTTCGGAACCAGAGATCAAGAAATCATATAGGAAGTTAGCTATTAAGTTACACCCAGATAAAAATCAACATCCTCGGTCAGCTGAAGCATTCAAATACTTGAACAAAGCATGGGAAGTGTTGGGAGACTCCAGTAAACGGAGAATATATGATCAGACAGGCAGTGATCCAGATGCACGGTTCAATCCCAGTGCTGGAGGTAGCGGTGGTGGATTTAGTGGTGGAGGTAGAAGTGCGTTCAATGCAGAAGATTTATTTGGAAGTCATTTCAGAGGAGGAAGAGGTGGAGGAGGAGGTGCCTTTGGTGACGATGATATTTTCAATTTTTTCTTTGGAGGTAACCAAGGTCAAACATTTACATTTGGTAATAATGGATTTACGTTTCAAAGTTTTGGTGGTGGAGGACCCAGAGGATTTGGAGGTCAACAAGCAAGACAAAGAGCTCATCAACAACAGCAACGGAATCAACAACAACAAGCAGAAACTCCAATGCTGCAGTTTCTACAACAAGTACTTCCAGTACTTTTAGTATTGGTAGTACCAATGATTCTTCAATTTTTCAGTGGGAAGCAAGTACCTGAGTTTTCCCATGTACCAACTACACAACATACGGTAACACGGACCACACCAAACTATAACATTCCGTTTTTTGTTACGGAGGGATTCAATAAGGATAAAAAGCTTTCTCGGAGACAAATGCAAGCCTTTGATACCAACGCAGAACACAGTATACTTAAGGAGAAGCGAGCACGATGCAATGAGGAAATGGTTCTTAAGAACGAATTAATAGAACAAGCCCATGGATGGTTTTCAGTTGATCAAGAGAAATTGGCCCACGCACGTTCGATGGCAATGCCCAATTGTGAATTTTTAAGGGACCTTAATTTGATATGATTAATAGATAGATGTACGACTAACTAATACTGAGTGTAGTAAGTATGAGCTCAACCTGAAATTTTCACCTTACAATAAGCAGGACAATAGTCTTATCAAAGTGGAAGGAGACTATACTATACACTCACACCACAATATACTATGCTACACTGTGCTACACCGTGCTACACTGTGCTACAGCATGCACAGTACGCACAGTATGCTATGTTACTTTCACAGTGTACTGCTAACAACGATGACGTACCCCTGAGCTCTGCGCACCGACCCCGGTCGTGCACCACCTAAAACCTAAGGTGTAGGGTGTTTAGATTGTGGCTTTAAGATAACTATGAAACTATACTATAAATAAACGTCTTCTTTCTACGTCATGTCAAGTTAGTTAGACGACTTCTTTTAATTCAATGGACAGTTCAGCGGCTACTACTAAAAAACAAAAGTTGAACGGGAATACATCGCCGACATTATCTACACCTGTCTCATCCATGACTGAGGTGGAGGAACCATGGAGTTTCTTAAGGGATGCTGAAAGGTTCACCACTTGTTCTGAAAAGGACAGACTAGAATTGCTAGCATATGTAACACAACAGAACCAACGTATAGGCCAATTGAACCAAGATTTGGACCGCTCCAAACTGGCCAATAAGGCTTTTAAACAAGCCCTTAGTGAGATTGGTACGGTTGTTATTCTGGTGGCTATGGGGGATCTATCTAAAAAAGTTGAGATTCACCCCGTGGAATCTGATCCGGAGATCCTCAAAGTTAAGACTACCATCAACACCATGATGGATCAATTACAAACATTTGCCAATGAAGTGACCAAAGTTGCCTCTGAGGTGGCCAATGGAGAATTGGGCGGTCAAGCTAAAATCGAAGGATCTGTGGGGATATGGCGTTCATTGACGGATAACGTGAATATAATGGCTTTAAATTTGACCAATCAGGTGAGAGAAATCGCCGACGTCACCAGAGCAGTGGCAAGAGGTGATCTATCACGAAAGATTAATGTTCATGCTCAGGGGGAAATTTTACAGTTGCAAATGACCATCAATACCATGGTGGACCAATTAAGAACATTCGCCTTTGAAGTGTCCAAAGTAGCCAGAGATGTAGGAGTTGACGGGATCTTGGGAGGTCAGGCTCAAATTGAAAACGTCGAGGGGATCTGGAAGGAATTGACAGATAACGTAAATGCCATGGCTTTAAATTTAACAACACAAGTGAGAAACATTGCCAATGTTACTACTGCTGTTGCTAAAGGGGATTTATCCAAAAAAGTCACGGCTGATTGTAAAGGAGAAATCCTTCAATTAAAAAGTACCATTAATCAAATGGTGGATCGATTACAGAATTTTGCCTTAGAGGTGACCACTTTATCAAGAGAAGTGGGGACCTTGGGTATTCTTGGAGGTCAAGCAAACGTTCAAGATGTTGAAGGTGCTTGGAAGGCTGTTACTGAGAACGTTAATTTGATGGCTACTAATTTAACTAATCAAGTGAGATCCATTGCTACTGTGACCACTGCTGTTGCTCATGGAGATTTGTCCCAGAAGATTGATGTTCATGCTCAAGGAGAAATCCTTCAATTGAAAAATACCATCAATAAAATGGTGGACTCATTACAGTTGTTTGCTCTGGAAGTGTCTAAAGTCGCAAGGGATGTGGGTATTAATGGTAAGTTGGGGATTCAAGCTCAAGTTAATGATGTAGATGGATTATGGAAAGAAATCACCTCCAATGTCAATACCATGGCTTCTAATTTGACCTCACAAGTGAGAGCTTTTGCTCAAATCACTGCTTCGGCTACAGATGGTGATTTCACTCGATTTATTACCGTTGAAGCCATGGGTGAAATGGATGCTTTGAAAACAAAAATCAACCAAATGGTGTTTAATTTAAGAGAATCCATTCAAAGGAATACTGCAGCTAGAGAAGCAGCTGAATTGGCCAACAGTGCCAAGTCTGAGTTTTTGGCTAATATGTCCCATGAAATCCGTACTCCACTTAATGGGATTATTGGGATGACCCAGCTTTCTCTTGATACAGAATTGACTCAATATCAAAGAGAAATGTTATCGATTGTTCATAATTTGGCCAATTCATTACTCACTATTATTGATGATATTTTGGATATTTCTAAGATTGAAGCTAATAGAATGACAGTGGAGCAAATTGATTTCTCCCTAAGAGGAACCGTGTTTGGGGCCTTGAAGACTTTGGCAGTGAAAGCCATTGAAAAGTCATTAGATTTGACTTATTGTTGTGATTCTTCTTTCCCCGATAACTTGATTGGTGATTCGTTTAGATTGAGACAAGTGATATTGAATTTGGCAGGAAATGCCATCAAGTTCACCAAACAAGGTGAAGTCAGAGTTAGTGTAAAGAAGTCTTCAAGACCTCCCAAAAACAAAGATGATTTGTTCCTTGAGTTTTGTGTGAGTGACTCGGGTATAGGAATCGAATCTGACAAACTTGGGTTGATTTTTGATACCTTTTGTCAAGCCGACGGTTCTACAACAAGAAGATTTGGTGGTACAGGGTTAGGGTTATCTATTTCCAAGCAATTGATTCATTTAATGGGTGGTGAGATTTGGGTTCAATCTGATATTGGTAAAGGGTCAGAGTTTTATTTCACAGTGAACGTTTCACCTTCCAGTATCAACTATAACAGACAAACTGAACAATTGTTACCCTTTAGTCAACACTATGTTTTATTTGTATCGACAGAACATTCTTCTGATGCTCTTGAGGAAATTAGAAGAGGTATACTTGAATTGGGACTTAATCCAATCATTGTTCATGATGTCGACAAGGTGAACTTGACAGAACCTATAAAGTTCGATACCATTATTATTGATTCTATTGCTACCGCCAAAAGTTTACGTCTTCTTCCTGAAGTTAAGTACATCCCCTTGGTGCTTCTTCATCCAGCAATCCCCGAGTTAAACATGCGTGTTTGTATTGACTTGGGTATATCGTCATACGGGAACACCCCATGTTCTGTACCAGATTTGGCCAGTGCATTGATCCCAGCGTTGGAATCCAGATCCATAGCTCAAAACTCAGATGAATCCGCAAGTTATAACATACTTCTTGCTGAAGATAATTTGGTGAACCAAAAATTGGCAGTACGTATATTGGAAAAACACGGCCATAAGGTCGAGGTTGTTCCTAATGGATTGGAAGCATACAAGGCCATCAAAGCAAATAAGTTTGATGTTGTTTTAATGGATGTTCAAATGCCAATTATGGGAGGGTTTGAAGCAACAGAAAAGATCCGTCAATGGGAAAAGAAAACGAACCCTATTGATTCCTTAAGTATTCGGACTCCAATCATCGCCTTAACTGCCCATGCTATGTTGGGTGATAGAGAGAAATCATTGGCTAAGGGTATGGATGATTATGTTTCAAAGCCTTTGAAGCCAAAGTTATTATTACAAACCATTTCGAAATGCATTCACAATATCAAACAATTGAAACAATTGTCCAAACAAAATAGAACTTCATCTGATTTTGCAAAGAATTTGAAAAAGGGTTCAATCAATGAACAAATGGCCAATATCAATTCCAATGGGGCAAGTCCCTCTTATAATAATGGAGCAGGTACTCCACACTCAAATAACTCAGATGTGTTAACATCCCATGAAAACGACTTTCCTCCCCCATTAAGAAACATGCAGTCCAGTGAATCCTTATCTACCAGAATTCCCCTTTCAAGATCAGTCACATCCCAAAGTGTTGCCAGCGAAGACATGGATCAGTTACCTTGAATATAGATCAGATACTTTGAAAGTATTGTTTTTTTTACCAAACTGTTTCTTCCCATTTTGCTAATTCTAAAGATTTTTGATGAACGTCCTTTTCGGCCTTCTTTCTCATGTAAAAAATCGGACAGTCCTTATTAGAACACAATACTTCTTGATACAAAGACCCTTGACATCTTTGACATTCTGTCCATAATCTGGAGAATTTTGTTTCCAAATAATTCATTTGTGAAAGTGCATCACCATACAATTGAGGAGCATCGTCCACACAATTTTCACATAAGGCACCTTTATTTCCCAGTTTCAATGGGGTTTTACAGTTTTTGCAAACCTCTGTCTTCTTTACAAAGTTCATAAGACCACCCTTTTTGGGTGCTGACATCTTAATGATTCTTGTATGACTACCTTCCAATAATTCTTTAGTCTTTGATTCTCCAAGAATAGGTTGGAAAATTCTTTCAAGAGGTTTTGATAGTTGGCCTTCCAAATAATATTTGACATCAATAGGTAATGAATTGTCCAATACGTAGAGTGGATCCTCTGATTTATCATAATTCTTTTCACTTGAAGAGTTCTTGATGATAACATAGGCAACACGATCACCTAATGTTGGAGCAGAACCAGCATCTCTCTTTTTCATTCTCTCTGCCAATTCAACGTGTGCTTGTTTGGCAGCGTAATCTTGTTTGGAATAAGCTTTAGTAATCACTAATTGAGACAAATCAATTCTGTTCTGAAGCAAATCTGCAATGGTTTGTTTGACGTATCGTTGAGCCTTATCAACATTACGTTCTTCAAGAATTAATTGAAGTACTTTGGTGATAACATTTTGAACCAATCGACAATTATCTCTTCTAACTGTTTCAATACCTTTGGTATCCATTTTATCGAATTTATCGGGTCTGGTCCAATACAATCCAGCATAACGCTTCTTGTTGATAAGCAAATAAGGGAAATAAACCTTTTCGAATTCCAACTTGATTGGTTTCTTGAATTTGGTGGAAACATATTCAGCGGCTTCTTCTCCATATTTCATACAAGTTTCCAAATCTGGGAACCCGAATTTAACCATTACAGAATCAGTATCACCATAAATAACTTGAGAATCATAGGGGAACCCATTTTTGATAGAATATTTGTCTTGAACTTCATTCTTTGTCTTTTCAATCATTTCTCTACCAAAAGCTGTCACAGATGATGAAATCGCAAGACACGGCAATTTACCAACAGTTGCACCAGTAAACCCATAGACAGAATTGGCAGAGATCTTTAAAGCAAGTTGTCTACCATTCAATACACCTTGCTTGAAGGGGTCTGTTTCATTCTTCAAGTCATTCTTGGCTCTCTTTCTAGCAGATAACAATTCACTAAGAATGGTTGGTAAGATCCCCTTTCTTTTATGTTCCTTTACGAAATAATCACCATTTGGGGTCTTGACGTAGTCATTTTCAGCTAAATTGAATGCTTGAATTGCTTGTTTACTCAATAAGGTGGTATAACATAAGTTATGGGCCATCATGATAGAAGGATACAACGAACTGAAATCCAAAGTTGCAATTGGAACATCATAATATCCTCTCAGAGGTTCAATGACTGTAGCACCTTCATATTCATCACCCTGACCCTCTGATTTCATATTCGGGATAACGATGTTTTCGTCCAAACATTTCCTAAAGAGTTGAGAGATGACTTTAATCTGTTGACCTCTGGATAACAAGTAAGAGAATGGGACACCGGTAACTCTTGCCATTTCTGAGTAATTCACAAGACACATAAACTTTTCCATTAATCTTAAAGGTAAATAAGCATCTTTCAAACAATAAACAGCCAACCGTCTTCTTGATTCTGAATTACCATTTTGTAATTCTGTAATAATTGAATGTTGAACATCTTCCTTTTGTTCCCCAAGGAATTCAGCAGAAACTGAATTTAAAGTATAAGATCTCAATTTAAATTCACGTTGAACATACTGTAAAAGATCAAATTGCATTCTACCATCGATATTAACCACCTTATTCTCTCTGGTACCATATGCACGTGAGGAGAACACGGAGTCCTTATATTCATTTTTAATGCCTAAAAGTCTTCCAAAAAATGGGAATTTGTTAACTCCAAGTTGCTTTGCTCTGTCTAAAAGATAAGGGAAATCAAAATTGGCAATATTGTAACCAATGATCACATCCGGATCAACTTTAATAAGAAATTCCAGCCAACTTTGAAGCATATCTTCTTCTCTTTCATGTTCAAAGATTTGGGATCCAATGATTGGAGAACAAGAATTCACTGTGAATACGTTTCTAACAAAGGGATGTTTCTCCCCATATTTAGAAACAACATTGGCAATTTGAATCACGGCATCATGTTCTGGTTCAGGGAAAATCCCCTTTCTACCAGCACATTCTATATCAAAGGATAATACTCTTAAGGGAGCAATTTTAGACCATTCACCTTCTGGTTGACGCAGGATCAAATCCTTATAGTCAATGGAACATTCCAATTGACATCGAGATATATGATTCAAGGGGTTTGTCACTACAGTATATTTACCCTTGGGTAAGGTTATCCAAGACATCCCTGTGATTTTACAATCCACCATTAACCGTAAGAGATAATTAATATTATCAAACGTGATGTTCTGTGGTGGGAATAGACCTTCAAATTGGATTTCACCTCTTTCAAAAGCACCTCTTAATTTGGTGATGTTTCTGGTGTTATCCACAAAGATTTTAAAGAAGGGACTGGCCACATTATTGCTGAACCCCCAAATCGATTCCTTGGAAGTGATCTCAATGCTATGGACTCCTTCATAGGATGACTTCAAATAGTTGAAGAACTTGTTCATGTGCTCTTGCTTTTGGAAGCCCTTGGGAACAGGCAAGTAAAAGTAATGTACAAACCCCATCACATTACACAACACCGAATACCCTTCCTCCGTCACACCAAAGAACCTTGCTGTTGTGAAATGCGTATTGTTGTTCTCTTCAGCGTCTAATTGTTGAAAATGAACGTCAGTGGTTTGAGGATTGAAATCTGAGGGCAATTCAGGTCTCGACCAGTTCTGATCCTTCTCTATGGCTTCAGGATGACCCTCTTCAATTTGATGAACCTTGCTAGTGATCTCCGACAAGTGCTTCTCAAACAGCGATGGTTCTGGGGTGCCATTGGGCTTAACCTTTTTAAGGGTTTCAATCTGTGATGGCGTTAATGATGATGTCGAACCTGATTGTGACCTGTAAGATGAGCTGAATGATATCTCCCTTTCGGTGTTGGTGTTATGGCTGTTGTTTTCTTTCTCCACTTGGGAGTGATCTCGTTTACCTATCAGTACCATTGGACGTTTGGATGACTAATAAATCTAGTGGCAAGGGTATACGGAAACTAAAGAGTGTAGCTGGTAGTATAATTATAATGTCTCGCTTACTGATCTCTAAAATGTACAAGATACACAAAATCACGTTGTTAGAATGTCGTGACGCGTGTTATACCCGCGACATACTTGTCCTGATGTATAACCAAATGAGGCATACGTCTAGTATTAGGGCTTGCTATTACTGTAGAGATTTAGTCTGTGGAATTAGATACAAGTAGTATTACTGGCTGTCAAGTGACATTGGTTGCTGATAAAAGTTTTATCTAATGTTTAAAATAATCAGAGATTGTTAACCTGTTCCATCAACTGTCGTAGTACTTATATACCAAGTATTCAGTTTACACGTCTTAGTACATGTATTTATGACCAAGAATATCTGGTCTTATATCGTAGCTCAACTCATTTAAGAAAGCCTCCTTTCGGTTCTTGTCTCAGCGAATTGATACTGGTTAGGTTTGATAACTAAGTGGACTACTACATTTGTTCAAAGCACTAGAACAACGCAGCTGTATAATGACCTCCATATCAACGGAAAAAGTACTCATTATTCTTGATCTCTATAGGGCCATATAAAGATTGGTACTTTACTATTGACCATCAAGCCAACATAGATATAAGGTAATTGAAATTAAAAAAATCTCCCGGGGGCGAGTCGAACGCCCGATCTCAAGATTACTTTGAGGATACTCATTACAGTCTCGCGCCTTAACCAGCTTGGCCACCGGGAGCTCTGATGGAAACTTCTCTTCGCACATTATCTAGATAGTCAAAATATATCTTGCACGTCTTTCACTTAAGTTTTGTGTTTTAAACTTCATTAGTCCCAGATTGCTTGTAATGATTACCCTTTTGAAGGAATTTAAGAATTTTATACGGTTATAGGTAGGGATCATAGACTCCAAATAAAGCGTCCATGAATGCAATTCTGATTTGAGATTTGATTTGAGATTTTCCATATTTTTTTACTTGGATTATGGTTTTTATGAATGTTTGTTTCATGTCACAGAAAGCTTCTCCAAACCAGGGTACCCGTATTTGTACTATCTTAAAACAACTACAATAGCCGTCTAATAAAAAAAAGTACTTGAATCTAAATGAGAAGTGATGTTTACATTATCCATAAAGGTTCACATCTTTGTTAGAACTCGTTTTTTTGTCTTCATTATTTTCCAACTCGGAAGTTTTTTTATTCTTTAATGGCTCTTTTTTCCACTGTTGGCTATCTTTCTCTTCATTTCTAAATTCTTCCAACTCCCAAATCCAAATACCTACTACTGGTGTATAACAGGGGCATATACTTTTCAAGTTTAAATAGAAGTTGCAACTTAGATATGCATGAACCGCTCTATCAGCATATTATCATTTAGAAATATAGAACATTCTTCTCTTTCCATAAATTAACTTCTAGTACTTTACTTCCCAAGCAAAAGAATACTGTTAAACCAATAGGTAAGAGGTGAAAAGGTCAACACAAGAGCTATTCTAACAAGTTCAAGATCAGTTTTTAAATTTTAATACTGGCTTCACGTTTCCGGCTACTGCCTTTATTCTCTAATAAGCCTCTTCGTAATACTGAATTTGATCCAGAGATTTTTGATTCATTAAAATTATCACGTCCTTAATACCACAACTCAGGATCTATAGAACCAAACAATTTTCAAAAAAGAACCAATCAAGATAAAAAAGTTAACTATTCAATTCATGAGTTAATTTGTTCATGAATTTATATGAATACGAGGGTTCAATAAGCCCCGAACACCAAAATCTGAGCTCTTTCCTTCTAAAGAGTTTCAAAATAAAGAAGAAAAGCAATCTATGAATTTTCTACACTTACGCAGCTGTGTATTCAAAGATAAATAGAGTTAGGTATAGGATATTGTGCTTTGAACATTCTAACTATTCGTGTTCTCTTACTTAAATACTGAATGGGCAAGGCTTGACAATTTAGCGCTACACAAAACCAACGACGTTAATATTGCACTTGATCCAATTTACGACACTCAGTACGAGCTTGGTTCCAATTTCTATTTCTCCTTCATGTACTAAAGAAGTTTAAAGGTACATGAACAATGCAAATAAGATTAAAACGTAGATTAAATTTTCAAAGCTAGCATAGTGTATTTGCTTGTTATACGTATTCTTCAGGGTTGAAATCCAGAGTCAGCTTTCTTTGGACTTTATAGTAAACACATAAATTACCTATATAATATACTCCAAATTAAAAAAATACAACTTTTCCTGAGTTTCTATGTACTCGAAAGGAATCTATAGGTAAAATTAATTTCTCTAGCAGTTAAGAGTTTGAAAATTTTCTTAACTCTGCTTTCACGAGGCATTACCAAATCTTGCCACTTTGCAACTCTTAAAATCAAGAAGTAAAATAGCCACCCCTAGAGTAGATCAGCTTTCTTCAAGATTAGGAAGTTGTTGAGTTGTTAAAAGAATATTTGAACTTGAATAACGATGGATCTTCATATTTTAGTGACAGTAGACTGCTAAAATTGGACATGGTTTCTCTTTTTACTTCATTTGATTCTTGACCCCAAAATATCCCACTTAGAGAAAGGAAATTATGATCTATTTGATTGATTTCTTGAAAAGGAACAAAGGACTTGTTACCAAAAGTATCCTGAATACCTTGCAAGTCATAAGTTTCATCATATTGATCTATACTAGCTGCAGTGCAAGAAAATTCCAACTCCTCATCTTCAGAGATATTTATGAAAGGCGTGGTAGGTTCAGAATAAGAAAGGTTATGATAAGGGGAATTGGTAATATATGGCTCCAAATAAAATGTATCAATGCCCGTCATACTTGAGTTAATGAGAATCTTTTCACTAATAAATTCACTTGGCTCCTTTTTATTAAAATAATCCCGAGTAGACGTATCAATTGAGGCTTGGTTAGGTCTAGCTTTGAAAACTGTAAACGGGCCAACAATCTCTTCAGTGTGGAGCTCCATCTTTTGGCCAAATTCATTTTCTTCGTATTTATCAAAACACAGACATTCATAATCAAATTCAGACAGTCTTTGGTACTTATCATTCCAGTTAGCTAGAGGGATTGGTCGACGTCGGTGCAATATTTTCGTACCATCCTTCGTAATCATTGAGCAATCAAACTTTACTCCGCGAGGCTTGTGTTTATAATCAAATGTCAAAGGTTCAGACCATCTAAGACTTATATCAAATCCCCCACATTCAATATTCTTATCAAGACAGTTTTTGCAAGCTGGCTTAGCCATATCACACCTGGTCTTCTTTAATCTACAAGTCAAGCAACCTTCAAATGATTTGGGAGCGGACTTTTTAGTGATCAACTTTGGCATTATTGTTAATGAATTATACTGTTACACGGTTAAAGGATTAAATCATGGGGAAATTTGATAGCCGTTTTTATTGACGGCTTTGACCATAATTTATAGTTCTACTAATGCATGAAGGGGAACAAGATACGAATTCCATTCTGCATATAAAAATACGAGCTTGCCTTTAAGCACTCTAGCCAGTACAGTTGATGGGTGATGCAAAAGAAAAATAGAAACACATGGTAGGTGATGCAACTCCAAATATGTTTACCATTGAAATGGCGTTATAATTGTGAGAACATTGACATCAGGTCTATTCGAGAAATCAATCTGAGCTTTGGAGTTTCTTAATACAAGAGGGTTGAAATATAAGTACAGGATTGCATCTTCTACTTTGCGGCTGCAGCTTTAAAAGGCTCATGATACTCAAGAATCGTGGGTTTAGTAATATTTTCTTGTATGAAAAATTTTGACAATTAGTATTCGGTGATTGAATATGCAATAGAATACGGGGTTTACGACTGAAAGTGATATGTTAGTGTGATACGAGTGATCGATATTTACGGTGTCAAACTTATAATTAAGAATGCCTAAATATGTCACTATTTCTAGCGACGTAACTTCACCTAGTATTCATGGCCACTAAAAGCATGGCTTTTTTTAAGTATACTCCTGACATTTCTAGTTTTTTAGCCACTATTCCACTAGCTCAAACGGTCACATGTTTTCCATTTAATAATAGATGCAGATTTCCAAGCCCCAAAATTATCTGCTTTTATGCGACAACCTATTAATAGACATTGAAATGAAATATTTCAAATAAATATCCGAGCTTTTTCTCTTACCTTTCGTTCATGTCAAGATGACTTGGAATGAATTGTTGTGACAACTTGAATATACAATACGTAAGCTCTTCTGGTAAATTATAATTCGCCATTAAACAGACTAGTAAAAGTAGGATAAACTGCTGAACCGTTTTCTTCCAAGTTTGGTTCAGTGATTAAGGTTCCTAAAATGCAGGCTAAAGCCCCGCACACCATTGTAAATGTTTTTACAGACAAAGGGGTCCTGCGAGTGAAAGAGTGGTAACTTTTAACTCATAATTCTAATTTTACATAATATGTAGGATGACTATATTTTTGAACGATCCTTACTATTTAATATCAATTCTGTTCTTTTACGCTTCCCCACTACAGGTATAACGTTAATGTGAATTCAATGCTTTCTTGAATGAAAACTCTACGATAAATTCGTTCCAACTTATGAAAGCGTATCATTGATTTATTATTACGAATTATTCTTGTCTATCAACTAAAATATAAAAATAACATAAGGCTATGGATCGCAGTGTTATTGCGTCAACATTATGTGCTTCTTGCAATTATGTTAAGCTGTCGATGGTTTCATCCTTGTGGCTTGTTGATGAATTTCATGCATTGATGTTTGGATTATCGAAGTGATATAATGTATATTTCAATATGGCTTTCTGAGTTAAATCCCGGGACATTTTGTTTAAGTTGTGATGACGCAGGTAAAATGGTTAAGCATTTTTGCTCGTGAAAAATACCTGTCAACAGTGAGAAAATAAGAAAATATCTGGATCTAAATAATACTATATATTGCCCTTGGCGTAAAATCGAGGTAAATACTACTTGTAAAGAATCCAACCAGCCAGCTATATAATTTACACCACAAACCACCGTCATCCAGTGTTAAGCAGGTCTGGTCCATAGAAAGCTTTAGGGCCACGATTTAAGATTACCAGACCAGGAGAGATAGAGTCCTTGGGAACCTATTCAAACCCAGAAGGGGAAATAATATACTCCTAGGGGTGTATCAGTCTCTAAACCGATGGAAGGGGAAGAAAAATTATGGATATGTGGCTCTTAATGTTCTGACCCTACTTTTGAGTCAATAGAGCTCCCGGTGGCCAAGCTGGTTAAGGCGCGAGACTGTAATGAGTACCCTCAAAGTAATCTTGAGATCGGGCGTTCGACTCGCCCCCGGGAGATTTTTTGTCGAGACCCAGGCTCTCATTAAAGGAGGCATGAAATGTACCATAAGCCTATATTCTTCGAGCAAAAAGAAGGCAAGCAGTACTTATTACTATTATATGTACAGTGATTCAAATTAATGCTTATACTAGGTCGTGCATTTACAACAATATATTGGCAGAAAGTTTGACGCCAGTACTTTTGTGCAGAAAACTGACGGCAACCTCACCAGGCTTTAGGATTTAGAATTTTCAACAATATTGTGTCGTTTTTTTGCAATCCTTGTGCGATATTGAGTCAAACGTTATCTACTGCATCACCCTAGCAAAAGACCTAGTGCCTATTTAGTCTCATTGGTACTAAAAAATGTTGAATACGCCTCATATATATATAAAATTATTCCTAGCACTAAAGTTTGCAAAAACACGACACCATTCTGTTGAAAATTCTACAAAAACCTGAAGCCTGGTGAGTTGCTGCCAGCTTTGTACTAAAAATGTGGTGAGCCGTTGTTATAATAATTTCCTCTGATATAACAGTACATGTCAAAATAGTGTCAAAATCAGGCTTCTATCCGAGGCACGACTGATTGTTACCAGCAGTCGGGTTTTAGTGCCTCAAGTTATCAGAACACCTTGAAAAACCACAATTAAAGTTTTGTACCAAGTCTTTGACCCTATGAATTAGTAGACGAAATTGAATCAATGCTCATTCATAATTTTATCTTGGAATCTAACTTATGATCAAGTCAACTTGGATAGAAAAAGAGTCCTTCAGCCAAGGCAAAAATTGAGTTAAAGATATCATAGAAGGAAGAGAACTAAATCAAGAAACTAAGCCGGCCAATGGCTGTGAAAACCTCTCATCGTGCACCAAGCCACAAATTCCTTGATGTCGATTTAACGAGTACGAACATTAAAGTTAACGCTACCTGAGAAATAGGAAAGGGAAGAAAATAAAACTATCCGCTTATTCAGCCATGAAAAAAGGGCGTCAATCAAATCTATAAATAGGCACGTTTTGCCTTCAAATTAGCTGATTGACTTTTTGATATTCACGGCAAAGTCTAAAACATCATGGAGACACCTGTTGTTGTAGCGCTCATTTACTCAATTTGCTACTTTTCCATTACTGTCTTAATTACTAAGACTGTTTTATTATTAGCAGAAAGATATGTTGGTACCTGTTCTCAGTGATTTGAGAAAACAATTTAAATGGGAAATAGCAGCTATTTCTCTTGCCGTAATACTATTCTGGTTGACAGGAGATGAGTTTGCAGCCGCTATTCCTTCAGCTGCTGGAGCCTCACAGTGGGCATTCAAAGCGGGTCGAGCAGTCTGTTATGCTGCCAGTGCAGGGTTTGGGGCTGGTGGTAGCGTTACGCTTGGAAATGATTCAAGGGCTCCACTACTGCAAAACGTGATTTATTGCCAGATGTCTACGATGTATTACAGCTAATTGATATTAAGCACCCAAGTGTAACAACTCATAACTTAGCAACTGGTGAATATCACACGCAGCTGCCTAATTTGTTAGATCCATATTTGGAGTTATGGAATCAAACAATGGTGCATTTTGCATCCAATTTAAGTTGGATGAGTATCGCCATTTTAAAATCTTACAATAATACTGGGTTGATCAAAAGAAGTGATAATGCAACAGATGGGTCAGGTTTAGACTGTATCTAGTTTAGGTGATGTGCCATATGCTTTCAGTACCCTTATGGCTCATGTTAGTGGTAAGCCAGGCAGTTTAATGAAGAGGGAACCTCTGATTTGGTATCCTACAATATTTATGGTGATGATCCATATGCGCCATTGAAAATTCTCATGAATCTGATATGTTTAATGACATTGGCAATCATGTGATCGGTGCTACTGCTCAAGTTCAGCCATGTACAGATCCACAGTGTTACGCAGTACCATCCAAAATGTGCCTATTCTTGGGAGACAGTTCAACAAGAGGATACGCTTACACTATAGTGGGCCAAATCTACACTATTCTGTATGATGGTAAAGAGGAACAGTGCCAAAGTGGCTAATTGGTTAGTTTGAAACAGTTGTTCGAATTTATTGCTGGGCAATACACATAATATTTGTGTCCGTAAAATATGAATACTGAATCACGAGGTGCAAAAACCTAGGAAATCCTTCAAGTATGAAAGCTTTCCATCCTCTTTCCAAATTTATCTCATTAACCAGTACCATTATACTGTAATTAATTATCATTTATTAGTAACATTATTTCATGTTTTTATCTTCCTCATGCTATACTTCAGTATTTATTCCACCTAACTTTCCATAGCCCTACGTTAACTTTATTTGTGCGGGATAAATTATATGTTTGAAACGAAATAAAACTAATACTACAACTAATTTGTTACGTTAGATTTGAAAATTCCTGGCACTGGCAACGAACTTTCTACCATATCATGTTAATACATGAACTACTATGAAAATCAAAATAAAACGACCGTACACTATACTACGTGATTGAGTTTGGTGTTTAGAACAAAAATTCTTTTTTGAATTCTGGCCCTCTCGTAATAAAATACCGATGTGCAATTTATGCTTACTAAAGCAATGGCTTCGCTCAAGTTACAGATACGCTGAAATTGAATAGAAAAACGATAATAATATCAAGGCTTAGATAATGTATAATAATAAATCACAGTCGAACTAAATTCAAAGCATCAAGCAAAAGATTCGATAAAAAAATACTAGTCCCAAATTAACTTCAAGTAATCCCATCCAGTCTTCTTTGGGAAGGGGGGCTCAGGCTTGTCAAGAGCGTCTTGGAATAAGTTCTTTAAATCAACATCCTTAGGATTTTTTATTTCTGTTTTCTTAAGAAACTTCCAGAACAAATATAAAATTGCAGCCAAAGGTATAATAAAATATGCACTAAACAATCCAGCAATTGAAAAATGACCCTTGATAAAAACAGGGAAGCCTCCAATCAAGAGGAATATGACAGAGAAAAGGAGGGAAAACCATGAACCAAATACTGCAAGTTTGAAGGTGTATGGTAATTTGTCTCTGGTATAACCTTGGGCATTCATTGCTCTCATCATAAAGATATGGTTTAGAGCAATAGCAATCCAGTTCAACAAAATAGAAGACGACGTTAAGTTTTGAAACCAGCTGAATACAGTTGATGAACTAGATGAAATAGACATATATGCCAAGGGAATAAAGGCACAACTGAATATGACTCCAACATAAGGCAACTTATGCTTGTTAACCGTGAGGAAAATCTTAGGAGCTTGTTTCTTTGAAGCCAAAGCAAACAAGGTACGAGACGCCTTGGCTACTTGAAGATTAGAAGCTGATAAGGCCGAGGTAAGCACAATAGCATTGATAATATGAGGTAAGACTGGTATACCTGCTCTTTTGATTGCAATGACAAACGGAGAACCGGCCGCATTTCCAGTTGGAGACGCAATAGCCTTGTCATTGTATGGTAAAATTAAGGTTAACACGAAAACGGTACAAAGGTACATGGCAAAGGAACGGTAGAAAACTCTTCTAGAGGCACGATAGACGGTTCTTCTTGGATATTCCGCCTCACTAGCTAATACAGATACAATAGACTGCAAGCCACCATAAGCATAGACAATAGAATTAATTGCTTTGAAGAATGCAGCAAATTTACCCATAGATCCAGTGGTATACATAGCAGCAAATGGACCAGGGTTCTTCCAATATCGGAATCCAATTCTGTCTACTCCAGAGACTCCACCAAGGTCAATAATCAAACCAGTAAGACAGAGTCCGATTACCAACATGATTTTGAGACAACCAAAGAAGAACTCGATTTCTCCATACCATCTAATATTGTACCCGTTAACAGCTACTATTACCAAACCGAAAACGGTGATAAAAATAGCAGGGGAAGCAGTTGTCCAATAGGACATAACAACAGCCACAGCTGACAATTCAGTGGGGAGAACATTTGAATATACATCAATCCAACCAAGCATGAAACCCCAAGCATCATCGAAGAAATGTTCTGCATGCTTGACATAACCAGATGTCACAGGCATAAGACATACTAATTCAGTGATACACATTTGGTTGAAACCAACCACAAGACCTACAAAAGAATAGCCTAGTAACATACCCACCGGACCTGCAGTAGCTAAAGTTGCACCTGATGATAAGAAAAGTCCCGTACCAAATACACCAACAAGGGTCAACATACCCAAATGCCTTGACTTCAAAGCTGATGCAAGAGTATTTTCATGTTTAAAGTAATCTATTGCAGATTGTTGAGTGCTAAGGGACAAATCATCGTCAAGTGCTTCAATATCCACATGGATGTTTTGCTTTTTGTCGTAGTCCATGGTGCTTCGTACGTGGCACCCCAGAAAATATTACAAATTGCTCGAGTATTAGTACGTTTATTTATATTATTTACCCTATATCCGCTTGACTTTTGATAAGTCTATTATCAGTATTTTCCCCTATATCCGCGTGACAGTTGACGAAAGCTGCAAATTATTCCTTGTGCCTGAATCCCGATTTCCTGACTTCCTGACGGAATACCATCCACAATGGGGCCATTAACCCCAAAGGTGAGCCATACCTAGTTCTTTACAGAAAAGGTACGCACGGCACGAAGTTAAAATGATTAATCCTTGGTCTGAACCAATCCAAAATGGAGTCTACCTTCGTGGCTGAAAGTGATGTTCAGCTGTATTTCTAACGTAATGAGTTATTCTTTTCAAGTAACGGCATTTGGCTGCAAGAGTATGGATATTTAGAGCCAAAGTGGCCGAAGAAATACATAATACGAAACGTGAGTTCTCGCTGTCTTAGCATAAATTTACAGGCATAAAGGATGACATTATAATAAGTAACAATGTCACAAAAACAATAATAGTAATACAATAATCCAATCGATTGGTGTTAAGGTTTTGGTAGTTTATACCAACAAATAATAACCCTTCCTTGATGTGTCAAGATCTCCTATTCTGTTATATAATTCTGATGAGGAATGCCTTTGCCGAAGGGAATGATTTTGTTATATGGGAATGAACTTGGCTTATCATCAACACAATGTGGGAGATAAGGGTAGATACAGAAGAAGAGATTAACAAGCGCTACCATACTTACTTTACGATACCTGTCAAAGTGTTTTGTACGAATTGAATTTAAGTCAATTGGCTAGTATGTAACTGTGGCTCAGGGGTAAATATCTCGCTATTATTATGCTTTTTCTTCACCAATAACACGAAGCAAAGATATAGCGCTGGAACTAATAGTTGTGGCTGAATGTTGTGAACAAATTATTGCAACTTCTCCATATAAAAGTACTGCATGTAGATACTTTATGTAAACGGTGTATGCTACGGCTTTTGACTATGCACTTATCAGCACTTTTATGTATCAGACGAATTCTTATCTCAGAAGAAGGTAAAATTCAAGGTTGGATAACAAAGTAAGAAACAATAACTTTATAACATAAGCCCTCTTCGTAACTTAGAAGGGTTAACTCCACCAAGCGGATATTATTCACTCTATCAGCACATTGTTATTTACTACATTAGGTAGTACTTCTTCCTACTCCTGAGGATTGTTCAATTCTCGGTATTTTCACTAAGTTTATTGTGTGTGTGGAGATTTCGTAATATCTCCGATATAATATCTCAAATGTTCGAGGAAAGGAACGGAACCCAATCCCGTCATATCTAGATACAGGGTTAAGATAACGGAATAATAGTCGCTGATGTCTATGGTCTTTGTATTAAGTACTAATAATACGTCATCATCAATCAAAGGTAGAATATTTCCTAATTAGTCTAGAGTAGTACAACATAATTGTTGATAAGCATTCCTTTGTTTGTTGCACGTGATTGCACGGTACGCACTTTGAGAATGACTCAAATGACTCAAATGACTACGACGACGACTCCAAAAAGCTACAAGACAATACAAAGTGAAGTTAAAACTACTTCGGCATTTGGAAATTTATTACTTACTTTTTTCCTGAGTGGTGCTCTCTAATGCTCCAAGATGGTCAAGTTACCAGTAACGACGACATTTTCTAAAATAGAACCATTAGGAATGTCAATCTTTTGACCGTCGTTACAAACGATAATGACAGTACCCTTCAAAGAGACATTCTTACCCAAGGTGACATTACCAGTGATTGTCAAATGGTCCAATTCAAGGATCTTTGGCATATGAGGAACTCTTTGTTGGAAACCACTGACCTTCTTAAAGTGAGAACCCAACTTGATTAATGGATTAGCATAACCTTCTCTAACTGGGTCCAATTTAAGGGCACCATGCTCCAAGTAGAACAAATCAGACTTAACCAATAACAAGTCAGAACAGGTCTTGACAGGCAAGAATCTGGATCTTGGAACCACAACACCATGGGCACCTTCAAAGTGTCTAATGGCAGCACCAACGGCAGTTTCTAATTGCAAGACATTCACTTCTGAACCTTGATAGTTGATAGTCTTGTTGTTTGGAATAATTTCGGATTCAATGGCATTTTGCTCCACTAATCTCTTGATAGCTTTCAAATTAATCCACAAGTTATTTGTGTTGAAATACTTGAATTTCTTGATAGACTTGAAATCTTCAACATGTTCCTTTGGAACTTGGGCAATTTCCAACAATTGGACTTGACCTTCGTAGTTAACCAAAGTACCACCCTTAACATCGGCTCTTGTTTTAGGAGTCAATTCCATAATATATTCAGATCCAGTTTCAATCATGTGATCCAAGATCTTGGTGTCTACGGTGGCACCCAAGTTATCACCATTGGAAACAAACAAAACGTCTCTACCTTGGGACAACAAGTTGTCCAATTCACCGGATTGAACCAAACTTTCAAACAAATCACCATGACCAGGAGGATACCATGCTTCCAAAGAATCATCATAACTTTCAGGGACTGGTAGTAAAGAATCACGATAAATTCTGGGGAAACGAGATTGGTTGAAAGTTCTAACTCTAACCTTATGACCTTGGTACTTTTTGATGATTTTAGCAGTATCCTTGTCAGTGTTGAAAGAGTTCATCAACAATAAAGGAACGTCAGCATCATACTTACGGTTCAAATGTTCAATTTGTCTCACGGACAAGTCCAAAAACGTATTTCCATCTCTAACTTCAATGACTGATTTTGGACCTACACAACCCATGGAAGTACCCAACCCACCGTTCAACTTCAACACAGCCAACTTGTCCAAATTGGAAGATGAAGGGTCATCGGGCAAAGACTTGTAGTCAACGACTTCAGAGGGGGAAGGAGACTTGATCTTATCCCAATCCAAAGTACTACCGCTGGCTTTGTCAGTCAAGTATCTTCTGAACAAAGCAAAAAAGGTGTCCATTTCCTGCTCAAACTTTTGTTGTTCTTCAGGATCGGTCACTGTATCAGCGAGAGCGTTCAATGAGTTACGCATTTGCGATGCAGCAACGGTGGTAGCCGTGTTGTCGAATGCCTATATAAAAAGTCAATTGTTAGTTGAGCATGTTGATGGTAATTTTTGTTGGGCTGAAGCCACGAGCCACGAGCCACGAGCCACGAGCCACGAGCCATGAGCCAAGCGCCAAGCGCCATGAGTCAGAGCCAGAGCCAGAGCCAGAGCCAAACCTTCACCCCAATTGATTGCCAATACATACAAATGTCGATTGTGTCTTGTTGTGCACTTTAGCCATGTTGAAGAATTGCTAGACGCTATCGCCGGTCGCTTTATTATCGAATTTTGATTTCAGGATTTCAGAATGTATTTATATTTTTCCTACGCCGAATCGCAAATGCGCTGGGGTCACGGATTTCGCACTAGTTTAAGACAGTATCGACGCCAATCTGAAGACGAATGAAGCTTTCAATATTTAATTCTTTCGCTCCTTGGTAGTTGGCTGTTTGGTAGCTAAATAGGTGAAGCAAATGTATCTAACTTAGTACTTATCGTGAGGATAAGGCTCCGAGTTCTTTAGGTAAGTGAAGACCTGAACCAAAACTTTCTGACGAGTCGCTCTATGCTGTCCAGGTGAGGCAACAAATACAAAATCGGAATTACAGGGCAGCCTAAGTGCCAATATTGATTTCAGTTAGTTGGATTCATTTTAAGACTTGATGATCGAGCTCAGTTAGTACACCATTATATCACGATTAGCTGTATGGCACTTTAGAAGGGCGAGCTACCACCCTCCACCCTTCGAGTGGAAAGGCGGGGCATCTTTATTTATCCCCCACCCAATAATCGTCGATCCCCATTACTATTGGCGAGAATATGCCTCTCCCCACATTTTCGTTAACCTTCTTTCGTTCTGTCTACAGGACTGAAAATATAATATCAGGCTGATTTAAGCAGCAACCACTCAACCCCTCCCCCTATTGTACTCGTCCACTAATATTTTTATTACTATTCTATCGTCAACGATATCCTGGAACTCTCTATTAGCACATATACGTGAAAGGGACTCTATTATTACCTGCGTTTTTGAAATGAGTGAATCGTTAGGAAAACATTCATTCACTCATTTACCTTGAAAGCGCATACAGAACGTCTACTTGTGCCATCACACCATGTGCCTGAGTTGTGAATGGCGACATACTTACATACCGGAGTTTGTTTTTGCAACAGTGGGGAAAGGTCCAGCTTTGTATTGCAGCAATTGAAGTTCCGATTTCCGAACTCTGGTCTTTGTTTGTAGCATTATATAATAGGGGTGTACCATATATACTGTGCTACAAGACAACAAAACCTTCAACAATAACAATACAAAAGTAATATTAGAAGTACTATTGTTGGGTTTCGCACAGCCGTGTGCACTATTCAGTTGAATCAAATTGCTCGGTGCACATAGGCTTTTGTGGTTAAAAGTTAGTTCAAATATAAGGATTAGTTTCTAGAAACCGTATGAGCTACAAGGCAGACACACTATTGTGTTTAACCCAGAAAATCATCTATAATTGCTATACTAACAATCATGTCTTCAACAGAAGAAACACTAAGCCTTTGTTTAAGGTTTATTGCTTTGCCAGTTACAAACATAGACACGTTATAAGATGTAGATATTGATACACAATTAAGTAGTTACTCGGATGTGATCCAACCTGCCAGCTGTACATAGCTTATCACATATCAGCTTAAATATGAAACATTTGGCTTAAAACCGGGATTCCTGAATGATACCATATATTCGTGGGAAAACCATTTAGGACTATATAACTAGTACTACAGAGTGCTCTAAATGTAACAACCCAGATGTTCTCTCAGTTGAGATCTAGCCTGCCGACCATCTATTTCACACTACATACCACTGTATTTCCACTCACAGTGTTAAGCACATAGAATCCCTATAATGTCTTTAGCCTGTAATTAGGGGTTCACAATACCCAGAGAGGAAGAGTCCTTGTGGGAGCTTCTCAACCCGGACAGGAGTAACCTTTGTCGTGGGACATAGGGGCCATAGTTAAAGCGACCGTGGTTGTCAAAAGAATGCTGTAACCACTTAAGGTGATATATGAAAATTTACCAATTTATCTCAACAACGTCCCAGTGGCCGAGTGGTTAAGGCGACACCCTGCTAAGGTGTTGGGTTTTACCTGCGCAGGTTCGAATCCTGTCTGTGACGTTATTTTTTTCCAGAATGGAGATCTGTTAAATATTATGATGCTACTGTATATCTTTTTTTACAGCTTGTTATAGTACTCAAAAAAGAGAAGAAATTAACTGTTTGATAATCTTTCAGAATATATTAGTGAGTACGATGGAGGTTTCCAAATTCACTACTAATTTTATAGTCTTGTTTAATTCCCCAATTTGTCTCCATTATCGCGACACCATTTTCGGTAACTCCCACTTCAACCTTTCTGGGTCCAAAATTGGGCAACGATAATCCAGTATCCGTGGTTCGTCGTCTATGCTAAGTTACATCTTTCGGAAAGTTTAGTAAGCTGACCATACGGTTATAATCTAAAAGGTGAACTACCTGCATGAATGCCGCTTTGATGCCCCTTGATCCTATCTTTAACTTGATTAAACACATGCTTATAACCTTTAATATACCTTTGCGATAGTTCCGTACAAAACAGAAGAGAGGTACCCCGAAGAAGTAAATACAAGAACGCACTTTTTTACGGATGCAACCTCCTTGTTCAAAATAATTCGCAGCCACTTCCCGCGACCACTTTTAGTATATTTTTACAAGCTACCATAACACTTTCTTTATCTTATTACTTAATTTTCATTCTTGAATGGTTAACTAAGAAAAACCTATTGATCGAAATCAAAAGTTCAAATAATATGAACGTTGAAGCTGATGATGAAAGAGGCAATGTTGTTGTAAACGTTGGAGTATATAATTACGCTTGCGCCGGGGCACTTGAGTGTAGGACTACAGCAATCGTGAACGCTTTAACAAGTGTCACCGGTAGGTAGATATAGCCAAAACACACTTTAGAAATTGGTAATAGGCAACCTATATCATGAATTATAAGAAGATACTTGATACCAACACTCAAAGGGCCAATAATATGTACTTCCAATCGAATCTATCAGTACCCGACTCATTATTTATTCGAATCCTAATGTTGTTCACAACATTAGGATGCATATTGGAAGGTTAAAATACCTATCAAGGTATCAGACAATCAACAAGTACTTTGGAACCTAATAATAGCAACGAGAATACCTTCTTATTAGTGCGTTCTTTACAGGGGATCATTTCGCACATACCAGAGCAATTTTAAGGTTGCTTGTACTGTTCGTAGACTTGTCGTTTGCAGCAGGCCATGAGGACCACAAGTGCTGAAAATAATACAAATAAGAGCCCGATATCAAATGGTACGAGGATAGGAACTATAGTTTCTTGTTTTCTTTTCATTGCATTTCTGGTGCTTGGAATTTGTTTCCAGCCTATAGGCTGTTTATTTATTGAATCACATTCAAATTTGTTGTTCATTATATTTTCTATTGTGCCTTCATTGACTGAATAAGAGTGAGAACTGTGGTGGTTGTCTGAAGATTTGGTTAGTGTTGCATCTACAAAATTTAGGCAATAAAACATTACTTGTATTCAAATTGTAATAGGAAAGAAATACCAAGTATAATACTGCAGAATTATTAGAACTGTTCAGCAATGTTGGTGGGAAATCTCGTTACTAGTAGTGTTGCTTGAGTTAACTGAGTATTTCTCGCTCGATACTGAACTATACGTGGTACACCAGAGTAGTTAAATAGGTCTTGAAGCCAATACGTTTGATTGGTCCCATTGCATCCGAAAGAATCGTTTTGTTTTAAAAAAAAACGAACAGAGTAAACTGTGTAACGAGTAGATGTAGATAGTATATTTTCTACACCCCTGCTTAAGCCAAATGAAGATATTTGGTGTATATTGAGTCGTGTATAGCTTGCCACTCCACTGGTTAAAATCAGTTAGCTTTATTGCTAGCTACTGTTATAGATAAATGCAACTAAGGGTGTTTAATAACTATAAAATGTTCTCTTATAATTCCAAAGTACTATCTTTAATAGATTCTTGTCTACTTCCTATACCAAGTAAAGAATGAAAATTATGAACAAATACTCGAATCCACTCTGCATCATCACTTTATGTCACTAAATTTTGTATCATTTTGCTACCAACCTATATTCCAGTCCACGCAAGGAAAATGATGCCATAAGAAGCCAAAGTATTCAAAAGCAGCCACCAAAAGAGGAACTGTGACAATCCCGGTTGTGAATCATAATGTAGGCTACCCACTTACAGAAACCATACGTAAAAACGGACAAAAGAAACAGAAAAACTGGTGAAACCATACTAGCATCCTCCCTTGTCAGACTTTATATCAAGTAGGCAAAAATAAAGCCAACAATAATGCAATCAACCCTGTTCCAATGAAAGTTATTGCACGACATATGACAATTTCAGTTGTAAACTCATGTTGTAATGACTTCTCTAATAAGTACCGAATAACGAAAACCTTTAAATGATCAGATGTTATTCTTCAACACCCTTTTATATATTTCTCGTTGATGAATAACAGAATAAGCCTTTGAACAAAGGGCAAAACAGAATCCATCAGCGTAAAGGATGTATTAAATTATTGGTAGTTAGTAATTTGTATTTTGGGTGCAAAATTTTGTCGTTTCGGTTGCACCTCTCAATTAGCTAAACATATCTCTGAATTGAAAGGAATATAAATATTGCATAGTTTTAAAACATTTGGATTCATATTTAATGATTATGCCACTATACGGTATTGCTTAGACATTGGTGGTATATAGTTAGCGATGCATTGCTCAGCAATTGGGATATAGATCCATCATATTGAACGCTTAGACAAATTGATTAAAGGATCCATGAGGATAGTCACTGGCATTGACTGGTTCGAGAACGCTTGATATTGATTGGTTATTAAACCCTTTTGGTAAAAAGGAAGAAAGGAGTGGAGATAACATTTTTATTTTCCGTTGCAAAGAAGGTGTTTGATTGGAAGAGAGCATGTTAATATTTATATTGTTCTGGACCTTAGATTATCAAAGCAGAGAATCAATTGTGATAGGTCATATAGACCTGAAAACAACTAGTTAATAGAAGGTTTAATATCATATATTAACTGGTGAATAATATCTAATGCCTAATTCTGATGTAGCCAAATATTGGCGTAATAATTAACCTTGATTTGAATTCCGGTGTCAAAATCAAAACTACGTCCATATCTTCCAGAAGAAACATCTCCAACAACATTATAAGCACAATAATAAGGAAAAGCCAGCTCATCAGCAAATGAATCCCAAACATTCCATCCTTGACTTGGTTCTCCTTTATCAAAGATAGGATCCGACACAAATGGAGGCTCAAGTGCTGTGTCGATCCATAGTGGATTCAATTGAAGTTTTGATGTATAATCTTGAAGTGGCTTCCCCATTATCAGATATCGATTTCTTAAAGCTAGCTTAAAACCTGGACTAGTCTTCCAATTCAACAATTGATAATTTTGTACATACAACAAACGATCATTAATCTCACTAAGTTGTCCCCAACTTGAAGAGCAAAGTTCCGATGCTTGGGTTGTCTTCTTAAATGTTTTGTTTGCCAATTCAGGTGGGGTATGTATACCTACTGCCACGCCAGCATGCAGATTCACGTGATATGGAGCACCTAAAATCTCTGAAGAGAGCCAAAGCAATTCAAGATTTAAACCACTATGCTGACTCACTCTTGTATTGAAGTAGTCATTTTGTTGTATCAAGGATAAGAAAAGATGAACATAAAGAGTAAACTTGTGCTTATCTTTATTTATAATGACCATTGAATGATCTATGGTTTGTGAGAATAAATCATCAAAATATCTTCTCTTCATGGTAGTTGACTCTATTGGTTTTATTCCAAAATGTATTTCATCTTCCTTTTGAGGCAGTAAATACTTATGAATAAAATTATTGATTTCATGAAATCCAGATGGTCCTCTCCGTTGTCTTGTATGAGTCCAATATGGTTGTTGAAACATGAATAGCCCTGTTTCCCGAAATTCATTGCTAGCACGAATAATCTGTGATGAGAAATCATCAGTGAGAGGGATGATATCAGGATGAAGCATAGTAATGACTTTAAAAGAATTTAGCAAGGATGCTTTGGCAAATAAATAGCTATCGCCAGTAACAACATCATTATCATTTGGCTTCTCAACCTCTAAAAACATTAACGATACTGGAGGGTAATCTTCTTGTTGATTGAAAGGTCGACCCACAATCTCTTCAAACTCTTTAGGAATTCGTTCTAAAGTATCACGAGCTGCCAGTTCAAGCAAACTCCTATCATCATCTTCTAAATCATGGAAAACAAGTTCAATTGGATGCGAAGTCTGTAAGCTTCGAAGAACTCGAATCAAACTAGCTACAGTTGAAACAGATACTTTTTCATACAAGGGAATCACCAACCCATTACCCAGACCATCTCCTCTATAAATTATTTCGGTAGGAAATATGGAATTTAAGAACTTTTCACCAATTTTATCAGCATCGGGACAATTCAGTAAAACTCTAAAATGAGAGAGAACGTTACTAAGACGCATTTCAAACACTGAAAGATCGTTTATAGCCTTTTCATATTCTTTCTCTATAATTGGATCGTAAACAGATGCTTCATACGTTTTCCCAGCTCTAACTAACTGTGATTTATATGCTAGTTGTCTGTGGTGGACCCACTTCTGTTTCTTAAGTAGTGTTCTGTCAAAACGGAAATCTTGAAAGTATTTCAAGTCAAATGTCTCTAACGATCTAAAATACTGTTGACATGATTTATCAATAGGACTCTCAACAGTGTGTCTTTGGAAGTATGGACGATGGTACTGGGGGTTAACATATTGCTTCCTTTGCTGAACAAAGTCATAGCCACCTTTGAACTTTGACACGAGCGCGGATTCAAAAATCTTATCGTCAAAAGTTCCAAGTTGAAAGTACAACATGAGTCCCACAACACATGCTGCTGCAACCATTAGGAACTTCCGACGGTGTATTATCATACTAAATGAAACTGCTTTCCCGATATTGGCCCGAGCCTTAAACAATTAGTAACTGTTTCTTCGTATATATAATATACGGCAAGCCTCGAAATCTCACGACATAAACATCAGGTTTGGCGGAACATAAAGGCACAAAGCCGCGACCCGACCCGACCTTTGCGTGAACCGAAAATGTCAAGTTCATCTGTCCATTTTAGACGAATAGGGCAGAAAATGGTACATAATTCATGAATCTGAAACATAAACGGGCTTTCTTGCTTGGCTTCTTGCAGTAGACAAGAAATTTGTAGTCTTACGACACTTTTGTAGACCCAAATGCCATATCTAATTCGCTCAATTCCACGTCTTCGGATTCTATCACTGTGGTCTTTGTAGATTTGGTTGGAGTCATTACAACATCAAAACCAGGTGCAAATTTCGTTTGTTTATTCTTAACCCATTCCTTAAACTGTTCAAGGTTCTTCTCTTGCTTTAATGTGGTCTCTAGCTCTTTATTCTCTTCAATCCATTGCTCTAAATCCTTTTTACTTAAATTGAATTTGGGTGGCAATACTGATGATGAGAGTCCACTGATGAGTTTTGCATAGTTGGCATTTAGTGTAACAGGCTTTGTAGGTTGATATAATGGGTTCTTAATAAGAGGTACTTGTTGTAAGAGCTTCTCTGCTTCATGACAATGTTAGTATAATGAACGTAAGTTCTAGACCTTTAACTGTGAACGTTTGCTTGTCTAAGTCAATAGCTGTAATCAATTGATAACATACAATTATCTATATCTTCCATCGTTAATCCTATAGAGGTGGATAAAGTATAGTTAAAGGAAATATGACTGATCTTATTAGAGTGTTAGCAAGATCACTAATTGATTCACTGTTAGGTGAACACACGACTTTTCTACACAGAAATAAAGTTAATCTACTTACATAACTATAACAGAGCTTCTAGCAGGTAAATATCAATTAATGTACAAAATGTATGGAGCCCTACATAGAAGGACGTATAATACAGGGGTAGTAGGTAAGGAGCAAGTGCTTTATATTCTTATGTTCAATACCATGCGAAATATAATCGTCTCATCTAATTGTCCTTATAATGTCTGATTAAAATGTATGCGTTCTCTTGTTTCAAGTTAGATAACGAACGGTAGCCACCTTCCAAACACATCAACAAACCACCAAAAGAAATATACACGGACATCTTATCGTCTGTAGTGTTTTCTTCAAACTTGTAAACAGTACCATACATGACGTAATCGTAATCATCAGCCAATGACTTCTCATCAGCATTGGGAGGTCTCCAAGATCCATTAGAAGCCATAGCCAGAGATTCGTTACCTAAAGAGTTGGCCAATGTGATGGTTAAGGAGTCATTGGTCTTCACAGGGAACAATTCAGCGTTGATGTCAAGAGTAATTTTAATATCTTGTGAGGTTGATGATTGTCCCACTATACGAGCCACCTTGTTGTATCTAGCGGTGTCGACAGATTCGACATTGAACATGTCTTCGAATAAGATGCTTGACATTGTGTGTATTAGTTAATCAATTGAAGTTGGTTAAGGCTAGAATCCGATGAGTTATTCCAGTTTACAGTTAGCAATTTTCTACTTTGAAAAAAAATTCCACTGCGCTACCTATTGTGATATTAACGGTAGCGCGAATTTTCTTAGTCGCACTGAAGTTCTTTTCGAAAAATCCTATTATGTCTCCTAAACGGGTACATTAGTAAACATCTAAAAATAGTTGTAGCAACTTGATTTTGAACCACTTTAAGCCAGAAGATGCAATGAAAAGTAATAGGGATTCGATTTGACTCGATTTGACTCTTACCACTACAAGATTTGACTTTAACCGTTACAAGGCTAGAAAAGGAAACGAGAGAAGCGTTTACACAACCATGACAACAGAGACAGCAGAGAAGAAGCAACTAAGCACAGTGATGGCAGTAGCATACAATGTGATTTCACGATTACTATTAGTGGGTATTGGTATTGCTATTGGAGCAGTAAGCACTAGTCCAACATCCATTTACTACAAGAGAGATAACACGGCTGATAATAATAACGATAATAAGGACAGTGCTTCGAGTATAGTCAAGAAGATCCTCAACAATACCGCATTCAGAGTAGCAGTTGTGTTTTTGGCTATTTTGCTCATTAATATGGTGGCTATTTGTATTCACCATATTTATCATAGAGTGACAACCAACTCGAAATCATATCGTAATATTGAACGTGTGATTTCACCCTTTTAATGTATAGTTAATGAATATATTAAAGATGTTTAGCTGTGTTAGTTGACAACAGTAAGACATAGTCAGACAGTAGTCAGACAGTGAACAGACAGTGAACAGACAGTGAACAGACAGTAGTGTATGCGGTTATCGTGTAATACTTTGGTTGCTTATTGTCACTCTTACCACACCTCTCTCTGCTGCATATCGGCATTCTTTCTGTAATTCAACCAATGATGCAAAGACCTGGATGTCATTGAGATAAGGACCATAAGTCGATGTCACGTGACTAGCTAATCCAACCAATGGCATACAGTTATTGCTTAATAACAAATTTAAAGGTCAAACAGCTAACTAGCTAACAAACGTAACTGATAACAGTGGCGGTAAAAATACTCTGATATTACGCCCCCATAACCACACAACCCTTGTAATAACATCCTTAACACCGTCCAGTACCAGTGTAGTGAATTCAGCCTGTCCTTTGATAATTTTTCGGTGCCTTTAATCAGTTGCCTCTTGTCCTATCTAAGCCTTCTTGGACATTGTGCACTCCATATGGAAACGGAGTCGGAGATCTCCATCGTAAACTAATTGTTATCATTCGGCAACGACAAGCAGAGAAGAACCAGATTCTTCAGTGATAACTTTTTATTCCCATTGCGGTCTCCTCACTGTAAAGGAAAAGTCACATACATAAATCAATAACAGTTTTAATTATTGTATTGGTTACTGTCACTAAATAGTTATTGTACTTACAGTCACAACAATAGGTCTTAAGCCGTAGGTGCAAAATACAAGTCAGACTCTCATAATGTCAACGCTTCCTTCGTTACCAAAAAGACTACTTCAAGTCTCCTGTGCCATGGCATGGTGTCTCGTGGCAGCAGGCCCCGTGTTTGGGTTCGCGGCCTTGAAACCAATCTTGATCCAACAAGGAATCTATAAAGATAAATGTGATGTGACTACCATCACAGGGGACGATGTCAAGGGTGGAGTCTTATGCACTAACCAGGACCTTGCCTTAAACGGGTTGTTTACAGTGGCTTGTATGGTCACTAATATCTGTGCTTTGCCTGTTGGTTCAGTGCTTGACAAATTTGGACCTCGGGTCACGGGGATAATTGGAGCCTTTATCATCTTCTTGGGGTCTTTGATCTTAAGATGGAACACTACGGCGGTCGACACTTATATGTTTGGCTACACAATGTTAGCCTTAGGAGGTCCGTTTGTCTTCATTTCATGTTTCCAATTGGCCAATAGTTTCCCCAAAAACAGTGGGTTGATCCTAGCGTTATTAACTGGAGCTTTTGACTCTTCTCTGGCGTTGTTCTTGGGGTATAGAGTGATTTACTTTGGTTGGAAACCTATCGGACTCGCTCAGTTTTTTACTTATTATACCGTTGTGCCGGTGTTCATTTTCTTGTGTCAGGTGTTCATCATGCCTGCAGAATCCTACAAGACCGTAGGAACGTTGGCGAAGATTGCTGAAACTGCCATTGACGAAACAGGTAAACCATTGGATAGAGATTTGCTTTTGCCCGAAGACCGTAATGATGAAGAACGCGCGGCCTTAATAAGAGCTAACTCTTTCAATAGTACTGGAGCTTCAGCAAATACTCCACTGACACTGGCAATTAGCTCAGGTATTCAAACTCCAGCAGAAACTACTCAATTGTTACAACAATACGCTCAAAGAAGAGACTCTGTGATTCTGAGAGCTTCGTTTACTTCCAAGAGTTCTCTTAAATCCGTCTATGAAGAAGTAGCAGAAGACAGATTAATCAATAAGTCCGGTGGTGTATTTGGTATAATGCATGGGTATACTCTTTATGAGCAATTGAAATCTCCGTGGTTCACATTAATGACATTATTTACTACCATTCAAATGCTTAGAATCAACTACTTTGTGGCTACAATCAAGTCTCAAGAAGAATATTTGTATGGTAGTATTGAGATTGCTACTACAATTAACCATTTCTTTGATTTGGCATTACCCTTAGGTGGGATTTGTTCCATACCTTTTATTGGGTTGGTATTAGACAATTTAACTACCCTCACTGTTCTTACAATACTTACGGTTATTTCCGTTGCAATAGGAATTTTGGGATTATTCCCTTGGATTCAAGGTACCTACCTTGGAATTATTCTTTTGGTATTATACAGACCTTTTTATTATACTGCAGTTAGTGATTTCTGTGCTAAAGTATTTGGATTTGAAACGTTTGGTACTATCTATGGAACAATCATTTGCTTCTCGGGTGTATGCAACATCTTACAACAATTATTAGATGGTCTTACTCACGAAACATTCAATATGAACCCTACACCCGTTAACTTTGTGCTTACGCTTTTAACTGTGGTCTTTGGAGGTTCTCTTTTGTATTACGTTAGAGCTCAAGAACAAACCTTGAAGAGACGCAATCTTGAATTCGAAGCACAAGATGCCCAAGCCATTGCTGTACCAAATTAATGGATGGACCATTCAACCATGCTATAATATTAGTTAGATAAACCTATTCTCTTTCTCCGCTTATGATCCGAAGCAGGATATATGCCTGTCAATAAACCAGTGGAAGCTTCAACTTCTACTTCTGTGATTGACTTGGGGGGAGCTTCTGTGCCTTCCCAACCCGGTTCTAGTTCGTATGCCTTAACGAAAGACTCCACCAAAGTCGCAGTATCTGAACTGTTCCTATCTGGAATATCAGATAATAAACTAGTAATTGACGACATTTTTGTTAGCTTGAATCACTTCTTTGCTTGCTTCTTAGCCTTCTCCTTTTCAGCCTTTTCAATTTGTCTTCTGGACCCCTTAATCAATTCCAAATGACCAACTCTCGATGCAATCAACTTCTCGGTGGAATTGGCCAACTGCGCCTTATGAACTTTGGCTAACTTTTCAGACTCGATAATCTTTTGTTTCTTAGGCTTGACGATCTTAGGTGCGTAGTTCTTGGGGTTCTGCTGCTTTTTGGTGACTCTAGCCGGAGCCTTTGCCTTCAACTTGAGTTTACCTTGAGCCATTTATAAAAAGCAATAGCTTAACTGGATAGTGGTTTGTGTTGATGATAGTTATACTGATGACTTTTGACTTGAGGGATGATCATCGGATAATGATCCTTTTTGAGCAGTTACACACGACCTTTATTTTCTTAATTCTATAATGTCGCAGAATTTCAAACGACATTCCCAATTTTTTTAATTCGAATATTTTCCATTTTGACTCGGGGTAACAACCAAAAAATGTCGGATTCGGTAGCGCCGCGCTCATCTTGAAAGTTATAGACAGGAATTCCTTTTTGATGAGCTTTATGATGATGAAAGATGACTCTTTCCGATCACCTTTTACTTCCTTCTCTTTGGTATCGAAGTCAAGGCATTGCCTATAAAGTGATACTGATTGAAGAAGAAGACGTGTGCTACATACACACTTCTAGTAGTTAAGCTTCTTTCCCAAATTCAACAATGAGTAAAGACCAATTTGTTGTATTACCTGGTCCAAAGGCTTTATCTGCCTTCAGAGTTAACAATTTGGTTCAGGAAATTGAACTGAAGTTACAAGCTCCTGGTTTGGTTAAGGAAGTCGCTTCATCTTATACCCATTACATTTCAGCAAAGGAAACTCTTTCTCAATCCCAGTTGGAATTGGTTAAGGTTTTGTTAACTTATGATAGTCCTGTTGATGCCAATGATGAATTTACTTCTCAGTTGATCAAGTTATCTGTGATCACTTCCAATGAATCTGGTGCCATTGAATTACCAAACGACACTTATTTAATCAGAATCTTACCTCGTTCTGGTACCATTTCTCCATGGTCCTCCAAGGCAACTGACATTGCTACCATTTGTGGGTTGGTCGATTATATTGAACGGGTTGAAAGAGGATTGTCTTTATTGGTCAGAGTTGAACCAGGTTTCCCCTTATTGGAAAAGTTAAGGTCTGGTGAATGTTTAACCAGTGTCTTTGACAGAATGACTCAAGAATTATACTTGAATGAAAAGGTTCCTCAATACAATGATTTGTTTGAACACCATTCTCCTAAGCCTTTGGTCACCGTTGACATCATCTCAAACAAGGATAACTTGATCCAAGCCAATAAGGATTTGGGTCTTGCTTTGGACAAGGGTGAAATCGATTATTTGATAAAAGCCTTTGGCCAAATCATTGGTAGAAACCCAACTGATGTCGAATTGTTTATGTTTGCTCAAGTTAACTCTGAACATTGTCGTCATAAAATCTTCAACGCTGATTGGACCATTGATGGTGAAGAAAAGGAATTGTCCTTGTTCAAAATGATTAGAAATACCCATAATAAGAACCCTCAATACACTATTAGTGCTTATTCTGATAATGCTGCAGTTTTTGAAGGTTCTGAAGGTTATCTTTTCACTCCTGAATTGACTTCCCATCAATGGATTGCCATCAAGGAACAAGTTCAAACTTTGATTAAGGTTGAAACCCATAACCATCCTACTGCTGTTTCTCCATTTGCAGGTGCAGCCACAGGGTCTGGTGGTGAAATCAGAGATGAAGGTGCTGTTGGTAGAGGTTCTAAATCCAAAGCTGGTTTATCCGGTTTCTCTGTGGCTGATTTGAATATTCCTGACTTGAAGCAGCCTTGGGAAAGAGATGTTGGTAAGCCAAATCATATTGCTTCCTCCTTGGATATCATGATTGAAGCTCCAATTGGTTCAGCTGCCTTCAACAATGAATTTGGTAGACCTGCTATTAACGGTTACTTTAGAACTTTGACCACTGAAGTCATCAATAGCGAAGGTAAAACAGAACTTAGAGGTTTCCATAAGCCAATTATGCTTGCTGGTGGGTTGGGTGCCATTAGACCAGGTTTAGCTTTAAAGAACAAGAAAATCACCCCCGGGGCTAACTTGATTGTCTTGGGTGGTCAATCTATGTTGATTGGTTTAGGTGGTGGTGCTGCTTCTTCTGTTCAATCTGGTGAAGGGTCTGCTGCTTTAGATTTTGCTTCAGTTCAAAGAGGTAACCCAGAAATCCAAAGACGTGCTCAACAAGTTATTGATGCTTGTGTAGCTCTTGGTGTCGAACACAACCCAATTCAATCTATCCATGATGTTGGTGCTGGTGGGTTATCAAATGCATTGCCTGAATTAGTTCATGACAACGACTTAGGTGCCAGATTTGAATTAAGAAATATCTTATCTTTAGAACCTGGTATGTCCCCCATGGAAGTTTGGTGTAACGAATCTCAAGAAAGATATGTTCTTGGTGTTGCTCCTGAAGATTTGGATATCTTTGTTAAAATTTGTGAACGTGAAAGAGCTCCATTTGCTGTTGTTGGTCATGCTACTGAAGAACAACGTTTAGTGTTGACTGATTCTCTCTTGAAGACTACTCCAATTGATTTGGAAATGTCTGTTTTGTTTGGCAAACCACCAAAAATGTCTAGAGAAGCCATCACTCAAGACTTACAATTGCCAGCTTTCCCAACATCAAACTTGGCTGTTTCAGATGCCATTCAAAGAGTCTTGCAATTACCTTCAGTTGGTTCCAAAAACTTTTTGATCACCATTGGTGACAGATTCGTCACTGGGTTGGTTGATAGAGATCAAATGATTGGTCCATGGCAGGTACCTGTTGCCGATGTTGCTGTCACAGCCACATCTTCAGGTCCTGAGATTTTGACTACTGGTGAAGCCTTTGCTATGGGTGAAAAGCCAACTTTGGCTTTGATTTCTGCTGCCGCTTCCGCTAAGATGTGTGTTGCTGAATCATTGTTGAATGCTTTCGCTGCCGATATTCCAGCTTTAGACAGAGTCAAGCTATCTGCCAATTGGATGAGTGCTGCTTCTCATCCTGGTGAAGGTGCCAAGTTGTATGAAGCTGTTAAAGCAATTGGTTTGGACTTGTGTCCAGATTTGGGAATCGCCATTCCTGTCGGTAAGGATTCCATGTCCATGAAGATGAAATGGGATGACAAGGAAGTTACTGCACCATTATCTTTGGTCATTACAGCTTTTGCTCCAGTTTCTAATACCTCCAATACCTGGACTCCTTACTTGCAAACAACCACCACTGATGAAGATACCGTTTTGGTATTAGTTGATCTCGCTGCAAAAGTTCCACAAAAGGCCTTGGGTGGTTCTGCTTTGGCCCAGGTGTATGGTGCTGTTGGTGACAGTGCTCCTACTGTTCATGACAACCAAGTTCTTAAGTCATTCTTAGAAACTTTGATTGAATTACACACAAGTGACTTTGATGTGTTGGCCTACCATGACAGATCTGATGGTGGTCTCTTTGCTACCATTGCTGAAATGGCTTTCGCTTCCAGAACTGGTGTTGAAATTAAGGTTTCTGATGAAGACTTGATCTCAGGATTATTCAATGAAGAATTGGGTGCTGTTTTCCAAATCAAATCAAAGGACGTTGATCAATTTGTTGACATATTCAGCAAGCACAATATTTCTGCTGATTTTATTTCTGTTGTTTGTAAGCCAATTGTTGGTTCTCAAGCTGTGACCATCTCTCATAAGGGTAGCACTGTTTACGAAAGCACCAGAGGTGAGTTACAACAATTATGGGCCAAGACCTCTTACCACATGCAAAAGTTGAGAGACAATCCAATTACCTCTCAAGAAGAATTCAATGCCATCTTAGATGACAAAGATCCTGGTTTGTCTTACCAATTGACATACAATGTTGGTGATGATTTAGGAATCTCCAAATTGTCAGCCAAACCTAAAGTTGCTATCTTAAGAGAACAAGGTGTTAACTCTCAACAAGAAATGGCTTTCTCCTTCCAACAAGCCGGATTCGATGTCTATGATGTTCATATGTCTGACATTTTATCGGGTCGTATTACTTTAGATTCATTTGTTGGTATTGCTGCCTGTGGTGGGTTTTCATATGGTGATGTTTTGGGTGCTGGTGCTGGTTGGGCCAAATCTGTGATGTTCAATGAAAGAGCTAGGAATGAATTCACCAAGTTTTTCCAGGAACGAGATGATACATTTGCCTTTGGTGCCTGCAACGGTTGTCAATTCTTGAGTCGTATTCGTGAGTTGATTCCAGGTACTGAGAACTGGCCAACATTTGAACGTAACATAAGTGAACAATATGAAGCACGTTTTGTTATGGTTGAAGTAGTTGATGAAGGTGACAACAGTATATTTTTGCAGGGAATGAAGGGATCCAAGTTACCTATCGTTGTTGCACATGGTGAGGGTCGTGCCTCTTTTGCTGATGATAAGAAGAGCAAGTTCGACACTGACAAACAAACCGTTGTTAGATATGTTGACAACTATGGTAACACAGCTACCCTGTACCCCTTCAATCCTAATGGATCTCCTGATGGTATTGCTGGTATTTCCAATGCCAGTGGTAGGGTTATGGCTATTATGCCTCATCCTGAAAGAGTAACCAGAAAGGAATCCAACTCTTATTACCCCGTTGACCAAGGTGCTTCTTGGGGAGGGTATGGTCCTTGGATCAGATTATTTAGAAACGCTAGAAAGTGGGTTGAAGAACAGCAAAAGTAAGTTTTGCTGAGAGTACCTTCGACTATCTACATTTATACAGCATGTTTTCATTTTAGTAAATAAACGTTTAATGAGTACTAAAGGTGTAAACAAACATTTGCATCTTTTTTATTGCTATTATCAAATTAAGGTTACCCGGACAAACTTAGCTAATATATTATGTAAGGGAACATTCATTTTATTCCATAGTCGTGTATCTTCCAATTTGAAAATTTTCAGAACCTGTCTCACTAACAGTGAAAAATTTTTTAAAACCCGTTCCTATTCATCTCTTCTTGTCTTTTGCTTTCTATATCCCAACAACAAAAATGGTTTCCATCTTATCCAAGAAGAGAAAGTTAGTCGCTGACGGTGTTTTCTACGCCGAATTGAACGAATTCTTCACCAGAGAATTGGCCGAACAAGGTTATGCTGGTGTTGAAGTCAGAAAGACCCCAACCAAGTTGGAAGTTATCGTTAAGGCTTCTAACACTCAAGGTGTTTTGGGTGAACAAGGTAGAAGAATCCACGAATTGACTTCTTTGATTGTCAAGAGATTCAGATTGTCTCCAGAAGGTATCGTTATCTACGCTGAACGTGTTGAAGAACGTGGTTTGTCTGCTGCTGTTCAAGCTGAAGGTTTGAAGTCCAAGTTGTTGGCTGGTATGCCTTTGAGAAGAGCCGCTTACGGTGTCTTGAGACACACCATGGCTTCTGGTGCTAAGGGTGTTGAAGTTGTCATCTCTGGTAAGTTGAGAGCTGCTAGAGCCAAGTCCCAAAAGTACTCTGACGGTTTCATGATCCACTCTGGTCAACCAACCAAGGATTTCATTGACACTGCCATCAGACACGTTTTGATGAGACAAGGTGTCTTGGGTATCAAAGTTAAGATCATGAAGGACCCTGCTCAAAACAAGAGAGGTCCAAAGTCTTTGCCTGATGCTGTCAAGATTGCTGAAGCTAAGGACGAAGATGAAATCATCCCAGCTCCTACTGTCAGAATCCACAGAGCTGCTGCTGCTGCTCCAGCTGAAGAAGCTGAAGCTGAAGCTGCTGCTTAAACAGATTACTCATGTATACTATAATCGATTACATATATGTTTAATTAATTCTGTTAAAAATAGTAAGTTTGCGTAATTACTTTAATTTGTTTATTATGTTACCAATGACTCTTATATCACGTGAGTGATCACACGAAATAATGCACATAAACATGGTTCGTTTAAATTCTGAAAGAGGGATGTGTGCATTTATTTTCGCACTGTGAACAGAACATTTTGCTTTGTGAACAATAGAATGAACAGATAAATTTAAAAGACTAGGACTTTAAAGTCCGTGACTTCGGATCAACGGCAGTATTTGTGAGAGTTTTTTTTTTTCGATGAGGTCATGAAATGAAATGGTATAGCCGTGTAGCTGCCTCAAATTCTCTCTCCGACAATTCCTCCTCTATGAGCGAAACCGACGTACATCATGGGGAAAAGTCTGGGGGTCGTCGGAATCGGAGATAGTCCGAGTGAATTACCGAAGCTTCGTTTATACTCGTACCATTATATCCGTTGACGTGAACTTGTTTCGGTGGCAACATCGACCCATATTCAAAGGTACAATATATTATTACTCATGTTCAGTGATTGCCATTGGCTTAGTGTCTGTCAACGAAGCTTATCCGCAGTTAATTTCACAAGGTCAAAAAGGGGAAGAAGCACCAAGAAGTATTAGTAACCATTGATTTGTACAGGTACAGAATATTTTTTCAGTGACATTTTTGTCGGCGAAAAGGACCGGCTCAATAATTCGGAGTTCGCCCGTAGGACAATAAGACAAATGTGGAGTCCACGGAGATTAAGTTCCACATGCCTAGTATATAAATGGGTTTAAATCATGTTAATTTCATTAAAACTAACATTATTTAAATTACCAACAGTACTACTATTACGCCTACTGCTACATTTAAGATTACTATATTAAGCAATGTCACCTTTTAAGAAAACTTTCCAAACTTTACCAACTGCTTTCTTGCCATTGACCTCAGAACCAAGTAAGCCATTTGTTATTGAAAACGTTTCTCCAACATCATCTCCTACCTTGGTGCCTATGGCTGTTTCTTCACTGGTTGATTCTAAGGGTAGATCTATGTCTATTGTTGAATTGAAGTAAAATTTTTAGAAACGATTATTTATGGGTTTAGGTTTATGGGTATATTATGAAGTAAATAAGTATTTATGAATGGATTACGGTTTATTACGAATTAAAAGTTGTAGAATTTCACGTGATACAGTTGTATCATACTTTACATGTCACGTGCAAAACATAATTTCGATTTTGTATATACAAGAGGTAAGAACCCATTGAACTAAAATAATGGATAGAACTCATTATATTTGTACAAATAGTAACTGGAACTAAGCAACCCAACACCAAGGATTGACATGGGTACTGGTTTTTTGAACTCCGTCTTAAGGGTTCTAACAAGACCTGCAACAGACAAAACTACACTTGAACCTAAGGCAAGTTCCAAACCCCAATCAGCATTCTTTTGAAGAAGATAACCGGCACTTAAATAAGTTGCTGATAATGTAAGGCCAGCGGCTAAGGATGGCACAGATCCCTTACGAGAAAACGCAATTGCACCACCAATGAGGTTAAGAGCAGATAAAGTATAAGCAGGATGTTCCATATTGAATTGTATTGAATGAAGATAGGGGATAATAATTGGGGTGAGTGACGACTTTCAGTCATTATTTATAATGCGACAAAAAATTAGTCGTAGAACTGTTTGACGTCCGAGGCTTTGGTAATTATCCGAAATTGTCCCATTTAGGAAACCAATGTCACAGAATGAAAATTTTCAGCAAAAATTGTTATGCGGGTTACTACAAAGAGTAAAACAATAGGAGAGCAGTGGCAGTGGCAGTAGCAGTTGTACTACTAATACAACTACTACTACAACTACTACTACAACTACTACTACAACTACCATTGCACTACTAATAGTAAAGCGTTTAACTGACACTACTCCTAGCAATTGTCCACAGCAGTGTATGTAAATAATAATGTTCGCACCAAACGAGCAAACCCGTACTATTGTGCCATCCATGACACCACCGTTCTACTGATTGAGATCCAGTTCCATAGTATATGAACGCTATATTATATCCATCATCCGTTTATTACAAATTTACCATACAATCAATGTATACACACAGAAATATACATATATATGCATAATAGCATGACTGTAATGATTAACCGGTAAATATATATAAATAGTCTCTATAGTTGATTCTAACCGTTGTAATAATATCCAACGTACCCGATTCGATTCCCGGTATGGCACCGCACCGCACCGTACCAGCGAACCGTTTTGGACGCTTTGCTCCGTCAGACCTCATTTCAACCAGTGTGTCATGGCAGTCGACAAATTCTCTCCGCAGCACTTGATTCATTCGATAAACATACATCAATCGACGTATATACCACCGTATAATTTTAGATCGATCGATCATGAACATCTCTTCGATGTTATCGGCTTCAGCACCGGCCAATGGGAATGGCGTCGTTGTTGATGATGATGGTAGTAATGCTAATAATAATATTGCTGAAGAACCTGTCACGACGTCGACCCATAGACCGTTACAATCCATAGTTCAGTCGATCATTCCCCAGAGTCTTATTGAAGATGATACCATGACAACTGTGACTACAGCGACCACTGGATCGACTACAGCCAATGGGCATGTTCCAACTGAAAATGAACCGGAGGAATCACCAAATGATATCGATGGCGAAGACGTCTCAAACGACGAACTCATTCAAGAAGCAAGAGCCCGTGAAATCAACTCCACTGATCCCGACGTTCAAAAGTATTTGACTCGTTTCACCAATAAAGTCAATTTGGTCCATCAATTCGACGACGACTTGGTCAAAGCAAATACGCTTCTGTTGTTCGAGTTCGACCATGATAAAAACTTACTTGATCTCCAACAGTCGAAGCAATATGCTGATAATTATATCTTGAGATTGACATCGGAAAGTGTCACGTTTGCCCTGAACAGCGGTCCATTTTCTCCTTCCCATACGTCGAACGAATGTGACTACAGATGGGGGTCGACCAGAGAGTTTACTCGTCCTGCCAGAAAGCCTTCGTCTCTTCTGTCGCTGATAACGTCGACTACAGCGGACGGTGGGAAGCGCGCCGCTGGTGGTGGGAAACGGAAAACCAAAGCGGTGGGAGGTAAAAACTCTGTTACACCCATTGCTCCCAAGCCAGCAGATGGAGCAGAAGGGAACGGCACTATGTCTACTTCGACTTCGACCACTGGATCTACGACGACGTCGACCTCTACGCGTCCCAAGCGAACCCGGACGAAGAAGAGATCGCCCTACGACGAAGAGTTGGATGACGCAGAGGCCGAAGCAGCAGCAGAAGACGAAGAGGCAGCAGAGGAGGCCGCCGCTTCAGCACCACCACTCAAAAGAGCCAGACGCAAAACTGCCTTGGCCAATGGGAAATCGTCGACATCGTTGGTTAATTCGGAGATTGACAAAGATGGTGAGCCTTCTGTTCGGATCAAGTTGAAGTTAAACTTGAAACACGACACGGATGACGAAGACGAAGAAGAAGAAGAAGAGGATGGTGGTGGAGATGACGACGACAGTAACACCAATAGCAACAAAAAGAAGAAGGGAACCATCAATAAGGCTTCGGCCACTCAACCACAAAAGGTGACCGTTAAGGAACAGAGAATGATTACAAGACAATACGATAATGTTTTCCTTTCTATTTGGAAGGATTTGGCTCGTAAGGATGGACCAAAAGTCAGTAGAATGATTCAACAAACCACTCAAGCCAAAGCCATCAACATGAAGAAAACATGTATTTTGGCTGCTCGAGAAGCCAAAAGATGGCAGTTACGGAACAACAAGAACCAAAAGGATTTAACCACCAAAGCAAGGAGAGCCATGAGGGAAATGTTCAACTTTTGGAAGAGAAACGAACGCACAGAAAGAGATTTGCGGAAGAAACATGAAAAGGAATTGATAGACAAAGCTAAACGAGAAGAGGAAGAAAGAGAAGCCAGAAGACAACTGAGAAAGTTAAACTTCTTGATCACCCAAACGGAATTGTATTCTCATTTCATTGGCAAGAAGATTCGAACCGATGAATTTGAAGGTAAAGATTCAGATCCAAAATTAACCAAAGTAACTGCTGCGTCATCAACAGGAGCAACAGCTGGTGGTGGTCATCATTATGATAAATATGAAGATGTGAAAGCATCGACCACTTCAACCAAAGATTTTTCGGCTATTGATTTTGATAACGAAGACGATGAAGCCTTGACGGCTGCTGCTGCTGCTAATGCTCAACAAGCCTTACAAGCAACAAGAGATAAGGCCAAGGAGTTCGATGACTTCAAGAACCCGGACACCAACGGAGAAGAAATGAACTTCCAGAACCCAACGTTAATGGGAGATATCACCATTTCTCAACCCAAATCATTGAAATGTACCTTGAAAGAGTATCAAATCAAAGGTTTGAATTGGCTAGCAAACTTATACGAACAAGGGATCAATGGGATCTTGGCCGATGAGATGGGGTTGGGTAAAACGGTTCAATCCATTTCTGTATTGGCTTATTTGGCTGAAACTCACAATATCTGGGGTCCATTCCTTGTGGTTACTCCAGCTTCCACCTTACACAATTGGCAACAAGAAATCACCAAGTTTGTACCCGAGTTCAAGGTCTTGCCCTATTGGGGTAACGCTAAGGATCGGAAGGTATTAAGAAAGTTTTGGGATAGAAAGTCCATTAAATACGGTAGAGATGCTCCGTTCCATGTGTTGGTGACTTCTTATCAATTGGTAGTTGCAGATGCTGCATATTTCCGTAAGATGAGATGGCAATACATGATTCTTGATGAAGCTCAAGCCATTAAATCTTCTCAATCGTCAAGATGGAAAGTGCTTTTATCATTTTCATGCAGAAATAGATTGTTATTAACCGGTACCCCTATTCAAAACTCCATGCAAGAATTATGGGCTCTTTTGCATTTCATCATGCCTTCATTATTTGATTCCCATGACGAATTCAGTGATTGGTTTTCCAAAGATATTGAAAGCCATGCTCAATCAAACACTCAATTGAATGAAGAACAATTGAGAAGATTACACATGATTTTGAAGCCCTTCATGTTGAGAAGAATTAAAAAGAATGTCCAAAGTGAATTGGGGGATAAGGTGGAAATCGATATCTTTTGTAATCTTACCAACAGACAAAAGAAGTATTATCAAATGTTGAAATCTCAAATTTCTATTATGGATATATTGGATCAAGCCAATAGCAATTCCCGAGGAGAAGAAACAACCGAATCTTTGATCAATTTGGTTATGCAATTCAGAAAGGTTTGTAATCATCCTGATTTGTTTGAAAGAGCAGATGTCAAGTCTCCGTTTTCCTTTGGATCTTTCTCCGATACTTCATCGTTCCTTCGGGAGACCAATGACTTGGAAATGTCGTATTCGGCTAAGAACCACATTGAATACAATTTACCTCGGTTGATCTACGATGACTTGTTAACTCCGTCGTTCAACAATAATGTCGGCAGTAAGCCGAAGATCAATAGCATGTTTGACATTTACCATCCGTCAAATACAGTCACAGACTCAAACTCAGACAATACGTCATTTGGCTGGTTGTCATTTGTCGATGTCAGTGGAGGAGAACTTTATCAGTTATCCCATAAGAATGTCCTTGAACGAGCATTGGATCTAAAGGAGTACACTGACATTAACTATGACAAAGTTAATCGGTTAAAGTATGTTTATGATGATTATGATGATGATGATGCCAAATTTATTCCAAAAAGCAAATTGCTTCTTATTAACGAATACAACAATGATTACGCTCAAGTCAACAACTCCATTCATTTGAAGGAATTACATACGGTACGAAACAAGGTTTATACCGATATGTATGTGAACATTTTAGATCCTGCTGCTGCACCTATTGCTACTGCACCTCCAATTGTTGCCCATTGTTCTTCACAATCCTTCTATTATGGTCAGAATGATGTCCTTTTCAACCCGCAAATCAGATCAAGCCTAATGCCCTTGAGTTTGAATACAGAATACACCTTGATGAATAAAGGTGTTCCCGTTGATCAATTCCCCAAGTCCAACATGCTTCCTCCTCCAATTAACCATAAGATTGACTATTCCAATATCCGAATGCCATCAATGGACAGATTCATATCTGAGTCCGGGAAATTGGCTCGATTGGATAGTTTATTGAATGAATTGAAAATGAATGATCATCGAGTATTAATTTACTTCCAAATGACCAGAATGATGGATTTGATGGAAGAGTATTTGACTTATAGACAACATAAGTTCATTCGATTGGATGGTTCTTCTAAATTAGATGATAGAAGAGATTTGGTCCATGATTGGCAAACCAAACCTGATATCTTTATCTTTTTATTATCCACTAGAGCTGGTGGGTTGGGTATCAATTTAACTGCTGCTGATACGGTTATCTTTTATGATTCTGATTGGAACCCCACCATTGATTCCCAAGCTATGGATAGAGCCCATAGATTGGGACAAACTCGTCAAGTCACTGTGTATAGACTTTTGGCAAAGGGTACTATTGAAGAACGTATGAGAGATAGAGCTAAACAAAAGGAACAAGTTCAACAAGTGGTGATGGAAGGTAAGGCCACAATGGTTAGCAAGAAGGAAGAAGCTGCCAACAAGAAGAAGGATGCTGCGTTCTTGCTCTTGGGTAATGGCGATGAAGCAGCGTAGCACACACACACACATATATATATATATACCACGCAGTAGTATATATTAATCAATATTAATGTCTTTGATCACGACACTTTCTAAGGTCTTTTCAAGTTCATTAATAAATCCCATATTTGGCTGTCGTGGTATATTGTGAGTATCACCTCGATCATCATCATCATCATCATGGTGCTCCGTCATCGTTCCTTCTATACTAAATTGATCTTCTTGATTGGCTGCCTCTTTCGTCGATGTCGAACGAAGATTATCATTCTCCTTTTCAAGATTGTAAATTCTATTGAAACTCTCTTCAAGCTTTAGCTTTAATTGCTCCTTCGTCATTTCATCGCCAGTCGAAGGGTTGGCTCCTCTTCCAGATTCGTATTCGGTGATTTGAGTTGTACTAACCAAATCAGACACGGCACTGCTCATGTTGGAAGCCACAGAGTACAAAGAGAATCTGCTGGTACTAGTATTGTGATTATTGTCTATTCCGCTATTACGGCTTCGTTGTAGTTGGTCCAATGTAGCCTTATTGTACGTTTCAAAGGGTGACGGGGCCGTGTTCAAGTAATTATCGTCATACGAAACACCATTCTTTGCTTCTTTAACAACAGTAAGAAGTCCCAATTGTAAACCCGCAGACAACTTCTTGTATTTCTTTTCGGAATTATTATTATCTTGAAGGTCGGAGGATGTAGGTGAAGCTGATGATGCTGGTAACCCTCCAATTATGGAGTAATGCCGATTATTATTAGAGGGTAAAGAAAGTCGTTTCTTCAACGAAGAGTTCTGGAATGATTTCAATGGAAAGTCACTGGAGTTTCTAGTGGAAGTAGATGTGGATAATGCTGGACTTGATGATGATAATTGGTCAGTGGTTTTGGCAAGCGAAAGATCTTGTAGACTCAACTGATGAAGCTCTCTTATTTGTTCAATGTCGTTAATAAACTGGTTAAAGATGTTCAATTTTTCATTCAACTCGTCGGTGTCAAAGTTTCCAGCTGTTGATTTATGGTACTTCTTGAAGAATTTGAAATTGGAGGTTAGATTCGAAATTTTATCGATTAAATTGTCAAGATGAATTAAGTCATCAGTGGTAGTAATAACAGTCAGTTTGTTACCGAGGATATCTTCATCTTGAAAATTCGGCTTAGATAACGGGAAACATTCTTCGTAGCCAACAAATGACGTGACCATTGATTCTAATAGAGAACTCAACTGGACAAGGGAGCCTTTCAAAATTCCAAGTTTGAAAAAAGTATCGGGGAACAGAGGACTTTCGCTCAAGTGTGTTATACTGTTTGTAAATTCATCATGAAGTTTGGAAAGAAAGAAGGTTGATTTGGGGACCTCGTTTAACGAAAGTATTTGACAGAATAGAAGCTTTCTTAATTGATTGAATTGAGCCAATTTCGTTGTTAAACTCGAAACATAATTATTATTGTTCATGTCCATGTTGATCTCCACTTCATTATCATTTTGATTCAACAAAATAGGGAAATTGATGGTATTGATTTGACAATATTTCTCAAATATATCACCATTCATTAAGGGAAGAATTTTCAATATGGTTGCCTTTAAATTGACAATTAGAACTGATAATGAACTGTCTAACAAGTGGTATAACTGTTGGGCTTTTGGGTCAGTCGGTGTTGACGTATGAGCTGTATTTGTAGTATTAAGAAACGAAAACATCGTAAGTTCCTTTAACGCAAGCAAATTGGTAATAAGCTTCTTGTTAAGCTTATAGTTCCATTTAAAGAAAGTGTTCATAAGATTGGTGATCTTTGTAGTCATACATTCAATCCTGAGCTTGGTGTACTGGAAATATCGTGACCCATATACCAACAAGATTTTAAAGAGTGTGGTCATATGTCGAGAGGGAGAACAACCTTTGTTATGTATAAGGATTCGTTTCAACATGTGAATGATGGCGAAAACCAATGCAAAAATTGACGTGGATGGTAACCCTAATTTATACGTCCGCGTAATTGAAAGAGTACACCCATCGTATCGAATATACTTACCTGACAGCTGCTGCTTACTTACAGTTTCTCGACTGAGGAGTTCCTTCATGGCCTGATCATTCTTGGAGGGGATCATCGTATCATCCAATAAGGTGGAAAGTACAATGTTATACTTTAGCTTATCCCAGAACTGGTCCACCAGTTTATTCAACTGGAAGTACTTACGTATGAACCGTTCAATCATCGAAACGTCCACCGGGACCGGCTTCGTATCGGTGTCATAGTCCTCATAGATCCGATGTAGATTCGTAGTGACCCGCGTATTGGATGTTGAGGATGACATTGTGGTATTGGAGAGTGTCAGCAGCAGTCGGTGATGGAGCTGTGGGGGCGGTGGTGGCGGCTGAAGCTCGATCCCCCAGTCGTCTAGACCATCTTCTGATAGGTCATACTGCTTCTTCGTATAAAGATTGGTAATAGTAGGCTTGCTGAAGAGATTGGAAACATAGCTCATGATAACCTCGGTACACCATACAAATGTATATTGTATACGTCACGCTATATTAACGTTGACTCCGACAAACTCAGTCAGTCTGTTGTGGCTCCTTGGCTCCGGTACCGGCTTTGAGTTTGACACTGACTCTGTCCCTGACTGTCTGGAATAAATTGATGGGAATAATTGCAGCCTTTTAATATCATAGGATCATTTTGTATGTGTTTTGATTTAGCGACTTTGTGTCACATGCCACCCATTACCCAATCGGGTAATGGTCTTTACTGTCTTATATACACCACCATATAAACTTAGGCCAACATATAAAATTACATATATATGTACATATGTCTGGGGTTAAGCAAATCCTGATCCTCCTCCCATCAGTCCGAGCCAATCACTATGAAGCAATGCTCCATTGCCTCCGTTACCATTGGCCTTAAGTACAGAAGAATCATCAAGACTTCCCAACCAATTGAAATCTCGTCCAAGTCCTCCTGACAGTTGCAGTGGTTGAGGACCTCCATTCGGTCCTCCTTGTGGTTGGCCCATATCTTGTTGTTGCAGAAGAAGTTGTTGTTGGATCAATTGTTGCTGTTGCATTCTAAACCGTTGTTGCATCTTATCTTGCATTGACGACAGTGAATTGAAACTATCGGGTGGAGTATGATGTTGATCAAGTGTAGGTGGCTGTTGTTGTTGACTTGAATAGTCGGGATTAGGAAATCTGCCTTCGTTCCCAATAGAATCGCTCCGATTGGCAGGACTGAATCCCATCATTTGTTGTTGCGGTAACAGTTGTCTCCGTTGAGCTTGCATCTGATGGAGTTGCTGTTGCAGTTTTTGCAAGTATTCTTGATATTGTTTTGGCTGTTCATCATAGAATTTCCCTTGTTGTTGGAATTGCTCATCTTGGCCCCATGAACTGCCATTGGAAATACCTTCATTCATGTTGTTCCTTTGATTCTGGTGCTGTTGATGTTGTGTGACACCAACATTGCTACTGCCTCCTCTCACTTGACTAGGCACCATCCCAGGCTCAGCGCCGGCACTGGTGTTGGGACGGACAGAATGACCAGAGGAACTGCCAACATTGCTGCTACTAGCAGGGAAAAAGTCGGGTGAATGTGTTTGGGAATGAGGTTGAGAATGGCTCTGTGAAAGTTGAAGTTGTGATGATCCTGTCAGCGGTCTATGATGTTGTTGCTGTTGCTGCTGAAAGTGTTGCTGTTGTTGTCTCTTCATTAAGAATTGTCTCTTTTCAATGAGATTTCGGTAGTCACTCACCGAAGTCGGTCCTGGTGGACCTTGTTGAGATTGCATCTGTGGTGTGGGGGGGTGTGGTTGCAGTTGCAGTTGGCCCACGTACCCATTAGCGTATCTTGGGGGTTGAGGAGGATGCATTTGCTGAGGAGTTGGTTGGCCCAGAGGAGTTTTGGTTGTGGAAGCACCAGGAATGTCGTCCGAAGGTTCATGGGATGGGAAACTAGTTGTTGGAGAAATCGCTTGGTTGGGTTGTGATGAAGTAGGAGGAAGACTTTCCAAGGGGCCGAATCCAAACTGGCCTGATGCAAGTCCAGCCAGATACGATGCATTGGGGTTAGTTGGAATGTTGGGATTACTGCTATTAATAGTATTAGTATTAATACTATTATTATTAGTACTATTATTTATATTTCCGTTAAAGCTCTTTTGTATGGACCACATAAGACACCACCATTCTAGAAGAAACGTTTCCTTGGAATCAATAGACATGATATTAGTCAACTGAGACTCGTTGAACGACGGAACCACCGACAGTTCATAGAGAAGCAGTTTGGCAGACTCATGAAGTCCATTATGAACCAAATAATTATGAAGATGGGCTATAAGTAACTGTTGAGAGTCTTTGGCGAATTTATCGCTTAACACATTCTGTTGTATCATGATACAAAGGAACACCGAGTAATCTAGATTAAGTACGTAAGAAAGTAAGTCGACCTTATATATGGTTTGTACCCCTCTTAACTTGGGCTACTAATGTCATGTGTTGTCTGTAAGGGACAGAGATTGTGTTAAGAATTGGTTGTAGAATGTCACGGTCGTTGCTTTAGGGTTGTTTTTTTTCCGCATTGTTTGTTTCAATTGAGGAGGTCCAATTCCGACCTGAGGATCTGTGGTACAGTACGGGTACGAACGGTATGGAGCAGTGGTGCAGCTTACTGCACTGCTGTTGATACTGTATTACTACTGCTTCAGTACTACTACTGACTGCTACTACATTACACGGTTGTACTACCACTACTGCTTACTGTATTACTGTACCACACTGGTATGCTCTTCTTTGCTACTGTACTGCCCCGTACACTGTTCTGCACTACCGTACTGTACCTTACTGGCTTACGCTGAAACTGTGTTGATCTAATTCGCCTTTGTACCATTCATTTATACACAATACTTTGACACCTACAATACAATACCCTATATGCGACACCTCGGTGTCACCCTCGGTATACAGCCATTCCATTTTTCTTCCACTCATGTACAACCTCCAATCGGTGTACGTCCATCTAAATACACCTCCTTCCTTTATGTCTCATCCATTGCAACTCATCCGTTCTTCGGAATACCCACCTGTTTCGCTCTAACTTATGTAACCCACCGCCATCACAAACGGCTGTAATGTGTAGCTGCACTGCTAAGGCAAGTAATGCACGATCCATCGCCTTCATGTATCAATGCGCCGCTTGTCTTTGCAATCCCCCTCTTCTAAGCCATGGGGTACAATCCTATCACGGTAATGACTTCCGAGGTCCCATTTTTGTCGTCATGTCAAAGAAGTCGAGTCATGACGCGAACGAACATTACACGACTTATTCGTAGTACAACGACAAAGAGTACAACCACGTTGTGTATATGTCGTACTGTACCGTGAATTATCTTGGTTTGAATTCTCCAAATGGCTTCTGATATTCTTGCCATGACTTGTGCATTCCATCTTGTTCAAACTCTTCGGGGTAGTCCTCTTCATCATAAATAGGAACAAACCTCGACTCAGTGTTAATGTATTCAAAGTAGATGCCGTGGATCATTAAGGTCTCCAAATGAACAAAGATTTTTTGTAAAAAGGAAGTTATTGGTCGTAGTTGATGTATCAAATAGGTGGTCAAAATGTCGTCAATATCGTAGTTGAAGTTAGCACATTGACATATGTTTGAAGGAGGTGACGAGCGGAAGGCGTTAGGATCTATGCCAAAGTCAAGCTCATCATCAGCATTAGTAGTAACATCAGCAGTGGCAGTATCATCATTGTCATCTTCATCTTCATCACCTTCCTCTTCTTCTTCATTTTTCTCGTGCAATTGGTTGTGTAACATGTTGGGATGACCCTTGTACAATCCATAGTTTCTATACTCAACAGGAATGTCTACCTTCGGAACAAACACACTTCTATCGGCCATTAATTTCCCTAAAATATATCCAAACGTTATAAAGTAAGACGTTTCAAGCGATTCCTTCTGCACTTCTGTGGGCCTCTCGGGAATAGGGAAGAAAAGGTCACCCACTATTCCCAAGACCTTCTCACATCCCCAGCACTTACATGTGTGGAGTAAACTTTGATAAAACAGTGGATGATAGTAGATGAATGACGTCAAGAAATCAGTCAATTGTAGGGTCTTAATCCGATTATTACTTCGAACAAAATAATTCAAAAAGAACAATTCCATCAACTGTTCTGAAAGTTTGTTCAATGATTCACAAGTAATCCCACTGGATTTACCAAACATCTTGAACCCCAAGATCTCATGGTTTATAACAAGATGTTCCAAATTGACTAGCGTTTGTAAGAAGCTTCCCAATGGCACCAAAACATCAGACAGAAATTGGTGAGGACGAAGCCAATCCTTCCCAAGAAACCCACCCATTTCAAACCGTTTCAAATGGGGCATTCCTTGGTTCTGGTTAGAAAATCGGGTAAACTCATGATAAAAGTCTCCAAAACATGAGCAACTGGAAGTACTCACTCCTTGACATGCTATAAATAAAGACATGTCTGTGATATTGAGCAAATCAAGCTTCGATTCAAATATCGGGAACTTTAACATAGTATTAAGCGTATGGTCATGATCAGCATCTTCATGACAATGATATAACGCAAATTGACGAGGTTGTAGTTTCTCTTCGTTGGTAAGTTTGATCTTCCTTAGTAGTTCCAAGCCCTGGTAATTGTCTGTGGAACATTGAAGCCGATTCAAGTTGTAAAGAATGTTATATGACGGTGTACTTGTATCTAATTGAAACTCCTCTTCAAGCAAGACATCCTCATCAAGTTTAAGATATAAGCTTTGTAACTTGGGAGGAACAAATGGAGAATACAAGTGTTTGGGATCCCCATTAACATATAAGTCCTTTAGCGTATTTCTAACGGACTCCTTCTTAGTAACAAAGTCATGTAACTTTTCATAGCCTTCACCACTACTTATATACGAGATGTCCAACTCAATATTGTTAGTAGCAAACCGACTGAAAAGATCATAGAGCTTCCATTGTAAACATATCATATCTCTCTTGGTATACTGCGAGTTTGTGGTTGTATCCATGAACGGTTGGGCTATACTTTCATAGCCATAGCACTTGCCGAACCCAAAGTGTCTAATAAATGATGAGATCAAGCTGGGGTTACGTTCAAGGGTATCCACCAATCGTAGTAACTGACTCAAGGTAACTATCAGAACCGTATTAGAATACTTTAAGGAGTTGTCTCTAACAAAATCATAGACATCACCGTTATATTTAGTAGGAACTGTGGGGTTAAGATTCACAGTAATGCTTTTATATAATCTTCTCATACTAATGGCTGAGATCAGCTTACAAGTGAGACACAATCGAGGAAGATCGTATTGACCCACGTATTCAATGATCCTTTCAAGAATCTCTTCACATAATGTGATTGAAGTGGGAACAATTGGTGAAGTGGACTGTATGGGATCCAGTACTACTGAACTTTTGTTAATGGCGTTCAACTCCTTAATAATATTAGTGTTACTCTCCATCTCTTATCAAGTATAAAATATCACATATATATTCATTCTACAACTGTAAATCGATTCGGAACTTGTACGTCAGCAGTTCCACTCCACTCCGTTCAGGTTATCAATCCTAAATAGAAATAGGGGTATACTGAACCTGTTTTGTGTAAATATTCGCCTGATCTGCACGACAAACCGGGTATGAATACGTCTATACGATAACCGAGTCTGTGAGATAGTATGAGCTTATACTATAACAGTGACGATACCAAAGCTGCTGTTTATTTCAACTTATTCTGTTCTAATCAAATGGTACTAATGATAATATAACAGTTTATATATGGTTGGTTTACGAAACACTTTATTTGATCACGTGATGCGGTTAGACTGTTTAATTTTTGGAATACACAGTGTAAGAGTCTTTTCCTTCTGATACTACGCGAAACACCCTGTTAGCTCAATTGGCTAGAGCGTGTGACTTTTAATCACAAGGCTGCGGGTTCGACTCCCGCATGGGGTGCTTCCAAATATTTTATTTTTTTTGGAATCCCTTATACCCTTTTTGTAACCCTCACTTTTGATAACGATACTATTTATATTTGTTCCCAATACGGAAGTATAATGATCCAACGGTACTTCTCTTCATCTTAACAAAACGGGAATAGCATAGCATTCAAAACAATATAGAAAGCAACAGAAGTAAAGCTTTGGTGCTGTTATACTGAACCTAATTGCCATAGTACAGTAGTACAGTCATCGTACCGTCATGTCGTATCCCATTGGAAACAAAGAAGGAGTTAGAGTTGTTAGTGATATGTCACGATTTGAATATGACTCTGAAACTCCTCAATTCCGTTCAAGAAACCCAACACCTCCAAGTGGATTAGCTTATAACTTGCCTAAGCCTGCTATTAATGATTATACGGATACACTTAATATCCCTATGAATGCACCGAAGGTATCACTTACGGCTCAACAATTAGAAGAGGTTCTGGTTGATGAAGGTCCCACTCCCCCGCACAAAGACTCTTCATACAGACGGCTCAGTAGCATGTACTCACAACCACAGCCACAACATTCAAACACATCTCCTTCAAGAATAGATACCCAAACTCCAGGACACCAACAACATCAAGTACAACCACAACAATATGATCAACACTTTACTCCTGAAAGACTGAGGCCTTCATCGAGTTATTATCCTCTCTCAAGGAGATACAGCATTGGGTCATCGTTCCCTCCCGGACATTATCCTCCGCCATCGCATCTGTATCTTCCAGCATACGAACAAGCACAATACCAAAGTCAAATCCAGAATCAAGCATTGGAGAATAACGAGTTACCTCCAATGCCACAACCAGGTGAATTGGTAGAACTACCTCCGACAGGTAATGGGCTTCGGAGATTCTTACCCGAAACAGTATTTCAAAAGAACCCCAAAAAGAACTTTCTTAGGCACATGTTACTTCAACAAGTCATGAATAAACCAGTCTATCATTTCCCGGAACGAGACTTTGATACCAACATCTTCATTAATACCACCCACATATCATACCATTTCTTTCTTTATTTCTTTGAGGTCATCTTTGAAATAATTGTCATTATACTATCAGCCATGCTTCTAAGTTCAGACAAAAACGTGGACTACGGAATATACAGATATTTCATTGGCTCATCAGTAGTAGAGGTGGTTATAGCTCTTGGATTCTTAACCACAATCATTGATTTTGAGAATAGAAACGGTAACTTCTATTGTATCATTGCTACCGTCTTATGTTCTATTTCCTTCATAATAACATGCTCTCAATTACTTGGTAAAGGATGTCCAAATGGGAATGTCTGCGGAATGAGGAGAGCGTTACTGTCGTTTGTTATCATGTCAACGTTTCTTTGGATTATTACTTTGACAATGTACGTTACCACGCTTTATGTGGCCAAATTAGATTCCTTAGAAGAGTTCATTTTCCATACTCAACCTGTTCATAATAACAATGAGTTGCCACCACAATTAACCACCTCGGAATACGCTGCAAGTGTGGCGAGATCACCTCAAACTCACCAATCAGCTGGTGCTAAGACAGAAGAGATAGATGACGTTGTGGGTGCTACTACAGCCACTGCTCCAAAACATACAAAGACTACAACCACGTTTGTTGATCCGGAAACAGGCGTACCCTTAAAACAGTTTTATTTGAGTGAACAGGGAGAAATGTATGAGCTACAGAGTCCAGCCGGATACGAACACCACAATAAGATTTTGGTATACACCTACTAACGTCCGGGTAACGTTTGTGTATATACAGGATATGATTATATGTAGGAAACCGTTACCAAATTAAGTGGTGGGTGCAAAAATCATATATATGTACATATACGTTTACAACTAAAAGACATAGCGACTCTTCTTATTCTCCTTCATCACTCACTCCATAAGCAAACACGTACATACGCATTACCCAATGAGGATCGCTCTCGTTCTCTTTGCTTTCTGCAGTGCTTGCTCTTGTGTTTCACTACGGAGGGAATATTCTCTGGCGGTTAATCAATTAATAGTACCAAACGGTAACAATATTGTTGAGTCGTCTACCAATTACAACCAGCTGTATTCTCTTATACCCAAGGAATTGATTCTGGGGTCTTTACTTGAACAATTGGGGTTGAACGAGTACTTTTATGTTAGTGATGATGCGATCCGTAAAGTTCCTATCCCTCGGAATGTCCTGAGCATGTTTATTTTAAGTCGTTCTTTACCGAAGAATTGGCATACGCTGATTCAGTTTTTGAAAATGGCATTACCCTTTGGTTTGCCAAACAAAGTTGACGTTGTTGAGTTGTCGCTTGTGGTTCCAACTGCCTTGATTTATGATAGCTTGGTGAGACAGCTCTCTACTGTGGTTGGGAACCACACGCCGTTGTATGAAATGGCTTTGAATAACTGGCCACTACTAGTAACATCATTAAAGGAGAATAGTGAAGATGGTAGTACGACTGGCACTACTGCTGGCACTACTGCTTCTTCTTCTTCTTCTCTCTTCAACATGTTTGCAAGGAACATGATCACCAATGACCAACTCACCAGAGCCATATTTTGTGAGTACCCTTTCTTTTGCATTCAAATCCCAAATCCCAAATATATTTGTTTATCTTCTCCATGGAACAGCTCTACAAAATATTTGAGTTCATTAACAAATTGGGTTAAGCAAAACGTCTACGAGTCCTTTGAGAGATCAAATAATCTTTTCATACCACTTCGAATCCTTCAAGATGGTGAGGGTAACCCCAGACACCAAAAGTTCAGTCAAGTGATTTTCAACTCTAAACCTTATTCCTATTTGACCTCCAAGAATTGGGATAAAAGAAATGAAGAGAATGATAATAAATCTTGTATCCCAATAACTTGGTATAATATATTCCATCATAGTATATTTGGTGATACCAATTTTTGCACGTGACTCACGGCTACAGTTACTACATCTGGATAAACAAAAACTAATAATATAAACAAATATCCAGTATATTCATAAGTACCCAACATTTCTCTTCTCCTGGGGTAAAGGCTCACTTCTAAAAGCTGAGTTCCCTTGAACGCTTGAACTACTTTGAGATCCAAACGGATTGGTGGATTCACTGGTTGGAGTGTCTCTCTGGTCACCATAATAAGCACTATAGTCATTTAAGGCATTTCCCGGGTTACCAATTAATGTGGATGGTTGAGTTGGTTCCAAATTATCAATGCTTGGTCTTTCTGTGTTATAAGGGTCGAAAGCTGAAGAATCATTATCATCTGTGAATTCTCTTTTGGCTCCCATTTCATGACCTTTCATTGCTGTTGCTCCAAGAGCCACCAATTCTAAATCTTGAGCTTCTTGTGCCTTGGTTTCATTACCAAATCTTGGAATAAAAGATACTCTATCATCTTTCATTGGTTGGTACCTAACATCTGGGTTCTTATAGACCAAAGCCATCACGCACGTAACCACCGTGAAAATCAATAAGAACAATGCAAAGGCTGCATTCAAAATGAAAAATATCACTGCCATAACAGAAGAGACAACATGAGGTTGTTTAAAAACATTGGAGAAAAATGTAAAAAATAAAGCATTAATGGTATTAATAACTGAAATAAAAATGTTAAAGACATTTGTTCTTTTATCCATAAATGGACGAATGTAACAAACGGCAACACAATAAAAGATTTCAGTTACCATCACCAAAAGAGCTTGAACTTGACCTTTTCTTTGCATAACAGCAACAAATAATGATTTAAGTAACACATAAATCAACCAAACTGCCACCCAATAATAACAATCAGCTCTATATTGGACGTAGATAAAACCAAATTTGTTCAAAAAGTTTCCATCTCCATATAAGAGATAAGCTGGATTTTTAAAATTCCGAACAGATTCTCTACCTAATAACACAACTCTTATAGCAGCTTGGAAAAGTAATGCCACAGCAATAATCAAAAGAAATATAGCTATAACTGTTGTACCAGCAGAATCTCTTGTAGTTAATTCCCAAAGACACATTAAAGTGATTTGAGGGAAAGCAATCATAAGAATTCTATATAAAGAACCCTTAATGATATCACCCCAATGACGTCTATAAACGTTGAATTTCCCTTCATTCATGACTTTAGATTTGATTAAGATTTCAATGATTGCCTTGAAGAACATCAAACAAACCACCAATACAAAGGCACAAAAGAATAAAAAGGCAATTGACGTGAAAAATAATGAAGTGATTTCAATATCAGCCAAATAACTAACTCTTTGTATTCCTCTAAGGACCAAAATTTTGGAACTTAAATCTGATTTCTCATTAGTAGTATATAATGAAGAATCCAAAGAATCAGAATAACCATAGTCTTGTTTATCAAGACTGAAAGCTCTTTTAAACAAAGTTAAATGATTGCTTTTTTGAGCCTTATGGTACATTCTACCAAAATCTTCAATGATATCTAAAGATCTCTTAGCCTTCTTTTGAACAGAAATTGAAGCATATTTACTCTTCAAAACGTCAGAAACAGTACCACCTGTAGATTGAACATACCAATTAGCAATAGATTGTAAAACATTAACTTTAATAACTCCCATTGCCCAAACAAAGTTTTGGGCCCAAGCAGCAGCTACAGGAGGTACTACGGCAACACCCAACATAGCGGTAATCACCAAACTTTGGAAATAAATGAAAAGAGACATAGAATTGGAAGCAATATGAGCCGCAGTGGCAGAATGTCCTACAACAGAGATAAACCCTGAGGTTAACACTCCTAACCCAGCAATGGCTGCAATTGGCCAAGCAGCATATTTTGTTTGAACTGTTTTACCATTGGATACCACGGCTTCAACACAAGCAACTGCAGAATCCGTGGAATTGAAAAGCACCACTCTCACTCTGGCGTCCAAATCTGGAATGTTATACGCAATCCCAGGGATTCTATTGGCAACACTTTCAGGTACAATATAATTGGAGTTTAAATCCATATGACCAGTGGTTAAGGGACAAATGGAATCATAGTTCAAGGAACATAAGGAGACATTGGTGTTAATAGCGGTGATCCCATAAGCTATCAATTGGACATTGGCCGTGATATTCAGATTAATGTTGGATATGGCTGCTATGTCAAATACCAATGATCTATTATTGGGGAAGAACACAACATTGAATGTTGAAGCTGTAAATTGTGACGAGTCCATACACGTTAAAAGGGAGCTTGTTTGAAGGGTTTTGGCCCCTAACACCGCAACACTATTCAATAGAGCCACAAGTGGCAAGTAGTAGTGCCATAACTTCATAGTGACACCGATAACTTGGGGGAAGAAGAAGAAGTGGATGTATCTAAAGTTAGTTACGTTACATGGCTTGGTTGTTTGGGAGAACGTAAATCTGAATTTTTCCTGAGTCACGTGACCAGATCTGTGTGATCTAAAAACAGAAACATATCGGGGCTGTACATATAGATGGCGTAGGAAAGTTATGATGTAATGAGAAATACGTAAGCATTATGACATCAAATGTCTTATGTCTAATAAGGTATACCATTGGTAAGTCGTTGGAATTCGTCATAGCCCTTTGTATAAAACGATTCCATTGATTTCTTAATCAAGCTTCGGAAATACATGGATGCCTCTACTTCTGTCTTACCCGGTACAAACCGTTGTCTCAACTTTTTAACAGTTGTATCTTTAAAACAAGGTAAGCCACTTTCTAACATTGGAGTTACGCACCGCACTATGGTTTCCATATACGGACGACAGGCCAAATAACCTTTCACACAAAGTTCTTCAAACCATCTAAATGATTGAGTTTGATCTGAACCTCCTAGTACGGCAATCATTTCTCTTGTCAATTTAAATGGCGCAACCTCAAACTTAACTCCACCAGGTACAATATCAAAACAGAACCCAAAATCAATATGTAAAATGTGTCCTTGATCATCATACATGATATTACCATTATGACGATCTTTAAATTGCAACAAATAAGAGATAATGGAATAAGCAGCTAACGATTTAACCAAATTATTTCTAGCATTCTGAAATTCAATGGAAGTTTCTGGTCCAAACTTTGATGTAAAATATTCATACAATCCATTAACTGCTTCTCTACCCAACATGTCACGTGACACGGAGTTGGGCAAAACATCAATAACTCCACAGCCTGGTGCAGTGGCTGTAACTCTATAGGGAAACACATATAAATCCAATCCAGCATCAGCCCAAATGGTCCGGAACACAGAAATCAATTGTAAAGCTAACACATCTTGGCGACAATCATCACCAACTTTAAAAATTGCACTTTGCCATTTTTCAATTTCCATATTAAATAATTGCCCTTTTTCATTATAAGCAGGTACCTCCTTTCTAATTTTAAATGTAGCCAAAAATGGGGCCTTAGCATGTGATTGTAAAGGTTTACCTGATTTCCGATTAATATCAACCACAACTCCATCAGGATTACTTGGAAGATAAACTCCTGGTAGAACATCGATTAAAGCCATTTCTTCATCGATTTTAACCTTCTTTTCAGCCTTGGTCTTCTTTATATAGGGTTTCAACTTACCGGAAATGCTAGTGACTTCATTGAAAAATGCAAATTCCTTCTCATAAAAATCAACGTCCTTATCACTAAAAGATTTGATCATTTCATCTTGGATCATGTCCAATACAGGCTTAAGTTTATCTGGTTCATTGGCATCATCATCTTTATAACTATTGGCAAGCATATTCCATATGATTTGGTGAGCAAATAACTGTGAGACTTTGGCAGTTTCAATAATAAATCGTTCCACATAGCCCTTAGCATCAAACCGTAAACTTTGAACAATTTGTGGGACATAAAAGAAGGTCAAATTCACATCATGATGCAATAAAGATCTCATGGTTAGTTGCAACACATAAGGGTCACTTCCAAAGGGTGGTAAGAATAACGTAATACAATCAATTGGTGATAACGGTTCCCAATAAAGTAAATGATGGGTTGGTGAAGTACTTCCCACATCAATACCAATAAAATATTGAACTGCATCAGGATAGAAAATAGCTGGTAAAGGATTCTTACGAATTAAATCCTTTAATAATTCATCCAAATTCTTTACCTTATACCGAAGGGCAAGATTCACAGCTAGAATTGGATCAATAGCATAAGCTTTGGAAATATGGTTCCCACTAATTTTACTACTGATGTATGCACCTCTTGTTTCTCTTGGTTTCAATGTCGATAACCAAACATCAAAAATGGAGATTTCATCATCAAGGAAGAACATGTTTAAGATCTTCTTACTCTCCAATCTCTCAGAGTTGAAAGTAGACATCACTGAAGTCAATCTGGCAACGTCTTTTAATAATTTATGGTCAGATTTGAACCTCAATACATTAGACCCAAAGGGATAAACTGCACGTCTTCTGAACCATGAAAGTTGAGCATCCAAGATCAATTCACTTAAGTATTTAACACTCCTAGACCCAGTTTGATAAGCCATACCAATGTGATAATTTAAAACATTGAAAGCAAATCTGATCAATTCAAACCGTACTAATCTTGCAAAAGGGTGTAAACTTGCAAACCTTAAATTCTTCATTCCAACTTCAACAAATCTTGTGAATAACTTCAACAAATGATCAGATTGATACAACGTGGCTTCAAAACTCGAAGAGAATAACCGAATAATTTGTAAATGAGGTTCAAATGATCGACTAACATTATTAGCTTTATGAGTAACTGAAGTCATATCACTTGGAGAGTATTCCATTTTAGAGAACTCTGGATTCTTAAAATCATTATCTTTAGAAAACAAACCTTGACGTAATTCTATGGAAGTTTCCCAACTTTTAGCAACTTCAGAAATCAAAAGAATACTAATGTTCCCTCTATCTTTCATTACAGCCAACCATATATCAATTGCAGCCTTTAGAATTTGACTGTCAAAAATTTTAAAGGGAATATCCACCAAATATCTTACCAATTCAGCATTATTCTTTTCACTAACCAATGTTAACCCAGCAATTTTGGTTAAAAAGTCAATGATTTTTTGTTGAGGAATGCTACTAGCGTTACTTTGAACGTCAACTAACAAACTCTGAGCCTCTTCTCTTATACTGAGACATGCAGCTTCAATATCTTGTTCATTGTATAATGGCATTTTATCCATTAACTCTGTAAGAAAGTTGCTTCTCCAATTCAATTGGGTGGTGAAAACTGCCAAAGTATTGAAGTTTTGCAGTGTGAATCTGTTGATACCTGCCAATTCCTTATCAGCAGGTCCAACTTCTCCTGCCATTGAAATGGCAAACGAAACCCCAAAATGGATTCTTTCCATAGATTGAAATCTATCCAAACTTGAAACATATGATTGGATTAAACTCTTAACATCAATGTTGGATTTAACCAACACCAATTTAACCCAATGTTTAGCCTTTTCACTAAACCGGTTGAGAGTCTCAGTACGCCAACTGTATGAATCACTCAAAAGTAAACGGATTCCTGCAGTTTTGGTGACAAATGTACAAGTTGGTTCATATTCATTTTCATCAGCATCCACAACACTATCAAACAAGACCGTTAACAAATCAAATAATGTAAACAAACTCTTGTGATGACATAAGGAGGAAGGAATCTTGTTGATCAATAAGTCACAGCATTGCATAGCAGCATCTTGTAAGTCTTCTAAGTTATGACAACATAATGTTAACATGGTAGTTAATTGGTTGGCAATATTTTGAGCTGAAAACTTATTGGTACCTCCATAATTAATATACAAGATATAATCTTTAATGATCTTGAAACAAATAGGGCCAATAAACTTATCTACTCCACTGATTTTAACTGAAGGATCAGAGAAATAGTATAAAATCTTGGAACAATCACCTGATTTCACTCTTAAACTTTCAACAAATACTGTAGCTGATAAGAAGATCAACTTAGGATAAGAAAGGGTTCTACTAATTTCAAAAATATCCCCAATAATATGTCTGTGATCCTTAACATTATGATTGGAGGAACCTCTTTTCAACACAGTATTCAATTCCAAAGAGGTTTCCGTTTTATTCCATGATAATTCGGATGCTAATGGAGGAGAGTTATAGGCAATTCTTTCAAGTTGACGGTGATACTTTTGAGCATTACTTGATTTCATAGAATATCCATGGACAGCCATATTGAACCAAGTATTTCTGAACAAATCAATAATTTGTGGATCAGTAATCTTTAATGGTTCTTCGTCTTCATGAGCATTTGGTAATAACTCCGCAAGAGGTCTCAAATACAACAGGATTTGATCACCGATTTCAATGATCTCATTATGAGATCTATGGTGCTCTAAGACTTCAACATCTCCTTTGTTAAGAATTCCTTGCAATATATCTTTCAATAATGCATAGTATAACGGAGAGTCTGGCTTCTGTTTGATCAATATAGATAATTCAACTCTGGCATCAATTAATTCCAGAAGATTTTCGGATTTACCATCCAATGCATCTAATGAAAGCTTAGAAAGAAGCTTCAGTAAGATAAGAAATTCCTTCACTGGTAGATAAGGAGCACAATTGACTAACCCACTTAATAAAATCTTGCAATTATCAATATCAGCTTTGATAACCTTTTGGGATAAAATGGTTACAGTCAAAGTGGTCACTGTTTCATCATTACATGCTTGGGTAATAGCAATGATTGAATCGATTGCATTTTGACTAATCAATTGATAATCTTGATCATCCCATTCACCTCCACCTTTGCTTCTAAATGAGATTCCTGAGGTGTCGGCAGCACCAGCTCCAGTTTGGAAATTGGAATTAACAATTCCATTAATTGAACCTTCGCGGGAAACTCCTCCAACACCTCCATTCTTAAGATGATTATTACCATTTTCCTTGATTGACAAAGAATCAAAGCGACTCAAACCTGTTTGAGCTCTTCTTCTGCCAGCACCATAATTACTTCCGGTGGTAAGCATATTACTCAAGGCATAAATTGTTGTTACAACAGCATCTTGAGATAGGATTTTGGAAGCAAGTCCAACACTATGAGAGGCTCTTTTGATATAGGAAATACTTGATCTTCCAACCAAAGAAGTGAAAGTTCTTGTTAAGAAAGACCCAATACTTTCATCCTTATAAACCAACAAAGACCCCAATTGAATTGTTGTCAAGCCTAAATCATCATCAAGAACAACTTCCTTGATTTCTAAACAGCCATTATAAACCTTTCTAGCTGTTTTGGCAGGAATATTATCTGTGAAGGTACCACAACCAATTATCTGTAAGTTATGACTTTTAGCAATGTAACCAGCCTTCAATCTATTATAAGTAGAATAGACAATAAATGGTTCACCTCTATCCAAAAAGTTTGTTTTTTGAATGGCCAATTCCAGCAAGCTTCTAATAAATTCAATTTCTTGAGTGTTTAAATCCAATGTTGGAGCAGAATTATCTTCGACTATTTTAGCAGCGTATTCTAGAAGATATTCCAAAGTGGGGACACCTTTAGAATTACCCAAAATGGTATTAATCATGGAATTCATGAGTTGACTAAGCAATTTGATATAATGAATAGGAGAAAAGTCCAATAAAATATCTCTTTTCAACAAAATATTGTAATCATGAGGTTCATTGTAGATGAAATTCGAATATAATTCCACTTCATTCAAGAAATCAAAATTATCAATACAAGTATCCAATATTCTAAAGATCGAGAATCCCCTGGTTGAACTTACCAAAAGCTTTGCCTTGAGTGAAAGTCCCTCTAATAACCCAATCAATGTTAAATAGTGAGATAATTCAAGCAGCAGCAGCAGTCCATCACCATCAGCTTTGAAAAAAATATCATTAAATTGTTCAAAAGTTGCTAAAACTTCATCACATATCTCATCGAAAGTCATCCCAAGGTTAATCAAAGCAACCGTCAAATGTTCTGCAATAATTGTCCATGGTGACAGCTTAGGACTGATACTGAACACTTGTGTGCAGAACCTTTGGCTAGGTAACTCCAAAAGGTACAACCGAAGTCTTTTGGCCAAGACCCGAGCTTGACCCACATTTCCAAGCTCTGAATCGGTGCACTTGCACAAGGCAAGCAACACCTCATACTCCTTCAATGTGATAGGTACCTTAGATAACTTCATTGACCCAGTTTTGGGTGTGAGTTCCAATAACTTATTGAACTCACGATCCACTCCATATTGAGTGTGAGAAGTACCCAACTTGGCTAATCTTTGATACGCCTCGGAACGGATTGTGTTCCTAGAAACGCCGAAGTAATCCATTGATGTTTGGAAAGTTGTAGTGTCAGTGGAAGAAGAAAGGAACAATGACGATACAACTTGCATTTATGGTGGTTACTAGTCAATTATTATAATTTTCAGATCGCAACCTAGACGTGTGCTTACCAAACCCAAACTTCCCAATGGGGAAATGTGGTATGGTGATTAACCATGGATGGTTACCAAGCACATGGAATTTAAGAGCCCCTGTTGGGTTGATTACAATGAGTCGATAAGGGAAAGGCTGAACGGATAAAAGGCGCAAGCATATACAATAATTATACAAAGGTTAGGAGAGAGGAAACATCTGTCATTCTAAGTGTAGGTTTCAATAATGGTATCTCTCAAGTTACCTTGAATGTCATCAGGTTGAGCACTCTGTAAGCCAAAGATGGATTCAATGACGGAGATTTCAGGTCCCGAAGAGTCCAACCCAGTGAACGCAATGTAATCATTAACAGTCATACCAGCACCAACCACCGAGGAACCTCTATTCACAGTACCTGCAACCACAGGAACTTGTAATAATGAAGATAATTCTTCTTGATCTTGTATAGAAGTTTGAGGGTGTACCAAAGCACCTTTATTATTCAATGCACAATAAGACCCCACCAATACGTTAGTAGCAATAGTTTGACGGAATACTTCAACCCCTAAAACATCAGCTATTAATTCTTCAGTTTCTCTTTCAATGTCTGGATGTACTAATGCAACATAATCATTACAACAAATAACATTTCCTAATGCAGATAACCGTTCTTCAACTCTTTGAATCTTAACTGTGTCAGGTAAAGCATTTCTTAAATGCATCAACTCTTGATCCGAGGTTTGTGTAGGTACCAATAACCCTCTTCTATTCCCACTAGTCATTCTACCAACTATACGGGTACCAGCAATGGTGGTATGTACAATGGGTATAACATCTCCTAATTCTGCTTCGTAAGCTGAATAGAAATTCTCAGAGCCTCCAACAGCAACCAAACAGTATGAGTTGGTTAACTTGGAAAACACACCAACCTCATTGGAGTTTTCAAACTGAGTCCGACTAGCCATAATGAACGTAGTAATAAAGTAGTAACAGTAATAGTAGACTCACTAGGAGTGATAATAGTAGTCGGTAATCCATTTAATTTAAGTCATCGGGTCTCTCGCCATCGCACAGTGAAAAAATGTCGTTGTGACACAAAGTCGGAGATGAGGTTGAACCAGGGCAAGAGGAATACGATTGCCACTCTGGCTCTCTGGCACAGTGGCAACGACTAAAGTGGGGTCATGTAGTAACGGGGAACATAGTAATAACAGAAGCAACGGAGTTATAGGTAAGGGAGATACGGATGGGCTATTTATAGTGTTGTGGCAAACCTTAACTATAAGCAGTTGTGCATAGGACGACCATGTAAAGACTCTAGCACTACTATTCTACACTATATTATTCTGATGAAACTTCATAAAATTAACTAAATACAGAATTAAAATAATAATAATAATAAAAATAGATTCACCACGACAACTCTTAATCTAAGCCAGATCTAAAGTTGTCATAATCATCTTCATCGTCATCGTCTTCGTTGACGTCATGCCATGCATCGACATCAGCCATATCTTCATCATCAGGTTCATGGTTTGGTAATACTTCCAACCCACCTTTACCAAGTACAACTCTGGCTGTTTCCTTGTCTTTGATTTGTCCCTTCAACAACAAGACTGCAAGTCTATTCAAGATTTCTACTTGAATCAAACGGTTCAATGGTCTTGCACCCAAGTCAGGTGACCATCCATGAGAACACAAGTAGTCCATAGCTTCAGGCGAAACATCCAATGTTAAGTTTTTTGCATTAGACTTGAATCGTTCTTGTATCTCCTTCAATCTAATATGAACAATCTTAGAAATTGCTTTCTTTGATAATCTGTTGAACACAACTATAGAACTGATTCTGTTCAAGAATTCAGGTCTAAAATTACCCTTAACAGCAGTCATAACAAGTTCTTTAGTTTTAGAATCAATTTTTGAAGATTTAGATGCATTAATAAATTCAGCACCTAAATTAGATGTCATAATAAGAATTGCATTGGAACAATCAACAACTTTACCTTGACCAGAAGTGATTCTACCATCATCCATGATTTGTAATAAGATTGTAAGAACCGAGGGATCAGCCTTTTCAATTTCATCAAATAAAATCACAGAATATGGTTTTCTGATTAATGCTTCTGTTAAAAGACCACCATCTTCGTACCCAACATAACCAGCTGTAGTACCTAACAATTTGGAAACGGTATACTTATCATTCAATTCAGAACAATCAATTCTAATCATGGCCTTCTCATCAGCAAATAAGAACCCAGCAACCTTTTTGGCCATTTCGGTCTTACCTGAACCTGAAAGACCCAAGAAAAGGAATGAAGCTGGTTGATTGGGGTTGGATAAACCCGATCTTCTTAATCTGATGGCATTAGTAACTGCCTTAACAGCTTCTGATTGACCAACGACTTGAGAAGATAATTGTGATTCCATGTTGATCAACTTGGAGTTTTCAGCTTGAGTCAATTTATTAACTGGTATTCCAGTTAATCTGGCTGCTGTTAGAGCAACTTGTTCAGCATCAACAACTGTGTTTAACATAGAATCAGCACTTGCATTCTTTTCTTCTTCGGCCACTTGAACTTCCAATTGTTCAATTTGATTCTTTACATCTGGAATAGCAAAATATCTCAAATCAGCAGCAGTTGCAGTGTCATGTCTTCTTTCAGCATCTTGTGCCTTAATTTCTAAATCGTCCAACTTTCTTTTAGCATTAATCAAAAGATCATGGCTTGCCTTTTCTTGCTTATACTTTTCCATAAGAGGAGCCATCTTTTCATTTAATTCAGCTTCCTTCTTCCTGGCTAATTTCAATCTTTCCTTAGCATCAGAATCAGAATCCTTATCTCTTTCTAAGGCATTGATTTCAACTTCAACCAAATGTAATTGACGTTCCAAAGTATCCAATTCTTCAGGTTTGGAGTCTCTGGCAACAGCAACACCTGCAGCCGCTTCATCAATCAAATCAACTGCTGAATCAGGTAATGCTCTATAAGTCAAATATCTTGAAGCCAATTGAGCAGCCGTAACCAAGGCATTATCTAAAATACGGACACCATGATGGATTTCATATTTAGGTTGTAAACCTCTCAAGATAGCAATGGTTTGATTAACTGTGGGAGCTGGAACATCAATTTTTTGGAATCTTCTTTCAAAGGCACCATCCTTGGAGACAAACTTTCTATATTCAGAAAAAGTAGTTGCACCAATACAATGTAATTCTCCTCTAGCTAACCTAGGTTTCAACAAATTAGCCATATCAGAAGTACCATCACCCATCAACATATGAATTTCATCAATGAATAAAATAATGAATTCACTTGATTTGGAAACATCATCCAAAACACCTTTTAATCTTTCTTCTAATTCACCTCTATATTTGGCACCAGCCATTAACGCACCAACGTCCAAAGAATACAACACAGCATATTGTAAAACACTAGGGACATCACCATCAATAATTCTTTGAGCAACACCTTCAATGATTGAAGTTTTACCCACACCAGGTTCTCCAATAAGTACTGCATTTGATTTGGATCTTCTTGCCAATACTCTAATGACTCTTCTAATTTCTTCTTCTCTTCCAATGACTGGATCAATTTTACCTTCTCTTGCCTTCTCCGTTAAATTCTCACAGTATTTATCCAAGAATTCATATGACCCTGAAGAGTCTGCCTTTCTCGAATCGATTTTTTGGTTACCTCTCAATTCCAAAGCAGCATTCTTGATTGCATCCACTTTAATACCGGCTTCCTTAAAGATCTGCTGTATCAGAGAATCTTCCAAAAGAGCTAGTAATATATGATCTTGAGCAATATAAGAATCCTTCTGTTGAGCCTTAACCTTTTGAGCTCGTTGTAACACTTGACCAGCAGCATAACTGGGTCTTATATCTTCTGGAGGAGGGTTTTGAGCAGGAACTTTCACCAAATGTCTATTGACTATTCTTTCAAATTCCGGCCATTCATATCTGGCCCTAGCTATTAAGGTCTTTAAATATTGTGTGGAGTTACCTGTATCATCAGTAGGAATCATAGCCGCAAGGAAATGTAAAGGGGTGAATTGGGAATGACCCGAATCCTTTGCAATTTGCATTGCATTGGTTATGATGCTCATAGCATTGTCAGTGAACTGATTCTCATCAAAGCTAGACATTGTATAGTAATAATGCTACTAAGTGGAAGTAATTGTACTAATAATTATACTTGTACTAATAACTGATAACAATAATTATAGTGAATTAATAATTTATTCCAAGTCAATCAATTGACTTGCGGTTATCTTTATATACTTGCTTTATATCTCTGTCATAGTGGGGTGGTTTTTATGCAGAAGCATCTAGAAGAATACCGTGTGATCACCGATATCCGGGGTAAAATCGAATGTTCTAGAACACTCTAGAGGGTTCATGATAATACGCTCGGATAAAGAAAAGTATAACTGCACTACCACGTACGACTGGATGTACCGTATCGATCTTGTACTACTACACTGAATCCATCAAAAAGCCGTCGGGCTAGACTCTGAGAGCAACAGTAGAGAGTCTAGTTTCTTTTTGTCGGCCGACGATTTGTCTCTAGCCCTGGTCGTTGCTCTACTCTGTACATCCGTTTGCTCAATCAAAAGGATTGCTTGGAAAAGAATGGGAGTAGCTCATTATAGAGTGTTACAGTTCTTAGTGACGGTGATTGGCATGTACAACCAAATAATTAGATGTACAATACACATCCTATTTGAGGGTGCACACTAATAACATAGGTTGTACAAGTATACACACTATCGAAGATGTACACACTGATGAAGTTAACGTAGTGTACTGATACACAATACACATGTCATATAATTGATCCTCCTATGTAAGAGATTATCCAGAGTCCGTCTTCCCAATATTTACCCCTTAAAATGTCGTTGCTCTGCCTTCGGTAGGTGCTGGATATGTCGGCCGAGTATAATTATGCCGTGTTGCATGATTCCATTTTTTCAATCAAATTAGGCAATTGGCAACTAGAGCTGATCTAGACTAGAGGTGATCCGTGCACTTTTGGTGACAACTATATATCAATTGACAGGTATCTGATCAACATATAAAGCCAGTATATTCTCATCGACATTGAACAATCCTAAATATAATTATAACAGTTGTATATCAGTACCACTACTACTGCTGCTGCTTTTGCTGATACTAATACGACTGCCAATACCGCAGTTATCAATACTACATAGCTTATTCTTACTATGGAACCTGTGCCAATTGAAGACTATTCTGACATTGAAGACATTCAAGTGCCTGAACATGAACCTTCAGACAAAAGACCTGGCGTTTATTCATGGATGTATTCTACCATTGATCCCATATCCGCCAATCAAGGAAACGAATACATTTATGTCAATCAAGTGGAAGACTCGGTTTTTGTAATGATGAAGTTTTCTGGTACTACTTCAATGATGTCCATTACTCGCACCAGCACCAATTGATGCTACAGATATCATCTTAGTTATAGCTACAGTGAAATATATGAATCTTTATTAACTATTCTTAATACTCCCCTGTTGTAGATCACAAGTGTGTAAAAGTGAAAAATTAATTTAAGGGTGCGGTAGTACCATGTAAGGTATCTTAGGGAGACGCAATATGGATCAATGTAAATAAGGCAATTTTGTAATAAATACCCCTTAACTTTTCATTAAGTGTCTCCACTCACCAAATTCGTAAAGGTTTCTTATTATACTATTGTTAGCAACCAGCTACTGTACCGTACCATTCTCGAATCATTTAATGACTACCAATGAGTCAAGGCAATCGTGTCATAATCAATTTCTGCGTATTGATCCAAGAAGCAGTTTAAATGAGATGTACTACATCTTACATTGGGTTATAGTAAGCCATCAAGCTTATGCCACCGGTTATTTCAACATAGAGCAAAGGGTTGACGGTGTATTGTGTGTATTCGCTTGTTTAAGCCGGTGGTCAACAGAAGCGGTCACCTAAATTAGTTATATTTTGAATAACAAGCCAGGCGCAAATTATTTACATCGAAGCCTTTATGGCCAAGTTGGTAAGGCACCTCACTAGTAATGAGGAGATCCTCAGTTCGAATCTGAGTGAAGGCATTTTTTACAACTATTATTTTTAATACTTTATACTTACTTAAACATGTATATATCCATATATGATTGCCATATGTATTGTCTTATGTATTGGTCTATAATAGTATTCATTTACTGACCCCAATATCCCTGTTGAAATCCATTTTGCTGTTGTTGTGGATTACCTTGTTGAAATTGATAACCATAACTTCCAGCAACACCTGGTTGCCCTCCCATAAAATATCCAGTACTTTGAACTCCAAATTGTTGTTGCTGCAGCTGTTGTGGTTGCTGAAGTGGTGCTTGCTGAGATACACCTTTATCTTGGACGGGAACAGCCATGGTAGTGGTGAAGGCTGTGGGTTGACTATACAACAGCATGATATTGGCTTTATTTGTTTGTTGTGCCATTAGTTGTGGATTCGTTTGTTGAACCAACATTTGCTGATGTTGTGGATTGGATGGGTCCAAGTATTCTTGACCGTTCGAGTCAATGTATGTCACTTGACCTGTGACAGGATCGGTATATTGATAAATTTGAGGTTGTTGAGGATTGGCGGTAATAGCAGCAGCTGTAGCAGCTCCAGAGTTACCGTTACTACTCCACCAATCACTAGAAGTAGCTGAAGATGCAGCGGCCACACTTGCTGCTCCAGTTGGTTGCGATGGTGCCAAACTAGATTGGGCAGAACGTTTGGGTAAAGATGGAGCTATTTCATCAGCATTTGGGTTTATTCGTTGATCTTCTTGTAGAATATCTAAGGCTAGATCAATATCACCTTCACTCAACAATAAACTCTCCAAAACACTATCACGGTCTGTGTATCCGAAACTCAACACTTGTTGAACCTTTTTCTGATACTGGGTGTTCTCAAAAGTAGTCAACTTTCTATGAGTCAACTTAGGAACCGACTTACTAGCAGTATTGCTTCTGTTTCTACCTTCACTAGTATGACTGAAATGACTATTCAGTCTAGATCTGCTTCCGGTGGTAGACGCTTCGTCCGCAAAGTTCAGATAATGATCACTGTATTCTGCTGGATCAATGGGTGTATCACGATACTTCCCTTGAATATACTTTTCTCTCATATAAATCTCAATAGGTCCATCATCATCATCATCATGAGGAAAGGGGACTCTTTTCAGGTTCCATCTCTTTCTAGACCGTTTATTCCCTAAACGCCCCAAATGGTCCAATTGTTCATCTGACCAATCATCCAAACTAAGAGATTTAACTCTTGAATACTTTCCGGGTACAAGTACACGTCTATGGACAGATGCACATCTTCCACAGAGGAATACTCCTAAATTATAAGATGCCCAAGTTGGATATGCTGCTCCGCACTCTCCACACCGGTTTTCGTTGACTCTGCTATTAAGCATGTCGATAAGCTGTCTCTCCACCTGCTTACGTCTCTTATCTTGTTTAGCCATAATGCTGTTCTTCTTGGTTGTACGTGTTACCTTCGAATTGAAGTGATCCGGTATCTGATTGTGGCTGATTGTGGCTGTATAGTGAACAGGATTGAACGACATTTTTCAATTGGCGTTAAATTTTTTGTGTATGATGTTAAGCGGAAAAAATGATCGCGCTACCATTACGGATGATAAGTTTAAGCTCCATATATTATATGGCCAGACCAGATGCTATATTGTTCGCTTGTTCCTTGTATCTTGTACTTTGAACCGATAATTAATCAATATAGTTGATAATTATACTCTAATCTTAGGTCGAGACACTTCTCTGGGACCAAGGAAGGCGTGGTTCGAACCATCACCGAAGTAGTGTTAAAGCACAACTTGGAAGCATCCACGGTAAGCGAAGACATATGGGATTGCATCTGTTCAAACACTTTTGGAGAGATGGAGGGACTAATGTTATTCTTACATATCGCAATGGTTAAATGGTAGTTCTCGGGAGTGTTCTCCTTGTCTAAAGGGAGTTCCATTGCATTCATGACTTCATCAATGGTTGAACGCATGCGATGGAACATAGGCACATGCTCTGATCGTATGGGCAACCCTAAAAAGAGCGAAGAGTAATCTGGATTCGAGAATAAGACACAAGTGTTTTTGAATCGAATCTGAAGACACGGCAGAGGCTTCTTTGTCAGAGCCAAAGCAACCTCTTCACCAAAGAGTTTGCTAATACCTTTCCGTAGAGCAAAAGCATCAAGATCTTCACCAATAGCCAGTTGATCAACTTCAAAAGATTCAAATGCTTTGGTGATGTTTTTATTAAATTGAACAGCTAGATTACTGTTGCAAGGAATATTCCTAGTCAATGAAATATGATACCCAACATCCCGAGGATTAGTTGTAATCTTTTCCAATTGGTAGTCCTTCAATTGTGATCCAAATCGCTCCCTTAGATGGTGTTCCAATTGAGAACTCAAGGCACGAATAATCATCGTAGATGCTGCACTTGGTCTCCATGGCATGTATAGATATATACTACTCATTTGATGCCGTTGGTAAAGATAATTCTGCAGAAAGAGTTGTAGAGATTCAACAGTAGATGGAAGTTTGCTAGTAGTAGTAGTAGAGATGAGTAGTGGCTGTTGATTCAATCGATTCAGTGAAATCTCCGAGTTTAATGCTTCATCTGATGATTCAACCTTTTCGTCATCTTCTTCTTCGTCGTCACTGGGATACTCTTGGAGATATTCCATCCGTGTTTATTAAGAAGACTCACTAGATCATTAGAGATGTGGATGTCCATGCTAAAGATGGTACCACCAGCAATTCCAACGGGTAGCGCATACACGGTAGCGCCAATGAAGCAAAGAAGTCGGCGCGCATTTTACGATTTCTTCCTTCATGGCACAAAAGAACTGATTTGCATTGAGCCATTATCTCTCGGAGCTTTTGTATTTTCGGCGAACAATACCCTACCCCATATGGAAGGAAAAGCCGTGCCTTAATAAACAAGGATGTAGATAACAAAAGTTTATGATCGTACACCACAAGACCACCGACCGATTAATCAGACAGGAAGCAGACTTGCATACTTACATACTTACATACTTACATCCTTTCTTACTACTATGTAGTTGCTTATCTACTTCCTATCTACTTACATACTGCTTTATGTATTAACTACTTCGGTATACTTGCGCAAACATCTGTTTGTGTCTTGCCGGTGCGGCTCTCGATGGTGACAATTGCTGTGGGCTGAATGTAACAGGACTTGTTCAGATGATCCCCGTTTATTCGGTGTGGGGGAACGGAAGCATTAGAGACAGGATGGAAATGGGGGTCTATATTGCAAGATTTTATTGAAGGTTTAACCAAACCCTGATAGGAAGTCCTTTTCTTTATTCGACAATGAAGTATTTAGATGATCTAAAGGGTAAGGTAAGCCATACCGGAGATGATATAGCCAAACAGACCATTGATGAATTTGAAGATGATGCCTTCATCAAGACCCCAGATGAAATTTATAACTGGAAACTAATTACCGTAGCCTTAACAGCAGCAGCCGCAGCCATTATCATTGGATATGATGCTGGGTTTATTGGTGGTACTGTTGCACTAGAATCGTTCCAGCAAGAGTTTGGGTTAGATAAAATGACCCCCTCGGAACGTACTACAGTCAATGCAAATGTGGTTTCTGTATTCCAAGCCGGTGCGTTTTGGGGGGCACTTTTCTTTTACCCCGTTGGAGAAACCTGGGGTCGTAAAATTGGCTTGATTCTGTCCGGGTTCCTCTTAACTTTCGGTGCTGGTATCTCCTTGTATCTGAAACAATCTACCGGTTTGGGGGCCATCTACGCCGGTAGAGTGCTTACGGGGATAGGCATTGGTGGGTGTTCAGGCTTAGCACCAATTTATATATCTGAAATATCACCTGCTCAAATCAGAGGCAAATTGGTCGGATGCTGGGAAGTCAGTTGGCAAATTGGTGGCATTGTTGGATATTGGATTAATTATGGAGTTTTACAAAATATTCCAACTTCGAGAAAGCAATGGATTATTCCGTTTGCCTTACAATTGGTACCTTCGGGTATTTTCTGGTTGGGGACACTCATTATACCCGAGTCCCCTCGTTTCTTCATTAGTAGAGGGAAACTCCATCAAGCTAAAGCAGTTTTGAGTAACCTTCGTATGTTACCACCAGATGATAATTATCTTGTTCATGAATTCCATAATATGGTTAAAGATATTGAAGACAAACAAAGCAGATTAAACGGTAAAACCGGGTTCTTGGCCCCTGTGATTAAATGTATCACTTCCAAAACATTATTATACCGACTTTTACTATCCACTTCATTATTTATTTTCCAGAATGGGTATGGGATCAATGCCATCACTTATTATTCGCCTACGGTGTTCAAATCGTTTGGGATTAACGGTACAGATGCCTCCTTACAGTCCACAGGTATTTTTGGAATCTTAAAGGGGACAGCATCTGTATTCTTTGTGTTTGTTGTTGTTGAACGATTCGGTAGAAGGGCAGCCTTAATTTGGTTTTCATTCCCCTGTGCAATTTGTATGTGGTACATTGGAGCATATGTCAAGTTAGCCAATCCAGCAGCTCGTGTGGCCAGGGGTGACATTCATATGGATGCTGGAGGTAAAGCAGCTCAAGCAATGTTATATATCTGGACCTTTTTCTATGGTGCATCGTGGAACGGTACCCCGTGGGTTATCAATTCTGAAATCTTTTCTCAAGAAGTTAGAACTTTTACTCAAGCAGTTAATGCTGCATCCAATTGGTTCTGGGCTTTTGTCATGGGCCGTTGGACTGGTGAGGCTATTGCTACCATTGGTTATAAGCTTTATTTTATCTTTGCCACAATGGTCACCATTTCACCAGTGGTAGTTTATCTCTTCTACCCAGAAACCAAATCTGTCCCCTTGGAAGCCATCGATCATTTATTCGAAGTGTCTGCTTGGAGAGCTAGAAAGCACGCCTTGCAACAATTCCTGGTTGAATATCAAGAAGGCACTTTTGGTCATCAACTGGAATTCCTGCAAGATGCTAAAGTTGTGGAAAAAGCAACTGAAGAAGAGAAGAATAGTACCATTTCATCTACCAAATTGTAATGTATAGTGATAGCATGTGCAATGAAATGATGATACGATTTTAAGCAATTGTATGGAGATCACCTGATTACCTAATCTTGTTACACCCATCATTTCCAAACAAAGAAAAACCTACCGATCTCCACCTTCGGTATCCCCTCCTGGGGTTTTATTTTATCGCCGTTTTTGGCTGAATAGTCGTGGCTTTTCGTGCACGGTCAGAATTTGCTTTCTTTGGTTATCCCAGGAACCCAAACGCGGGGGTTGCCTTTTCATGTGATCATCGCCATAAATCATAAGACACCAAACAATACAACTGTATATGTATATATACCGTACTGAATTGGTCATGATCGTCGACTGAATTAATTTAATGGATGTCGTCCAATTTACTCTTAATACCTTTCCACTCGAACTAATTTGTTCGACAAAAGATCGCTGCACTGAACATATACTGAACGTTAAACGAAAGGTACACCTGAAAGTACTTTGATCTGTTCTCGTTCAATATTTAAACGAAACATCTACTCAGCCAATCGATTGATACCATGATATACGACGTGGCTGAAGAAAGACACGTTGAAGTGTTTGCCAAGTTGGCCGATGGGGTTATCCATGAAACAACGCCAGAAGTGGTCAAGCCTTTTTTATCCCCAGATTTCCCCATAGAAAAACTCAATGAATATTTAGAAGGTTATAGTAAACCTTCTGATATGCCTGATTTCAGAAGATATGTCTTGTCGGTTGTCAATAGAGCCAGTGCCTCTTCTGTAAGAATGTTTGCATTGTCGATGGACATGTTGGACAATCGTCTCATGGCTCCAGCCCTCACAAACTCTACAACCATGGTTAGAGATATGACCCCCCAGGAAGCAGAAAAAATGCTTCAAAATTGGAGAGACTCTTATATTTCTCTCAAACGGAAGTTATTCAGAACCGTAGTAGCTTTGACCATGGCTACGTTTGGAAAATGTGCAACGGAATTGCATTTGAAAGCTTTAGGTTATCCTGGTAAAGAATTAAGGGAAAAGCTCTGGGACGAACAAGTTATTGATCCTTACGTTTATCCAATGCTTCCCAAACCTGAAACGGAAGGCGAAGAATTGTATCTTCCTGATATCGATGCCATCATAATTGGATCCGGGTCTGGTGCGGGAGTTGTAGCTCATACTTTATCTCAACAGGGCCTTAAATCACTTGTGTTGGAGAAGGGTAAATATTATGCCAATAACGAGTTTGTATTCAATGATTGTGAAGGTTTTGAAAAGTTGTATGAGCTGCAAGGTGAAATCAGTACCGACAGTCAAGTAGTTGTTTTGGCAGGAAGCACTTTTGGTGGAGGTTCTGCTATTAATTGGGGTGCTAGTTTAAAGACACCTTTTAAAGTAAGAAAGGAATGGTACGATGACTTCGGATTGGAATGGGCTGCCAATGAATCTTATGATAATTGTGTTGAATATGTTTTGCGTCAAATGGGATGCACCGACCAGAACATACCTCATTCTCATTCTAATAAAGTACTTTTGGAAGGGTCTGAAAAGTTGGATTATAAGAGCAAGGTAATTCCTCAAAATTCTGGTGGTCATCAAGATCATTCTTGTGGGTTCTGTTACTTGGGTTGTAAATATGGAATCAAGCAAGGTTCTGCAAATTGTTGGTTCCGAGATGCTGCTGAAAATGGTACGAAATTCATGGATCAAGTTCGTGTTGATGGAATTATTCATAAGAATGGAGCAGCAGAAGGTGTTTTATGTACCAATGTGGTTACCAATAAATCTTTCACTATTCGTGGACCTAAGAAGATTGTTGTTAGTGCTGGAGCTTTGAATACACCTGTGATCTTAAAGAGATCTGGTTTCAAGAATAAGAACATTGGCAAACACTTGAAGTTGCATCCAGTAGTAGTTATATTTGGAGATTGGGGGAGAGATGTGATAACTGAACCATTCAAGAAACCAATCATGACTGCGGTAGTGACCGAAACTGATGATGTTGATGGGAAGGCCCACGGAGCCAAAATTGAAGCTGTATTGCATACTCCACTTCTTGAGAATACTTGGATGCCTTGGTTTGATAGTGATTCTGCAAGACAGTTTTCTCTCAAGTATAATAATTTGAGTGCCATGCTTATTATCACCAGAGATACTGGTGAAGGCAGTGTTAACTTCAATCCTTCCAAACCCAATGCACTTGATATTTCGTACTCTGTCAATCAATTTGATAGAGATGCACTTCAGATCTCTTGTTTGACAGCAGCTGATATTTTATACGTTGAAGGAGCTAAAGAAATCATTCACCCTCAACACGATATTCCAAGTTTTAAATCCGAAAAGCCCAAGGACGAGAGACTGATAGATGATGAGGATTATCAGAAATGGCGATCCAAGGTTGCTAAGATTCGGTTGGACTCTTATGCCACACCATATGGATCGGCACATCAGATGTCTACTTGTAGAATATCAGGTAAAGGTCCCCAATATGGAGCAGCTGATCTTCGGGGTCGGTTATTTGAATGTGATAATGTTTACGTTGCAGATTCTAGTGTGATGCCCACCGCAAGTGGAGCTAATCCTATGGTCACCGCGATGGCAATGGCAAGACACATTGCATTAGGAATAGCCAAAGACTTGAAACCTAAGGAGAAGCTCTGAGGATATGAACTATGCCATTATAATAAAAAAAGTTATGCTTGTAGTAAAATTGTTCTAAGATGTAATGTATCATTGTAACGATGTTATGTGGAATACACTACACTGGAACACGATAAGTAGTAGGATAACTTCTGGACATCATTTTCACCGTTAAAGAAGCCAGCAAACCCCAAAGGACCTCGGTCACATTCACTACAGATCAATAAACGTTCAATTTTGAACTCAGAAGACGCATCATCTTCACCACCAAACTTGGGATGGTTCAAGTCAGCAGCAGGCCTAGAGACCCCGATGTTGTCAAAATCCCAAACATCGTTAATCTTAAAGAAACAAGTGTGATTGTCATTGTCTTTCTCTTCTTGTATTGATGTTGACTGAAGCATCGATGGAGAGTTCTTGACGATTTGGATCGATTCATTAAGCGTGTCATCCCTGGTAATGATACGTGTATTACAACCAGAGAAGGGACATCGGATCACTCCAACATCTGAAGTAGATGTTTCATTCCAGTGTTTGGTATCAGACATATTGTGGGTACATAAAAGTAATAGCGTATCTAATGGAGCAGGTGGATAAGAAGTGTACTATGTATAAATTTATATACTGTATAGTTTATAGTGCGATTACATAGTGCGAGTATACAGTGCAATCATATCTATTCGTGTATACACTCACCTAAAGCTTCGAACCAGCCTCAACCTCTTCAATGTGCTTCTTTGTCAAATCAGCTAGGAATGGATACATCAGACCAAACGCTTGAGCTTGAGCACTGGATGCTGTGCCACCCTTACTTCTCATAGCAATACCTTGACTGATAACACACAATCTCAAGAGCCCAAACACAAACCCCACAGGCCAAAGATCTAAGGGGTTGTTCTTTGGATCGTTATCTTTCCAAGTGGACCTGCCATATTTGGATTGATAGAGTCTCAACTCCCTCGCAAGCTTTTCGGTGCTTTGTTTCAACTCTTTGCCGACTTGGACATCGGGGTCGTTGTAGAACATCGCATTCAAATCTTTAGGCAAGTCGTATGATTGAAGAAAGTTGGATAAGTCAAAGATGGGATGTCCAAATGTACACAACTCCCAATCCAAAACGGTGACGACTTTCTCATCATCAAATAAAAGGTTATCAATCTTGAAATCTCCATGAACCAACGTCAAATTATTTGGATCTTGTGGTGCTCTATTGAGGATCCATTGACAGATAAAATCGAAATGAGGAATGGGATCCACAGTTTGACTTTGTTTCTTGGAAACTGCCAGCATAGTTCTCACTTGTCTTTCGAAATAGGTGGAACTGGAAAGCTTTTCCACCTTATCCAATTGGAATTGAGGGAAATGAGTAGCAGGTAATGTTTTAATCAATTCCACTGCATCTAAACTATGGATTGCAGCCAAAGTTTCCATGATTGAATCCCAATATTTCAATTGCTGTTCCTCGGGGATCCCAGGCATTTCAGGAACCTTAATGGCTTTCCCATTGATAAACTCCATAACATAGAAAACATATCCAATCACCAGTTCATCTTCACATAACAAATATGTTTGAGGAATTGGGACCTTTCTGGCATTCTTCTGATTGGCTATCCCAATGCCTCTAAGCAAATAGAACTCACGTTCCACGGCATGAGCAGACTTCGACACAAGCTTACTGTTTTGTATGGGCTTACGTCTTAACACTGCCTCTCTGCCATTGGCATCCTTCAAATAGTATGTAGGATTAGACTGACCAAATCGAAATTGCTTAACCGTAATGGGGGAAACAAATTCAATGGGGGTTAATCCTAATACGGTTTGACTATTGTGAGTGGGGGCTTTAAGATATTGCTCCAACTTTCCCACATCGAGAGGGCTTCTTATCTCCGTCACGTCCAACATATTTCACGGAGTCTATGGCCATCGAAACAACAAGCAATGTGGACTACCCCATTTATATATGTGATGGAAGCGTAATCCCCACAGTGCGGACAGAATTACCGAATGCCGAAATAATCTGGGGTCGCACCTCGGACTGAGGCATGGGGCGGGTAACAGGGTAAACAGAAGAACCGTAGTTGGCTTACTAGTCTTTAATACTTTAAAAATAGTATTCATGTATAATGTGAGAGGAAACATTCTAATGGTAATTTACAAAATTCATTTTACTCATTAAACTCCATGTATTTTACTGATAATGTTACGTTAAGTATAAACTAAACTTTGATCTTGAAAACTATTGCGTAGTCTTGTAAGAAGATACTCTAAGGAAGAAGCAGTAATAAAAGAAATAGCATATGAAATATCTTTAGTAGTGAATTCCGTCTCAAGAAGAATGAAGTGAAAATGAAGTGGAAAAGTGATAAAAGGGAACCTTGATGCAACAGACACTAATGAAAGAAAATCTAAATGAGGTTAAACTAATCAACCAATTCTCTTTGACGTACTAAACCCCTGCTAACATTCCCTATTGATACCGTCTACTTTGAAATAACTTGTATATAACCCTTTTATGTACTGTCGTAGTTATAAGGTCCTGCCCTAATGTATTTGAATACAATATATATATAACAGTTATATGTACCCACATATATGTGTATGTATATATGATGTATGAAGTGTTACCGGATATTCAACGAATAGTAATTGTATATGCCTCTTTGGGTAAAAGCCTGTGGCCAAGTACCTTCTAGTAATTCACCTTTAATGTACGACTTCTTTTTGGTCATATTCAAATTGAAATATCCAATGGAACAATTGATCTTTTTCCCAGCATATTTGAGAAACTCAGGTACTCTTTCCTTTGTTTCAATCTTTTTACCTGTTTCCAAATCATAAAACACCAAATTTGATCTAATGGTTCGTGATTTCCCAGCACTGGTTAAGATCTCGTTGTATTCAGGATCACTAGGATCCAATTTATATAGCCAAGCTCTTCTACCTTGATTATCATAAAACTTCCATATCTGTGGTAAAGTATCTTGTAATGTTTGTAGGATGAGTGAGGATGTAGGAGGATTAGGGTGTATTTTCAAATAGTCTCCTCCAGTTAAATCATATAAGGTTTTGTAATCACCCTCAATGGCCTGAAGATTTGATTGGAAGAAATAGTTTCGAAGAATTTGGATGACGGTAAACCCTTTGCTTGATATCAGCAGTATATTGGCCACATCCAAGTATTTAATCTGAGTGTTATCCTCCATAAATAGATTTAAATCGGCAACTTCTATATTAGCATGACTAATGGAGAGTGATTCTAATTCCGGGAACTTTTGTTTGATGATTTGTAGGGTTCTCCCATTAACTGGCATACCTCCCAAATTAAGATACTTCAAATGTGGGGCCTTGATGTTCTTCAAAGTGAATATCAAATACTTTTCATCGAGTGGACTAATGACATTGGAGTCAATTTGAAGATTAAGCCACTGTAATGATTCATTAGCAATACTTGGGTGATGTACCAAAAAGGCAATCAAATCTTTGGTATTCAACTGTGAACATCTGGCTAATGATAAATGCGTCAACCGAGCCAGTTTAGGAAGATAATGCAATAATGTAGTAGAACTAACTTGAGTATGATTAAGATCAAGACGTCTGATATTGGTTAATTTAGGGAAAATCTTTTCAAATATGTCAATTGTTAAATTGGAACAATCATGGAATGATAACTTGAGTAGCCTATTACATATTGGTTTTTCTGAATCCAATAATTCAAGTTGAGAAAAGGCCTGAAGGAATGATTCACTACTACTTCCACAAAAATCTAAAGCTTGCAAATTCGATAATCTGTTGAATAGCCAATCCAATACCGTCACATCTATATCATCTTGAATATTTTCACTGCCTAGAAACTCAATTAATGATGGACACATTGCTAAAGCCTGGGTAATAGTACTAGAAGTAACCATTTGAATTTCCTGGTTCATTCTACCGGTTCTTCCCAACCCTATAGAGGTAAAGGTTTGAAAATCCATAAATTCAACAAATGAGCCTAATCCAGGATATTTCTTCAAATTGTGTAAGAACTTGTCGAATGAATGAGGACGATTGAATATGGCATACTTGTATAAAAATCTTAAGGAGATCTCTTTAATGGTATGTGATAAATAAGGAACACTTTTGGAGAATTTTTCCAAGTTGGAACTAATGGAATTGGTATTCTCATCGTAATAGACAGTTTCAACTATTTGATACAATATTTCAATAGGTAGTGATAAAAGTGGTGATACTCCATCAGATTTAGCCAACTCTTGGTCTATTAACATTGGTTCATGAGTATCTTGATGTGGATGCAGTTTGGAGGAGGTTGTATTCGAATCATTAGAAGTCATTGGTGATAGTATGGCATCTTGATAGGGATAGATTGCTTGATCGATGCCGGCCGATACAGAGCCAACTGTTCCTATTGAACCAATTGATGTAATGGGCATTAATGCATTACCTTGGAATCCTATGCTGTTTCCCGGTCCTATATCGGAGAACACCGGTGATGTCTGCGGAGATAAGGTCAATGCTTCATCTTCACCTGTTTCCAAAAGTCCAAATCGTCCATTTTTATTAGTGTCACCATCTATATCCATATTTAGATCCGATTCCGTTCGTTCCAAACGACGTTTCACTCTTGTCTTAAATGTTTTCAGATGCGTTTGACCCATATTGATTGAAGTTAAATGTGAGATGAACAGACGAGCCTTACGATAGAATAGAGGCGACGAGGAGGACTCGGATGTGGTTGTGGTTGGGGTTGTGCCTGTTGTAAGGTTCTTATTAGATGACGATGGATAGACTTTTGAGGAAGAAAAACAACGAGATGATGAGTTGAGGTTGTTAGAAGAACAGGAAGAAGTAACACCAACTGTACCAGTGCCGGTAACGATGGTGGAGGAGGAAACTCGGAGATCTTGAGGAAGGTCGTGCAAGAGTTCAAATGATCTGACACTGGTTGGACAAACTATGTATTGGTCCATTTTTAGTTTAGGACTGTCTTAATAGGATTATTCTATACAGAACAAGCAGAATAGTATATGAATGGAAGAGTTACCGCTAAAGTATAGTTACAGTAAACTATAAATTAGCCATATAGATATATGCTGTTTATATATACATATACCGTTTATATTATTATATAGCGAATAACAATGTGGTAGAGTGATCTTTCGTGACGTTCTCCACTATTTGTATTCTGCCATTACAAAAGGTCCGTGCGCGGAGCGGCAGTTGACACCGGGTCCTTGAATGCCTTGAGGTTACCGCTCCCCACAATACGAAAACGGCCAAATCGTTTTACAGTATAAATATACATTGTAGTACCTCACAGCATACGTTTAGTGCAACTACTACACGAAACGCTTCAATTACTACATTCTACATTGCCTCTACTGTCTCTACTGTCTCCACCCCTGTAACCATTACACTGTTACACTGACTCATTGCACAAGCTGATTCCGGTGGTCGTGTAGCTACCACTTACCCCAGTATATCAACGTCCATCTCATCCGTAAATCCCCTTACCAAAGACCAATCACTAGTATTCGTTACCACCCATAATGAAATCCAGAAACGACAACTACCAAAGAAGCAACAGCTCTTTGGGCCAGCCCTCCAGCTCCTCCAAATCTTCAAAGTTTTATGGTGGTGCCAGCGAATCGGCTGAATCACTTGTTGAGTTTGAAAGATTGGAAGAAACCTTACCTGAGCCACTTAGAAGATCGGCCTCTCAATTGTTTGAGCAATTGGTCACTCCCTCTGGAGGTAACCCGCCCACTGCTCCTATTCCCGTTAGTCCTTTGGCCATGAATTCCGGCTCGTTTGAAAGTCGGTTCCAAGGATTGTCTACTTGTGATAATAACTCTGGGTTCCCTTCTCCCAGGGTTCCCATCAGTAAAGAACATAGACAACATTTGTTACAGAAGTTGTCTCATCTGGAGAACGGAAGATCTTCTAGTCCTGTTCCTATTCCCAAACCTCAATTCAATGAAAGTGTCATCAAACCAGCCATGAACACCAAGCAATCATCAACAGGAGTTCTTTGGGTCACTGAAAGAGCTTCAGAATATGGATTTGATATTCAAAATTTGGATTGGGCTAACTTGGGTCAGGGTGCTCCAGAAGTTGATCATATTCCTGGATGTTTTGAAAGACCCAAAACGGTTCCTGTTCCAGAAGTCAGTATGGAATATGCTCCTACTGCTGGTATTAAGGAATTAAGAGAAGCAGTGGCTAATTTGTACAATGAAGAATATAGACGTGATAAAAAGTCAAAATATACTTATAAAAACGTGTGTATTGTTCCTGGTGGAAGAGCAGGTCTTACTCGTATAGCTTCTATTATTAGTGATTGTTATTTATCATTCTTTCTTCCAGATTATACTGCTTATGCTGAGATGTTGTCTTTATTCAAGAACTTTCTGCCTATTCCTGTGCCATTAGATGAGAGTGATAATTACCATGTGAAATTCAATATCATCAAACAAGAATTGAATAGAGGAGTTAGTGCCATGTTAACTTCCAATCCAAGAAACCCTACGGGTAAATGCTTTACCAAAGAGGAATTGACGACTTTGCATGATTTATGTCGTGAAAAGTGTCTTTTGATCATGGACGAATTTTACTCCCATTATTATTATGATGACAATTGTAGTGGATCTTCTATTTCATCTGCTGAGTACGTGGAAGACGTTAACAAAGATCCAGTTTTGATTTTGAATGGATTAACAAAAGCCTTCCGTTTACCAGGATGGAGAATATGTTGGATCTTGGGGCCCGAAGAATATATTAATAATTTGAGTAGTGCAGGTTCATATTTGGATGGAGGGTCCAATGCTCCATTCCAATATGAAGCGGTCAATTTCTTGGAACCATTAAATGTTAGAAGGGAAATGAAAGCTCTACAATTACATTTTAAGATGAAGAGGGATTATGTCATTGACAGATTACTGCGTATGGGGTTCACTTTCAATGAGAAGAATACTCCAAATTCAACCTTTTATATTTGGTTGAATCTTTCCCATTTGCCGCTTAAATTATCCAATTGTCTTGGGTTCTTCCATGAATGTCTTCATGAGAAGGTGATTGTTGTTCCTGGGTTCTTCTTCTTGATTAATCCTCAAAACTTGTCCAGATTGGAGGACGTTATCTGGTACAATTATGTCCGTATCAGTTATGGACCTGAGATGCCTCAATTGGTCAAGGGGATGGATGGCATTGAGAATATCTTAAGAAGGTTCAACTGTCTTCCATATGAGTAGATCACATGGTAATATATGTAGTATTGTAGTACCTAAGGTAACTAAAGTAGTTCTTTTATTTGGTGTTAGGGGCTTTTATATACAGTCTGGTAACCCCCACGAGTATTACTCAATTAAGCCATTAAGTTGCCATGAACTGTTGATGATTCAGTCAGTTGCTCTTTCTCTTTAGCTTCAACTAGAATGATATAATCTCAAATGGATATCAATAATAACAACAATTTACATTTTGAGGAACTAAGATCTTCTATTGGTTCTTCCATTAGTCCGGTCAATGTGATAGGTCACATCGTATGGTGGATTCTATTTAGTTTAATACGACTCTTAGATTGGATCGCCATCCGGATTCCCGGTGCACTACTAAAGGTTCTTTCCCTTCAATTGCTGATTCGATTGAGTGTGTCGTCTGTTTTGATTGGTCTAAGCCTCATCTCAGCAGTTTGCTATGTCGTAGTAAGATACACGTACTTGACCAAGTACTCTGAGACAACTCAACCTGATTTGGGCAGTTGCACTAAACCCAACGATGCTGGTGATGATGAAGGGCTCAGTAGCTCTATTGAGAAGAAGAAACGAAAGGCTGAAGAGAAACGAGATTATCTTGAAGAGTTTCTTTCTGGACTCAAGGTGTTTGGATATTTGGAACGACAAGTGTTCCATGAGTTGACGAGGAATATGACCACTCAACGACTCGAGGAAGATGAAGTTGTTTGTCTTGATAGCTCCGTAGGGTTTCTGGTGGTTCTAGAAGGTACGGTTCAAATCTATATTAAAATGGACTCTATAAGTACCACCCAGGGTCAAGTTGAACTTGATGAAAAGAATTACCTCAACTTGGGCGAAGAAGATAGATTTGTATTGGAGAATCAAAGATATCAGCTTTTGAATGAAGTCAAGAGTGGATCTCATTTATCATCTCTCTTAAATATTGTTGACTTGTTTTCTAGTCTGCCAAAGAGTAGTGAACTCAATAGTCCAGGCAATACTACTATTCCCAGTAGTCCTTATCTTCATAGCGATGGTGGTATTGGTGTTGGTGTTGGTGATGGTGTAAGATTAAGATCTCATACTGGGTCTGGAATTCAAACAGGTATCTCTCTGCCAACCTTAGCATCTTCATCATCAGAAGCTCAAGACAATTATTATCCAGAGATCCTTATAAAGGCTAAAACTTATAAGAGCTTGAAATCAGCTAATATTGCTATAGTTCCTGCTAGTGCTTTCCGAAGAATAGAGGCCAAGTTTCCCAAATCAACGTCTCATATTATCACTATGGTTCTTATGAGATTGAGTAAGGTTACCTTCAACACTTTTGATAAGTATTTGGAAATGACAAGAGAACTTATGGACTGTGAGGCTCGTTTAAATAAAATGAATACTCCAGAAGTTATCTTACCCAGATTTCTTACTGAAGGTATCATCGAAAAGGTGAAACAAGAACGGGAAAGAGGTGGTGAACATGATAGAACCATAATGGGTAAGAGGAAATCTCGGGAAACTTCATCGGTTAGTATATCGAGTTCTCACTCAGAAAAGTCAATGGGTGATACTACTTCAAGATATGTGGTTCTTAATTCACGAATGAAATCTTCACTTCCTGGAGACTTGCTTTCTTCTGTGCCCATTTCAAGGACAACAGAAAGCTTAGATTCAGCAAACAATTCATTTAGTAATGAGAATAGTACGGCTGCTGCTGCTTCTACTCCACCTCCTATTTCCTTGGCCAAAAGGAGATTGCCTCATCCTATTTCAAGAACTAAATCTTGGGTTCAACCTGATTTTAGGAGACCTGCACCAGTAGCCAATCAAATGGAAGAAACAGAAGAGAAAACACTACTTCTTTCAATAGTGGAATCAATATTCAAAATCTTGGGAATAAATCAAACCAAAAACATGGAAAGTTGTTTGACAAGATTCAATTCTAATTCAGTCAACAATTCATTTGTTGATTTTGAAACCTTGTTGAAAAGTAATGGAGGACCTGGAACGTACGCTGGATTTCAAGAAAAGTGTTCTCTGTCCTTTGAACCAATAGCTGAAATGTTACCTATGGAATCTGTGGCTTATACCTTACGTAAAGGTGATGGTGAAAGTTCCTGTAACGGAACAAAGCTTTACAGTCCGGTAAACGTTAATATTGGTCGTTCAAGGGAACCCTTGACTAGTTCTCGAAAGGAAAAGCGTGAATCATTTGGGGGATCAACTCGGGGTGATATTAATTACGATTTTATCAAAGAAGCCTTTAGTGAAGTTGTAGAAATCCATCATTATGTCGCTGATTCTGTATTAGTCAAACAAGGTGAATACAATTCTGGTCTTTGGTATGTTATTGATGGTGAGTTACAACTTGACTATGTCAATAGAGATAGTTCTAAGTTGCTGGTATTCCATACTGTAACTCAAGGAGGAATTGCTGGATATTTATCTACTGTTGTTGGGTATAAAGCATTAGCCACCATCAAAACCCCTATAGATAAAGGTGCAATCATAGCCCATATTCCTAAAGCTGATTTTTCAAGGTTATTGGATAAGTTTTACTTTCTTCAAATCACTGTTGCTAGGAGGTTGAAGAGTTTATTTACTCCTGAGCTTTTAACCATTGATTATGCCTTGGAATGGACCCATATAAAAGCTGGAGAAGTACTTTCAGCTCAAGGCGAAGAAGCCAATGGACTTCATATAGTATTAAGTGGAAGATTCCGTGCAATTCGATTTGGACATAAGGATCAAGCTCCTCAAACCATATATGATGCTGATTATGAAGTACCTCAATTGGAAGAGTTTGACATTAGAAGACATGACAAGAACTACCAAGAATATGAAGTTTTACGAGAATATGGTCATGGAGATTCCATTGGTGAAGTTGAGGTCCTAACAGCTGCTAAACGGTCCAATTCTTTAATTGCAGTCAGAGATTCTGAAACTGCAAGGATCCCTAGAACACTTTTTGAGATGTTGGCGACTCGTTATCCATCATTGATGATCAAAATATCAAGATTGGTGGCTCAGAAGATGGCTACCAATGTCAATGTATTCCTGACAAAGGATAACTATTTCTCCAACACTCCATCATACATTTCCAACGACTACAAGACCATTACTATTATTCCTAATACCAGAGATCTCCCAGTACGAGAGTTTGCCGAAAGATTAGTCTCTTCATTTAAAGCTATAGGCAGAAATGTGATTGCATTGGACCAAGCACTGACCCTAACCCATTTGGGGAAGCATGCCTTTGATGAGAGCTTGTTGCAGTTAAGACTCTCGGGGTACTTTGCTTATTTAGAAGAACAGTATGAAAGCATAGTCTACATCTGTGATACACCACTCAAGTCTACGTGGACCCAAACCTGTATTGCACAAGGTGATTGTATACTTTTATTAGCAGATGCTGAAGACGATGCTTCAAGAATAGGTGAATATGAAAAGTTGCTCATTAGTGCCAACAACTCTGCCCGGACTGACCTTTGTTTGTTACATCCAGATAGATACGTTGTACCTGGGTCCGTTAGTAAATGGTTAAAGAATAGAAGTTGGGTGCTGGGCCATCATAATCTTCAAATGGAGGTTTCAAGGTCCAGAGTAACTCAAAGCAAACAACGGATGAATATCTTCCTTGATTTTGCTAATATTGTTGGGTCCAAAACGAACCCGAACTTGAAACATAAGCTTGAAAATGTGAAAGACAGGGCTGTGCTGACATTTGCGAAACTTAATGCCAGATTCACCAATAACCATGAGACTAACATGAAGGCTGCTGATCCATTCAAGAATGATTTCCATAGATTGGCCAGAATCTTATCTAACGAAGCCGTGGGGCTTGTATTAGGAGGTGGTGGGTCTAGAGGGATATCTCATTTAGGAGTGGTTATGGCCCTTGAGAAGCATGGAATACCTGTTGATTTAATAGGTGGGACTTCTATTGGATCGTTTGTGGGTGGGTTATATGCTAAAGATTATAATGTTGTGTCGATATTTGGTAGAGTCAAGATGTTCTGCACTAGAATCTCTTCTCATTGGAGACTCATTTTAGACATGACATATCCTGTGACTTCATATATTACTGGGTATGAGTTCAACCGTGGTATTTGGAAGGCATTTGGTGCCTATGAGATTGAAGACTTTTGGATCAAATACTTTTGCAATTCAACAAATATCACCAATTCAACCATGGACTTGCATGAAACAGGATACCTGTGGAGATTCATTCGGGCTTCGATGTCTCTTGCTGGATTGTTACCTCCCGTCACATACAATGGATGTATGCTACTTGATGGAGGTTACATAGATAACCTTCCAGTTATAGAGATGAAGAAGAAGGGTGCCAAACATGTGATTGCTGTTGATGTTGGTTCATTAGATGATAGAACACCTCAAAATTATGGTGATACATTATCTGGCTTTTGGGTGTTATTTAATCGGTGGAATCCATTTTCTAAATATCCTAATGTCCCAAGTATGATGGACATTCAATTACGTTTAGCATATGTGGCCAGTGTCAATGCTCTTGAAATCGCAAAGAAGACACCAGGAGTATATTATTTAAGACCACCGATTGATAATTATGCCACGTTAGATTTTGCTAAGTTTGATGAAATCTATAAAGTGGGGTTTGAATATGCTGATGAACTTTTCACTAAATGGATAGAAGAAAAGTCGATTCCTCCGATAGCTGGTTTATCTGGAGCTGAGAATAAGTATACCAATCGTAGCAAAGGTGTATTCCGCAGAAACTCAATATAAAATAATATTATAATATAATAAGAATAAGAGTTCGCATGTGTAAATTTCATACCGCCATACAAATTACTCTCCAAAAAGTGTTTTGGTGATTCCTGTATATAAAATGGTGATAATTTCACCAAATGCAAATTTGAGATGCCATAATTAACCGGTGCCAAGGTAACTGTTGAAACTTTCCTAATTAAACCCACAAGTCTTTATGGCAGGCGTTCGTTCGTTATTGGGTCTTAGAAGATGCTGGTATCAAGTTTCTCTACGAAGTGTCGTCACCTCCGCCACGAAACGGAACAATACTACCGAACTTAAATTTGACCCTACGAGATCCGATGGAGACTTCACGTCATTCGGAGTACTTCCGTTCATCCAAAAGAACATCAACGATCTGTTGCTCGCAAAGAACACGCCTTACTACGATGGGAAGCCAGTGACCAACGTCGGCCCCACCAGAGACCAACGAAGCTTCCTTAGTGTTTTGGGGTCTGACTATAGTGTGGTCTTCAAAGGTGATGGAACACACACGGGCAAGTCATTTGCCATGGCCACATACACTTTGAACCATGCGTTGTCACGTGTGCCGAGACACAGGTTGTTACAGTTCCACAGTACTGTGGATAGCATTATTCTTGTACCGACAAGGGAGATGGTATTTCAGTATCACCAATATTTCAGTCAGCTAACTAAAGGGTTACCCGACAATTGTTGTCCTGAGAAGCTTGTTCCGACGGAAGACGACGAATATGAAGTTGAGTTTAGACCGTTAACCATTGAGTTTCGTACACCCGATTCCAAAGCCTTTTATATCTCATCGAAAGATGGCAATGCCACAGATATTGACTCTGACTCTGTTCCACAGATATTGGTGACTACTCCTCAACAGTTAGGCACGATCCTAGCATCACCTAGACGGGCCAAAGAAGTTAGTGAAGCCAAAGTAATTTGTGTGGACGAAACAACCACTTTACTTTCCACCACCTCCATCTCTGGGAACGATACTCTTCTGCAAGAGGGCAAGAAGAAAAAGTATATGTCCAAGTTAGAAGTTTGTATCAAGCAGATCCAGTCCATTCAGTTTGAGAGTTTCCAGAAGGAGTCCCAGTTAAGACTCGAACGAATAGAGAGACATGCAAGAAGAATACGTGATGAAGAAATCTCTTCCTTCAACCATTCTTCCTTCGTTATGGCCAATAATAACCTTTCGATTACCAATATTGAATCCCAGATCATTTCTGGTGAACCCAACATTGGTTTGCTCAAACGGCTTATCAAAGAGAAACGTAAGGTTCTTTATAAACCAATTCAATTCGCATTCATATGTGATAAAATGACCCCGAACCATATGTTTGCTAATATGGCTATTGCTAACGACAGGAGCCATGCCATCACCAATGCCATCACCATGCACGAACGATCTGCTCACTTTATACGAAGTGTGGAAGAGAAGGTGCACGAGACCTACGGTAAGTATCTCCATACCAAGAGACAGAAGGACATTCATCGGTTTGAGGACCCCATAACGTATTATATTGAGGCGATCTCCAGGTTCTCCAACGATATGAGAAAGACCAGAAGGAATGAAAGAAGGTTGATCACTGTGGGTTCTGGACCAATGGACATGGCCAAATACAACCACCAATCACAGATTGAACTAAGTATCATTGAAGTGGATCGCTCTCCGGTTAAAAAGAATCGAGTAGTGGTGAAAGATATCGATATCAACCAAGAGTACCATCATCTGGTTACAGAGACCCAGTCATTAATCTTGAGGAGGTTGGAGAACGAACTGTTTAATTTGGAGAATTCCCAAAAGAATTTTTTAAAGTCTTTTGAACCCACAAAGATCACCAGTTTATTAATAAAAAAAGCAGTTACTCAAGTCAACTCCTCAAAGGGTCTGCTTCTTGTGGTTCCAGCGTCTTCAGCCCCAGACATTCCAGAATTAGTCAACACTCTTAATACTCAGACATCCTCTTCGTCCTACGTCCATTATAAGATCGAAACCATACAAGATTTCCAATCACTACAAGACCATTTCGTAAAGGAAGAAGCTGCTAATTTAATCATAAGTGCTGACCAACTATTGGGCCGAAGTTTTCCTGGATGTACCAATATAATAGCACTTGGTTTAGAAACATTATACCCTCAATTGGCATATTCCACTAATGCCCTTGGCATTAGTGGATTGGAGCACACAAATGGAGATCTTTTCATACCATTTATTAATGCTTTAGACTCAAATGTACCAGATATCACCAAGAGGTTCACAATTGTACTTAACCATGTTTCCAAGTCGCTTGATGACGCTAAACGGAACCAAAATTATAAGAAATTGGCAGAGTTGATGATCTTTAACGATATACCCAGACATTTCCATACATCAAGATTGACCAAAACAAAGGACCACCATATACTCTCATATGAAGAGTTTTAAAAACAGAATACTATATTGTATAATATCCCTTGTAAATAGAATAAAATTCATGTCATTTGTACTGATTGAAAGAAATCAAGTTTATGTTGATGATGATTAACAGCCGTAGAAGAAGAAACTCTTGCTTGTTCTGCAGTCTGTAGGTCTCTGTAGAAGTTAATAACTTTGGGATGAGATCTAACTCTATTTCTTTCAAACCCAATGACCTGAACACTTTCTCTGGAAATGGCTCTTGATAATCCAACGTATGTTTGACCTGCTTCAAATACTCGACGGAGATCAATGATCACTGATTGTAATGTTTGACCTTGGGATTTGTGGATGGAAAGGGACCAAGCTAAGATCAACGGAAGTTGGACTCTAGAAGCAAGGATCTCATCCTTTTCATCTTCAACTGTCCATTTCTCAGGGTAGACCACCACAGTTCTAGTAGTGACTCCATCAGGCATTAGGAACCGAACCAAAGGATATAATTTCCCATTTGAACCATCTGAATTGAACTCTTGACATAAAGATTTCTTTCTATTGATATGATCAATTTCTTCCTGAGTCATAACTTCTTCATCCACAGTCACTTTATTTTGATAATCAGCAAATATAAAGTCAGATGAAGATGAAGCCGGAGCATCAGAAGCTGGAGCGTCAGCTTCGGCTTCATCTTCATTGCTAATTTCACTCAGAATATTCTTATCACTAACAAAGTCAACCACTTGTCCTAACGTTCCATTGATAATGGTAGAATCAATGTTCTTGATGCACATTACTTGTGCACCTTTCTTCAAGTGTAATGCCTTGGGAGCCAATAAGTTACTTAATACTGTTTGCTTCTGTTGTGGGGTCAATGTACCACCATCAATGCTACTATAAAGTAATGGTTTCCCATCCAATTTGGCTAGTCTAACGTTATTGGAACTGTCAACTTCTCTTCTAGTAGCAAACAACATCGAAGGGACAATGCCCTCACGAGTGGGTAAAGGTCTAGAAAGTCGTTGGAACTCTTTGCTGGCTTCTTCCGAAATGGTACCTTCACGCATTTGATTCAACATATCAATGAATTTCTGATCACCTTTCTGTCTAAACACTTCCTTCAACACAATGGTTTTGGATAATGCTTCCTTCCACGAGTTGGCCTCAAAGGCAAACTTGACTTCACAATCAGGGTTCTCACTCCCATCGGGAAGTAGTCGATTCACCACGGGAGGTAACTGATAAAAGTCTCCACAAATAATCAACTGGACTCCACCAAAGGGTTTATTATTGTGGCGTATCTTCTTAGCAATGAAGTCCAACGTATCAAAGAACTGAGGGTCAATCATTGAGATCTCATCGATGATCAACACTTGAATGGATTTCCATCTGTTGATGGCTCCCCTGTTTCGTCTAACATACTTTAGAAGCTTCTGAGGTTCACCTTTCCCCAACCCAACTCCAGCAAAGCTGTGGAGTGTTTGACCACCAATGTTACACGCAGCCAAACCAGTTGATGCTGTGATGGCAACTTTACCTTGATGAGTCCTCTTGAGATCTTTGATGATGGTCCGCAATAAGAGCGACTTCCCTGTACCCGCAGACCCAGTAAAGAATAATGATACACCGTCTTTGGCTAGCGATAGCACGTGCTCTTGTTCTTTAGATAGCACTATTGGTTTAACTGTCTTAAGTTCTTGGCCTGGTCCTTCTTCAAAGGGATCATCACTGTTATTACTATTATTATTATTATTGTTGTTGTTGTTGTTCTTATGTAGTGGGTTCTTCTGTGTAGCCAATTGGATAGTTCTGTATTCCAATTTGGGTGGAAGGGGGTCTGGTGCTTTTGGTTTTTGATCTTCTTCCTCTTTGAATGCTAGGGTAGAGAAGGGTCGGGTTTGACCTCTAGTAACTTTCAATGGAGGGAATTGACTGAGACTGTGGCTGTGCTGACTGCTACGCTGGCCGTGTTCCAGTTGAATGTGACTTGTCTGACTCTGTTCCAGTGGACTATAACACTGACTCCGTTCCTTCGTGTCTTCACTTTTCCGTTCGGGATGCCCCCTCTTAAGGAACTCTAGCGAAGCTTGAAATATACTACTTCCTTGTGACAGTAGTATAACTTCAACTTCCTCCAGTTTATTGGGACTAGAATGAATAGCACCTTCTCTGTCAAATATAGCATCCTCTATCCCTATAGGAAGTCCAAGTGAACTCATCTGAGATGACACTCTATCATTACCACTATTTGTACCAGTGCCTTCGTCACTACTCTCATCAAAGGAATCAAAGCTTATATCAATCATCTCCTTGGTATCTGCAACACCGTGACTGCTTGAGGATTGCTGTTTCACTCCCTTAACAATTTGCTCCAACGCGTCCTCCTCATCGCTACTTATAACTGACTCGTCACTCAGACTATCAAAATCAACAAGTCGCATGAGCTGTGCCATCGGAACAGTACCCGCACTTCGCACCTGCACACCATTGATTATGACACTGCGTGCAAATGATCCATTGGTGCGACTGCCTTGATTCCCAATTGTTTCTCGCGATGTTGACATACGCCAAATCCACCAACGCCTACCTGTCCGTTGTCCGTAGCGCAACACAAACATCCACCACCTACTGGCTGTGACTGGTATTATAAATGAGAAAGTCTAATTATTTAATGCCTTGGGCGTCTACTTATTAGCTGATGGTTGCAAAGTATAAAACACAAATAGTCAAATCCTTAAAAACAAGAAACTTGAAAAATATATTTTGTGTGAGACACGACTTTGGTGATAACTTAACCCCAAAATCAAACTCAAGCAAATGTAGTTACACGTAACACCAATAAATTACGTCATATAATAATCACAATGGATTCCATACAAATTGCAGATTGTAAGGTGATTCTTGCCGTGGCTCAACGAGTGGCAGAGGAAGTGAATGTGGGGGAACTTATGAGATTCATTGAACGGATCAGTGGACATTTGAACTACGAGAAGACGACATTCCCCAACGTCTTAGTCTTGCTAACTGTACTCTTATCGCCTATCAAGGTGACAATGTCGCAATTGGCGATGATCATAGAGACATTACTAGAAAGAGATAATAAAGACAATATCCAGGAGTTTTTAGAGTTGGCTGATTGGGCCTTTAAGGAGTCATGGGGAGATGACATTGACTTGTTGGAGAAGACTGCTTCTGATATGTTGGTTTCTTATTCCTTACAGATCAAGGAGCTCTACGGAATTGAAATGGTTGGAACCGTTTCAGTGCACCAAATCTTGTTCCAGTTCATTAAGGCTAAGGTTGACGAATACGGTCGATATGGTAATGATGATGTTAGTGAATGTGAACCGTTGTTCCATCATTTAGCAGGATACGGACCCTTTCAAGAATGGTATAGTGGTTTGATCAAGCCCTTTGAGTACTACTGGACTTCATATGGTAGATACCAGGAAGAAGATAATGAAGTTCTAACCTTGGATAAGGCAATTAGACATGAACGTGATTTCCATTACCTTTTCAATGCATTGGTTGAACCATTGAAGAACCAACCAAAGATGACTTCTGATTGGATGAAAAAGATCATCATACCCTTAGTATCACATTATTCCACTCAAGATGCCAGGCGAACGTTTATCGAATGGATCTTTAAAGATAATACTGCCAATGTCAAGCCCATAAGTAAGCTCACGTCTATGAACACGATTATCACACAACTCAATAACAATAATAACTCCTTGGTGGACGTTGACGATTTCAATGAGATTCTAAAACTTTATCTTGCATCTATATTCTTTGATATCATGCAGTATGGTGATTCCATGTCTTCTATGGACATTGTCAACTTGTATGATTTCATCACCGAAGCACTTGCGGGATTCATCACGTCACAATCAGATATAATTGAGCCTTCGTTTGAACCGTTTCAGGATGCTTCTAGTTTCGATATCTTTGTCAAACTCAACTCCCGTAACCCATTGCTTCAACCAACACTTGTGAACTTGAGAGTTGTGCAGAGAATGTTCTTGATCTGCTCCAAGTTGTACCCTATTAATAAGCTCACCATTCAGAAATATTTGCTGTACAAAACAGACAGAGAAGAAGAAGGAGACAAGGACAAGACCAAAGCTCTTCAAGCATTAACCATCATGAACACACTTGATTCCAATAATGCTGAGAACCTCCTTGAGGCCTTCAACTTGTTTGTGGAGACGTTTGTGAGTAGCCGAAGTGCGAAACAAGACTTGTGTAAGTTGGTGGTGGAGAGGTTTTTGTATGAGAATTTGTTTGACTTCTTAGAGAAAGATATAACAGCAGCAAGCTATTTCCAATTAGATACTGATGATTACTATGAGCTTGTGAACGATAAGTTCTGGTATTCCTTTAACAGTGCTGTTAATTTGAATGAGAAGAAGGGTAAACTCTACGAGGCTAATGAGTGTCTTTTATTGTTTGATAGACTATCCAATAGAAGTGACTTGAGTGCAGCCAATAAGAACCAAATAATGAAAGTGAAGCATTTAATGAAGGCTGTTGCTTTGATGAAGAACTTCAAGATAATGGTTAGTATGAACGTCCCCATAACTCCCAGTTTGGTTGTTAGTAATTTTGGTGGTGGAACTGGAGACTTTTCACATAATACTCCTGTTGATTTGGTGTCCCTTATATTGGAGTATAACCCCAAGTCATACTTGGCATTTGAAAAGTTATACAAGATAGTCAATTATTTGGTGATCTTCTTTGCTACTACGACGGATGAAGGAAGTGCTACTTATTATTTCAATAAGGTGAAATCTGCATGTATTGAATCAGCTTTAATTGATGATAACTTCAATTATGCCTATAAACAGTGTCTTATTCTTTTCAGTCATTATCAAAAGGACCAACAGAATTTGAATGATATTTGGTTAACGTTTTACCAAGTTGGAAAGTACATTTCACCCCGTTGGTTTGAAGATGATGTTGACCAACATAGTACCACTGTGGAAATGGAGAAGCTCTCGGTGTGGAAGAAACAAAGAGAGGTGCTTTCCAAGGCTCTTAAGTTCATGCAACCTTCTGAATCTTCAATGGATAACAGTAGAGTTATCCTTAGTCAATGGAGACGGGTCAATGACCAAATAGAAGAGTCATATGCCAATTATCTGTATTTGGATCAGATCACAGCCATGGAAGTGAATCAAAGAAACCTTTCAAAACAATTGAACACCATTGCTAATGAATTCATTGGGGAGGCTAGCAACTCTACTTCTCAAGCAGGAGAAAAGATCTCCAATTTATTAGTATCAGGACTTGGTTGGGCCATAGGAGCCAATAGAAGTAAATAAATATAGGGTTGTAAAATTACAGAATTATTATTGTGTCAGGTTAGCCTTCTACAAATATTATATCCACTCTCCAATTAGATTACAACTGAATTTCCTTTGACCCGGTTCTATTTCAAGGAACAGGAATATGGAATGGGTTCTGGAACCCAACTCTTACCGAACTACAAAGCAGAAGCACACCTTTGGGTCACGTGATTCTTATATAACATCATGTGCTACGCGTGATAAGTCACGTGATCGGCAAAATAGTATACCAACATTTATCAACGTTGGTTAATAGCAACTTACTTTAGTCCTTGCACAATGCTGCTTACTACAAACAAACAGCAGGAATCGATGGAGAGTGCGATCAATGCTTACATCAGCAGCTATGATAAGATAGCACAACAATACGTGAGTGTGAGGCACGAGATACTAGCACTATACAATGAGATCAACAAGCGGGCAGCAGAGGATAACGCAGTGGACGCCTCAACCCGATTACGTATAGCTGAGCTTGAAGTAGAGTTCGAGCGGGTTGCTGCGGTTTATGAGAGACACGTGGGGCATTTGAACCAAGTGATTGCAGCGCAGAACAAGACAGGAGGCAGTGGTATGATTCTTGAGGAAGTTGGACAGTTCCACCAGAATATAGAGCTGGAAGAACGCGAGTTGAGACAGGAGATTCAGTACATACAAAGCATCAAGGGCACGGTTCTTGAGGACATGAGAGAGCTTGTGAAGGATGTTGACATGAGTATGAGAAGAGCAGGAGCAGCAACAGCGGTAGCAGCAGGTAACAGTAATGCTAAACCACAAGTGTCTGTGGAAGCTCGTACATTCAGTAGAGATGAACTCAAGGAGTTGGTTGATGATATTAAGCTTGATGTCGGAGACTCTGACATGGTGATTTCGTTAGACCGGTATTTGGATGAACAGCTTGAGAATGGACGGGCCTTTAAGAAGTGTGATGGCAGCAGTGATATGTTTGAGTACGATGCTCGTAGTTCAGTGATGAGAGAATCGGATGTGAGTGTTTCTGGAGTGGAGTACGATGCGAAAATCAATCAGATGGTCAGAACGTTATCGACATTGATTAGTGAGAATGCCAGAGCCAAGGAGTCGTGGGCAGAGAACGCAAGGTTAATGGAGGTGGTGAATAGTGCGATAGAATCAAAGACAGAGTAGCTGCGAAGCTGCTGCTCTGCGTAGTACGCTACTACTACTGTTGCTACTACTACACTACTACACTACATTACTGTGTTTCACTCTCATTTATTATACATTATTGACTATCAGGACTGATCAAGATCACTGAATCTCCTCTAACAAAAACCATTTCTGTTTTCTTGGTTTGAGGCTGCTCATCTCCAACACTATAGATATATTCTTCTGCTTCGCTCAACACTATATTACAATGGGAATCAAACCCTTGTAATCTTCCTTTCATTTCTCTACCTCCTCTTAATTTGACTATCACCACTTCATCCAATTGGAACCGAATCAAGTCCAAGGGTTCCAGCAGCTGACTCTTAGTTTCCGTTTGTACTGCAGACATGGCCAGACTATAGTAACAGCAATATTCCAGACACCAGTATATCAGACAGAATATACTACGGTACTATTCACTAGTTGTGGGCACACAGTGTATAGTGCGTTTGTTCTTGTCTGAAAAAGTTATCGCAGCAGTCGTGCGCGGTTCAAATGCTCTGGCAGTCGAAAAATTTTCGATTCAGCCCAAGTCCACCTCTAACTGAAGACTAACACCACCACCAACACTAGCAGCCATCATTACTCCCACGGTCCGTCATAATGCAGACACGTGCTTTTCTGAAGGCATCCAGGTTCTTTGCTAGAAGCAAACCATTAAGATTCGAGAACTTAAAGGCCATTACACTTAGACCTCCAATCGTTCCCACACACCAGAACTTTGATGTTAACCCTAACCATCCATTATGGCAATTCTTTGCTGGAGGTCATGAAAGTGAATCGTGTTTCCGTCAGTCAGCTGAATTGGATAGCGACAGCAGAGCATGGACCATGGCGGAATTGCGGATGAAATCGTTTGATGATTTGCACAAGTTGTGGTATGTGATCTTAAAAGAAAGGAACAGTTTGGGAAGAGAAATCAAATTGGGACAAACGGAGTTTGCTGAGACTCAAGCTCATCAAGAAATTGATCAACTCTTAGCATTAAACCATAAAAGAATAAAGCAAGTTCTTTTGGAAAGACAAGTGGCTTATGAAAGAGTTCAAACCTTAAAAGATACAAAGCAAGCGCAATATTTATCCCAATTTGAACATGAATATCTTGAAGCAGAAGATATTGCCAATAGTGATGAGAAACTTGTAAGATTGCAATTTGCTCTCTTTGGCATTCAACCCTCATTGCTAGATTATGATTTAGACACTGACATCACCGAAAGATTTGTTGCTGGATTAGAATATGTTTCCAACCTTAAATTAAAGAGATACTTGAAGGAGAATCCGGAAAAGGCTCAAACCATCACATTACCCTTGAATGGTCCAGTGGAACAATTGCCATTCCTTTTGCGTGAAGTTGAAGAAGCCGTTACTGAACTCATCTCCTTAAGAGAAACAGGTGAATCATTTGCACTTGATAAGATTGATGTTTTACCTTTCTTATCTAATGTTCTTGAACAAGAATTAGCCAAGATCAACTCCACAACAGTTGAGGAGCAAGAACAGGATCACATTGTCTGAAGTGTACATATCATATCATCATCCATCTCATGTATATATAAACTAATAAACTTTTCACCCAGCTCGGATTCGAACCAGGAAGAGTTATTTTTTCCTCGATCGCAGATCCAATAATCACCAGTTAATTGGGAGCGCCGCTCCGGTCCTCAAGTTTAATGAATGAAAAAAAAAATAGTCTGGTACAACGACAACCATTATAATCTAATCAAATATCCACTACAATGGCCGGAAGAATTCATGGGTTTCTTTCTGGAGTCTTATTGACGTCGGCTATAACTTACTACACCGGCGAGTATATTAAGAAAAATCAGCAGTTTGTGTCCAGACATTTACAAACATCCACTCGAATCATAGACAATAGAATCCTTTCTGATAAAGATATTAATAAGGATATTGAACCTGGTAGTAGTCATATTACTCGGACGAGTCGTGGAGAGTTCAAAGAGATTTGTAAGGATATTTGGAATGATGAAATCATCACCATGGTAAATTGGATTTATTCCATTAATTGGTTCCAATTGGGTAAAGATGCTGATGAAGGATTGATTAGATTGACTGATAATCTTTCAGAAAAGATCTCCAAACACTAGAGAATATTGTTAATTATTTATTGAGCATTTAGTACTTCGGCGACTGCACCAACTGCAATAGCAACAACAACGTCATCGGCAGCAGCTTCTTTATTCATTCTTATTCTTGCTTTGTTTCTGGTAGTAAGATTCAATGTCCAGATCAAGAATATACTTATATATGGGAATCACCAACAGTAGTATAAAACTCACGATTATTTGTAGAAATCCCCATTGCCTTGGATACATTCCTAATCCAAAACATGAAACAATCCATCCAATAGTATCGGTGGTAATGGTGTCATATCCTTTATTCAACTTATCCAAAATAATGTCAGCACATTTCTCAACAGTTATTGGAGTTGATGGACCTTCCACAATCTTTGTTATTTCCGGTTTGGTCTTTTCTTCTTGAATGTATCCTTCACTTTCAAAGTTGCCCGGGAAGATTGTGGCCACTCTGAAGTTATAAGGCTTCAATTCAGCTCGTAATATAGTACACAAAGAATCAAGTGCTGCCTTGGAAGGAGCATAACTGGAATACCCAATCACAGGGTAAAACGATACCACCGAAGAACACATACAAAGAACACGTTTCTTAAACTGTTTACGACTGGTTTGTTTATTGATAGCCATCACCTGATTAACAAATACATGGGCAACATTAGCATTGGCCACGTAATTGGTTTGATAACCTGAAACCAAATCTTCTTTAGTTAAATCATTAAAAAGTTTAGGGATAGCCAGACCAACAAATGAAAACACATAATCAGGGTCAATATTTTCAATAGCCATCATCTTGTGGAAAAATCCCAAGACGCTATCGTAATCACTTACATCACAAACAGCATATGAAATGGTACACTCTGGAGGGATTACCTTGTCTGTTGCTTGAATGGCATCTTTATGTTTCTTAAGTTTAGATTCTGTTCTAGCAACTAGAATCACTGAACACCCTTCAAGGTATAGTCTACGACCGAATTCAGCACCTAGACCTTGAGAGGCTCCTAATACCACTGCAGTCTTTCCACTTAAGGGTAGATTGTTTTTGGAGAACCACATGTATTTATAGTTGATAGGTAAAGAAAGTGATAGTATTTAGTGCGATTTTAAGTGATATGTTAAAATGTGACACATCATAATGTGACATATCATAATGTGATAGTGCTATAATGTGATACGTAAAACATGATACGTAGTATAAAATACGATACGTAATATGACTATTTACAGATATACCCATGATAAACTAATTAGAGTTGGCCAAAAATGGTGATAATGGAATCTTTGAAGGTTCCTTAGAAGGTCTAGACTTTGTGGGGAATTTCTTTGAAGCCAAAAGAGCTTCACCTAAAATACCTCCATTATAAGAAAGATTATTTGGAAGGTTTTCTAATTCCTTCTTCTTTAATTCATCTTCCACTTCTTCTGTTTCTTCATTATAAGAAAAGAACTGTTTCTTTGCAATTTCAACATCATTCTGAAACTTTTCTATTCCGTCGGGACGTAGTTTGGTTAACTTTTCAACATGTCTTTTAGTTAACGCATCCAATTCTAAACCTTGTAATTGTAATCTAGCAACTACTTTGGCAACAAACCAGTATTTGATTTCAAACTCTGAATCCACCAATTCAATTACGGACATGGCGGCTTTGTCTTCACTTAACCGAGGTTCTAATCTAATGATTCTGGTGAATCCAGCACTTCTATCTTTATATCTGTCTTTTAATTCAGTCAACACTTTACTTCCTATTTCCTTACGAAGAGGTTCGTGTACGTAGTTCAAATGTTGGTTCTTGGAAAGACGGCTGTCTAAGTCCGTGATTCCTTGCTTCACTAACTCATCATCTCTGGCTAACATCTTACTGAGAAAACTCTCAATCTTTGGTTGTGCTCTCATGGCCTTGGTCTTACCAGTAACAAGATAATCATGACGCACAATGTTGGCACACAAGTTCTTGTTAATCGACTTGTGATGACGCTTCACTTTGGAAAAGAGACTTCGGGATGACGCCATGATTGGTTGATTTCGAACGTTTGAAACGAGTCTAATTAGCTTGAGTTTCTTAGTGAAATTTTTTTTTTGATACCACTTGATATATTCCAGGGTCGTGTACATGTTCAAAAATTGAAAAGTAGTATAACCTCGCTACGTACTGTTCTCCTTTTATAAAATAGTCTCTTTTACAATATAAAGCTTCTTCTAAATACAGTGCCTAGAAGTTAATTGGTTTGTCGAAAGTAGACAAAGCAGCTTCTTTAAAGGCCTCGGCTAAAGTAGGATGGGCATGGCATGTTCTGGCGATATCTTCAGTAGAAGCACCGTATTCCAAAGCCAACCCACCTTCAGCAATCATTTCACCGGCATTAGGACCTATGATGTGGACACCCAAAACTCTTTGAGTTTCGGCGTCAGCAATGAACTTAACAAACCCATCGGTATCGAAGTTAGTCTTGGCTCTGGAGTTAGCAATGAATGGGAACTTACCAACCTTGTACTTGATACCCTGGGCCTTCAATTCTTCTTCGTTAGCACCAACCCAAGCAACTTCGGGGTGTGTGTACATAACAGATGGGATGTTACCGTAATTGACATGGCCATGGCCATGCTTGATGTATTCAGCTGCTGCAATACCTTCTTCTTCAGCCTTGTGAGCCAACATAGGACCGAAAGTAACATCACCAATAACTCTAATGTGGGGGTGTTTGGTTCTGAATTCAGAATCAATGACCAATCTACCGGCCTTATCGGATTCCAAACCAATAGCTTCGAAGTTCAAACCTTCAGTGTATGGTCTTCTACCAATGGCAACCAAAAGAACATCGGATTCCAATTCCTTCTTTTCACCGGACTTAGCATCTTCAACTTCAATCTTAACAACTTCACCGTCTCTAACACCGGAGTTAACCTTAGTACCCAAAAGGAACTTAAGGCCTTGTTTGGCCAAGATCTTTTGAGCATTCTTAGCAACTTCACCATCCATACCAGCACCAATGGCGTCTTTGAATTCAATGATGGTCACTTCACTTCCTAATCTGGAGTAGACAGAGGCCATTTCCAAACCAATGATACCACCACCAATGATACTTAATCTCTTAGGAATCTCCTTCAATGAAAGAATACCAGTGGAGGTGACGATTCTTTCTTCATCAATTTCGATACCTGGGAATGGAGTGGGTTCGGAACCGGTAGCAACAATGATGTTGTCAGCAGAGATTTCGTAATCTTCTGCACCATCGATTGGCTTAACGTTAACCTTGTGATCGTCCACAAAGGAACCAGAACCCTTGATGTAAGTGACCTTGTTCTTCTTGAACAACATTTCGATACCGGAAGTCAACCCGTTGACGGCCTTGTCCTTTGACAGCATTAATTGAGGGAAGTTGATGCTAGCGCCTTCAACTTCAATTCCTCTGTGTTTGGAATCATGGGTAATCTGGTGGTATAAGTGCGAGTTGTTTAAAAGAGCCTTGGAAGGAATACAACCAACGTTCAAACAGGTACCACCAAGCTTTCCTCTCTTTTCAATACAAGCGGTGTCGTAACCCAATTGAGCAGCCTTAATGGCAGCAACATAACCACCTGGTCCACCACCAATAACGACAATGTCGTACTTACCAGTGGTAGAGTTGAATCTAACAGATTGGGTGGTGAATGGCTTTCTAACTGATTTCAATGTGTTTCTCAACATTCTTGTTTAATTTTAAGTTTGTTTGCTTATCCTCAGTTAAAGATGGATAACGCTATTATGTATCAAATCACCCAATAGCAAAAGATTTTCCGTTTATAAGAATCATCTGGAGTGCTCGGACCTCAGTGGGTAAAATGTCGCATTTCTCGGTCATAAAACGCCGCGACACGTGAAACGACACTGCGACACCCACAGTTATTTTGACGGCCGTTTACTGGCCGTGCCGGGTAGATTATGTTAGAGAACATTGTATGTCCCGGCTTTATTCGGGTTATGGTTCTTGCCCGGACTTTGAATTGTATGAAAGGATTCAGAAGAATGTCTGCAAAAAAAGGGCATGACAGGAGAGTGGTGGCCAAAGATGACTCAAGAATGACTATAAGGACGGAGTTCAAGCGAAAGTTTAGAGAGGATCATCTAAACTTGAGGATGTGACATAACGCAGCTGTATATTATAGTTGACTGTACTTGACGAGGTTTCCGTAGGAAACGCCGGGATTAAGGTTACTACAAGCAAGGTCGTTTGTCAGCAACCGAAGAAGTAGAAGCTTCTGTGGGAGGTTAGTCTGCGAAATGTTATGGCTAATGGACTTATTTGGTGAAAGGCTGTGACTTGAGTTACAGAAATTATTGCATAACTCATGCGCTGTTGCAGGTGGAGGGTGACTTATCGCGCACATAGTCGCTTGCCATTTCTTTGTCCGCGTGGTCGCGCATCTCTTTAGTTGCGTGTCTGTACGTCGGCGTGCGTATGTTCTGTATTTTTTTAGTTACCACTTTTATTGAATGCCTCCACTCTTCTCCCAAGGTCACTTGTCACTGACCTTATTTTCAATTTTGCAACAATTATAATCAACATATTATTTACGGTACGGACTACATACTAGTGGCTTCAGGTAGCGACATACTAATACTGATGATCTATTGTTCAGCTTAGAGCCCCTCGCATTGCACATTTAGTACAATTGACAAATAGTACTGCAAACAATGCTATAATTATAAGGCTACGGGGTGAAAACCCGCAACTCACATAAAGCCGTATTCAATATTCGTAAATGGGAGAGGCTTGTCTAAGGCTTTAATACATTAAATGCCATTATTATTTACAAGGTTTTGTTAATCTTGCTAAAAGTTGTATTAAACACTAGAAACAAAAAACGATAGTTATTTTTATATGATACACCTAAAACCATAAAAATGCAAACACCCATAAGAATAAAAGAAAGAAGCGAAGTTAAATCATTCTAGAAAATCCAACCTAGTCATTTTACTCATGACCTTGGAAAGACATTGAGTTCATACCGATTCCAGGAAGTTCACCATTGGCAGCACCAACTTCTTGAGTGGCAGCATTAATTGCTGAAACAACTTCAGGCATCTGAGTTGTCTTAGGATTCCAAGTAAGAGACCCGTTTTTGATGGCATCCATACGCTTTGCTTCATCCATCAATGGCTTGATACAAAGCCAACCTGTTTCGGTTCTAAAATGTCTGGAAAGAGCATCACTTCTAGCAAATCTCTTTCCGCAACCCCATTTGGTAACTCCGTCTCGTAAAGAACCTCCACATTTAAATTTCTTTAAACCTCCATGAAGAAGCTCATGACGTTTCTTATCGTGTGATCTGGCAAACTCCTTATTACAGACAGAACATTTGAATGGCTTATCTGTAGAATGGGTCTTCATGTGCGACTTCAAATTGTAAGGTCTGGGGAATACTTTATCACATATCTTACACTTATGTATCTCTCCAGACTCAGAGAGGGCACTAGAATCGCCAGCATTCTCGGAGTTTATCATATTAAACTTCTCCTGAGATTTCAACTTAGACCTCCGTTTCCGCTTTAAGGAATCGGCGTTGGAATATCTTACAATGGAGGAGTAGTCTATGTTTGGAGGTGCACTAGAGATGGGCCTAGGCTTGCCGTTGCCTGTCAAGGCTTCCTGGAACCCGTTCATCGAATTCAGTAAGTCGTTCGATCCGGTTCTAGTGGGTGGATATGTATGGGGCTGTTGGTGTTCCCCAGATTGATAAGTTCCATCGTACGCCGATGCATATCTCTTGGTGGCCTCGGAGGGGCTTTCAATGTGATAGCTCAGTGGCAGCGCAGTAGCTCCATTTGATAGAGCCAGCAGTGTCAGTGTCAGTATTCGCTGTTGCTGTTGCTGTTGCTGTGGTTGTTGTTGTTGTTGTTGTTGTTGCTGTTGTTGTTGTTGTTGCTGTTGTTGTTGTTGTTGCTGCTGCTGTTGAACAGGTTGAGCCTGTTGATGATAATATCTGTCATATAAAGGCTGAGGGAACGAGCCTCTGTTGGAACTGTTATTGGCGCCATTACTGTACTGGAATGGCAACGTTTGAAAATGAATGTATTGACCTGATGGTGGGCCCAAGGGTGCAATCAATGCGCCTGTAGTGTTTTGATCAGGGAGTGGGGCTGTTTGTGCCAAATTTGGATTGTTGGGTTGGGGAAATGGTGATGCCGGCTGTTGGTATTGTTGATGTTGTTGCTGCTGCTGTTGTTGTTGCTGTTGGTTTTGATGATGCTGCTGTTGTAGGAGACGTTCTTGCTGCTGTTGGTAAAGGTACTGCTGTTGTTGTTGTTGTTGTTGTTGTTGGGGAAGCAGCTGCTGGGAGGCATCTGGAGAGTACTGTTGTTGGAATTGCATATATTGTGCGTTACTAAACAGTGATTGTGAGTTTGGAGCAGCGGCAGTAGTCGCATTTAGATACCCATTTTGTTGGCTTGAAGCTGTAGGAGCCATCTGGGTTCCGTTGGGATAGTATGTGACATATGAAGGGACATTTGCTGTGGGTGCAGATGAATTGGAACCTGATGAACCAGAAGAAGCTGGTGCAGCTTGTCCCAAGGCCAATGGTGGGGGAGGAGGGGCCAGAAACTTATTCTTACTAGAGTATTCGTAGAAGGGATAGTTCATTGAAAGCATGAGTCAAGTTTTATGTCCATTCGAATCTCGAATTGGAATCAATCTAATTAATTAATTCAGACAATTGTTTCTTGACTATGAAGTGCTTATATTTGTACTTTATTGGGTTGCCAAAATACGATGGTGATTTTAAGGCCGCTTTTCGTGGAAGATGACCTACTTCTGTCTCTGGGAACAAAGGACACTATAAATACATCAAGTTGGTCCGCTCTTTTGTTAAGGAAGAACGGAGGAGAGTGTATAGGGTTGAGACGACAAAGCCATGATCAGTGACTGGTAAGAGGAGATGAGGAAAGGTACACAATATGCATGTCATGTCCAAATGCCGACAAGCCCTACTGCATGGATAATTAATGTACAATAGTATAAGGTTAGCGGTATTGTTTGATAGCGGTTCTGACATGCAAGCAAGCGCGACTTACAGACAGTTAGATACTCCTGGTTGCTAGTCTGCAAGACAATAAGAGAGATCTGCTTGCAATAACGAAATCGGAGATAATGCTAGAAAAATAAGTCTAAGTCACGGTAGGTTTACTTATTGTAATAGTGTGCACATTATACTAGAGTCATTGAAACTATACTGTAGGTATACATAATGAATTATCTTATTGAGCCAAAGGACATGACTTCGTAAACTAATCAAGTGGCACAAACCTTTTAGACTCGTCATATTTTGCTCATTTATTGCGTTGGGTTAGTTGTTTGTTCCATGTTTGTTCCTTATCATTTTTGTCCTTACGTTTCTTGTCAATTTGATATGTTCTCAGGCATATAAGGCAAGTGGTCTTCTACACGACAGTCTTTGTGATAGGCCACAGCTAACCACAAAGAACTAGAGTGTTCGGCACCTGGGCTAAATCAGTGTCAACGTATTAAGATGCAGAACAAGAGGCCAGAAACAATAATTCCAAATCAAGCCATCTTGGAAGACGCATTAAACGGAATGGTTTGTGTCATTAAAAACAAACTTATTCTTTATTGGGTAAACGTAACCTCACAGGTGGTGTGCAGAGTAGCCAACTCAGTAGAAGAATTCTCCACTAGTACGAAATTGACGTCTAGATCTTCTACCGATAAAAATGTTTGGTTATAGGAACTTTGGGTTTAAATTTTTGAATCTGAATCTTAGGTGGTGTATATATTAAGTCCCTGAGAAGATCACACCTCTACTTTCTGAATAAAAGTATAGCAACATTCCATTAGCGCATAGTTTGACGTGCATGACGTATGTGTTGGACCGGGGGAATCTGGATTTCCCCATTCAGAGTTTAAACCAGGTCAGCTAAACCACTCTTGTCGTATTCCAAATTCCTGATAAACGTAGGGGGCTTAATTTTTCCGGCGAGGTGCTCCGACGTTTTAGTGGTCCTTCAGCATGCGCCTTTTTATGCCTACTAGTTAGATATACAATTTCTCCTTTTAAGAATGAAAGCTAAAGGATGTGTTTACACACCGCAGATACGATGACAGATATGCAGGCAACTTCCCACATGCAAAATAATTCTGCGAACATTCTACTCATTAAAATTAATATCTCAATGAAATAGACCTTGCAGAACTGGAATTGAAATCATAATTGAAAAGTTATACAGGTCTTTGGAAGATATAGTTAATTCAAAGCTTATGTCTATGAGTCTTTTTAGAAATATGATATCATCAGCTTTTTTTTTTGCACGAGCTTGTGGTGCTTAGGGCCGAACACACACAAATGCATAAACGAATGCACAACATCAAGGGCATACATGTTGCACGACATATACATTACCACAGCCTAACCAGGAAAAGAAACATTGACAGAAAAGGGGGTGATTCTGTATTCGTTGCTAATTATACCCTCAGGTAAGTCCGATTCTATGTTCTACCTTTATCACTACTTTTTTTTTCGCTGATGTTACAAGTTTACTTCCGTTATAAGAATTACTTCTATTGGAAAACGCGACTAATGTATGAGACCAGTGTTACTACAGTAGATGTTGCTGCCGCTCGATGAATTGCTTACGAACCAATTACTAATTAAGCCATAATGTAGAACAATAGGATATCTCACGCCGCTCAGCAAATGTCCTGTATCCAAAATATATATATCGGATCGAGTTATACGTACCCGAGCGGAACAAAGTAAACTTCCGATCTTCAATGTTCCGCAGCCTAAAATTGCAGTAGCCTCGTTAGGTTTAGCTTTTGTTCTTTCAAGGTCTGAACTGGATCAATTTATTTAATACTTCATAGCCTTCTATCAGGTACCAGGAAGACTTTTGTTTCATTTTGAAGGCTTGTAGTGCTCCAGCCATGGTTTTGACATTGAATAATAGTAAGGGCTGTAGTGCTTTTAAAGCCTCATTTTTATCTATTTCATTTGCGAGAAACTTTACGTCCAATTGTCCGACATGTAACACAATTACCTTTCTGTCCAGACAAAGAATTTATCTTGTATCAATGGACACATCGCGTTCTTCAAATTGGAACTTATCGTCTTATATCCAATACCCATTCAAATATTTGATCACTCTGCTAGAAAAGATTTAATTGTCTTAGGTATTGTGGTTGTTGAAGTTTCGCTGAACTGGTGAGAAAAAGATTGCGTGTGTTGACAAAGTCCAACGCAAGTTTGCGTAAATTTAAAGGCTGTGTTATTTTGAATGCCGAAAAGCCGACTTTTAAACACGAAATTTAGCGGCTTTTCAGCTTTTGACGGGCATGGCTTTGCCAGATTAAGTTGATTCCAAAAATAAACCTACGTATAACCACCTTTCACCACATCTGTACCACACAAAGCTTTCATATTTCAGCTCAAACATATACGTCAGTACTTCATACTACGAGCTCAAATGAGGGCCGACAATAAAAGGCCGAGTCTGCTCGAGTTTGAGGCCATATGCTTGACATTTACGACTTTATTTTACCCTGCTTACAGGGCCTGGTAGAATCAAGAACCCTTGCACAATCTTAGCACACGATTTGCGAAATGCTGCACCCTTTTGGTTGCTGCTTTGGAGGCTTTTCTCATTTAGTATAGGCTTTGCGGCATTTACCCCTGGCTTGGTGCTGTCAATTGTGCGCGGGCGAACATTTAGTTTCTCCTACCATCTTTATTAATATCTAGGACTTCATCTAGGGTGCATTAGTAGATCATTACTAAGCCATTCCCCTTTAACGATTGGTTTAGCCCATTGTTAAGAGAATCAAACTAATCCATGTCAAGTTAAAGCATTTAACAACATAGAGTGGCCGCGATCGCTACTTGAAAATCTGATTGATGTGCGGGGCTCTGGCATTAACACTGTTGTTAAGAATAATAAGCTCCACAACATTTTAAGCAAGGTGGATCACACGAGTACATGATAGCCGAGATTGTTTCTGATACCTGGACAATGCATTGTTGGACTACTCTTAAGATCACCAACGTATCATTTAAGGTACAGCAATTCAGTAGATAACAATACTACATCAACCAACCTAAAACGCCGTTCAGATGCGTTTTTGGAGTAAGGTAATAGATTTACACTCGCAGTAGTAAGGATGCTTCAAACGAAATCGAGTCCTTCACAACATTTAACTCATCCTCCACCTACCCTAACCCTTTCCTTTGCTAAGCATAGCTGTATTAACAATAGGGAACTTGATTCACAACGTTAAGTGGTGTTTCCTCTAGTTTCGTGCACAGTTGATACTTTACTAAGCAAAAAGAATGCCCATTGCAATCCACTAAACTCATCAGTACTAAAATTAATCAAGAGAAAAAACTTTGAGGTCAACTGCTTGTACTCTGTTGATTTGGAAGTCCACTTTTTAGTTATAATTGCTTGTAATATTTACTATTTAATTAAAGATTCACATTTGTTTATTTTAATACGCTATTGCTGCAAAAAGACTCTCAGCCCTGCAAAAAGATTCCTTTTCAATAACACTTTAAATCAAAATTATTTCAATTAAATACATATGACTTGTAGAAGAACTAATTAATCATCTAATTGTGGATGGCTTTTACTCTAGTGATTGGTTTTCATTTAATCAACACCCGAACACCATTTTATTTCCTCATTAAAATACTATCACAAAAGATATGTAACTAAAGCCGGTCTAGTATAGTGGTTAGTACACTTCGTTGTGGCCGAAGAAACCCAAGTTCGATTCCTGGGACCGGCATTTAATTTTTTCTTTTTTGGTTTGTTGGGTCCATTTTCTATTAAAATATATTACATACTATTATTATCATCAATTTCATTTATTAAACGTTCACTAGATCTAATAAGTTTCCACATTGTTATTAGTGTCTGTAACTTTGCACAGGGTAATTGCAATAACCACCAATGCATTATCTTCGTCGTCTTCAATGTAATTTTTCACTTGGACTTCATCAAACTTCTTATTATTCCGGTGCAAAGACTTATAAAACTCGTATGTATCTTTATTTTCTGTTTTATCTAATAATTGGCATTTACCGTTAATCATAACCGACACTCTACTGATTTCTGATTGGTTCAAATTGACGAGAAAGTCATACAACAGATTTCTGCGACCCTTCAGGTCTTCAGCATCCGACTCTCCCGAGGCCTTGTTATTGGTTGCTAGCCAGTCATGAACCAAAACAGAAACCTGGGGGTTGGCTAACATATTATTGTATTTGTCGGTATTCTTTGGAGTACTCATTATGATGTAATGCTCGTTATCTGTCTTCTTATAGTAGGTGTAGTTCATCAAGCTTAGGTGGGGAACGTTATCGTTGCACGTAGCCAAATGAAGAAAACGTTTGGACTTCAATAATGACGTAACAGAGTCGGGTAATTGCATTGTAGAAACCTTCGTACGAGCTTTATAAGTAAATGAATAAGTGACAAAGAAAGTAAATGGGGGTAAGCTTTCAGCAGCAACGACATCGATTATTTACGCCCTAATACAAAATAGTAAATCACGTGACATACTTTGATTTTTCAAGCTGCAAACTCCACACTCATCAAGCAAATCAATCGGGCTTTTTAGCTTCTACCATTATACTTGCACGATAGCACTTTGGAGGTACCATAGAGGATGGGTGGATCTGAAACAGGAGGCAGTAAAAGACATGCTAACCAATACCAATTTGAGCGCAACCAGATAGTTAAGAAGGCGAAGAGCACTACCGAAACAGAGTTGATTCAGATTCGAAAGGTGTATGAAACTGACTCGTCATCTTCAGATGAGTTGTTTAACGGAGACCATTCAGATGAAGGCAACATACAGAACGATATTTCTGGTGGCGAAATCTCTTTAGAAAGCTCATCATCAGATATCTCTGGTAGAAGTACACCCATACATGAGCCAACCACTATATCAACAACATCTGAACAGCAGCATGGAGTAGCAACCAAGTTGAAGACCACGATAACAACAGCGACTATTAATGATGACGATTTCAATGTTTTGAAGAGACAAGTAATATCTCAGTTGAACGGAAGATCCAAGTTTCCCAACCTTCATAAATCGTCGTTGGCTAATCATTATCATGAGATCACTAAGATGTTTGAATATTGTGTTGAAGGAGGAGAAGGCCACTCATTACTCTTGATAGGACCTCGAGCCAGTGGTAAGTCATGTATTGTGGATGCTGCCTTAGAGCTGTTAGCAGACGGACACGTTGGGAACTCATTTATCACTGTTCGTTTGAATGCATACATGCATGGAGATGACCGCGTAGCCCTCAGGGAAATAGCCAGGCAGTTGGATCAGAACTATGAAATAGAAGGGGGTTTCGAAAGATGGTCAACTAGTGAAACATTCACCAATATATTAAAAATCTTGGAAACCAACATATTTAAAACAGAGCAACAAGAAGAAGCACAAGAGGAACTTGAAACTAACAAAGAATATGAAGAAGACCTTCAAATGTCCATAATATTCATTATTGATGAGTTTGAGAAATTCACCAATAACAGTAAACAAACTTTACTCTACAATTTGTTTGATATGTCCCAATATTCCGCTACACCCATATGTGTGGTTGGGATGTCGACCAAAGTCACCACCCGAGAAATGTTGGAGAAGCGGGTGAAATCAAGGTTTTCGCAAAGAGTAATTTCTATTAACAAACCATCTACAATTGAAGAGTTCTGGCAAGATTTCAAGTTGAACTTGATAGTTAGTGAAGAATTGGTGCAGCATAGATTGAAGGATATCGCCAATGTGTACAAATGGAACAAACAAATAGAAGATCTTTATGAAACGTCCAACTCCCCATTGAAGAAATTGGTGCTAGAAAATTATTTCACAGTGAAAAATTTCAAACATCTTGCCAATGCCTGTCTACCAGCAATTGTTGGGTGTCATGACTTTAAAGATTTGCATAAGTTTGAGAACTTCACGTTATATCAAAAGGTGAATGACAATAATAACATTCAGAATATTATTGGGTCACTTTCTTATCTTGAAACGTTATTGGTTATAGCAGCTGCTCGATGGGTTGCCAAATCAGAGATTCCTATCATTAATTTCAATTTAGCATATGCGGAATACCAGGCAATGATTAAATCATTAAACCTTCAAAACTCATCTGCAGCAAGTTCAAATCTTTCCGCTATCGATTCCACGATTCTTGCCTCTATAAAGGTCAATCAAAAGATTTGGTCACCTGTCGTACTACGGAACAGTTGGGAAACCTTATACAAATGTGGTATTTTGCTTGACAGTGCAGGTGTTACTACCAATAGTGAAGGGAATATTATTACAAACGTGAATAAAAATAAAAGTTACACAGTTGAAGAGAACAAAATGATTCAATTGGATGTCACATTGCAAGAGTTGAACTCGATATTTGACTCCTCCAGCATATTTAATAGATTCACCAAGTTATAGTTTCTGTTGGTGCCTTATGATTTCTCGTATTTCTGCAAGTGAGATATCACAAAGAAAATTTACGACGTGCATGGACCAAAAAAGTCCGCGAATGTGGTGATCTTAAATCCGAATTGCACAGAGGAATGTGGGTGCAAATTACCTTAATTTGCTATCTGAAACCCTTAAAAAGCCTTGTAAGCAATAAAAGGGCTGAAAAGTCTTATGACTGTTTCAACCTCGCTTCAGATGATACGTCAATCAATCTGAAACATTTAGTCATGCATTCGGACAAGGGAGCGACACTTCGGAACGGATTGTAAAGTTTGCCTAATATATTAAAGAGGATCTACGCCGCATCTCTGCTTTGTTTTCTTATAAAATTGATTCTATAGCCTTTTGGAATGACAAAAGGAATATGAGTTATCAAGACAATGAAACTTCATCGTCATCAAGAATTCCTCACGCCAACTTTTCAAAAGTCACACAAGGTACAAGGATGCGAGAACAAGACTTGAAGGACATTTTTTCAATTCTTTTGATTAAATTGGATTTAAAAGAGGTCCCCATTGAAACCTCGTCAATGACTTCCTTTTTGAGGAAAAGGGAGTATCCTTATCTGTTTTCAGCAGACAGAGCTTTGCAGGTGATGCAGGATTTAGATTTGGTGATTGACTTGAAAAAGGCTCGCACGGTATTCAAATACGACATCAATAATCAATTGGGATTGGACTTTCTAAGTCGATTTTACGACGCGAAACTTTTGCATTGTCCAACTGATAGAACGAGAATGGAGTTAAAGTTAGGGCTTACTGTTCAACCGACTCCCAAGGGAGTTGCAATTCTCGTTAATTTTCTTTCTAGATCGGGAATAGAGTTGACGAGATGGCCCTCTATAACATTCAGTTCTTTGAATACTATGGAGTTGTTTTATTTTGATCGTCGTGGTGCTTCGGATAAAATTCTCTACTCCAATTACTTGCTTTACCTTGTATTTGTACGACTTATGGGGAATAAACTACACATTTGGTCTCCCAGATCTGCTCCGCAATTGGTGTACTATCCTTGTCTCGCAAACGCAGGGTATCTGACAGACCGACTGTTAAGTGTCTCAACGGATGGTGAAGAAGTAGTCGAAGAGGATGAAGATATCTTTGATGGTCTTGGTGAGGGGGGACTGAAAATCCCAAAAGCGGAGTTTCACTCGTATTTTCATTTTGGTGCTACAGAAGATTCTCTAGATTCATCATCTAGCAGTTCAGAAGGTTCGAAAAAAACTCTGAACCTGCTGGATTCACATTCTAAACCTGACCCCAACAAGAAACAGAATCAAAGCAACAGGACTACCATTCATGGCTCCTTTACCGTTAGTCCATTTCACCATCGATACTTTACTAATCCCGAGTCAGACTCTCATATCCAGTACTATGTTTCTAACACCGGAGTACGTCTTTTTGAAGACAAATGGTTTCAAAATGAGCACGGTAAAACGCTAAAGAGCAATGTGTGTGTCTCAGGAAAAGCCATATGCCAATGGCTATGTGATTGTACTGACATAATGTACCCTAGACAAGCTGGAGATGTTGCTGAGCTATTGGTTAGAGCCAAGTTGCTAAAACCCATCTCACTACCTTCAACATCATCACGTGAAAGGTCAAAGCATGTCATGGATGATCGGAATGCCCTCTATTGCCTTACAGACTTTGGAATGAGGACTGTTCAGTGGCAGACAACCAAGCTTGAACTTGAGGAGGTCACTGATGATTTCACCAGTCTTGCCTTGAGCTTGATTATCAAGGGACGTCCCGAATCTACCACCAAGATTGTTCCAAAATATGTCACAGAAACGCTGAAGACTTTGGAAGACATTATGAAAGATCCAGGTATGAGACATTTATTCAAAAAGCATTTAGAAGCTGAATATTGCTGTGAGAATCTAGATGCCTATTACGAGTTGAAACGACTAGAGAAAGCGGTTCAGTCATTACATAAGATGATTAATGAAGAGCTCAACAGTGATAAGAACACTATGTGGGACGTTATCAATGCTGCCAACCAATGTCTAGCATTGGCTTACAGAATCTACTTTATCTATATTGCTAGTGATGCTCCATTCACATTGAATATCGGACACGACTCTCGGATTTCAATAGACAAGATCTTAGTGGAAAGTAAAGAACTGCCTTATCTTCAAACACCTGTGGCCGAGATGCACTTTGACTTCGATACAATGAAGGTTGAAACTCCCAATAAGAAAGAGGAAACAGTTAAGAGCCCCGCAAGAGTACATTTAAAAGACCAAAGTGATGTAGAGATACTTCAGCATGTTTCAATACTGACATTACCTCAGAATTTGAACCTGAATTCAATGATATCACTGACCAAATCACCTACAGAGAAACGGCTACATTCTATGGTTAACACTATTGCTCGGTTTACACCGATTATGAAGGACATTCGGGGCCAAATATACAGGATCCTAGTAGAGGATTCCGTACCCAAGTTTTTGAACAGTAAACTCTTCAAAGATGCAAACGAAGCACTACATAGATAAGCCCACACTCTATCACGTGACACATACAACTATAATATCACGTGATTATATTACTCCCGATTGTTATCTCACAGTTTATATACAGTATCAATTTAACTATTAAAGGCGACACAATTTCCCGCAACATGACTCAACTAATTTCTCTGCGACATTACTACTACTACTACTACTACCGATGACAGTAGGAATCACCAGCAACGACGATGAAGGCGTCTTGCGGATATTCGTGGTAAGACATGGCCAAACCGAGCTGAATGTGAAGAAGATCCTTCAAGGACACATGGATACTGAACTTAACGCTACGGGCCACGAACAAGCCCGCAGAGTGGCTGAACTGTTCCGGGACGTGCCGTTAGACCACTGTGTACTGAGTGACCTCGTACGATGCGTGGAAACTACCAAGTACATACTACACCACCAACGACTGGTGAGGTTGGAGAAGACGTCGAGTTTACGGGAACGGAATATGGGAGTGCTTGAAGGTATGTGCATTACTGATGCCCGGGCCAAATACGGAAGTGATTTCAGGAACATAGGAGAAAAGAAAGACTCACTTGTTGCACGTGTCGAAGAGGTGTGGGATGGGCTCATTGCCGATGCACAGGAAAAAGGTTGGAAGAACTTGGTGGTTTGTACTCATGGTGGAGTCATCACTGCATATATCAACTACTTGTACACTGATAGGAAATATGGCCTAAATAGGAAACTATCTCCGGACAGTTTAAAAGTTCCATTTAACACCAGTGTTCTGACCATCGATATAGTTTTAGCAAATAAGCAAGGGACCATACAGGATTTCGGCAACACGGATCATTTGGGAGGACATTTCACTGTCAAGGATCAAGATTTGCGCTAATAGAAGTAATAATATAATATATATATAATAATAATATAAAATAAAACAAAAATATACTGGAACTAAATTAAACTTGCATGGTGTTTGATCTTGAAAAGGAAGCATATTTAGTGAAGGGATCTTTTCTTTCTAATTCGTATTCGGGATTCTTAGCAGATTTATGCCATTTTCTATAGTAAACCCTCTTACTCCATTTCCAAGTTTCGCAGCCACACAAATACAATATACTGAAACCAAACGAAATCCCCCATTCATAACCAATGGGCCCATGTAAAAACACCTTCTTGTTAATCACGGGAATGTAAACCACGGGGAACACACTAATGAAGCCACCAATTACCGACCAAAATAAAAACTGGTTGCCCCACAAGTGACCATACCAAGTATTATCCTCGTGGGGACTTTGGAAGAGGGATCTTGTAGGATGCACACATTCCCAAGCCAAGATCAAGCAACACCAAGTCATATTGGCAAATGTCGCAGATCTACCCAGAAAGATCAACTTACAGTTGAAGTTATCATTAGGACTGTTGCAGTTGAAACCTAATTCCCCGTCACCCTTTCCAAAAACGATAATCACAAACCCAACCAAACACACCACAGCCATCATGAAGCCGTAGACAAGCATATCGATGATCAACTCCTTGGTGAAAATGCTGTTGCTTGGAGGACTTTCTAAGATATCGTCACTGGCAGCTTCTTGACCCAACCCCATGGCCGGAAAGCAAGAAGTCACCACTAAAATCCAAAGCACCTCAACAGGTGAAAGTGGAAACACAGAGTAGCCTGTATCGTCTTGAAAGGCCAACCCAATCATCAAATACAACGCCTGAGCAATGTTTTCCGCAAGCAATTGCAAGACAAACTTTTTAATGTTGGCCGACATTCTCCTGCCCTCTTCAATGGCGTTTAAAATGGATGCAAAGTTATCGTCACTCAAAACAATGTCACTGGCTTCCTTCGCCACGTCTGAGCCATTGATACCCATAGAAATACCCACATCAGAACGCTTCAATGATGGAGAGTCGTTTACACCGTCACCGGTCATGGCCACAAACTTCTTACGACGATGCAAGGCGTCGATCATTCTAGTCTTTGTATGAGGCGCGCACCGAGCGATAACCAACGGTAACACAGGCAATTGATCGACTTCGTCGTCAGACAAAGCATCAAACTCGCTGGCGGTCATGCACATGACCTTCACAACGTCGTCAGAATAATGGTACAAGTTGTAGGGTAAAATACCCACCTCTTGAGCAATAGCCTTGGCCGTGGAAGGATGATCTCCTGTAAGCATACGGACATTGATGCCCGCCTTGTGACAAAGCTTTACGGCACTAAGCGACTCCTGGCGAGGAGGATCATAGATGCCGATTAAACCCAAAAAAGTCAAGTCCGATTCAACATACTCACGGTCAAAAGTTTCAGCAGAACTGCTGTCTGACCACACTTCAGTTGCATCGACTTCAACGTCCTTTTCCTTTGACTTTTCAGTGTGGGACACCTTAGGAGAGTCGACGCCTCTGAAGGTCTTTTTGGCAAACGCCAACACCCGGAGCCCTTGAGACGATAACGAAAGCACATGGTCTTCGATCTCCGACCGGTCTTCGGCTCTCAATAACGTGACACCGTCATTGGTGTACTTACAGGCTTCTATCATTCTCTCGACCGCTCCTTTGGAGAACACCTCGTAGGTGTCACCGCTTTCGTTGGAATCCTTGTAAATCACAGACATCTTCTTCACACTGGAATCGAATGGGAACTCCTGAATGAGCTTCATGTTGGGGAACAACTCGGGCGTGAACTTTAACCGTTCCGTGAACACCTTAATGGCAATCTCCGTGGCATCACCATGGGCTTTCCATTCGCCTTCAACGTTGGCAATCTTAGCGATGTTGCAGAACGTAGCACAAGTCAACCACTGGGTAAATTGATTATTCTTCCCTTCATTAGCTTCAAGCGGTCTGTACAAAGACATTTCTTCTTCGTCCGACTGCTTGATCTCCGTTGGGGTCAACTCTGAGAACTTGATGGTTCCATTATTGGGGTTATAGGGAGAATTGTCGGCCGTATCTTCAGTGGAGTTATCAACCATATAAGTCCCCACAGAAGGTATCCAACACTTTTTGGCAACCATTTTACCCATGGTCAAGGTACCGGTTTTGTCTGAGCAAATGTCGTCCACTCCTCCAAGGGACTCCAATGAGTCCAACTTACGGACAATAACATTCCTAGTAACCATGACCTGGGCTCCAACAGCCATAGTAATGGTGAGAACCACAATCAAAGCAGAGGGAATCATAGATAAGGCAACACAGATAGCGTAAATGGCAACTTCCTTGTTAACCTTCATCTTTTGAGACGCCATAACGATAATAGCAAACAATACAGCCACCCAGAACAAAAAGATCGCCAACCAAGACAACTTTCTCTGCAATGGGGTCCCGTTGGTGACTCCCAAAATGCTACCAATGATCGACTTGACGGTAGGCTTCTCCTTCTTGTGTAGCGACCTTGCAATCTCACCAATCTGAGTGTTCAACCCGGTTGCAACCACTACACCCACACCTCTTCCCTTAGTGATCATGGAAGAACTGTAGCACATGTTAATTCTGTCACCCACAGGAACTTCCGAGGTGAATGTCTCGTTTGGGTCCTTTACAATTGGAAGAGACTCACCTGTTAACAAGGCTTCGTCTGCTTCCAAGTTCATGGCCGAGATCAACCGGATATCAGCAGGGACCGTGTCACCTACTTTAATAGTAACAATGTCCCCAGGAACAACTTCCACTGATGGGATAACCACATCGTCTCCGTTACGGAGAACTCTAGCAGTTGGTGAGGACAATGACTTCAAGGACCCCATGGTCATTTCCGCCTTATATTCTTGGACGAACCCCACCACGATGTTGATGCCTACCACAGCAGCAATCACACCACCGGAGATCCAGTCTTTAATTGCAAGACAGATCACCATGGAGATGATAAGCACCAAGATCATGGCGTTGAAGATCTGGTGCAAGAAAATAGCGGTGATGGAGATTTTGGTCTCATCACCCAAGCTGTTAGAGCCATATTTGGCTAAAAATTCATTGGCTTTATTTGTAGTTAAACCATTTGCAAAATCGGTGTCTAATTTAGATTCGAGGTTCTCGAGATTTACTTGATAATCCTGGAGTTCGTCTGACATGGCAAGCACAGAAGAAGAGTAATCATAGACGTAGCGTTTTTAAATGAAGTATACAATTATTATTACTTCCTCTCTTATAGATTTTAAGTTAATATTGTTTTCTACAATTATGCTCTGCTTGTTTGAAGGTAGGGAAAGTCCAACATTATTTATACAAGTTGGTGATGACGCCTAGACCTTGAGATAAGGTAGAATAATAAACTGCAGAAGATAGCTTGGCATGAGAAACAAATTGGCATCCTTGGCAGGTGCATACTAATTATACAATAGAGAACCTTTAAGGGTGGTTCTATCTATTAATAAATAAAACTATAAGCTAGGCTAACCCGTACTAACCCTCGGATAAAACCTCGAAAGACTCTATTCTTCGTACATCCTTCAGAATACTGTATGCGGCGCCCCTCGGATATGCGGGGCAGAACACAACCAAGCCTAACCTTGGCATAAATCATCATCATTTTTCACGATTGATTGTGACATGGTTTGAAGAATTCTTGGGACTTCTGAGTTCCATCTGCCACCTGTGCTGTGGTATATTTTACATAGGGCAAAGTTGAATTTCCATTAAGCAATAGCGATGAGCGTCCCCCCCAGTATGTTAAGTTATCGCATGTAGTGGCATTATCGTGAAAGTTTTCTACTTTTTCACTATCAGTTTACGACTGGCATTTATTGTACTGCTTGACCATTCATTCCCACTTTGGCCTGCTGCCCTTTGTGTAGTTCCTTTATCAAAAGGAGATTGACATAAGGCTGCAAGTGTCAGACATACAAGAAATTTGGGGTTGAGGCGGAAAAACACTGGAGATACCGAGCGGAGTTAATTGGGGTTCTAATTATAAAGTCCGCTCATCACAGCGAAGTCCGCTTATGACAGTGAAGTCCGCTATAACTTTATGGACATGAACGTCTGATGCTTATGTTCAATTGTTTGGGCTGTACGTCAATAAACGGCCCTACTTCATAAAATATGATCTATCTCATTGTTAGGTGTACCGATGTGCTTGTAGTACCTCCGAAATAGATAATTTGCTTGCTTCCAAGAAACATAATTGCCATGGCTCAGACACCCTATTTCTTGAATGGAACCCTCGGAATTCACCCATTCAAATTGTTCAGTCGAATTGTGATACAACTGATAAACGATGTGCTTTTTCAGGTGTCCGGGGGTCTTCGATTCGCGAAATCAATGTCTAAAATTTTCAAGTCCACCATCACCACTACCAAGCTACTAACCAGCCCAACCAGCTTTTAACCCTTGACTATGGAGTTCACAGACATCGTAAACCTTCTTGATGGCCGAGAGTTCCGGGAAGCCGACAGTCAGATCAAAAGGGGACGGCTTAAGTACCCTAACAACTCGGCGTATCTCTGTTTACTGATATACTCAGCATACAAACAGGGCTCCAAAGTTAAAGCTATAGCAAGTGCCAAAGACTTTGTAAACAAGCACGCACTCAACGATGCCAACTCTGTTCTCCTTCTCTATAGACTCTTCAGCCAAGAGGGGTTGACCAAAGAAGCGCAACAGACGTACGAAACGGCATTGAGGAAGTTCCCCATACTTGGACCCAAGTTGCTTCCTGCCCTCATCGAGCAAATGGTAGATGGAGTAACCCCTATAAACATCAAGCAGATGGAGAAGTTGCTCATGCAATTGCAGAAGGTTTCTGGTGAGACTAAGGATGTCTATAATGCTGCGTTTGCCTGTTCTCTTATGCCAACTGATACACTCTTGAACCAATTGGGTGTGAAGTTGGTAGAAAAGGTGGCAGTAGAGAATACTCAACAACTCTATGTGGTGACAAAGCTCAATTCCAACTTGAGACAATGGGACGCTGTGATCGATGCCACTGAGACGTTTAAGAAGAAGTCCGCAGAAATTGCATTGGACTTGGAAATTGAAACTCTCTATGTTGAAGCATTGATCCAATCACAGAACTGGACCAAGTTGCGTATCCACACGTTACCCAAGTTGACTACGTTCAATGACTATTCCACGATCTTGAACTTCATTCTTGCCCTGAGACAATTGGCCGAGTCTTTCAATGCCACAAAGGAACTCCTAGACACTATACCGTTCAAGAGAAACCGTCTATTATCGTATTTGGAGTTGGCTGTACAATATAACATGCCTCACGAGGTTTACTTGCAACAATACTACGATGCCCTCAAAACCAAGTTGTGTTGTTTCTACGATATTCGTCATTATCCTAAGTTAAATGCTTTGAAATTGGAAGAAGGATCCAATGATTCCCATGTGGAGATTAATAACCAGAAGTTCAAGCTTATTCTTCTGGGGGAGGATTATTCAGTAATTATCAAGGAAAATGAAGCCATTTATGAAACGGCCTGTGCAAAAAAAAAGTCCTTGGAAAGATACGAATTACTTCCTGAAAATGAGCTTATACTAATGAACTTACTACTTGATGATAATGTTAATGCCTTTGAAAAGACTGATAGGTTACATTCAGTGCTTTCTCGTAATCCAGATGATCCTAGAGTCCGGATGTGGATGATGCACTCATTAGCCCAATATGGCCATTTCACTCAAACAATACTCGGACACTTTGAAGATTTAAAAATTAAAATGATCCAAATCGATACGTTGGGTTACTACATCAGCAATTTAGTCCCGCTGAAGGAAAATGCCATGGTGCTATTCAATTTATATCGTTACTACTTGACAGTTCCGTCTGAGAATGTTTCTATGGTGTTACAAGGCATGGAGAACCAAGTGTACACCAAACTAGAAGGGTTTTTCAACTTCTACAATAGAAGCTTGAACTCTGTTGGAGAGTTGCAATTGGCATTAACCATTGCAAAGATGACCACTGTCTTGGGATTATCCGACTATTCCTCCTTCTTTGTTGACCGTATTAAAACCAGGTTTCAATTGGATCTGTTGAACGATAATCGTGACTTCAAGACGTTGTGGAAATTTGGAATCAACACCAAGGAAGCAGAAGCTTATGCCAACAGCCTTCTGCTGTTGTTGACGTTAAAACTCGAATACTACAAGACCCTCTTATTAAACGAAGGGAACCCAAGCAACGCACATTCTCATATCAAGAACCTCAACAAGTTGTTGAGTGGGGAAGATACCAAATCACTAAACAAGTTCGAAACTTGGTTATACCGAATCTACTTCAACTTGTTCAAATGTCTATTCAAATATAACCAGAAAGAAATGGTTACCAACATGAACTACTTGACCAAGAACCTCAAGTTCACCAAGGTCATGCCGATAATAGGAGAATTTTCAGTGCTTTCTTCAGCATATACCCTGCTGATTGTATCTTTGGTTGAACTAGTACACAACTTGACAGGCTTGACAGATTTCAAGCACCTCAGAGACCAACTCTGCACAGATATAAAGAAGGTTAACATCAGGTCATTGGTAGAAGCAGAGCTTGAGAAAACAGGAGCATCTAAATTTGGATTCACCAAGCACTTAGATAACTACGACATTCTTATTTCGTCATTGAAATAGATGCAACATAACTTAATACCTATGGTGTGCTACTTCTTTGCTAAGTTCATACTCTGTGCAATCTGCTCTATTTGCTTGGTTCCCTGACTCAACATATACTGTCTCTGGCTCTTATCCGGGATTGGTTCTTTGACCCACTCGTGCTTCAAGAACGTCAAGAGATCGTCTTTCTGTGGGGATGCATATATTTGTCTGAGGGCGTCGCGATATACTTTCTTTACTCGCAGCCGAAACAAGAACTCCTCAAGAGGAAGTGCATCCTTTAGGCTTTTGGAGCTGAAGGACCGTACTAACATTTGCACCGTGCCAAAAGAAGCGTAGTAGTACCAAATTTTTCAACTCAAAGATATACAGTCGCTAAATTTGCCAAGGTAGTTCTCGAACCAAAATTTTCGAAGAGTACACTTCAATCCATTCCTATTATAGTCATATAATTACGATTATGATTATGATTATTACCTTAAAAAGCTTTCCTCTGATCATTAAGTAATGGACTGAAATTGAAGGCATATAGAAATATTAGAACGCTTATCATATTAAAGTGTAGTCAATTTTAATGCGTTCAAGCATTATAACTTTGTAAATGTTGAAAGTAGTTTGTGTAAGAATATTCCGTTGACCTACCTTGACCTAAGTAATAATGAATTTCATAAGGTAGGCCTATTGGCATTATGATGCCAGCAACAGTTACAATAAGTGAATTTTCTGCTACTTCCAACGTAAAAGAGTTTCCATAATGACTTGTTCCTCAAATGTTAAAGCGTAGACAACTATAGCATGTACTTTCATTTGAAAGACGAATCTAGTTAACATTGAAAATAATGTTCGTCATAGACAGCCACCAACCGTACGAGTAATCATAAAGGAAGCGGATTTAATATTTATGAATTGAACTATGAGTTGCAGCTATTCTTGTGCCTATCAAACGGAGCGATTTGAACTTTGCGCGTTCAAACCAAACACAAGTAAAGAAGACACTTACTATGATAATTGTATTCTAGGTGTAAACAAGTAGCCGTTCAAGAACAAAAAGCCTCTCCATATGCATTGATGGTATCTTAAATCGTATTTGCCATTAAGAATGAAAATGCCTTAAATCGGATAGAATCAGCTGAACTTCGTTATGCAACCTTTATTATGGACTTCCTGGCCCATAATAAAGGTATTTGTCTATCATAATACGATCCTCACGAGGACTATCCAACATTCCTGAATGATGTGTCTCATTGCCAAATTTGGATCTCAAAATCGAAAGATGGCTAGCAAGAAATCAGCTTCAGTTTTGAATGAAGCCAATAAGAAGTGGAGTTCGCGAGTGCACTTCAATAGACTCGATTCAACTCGTGCTTCAATATGTAGGGACCTTGGGACATATGGAGGGGTAAATGCCGGTTAAGGGAACCTTACCCTGTTCCCCGTATTGTACGGTGTCACCGAAACCCCTCAAAAATGGCAAGAAACAGATACCCAAAAAAACGAGCACTCTGCTGTTCCATTGGCCCTTCAAGGATCAATTAATTTGATGATGTCAATATAGCTCTATTGTTGCGATTAGATTCAAATATCGTCTTATCCTGATACAAAAGTTTAACTTGTGTTAGTATTGTGTTTGCTTATTAGATACTCACGGGTTTTCACTTCCGGAAACGCTGCTGCTAAGGGTAGCAAGAATCGATTAGACCAGATCCACCTATTAAATGGCTCCTTACATACTACCATAGCACAAAGGAAAATAGTGCGGGGCTACTAAGTCTTGTTTTGTCTTCAGACGGAAATATCACTAGATCACCGATGTACAGGTCAGTGTTGCCCTTTCAAGATATGCACTGGTTAGTCTGCTGAACTTTGTCAAGATTTACTAAGAGTTAAATGGGTGCAAAAACACTACAGTCATTTTCTTTATATTACCATGCGCATTTCAATATAGTGGGCTCCTGACGCATACTTCGTATCTGTACAACCATCATTGCAGACCGAATCACGAGTAATAGAGCCTTGATCTCGTTGACTAAGTGCGAAAATGCCTCTGAAACATAAGAAACCTCAAACAGAAGCAAATTGAGGGGTGGGTAATTTCTTCCTTCAATTGTTTAACACTCATGTCACGTATGACGGCAACAATAAGGAATACATAAGAATAATCCTGGTGGTTTTGATGGTATCCAATTTTGCGTCTCTGCGTGCAGAACAATAACCTCTAGTTATGATTGGTGATAGTCCACGTTTGTATATCAAGAAGCTTAGAACATTCAAAGACAATCAATCTGGGGTAGTTCGGGTGGATCTCCAAATTAGGCATGAACGCGCAAAAAACTGTATGTACCCCAGATTTTAGGTATGACTTCCCAAATAAGTCAAGCTCAGGTTTGTGTCTGTAGCGTGCTCTTCTGTGGAAGGTTGCGATATTCAATATCATCAAGTTCACTTGCAATGCATAGGCGGGGAAAGCTGGCTTTGACAGGGCTTTACATTAATTGATGTCGTATTTTTGGGAACATGGTTAGACAGAATGACCAACCAACTATTTTTTGTCTGATTTGGTTGTTTTTGTCCTGTTTCAGGTTCATCAAACGTATACCGAGTTAACCGAGCCACAACGGTTCGGGCACATGGTGGAGTAAGTTCCTTGGAGTGACATGGGGTATTAACCTTGGGTGGAGGGGGAGAACATACGACATGAGGTTTGCAACCTTGTAGTTATGTCTAACGAAAATATGACTATTACATGATAAATATCCCGTCTATACAATGAACAAGCTTCATGGTAACTGACGGCTGCAAGAAGTTATTTACTGCGAAGACTTCTAATTATGCATGGTTTAGAATGTCTCTAACGATAGCTTATTAACAAAATTTGCTTATCAACTGACATTTTCCAAGTTTTAAGGACGTACTTCGACATCGCCGGGCCCGCTGGAGGGTATTGTTAAGTTAACTAGTTCCAACTTTAAAGGGTATAATATAATTATATCTTAACATTAAGAGATGCTTGAATTCATAGAATTATCTTAATTTCGTGAGCATAGAATAACATTTATTGAGGCGCAACTGACCGCACTGGAGGTAGTGATATGACCCAACTTGAACTTGATATCCATAATACTTAGAATCTTAAGAAAATACATGTCAATAGTACCTTGAAGCTAAAGAATAGTGCTGCAATCTGAAAGCAGACCAATAGATTTGGAAGGAAAGACGCGGAGTTACATTCCATGAACTACGATATGAGTACTTAGCTTTTATTCCGTTGCAACGAGTTACTTGAGATGGGTTAATTACGACGTGCGTCAGTAATGATTTTATCATCTATGGGGGTTTTTTCTTATTCATAATCTCGATTGTACGAAAGGATAACGAGGTTGTTTCCTATGGTAAGTTGGTATTTTTTGATTTAGAAATATCTTCTATTTTACCTTTCGTTGTTAGTGCTTATTCTAACGGTATCTACGGTTTAAAAATAAACCATTATTAAATATAATTTCTTTATCTCTGAATAAATTAACCTTACGGGGAAATATATTAAAATATATAGAATATTTTGAAAATATTTTAATAAGTAAGCAAATTATTTCAAATGAAGGGTTTAAAGCTGAATATAAATAAGCTCAGAATAATGAAGCAAATATTAATATTTCACTTAATACAAATAATAAGAAACCTTGCATTAAACCTTTGTTAACAGCTAATATATATTTTTAAAAATATTTCTACTTTCATCTAAATTATTAGGTTGGCGTTTAGCCTCTGAGAATTCTTTAATGTTTTCTGCGGATTGTATATTCGTTTGTTTATATATTTTTAACAAATCTAATTTAGTATTATTTTGCTTTCAATGAAATCCAAGCATCGATATACTTTCTCCATATGCTTTTCAAAGGAAACTTGTTTTCTCTGGGTATTGGCCATTATACAGTTACGACCCACTTACGTTCAAGTTTCGATGGAGAAAATAAGCTGATTTCAAGAAAACCTGAAGCTGACAGCATTAGCTGTGTTAAGACGAATCTATTCATAAATTATTATAAAACATTTGAGGATCTGATGCAGTTTTCCCGTTTATAAATCTAAGGCTGATTACCTTTACTACTTGGACAACCGTCATAATTCAAAACCTAGGACGTTATATAAAATCCGACTGTTTAGAACGGATGCATTCTTTTAAACACTTTAAGCTCTGATGATTTTGAATCGCATAGACGATGGCTCATTCAAATTTTGTTCTATTAACTTTCGTTGTTAAGATAGTCTATTTTGGTTTCAATGGGTAACGGGGAAAAAGGGCTTGATCCGGATAAAGAGCTTGGCAATGAAAAAGTTGAAGTAATAGGTAAGAGACAAGCGTTAACCAGATATTTAATGTCTACCATGCCTAAAGGGTACTGTGCTAGCTACGGATGATATATCTATGGAAATCTTGTCTAATGTTTTGCTTGTGAGGTCTACGCTTAGTCAAGAGAATTCTCAAATAACACTTAGTATGTTTTCATATCAGCAGATTAGTCAATAATAGTATGGCAGTCGCTTACAATTAAGATTCTTTCGATTCATTTAATGTAGTAAAAAAATCTGTTAATATTAGGAGTACTGGTACATTAAGAGTATTGGTACACTAAGAATATTGGTACAACAGCAAGACAATGGATATAATAATATGACTACTGGTATTCTCTTCTAAAGAACTTATTAGCACATATTGTCATTCCTAAAACACCAAATAAACTTCGTTAAGAAGAAAATCTTTACATTTCCCGACAAAGTAGTATACTATTTACATTATTCCATTAACCTTACCAATTTTATTAACGAATAGTAACATCACCAAATATTGAAGTACCTTAGTATAAGTTAAGGTATACCAGTAGGGACAAGTAGATAGCAGTAGGTGGTATAGCCTAATTCCATTTAAAATAACGTCTGTCGGCGGAAAATCTTGATCATCAGACAAAAATCTAAATGGGTACAATTATACCTGAGCCCCGCTATTAAGCGTTCTCCATTCACGTACTACAGGCCTTAGAAATCCCAATAGAGCACTCTTACCTATTGTCAGGTTATGCGGACGGTCACTGATTCCTAATTAGGAATCGTAAATCGCACAGCAAAATCGGTAAATAGACTACTATAGGCGTTCTGCATGACGATTTCTGTCAATAATAGGAATAGGCTAATCATATTCCGAAACAACAGCTTTATGACCTTGACTATCTTTTAGTTAAGAAATAATAAAATTCTTGAACAACAAATCATATCAAACTTGCGTTTGATCAACCGAAATTTGCCTCAAAGGATGACAGGCGCTCCATTAGACATCTCGAACATACAGTTTTGAGTTTCAACAAACAAGAGGAGGCTTAACGGAAAAAACTCTGTTGTGTGGAAAAATCACAAACCTTTACGCAGATTCTATCTTGTGGGGTGCGTTTTAATTCTTTTTCTTTTTTGTTTAATTATTTTAATTTTGTTTAGACTAGGATAATTTGACGGGGAGTCCTCCAAAATTTAGTACCGACTTGCAGTTAGAGTTCCAGGAGAGGAAACCTCGTTCTAAGTGGTGGATGCAAATCATGCATTTTAGTGTCCCTTTAACACTGTGACTTCTTTTAGATTGTATCAATTGCACGCATTGTTTACTTGTAGGAACTGGATTTGTCCGGTTTAAATTAGTGGGGCTTTACTCCATACTTCACATCAGAAGTAAGGCTGTAGGAGCAAATCAGGAAAGTATATAATATGAGTAAATCTCTTGAGATTGAAAGATTTCATTTTTAAAATTACTTAACTAATCAAATCTAATTACATTTACATAACCACCATAAAAGTTTACAGATTAGTTAATCCGTGTCTAAATGTCTCTGCTTAAAGAACTCGGAAAATCCGAGGTGGAACATCTTGAGGTTGCTGAAGAAAATCAAAGAGTCGATAATTTGGCTGCTTCCATGCGTGAAGGTAATGGAACAGGTAAACGTTGGTGGAATGTTCCTTACCTTTGTTTCTTAAACTGGCAAATTTTTGTCATCACCTTGGCTTCCACCAATAACGGTTACGATTCTTCCATGTTGAACGGTTTGCAATCTTTGCCTGAATGGCACACCAAAATGGGTAACCCAACCGGTTCAATTTTGGGTGCCTTAAGTAACGGTACTATTTTTGGTGCCCTTATTGCTGTCATTTATATTCCTTGGATGGCTGATAAATTTGGTAGAAAATTCACCATTATTTTCAGTCAATCTTTCGCTGTTATCGGCGCTATCTTACAAGGTGTTTCTACTAACTACGGTTTCTTCCTCGCTTCTCGTATTATTATTGGATTAGGATCAGGTGCCGGTGCTGTATGTGCTACATTGATTGCTGAATTGGCTTACCCAACCCACAGAGAAGTCGCTACTACGTTCTACAATGTTTGTTGGTATTTGGGTGCTATCATTGCTGCTTGGGTTACTTATGGTACCAGACACTTGCACGACGGTGGCCACTCATGGAGAATTCCATCTTATATGCAAGGTTTGATCCCACTCATCCAAGCAGTCTTGATGATATGGGCTCCAGAATCTCCAAGATACTACGTTGCCAAAGATCAAGTCGAAAAGGCCAGAGCAGTGTTGACGAAGTACCACATTGGTGGCTCTACTGATCCTAAAGACGTTGCCTTTGTTGAGTTCGAATTGAATGAATTTGCTGCCCAAATCAAGGACGATGCTGCCCACACCCAAAACTCTTCCTATATGGACTTTGTTACCGACGGCAGATTTAGAAAGAGATTGGGGTTGATTGCTTCTATCTGTGTCTTTACTCAGTTCTCCGGTAACGGTTTAGTTTCTTACTACTTGTCCAAGGTTTTGAATTCCATTGGTATCACTTCCACAACTAGGCAGTTGCAAATCAATGGTTGTTTGATGATTTACAACTTTGTTATCTCCGCTTTTGTTGCATCTGTGGTCAACCGTTTCAAGAGAAGACATATGTTTTTGACCAGTGTTGGATTAATGATGCTTTTCTACATTATCTGGACCATTTTGTCTGCTTTGAACCAAAAGAACGATTTCAAGGACAAGGGTTTGGCTAATGGTGTTTTGGCTATGATCTTCTTATATTATTGTGCCTACGACATTGGTGCCAATGGTGTGCCATATTTGTACGTTACCGAAATCTTGCCTTACTCTCACAGAGTTAAGGGTTTGAACATTATGACATTCCTTACAATGGTTATCTTGATCTTCAACGGTTTTGTTAACCCAGTTGCTATGGATGCCATTGACTGGAAGTACTACATTGTTTTCTGTTGTGTTAACGCGGTTATGCTTGCTGTTGTCTGGTTCTTCTTTGTGGAAACTTCTGGTTACACTTTGGAAGAAGTCGAGCAAGTTTTTGATGCCAGTGCCAGAGAAAAGTATGCTCACAATGTTGTCTTGGCTCACGACACTGACAGCTTTTCTGGTAAGGGTAGTGTTTAAAAAAAGTGTCCGTCTGCTTTAAGCAAAAAGGGTTAGAACTCTTCTGGTAACGTTCTAACCTTTTTTAGACTTCCCAATGCATTTTTATGCCTACTAATTTGTATAATGATTTTATGTATATGCTATAATTTCTTTAAATGTTTCATTTTTCAATGTAGTATGTATATGTCGCGATCGCTAATCTATGCATCAAAGTGGTATTTTTCCGAACTTATGTACATACATGCTGCAATGTTACATCAATCACAATGAATTAACAAGAAGAGATAAATTTGTTTATCATGTCTCAGCATTTGACACAAGTCCATGTGTATAAATAGCAATAGTTTACCCGTTATAACTAAATTTGTGAAAAATCTCTATCTACATTCATAAGGAGAAACTTTCTTATAGTATGACTTTGAAGCAAATTGTTATAAATAATAACCTTCTCCTTATTTTATCATGTGCGGGCGATTGTGCAAGCTCCCCGAACATTTCCATGTTGTTCAGTGTCCCCACACACAACTCCAGATTTGCTTGAATATAGTATTCTGAGCCCCAGAACACCAATATTCAGATAAAACACGACTACAGATATGTGTGTAACCGACAAGTGTATACGCATGCAACCCTCATTTATACTGACGCAGAATAGAAACAGCCAATTTTATATTTGATGTCACTGATTCGTATAGGAATGATACGATCTTTTGCCGAAAACCGATATCACCGAGTTGTTACACAAAAGCGCCAATCTCATCTTGGGCTCGGACTTATCGGTCGTCCGAACTACGGTATAGTATATTATTGACTCAGGATACCTTAAAAACCCCTTTAATACCACTTTCTTCTTGTTCCTCTTCAACTCAATAAAGAGACACCTTTAGTTAACAATATTATTATTACCACCATAATGAGCACGAAACTTGCAGAGTCCGAGATCCTCCCCTTAGCCAATGATGTGGGAGCATTAGGTAACAGAATCAACCATAGTACCAGAGCTGCCCACAATAAGATAGACAAAATGATGACGATTAAGTTTGCCATTGCATTAAGAGATCCCAGAATATATAGACAAGGGTTACAGAGTTATTATCATGTGTTTGCCACTATTGAAGAGTGTCTTGCTCGTGAGATTGCCCGGAAGACCAAATGGTCTGATATTTTACAAAAGATATGGAAGCCAGAAATCGCTAGAAAGGAAAGATGTGAAGCAGATTTGCTTTACTTTTATGATGGCCATAAGGAGAAGTTTATTGAGCCCATAATGTCTGAACAGATCAAATTTGTTGACCATATTAGAACTGTGACTGCTGAGAAACCCTACCTTTTATTAGCATACATGCATGTTATGTATTTGGCGTTGTTTGCAGGAGGTAGAGTGTTCCGGAGTTCTATTGTTAAGGCTGCTGGTCTTTTCCCCCGGAAGGATGGCCATTCCCATGATAACTTTTTGGAATTGGGTGGCAATTTGTTTACCTTTGACGTGGAAGATGAGCAGCTCTTAAGATTGATCTATAAGCGGGATTATGAGATCTTGACAAGAAACAATTTGACAGAAGATGAGAAGCTTGAGATCATCAGCGAATCACAGCTTATCTTCCAACGGAATGCTGATTGTATTTCTGAAATCGAAAGACATAACTTGGAAAAGTTTAGAGGGAAAATATCATATCAATTGGCCAACAATAGTAACTATTTATTGATCATCATTGTGGTGTTGATACTTGTGTTTTACGGGAGAAGATACTTTAAGTAGAGTATAGGTATAATATTTTTAGTGTGAGGAATTTGCCCATTAATCGTTCCGAGAATTACGCGGAACCAGTAGTAATTATTGGTCTGGAGTATAAATTAAACTGTCCTTAGCTATATCCTTTTTTACTCATCTCTTTCTGCTTCCAACTTTGCCTTTAAATCAGGATCTAGCTCATTGGTAACTCCGTCTTGATGATCCTTAACCCAGTTATCTATCCATGCTAATATACGATCAACATTCTCATCCATATCTTCCGCACTATTTGATTCTAAGGCAATGACTATCTCTGGTTGGTAACCTTCACGTGCTTCGTTCAAAATGACTTCCATGATCTCACAATCCAAGTTTTCTTGTAGTTTGATCTCATTATATCCTCGTTTACTTAATCTGTCAAAGAGATTACTGTTATCACTTCTCAATACTACAACCAAATCAATCAAACGCTCAGGGAACACATCACAACAATGCCAATCAACAATTCTTCCTCCCTTTTCCAACTCTACTTCAAGCAAATCAAGCAACTTGTCTTCATCGACAACATGTGTGTCCAACACTTGATCGTAGCTTTCAAAACACTTGTTCTCTTTAGCAAAGTCACTAACATTAATATGGGAATAGGAATCGTCGTTGTTTAACCCAGAAATAAGCGCCTCACAATGCGACGTCTTACCACATCCTGGTGTACCAGTAATGATAATATTGGGTCTGTATCTTACTGTCATAGTTACTATGTTTGTATTGCTAAACGACAATACGGTAGCTTGCTCCCTTTAGTTAACTCAAGAGATGAGTATATTGTAGTCGTGTATGAATCAAGATAGTGTAAAACTCAAACAAAACATGTAAATCGATAAATCCAGCTTATCGTAATTAAACTTTTATATGCAGCATATGATAATGAAGATAATCTAAATCTTCCGATCATATTCTTCACCTCCCAAGAACGCCTATTCTCGTTGCCACTCTCCATTAGTAAAGATTTCAATTTTAGCAGGTCTATCACGCCAATTATCTTTGTTTTCTATGATCTTATCCACTATTGTATCCACAATATTGTCGAGATCTTCCGTAACATTTGATTTCAATATTATATTCCTCTTTGCAAATTCTTCATCTTCTTCAGGTAAAATTCTCTTAATCATGGAGTTCAAAGACCCTTTAATTTTATCATTTTCATACGCTCTTTTCTTTCAGAAATAACACTGTCATCAGTTTCTAACACCACAAGTAAATCAATCGACATCATAATAACCGTATCAAAACAAATATCTCAATTGATAATGCTCCCTCCTTGTTCTCATAAATAGAGCGCAATCCTTAGACGTAATTTCTTTTCTTTGAAGACATACGTATTTGACACCGCATCTTGGCTTATAATACAGGCGTTCCTTTTGCAAATTCTAAAACGCTTAAACGTTTATATGACTCCTTATTACCTTAGCACAGATGGCTTTACAATGTCTTGTTTTACCACTTCCTGGCTTTTGTCCTTCATTATTCCGTGTTCTTCTATCTTTGGCTACCTGCATTTTGAATGTATCAATGTCATAATGTTGGTTTTGGTCCCCTCATAAGTTAAAAGTTCAATTGACAAGTGAGTCAGAATTAACAATTGCCATTTTGACTGAATAGATAGACTTCACCGTAATTATTACCACCAGTTAAAGTATTAGCCTTCAATGTAGCAACACCCTGATAGTACGACTTTCGCTTAAGTACACTATCGGATACAAAGAGCTCGTTTACTTAAAGAAACAGTTACAAGAAAATTGGCTGCGAAAAGTTTGGTATATTTAAAGGAAAGTAGTGTGTTTACCGATATGTTCTGAATAATATACTAGTATGATAATAATGCATAGATTCCATTAAATATTATAAACCAAACGACGTATATTACTAAAGATCATCATTTGGTTGCCAAATATGCACTAGTTTAGACACGATTAAACCAGTTTATAAAAAAAAAATCTCATCACTTTCAACAACACAGTTCAATATGCGAAAAGTCTTATTCCAGTCCTGGAACCAAGTTGAGATCATTTTAACATTCTTCTTAGTATCTTTAACTGCCTCAGATTTTGCCGCCATTATCAAGTGTTTGCAACTAGTTTCATTGTCTTCTTCTTCCTCACCCGGCATCTTTGCGAGAACTACAGTCAATTCAAATAGATTGAGAGACTCTATCACTTTCACAATCCCATTGAACAATTCTTTCGCTCTTATTAAGTTCAACATCATGTAAATCTATTACCTCATCTTTGTCAAAATCTCCTTCCTTATTGAAACACTTGTTCTCTATAGCAATATCTTTAGGACTGATGCAGTTAAAGGTCGCCTCTTCATTTATCTTAAGAATATTTCACTTCTTGCCGCATCTTGGATACTCGCCAGCAAGAATAATATTGGCACGAGTTATTACTGTTTATGACATGATTGCTGATAGTAAGAGTCTTGTTCTCATACAAATTACTGAAAGAAATGAATGTGGGGGCATTCAGTCTTATGTCTATTTTAAACTGAGTAGAATACTGCAAGACACATTGCCACCAAATAAGAATAATAATAGCCTAATTGAGTAGAATTGTTTACGCCACCACATGCAGACCCATTCATGTTCTATTGAGTCCAGTGGAAGAGAAGAAGAAGAAGTCATTAATACAGTTCAGTCAATCCAGTCAAGTTAAGTTAAAGTTGAGTCAATTAGCATCACGATTCGTGTATGTACCAAATGAATACTCATTTATGTCGGTAGTGTGACTACCATATAACAACACTTTAATGTTGAAATAAGAACAAGCCAACATATGATGACAACCTTCAGATACACATACATATATATATAGAATGGGTATGTGACAGGTCATTTTTATTATTTGAGGTACCAAATATGACACGTAAATACTAACTATAATTCTCTACAGTTCAAGCACCACCAGGTTTGGCACCAACAGTTGATTCCATCAATCGAATAAATCATGGTGATGAGAATGAGAATGAGAATGATCAATTAGAAGGATTCGGTCTAAAGGGACTCACTGGTTTAGTTCGTATGGAACAAACAGACGCCACCACATTTGCCATTGGCCAAGATTTGTCCAAATTTGGACTCGATATCACAGGAGAAACAGAGATCCTCAAGAACTTACTGAGTCCATGGTCAGAAACAAGTAGAAGTGAAGTGGAACCATATTTCAGCATTCCTAAACTGATTCAAAACATTAATCCTCCTCCAGGACCTTGTGATAACCGAATCCAACAATTTGCAGATGAAACATTGTTCTATATTTTTTATACCAAACCTCGAGATGCCTTACAAGAATATGCTGCACGTGAGTTAGTGGCCAGGAACTGGAGATATCACAAGGACATCCAAGTATGGTTAACAAAGGATAGTAATGTGGAACCCACTCTTATAGGACCTGATGTGGAAAGAGGTGTATATATCTTTTTTGATCCACACAATTGGGAGAAAATCCGTAAAGAGTTTGTTCTTCACTATTCACTGGTTCAGGCATAAGTTAATACAATAATGTAAAGGTGTTTATTTGCTCTCCTTTTCGAACGTAACCTTATCAACTTTTATCCCCTCGTTCAAATACGTATAGATGTAAAGGGTACAAGTGATACCTTGGATATCAAGCAAACAGAAGGATGGGATCGAAGACTTCATTTCAATCAATTTATTCATATCAGATTCTGTTAATTCAACTCCTTCTTCATTGAGATCAGAAGACGTTTCATCGTCTTCAGGCTCTTCTTCTGTTTGTTCTGCTTGTTCAACTTCCTTTGGTCCTGTTTGTTCAGTTTGTTCAGTTTGTTCAGTTTGTTCAGTTTCTTCTTCTTCTTTCGACTTCGTGGATGTTTTGTCTTGCTCTTCTTCAACTTTGTTATCTACAGCTTCTTCCTGATCCTTTTCCTCCGCTTCCTCATCCTCCTCCTCTTCTTCTTCTTCTTCTTCTTCTTCATCGGGCCAGTCAAACCCATAAGCTCCAGTGGCACTACCAGGATTCACAAAAAACCGTCCATCCAAAGTATATGCCTCCACCTTATGAGTACCTCCCCAAATGACAATATCAACGTCGGCCTCACGAGCAAAGGCCGATAAACTCAAGGGATCATTCCGTGGCAGAACCTGGTACCCGTTGGTGAACCCAATTCGTAAGCCTTCAACACTTATAGTCGAGTACAAGGGAATGGTGGAACAAGAACTGTTGCCTTTCTTCCCACTGATGTTCTGAAGTTGTTGAGAGATTATATTAGGATCATCAAATTCACCTCGAACAAGATTGAAACTTGGTGATAGGTCATAAAGAAACTTCAATGTCTCGTTGGAATTGATGATATTCCCTAAACAAACCACCTTGCCGATCTTAGAGTGTGCTGGCTGGACACTCTTATTATTGTTACTGGTGGAGGTGCCATAAGAGGGGTTCAATAACTTACGAAATTTGAATGGCAAATCAATAGCCCTATCAGGTATGAAAAAGTCTCCAATTGCAAGAATAAACATGGTGGTTACTTTAATGAAATAAGTAGGTATGTTTCTTACATAAGTTAAATGTAAAAAGTATATAATCACTTTTGGTGTTAAGTTTTCTCACGTGATAATAATCTTTTTGATATTTTATACTCTGCAACTTTTTTAATAACAATTGTCCGATATAGTGTAACGGCTAGCACGGTTCGCTTTCACCGAGCAGACCCGGGTTCGACTCCCGGTATCGGAATTTTTTTCTAGACCATATGAAGAGCTTTTCATGTTGAGGAGAGTATGTCCTATTATGATCAATGTTTTATGCTACTTTTTTAATATTAATAACTAAATGCTATACTAAAATGGAGTGTCATCGTCTTCTTCTTCCTCCAAATCAATCTTACCCTTTCCTGCTAATCTGGCAGCAGCCATTTGTTGAGTATCCACCTGTTTCTTAACCTTTCTTGTCATCTTTTCAATGGCAGCCTCGGCATCTTCAGATTCCTGTTCAGCATATTGCATAACCAATCTTCTTCCTAACAAATGGACACCTTCTAATTGGTTCATGGCATTCTCTGCTTCCTTGGTCAAAGTGTATTCAACGAAAGCAAACCCTCTGGCAGATTTGTCAAACTTCTTAGGAACTCTAACGGACTTGACTTGACCAAAAGATCCAAACAACTCCAAAACGTCCTTTCTGGAGGCTTCGAATGGTAAGTTTTTGATGATAAGCTTGTTGGACTTGGACAGAGTATTATTACTGCTATTATTATTATTCTTTCCGGTGGAACTTCCTTGTCTGTGGGAAAGTTTCAATTGCAATTTGTGACCGTCCAAAGTCTTACCATCCAAAGTTCTAATGGCTACTTCTGCTTGTTCCTTTGTCTTAAATTCAACAAAACCAAAACCCATACTGAGATATGCAGAAGAATTTTTAGGGTCCTTCTTGGTTTTAACAGTAGCAACCACAAACCCAGGTAAACCTTTAAAGAACTCTCCTAATTGTGCAGTTGTGGTGGAGAAGTTCAAGTTCTTAACAAACACTGAAACGGTAGGACCTTCAATAACTTCTGTCTCTTCAACTTCCTTCGAAGAAGAAGTCCCCAATACATCGTCAGCAGTGACAGCAGCCACCACCACTGAATTATCCTTAACTTCAGAATTGACTGCTGAAGATGATTCTGCTTTGGTGGGCTCTCTGATAAAGAGACCCTTGGGACCCTTTTCCAAATAAATTATACCCTTTTTGAATCTTCTGTATGCCAACTTTGTGAATGCAGCTCTGGCACTTGGTGCATCAACAAATTCAACAATGGCAATAGTTCCAGCTGGAGGCATTAAGATTCTCTTAAGAGGGCCATATGTTGAAAATAATTCTCCTAATTCTTCTGCTGTTGTTCCAAAGGGGAAGTTCTTAACCAAAATGATTTTATCATCTCGTTCTTTCTTTTGAAATTGAGTTAAATCAACTCCTCTATCTTCAAAGTACTTTCTAACATCTCCTAAGACATGAGCTTCAGCTAATGCTTGCTTAACAGCAGAACTGGAGCTATGAGGATCTATCAATTGTGCTTTCGTAACTCCTAATTTGGATGCAACAGATTCCATCACGGCATCTTGGTTCATGAATAATGAGTTCCAACTGAATTGACTCTTACCGGCTTCAGCTTTCTTCTTCAATTCTCTTTGCTTCTTTAAGGGCAAATTTTTCAAGTCAAATTCGTCTAATCTATGACTTTTCTTCTTTTCACCAGGTAAAATGTGAAGAATTCTTCCTTGGAAGATTTGCTTATCCATGGCCCTGTATGCTGAGACTGCTTCATTGGGGTTCTTGAATTGAATGTACACAAACCCTTTAGATTTGTTGGTACGGGTATCAATAGCAATGTGCACTTCTTCCAACTCTCCAAACAACTCAAAAGCTTTTCTAAACTCATCTTCGGAAGCATCATAAAGAATGTTTCTAATGAAGAGTCTTCCGGTTTCAGCAATCTTGCTTGCACTTTCTTGTTCTGGTGTTAATTGGATTCCCTTTACAGGTTGTTGTTGTTGTTCTTCTTCTTCTTCTTCGACATTGTCAATGTCCATACCTTCATTAACTTCATGCCCTTCTGTACTGTGATCGTTTGGCTTATCTGTTTTTTCTTGTTGATTTTCGTTTTCCTTCATCCGAATCCTTTTAGACCTCAACCATTCCATATCAGAAACGTTTTCATCGGCTGCTATTTTAGAGTCCAGGGGTAACTCACTTAAAGATATCATTTTTTCTTCTTCCTCCTCTTCATCTTCTCCTTTCTCGTAATCTTCCTGGTTTTCTTTCACCTTCTTCCCAAAGTCTTCGTATTCGTCGTCACTCTCGTTCTCAGGAACTAGGGCTACGTCATTATCCCTAGACTGCGATACTTCCTTCCTCTTTCCGCTGTGACCTTCATCAAGGGCGTCCTCTAATTCTTTGACTCCTGGAGCTCCAGAGCCATCAGCTAATCCATCATTGGCCCACGACTGAGTTTGAGCACTAGGTTTCATGGCATCCATAAACTCTCTCAATTGTGGATTACTATTTATTTCTTCATCAATTTTGGACTTCTTATTCCTCTGTTGATTGTTTTTCCCCCTTAGCTTCTCCTCCTGTTCCACCAATCTATCCTCCGTTTCTGCCAATCTCTGCGACATCAACCTCTTCTTGTCTCGAACAGATAACGGCACTGTGGGATCAGAGAACGTCTTGGCAACTTCTACTGAGATTTTAGAAGTATCAATAAATGACCCATTAAAAAATCTAACCGCTTTCTCGGCTTCAGCATCCGATTTGTACCCAACAAACGCAAACCTTCGAGACTCTCCATTCCGTTTCTTCATAAGTTTTACATCACTAACGTTTCCCCGTTGAGTGAAATGCTCTTTCAAACGATCTTCGGTCAAATACTGGGGCAACCCCTTGACTATCAAACGCGACATTTGCTGAAATGATATCTTTTCTCCTCCTTGTTGTTATTCACTAAGATGAGCCGGAATTAAGGCAGAGACCCTCACTCCAATCTGCTCCACCTCATCTCAAGTTTTTCCTTTTCATAAGTGACACAAAAGGAGTTGGATTGCAACCGACACAAAACCCAGTTCTCGATCACAAATACACTCGCACAAAGTTGCAGCCAATATCATTATCATCGGTTAACTCATATCAATATGGATGATAGCCGCCACCGTCTAACACCAAACATACACACACCTCCAATGGAACTATTAGACCATATTGGTGTAACCACGCCCCATCTGCTCCAATACGGAGACCTCTGGGCCCGCTTCAAAGGGTACTTTGCGCTCTTTATCCTTCTGACATACCTTTGGCAATACCAAAAGTTATCGGCAGTATGTTCCATAGCAGCGTACTTAATACCACAAACCTCTGAAAGCATCAAAAGGTTAATCTCCTATCAATTCTGGAACTTTTGTTTCTATTTGATGTATGTTAATGGAGTTGAGTTCGCGATTAGTGGAGACGAACTTGAAGGTGAATCTTCATTAGTGATTTCCAATCATCAATCCTTAGTGGATTATATTGTAATGACATATTTGGCAAAGGTATCTGTTCAGGATAAAGATTTCAAGTATTCTTCTTCCGATTCACTGCTTTGGACACCCAGGGTTAACTTTTTCACTTGGTTCTCTTTATGGAGAATGCCATCATTAAAGATCCTCTTCAACATGATGCAATGTGATGAAAATTGGGAATTGGAAGATTCCTTGAATAATTCTACTCTATCAAAAGTATTTCAGAAGAAAAGCCTTGAATGGGTGGTCCTATTTCCTGAAATAAATATCTTTACACCATCTAACAAGTTCCTCCAAACAAGACATAGCGAAAAGTATTTCCTTCCAGTGTTTGACAATCTTCTATATCCCAGGTTTTCTGCCCTCTATAATGCTGTACAATATATGCATTCAACTGGCGATTTCAAGCTTACTAAGTTGTACGATATAACCATTAGTTACCAAAAAATACCAAGATCCAAAGACCAATCAATGTTACAAACAGATACACCTGTGACCTTGATAGATATCTTTGCTTCAAGACATAAAATCGTAATAAACATTCATGTCAAAACCAGAATGATCACTAGAATACCTTTAAAACGTAAGAAATTGGAGAAATGGTTAGAAAAAGTATGGCTGGAAAAGGATAAACTATTGCAAAAAATGCAAAACCTGTCCTCAAATGAATCAACTTTTAATCCACTGGCACTAATGTTAGCAACACCAACTCAATTGGCTTCACCAATGGTATCCTTATGCAATGATATTGAAAATTTCATACTGGTTTCAACTCAAGAGAATTGAAGGCCCTTTATTCTCCGTGTATCAGACTAATTGGTAGTCTAAAGATCTTGGATCGTTGGTTCTCATTCCGTTGAACTCGGAAGAAATGATCAGCAAATTGGTCACCATTAATATGACTAAGGAAGTTTTCATCATGTGTAATGACAATTAACTGGAAATTGGACTGGTGTTGTCTAATTTGAATGATTCTATGAAGAGCAATAGCCAATGCTTCGGAATTTTCAGCATCTAAGTTAGTGGTTGGTTCATCTAATGCTATCATCCCACAGTTTGTCCCAAAACATTCAGCTAAAGCCAATCTAATCAAAATTGAGGCTAAAACCTTTTGTCCTGCTGAACATCTCCCACGCATATCCAATTCGACTGAGTTTTTATTCATTACAACTCGATAATTGTATGATCTGTTCCCCTTGTTCTGTAAATTTACGTCACTTTTGATGGCAATGGAATCGATATCAGTTCCTTTGTATGTTTGAGTCCATAACTCTTGAAGAATTTTATTAATGTCCTCCATCTTCATGGAATGATATTTCATGATAGCATTATCCAAAGCCTTGGAATATACTTGAATATCATTGGAAGCAAGCATATTGGTTTGCAACTTAACCCATTCTTCATGGAAGTTCTTATCAACATCTTTATACTCTGTGTCTAATTCCTTTTTCAAATTTGAAACTTGATCTTTCAAAACCTTCACCTCCCCTAATTTCCCAGCATGATCGGAGTGCAATGAAGAGATTTCCTCTCTTAATGCTTTGGAAAGCCTTTGATATCTTTCCTTCTTGTTCTTTGCACTTTCAATATCAATAGACGATAAACGTGTCTTGTTAATTTCAATATCACGTTCGGTCTCCCTATAGTCAATGTTCACAATTATATTATGTTGAACCTTAGAAGATTGGGCAATTTCAGTTTCTAACTTCCTTATTTCGTTATCAAGAATACCAAGTTCTTCTTTACCTTTTGTTTCATCCCTCTCCAACATTACTATTTGGTCTCTATTCTCTTCAAGTTGATTCTTATATTCAGCTTCATACAACTTAACATCGTCATACAAACCAATGAATCGTTTGAGAAGAGATCTTTTGTTCTCTAGAACACTCGACAAGTCATTCTGTTTCAGATTATTTCTTTCAATAACGGCGTTCAACTCCAAAGATTCTTTAGACTTTGTTTCTTCTAACTTGCTGAGACTACTGGATATTTCATCAATTCTTGTTTTCGTTTCCGTTATCTTGGACTCCATTTCCTTAACCGAAGTCTCTAAATTTTTGATGTCCCCAATTTTCTTTTCCAATTCACTAACTTCAAGTTTATTATCTTTCACTTTATTTTCAATCCTCCCAATTTCACGTATAATCCGATACTTAGATTCGGATTTCTCCTCAACCGCCTCACGCAAGTCCTTACTTTCAGAGTGTAAAAGTGTTTGCCGACTTTGTAATTCAGTAATTGATAAGTTGTTTGTTCCATAATCATTCAACTCATCATTAAGCTCTTTGATCTGGGCTTCATTACTTCCTAGTTCACCGTAAAATCTAGTAATGTTCCCAATTACTTCACTAATAGCATCAGTGGACAGTGATATATTCTTTAGCTCATTTAATGACTCAATCTCTTTGTCATAGGCGGCCTTTGTAGTGATCTCCTCGCTCTGAAGCTTTTGCAATTGGTCTTTGCAAAGGTTGACTTCACTCACAAGACCTCTATATTGGAGTACATTATTATTGACAGATTTTACAGACTCCAACTCTTGCTTAGCTTCGTTGAATTGAGTCTTAAGCTTCTCCTTCAAATTGGTGTCTTCAAGTGATTCTTTAAGTGAAGTAATGAACTTCCGTAATCCAAGAGTATCAAAAGGTCTCTGACATAATTGACAATGATTGGACTTCTCGGCAATTTCAATTGCTTTCACTTTGAACTGGATTGATAAATCTGCAGTGTTCATGTTTTCGTAAGTAGTATTATAATCATCCTGCAACTCCTGAATAAGATGTTCATAATCATTAATATCTTCTTCACTCAAGGATGCCTTCATAATAATTTGCTTGTTCTTTTGAATTTGCTTGTTCAACAGTGAGAGCTTTTCCTCTTCAGCAGATTTGAATGTTCGAACATTCTGCCACTCGTTTAGCTTGTTATTTACAACATTCGATTGTGCTTCCAACTTTGAACTGTTTGATTCTTGAATCTTTTGCAATTGAGATTGACATTGCTTATAATCTAAAGGTGTGCCCAAAATGCTTTTGATTTGTTCTTCTTCTTGACGTAATATGGTATCAAGTGCTCGTTGCTTCATCTGATTCTGCTCCTTAAGGTATGCAATACGAGAATGGATACCTGATTGTTTGTTTGTGATGGAGATTTTTTTGTTGAGCTCCTCGATTTCTATTTCCTTTGAAGCCAATATTCCCTTCGAAGATTCAATCTCTTTATCAATTATAGCAATTTCGTTCTTTGACTTTCTTTCATTCAATTGCTTTTCCAATGCTTCAAGTTCAGTTTTCATAAGATCAAGATCTTGAACCTTCGTCTTGAAAAGTCCCAATTGCTTCTTGGATATTGCAATTTTATCAGTAAGAGAAGCCAATTCCAGTTTTGCATATTCCTCATTCTGTTTATCTTTAAGGATACTATCAAGAGTTTTCTGAAGGGATGTTCTCTTCTCCGTTTCTTCCTTCTTGCTTGCGGCCTGGAAGTTACTATGTTCTTTCTCCAACAACGTACATTCTTTTGAAAGCTTTTCCTTTGCTAATTCCAAAGACTCTTCGTTGTGCAAGGTCAAAAGTAATTTTAAATTATTTTCATAATCACTTTCTCTTGCTCTTAATGTCCCATCCAACCGAATTAATTTATTCAAATTCGCCATCAATTGCTCAATTTCGGCCTTTCTTGTCTTGAACTTTTCTTTTAATACTTGTATTTGTGACTTTTTCCCTTCATTCAATTCCTCAAAGTTATTACGTTGGTTAAGCAACTCGTCATCACTCATGTCAGTTAAAAACTCCATTGATTTGGAGATTCTTTCCAACTGTTTTGTTAAAGTTGCTATTGTATGGTTAATTTCATCATATTCTGCCAATGTTTGTTCATAATCCTGAGCTGTGTTGAACAACTTTTCTGCTTCATGTTCTTTTTCCTCTATCTTTAACTTAACTTCCACAATACCTTCCATTAATGCCTCTACATTATCGTTGGTTTGCTCAAGCTTGTATTTAATGCGTTTTGCCCTGTCTGAATCCAATTTCAAGTGGTTTACACCTTGTTCAAGAAGTTTGATGTCTTGAGTCATTTCCTTATTAATCGACTTCAACGAGTCCAAGACTTTAGTGTACTTTGATGCTTCAAAGATCTCGTCAAACCGTTTTTTAAGGACACTGGCCTCGCTCAAGGGCCAGAGACTATCATCTTGGTGGCAGAAGAGCACGTAGTCTAGAATAGCTTTTGAACAGCCCAATGAACGGGGGATCTGTAGGTCCAATTCGGATGATTTGGTCAGAAGGGCCCTTTTATCTTGGTTCTTATCAATAATTGTAAGGTTACCTTCCAAAGTCTTAAACGTGTGGCCAGTAGTTGTCCCTCGTCCACCACGTTTCTTCGTCAATTGCATTGTTCGAGTGGCAATCATAGAGTTACCTTTCATGTTCACATAGGCCAACTTAACCTGGGCACTCACCACACTCCGACCACAGACATCAGGATCCAATATAAATGCAGCTCCCTTGGAATTGGGGGGGAGATCACCGGTTGTAATGTACTTCAAGCACTCAATTATAGTAGTCTTCCCTGAACCATTCTGACCGCAAATCAAAGTAAGAGGTGATCCGAATTGAATAGTTTCCGAGCCATTGGTATCAAAAGATCTAATCCCTTGAATTGAGAGCTTGTATAGACTCGACATTGGTTGTTGTTTATTGAAATAATTCGACTGATATTTTTTGGTGCAACAATTAAAGTAAAAGTGGTGTTAATATCGCCAACATGTTACCCGCAACTTTTACTGAGGCCAGTTGGTGCTTGTTGTAAGCATCGGGGACTATTTTATACCTAATCAATTTATTATGCTACATCTATATACATATATATATATATATATATATATATTATGAAATATATAGTACTATCTATTTCAAATGGGTCTTACTCAATTCTGCAGCAAGATCATCAACGGAGGCATCCTTGCCTTCGTCAACACTTAAACCTGACAATTCCTTTTCTAGTTGGTCCAAGTCCAAGTCTTCCTCTAATGCGTCTTGAGATTCGTCATCATCTTCATCGTCATCCTCATCTTCATCACTGTCAATTTCTTCAAGTTCATCGAGCTCGTCCAATTCACCTTCTCCTCTAGTTTCAAAAGTTTCTTTGATCTGGTCAACAAATTCAGACTCTTCTTCAAAACGGTTACCGTTCAATTCCAATAATGTCAACTTGGGCAATTTGCCCTTAGACAAAGTAGTGGCTATTACCTCCAATGCATCAGCTTCTAATTCGTTGTATTGCAATCTCACACTCTTCAAAAGAGGTAATTCAACTTCAGATAATGCCTTGGAGACAAGTAAAGACCCACGGGGCTTCAACAAGGAGTCATTGAAGTTTATTTCAACCAATTTGGGCCATCTACCTAAATATATGGCGATTTGGTCAGCACCAACGGTGGTAACAGTGTTATCTTGCAAATCTAAGACCTTCAAAGAGGAGTTATGACTCAAACCTTGAGAAACCAACTTGGCAATACCAGCTGGACGGATCCCGTTTTGGTACAAACGGACAATTTCCAAATCCTTATGGTTTCTTAAACCAACAGACAAATGGTTGATAGAACCGTTTTCTAATCTGTTACGACCACATACAAAAGTCTTTAAAGAGGTGGTAATACCGTTGTCAGCCTTAGCTTTAGCAAGCTTGAACAATGAAGTACCTATACGCGCACCTGCAAAGGGGCCCATCCCGTTATTAGACAAAATCAAGTGTTGCAAGGCAACAGCTTCAGCCAAATAAGACTCAACAGGTTCAATGGCCTGTAACCCAATGGCATTATCACTCAAGTTGATCTTAATCAAGTTGGGGAACTTGACCAAAGTAGGTAAAATATATGACAATGATTGAGGGATCTCAGTGTTAAGTCTAGCTGTATACAAATCAGATAAGTCGATTTCAACCAAAGTATCCCTATGAGCTTCAAGGGCTTCACTAAGAAGCTTGGAACATTCAACACCCAATGAGTTACCTGATAAGTCCACCTTCTTCAAGTTTGTTCTCTTCTTCAAGTCGTCTAGCACCGAAGCTATGTCTTCAAGTCCATTGAACTTGTACTGCTTGTGGGCAATAGAAAACGTTTCCTCAGCGGGGATGTTCAACTGAGCGTCGGTGGCAGAAACCATTCTGTAGATCAATTATACGTAGCTAAATGTAAAGGCTTCGGAGGGTACTCATTTGTATGGTGAAGTACTTGTGATGGTTTACATTGTAATGAATGGTTTATGCACGACTAAACTAATTATAACTTCACTACAGACGTTATTATACATTGATTTCGGAGAAACGTTGGATCCTTAAGCCAACTATTAGCGCAAGATAGTCCTATATAGTCTTTGAGATAATTATCTTTGACTTATTTTGTATTAGTTGGTATTAACTTTCAATTATTGGCTGACTACTGCTGCTTACGTAATCACAGGATAGGATCTCAAATTGTCAGCGAAAAATTTTCGGGCTAGTCTTAAAGTTAAAGAAGACTACTACGGTTCCCCTTAAACTTAGTCTATTAACAATGTCAGGTAGAGGTCCAAGTCAGGCTCCTGAAGAGTCCAGTTTCCAAAAGTTCAAGAAGTCTCCAGCTTACATCATTGGCTTGAACGCTGCTTTGTTTGTTGCTGGTGTTGCCTTTATCCAATCGCCATTGATGGACATGATGGTTCCTCAACTATAAGGGAGAAACGTCGATGTATATAGCGGTATAATGGCGATCGATGTCTGTACATAATGAATATATGAGCTTTAGCTGATTGAAATGTGCTTGTACGGTGTAACGGTGTAATCTTGTAGATGGCATGACAACGGTCTATCTACTCAAATTACATTAGAGAATTATGACATCCCGAGAACATGATCTTAGCAGTAGTTATCATGGAGGGTTTATTAAGTCTTCATAGTACTAGTCGTTGTGCTTGAACCTTACTACTTGATATAATACTATTCCAGCATGTAAGATTAAGTCTCAGATAATCGAAAGTGAGAGTAAACGAATGACAGTGATGGGTGAGTGTTGTAGTCACCCATGATTAAAGTACGTACGTCAAACACCAACATTAAAAGTCTAATCCACTATAGTACATTCCACTCCAAACTGTTCATTAGAGTGTTTCTGCACTACTCCATGCTCTTACAAAAAGAATACTCCGAACACGCTACAATCAGGTCATGTGCACTAGTGTACGAGAAGCAAACCGAGGGGTCATCAACGCTACTAATTGCAGTAATAGCAGCTTGTGTGTGCCCCGCTACTCCCTGGTACCGAGCCTCCAGTAATAGCGGGGGGCAAAAAGCTAATGGTAGCACCGTAATTTTAGAGGGGCATATGACTTGGGTCCGGTTCAGTTTCACAACCACTAATTGAAACCGAGTGATGAGCCCAGAATACTTCTGATGATGGGGAGAATGTCACGCCAGACATAACAAACGTATTACTGGTTTTACTGCAGCTGAGTAACCCATACCACCAAATTGTCTACGTAGCGTTTGAACAGTTTGTACCAAATAGAAGATATTACTGCAACTAATGGTACACTACAGCTACACTACGGCCGCTGCTGCTACGCTACTATTACGATTAGGAATGTCTTTGCAATTATACTAATAAAGCTCAATAAGTAGGCGACCTTATGTGAGTGAAAAATTAAATGATATATTTGAAACGACTGTTATTTCCTAAAAGGGTAAGACTATCATATGCTAAATGGAACCAACAGTTTGTCACAAGATACAACGCACAAGAAGTGTCCCTTTAGTAAATGTCGTAGTAACTACTTCCAAGCACCATGATTCATATTCATGAAGACCTTAATCGTTCTTATTTCCGTCTTCATGCCCAGTTGTTATCACAACCTATTTCCAGAGTAGTCAACCATCAGCTGAAGTTCGCGATACGCTTCCTCGGCACAAATCGGTGACACAAAACCCCCACACTTTTATCATACCACAAAGGCTGTCCGCTGGCACTTTTACTCCACACGGAATAATTGTCTATGACCTTTCAGATGCTTGCGTATGCAGCAAATGAAAATATATAAAGGCATTTGGATTCCCACGTTGTAAGAAAATTTGAACACCTCTTTTCAAAGCTATTTTTATTAGTAAGCGTGACACTGGTGTTAGCTACTGAATATTTAAATTTTATCATTGACAAAAGTTATGCTGAAAGAATTTTATACCACTGGTGTGATTTCAGACACCAAGAACATTCCCAACCCTGGTGAATTGTTGCAAGCTGAAAGAAGAAAGCAAACTGTTGACCCTAACAGATTGCACGAGTTTCTTGAAGGTTCCAAGGAAAAATCCGAGTCTTTTAAGAGAATTGTGCAACAAATTGAAAGAGATCCAGTGTTGACTTCTTCTCCAAGAATGTACGATATGTCCAAAGCTGAACAAAGAGATGTCACTGTTGATAAGATCAATCGCTTGTCTAAGTATATCGAAGTTGAATCCTTTTCTGATTTCAACCTTAGATTGAACATTTTGTCTGTCTTCGACCCCCAAGTCATGACCAGAATTGGTGTCAATTTGGGTTTGTTCCTTTCTTGTGTCAGAGGTAGTGGTACTTTCGAACAATTGAAGTTTTGGGCTTTAGATCAAAATTGTGCCTACATTCGTAACATTTACGGTTGTTTTGCCATGACTGAATTGGCCCATGGTTCTAACGTTGCTGGTATTGAAACCACCGCTACTTTTGATAAGGAGAGCGACGAATTTGTTATTAACACTCCTCACATTGGTGCTACAAAGTGGTGGATTGGTGGTGCTGCTCATTCTGCCACCCACTCCTCAGTTTACGCCCGTTTAATTGTTGACGGTAAGGATTACGGTGTCAAGGCCTTTGTGGTCCCATTGAGAGATATTAACCACGAATTAAACCCAGGTATCACTGTTGGTGATATCGGTGCTAAGATGGGTCGTGATGGTATCGATAACGGTTGGATTCAATTTTCTAATGTTAGAATCCCCCGTTTCTTTATGTTACAAAAATGGTGTACGGTCTCTAGAAATGGTACTGTTAAGATGCCACCTTTGGAACAATTGTCCTATTCTGCCTTGTTAGGTGGTAGAGTTATGATGGTCAATGATTCTTACAGAATGACTGCTAGAGTCTCTACCATTGCTTTGAGATATGCCATTGGTAGAAGACAATTCAAGGCTAAGGAAAGCGATGCTTTGGAAACTCAATTGCTTGACTATCCATTGCATCAACGTCGTTTGTTACCATACTTGGCTGCAGCCTACGTTATGGCTGCTGGTTCTTATAGAATTGATCAAATCATTAACGAGACTACTGAAGCCTTGGAGGATGCTGTCGACAATGACGATGCTAAGGAAATTGAAAAGTGTATCGGTCAAATGAAGTCATTGTTCATTGATTCAGGTTCATTGAAGTCTACTTGTACCTGGTTGGCTGCTGAAGCCATTGACCAATGTAGACAAGCATGTGGTGGTCACGGTTACTCTGCTTACTCTGGTTTCGGTAAGGCTTACGCTGATTGGGCTGTTCAATGTACATGGGAAGGTGATAACAACGTGTTGGGTCTTAACATTGGTAAGCCAATTGTCAAGCACTCTTTAGCTGTCTTGAAGGAAGATAAGGTTGTTTATGGTTCCACTTCCTTCTTGACTCACACTAAGCAACATTTGAACGACAAGCCAGCCTTGACAGATGTTAAGGATGCTAGAGACTTGAAGAAGGTTGTGGCTGCTATCGAGCTTGCCATCCTTAGATTGGCTGCTCGTACCGCCAAGATCGTTGAAGGCAACGGCATGGACTATGGTGTTGTTGGTAACGATTTGGTCAACCTTTCCAAGTTGAAGTGTCACCATTTCCTTTTGAAGGAATTTTCTGAAAGATTGAATGAAAACTCATACAAGGAAGTCAACCCTATTTTGGCCACTTTAGGTGCTTTACATGGTGCTACTCAAGTGTTTGACAGATATGCCGGTATCTTTTTGGCTGAAAAGGCTGTTTCCCCAGAATTCATTTCTGGTTTGAATGCTACCATTATTCCTGAATTGTGTGCTGAAATCAGACCTCATGTTGTTGGATTAACCGATGGGTTCCAACAATCTGATGCTATGATCAACTCTGGATTGGGATGTTACGATGGTAACACTTATGAAAACTACTTCCGTATTGTTAAGCAATTGAACCCACCAGAAAACTTCAAGGCTCCTTATTCTGACAAGTTGGAAGCCATGTTGAGAAGACAAACCTTGGAAGTTAGAGACAGAGGTGAAAAGTCTGAAGAAGCTGAAGAGATCTTGTCTGTTAAGGTTGATGATGAAGAGGATTAAGGTGATGTACGAAAAAAGGCTTTTTTATATACTCCATGTTTATATATTATTATTGTTTAAGTCATGAATGAATGGTTAGAATCAGAATTTTGGCAACCGTAGTATGTATAACCGCAGCTACAGTTAGGAAGATATCCGTGGAGCTGAGTGAAGCTCATTGCTAAGGTGTCCTATGTCCGGGTAACGAGAGCCACTTCACATGGAAGTTCCGATGAGGGGTGGGGGTAATCTCGTAACACACTCTGTCGGGCCGTTGGTTTAGTGCTGTACACCTGCTATATGTTGATCCACGGATAGCCTGGCTGGTTCTTGTGTAACATTTCACTAGCTTAAGTCAATTGGTTGAATCATGCAGTAAAGAGAAGATCAATAGCAGCAGATACGATGATTTGGTAATGTCGTGTAGTTCGTCATTTAGTCATGTCGTTCTTCATGAAGTCATGTCGTTCTTCAAGTAGTATAGTGCAGCTTTTACGCTTAACCGGGTTTAATATCGTATCTTATCTTCCCCCCTTCCCCCCCTCCCCACTTATGTAGGCTCTTACGTGGGCTCACTCCATGGCTACATGGCCACAGTGCGCTTACGCTTCTCCACGGATTCGGTAATGACCAATTATTCACCTAGTGGGCTGATCTCTTTCCTAAACCAATTGTCGGTCGTTGTAGTACCAATATTGACTGTTGTTGTCTTATTTTCGGACATGACACTAATCTACATGTGCCAAAGTGAAAAATTTCAGTGAATGCTCGTCACTTACGCCAATACACAACACTTCTGGCACTTTAAAAACTCAAATATATCTCAAACATTGTTAAGTTACTGCCGATCTTATTGCCGAGATTTCAACGGTTAATCTGACTCTTCTAACGTAGCTAATAAGGTAAGTAATTGATCCAAGTGGTACCCTTGATTTAGACCTGCATGTTATCGGAGTCGAAATCCTACCCCACATTTCGGTATCATCTTTTCATATAAATAACTTGAGTCTCCCACTCTGTGCCTCATCTTTCGACGTATCACATCACTATAGCATAACTGAATTGCCGGTCTATTTCAGTTGCTACCAAATTGTATACGATGACTTACACTACAAACTCTGTTGACTCATTAAAGGGACCCAAACCCGCTGAGTCATTGGCTCAGGAAAGAGCCTCGGCTGCATTCGACCCAAGACTTATGAATGTCTTTTTGGAGGGCCTGGTTGCTAAGAGTGAACAAGTGCTTGATTTGTTCCAACAGATGGAAAGAGACGTGGTTCTCCAACCTACGTTCCAGGAGTACGATGAAACTAAACCCGATGCAAGAGCTCGTGTGGCTGCACGAATCAATCGGATGGCTCGCTACGCTGAGTTGGAAGACTATCATCATTTTATGAGACGGTTGAACATTGTGACTGCGTTTGATCCTTCATTGGGGGTTCGTATCTCCGTCAACTTGGGCTTGTTCCTCAGATGTATCAAGGGTAATGGTTCTGCTGCTCAATTCAACTTCTGGAACGACAAACGTCAAAACGGTCTTATCAAACAGATGTACGGGTGTTTTGGTATGACAGAATTGGGTCACGGTTCCAATGTTGCTGGTGTTGAAACCACAGCCACCTTTGACCTTGAAACAGACGAGTTTGTCATTAACACTCCTCACATTGGTGCTACAAAGTGGTGGATCGGTGGTGCTGCCCATTCGGCCACTCACTGTGTTGTCTATGCTCGTTTGATCGTCAAGGGCAAAGATTACGGTGTTAAGACGTTTGTTGTCCCATTGAGGGACACTAACCACGAATTAAACCCCGGTGTTAGTATCGGAGATATTGGTGCTAAGATGGGTCGTGATGGTATCGATAACGGTTGGATTCAATTCTCTAAAGTCCGAATCCCCCGTTTTTTCATGTTGCAGAAATGGTGTAAGGTTTCCAAAGAAGGTGAGGTTACTTTGCCTCCATTGGAGCAAATTTCCTATATCTCCCTTTTGCATGGTAGGGTATTCATGGCTATTGACTCTTACCGTATCATTGCTCGTTTCATCACTGTGGCCTTACGTTATGCCGTTGCCAGAAGACAGTTCAAACCCTCAATCAAGAGACCAAATGAAGAAAACGTTGAGAGCCAATTGATCAACTATCCATTGCATCAACGTCGTTTGTTGCCTTATTTGGCGTTGGCTTATTTAATGGCTGTAGGTAGTAACAGATTGGAAATTGAGCATGATACCTTATTGGATGACATGGATGATGCCTTGGATAAGAATGATAAAGAGGCCATCAACAAGTGTTTGGTACAAACCAAATCTGTTTTCAACGATTCTGGTTCTCTCAAGTCTTCTTGTACCTGGTTGGCAGCTGATTGTTTGCATGAAGCCAGACAAGCCTGTGGTGGTCATGGGTACTCTGGATATGCTGGTTTTGGTAAGATCATTTCTGATTGGTCTGTGCAGATGACTTGGGAAGGTGATAACAATGTTTTGGCCATGAGTTGTGGCCGTACTCTTATTAAGAACGTGGAAGATGTTTTGATCAAGAATAAGAAGGTTGTTGGAACCATGGCATTCTTGAACGTTGGTGCCCAAGCTTTAGGAGAAACTGCTTTGTTAACTTCAGCAGAAGATGCTGCTAACCCCGAGAAGGTGTTGACTGCTTTGGAAGTTTTAATTATTCGTATCTCGTCTTATTGCTTAGACTTATTGAAGCAAAATGGCGGTGACTGGGATGCTATTTCTTACCAGAGAGTATTGTTGTCTAAGCTCAGAACTCACCAATACATGTTGGAGACCTTCCTTGTTGATTTCAAGAAGGCTGATGCTTCATTGAAGCCCTTCTTGACCAACATTGTCAAGTTGTACATTTTGCACTCCATTTTGGAAGCATTTAGTTCTGAATTCATTGGCTATGGAGTTATCAATGGTCCATTGAAGAAGGCCATCACAAACGAGTTGATTCCTGATTACTGTGCTAAAGTTAGAAGTCAAGTTATCACATACACCGATGCCTTCCAAATGCCAGACAGAATTATCAACTCTGCTTTGGGTAACTACGACGGTAATGTGTACGAGAACTTCTTCAACGTTGTAAAGCAACAAAATCCTCCACAAAAGGAGTTGAAGGCTCCTTATAACGATGCATTGCAAGCCATGTTGAAGAGACAAAGTTTGGAAGAGAGGGACAGATTTGAGAAGAATGAAGAAGCCAGATCTATTTTATCAAAGTGAGCACCCATTATATTTACTATTATTATTATTCAAATAGTATAAACTATTATCAGACATTATTAAAGTTAAAGAATGTGGGCACTTTACTGATGTTCTTCAACTTTAGCCTCAGCAGTTTGGCTAACCATTTCTCTGCCTCTCTTGTGGCACTCTGTACAAAGCATAAACGATTTCTATCGGGTAGAGACATAAGCGAGTTGATCATAGACTCCTTATCCATTTCCATACCCACAAAGTGAATGACCATTAGTCTTGAACATAGTTCCAAGTTGACAAAGAAATGCTTGGAGTTCTCGTAACATAAGTATTTCAATTTGGGCGGCATTTTTATGTCCATCATTCTCACCTTCTGCTTACCGGTTACAGTCAAATGTAATCGGAAGAGACCCTTAAGTAGTGGAATCATGCTTGTTATAGTCTTGTAACTAGTGGCATACACTGGCAAAGATAAGCTGTGTAAATTGATAAAAGTGGAGGCATGCACCCCGAAATCCATAGTTCCAACGTTAAGTTCAAGGTTCTCGAGTCGAGGGAAGTTATCCAATATGATTTTAACCTTGTAGTCCAATATAACTATAGACTTCAACTCTCTGCAGTTGGAAATGTCGAAAGTTTTGGAGAAGGTCGGGTTCGTTAGTATTCCAAGCTTCAGAGTGTGGGGGATGGTTTTGCAGTAGAGTTTCTCCAATGACAGTGGTAGTTCAAAGCTCTTATTGAGCTTTATATCTGGCATGATTGCTATTCTTAGTTCTCTTAAGCCGGAGTGTTCAACTAAGGGAAGTAGCTTGACGGGTGTATAAAATCCATTGAAATGAACCGTATTCAATTTCACTGGGAGTCTTAGTTTTGCTAGCTCATCCTGGTCATTCCCTCTATGAGTGAGTCGAAGGGAAACAGTACTTTCAGGTAGAAGCAAACCGACTCCTGATAATGCAAATTCAAATAGTGGGATTGTAAATGACTTGGGAAACCTCCTGGTCCAACTACTTTCCAGTTCATAAAATGATACCGTACAGAAACTGGTTCCATGGGTATTGAACTCATGTACTAGCTGAATCGATTCAACATTTATACAAGCGAATTGCTTTTGTCGTACAGATAATAGTTGGTACTCCTGGGGTAACAGGTAGATCGTACCGTTTGTTGTTATGGCAATCACACTATTCTCAAGCATAGTGAGTTGTTTGACCAGTGAATGTAGACTTCTTAATGGAGTTAGTATGGCTAAGTTTTGGATTTGGTTGGGTAAATGAAGTTCCAACGTTCTTACTTTCTTCAAATGTAGAATGAGACTTGAGAGTTGTCTTGGTAAGGACCATCTGTCCATGTCTTCTGTTTGGTTTATTAAGTTCAACTGTAACTCCTTTAGTTGGTTTGGAAGTATTAAGTTGGTTACAGAAAAGTCATCAACTATGCTTAAATAGTCGAGATGGTTCAAATACCCAAGATCCAACGAAATGTGGTCGACCACAGTTGTTCTGGACTCTGATTCGTTGTTAATTATCTCTAAGCTTCTAGTCATAGGTGGTAACTTTAAATAGAGACAGCTGCGACAGAGAAAGCTTCCAGCTCGAACGTATAAAGACTTCAAGTTGGCCAAACTCTGAATGGAAGCAAGTGGCATTGCCCATAACGTGGTATCCAGTATTGGGAAGTCAATTTTAAGAGTTATAATGTTGCATAAGAATTGAACTGGAGGGAATGTCAGTCTTTGGTGTCTAGGAAGCTTTGGTGTCTGGGTGTATTCATCATTATCATGAATCTTTTGAACGAACTCAAGATGTTTTAGGTGTTTTGCCTTGATTACGAACAGAGGGCTCTTCTTGTAGGACGACGCTGGGGAACCATTGAATTCGGAACTGGACTCTAATTGGGGGGTACAATTTGCAATATTAATCACACTTGCATCCACTTCAAGGCTCTGTATTCCTCGTGGTAAGTTTGAAATTTTGCCTGTTCTTGCTGGAGCTATTGCAAACTTAGAACCTGCTTTTATAGCTGGAAGAAGGTACTGCGGAACTGTTGGGAGGTCTTGGAGGTTTATGCCATCAACTTCAATTGATTGGAGGGCATCTAGTGTTTTGGGTGCCTCATGGTACAATTTCCAGAGCATTTCCACCGAATCAACGCGGAGCTTTTTAGGCTCATAAGCTCTGCTATAGGAACGAATAAAGTTAAGATAGACTGTAGGATGCATTATGTTGGGTGATGGTGTATGAAGATAAATATAATCACCAAGAACATTGTAGGTGGTTACATTCTTAGGGAGTTCAATTGGTCTGAAGCATTCCTTGTCAGTGACGTGAATGCTTGAGTATGTTAGCTTAAAGACCAAGGGACCTAGTTTAGGGTATGTAGTAACCAAGTTAACCGTATCATCTATATTCAATAGTCCAAGTATAACTACAAGAGCTAGTTCAGGAAGATCTTGGAATGTTGCTAGCTGTTTATATTTAGTTTTCTTTTTGTCTCTAGTGGTAATCCTCAAATCTACCAGAGGCAACTCAATCACTTTCATCAACGGTACTTATAAAGGTTATACTATCAGGTAATGATGAATATGAGCAAGAGTTTTATTGTTATTTTATTGATGTAGATGATTTACGTTACATTCGTATGCATAATAATGATATTGTACGCCTTTAACGGGATTACGAGGCCTAATTAGGCCCAATTTTGATCCCCTTTGTTTATGACATCGTTGTTCTGCTATTGTACTCCAAGAAAACAGCCGCTAAGTTGCATGCAAGCGAAGACGAGATGAAACCATACCGGATTCTTTCTTTACACTTCTCACATTCACCACTTGAAACAAATAAGAATAATACTGTGCAAACTCGTAAGCAAGATCAATAGTAATTACATGAAGTTAGTGCCGATGTAAGGGGATTATTCTGATGTTACACTTGAGTTAAGAAGAAAAGGCTTTAGAACAAAGCAGGGCAACCAGATATTTAAAACAGTTTGCATCCCCCAAAAGAGACATTTTGGTGTTCGGGTGTGGAGGTATGAATTTTACAAAGAATAGGTCATTTTTAAACACAATATTGGGTATACTCAATAATAACTTCTAACGAGGGACCTATCTTACCACAAAGATACAACTTAGTTACTAAGGCTTATATCGTACATATAAATGTCAAACAACTATTAAGGGCTTACACAATCAACCTAGCGGTCGATATACCATTGCCATTGTCATTGCATATCTACAGATTGAAGATCAATGAGGACTAAAATACTTACCGTAAGGCTACATGGCATCGATTCCCTAACAGTGCGTATTACTAGACACTAGATGGATTTGTCAGATCAACAATGAGTTATCAAACTTGATCTCTATCTACACCAAGCGAGCTTATATAAAGGTTGGTCGACAGGAATTCGTGTTCGGGGCATACAGGAGCACTACCAGAGTGGAGTATTAATAAGTTTAATGTTTTGAGTGAGAGTATGTCTGGTTTAAATGAGTATGTCTACGCTGTAAAATATTGACTGTGAGGAAGGTGAGAGAGAAGAAGAGCAACACTATATAAATGTCTTATCTCGTCTCGTCTCCGACCATAAAACTTTCTCTTTCTATTAGTACAATCAGTAGTGCACGAACCAAAAATTCAATTAAATAGTTACTAATTAACATATCAGTCCCATATTATTGCCTTAATATTTTCTAGTGTCAGCAACTACCATATATTACATATTTAATCCCATAGATCCGTCTAAAGCTCCTTATAAACTCCACGTAACTCTCATGAAACATCGGCTTGCGTGCAGTCCGTCTCCTTAGCATTCACGTAAGTTTTTTCTCTTTCGCGACTCTATATACAGGAACAAAATAAACAAAATTTCAACGCCAAAAACGCCATTCACACCTTTCATCCACCACCACAACCACTGCTAAATAAACAACAACGTTTACCAGCAAACACGAGAAGTTAAGAAGTCAAATACATTCATTTTGTGTCTGCATTACGATTCTTTTGGTTTTGGTTTGGTTTGATTTAGCTGAGTTCTGGTTGTTGATAATTCTTAGTGTTTTATTCTTCCTCCTCACGTAAGGTTCAGTAAATTACTACTACTACCAGGTTCCAGTGACTCCTCCAGGCTTCATTCATTGCATTGCATTGCCCATACATTCGTTTATTGCACTCGGAAACCGTGGTTTACAGTTGATTATTGTTTTGCTACTGCTAGTCTTAACCTGCTCTATTTTGACTATTAACAGCGGCTAAAATTCCAACCAATCATGTCTTCGGCTACGGCCTCCCTTCTACTTCCATTAGATAGTCGTCTGGCTCCTGCTCCTGACTCTCAGTTTGCTCGTCGGCATCCAAACCACAACAGCACAGGCACAGGCACAGGCACAGGCACAAGCTCCCGAGGCGCAAGGCGTGAAACGGTGATTTCAAGTGCTCACTCAAATAGATCATCTACAGTTTCAGCTGAGCAAGGGTCAGCCTCTGCCTTTGATGCTTTGATGCTGACCAATGTCAACGTTGTGAATTCGGGTGATTCGCCAGACTCTGCCAACATAAGTAACATCGATAGTGTTGTCCAATCAGTGACCAATGCCACAAAGAGACTCTCTCAGATATCCACCATAACCAATAATTCTACCAAGAAACGTAAGACTCAGAACCGTGTGGGTCCTTGGAAATTAGGGAGAACATTGGGAAGAGGCTCAACAGGTAGAGTGCGTCTCGCTAAGAATGTCCATACTGGGAAGTTGGCTGCGGTTAAGATTGTACCTAAATCTAACTTCAAAAAGTTGGAAAATCCAAAATATAAGAGAGATGGCCAACTGGATCGATTGCCCTATGGAATTGAACGAGAAATCATCATTATGAAATTAATTCTGCATCCTAACATCATGGGACTTTATGATGTTTGGGAAAACAAAAATGATCTTTATTTAATTCTTGAATATATAGAGGGTGGCGAATTATTTGATTATTTGATCAAAAGAGGTAAGTTGAATGAACTGGAAGCAATCAACTATTTTAAACAAATTATTAATGGGATTTCTTATCTCCATCAATTTAATATTTGTCATCGAGATTTGAAACCAGAAAATTTATTGCTTGATTTTGATAAAGTAATTAAAATAGCTGATTTCGGTATGGCTGCCTTAGAAGTTCGTGAAAAATTATTAGAAACCTCTTGTGGTTCTCCTCATTATGCGTCACCAGAAATCGTCGCTGGTAAGAATTATCATGGTGCACCATCAGATATTTGGTCTTGTGGGATTATTTTGTTTGCTCTTTTAACTGGCCATTTACCATTTGATGATGAAAATATACGGAATTTACTTATTAAGGTTCAAAATGGTAAGTTTCTCATGCCTCCAGAATTATCTTGGGAAGCTAAAGACTTAATTTCCAAAATGTTGAAGGTTAATCCTAACGATAGAATCACTATCGATGGAATTTTGAAACATCCTTTGCTTACCAAATATCCTGACCCACCACAACCACGTTCAAAACTGACCAACAATGGCACATATCTTAATTCCATTGATTTCAAACGTATTAACTTGAAACCAATTGATTCAGTTGATTTAATCGATAAGGAAATCTTAAAGAATTTGTCTGTTCTATTCCATAATTGTGATGAACAGACAATTATCAAGAAGTTACTTTCACCTGCAAATTGTTCCGAAAAGATGTTTTATTTCTTACTTATGAAGTATAGAAACGAACATGCGGTGTCTCCAGCCTTACCAAATACTGAGGACGGCTTCCCATCTGATAAGAACCAGAATCAGAAGCAACCATCTTTACCTAAGTCTGCATCAGTTACCAGAACCACTTTAGTTGACCATCTAACTGGAGATTTGAAAACATTCATCACTTCACCTCCGCTGGACCCTCCCCCAAAGCAACCGGTTCCCACAAAATCAGCAGGCTATTCCCCAACAAAGTTGGTTACAATACACCCTACACACCAAGCAAAGACGCCTCACCACACTGTCAAAGTGACAACCAACCATGCATCGCCTTCAAAGAAAATATTGTCCAACATCACCAACACTGTGACAACTACTGCGTCTCCAACTAAGGTTAAGGATCCCCAAGGAAACCTTAGTTTCAAAGCTTCAAATTCGTTCAATAAAAGGAAGATAGTTATGAAGAAAACGGGAAGTACCAGAACGTTGAACAGTTTGGTTAATGAGAATGTGAATCTTTTGGAGGCACTCAAATCTGATTCTGAACAAAAAAACGAAAAGGAAATTTCAACTACAGAAACACAAGGTCATCAACAACAAAAGGGGGAAGCACAAGATGCTCCACCTACTAAGGAGAAAATCGCAAGAGATATGACTTCAATGTCTATATTTAATTTTGGAAGACAAATTGAAGACATATTAGAAGGGAGAGAACATGAAGAATTAAAACGTCAATCAATCGTGTTATTGGAGAAGCAAAAGGAAGCTCTTGCTAAATTACAGGGTCACAGGAACGTCACAGAACCCATTTATAATACTGGTGGCCTTTCGTCATTAGACCCACGACAGAATTCTCTTTTGAGAGCCAAAACGTACACTACACCTTCATATGCATCTTTAAAGAGACGCAACGAGAAGCTTCAGGATACCCAGGCATCTTCGGTTTTGCATAAACTAGGCATTGACTTGAAAGGATCACAGGTACTGCGTTTGTCAGAGTTACCTGATTTAATTGAAGATAAGAAGAATGATGAAAGGGTTTTCGATGATACCAAATTTACCGGTAAATCTGGGGATGACTCAAATAAGCCAAAAGATTTTGATGAGGAAGTCCCCTTGGCGGAATCATCAGTAACATTAGAGCCTCCTGCAGCTCCTCAATTATCTTCTTCACGCTTCAGTGGAGCACTTAAAACTTCCAGTTCCAGAAACTTGAGTCAATTATTAAAGCCTTTAGAGGGTACAAATAAAGAAAGTCAAGCAACAACTTCTTCCGAATCTACCAAAGGTTCAGCAGCAGCAGCTAATAATAACAAGATTGACTTGATTCCTAATGTAAGATTCTCGAGGTTTTCAATGACGAAGTTCCTTCAGGAAGCGGAATCAAAGTCACTTATGACGTCTGTACCAGAGTCTACTACCCCACCACCAATAGAATCCAAATCTCATCTGAGACAATCATCTTCCGCTAGACATGAAGAGCAATTTGTCGTAGTGTCCTCTGAAAGTGGTATGAACTTGGCGTATCAAGATGATTCACCTAGTGGTATTCGTCTTCCCTCGGAAACTGGAACAGTTGTTCACCATCATCATCATTCCAAATCACATCTGGTAAGATCGACTCTGACCAGTGAGAAGAAACAAGACTCCCTTGGGTTAGGTATTGGAGTATTAGATAGTTCTACAACTGGAGCAATTGCATCAACCACCCTCAACTCTTCTGAATATGGCGATAGCTTTACAAATGTTCAGTCTGAATCGCTGAATCATGACACCACTACATCGAGATTAATGGCTAATGTCGTGCTGGAGAACTTGAATTCTACGAGCTATGGCCCTGTGATGACTCTTTATAATATGTCCCACCACTCGAAGAATAAATCCTTGGTTGAGATGTCACACACCAATATGTCCGAGTTTACAAACTTTGACATTGTTAGCAGCAGTAATATTCAAGTTGGAAAGTTGAATACTTCAAACCCTCGTGTTGTGTCCAGTAACAACAATTCCAGAGAATATCTAGATAACAATAGGAATGCTAATGACAGCGAAAATACATTCACATACCAACCAACAAATATCTTGGATGAAGCATCGCTTTCAGAGTCAACATTAAATGAGTCTAAGAATGAACAGCTTCATTCTGCATTGAACTCTCTGTCACATACCTACAATGAACAGGAAGAAGAAGAGGAAGAAGAAGATGACGAATTTGGCGATGATGCTAGCGATAGTGATCTTACCGAAGATGATTTACATCAACATCACGTTGTTCCACAGTTTTCCGATAATTTATCATTTACCAAGAAGTCTGGATCACAGCAGATATTCAGTACTCAAAAGTTATCGCTTGAGCTTGTCGATAATGAGAAGACACCACCACGTGGCGGCACTAAAGGCGTTGATTTCAACAAAGAGGTAATTGTTGTTGATACTAAAGAGCCTTTACTCCCGCCTGTTTCAATTAAGAAGGAGGGAACCAAAGCATCTACCATATTCCGGAAATTGAGTTTAAAGGCCAAACGAAATGCTCCACCCAAGCCACAACATCTGATGGCTGCGGGATCACCAAGAACACCAATATCGCTTGGTAGTAGCAGTGGAGGATCTGAAAATGGAAAGAAAACCAATAGGTTTTCCCGTATCAGCGTTACATCAAGAGTTGGGTATGATCCTAATGTTCCTCGGAAGACCAATTGGTTCAAGAAGTTTTTCAATTCGTTGACTAACTCACCTCATTCACAGGAGATGCAATCCAGTGAAGCTTCGCCTATGACACTTGCGTCTCGTGGAGAAGATTTAATTAATTTGGGCACTGAGTATTCTTCTGCACCCATTATGCCTACCAAAGAGATTCATTCGGCATTAGCATCTGAGGAATTGATGAAAGTATTCCGTAACCATTTGGAATTGAAGCTTATGGAGGGCACAATCAGTGAAGTTGATATTGATGAAGAGTTTTGTGTTATCACCGGGGTTATACCATCACTTTCTGCTTTTGGAAGGAATCTTAAGTTTAAGATTGATGTTTTGGATTTGATTAATAGTTGTGTGGTTCATGTTTTCAAAGTCAAGGGTTCTTCCAAGTCCTTTGATACATTATATAATATTCTTGCCTATTTGGTAAAGAAGGCAGAGATTGATACCCAAGGTTAGTTCATTTCATTAATATATACCATTAAGATAAGAAGAGTTGTAGGTACTAATACTCAGCAATCATTACGAGACTCCAGTTATTACAACATACAGCATGCATTCATGTATATGTAATGTGGGCGTCACTTATTGTCTGCCAATAGTGATGAAACCATACTATAACACCGTCATGTCGCGGACTCTGCAATAAAATATATGATTAGAGTGCAAGAAGTTATACTATCATGATTAACTAATATAAACTACTTTATTCTTACTTGTACATTATACGAACACTCGCGCATATTGTAAATTCTGGAATGCATGTGGTAAATTCTGCGAAACTTAATGGCAGGCATGGAATCGGGGCTTAAATGTAAGGCTATGAGTTGCTGTATCACAATAGAGACATTAGATTATTGTAGCAGAGGATGAAAATGTCATATCACAGACGTGATCACTTTTGTCAACTTAGCAAATATAGTATCTATCCGTAGAAACGATAATAAGAACGAAAGAATGGATTTTTTGCTGGACTATATCAACGAGAAGCTGACAATGATACCCTACACGTTAAATCTAGCAACTTTTGAAACCAGTTTAATGTTAAAGCTGTTTGCAGGCACTAGAGATGCGCAGACGACTCATGTGGAAATTCAAATAGTTTGAAGTCTTTGATTTAGGAGAAACATGGCAAAATACAGGCTAAAAGGCTTCTTTGACCTTATGCTAAGTACTTGCTAGAACTTGGATCGAATGTAACAATAATTCCATTTAAATACAGTAGTTAAAGTGTTTCCTTTTCTCATTTACCAGAAGAACAATGACAAACATTAAAGGTTGGAATTCCTCGATATTTCAGTCGTTTGTTACTTAAGATAATATGTAGAAACGGATGGTTGCTGCGAGAGGGAATGTTGGCATTTAGTTCAGACATTTGATGCAAAAGTGAACACCGTTAGATATTATTTAGATATAGCGCTAACAATTCCTACCACACAATGACAGATACTCTATACGTTTTACCCGAATCACCAAGAAATAAGTTCTTGATGATTTTTGTCGACTATTTCAAGCTTGACATCAATGTCACCAATGAACTTAGCAAGACGTTCGCTGTTGACTTCCCTCTCAAGAAAAGACCAGCATTGGTTACCTCCAAGGGTGAAAAGATATGCGAGTCTGTAGCTATCTTGATCTACTTGTGTTCTCTAGTTCCTGAAGACGAGAAATTGTTAGGTATCAACCCTTGGGAAAACGCTCAAATCTTGAAGTACATATTATGGGGTCAAATCGAAGTCTTGCCTTCTTACATATACCCTTTCATGATGGCTGTGGGTATTTGTCCTTATAAGAAGAAGGATTATGATGAAAGCATGGCCAACCTCGAACTATTCACTAGTATTTTGGAAACGAGATTGGCAAACTACACCTATTTGGTCAGTGAACGTATTTCCATTGCTGATGTACTTAATGCTTACTACTATTCAGGTGTTTATGCCACTGTTGGCGGTAATCCATTTACCAAAAAGTACCCTTCTGTTTACAGATGGTTCTTGACAGTCTCCAAAAACTCTTTCTTTGAAGGTGTTCAGTTTAAGATTGCTGCTGAACCATTGACTTACCAACCTCCGAAGAAGGTAGTCGCTCCAAAGAAGGAGGCCGTCCCTAAATTTGAAAACGTTCCAGTTGAAGAAAAGAAGCAAAAGCACCCATTGGAATCGTTGGGTAAACCTAGCAATGCCTTGGACAACTGGAAGAGAGTTTACTCTAACGAAGAAACTAGACCAGTTGCCATTCCATGGTTCTGGGAAAACCAATGGAATCCTGAAGAATGGTCCTTGTGGAAGGTTGACTACAAGTACAACGATGAATTGGAAAAGACCTTCATGACCAACAACCAAATTGGTGGTTTCTTCGCCAGATTGTCTGCTTCCACTAAGTACTTGTTTGGTTGCTTGGTTGTATACGGTGTTGACAATGACAACGGTATCACTGGTGCTTTCTTGATCAGAGGTCAAGAATACGCCCCAGCTTTTGATGTTGCACCTGACTGGGATACTTATAACTACACCAGGTTGAACCCAGAAAACGATAAAGATAGGAAGTTTATTGAAAACATGTTTGCTTGGGACGAACCAGTTATAGTCAACAGAGAAAAGAAGGTAATTGCTGATGGTAAGGTCTTTAAATAAGCAACTAGATAAAAGGTTATGTTAGTTTACATTGATATTGTTCTATTTCTTTTTGAAAAAGTAAGCAGTCCATCCTCTGTCTTCTGCCAATTTCTTTGTAAAACCATGTACCTACAGCATATACTGGTGGATCCATGGTGGTATCCTGGGGCCTATGGTTCTCAATTACATGTTAGCTCTTGTTGTTCTATTTCACAACAGGGTAAGTTTTAACTCTTTTGTGGTTCTAAGAATGGTAATAAAACCGTATTATAACGTTATTGACAGAGATTACCCTGATAAAGTTTTAATTATTTTCCTATCGGGAAACTATAATAGCATGATTAGTTATTACAAATTGCCATCTTACAATTGAATCGCGTGGAAGTGATATCAATGAATATTGCAAAAACTCGCAAAAAACCGAAACTTCTGTGCATGTGGTAAATGCATGTAACACTTAACGCACGAAAACGGGGCTTTAATGTAAGGTTACGTCCTCTACAACTAGCTTCCAACCTCAAGTATTATACGGTACATGCATTATCAAAGTTACAATTCAAAGTCAATCGCTCCTAGTGAGAGTGGATAATTTTTTCCAGGGGCTGTCAACCACCAAACAAGAATTAAAGAACTATTACGGCGCTGTCCTCATTGTCAGAGAGGATTTATAAAGACTCACAAGCATTATGAGTTGTATTATGAAAAAAGCGATTTATATTGTCGTATAAACATCCTGAAGAAACAGAGGAAGAGAAAGTTGTATCATTGGACAATAGAACTGGTAGACCACTTGATATATATGTCTAATGTAATGACATTCAGTAGCAATGATTACAGAAGGAACCAGTGAGTTTTCCTGAATGATACTAAGAACTGTGAATTCTCCCAAATTTGAAGTTAATTAGAAATTAATAGTGGACGTAGGTATCCTGAAATCGACCGTTTGTACGAATGCAGTAAACACGAATTAAATCTTATTAATAGTTTGAACGCTTTAAACCAGGAGGTCCAACAAAAACCTTTTTATCGGCTATTAGTCTTAAACGGACTTATGCTAAGTGCATATTAGAATTTGGGTAGAAAGTTGCAAAGTTAGTAAAGTGTCACAATCATTATAGCAGAAGACAAAACTTTACTTTTATGGTCAAAAGAACTCCACCACTTAATTAAGGAGAGAATTGTGGAATAATTACTCAAGATGCAATTTCGAAATGGCTACAAAAAATAAAAATAGAGAAGCATATTCAGATAGAACAAAGTGAAAAATAATACTCGGCTGTATTAAAATTGCGTCAATTTTACATTGCTCTTTAGTTCATGTTGTTTACCCTGAATTCTTTTTACTCGCAGATGGATGTAATGAAGTGTTCAAAACAAATATGAATGTATTAAATATTCTTTGTGTCAGGATTGTCTTTGTGTTCGAATATAGGTTATATAATTGTGGCACGTAGTGGTCAAAAATATACTATTACCTTGGAGGTCAAACTCATACTATGGCGGTGGGACAGGGTGGGATATATCCTGGGTGTAAGACTGAAAGACTGAAATAAGCAAAGACCTTGAGTTTAAAATAATACAAGTATAATTTTTTTTAAAGGTTCAAGTAGCAAGGATACCTCCTATTGGCACTAAAGCCCCGTAATTTTAACAGGAAAAGATACTATAGAAGTCATTTTACCTTGGAAAAGGAATTATTGAATAATGAGAGGGCCACTTACTTTGACGATCCCAAAAGATTTAGGTTTTTGGATCCATTCTTTTTGGAATTTGGTCACAGGAGCGATAGTTTTTGATATTTTGATATACTAATACTGAAGATTTAGGATACATTTCTTTTCCTAAATAGTTTATTTCTACGTATTTTTCATCATTTAATTTATCTATCTTTCTATACCCTAACTTTCTGATATTATCTTTAACTTTAGTTTGATCTTCTATATTTTACATTGATTTACATATTTATATAATATATTCTTTTATTGTGATGCTCATATTCGAAAGAAAGAATGTGTAAAAATATTTGCGAAGTCTTCAAAGGACAGAGTATCTATAGATAGGAAGCTATGATATAAATCAGTACTCCCTCAAATCATACCACTTTAGTACATGATTTCAATATAATGCTGGGATAAGACCTAGTGGAAAAAGACTCGTTGTGCTGACTTTGCTTTTCACTTGGATTCTCCAGGAGAAGAATCGTTGACTTATGAAGTGGAAGTTTCTCCATTTACTTCGAGCAGGTATTTTGGAACTGTAGCATATCATGTGGAGTTGGAGTATGATAGAAGAGAATGGTTGCCAACCAAGATCGAACAAAACAGCATGACGTTCCATAATGGTGGCACATGTTGGGCCTGATGTCAGAATTAGAGATGGAGATCAACAATACGGGAACAACAAAAGAAGTATTCTTTGTGCAAGTGGCTAAATGTTGCTTAAATCGTTAGGAAATAGCTATGATTATCCACACAGCCAGCAGCTATAGTAAAAATAACCACCCATTTTTATAATAGTAGTGGTGGTGCTAGTAGCAGTAGTAGTAATGAATAAGGTCATTAATACTTCATGTAGCAGTCGTCATATAAATAGTAATGATTTATTAATACTTTTTTTTATAATTCACTATGATCTCTACCAGGCCATATATTAAGCAGTTGATGTAGCTTTTAATGTATACTTAACAATACTAAAACCTCCCCATGTCGTAAAATTATACGAGAACTTGCACAAAAAGTACAAATGTTACTTTGAAAATCAATGCATTGATAAACATCCCATATCAGTCACTCTTTACTCAAATAGGAAAGACTATACATTAAAAATTACAATCGGTACTTAGAACATACTAGTACGGCTTATCTCAAGTATTGGAGCGACGAATGAAGAAAGATACTGGACCCTTGATGAATAAATAAGGTGTTGCAGAGTAGAACCACGAAGATGAGGTCAAAAAGATGATTATTCTGTAACAGTGCTTTCTGTCTGAAATTAGAAAAGGAGAATCGTGAAAACCTGAGTTTAATATTAAGAATGCTACTTAGTAATAATACAAATTATGTTCGAGTATATTTGGTGTAATCAATCATCAATGGCATCTACTGATAGCTCATATGAAAACAACATTATTGATTCACACACGAAGGAAATAAGACAGCATCAAACATATTGAATTGGATATGATTACAAATGTGGAATATAACCAAAACGTTAAAAAGATCTAAATTGGACTTGGAGATGATAATTAAGCTATTATAATATAATTACTGCCCTGTTAAAAAGATTATAAGAGTATACTTAGGTGGGCTAGTTTAGCACTTCAATATGGATGGTGCGATAATCACAACGACGATCAGCAATGAGTGCATCGAAAAAGACTCAATGCACTAGATTAGATTGGCTTTAAATCTTACTTTGGATTAACAAAGACGTGAGCCATTGATTAAAGTAAAGGGAGTTGTTCCTCTTAAGCGTAAAATTCATAGTAAACCTCAAAGAAGTATGAATACTTGGAAAAAGAGCCAAGGGCCATGGTGTACGGGATAACGGTGGATGTGTATGGTGGGAAGAAAATATAACCATACGGAATATACGTGGACTTGTGGATGTTAGTAACTTTTTATATACCGTTAATCTATGACTAAAGCTGTAAGAATAGTCGTAATAGATATAGGTAGCAGGAACCGTGGCGATTTGCAATTGAGTCGTGCAAGGATCAATTATTTATGAAGTACAACTAAACTTCACTTACTACCTTCATACTCTACACACTTCTTCATACTCTTCAATGAGCGGGACAGTTGTCAGAGCCCTAGGCTGGGACGACGGCTATGAGCAGCAGTTCATTGCGGTATCACCATTAGGTGATGAGGTCTCTGTGTATCAGACGACGCATGATGATCCCTTAAGAAACGAGACCAATGACATGGTGAAGCTTGTGGAGCAACGAGGATTCGATAACATCCAATGTACATCATATTCTACAGGTCACAAAGGATTGATGGGTGTAGGGTCATTGAGTGGAACAGTATCTATTTTCGATATAAACAATCCTTCCATTGTTGTAAAGCTAAGACCAAAACAACAACGACCATGTAACTCTCTTTCATTCAACGGTAAGAACTTGGTGGCTGCGGGGTTTGATAAAGGTCGTATTGATAGTTCCCTTCAGATTTGGGACTTGGAACAGTTCTCAAGAGGTGGTATGACAGGAGGTGGTAACATTGAATTGAGTCTGAATGATATTAAGAGGACACCTACTCATAGTTTCTTTCCGAATGATCCAATCTTATCAACTGCATTCTATCCGGATAAGGAAACAAGTTTGCTTTGTGGGGCTTACAAATATATTCGAGAAGTTGACATTCGTCAAGAACTTCCCACATTTCATTTGTCAACTAAATACCCATTTGGTCCTACAGTTAATCCGTTTGACTCTCGTTATTTCACCTCTTATGGTGACGATGGAACATTGGTTGTTTGGGATCGAAGAAAATTCAATACCAATGGCACCAAGAGCGGTACAATGACCAGTTCCAGTGCCTCAGAGACTCCAGTGTTACTATTTGAAAAGTCTCTTAGTGATGGTACCTCTAAGCGGAACTTGCACACTTGCATTAGACACTCAACCATCAGAAAGGGTGAATTTGCGGCCCTTTTCAATGGAGATTTGATAAGAAGATGGAACACTGGCGTAGTTAATGCCGTTCCTGGATTTACCACAAGCCCAAACGTTAAGAAATTCACTAAAGATGATCCCTCAATTCAGAATTTGAAAGCTCAGGCATACAACTTATACAAAAGTAATGAGGATTCTTTGCTTGTTTCCATTGTCTTGGAAATAAAAACCGATTACGAAAGAGTTATATCGTTTGATTATTCTCCCGATACTGTTAGTACTACATCTACCAATTTTGTTTGTATGAGACAAGGTGGGTCAGTTTTCAGAATGCCAGTTGTTGAGAGTATTGAAGGTATTGATTTCAATTCATACAATTCTTTTACATTTGTGGGTCCTGAAGGAGCAGAATCTATGTTTATTAATAGTAAAGACGATGCTACTAATACAAATTTGTTAAGTGATCACCATCACTCACCTAAATCTTTAGGTCCTACAAAAGACTCAGACAAGAAATCCACTGGAAGGTTCGACCCCTTAGATGACCTCAGAAGGGGAAGTGAAACAGAATTATCTGAAGATATAGGATCATCAGTAGTTGATGATGAAAGTGTTGCAGGGTTCAATGGTACTCAATCATTTTCAAAGAATAGTAATGCTCGCACGGTATCAAGAGGGAGACTTGGAAGTAGCTTCCAAGAAGAGTTTGAAGAGGAAGAAAATTACTTGTCTTTAACGAGATTCTTGAGTGTTGAACAAGTTTTCACCACTGATATATGCCACATTATCCGTCATAGAGCAAAGCTTGGTTATGGTGTTAATTGTGAAGACAATATTCTGGTTCTAGAAGATACAAATGCTTTAAGTAAACAATTATTCTTAAGAAACACATGGAAATGGATTAGTCTTGCCAAAAGGTCATTAGATAAAGGCACTATGATTAGTGACGGAATAGACTTAGGATTTCAAGGAGTCCTAGGTATTTGGGAAGGAGGAGAAGAAATCATTAGTATGATGCCTAAAAACACAAACATTGAAACATTAGACGAGAAGTTTTCTCAAGCCGTCAAATCTATTGTTAGTAAGAAAGGTAAAACAGCAAAGATAAATGTCCATAACTCCAGTGAGAAGAAGTCCCAACGGAAACTTTGTTTAATGGTTTCAGGATGGTACTTTACAGAAGAAGAACTTGATGAAAGACTCAATCTTTTAATTGAGTTAGGGTTTGTTGAAAAGGCTGCTGGCTGGGCTGTTTTCTATGGAGATGTTCCCCGAGCCATTGAAATTTTGGCCAGTTCAACCAAGGAAAGATTAAGGATAATGTCAACAGCTGTTGCAGGTTATTTGGCTTATAAAGATTCTCATTTCAATAGTCCATGGAAAGATCAATGTCGGAAAATGGCTAGTGATTTAGATGATCCTTATTTGAGAGCTATATTTGCTTTCATTGCAGATAACGATTGGTGGGATGTACTTGATGAACATTCTTTACCGTTACGAGAGAGACTTGGGATTGCACTTCGGTTTCTTTCGGATAAAGATTTAACAGTTTACTTGAGGAGAGTCGCTGAGACAGTGGTTACCAAAGGTGAGCTTGAAGGTTTAATATTGACTGGAATTACTCCTAGAGGAGTTACGTTATTACTGAGTTATGTTGACCGAACCAGTGACATTCAAACTGCCGCATTAATTGGGGCATTTGCATGTCCACGATACTTTATAGATGAAAGAGTTGAACATTGGGCCGATTCATATCGAGAACTTTTGAATAGCTGGAAATTATTCAAGTTTAGAGCCAAGTTCGATGTTGCTAGAGCCAAACTCTCCAAGGCCAGTTCCGGAGAAGTTACCATTGTTCCACCGCCTAAGCAAGTATATCTTCAATGTATTCGGTGTAATAAGAACATCGCCAAAGGCAGGTCCTCAGGCGGAAAGTCCAAGACCGTGGGAGTAGGAATAGGAGTAGGAGGAGGAGTAGGAGGACAAGGAGGATCAGCAGCAGGAGGAGTAGGAGGTACTGGTGGAAATGGAGGGAATAATAATCCACTTTTAATCAAGCAATTCAGTAAGATGAACCTGGTGAATTCTCGTAAGCAACCAACAGATTTCAAAGTATGCCCACATTGTGGAGCACCATTACCACGATGTTCTATTTGCTTATTATCTTTGGGAACTCCTATACCTTTGGAAACCAATGAAACTCTTCCCGAGACAACCTTAGGGAATAAAATAGAGAATAAGTTCCGGGAATGGTTTAGTTTCTGTTTGAACTGCAGTCACGGGTATCATTCGTATCATGCCGAGGAATGGTTTTCCAAACACTATGTTTGTCCAGTTCCTGATTGCAATTGTCGATGTGGAACCAAGTAGAATACATAGCAAGTATAGTACAAGTACAGCGTAGACTATGTTTGAATAGTATAAGACTATACTACCATATAGAGTATACGGCATTGTTTTCACTGCATATAATTTCCTGATATCAATGTACAATTTAAGCCCTAATATGATGCACGTGATCAAACAATACTACAATAACTATTTTTGTAAACAAACGCCCACTCACCTCCTTCGCTCCCCATGTCAAAATACACCCAAGCATTTCTGGTGTACACGTATTCGATAAGCATAGTAACATCTACTTGTCGTCAATATGTCTGGTTCCGGATCCCAGCCGCCAAAGAGTACGGCTCAGGTGATCAATGAGATCGAGAGGAAGATACAGGTTCAACAGAACATGATCCAAGGGTTCCAAACAGTCAAGAAGAAGTATACCACGGCTGAGATGATTCAAAAGTGTAACACTCAGATCAGAGAGACTCAGGCCAACATTGATTACTTGCAGCATACGTTGGCCAAGTTGTCTATCAAGAACTCTGAGTCGACTGGTGGTGGTCCACAGCAACTGCAATTGCTGCTGAGGCTGGTAGTGCCACAGCCTCAACAACAATATCAGTACCAAGAGTCACGAGATCCAAGCTATACTCGTCTCGATATTATCAAATATGAATGTCCTTCCTTGGGCCACAAGATCCAGTACATGCTTCAACAGTTGCAGTTCAAATTGCAAGTGGAGAACCAGTATCGTGAAGCCAACCAGAAAATCTCCCAATTGTATTTGATGGATGGTGATAAGTCGAGTTCCAATGCGGCAGAAGGTAGCAAACAGGAAAGTGACCATCGGATCCAATTGTTGACTATGGCCATGAAGAAGTACCAAAACATGCACATTGATTTCGATGAAGCCAATAGAGATATGGAGATCGTTGATACGGGAAGCTATTCAAGAAAACCAACCACCGGTAAACTTTATATCAGCATCAATTGTATCAGAGACGTTGATCATACCACGGCATCTTCTAAGAAACTCGAAACTTATGTTAAAATTAAGGTTGATGACATTGAAAGAGCAAGAACCAAATATTCCAAAAATGATAAATGGTCTGATGATTTTATCATTGAAATCGATAAGGGGAACGAAGTGGAATTGGCTGTTTTTGATAAGTTGGGTAATCAACTGTATCCAATTGCTATTCAATGGGTTTTGATTTCTGATGTCATGGAAGAAATCCGTAAACGGAAATTATCTATGGAACAAACTCCAGATGAATGGGTCTCTTCAGTGTCTAACTTACAACAACAAGGAGGAGGAGCCCTTGATAAACGTACTGCTACTACATTAAATTCTTCTTTGGATAACTCCATAGGAGGAGGAAAATCTTCAAACTTATACTCTTCTCCCCCTACAACTTCTATAACTACTACTGGAGGTAAAGTTCAATTGACTAATTGGTTGAGTTTAGAACCAGTGGGTCAAATTCTTGTTAATATTTCGTTTGAAAAAACCAATATTCAAAGTAAACCTAACTTTGGAAGGGGCCCTGCCCGTCAAGGTGCCATTAGACTCAAGAAACAAGAAGTTTTTGAACAACATGGTCATCATTTCATTCAAAAGCAATTTTATAACATTATGTGTTGTGCACTTTGTGGTGAGTTTGTTCGGTACACTGGCTTCCAATGTCAAGAGTGTCGTCTTCTTTGTCATAAGAAATGTTATCTGAAAGTTGTCACCAAGTGTATGTCTAAACCAATGACTAACCACGGTGATGAGGTCAACCTTAAACATCGTATTCCTCATAGATTTGAACCAATCGCCAATCATGGTACAAAGTGGTGTTGTCATTGTGGATATATCTTGCCATGGGGGAAGAAAAATGTTAGAAAGTGTACTGAATGTGGTGTAATGTGTCATGCTCAATGTACCCATTTGGTTCCTGATTTCTGTGGTATGTCTATGGAAATGGCTAATACGATCCTTATGACTATCCAATCTGCTCGTGCATCAACAAAGAAACCACCCGTTTCTCCAAGTAAGGTTTCAACAATCACAACTTCAGATGCAACTTTGAATGATTCTTATAACGAGAAGAGATTGAGTGGTCAATATCCAGAGCAAGAGAAGTTCCAAACTGCATTGCCAACTACGAAGTCCAATTTGCCTCAACTCCCTGTGAAGACTCCATACTCTCCACCTAGAGACAGAGCCTCTCATTCTATGCCTGTTAATGCCAATCCACAGCCACCTTACCCACAGGATGACTATTATAAAAATAGTTTACCTCCAATTCCTGCTAGTAATGAATTACCTTCCGATGACACTACTTCTTCTAATCGTCGTTCAAGATATGATCAATTCCAAGGCTTTGATTATGAAAAAGGAGCAGAGCTGGCAAGAACTTATCAGCGTCAAGATCAAGCTCAATACAACCCTCGTTACGCTGATGATCTGCTGAAACATTACCAAATGCAACAGTATCACTTGGATCAACAGCAACAGCTACAGCAACAACAGCAACAGATCAAGCAACAGCAACAACTACAGCTACTCAAACAACAACAACAGCAGTATGATCAACAGGATCAGATACAACAAGAACAAGAACTTCAATACCATCAACAACATCAACAACATCAATATCAACAACAACAACAACAGCAACAATTACGTTCCCAACCCTCGCAAGCAATTGGTGAGGTTCATCCTGGTTCAATTGAACATCAAAAGGGTCACCATCAAGCGCATACTTCCGTTTCATCAGGAGGTAGAAAGCAACGTAAGCCTAGAATTGGGTTGGATGATTTCCAGTTTTTGGCTGTCTTGGGTAAGGGTAACTTTGGTAAGGTTATGTTGGCAGAGTTTAGAAAGTCTCAAAAGCTTTGTGCCATTAAGGTTTTAAAGAAGGACTTTATTGTTGAGAATGATGAAATTGAAAGTGTCAAATCTGAAAAGAGAGTGTTTTTAACTGCAAACAAACAGGGTCATCCTTTCTTACTCAATTTGCATTGCTGTTTTCAAACTGAGAATCGTATTTACTTTGTGATGGAGTATATTTCTGGTGGTGATTTGATGTGGCACATTCAAAAGTCTAAATTCTCTCCTAAACGGGCCAAATTCTATGCATGTGAAGTGTTATTGGGACTTAAGTACTTTCATGATAATGGAATTGTGTATCGTGATTTAAAATTGGACAATATTTTATTGACAACTCAAGGTCATATTAAGATTGCAGATTATGGGTTATGTAAGGAAAGCATGTGGTATCAAGGAACCACAGGAACATTTTGTGGTACACCTGAGTTTATGGCTCCTGAAATTATTGCTGGGAAACCATATGGTAGAAGTGTTGATTGGTGGGCTTATGGAGTTTTATTATTCCAAATGTTGTTATGCCAATCACCATTTAAGGGAGACGATGATGATGAAATCTTTAATGCGATTGAACACGATGCGGTTAAGTTCCCCATTAGTATGCCCAAACAAACTGTTTTGATTTTACAGTCTTTATTGACTAAAGATCCATCTCAACGGTTGGGTAGCAGTGAACGAGATGCACTTGAAATTATGGAACATTCATATTTCAGCGACGTGAACTTTGATGACGTTTTGAACTTACGGATTCAACCACCATATTTACCTGAAGTTTCATCAGAACATGATTATTCTAATTTCGATAAGGAGTTTACTTCTGAGACCCCTAGATTGACCCCAGTTGAAACTGTTCTTGCGTCTGAATTACAAGAACAGTTCCGTGGGTTTTCTCATATTGCAGATGGGGCGCCAGTATACTAAGAACATGTTTCGACAAAATGTTGAGTTGTCTCTTAAAAATAATGAATAATAATAATAAATAATAATAAAAAATTAATAATAATAGTGTTAAAATTTCAAACAATGATTACCAAAAACTATCCTATGAATTTTCCCGTACCAAAAAGCTACAAACAGCAGCATACCCTTCTATTAAATCACATAATGACACAACAGCGACTACCATCAGCATTCTTTTTCTTGGAACCACTGTTGTTATTGATAGGTCGCGATTGCTTGTTTCTTACCGACAGGCTTTCCTTAGATTCTGTCTTTTGATCTTCACTGACTGTTGTTTCGATTGAAGCATCGGTCTCGGTTCTTACTGGAAGCTTGACCGTGGTCTTGTCCAAATAGGTGTCAACTTTGGTGGCAGACAGATCGTTCAACGACACAACTGGTGACAAGAGCATCTGTTGAAGCGATAAGATCTCTCGGGGATGGGAGTCTGAGATTATCTTAGTGGGGTGGTCATCTTTTACTTGAGATGCAGAGTGTGATACTAAGGGTTCAAATGCTTCGGTTACAGATGTTCCCCATAATGAACTTGCTTCATGGAAATACATGGCGCCAATTCTCTCTGCCATCTCTTTACCTTCTAAGGTGCTGACTTGTCTTTCCATTTCCAAGTCACACATGCTCCCTACCAACACTATAGGGGGAGTTGTGGATTCAGCACCCAAGAGATACTGGAGCTTATTGTGAAGTTCTTCAACATACTCAAAGGTCTCTCTACTTGTCACAGAGTAGACATACATGAACCCTCGACAGTGTCTCACTTGGGACTTGCCTGAAGTAGAGTACTCCTCCACAATGTTGACTGTGTCCAAGATGGTTATTGGATGAAGGTCTGGGCCTCTATATTTGGTGTATAGATCTTGAACTGTTGGGTCCACATTTCCAATGAATTTGCCGTGGATATATCTTTGAATGAGACTGGATTTGCCTGAGTTGGCCTTGCCAAACACAGAGATGTCGTATACTTGCGAGATGGATTGCAAGTCTTTCATAATATATATAAATGTACTAATATGATTCTAATGTTGAAACATTGTTTACAAATGTTAAAATTCACTTCTCATCAGGAACAAACATTAATGGTTATATATAATCATGTTAAATTTTACATTCAACGGACAGGAATTAGTGCATACATGTACGAAAACAATCGAAAACCGTTTTACACGCAAGTCAGGGCTTGTGTGCGTACCTGGACTGGGCTGTTTCTGCACATTGAACAATAGGTTGCTACACATCTCGTAGACTCGCCGTTCAATTCCAAGCTTCCATGGCATAATCGAACCACTTGTGGCTATTTATGTGGTGAACTGCACGGTTTCATAACACATCGGAAACGAAATTAAGTTCCGAGGTAAGTCCCCATGTCATCTAGAACTTTGTCAACTATGGATTGTCCTTATTCAAGAAATTTCGTACAAACAGAGTGGCCACATGTGGGGGAAGTGGAAAGGCAGTTGTGATTCAACATTAACGATTTGTAAACAAAGTATTTCTGTTTGGCTTTAGTTCATTCCCAAGTAAAATGGAAAGTGCTCTTATTGCCGAAACCCTTTTTGTGGCTGTTCAAATCTTCTCGTATGCATTGTTACCCACGGCAACTGAACAATTGTGAAAACTTCGATTGAGAAAAAAAGTATACACCGTTACTAGGGGACCAGGATGGCATACTTTAAAGAAGCAAGCGAATATACCTAAATACTTTGGTGCAACGTCAATTTCTAAGCCAAAAGTTGAATTTTACTTTAGTTCGTTATGTCTTGACTACAGATGATGACAAAAGGTTTTCTCATTGGTGTGAGGCTTTTATATTTTTCTTCGTGATGGAGGCGTGCCTCATGAAACGCGGAATGGAAACTATGGGGAATGTCTTCGATGTATATAATATATTTGAGAAGCACTGCTTCTTAAACATGATGAGTTGCATGGAAAAAAGTATGTCCCCCACGAGTTGCAACGGCAAGACTTTTAGGGAGGCGAGTGGGACGGCTGAAAAATTATTCAACGTTTGCGAGAAAAAGAAATACAAAAACGCCTCTCAAAAGGCATATATGTATCGGATTATTTCCTAGCGTAATATGCAGTCAAATGGGGGCAATACGATTCTCCGGAGAAATAAGGAACCTGCTATTAAATTCTAATACTATAATGATAAATGCAACTATGTAGAAAGGGAGATGAATATCGTTCAATATTCATCATCTTCAGAATCAAGATATTGAGCATAATCATCTGCAGAGGCAAACACCGGCATATCGCTGAGTTTCTTCCTTTTATTGTCCTTTTCGCCGGCTCCTGATTTCGATCTCTTTCTGGAAGTAGTTGCATTTTCTTCTTCTTCTTCTTGTTCAGAGTCTGATTCTGGACCGTCAAGGGGAAGAAATTTGATTTCCGAATCACTCAATTCATCGTCTTCGTCAATGCCAAACACTTGTTCGTCATCTTCAGATTGAGCTTGAACTTGATCCTCAGCTTCAGAGGCTTCTTCACCTTCTGATTCTTTCTGAACTTCTTCATCACTCTCTCCATCACTCATATCGCTGAAATCGTCATCATCGAAATCAGAGAACCCTTCATCAACATCGTCACCATCGACTTCTGGCTTGGACTTAACCAACGCTTCCCAGATTTCATCGTCTCCCATGTCAGGTGCATCTTCATCCCTTTCATCCTCTTCACCATCTGCTTTAACCTTGCTCTTAGACAGCTTGGAGGTGAAATATTGATGGAAGAACTTCTCATCTGGCTTCAAGTCTTCGACCTTCTTATTCAACCAATCAACAGTATTGGCTGGAACATTAGTATCCATGACGTTAGTAGCTCTAACCAATAAAGACCCGGTATGTGCCCCACCAAGAGGTTGCATAATGGAAGAACCCTTAGTGACCGGCTTTTGCTTTGCGTTCTTGTACACGAACCTGTCTAAGAAATGAGCCAAACTGAAGAGACCTAAGTCCGGTTTGGGTTGGGGCTCATTGCTCATAAATGAAGTGGCATAAGTAGCAACTGTAGGATGATAATGGTTAGTAAATTGAGACAATTCCCATAAAGAAGATGTTTGAGCATTAGCATATTTAGGGTCTCTTTTTCTTGGATCATATTCACCTTGAGCTTCGGATTTAGGTGCAGAAACTTCGGATTTAAGTGGAACTTCGGCCTTAGGTTCATCTTCAACTACTTCCGGTTCAGGTCTTGAGTTAACATCAATCATCAAATCAGAAACCTGAGGACATACCTTGGATAACTCCATTAGCAAGAAAATCATCCCGGCAATCGCACCAATGTTCAACCAATGTGTACAAATCTGGACTATTCTCTTGACAAATGCAAGCACTCTATCGACATCTGGGTCGTTCTTCAACGACTTGAAAAGTAAGTTCAAGTATATCCCTTGTTTGGAAGACAGAGATAATCTTGGATCCAACAACGATTCATAAAGGGTTTTATAGTATCTATCGGAGTTAAGGCCTTGTTGGGTAATAATATGGTTAACCAATACAAGGGCCTGCACAGAGGTATTGAAGTTGGTTGAATGAGTTATCTTGAAAAGAGTGTCCAAATGCTTTTGATAGACTTCACTAGGTAACTCAGCAAATGGGAACGAACGATTCAAACCGGTCAACAATGCCGAGAACAATTTGGCATGCTTTTCTTCCACAAGTTCTTGTTCTGATTTTTGTTGTTGTTTGACGGATTTACCACCTTTCTTACCCTTTTTGAAGTTTTTCCGGTTATTCTTCCTGCCCAATTCCGACTTTCCGAGGGTATTAACATCACGTGACTCTTTATTGGTACTACTTTCACTGTTAGAGTCAATATCAACCAAAAGCTTTTCAAATAATGCAAAATAAGTCTTCACCAATGAGTTGGCCAAATCAGGTTCATTTCTGGTCAAAATGGTTTGATTCAAAGTCACCACAGCATAGTATTGAGTTTGATAATCAACATTAGCTTGAAATACGACATCTATAATGGCGTCTGTAACGATCTTCTTCATGGCAGGATGAGTTTGTTCCAACTTTAATACTAAATGGGAAGCCTTAGAGGACACTTTATTATCGTTATCACCCAACTTGTTGACTCCTAAACGAAGCAAGTTGACTTCTTGTTCAGGTTTCGAGCTCAAAAGGGAAAACACATGTCTGATAACGTTAGATCTAACATATTCAAGAGGATCATGTCCTAGTTGTTCAAAGATGGTGATTAGCTTGAAGTATGCCTTTTTCAAATGATCTTCAAAATAGTATATGGCCAATCTTCTGCTGGAAAGATCCTTTCTTAAGAGTTGCTTATCAAAAGCCACAAGCTTTCTATCGGGTAAAAGATCGTGTTCAAGCAAATCACAAAATGCTTTAATGGCCTGTAAAGCAGCAGCTCTTGACTTCTTTTCACAATAGCCAACAAGGGTATCAAATGCCTTCAAGTTATGCAAAGGTGCTTCCCGAATTAATAAGGTCAATGCAGAGATTTTATCATTCATAGTACCATTCTTTAAGAAATCAGTTAAAACTTTGCTTTGTTGGGAATTAGAAGCAAATTCAGTCAAGTATGTTTGGTTCTCTTCTTCAATTAATTGCTTTCCTCTTTCTAGTAATCTTTCTTTGGCAAATCTGTCCAAATGTTCCGGTTCATGCACTGCTTCTGTTTCTATTTCGTACCATTGGGTGATTGCGGGGATCTTTAATTTGTCACTGACAACTGAAGCAACGTTATCTATTTTATCTTGGTTCAATGTGTCTTCAACTTCGGATGAGGATTCATCATGAACATCTTCTTCCTCTTCCTCCTCCTCTTGTTCTTGTTCCTCTTGTTCTTCGTCGTCGTCTTCTTCTTCTTCTTCGTCTTGTTCTTCTTCGTCTTCTTCTTCGTCTTCTTGTTCTTCTTTCTCCTTCTCTTTCACATCCTCTTCATCCTCATCTTCTTCAATTTCTTCAACTAATTCAGGAATATCTTCTTCAATCTCAGGAATTGACCCATCTCCTAATCCTAATCCCTTCATAAAGTCTGCTACCTCAGAAGAAAGCTTGGTATCTGTGCCTGTTTCTGCTCCAAACTCTTGTTCACTTTCTTCTCCTTCTTCAACACCATCGACCAACGCAATGTCGGCTTCCGTGGCTCCAAGAGCTAATGCTTCTCTCTTTAAAGCGTCTTCCTCATCATCTTCATCGTGTGTTTTCTTAGTCGACTTCTTTTCTTTCTTCTCGTGCTTTGGTTTCTTGTCTTTGGCCTCTGTCTTCATCGTTTTAGTCTTAGAAGACTTCTTTTCCGACGGCTTGCCCATCTTTGTTGAGATCTTGTCTCTTAACGAAGACAAGTTCAACCCGGTTCCGTCCATCTTGCTACGTTATTTCGAGTACCACCTTTGTAACGTGAGTGAAGCTTGCCTAAACACTGAAAAATTTTAGACTGTATTTGGGATACATTGAAAAGTGATGAGCATCTCAGTTGCACACAGGAAATGTGACATCAATTCCCCAAAATGGAAATACAAGACAATTTATGTGTTTTGATCAAATTGGGAAGTGTCATACAATGTCACGTTCATTGATTGCGACATGGGAATCCCACTATAATAACTCAAGATTATGTGCAAAGGGTAAATAATAATAAGGAGTAAACCCTTAAAGATTGCTTAGACTGGCTCAACAGAATAACGATCACTAAGTACTTTTTGATGAGCTCTTTAGCAACAGGTAATTCCTTTTTTGTTTGGCTCTATTGGTAGGCATATACCCCATACCCCGCTCAACAAAAAAAAAAATAGTGTGTATACATGACGGGGACAATACTTTACCCCCAAATATGTGGTATGCGATTATCCCGGCCGGATTAATTGTTACAAACAGGAAAGAATTACGGAAAAAATGTTATGCGAGTTGGAAGTCCATCATTGGGGAAGATAACGACCCACAAAATCTATGTGCATATATATAAGCACACAAATGTTCGGATAATTCTGCGACAGTGAACTCTTTTTTCTTTAGCATAATTAGCAAACAGTTTAAACATGTCGTCAATAACATGGCCCCGTACAGATGCGACGGACATTCGGAAAAATAGTCTAGTCCAATTCCATGACCCATGTAAATATATCGTATGCAAACACTCATTAGGGTCTGGGTCGTATTCAAGTGTTGTCGAATGCAAAAATAAGATCACCGGCAAGCACTATGCAGCGAAAATGTATGCCAAAAGGCTATGCTATGGATACGAGGATATGCTACAGAATGAGTTCAAAGTGCTTCAACAAATATCCATGAGACATCCCAATATTCTAACATTAATAGATTACTTTGAAACAGAGGACTACATCTACTACGTTACTGATTTGGCAAAGGGTGGAGAGTTATTCCACCGAATCATAGACAACGGTAGTCTTGAAGAGTCCAGTGCTAGGCAAATTACTGCGGGTATACTCAAGGTCATTGCGTATCTCCATGATCGCTCGATTGTTCATAGGGACTTGAAGGCTGAGAACATACTATTCCAATCCAAAAACCCTAGTAAAAACCAAATTCTATTGGCTGATTTCGGACTAGCTACCATCGTGGACAATGGACCCAACCTTTTGGAGGTATGTGGTACCTTGAGTTATATAAGTCCAGAGATATTGAACCGTCAACCAGATGGTTACGGCTTGCCGATAGATATATGGGCAATTGGTGTTATAGTTTACTTTATGTTATGTGGATATATGCCCTTTGACTGCGAGACAGATGAAGAGACGAAAACCGCTATAACATCGTGTGACTATCTGTTTGAGCCTCCTGAATACTGGAATCACATAAGTGTTGACGCCAAAGACTTTATAAGACAATGCTTCATACTTGACCCTAAGTTAAGACCAACTGCCAGAGATTTATTGGAACATCCCTTTGTAACCGGGAAACTTGGCAAGCCCTCTAAAGCACCAGAACCAGTGGTACAATTGCTATCCCCTCCAAACAGTGGATCAAGTACCATGATGATACCCTCTCGTTCAAGTGAGTGTAATGATCATGAAAAGCTCAAGGAAGCTTTAACCAATATACTACAACCGAATCATAACTCAGCATTTATGAGAGTCCCTTTACAGCAGGGGGATCACATTCATCATTCATCAAGCGGAGCTAATTTAAGCAGACTTGCGTCAGCGACTAATTTACTAAAAGGGACATCTCGAGAGTCTAGCACTTCACAACTAAATCAAATGCGCTCACTGGCTAATATTGCTACGTATTTGGAACTGTCTAGACGTGCATCACTTCGTGAAGAAGCAAATCTGAGAGGAGGCTTTTGTAGTCCTCCCGAATTGGTTTCTAGATTTACCACACCTATCAATTCTACTTTTAATTCACGGGAAAACTCATACGAGTCTATGAGTTTCGGAAAATTAGCACCATTATCATTGACTCCACCGGAGCAATCCAAACCTACATTCTTTGTATAACCTATAATTCAAAGAAGAAAACCTATAGAGTATAGACAATAAGGACACTATTATCATTATTATGTTATAACTTCCTATTACATAGCGACATCATTTTTCTTATGACCGGATTAACTCTGAATCATGCAATGTATATCTTACCATAAGCATGTCACCAGATTTTTCCGAAATGCATTATCCAGAGTCACTCACTTTTCTAGCCAGAGTCAAATAGATCCAAGGTCGTGTACACAAACCAACACCACAAAAGTATGATAACCAAAATACAACACAAACAAACTGTACACGAAACCTGGGGACACAAGAATATATATATATATAATAGGCAGCTAACCACATTCTGAAATGTTAATATAGGGAATGGGAATAATTTATTTGGATAGTAATAAGCCGCGGGAGGAACAGGACTATCACGAGATCTATTCAGACTTGGATGAAGCTGATGAACTTGAGGTGATATTTGAGTATGACGATTCAGACTCAGAGTCAGATACTATTAATCATCGCCTCGAAGGTTTTACGTCTAAATTGAAGCAACCCGTTTTCCGTGAAGTCCTGAATGGCCCAATGGACGTACCCAAGTTCCCCAAGAGTCTATTGGATTTCGGGTTCCAAGAACCTCGAACGCGTCTTCGTAAGACTCCAACATCTTCTGGGATCGGCAGTGGCCAAGGTAGAGGTGAGATTATTCCTTATATAAGGCCGTTCCAGTTTCCAGACGTGAAAGATGTTTCCAAGGTGGCGGACCAGAAACGATCATTGGTGTGCTATGACTTGGATGAACAAGACTTTTGCTACTTGCAACATCGTAATAAGGGGAAATACGTTAAGCTAACACTTGAAGTGTTTGAAATCATGATGTCAGTGTTGGAAGTGGAGTGGCAGGAATTAGAAATGAGAATGCAATCTTTAAACCCTACTGTCTCTCCTATGGATGACAGAACGAGTAATACCACACTTGCATTGGACGATGAGAAATATGGCAACGATGATGGGATTGTATCATTGGACCAAATAGACGATCAGAAATGCGCTATATGTAACGAGAGTGATTGCGAGAATCTGAATGCTATAGTATTCTGTGATGGATGTAATATAGCAGTTCATCAAGAATGTTATGGAGTAGCATTTATACCAGAAGGCCAGTGGTTGTGTCGTAAATGTATGATCAGCAGACACAGTGAAGTGGATTGTATATTTTGCCCTAGCAAGACTGGAGCATTCAAACAATTGGACAATAGTTTGTGGAGTCATGTGGTATGTGCATTGTGGATCAATGAGCTTTATTTTGCCAATCCGATATACATGGAGCCAATAGAAGGCTTGGATTTAATTCCTAAGAGTAGATGGCGTTTGAATTGTTACATCTGTAAGCAAAAGAAGGGCGCATGCATTCAATGTTACAATAGAAGTTGCTTCCAAGCATATCATGTAACTTGTGCTAAAAGAAGTAATTTATACATGAAATTAACCAACGGAATAACTGGGGCAATAAGGAACAAAGCAAGCTTATTGTCGTTTTGTGATAAACATACGCCAGCGGGTTATTTGAATCAATCTGAGATTCATAAGAGTATCCATAAAACAAGACTATTCTTCAAGGATAAGAATATCCTTAAAGAACAAAATATGGCCAAATTTCAACATCAACAGTTGACAAATAGATTGAATAATCTCAAGTGGAAAACCAGTAAGAATACTCCTATCCCACCCAACGTATTTAGTGATAAACTATACGAAATTCTAACGATGTTAAAGATAGAAACCATGAATTACTTTGTGAAGAAGCTGAATGCGGTGAAAGGGTTGACGGTGCTTCCGAACATTTCCAAAGAGGACCAAAGACATGAAGTTCGACAAATCTGTAACGAGGTTTGTCGATATTGGTGTTTAAAACGGGAGCTGAAGAACGGAGCCCCATTAATCCGACGAAACAACAACATGGAATCAATGAGTTCCGTATTGTATGGTGCCAATAATCGTGACGAGATTAATAGAAAGATCGAATTCTCAGACGTTCTAGCTCGAGATTTGGACAAGCTACTCGACATGGTACTGCTAACTTCACAACGACAGAAACAGATGTTAGAGTCTTCGACGATAAGGCTCGACACCGTAAATCTCACATGCTTCTACTTGAAGAGCCAAATCGAAGAGGTTCTCAATAACATCTGTAAGAAAGTGGATGGTTCCAAGTCATTGATAGAATACGAAATAAGCATTGATAAGTTGTCGGCCAAATTGGAATCTGATGGTGGTCGGCAACTTTCACTTTTCAAAATCATGGAGAAAAATTATGCATTTGGATACACTCAAGTGTCGGAATTAAAGGATGATTTGGACAGACTCTTTCGAGCCATACAGAACAAACTTAAGCCGATATCTCTGTTACATAAGACGGCTAAGAAATGGTATCGTGAATTCAATGAAAACGGTTTGACGCAGTTGCTAGAGGCAGAGAAGATTAGCCAGTTTGGTGTTCCTGAAATGGAGAGATTGTATGAATTATTAAAGACTGATGAAAGTGCACGGCCCGCCACCGTTGAGCCAGAAGCTAGCATCAAAAAACGAGTTGGTTCGGCCAATCCCCGGAGGAAAAACACAAGGACTGCGAAGTCTCTGGTGGTACTAAGAAAACTGAAACGGACAACTGAGAAGGTTGAAGAGGAATCACTAAGCGATGTTGAAGATTTGAGTGAGGAGCACTGGAAGGAGTTAATAAACTTCATTCGGAAAAGACGAAGACGGTTATAAGATTCATAAGACAAGACAATCGGATATTGTTATAAAATAGGATGGACTAATTTTGTAGATCATTATGGTGGTGTTTTAGAATTGTTATAGTAAATATTATTAATATTACTACTTTACATAGTAGCTGGCTTTAAGAAGATGTAACGATAAGCTTGACTACGCTTTGCTTCGATGGGCGTGGATGTGGATCAGGTGTTTGGCAGACAAAGGACCCACAACGAGGTTGGCCTTGTTTTGTCGGATTAGGAAAAAAAACAACTTACAAGATCCCCCCCTTTAGTGAGGCTGAAGCTGAATTGATCTAGTAGAAAAGAATAACCTCAAACTAAAACTAAAGTATGCTGTCACTGAACAGTACGCAAGTGGGGTAAAGACGGTAGGAAATCAATCCATCACATTGACTGTAACAAGTCGTATTAGTTAGTGTGTGTGAAGGGTTCAAGTCCCTATTAGGAGCATATGGGGATGTTTTGAGACTTGTATGCCCTCATCTCTTTCCGGCGAATTTTCGTCTGAACTGGGGGTTTCGATTGTGTAGACGAGAGAATCATGTCTGTTACACATGAAGAGCATAACTAGGTACTGTGGAAAATAATTATATGTACCTGCGTTTTGTCATTTGTACCTGAATAGGAAATTCTGTATATAACATGCACTGCAACTAAAACAAGGTCATGTGGTAGGAGCACCGAGAGGTGAGAAAACGGAAGTGCATAAAAGTTTAGGGTTTGTTTATTAAACAAAGGGTAGAGACCAATCGCAAAGTTGCAATTGAGAAGAACAGTGACAGATATTGATCTGCCAAATAAGTGAAGGTACAGCAAATGGCGACACAGAATAGTTTGAGAGCGTGTCAGGTAAGTGAAACATAGGAATCCAACAATTTGATGCTTACTATTTTACATTAAACCAAAAGCAAAACCTAGTATGAAAACATTATATTGCTTATTGCAGCTATTATTGTTCCTCAAAGCCTGTTATTACTAATGACAAGAAGCTCATGTGGCTTATTTTTTATCGGGATTATCAACGTTATTGTTTTTACATAGATAAAACAAACAAGAAGGAAAAAATACTACCTTCTTACAATTTGACTTTGTACTACTGGGTCCACTGACACCCCTTGCATCGATTTTAAGAAAACCTCGATCGTACACCTAAACCATAACTTAAATTTGCAAAAAGTCTCGATCTCAGGTACGTTTACAGACCAGCGGAGACCCGTCAAAATGGAGAAGGGAATTCATAAACAACTTGGAGCCTAGTCCGCTCTCTGCTTTTATTTTTTTCTCGTCGCCACATGGAAGATCTTCGTTGTTTACAACATAATAATGCCATTATAAGCCATTCAAACACCTCGTAACACAAGACAACATATCGGTAATACAAAGCGATAGAATAATAACAAGCTTTGTTCGCTCCAATAAACTTGCGCCGTCAAGTTAGAACGTCGAATCGTTAGTAACTAGGTTGGCAGTAGGGTATTTTCAGTTCTCCTAGCCATTGTATTCTTTATATCAGTAAGAGAGAGTGTGCGTCACCTGTTATCAATCATACTGCCAATTATTGAAGATGGCTTGAGGTCTAGGCCCAGCGCAGGACTGTGTATACTTTAATATTTTTTTCTTTCTGCAAAACCCACAGCCACAATGAAACGACAATCTATCGTGCACAAAAACCTTTATTCCATCAGTGACATCCACTAACTGGCAGGTGGATTAGTTCAAACTGTCGATAACGAGCACCTTACACCCATTCCACAAATGAAACTATTAATGAACGGCAAATTGGGGTCACAATCTACTTTTCCAAAACTTCAAGGTTTCCATAATAATCTTGTATTACGAGCTCACGTGCAAGTGGAAAATAAGTCTATGTTCACTCTGCGAGAGGCTTAACAACTTTTACCTGGCTTAACTTAAAAAAAGACCACAGCTTAATAAGACGGCAATGGGCGTCGAAGCATCGCTCAGATCTTATTTCAAGTAAATCAAAATAGATAAAGGACTCAAAAGTTGGTTCCCCTGAGAGTTATGAAAATACTTTGTTTGTGTTTTTGTCGCTCAAAATAAAAAATAACAATATTTCTACTTTTGTATGAAAGAAGCATAACCCTCTGTTGCTATTGTCGCAAAACACTCAGAGCTATAACGCTATTCCGAAGGTCACAGATCTCTTTGGAGGGGATAATAGTTTGACCCACATTGGTATTAATTCCGAGGACAGCAATAAAATAAATCCAATTGTACACAATTAGTGGATAAACAAAAAAAGATAAAAACAATATAGGATGAATTAATAAGCTTTTCTTTCAGTCACATGCGAAAGGCACCAGGGCCTGATAATAATAGGGGGATCATAGTATGTATTGAAATAACCTAATTTCAGATCCGGCTGATCAATTATCCATAACGTTAGTTTTGGACCTGATTTCTGCCTTCAAATATTTTCAATAGGCTCAATAACAAAGATAACAAATATCTGTTGGTTTTGGCCCCATGCCATAAAAACTTCGTACCTGTACATAATATTTTTGGCCTGCAGCAAACATATGCATGAGCAAGGCAACCGTGCAGTACAAGAAGCTGTGGTTTTCTTAGTTTAAATCTATAACCTTTACTCACGCTTGCTCTATTGTGACAGTTTATACTGAGAGCATGTTTATTATAATACGAAAGTAGCTTTTGATAAACAGTGGCATTTAAGGTGGTAATAAAATGAGTTGATAAATCTGTTTTTTGGCAAAACCTAATCTCAAACAAAAAGAGGTACAAACTGCCGAGTATTGTTTTGTACTAAATGTTACAAAAAAGGTTAAAGAACCAATTTTATCGTTGATGCAGCCTCATCTTGTTTCTACCAAGAATCAGAAAGTAGGTTAGGATTATATGTGTCAAAGAACGACCAGTCATTAGGTACCGTGGCTATATGTACATATGTATACATAGTATGTTGGGACACATAAATACAGACATACAGACATATATACGTACATACATACATAATGCACACAGATACATGAGAAATACACTTCTACTTAAACCTACACATATTACTTGTAGTAATTCGTAAAATTAAGCCGATTCAAATGGGTACCTGACCACTAGGAACATGTAAACAAAACTCTTGTAGATGAGCCCCGAAAGATTTTCTCAATAACCAGGTGAACAACACAATATATTTTTTTGCTAAGTGTTAAAATACCAGATACAAAGAAAGCGTAAACCATAGGGGAAAATAGAATTAAGACAAAAGCAAAAGCATTTGTTTGTGCATCATGCACTCTGCAGGCGATTTAGTTCAACTGTTTTAATGCAAGACCCATAAGGCTTCCCCAACCGATTTCTTATAAAAAATCGTAGTTGACTTTTGTGATCTAATAGGAAATCAAACACTTCTATATATTCCCATCGAAACCTCTTGCAAAAGCTAATGATATTAAAATGTTTCTTTTCCCTCCTTCCTTCTCTTTTAACTTATTAATAAGCAGCAGTGTACCCTAATTCTGGTTATCGTCGTTAAAAGCGATAGTACTGAGTATATAAGCAGCAAACACAATTAAATTTACTGGGTACCAGGTGATATATTCCGATCCCAGAATTATCATCATCTGATATAGTTATTTACTAACTTACCCAATCACAACCTTTTCCCACTTTCAAGAAGAAGCTTAGGTTAAAGGGTAAAGGTGATCTCCATACAAAGCGATCAACATTGTACTCAACTCCACCTTAGCCAAATTGCAAACCACACAACCTTTTTAATACCAGAGGTGGTCAAAGACATATAAAGATTCTTTGACATAGTTCCGTCTGGGTAAAAGTGTATTCCTAATTCATCACTACCACAGATTATACATTTTGGTATCTGATAGCAAAACCGTTGTATTCATTCCTTTTTAATTCCAACTAAATGTGTTTCCGCTACCTGATCTAAAACCTATCAATCATCATCATAATAATCATCCATTGTTTGTCCTCTATTGTCACATAATATTATAATAGAAAGCATCAAACAACCAACAATAATTAATACAACCTTCTGCCCCTCAAGTTCTTCAGGATTAACTTTGCAACCATATCCACCTTATTGATGTCTCAGACTCCGGCTTCTACGCCATCAAGAGCTAAAAACCTTCCTTTGATTGTTGATATAGCAATTGGCAATGATGGGAAGCAGCTTTATCAAGTTCACGAATCTGCCAAAGGCGAAGTTAAAGACATGCCCAGATCATCAACAGGGTTTGAAAAAGCTGCCGAAGTTGGTAGTCATGATTCAATGTATAATACGCAACCAAATGGTAGCAATGCTACTACCACTGTCTACAGCAATATGACCTCAGATGGAAATGGCCCAGTTAAATCTGATTTAGGCTCAGCTCCTGACGACGTTGGAAATCTAGATCTTGCCTACTCGGAAAGCATGTCTGCTATTGACCAATACAAGCAAGACACAAATGACCACCCCAACCAAAACTATCATTCTTCGATTACGGACACCAAACTACCAATTACTGTTAAGAAGGAAATAGATAACTTGAGTCCCACTAGCTTGGAACGTGAACCTGGTACTTATCATAATCCGCCACAGTACTATCCGTTTCAATCTCAGGGCCACTCTCATGAACCTGTCAGTTCCTTTCAACCACCACACCCACCACCACCACAAACATATTTCTATGATTCTGAAGCAATGGATGGCCACGGTCCACATCATGGAAACCCTATGATTGCTTCTGGTACTTCTGATTCCATGCCAATTGAATATCATGTCTCTAATGCAGCTGAAGATCTTGCCAACAGTGGTCTGCTATTAGATAGTGCTTCTAAAATTCCGGAGAGTGATATTTGGTCTGAAGATGTTTCCGAAGCATTTGAAGAAATCCTTGCTATCATCCCTAAGAATGGCTTGAACAAAATCAAAATCAGTGGCCGATCTTGTGGTAGAAACGAATTGATCTCAGACTACATTCTAACTAAAACAGGTAAGCATAGGTCCAGAAAGCAAGTTTCTTCTCATATTCAAGTGATTAAGAACTTGGGTCAGAAACAGAACATAATCAAATTGATCAAAGATGGACCCGTTTTCAATACTGAAGAAGAAAGAATTGCTAACTCCAAGAAGTTTGAGGCAATCTTTTCCAAGATCAACCTTAATAAATCTTTGGGGTTGAATGGCGACTCTTTAAAAGCACCAGAAAATTCCTCAGTTGTTGGCCTGGGCTATTCTAGAAAGAGATCATATGAACAACTATCTACAACGGCTACAACTGATAAAAGACAAAAGTCTGCCCCCATTAGACAATATGCTATATCCAACTTCTTCATTTCTCTCTATGACGATTACAATTCAAGTCCAATCACACTTTGCATTCAGAAGGACAATAGTGAATTCAAGAATTTAAAATTGAAAGGCGACGCAAACATATCTACCAGATTCCCGGGGTTATTACAGTTCCAAGATAATAACATCCCCATTATTCATACCATGGTTAACTTGAAATACCCAACCCAGGTTGCTAGTCCAGAATTCTTTGAAAAAGGATTAAAGACGAATATCTCTGTTCAAGAACTCAATTATGGAGCTGGTGGTTCCGACGGAGGAGCTTTATCGATATTTTCATCAGTTTATTCATATGGAAATGAAGTTCTCAAGTTCAATGAAGAAAACTTTATGCTTGGAAAGAATCATCCATTTTTGCATAAATTCTGGCTGTTTTATTTAAGCAAGTTAGTTGGAAAATCTGATGAAGATATTGCAAATGCTTTGAAGAGTCTTACTATCAAGCAAGTAGCATTTTCTCCCTCTAAGAAACAGGCAAATTCAGGCATAATTTCCAAACTGCGGATTAAGGCCGTTCTTCTCTGGGAATTTGCAAGTGCTACTGACTTAAATGATGCTACAACAGTCTCTACTAAGTTACTACTTCCAAGTGCCGAATCACTGCCTCTAAACTATAACCACGGGGGGCAACCATTACCGGTGGCACATCAGTTCTCTCCAGAACCCCCAATTACACATCATCAAGGAGATAGTGGGGTTATGTCCCTTCCATCAGCAACTGAATATTTACCTGTAAATTCTAATGTACCTGGCAATCCTAATTTACCTGGTGGTGTCAATTACACTACTGTCCCTACAAGTTATGGACCTCCAGATTCAGCAACTGCATATCAAGAACAACCATTAGGAGGACATCAAGGGAATAATCAATTCCAGGTACAATCAAAGTTCCAGAATCTCCAAGAAGTTGCAAACCAAAATCTTTCTACAAGATCTGCTAGTTATCCAATGGTGCAACCATCAGTTCAAAAGCATTTACATATTCCATTACAACCTCCTCCTCCTCCTCCTCCCATACCAGCCCAAACTTTACAGCCACAAATGATTCCGTCTTTTGACAACGTTGCAACTATGCCAATCGGTGGACTGAACGACCTTCATCGGTATCCACATCCATCAGCCAAAGTAGACTTGATGACCACTGCAATTCATCATAAGAAAACTCCTGGTGGATATCCTCCAATGCATTTGACGGAAACCAATGCCCTTCAACCTATAATTCAAGAGGAGGGTTCCTATCAATCCCCTCCACTTAAAGAGCCGCCTCACAATTTAGGTGAAGACGGATCTGGCTACAAGCCAGTCTACTATCCAGATACATATGTGAGTGACCTCTCGTAGTTGATTTACGTGTCGTAAACGAGTGGTGAATACTATTGCCCTTTTCTTTCTTTATCGTCTGTACTATATTTTTTTCTCTGTGTGGAATGTTAGCTTCCCCTTATCTTATTTCTTTGTGTATACGTTTTTACTGTATAGGTTATTGCATAGAACGCACATTACCTTGCTTTTCTAGCACTTCGCTTGCATAGCCTTTGCATGGCTACATGCGTTTGATGTTATGCAACACGGTTCTTCGTTATTTTGTAACGACAGTGGGAGAAGCAAGAATGTCACCAGAATCTCATAACTTACGAATCTCTGCAGGTAAAGTTTGTACTTCTTGCTTTGATCGGCCATGGCCTAGACAGCAATTTCTATTATTTTACAATAATAAGCTCCAACACTTAATTGCGAAAAAAAAAAAGAACCCTAGCTTCCACGCATTACATTATATTATATGGAACAACATCCAATTTGTTTGATACTCAACTACACGCAGGTAAGCGCACTACTGACACTCCCATCTACTTGCTACCGAGATCAACAATCAACAATCAACAATCAACAATCAGGCTTTCCAGTCTTCTAAATGAGGCTTCGTTTCGCATATCTTCAAACTCCAAAGTATGGTCTCAGGGGTACCTCAGAAAAACAATATGGGGTCTTCCTGGTTGGACAATTATTTCAACCATCTTGAAACACATAAGCTCTCATGTTTGTTTCAGATATACTGATTCGGATACTTGAGCTGTTTAGAACTTTCTGGAGATCCCATTTCAAGATTTAATAATGCAATATCATTATCTGTGACTATTTAGGCAATCCTGTGATCAAGGTTGAAAGATACGAACTCCGGTTCACTTTCTTTTTGTTGCCTTACTGATAAAGTTTAAGATCATGTTGTATGCATACATTCATAATAAACTTTTCATTGGTCATAGGTTAGAACCCATGCAATGAATTCAAGCTATTTAGCAGAGATGCGATGGTACCAGCGCTACCAACATAGTCAAATTATTAACTCCATTTTATGGTAGCACCGACTGTATGAAATTTGACTCGGGTTAAATAATTATCATCATCATCACCTCCACTGAATTGTTCTCATCGAAAGCAACTCACCCCACTCCTTCTTAAACTTTACTGCTCAACACCATCAACTCTATACAGAACTCAAGATGGACGGAAAGATCGTTGGTATTTTAGGTGGTGGCCAATTAGGTCGTATGCTTGTAGAAGCAGCCCATAGATTGAATGTCAAGACGGTGATCTTAGAGTCAGGCACTGATGCTCCTGCTAAACAAATCAACGCAGTTGGAGCCCATGTCGATGGGTCCTTCAAGGATTACAAGTCCATAGCCGCCTTAGCGGAGAAATGTGATGTTTTAACCGTGGAGATTGAACATATCGATGTTGATGCTTTGATTAAAGCTCAAAAGGAACATAACGTGGAGGTTTATCCGTTACCAGAAACCATTAGATTGATCCAAGATAAGTACACCCAAAAGGAACACTTGATTCAGCACGGAATCGATGTGGCCGAATCTGTTGCTGTGGAATCCACTGAGCAAGCATTGCAAGAAGTTGGAAGCAAGTATGGTTACCCATTCATGTTGAAGGCTCGTACTTTAGCTTATGACGGTAGAGGGAATTATGTTGTCAAGACCGAATCTGATATTAGAGAAGCCTTGAATTTTTTGAAAGATAGACCTTTATATGCTGAGAAATGGTGTCCATTCACCAAAGAATTATCTGTCATGGTGGTAAGAACCATTGAAGGTGAAGTGTTTGCTTATCCTACTGTTGAAACCATTCATAAAAGAAATATTTGTCATTTGGTTTATGCTCCTGCTCGTATTAACGACACTGTCCAAAAGAAAGCATCTTTGCTTGCCATGAATGCTGTGAAGTCCTTCCCAGGTTGTGGTATATTTGGAGTTGAAATGTTTGTCTTACCAGATGGAGAATTATTAGTTAATGAAATTGCTCCAAGACCTCATAACTCCGGCCATTATACTATCGATGCTTGTGTGACTTCACAGTTTGAAGCCCACATTCGTGCGGTTGTGGGTTTACCAATGCCTAAGGGTTTCACTTCCCTTACTACCACAATTACCAATGCTATTATGCTTAATGTTCTTGGAGATGATGACGTTCCAAACAAGGAATTGGAAACCTGTCGTAGAGCATTAGAAACCCCAAATGCTAGTGTATACCTCTATGGGAAGTCGACTAGACCTCAAAGAAAAATGGGACATATTAATATTGTTTCTTCTTCTATGGAAGATTGTCAAAGTCGATTGGACTACATTGTTGGAGACTCCGATTTGATTCCTGAAGGTATTGAATCAAAGGAGAAGCCTTTGGTGGGGATAATCATGGGTTCTGATTCAGATTTGCCTGTTATGGCTGTTGGTGCCTCGATTTTGAAGAAGTTTGGCGTGCCATTTGAAGTTACTATTGTTAGTGCTCATAGAACTCCTCATAGAATGTCCAAATATGCAATTGAAGCTCCTAAAAGAGGCTTGAAGTGTATCATTGCTGGTGCTGGAGGAGCTGCTCATTTACCAGGTATGGTTGCAGCCATGACACCTTTACCTGTCATTGGGGTTCCAGTTAAAGGGTCTACTTTAGATGGTGTTGATTCCTTGCACTCAATTGTCCAAATGCCCAGAGGTATTCCTGTTGCTACTGTTGCCATTAACAACAGTACCAATGCAGCATTGTTGGCCATCAGAATCTTGGGAGCGTATGACTACAAATGGTTACAGGAGATGAACACTTATATGAACAACATGGAGAACGAAGTTTTGGCTAAGGCTGAAAGATTAGAAACAGTGGGATTCGAGAACTATTAATATTGATAGTCCAGGCAAATAGTATATAATATAATAATGATGATCAAGTAGTATTAGTGTACAAGCGATTTAATCGTATATAATAAAGACCAAAATAAAATATGCTAATAATAATAATGATAATAATAATGATAATGATAAGAAATGAAATATAGTGCAACCCTATTAAAATTTGGTGGTCTTCTTCTTTAACTTTAATTGCTTCTTCTTATAGTGTTGGCTCCGAGAATCTCTCCAACCAGAGGTTTTGACCTTCTTATCACTAGAATCTTCTTCCATCTTGGAATCATCCTTTTCTTGTATAGTAGTTGCTTCAGACTTTTGTTCCTTTTGTTGTTCAGTCTTCTTCTCCAATACTTGGGCAATTCTTAAACTTCTTGCTTCTGAATGCTCTTTGAATTCCTTTCCACGTTTGATGGACTTGGTTCTCAACTTCGACTTGGATCTAATAGATTTACCCATGATGTTATTATGTGGCGACAGTAGTTAGTAGAAGGGTGTATATCTTATTGATACCTCATCTCATCGCGCTCTTATTATAATCTACCACCCCGATAAATTTCAAACCCTAAAATTGAACATCACGTGCAATACTTCTCACTATAGCCCTAACAATCTCAATAAGTCACATTTAAGAACTAAAAATCTTGTGAGGAGAAAATCGTAGACGGTCTTAATTTTTGGGGGCTCTCCTCAGTTGCACAGCGCTACCAATTATCATTTGTGACACAAATGTTATTTTAATGGTAGCGCTATGTGTTTTGGTAATTGTTTGTGTAACCATATGAAAATTTTTGTGTCCATATGCAGTCTTCGATCAGTAAAAAAATTTTCTATTGAGGAGGGATGGCAATTGACGATAGTAATGAAACCCACCTCTCTTCTTATTTCTCTTTCTTCCTTTTAGTTTAGAGACTTAGATAGCACTACGATCAATCAAAATGTAAGTGTTGATGATAACCAGAACTAGCCAGATCCGAAGAACACATACGACCGTGATACCTCAGTTACCGTGGATTACAGAGAGGGACCTTGGACACAGAATAAGGGGGAGATTACAGTACCATCATGAAATTGAATGTGATGGAAGAATCCGTTTGTGGATGGCATCTATGTGAATGGTGGAGAGGATTACGTTTGATGACATACGATGACCAAAATTTCTACGAGGCAACGATGTAGTGATGCACACATACCAGCAAGGAGGTTGTGGTATTATTTGAATGACAATATCGACTGGTATTTGCCACTTCCTACTTCCATTGGATTCCATTAGTTTGTCCGTCAGATGCCTGCATTGCTCGGTTTCTCCTTCCTTGGTTCAACCTGTGGATGTCAGCACACTTGGATTAGTGTGGTCATTTTTCCTAATGCCATTTCCGCACTGTATATAACTGCGATCACAAGGTCTAAAATTTTTCACTCTTGGTTTTTTCACTTTTAATTAATTCATTTATACTAACAACAGTATGTCTAGGGCTAACCTCAGAACTCAAAAGAGACTTGCTGCTAGCGTTATCGGTGTCGGTAAGAGAAAGGTCTGGTTGGACCCTAATGAAACCACCGAGATTGCCAATGCCAACTCCCGTCAAGCTATTAGAAAGTTGTACAGAAACGGTACCATTGTCAGAAAGCCAGACACTGTTCACTCCAGATCTAGAGCTAGAGCTTTGTTGGAATCCAAGAGAGCTGGTAGACACACTGGTTACGGTAAGAGAAAGGGTACCAAGGATGCTCGTATGCCATCTCAAGTTGTATGGATGAGAAGATTGAGAGTCTTGAGATCTTTATTGGCCAAGTACAGAGATGCTGGTAAGATTGACAAGCACTTGTACCACTCTTTGTACAAGTCTGCCAAGGGTAACACCTTCAAGCACAAGAGAGCTTTGGTTGAACACATTATTCAAGCTAAGGCTGAAGCCCAAAGAGAAAAGGCTTTGAAGGATGAAGCTGAAGCTAGAAGATCGAAGAACAGAGCTGCTAGAGAAAGAAGACAACAAAGAATTGCTGAAAAGAGAGAAGCTTTTTTGGCTGAAGCTTAATTGGGTTTTTAGTTAATTGGAACTTTCTTTTGTCATCACTTTATTAATCTACTTCATACGATGTATATTTAAGACCTAAAACAACTGTTAGTACACTGTAGTACATAAAGCACTGTTACAGTATATTACATTGTACTTGTTACACCGTATGTATTATGTTATATTAAAACTATGTTATGCTGTGTGCTCTAGAGTCGATGACCTGGAACTAATACGAATAGTATGGTGAGTATAGCAGTACATAGAGCAACTAGAAATGTCACCCATATACTTCTTCTCAAAAGTAAGTTTCTCACAAACTTGTCCTTGATTAGGAGAAACGAATTCTCTCTTGTAAATGATTCGCCATAGCCCAACCAAATTAATATGGGATCAACCAAATATACCGACGTGATGAGGAAATAAAACCCGATGGCATAGGGTATTAGGATCAAAAGTCTAAGGGATTTTCTGGTATTCAAAAAGATAAAAATGAACCCAATCCAGAATGCAATAAATATAAAAAAGAACCCTAAAAAGATTCTTAAAAAGCCTGTATGATTGACGTTTCTAATGGCCACGAAATTCAAGAACCGAGGAAGATAATCATTCTCTAGTCTCGAAAAGACAAATAACCGTACATCATGAAAGATATCTGGATCATCACGACCTTCGACTTCTATGGCTTTAATGATTTCTTTATTCATTTTATTGGGTAAATATAAGTTCTTTTCTGAATCCTCCACAAAATATTTCAAGAGTAAATTATGGGATGATTCCTTCAAGTTATTTCTGGTGATAAACGAGTTGGATTCAGACATTGGTCTATGAACCAATTTCTCTAATAATGCAGGGTTAATGGATGTTTCTTTCTTCAGTGGGGCCATATTGGGGTTAATGGCTCTATCAGCTTGACCAATCTCCATGGACTCGCCTAGACTCTGTTCGTCCATCAGTTTGGAATGAGAGCTGAATCGCTTCTCATTACCACCACCACCTTGAACATTGGGGGTTGGAGGTTTGGAAAATACAAAACTAATTTGCGTAGGGGTTCCCAAGATACTAGACCCATTTGATGATCGATTATTGGTTGTTTCATTATATCTCAGAATCATATCTCTTAACTTGGGATCAGCATTTTCGAGTTGGATATCACCTCTTAAGAATTGTGATAATCTATTGGAATCACTGTCTTCCAAAATATGATCGTTCAAGATCAAATCTAACAAGATCGATGAACTGAGTGATTTGTGTTTCCCATCTCCCGGACTTTGAAATGGGTCTGTTGGACTACCAGGTCCACCTCCACCACCACTACTATTAGTGCCTCCTCCAGTATAGTGGTTATAGGATTGACGTACTATGCTATCTCTAAGACCCTTGACATAGTGCTTACACAAGTTCAAGTGGTTTATCAACTCGAACCAAAAATCCAAGTAATCCAGTTTCCCCTCTATCTCATCCATATATCGATAGAAGGTCCGTAAATCAACGGGGGACTTGGTCTTATTGGCGAGAATCTCTCCAAGAGTGGGCAACCGGTTCAAATGAATCGTCTGGTTGGTGGCATGGGGGTTATTGAGATTAGATAGGTAATGTGTGTTGGGATAGTCCGCCTGGGACTTTTCGTTATTCATAGATGAAGCTAGTATTGTTTATAGTGGTAGTGTTTTATTATTATTGGTGTTGTTTGTGGTTATATTATGATCACGTTAGGGCCTTGGTGGTTTTTGTTAGCACGAAGCTTGTAGTATTGTGACTGCTATCGGGACCGTGGTGGAACTTCTTCTTCTCCTTCTTCTTCTTCTTCTTCTTCTGCTTATTGCGTAGTTCTTCTTGTTGAACTTGATTTGATTTCGGATGAGTTAAGGCGACCGCCCTGAAATCAAACTATCATTGTGTACTTTGATAGCACTTTTTTTCCATTGCAAGAAGTGCTGTGTCGCGACACGTGTTGCCAAATCAGGAAAGACATCAACAGTGAGAAGACGATAAATACCAGCCATTCGTTTCAGAAACAAAGTAGAATGTTTCGAATTAGTGGGAAATGGGGTTATATGCAGGCTGTAGTGGTCCACGTACGATACTACTGATTCACATAAAACGAACACCATACTAACGACCAGCCAGCCGTCAGTTGATACTTTGATATAAGTATGGTACCCTCAGAACCGAATAAAAGGTAATTATCAAATGCGATATGCCACTACTATGCCTTAAGGCCGTTAAGGATGCCTGTCTGTAACCAAGTAGAATCATGATGCTCATGTAAGCAATGACCAAGGACAATCATAGTTAGACGAGTTAGAACAATATTGGACATCTGTATGTGGATCATAATCCATTGTTTGCATGAAAAATCAAAGTATTCCGTCAAAAAATGCATACTTACGTAAGAACATCTCGATCTTACGGTTGGAAGGAGACGAAGCTATTGAACCTATTGAGAAGTAGCTGTATTAAGTAGTACCGTAATCTATAGTGCTAACTAATACATTGCTAACCAACACTTGCTAATACTGGCGTAAGTATCTCTATGTGTCACGTGACCTGCAGAGATAGGACATTCAAGTTCATACGGCAGAAATGTAGATGATATTTTGTATGTACACATCTTTTTACTATATACGACATACTTGCTATGCCTTATCTCCGATATTAACATGCTTCTACTGGTGGAGCATCACAGAACTTCTCAAACAACGTGGGCTTCTTGCTCAAGTCTCGTTCGGTATAATTAGAACTCTTAACCATCTTGAAAGCCCCAGTACCAACACTCATGGTTTGTCCCAAGATAATACACTCCGAAACCCCTTCTATCTTGTCCTTCTTCATGAAGAAAGCCGCATCAAACAAATGGTCAGTGGTCTTCTCAAACGATGCCAATTGTAAAACAGAATCTCTCATTTTGGCCAACCCAAATCTGGTAATACCCAAGACTTCTCCCTTGTAAGTCATGACATCACCTAAAAGTTGGATATGACGAGGATCCACACTCATACCGTGATTACTCATGGTATAGTCGATTTCTCCAATGATAGAAGATCTGGCTGCTTCAATACCAAGGACTTCAAACACTTCCAACACGTGGTTTGTGACAGTCTTAGTACCCACCACACCTTCAGTGCTCATCACGTCCTTTAATCCGTATCCTTCAACCAATAATTCTCTCTTACCGTCGTTCCTGATGTTGATCACCGCACGTGAGATGTTGGGCAAACCCTTGACACAAATATGAGGTAAAGCACGTTTCAATTGTTGCATTCTAAAGAAGATGGCATTCTTATTTATCTCTTGCTTCAAAGAATCAACCTTAGAGTCTCTCACAGTAATCAAAACACTAATTCTGTCTTCTCCAGTAATACTAACATCAGCAGGCATGATCTTCAACTTTGGAGCAGCGGCAATGGCTCTGGCTATTTGATCAATAGATAACTCCAATTGTAATTTTTCAATGGTTTGAAGGTCAATCTTCAATGATAAATACGCCATATTGTTCTTGTAAACATCTTCAATGTAATATGTGACATCTTCCAATAGTGTCTTCTCGATTCTTCCTTTAACCACCCGAGCAGCAATCTCATCATTATCATTAACCAATACAGAATTAATGATGGGAGTCGAAATGGTCTTGGAGGCATTAATAATTTCCTTAATACGAGGAACACCCAATGTAACGTTCATAGAAGCAACACCCGCAAAATGGAAAGTCTTTAATGTCATTTGAGTACCTGGTTCACCAATAGATTGTGCACCAATAGCACCAACTGCAGTGCCTGGCTCAACCTTAGCCTTATTGTACTTATAAATACATTGTTCCATGAATTTAGATACTGCCTTTTCAGAAAGTTTGCACAATTGATTCACAGAGTTCAATTTGATTTCATCTTCATCAATTTCAATCTCATCACCATCTTCATCAATTGGAGCACGCATCCATGGCCGCAATCCCATTTTCTCTCGGATTTGTCCCAATACTGTTGATTTCTTATTCATAAACTCTCTAATGGATTGATAGAAGTCTCTTTCGGCATCATGCTGATCCACAAATTCAATTCTATCCAAATCTCCAGGGCTTACTGTATTACCCAAATTGTCGAATCTAACCAATTTGAGTTCTAATGGTACCAAAACCGTGTCAACCAATTGACTGACCTCATAGGGCAATAAACCCTTATCGTTGATATCAAAAGAAAGATTGTATGCATGGTCCCATTGCCTGTTGAAGTTAACTGGTTTGGCATCACCTTCCATATCGAAAGGATCCAACCCATCACCACCATATGAAAATTGAACAATCCCATTTGAAGAATTCCGAACAGTGGAATCGTATTGAGCAGATAAATCTTCTAAAGATTTCATTAATCTTCTGGACATATACCCAGTTTCAGCTGTCTTGACTGCAGTATCAACCAACCCTTCTCTACCTGAAATAGCATGGAAAAGAAACTCAGGAGGAGAAAGACCACTAAAGAAAGAGTTTCTAACAAACCCTTTCGATTGTGGGGTCTTGGAATTCTTAGGGAAATGAGGTAAAGATCTATCTTGGAACCCATCGGGCACACGATTACCAGAAATAATCTGTTGACCCACAACTGCCACCATTTGAGAAACATTTAACGTGGAACCTTTAGAACCACAAGTAGCCATAATTAACGGAGCATTGAGAGAATCCAATTCTTTAATACAAATTTCACCAACTTGTTCTCTAACTTTTGATAACAACCCACCAATTTTAGCTTCTAATGTTTGTTCTTCGTTACAACCAGGTTGTGTTTCCAAGCTACCCTTGTTATATAAGTCAATTAATTCATCACACTTGGCATAAGCTTGTTCAACCATATTTTCCTTTTGACTCTTCAAATGATCATCTGGAGTCACATCATTAATACCAATTGAAAATCCTCTATCTCCCAAGAATCTAGCACATAATTTCGACATTCTATTCATTGTCTTAGCTGCTTCCACAGGTCCATAGTCTCTTAAAATGGTATAAAAAACCGAATGCTTCTTCCCATCACCCAATGTTGATTTATCCATAACTCCGCTCAAGATTTGTGAACCTCTAATAACCACAAACCCATCGTTTGGTGACATTTCCGGTGGGAACCCCTTTAATGGGGGGACATATGTTTTATTCTTTGCATCAACATTAATGATAACATTTGATTTCTTATTAGGCCTAATCAATAATGAAAAGACTTGTTTCCCTGTCCATAATTTAACTGGTTTAAATATGGTAGGAGGAGGTAAGTCAAAATGCTCATCGGCATTTGACATCATGCACAATAATTGAACCAATCCACTTCTATCAAAGAAAGAATCTTTATGAGAAATCAAATATGATCCCGTAATAAAATCTTGAGTAGCAGCAATGATTGGTTCACCAGATTTTGGAGTTAATAAATTATTCTTAACTCCCATTAAATTAATAGCTTCTGCTCTTGCTTCTTCAGTTTGAGGAACATGTAAGTTCATTTCATCACCATCAAAATCAGCATTATAAGGTGTACAAACACATTCATTAAGTCTGAAAGTTCTCCAAGGTCTAATTTTGGCATAATGAGATAAAATAGAAAGCCTATGAAGTGAAGGTTGTCTATTAAATAAAACAACATCTCCATCTTCAATATGTCTTTCAACAACATCACCAATTCTTAAATTCTTGGACAAATGAGCTCTATCACCAAACCTCAAGTTTCTCTTACCATTTTCACCTTGCTTAAACAAATAATTGGCACCAGGATGAACATCTGGACCATTTAGGATTAATTTCTGAAGCTTAGACTTATTATATCTGGTACATTTCTCAGGATATGTTAATACTTTGGCAACTCTATCAGGAACAGCAACTTGATCAATACTTAAATTTGGATCTGGAGAAATGACTGTTCTACCTGAAAAGTCAACTCTCTTACCAGACAAATTGCCTCTAAATCTCCCTTGCTTCCCCTTTAATCTTTGACAGAACCCTCTAATTGGTTTGGACGATTTCGTGGCCGAGTTCCCACTTTGCCTTGCAAGTAATGCAGGATTGGCTGAATCTGAATTGATATACATGGCCACCGATAATTGCAAATAATCCCAATGCTCCATCATAAGAGTTATGGTGATACCTGCTTCAACCCCCTCTCTAATCTTCTGGGACATATAGATGATTTCAGAGAGTTTAACCGTGATGTCATCTTCATTTGTTTGATTGTCCATCATAACTGAAGGACGAATACAAACTGGAGGGGCAGGTAAGTATCTCCAAATGTACATTTCAGGTCTACCACCTCTGGCGGTGTCAATACCAAATAATTCACAATCACTAGGAGTTATTTGTTTGAATAAACTTAACACTTTTAATGGGTTCAAATCTTCGAATACTCTTTTAGCAAACTTCTCCAACTCTGGGTTTCTTAAGAATACTTCATCAAATTCCTTATCCCATTCCTCTTTCTCGGGAGTCGCCTTTTTACCAATCCATCTAAAGGTATCATGAACAATCTTCAAAGCTGCTGGACCTGCACCACTTGCAGCCTTTTTAACCACCCCATTGACATGATTACACTTAAGACATCTTCTTTGCTTCTTACATTGGTCCAGGATCTTCTTTAGGATCTTCATCCGACGTAAATTATCCAAGTTGGGTCTCCGTAAATCCAGCAAGAACTTTCGTTTAACTTCTTCTTCCAAGAGTACCGAAGCACAGTTCTTACAAATACATTGCAAGATCAGTAAAATCGATTTGAAGTAACCCACGTGGAAAACAGGTAATGCAAGCTTGATGTGACCAAAATGACCATGGCATGATGCTAAATCCTCATGACAAGTTCCACACTGTTGAGCATTAGATGATATACCCATTCTGGTGTCCAAGGCACCTTCTTTGAAGGCGATTCTGGCCTCATTGGGTCCCTTACTATACAAGTTGGAACTGACCAATTCGACTTCTGATTGGGCCACAATGTCCTTGGCGGAGAGAACCCCAAACTCAAGGCCCTTGATGCACTTGGGGGTGGAATCTTTGACTGTTTCCTTCATATCAGATCAAGCCGATTCGATTCACCCTTGTACAATTTCCCAATAGTTTCCCAATACAATACTATGAGGCGTACTGTAGTCGTACTGTAATATACGCTGTAGAGACACAGTGTACTGGACTATTCCCTTTATGTTAGTGGTTATATGTTGTCCTGTGGGTGTGATTAGTAGACTGTTGATTAGACAGATGGCATCTCATAATCTATTAAATGCCATTCTCAAATAGGAAAGACGTGTCCTGAAAATTTTATTGCTTACATAAGAAATAGACCAAGAAATCAATAGGTGGCGATCAACTCTGAGGTAAACCGATTACTTACTGCTATTACCATACTTACTGATATTGTTATTATTACTACTACTAATATTGGTATTACCAGTCACAATGTCGGAAAAGGAAGCCAGCGGTGCCAGTGCACCAGCAGACGAAGTCAAAGAAACAATCAAGACCCTTGAAGAAGACGACGAATTCGAAGACTTCCCAGAAGATACCCAATGGACGAACGAACCCAACCCACATCTCAATGCAGCCAATTTGTGGGAGGAAGATTGGGATGATGATGATAATAACGATGACTTTTCTTTGCGATTGAAGGCGGAGTTAAAGAGTTCTCAGAAAGCTGCTGCTTAGGGCCCGGCGCCATAGGTCCAGTGTATAATAGAGTATAATCGTGCTATAATAAAGTATAATCATACGGTAGGGAGTTAAGCTCATTACTACAGTTACGTTCCATTTATTATCATCATTATTATTTAAGTATATTAAGCATAGAAATTAGATGACTTGGACTTTCTAGCCTGGACCTCGCTAATGGCTTCAACAAAGTCTTCATGCTTAATAATAGACTTACCGTTTCTTAAAGCAATCATACCTGCTTCAACAGTAACTGCCTTCAATTGAGCACCATTAAATTCATCAGTAGAACGTGCCAATTCTCTCCAATTAATAGAATTATTATCACAGTTTAACTTTCTAGCATGAATCTTCAACACAGATTCTCTGGCTTCTTCAGATGGCAAGGGGAATTCAATCTTTCTATCCAATCTACCTGATCTTAATAAAGCGGGATCTAAAGTATCCACACGATTGGTAGCAGCTAAAACTTTAACTCTATCATCTGATCCAAACCCATCCAATTGATTCAATAATTCCAACATTGTTCTTTGAACTTCTCTATCACCACTTTTATCTGAATCAAATCTCTTGGTTCCAATAGCATCTAACTCATCAATAAATATGATAGCGGGTGCCTTTTCCTTGGCCAATGCAAATGCATCACGAACTAACTTAGCACCATCTCCAATAAACATTTGTACCAATTGAGGAGCTGCCAACTTTAAAAAAGTGGCTCCGGATTGGGCTGCACAAGCCCTGGCCAATAATGTTTTACCTGTACCTGGAGGTCCATACATTAAAGCACCTTTAGGAGGCTTGATACCCAATTTCTTGAACTTTTCAGCTTGCTTCATGGGTAATACTACAGCCTCTATTAATTCCTCAATTTGCTTGTCAAGACCACCAATATCCGAATACTCTTCACTAGGCTTTTCGTCCACCTCCATTGCCTTGACTCTGGAATCATATTCAGAAGGCAAAGTATCTAATATTAAGTAAGAATCCTTATTAACCCCAATCAAATCATTAGGTTTTAAAGTAGTTGGATCCACCAAACCAATCAATGGTAAAAATACAGTTTGTCTTGTAGAAGTCTTAATCACAGCAGATTTACCTGATCTTGCAGCTTCAATATCAACATTAGCACCTTGCTCACTTGCTTCCTTCTCTGCATCCAAATCCAATAATTCCACCACGTTCCCCACCAAATAAGGTAATTGCTTGTTGTTGTTAACCTTCTCTTGGTTGTCCTTGATCTTCTCCAACATCACCGACTTTTCATGTGACAATCTTTGAGACGTTAGTCTCATGATCTTGATATCATTTTCCAAGAGTTTAGTCTTGTTGACCATTTCTTGATACGAAGACTGCAAGATCTCTTGTTCTAAAGCATCGTCTTGCGCTGTCTTTTCTTCAAGTTCTTCCAACGTAGACATATTTTTATGTAATTCGATTCGATCTGAAAGACAAATGCACTCGGATAACTTACTGTACGAAGACCGGATTGATTGTGTTGACTATATCTGTGGTTTAGACCTTGGATTACTATGTCCGATTGCCACTGTTGAAGATGGAAAAACTGTAAAGTGAGGGAATCGGGTGGTAGTTACGAGGGTAAACAACGAGGCTATACCGAGGGTACTAATAGTGAGGCTGGTAAAGTAAATTCGAGGGTATGGCCAGAAGTAAGGTATCAATATTATTATCTTAAAGAGAGAAATATTGAGGGAAAGACACAAGAACAGACGAATAAGGGTAGAAGATTAAATACATATATTGACTATAATACTAATAGAAATGAATGTGGAACTAGATTGTTGACCATTGCAATACATGCATTTCCAAATCCGGTGGATTATATGAAGTCAGTAAAGTTCACATAGCCACATCTAAAGAATATTTTGAATAGATTGTAAGTTAGGTAGCACATAAATAAATCCGCTCAAGGTACTCTAATATCTTTTTGATAGCTTGTAGATATTGAAACAAGTCAGTTTAGAATGAACACCCATAACTAAAATAAGATCACATGACAATAAACACCGGTTTCCACACGTCGGGAAGCGTAACAACGAGTTTTGTATCACTTTAATTACTCAACATTCAACCCACATATATCATAGCAGCTAATACCGAGCTCCAGACATTAATATACATTTAAAACGACTACGATTGACGACCATCTATGGCTATCAGAGCAACGTCGCATTATACCCACGATGAGCTCACAGACAAGGAGTTTGAAGAATTGAAGAATGGGTGTCTCAAAGGTATGTGAAAGGAAAAGTCAAGTACCCTTATAACCAATACTAACAGTAACTAGCTAGGAATCTCTCTTATTCTCCTTACTCGAACTTCCGGTATGTTCCATAATCAGCCGTTAGACTGCCAACTTCTTACTAACAATAATTGTTTTAGTGTGGGCTGCGCTTTGTTAACAGACGGCAATGAACTATTCTTGGGTGCTAATCTTGAAAATGCTTCATATCCAGCTGCCATTTGTGCTGAACGAACTGCCATCTCCAATGCCAGAGTATGTACAAAGCAATAGACTGCGACAATGCCTATGATCACATTACTAACACTATAATTCTAGATGAATGGCCACAACACCATTAAAGCCATGGCTATAGCCTCAGATAGTGATAAACCAATAAGTCCGTGCGGAGTCTGCAGACAGTTTATCCGAGAATTTGGACTCAAGATTCCTATTTTTATGTTTGACAAATTAGGCAATACTTTCATCAAGATGTACCTTGAAGATCTTTTACCCTTTAGCTTCGGTCCAGACGACTTGGGAGTGATTACCACCTCATCAGCATCCAATCAGTGAGGGCGATTCAGACTGTCTTTCCTTCCTTAGTAGTGTAATGAGTGACTCGTTAAAGGCATCTTGTGTGCAGTCCAATGGGAAAGAAAAATTTGAGGGGCATTAAGAGATTCAATTTTAGATTTGCTGATGGTGATCTTCTTACTAATAATAACAAGAGACTCGTATATAAATGATGATCTGTGCCTCTCCCAAATGTGGCAAGGAAACTGATTCTCAGTTGAAGTGTCCTGTATGCTTAAAGGAGGGAATCACCAATGCCTTTTGTAATCAGAATTGTTTTAGAGGTTCATGGGCTTTACATAAAGGTATCCATAAGGATGACCTGAACGAAGTATATAACCCCTTTACTGATTTCAAGTTCACTGGGGACTTGAGACCTCATTATCCTTTATCTCCTAGAAGAGCTGTTCCCAAACACATCAAGTTGCCTGATTATTCATTGGATGGAAGACCCGTGAGTGAAATCAAGAACGATAGATTAGGTAAAATCACCGTGTTGTCAGCTAAAGATCAAGAAAAGATCCGCAAAGTAGCTAAAGTATCAAGGGAAGTGTTGGATATTACTGCTAGTCACATCAAACCAGGTATTACCACCGATGAATTAGATGCCATTTTACATAAGGAATGTATTAAGAGGAATGCTTATCCTTCACCTTTAAATTACTATAACTTCCCCAAATCGGTGTGTACCTCTATTAATGAAGTCATTTGTCACGGTATTCCAGATCAAACGGTGTTACAAGATGGTGATATTCTTAACTTGGATGTTACTATTTACTACTTGGGTTTCCATTCCGATTTGAATGAAACCTACTACGTGGGTGACAAGGCTAAGGCTGATCCAGATACTGTTCGATTGGTTGAAACAACTAGAGAATCACTCGATTTGGCCATTGCTGCAGTTAAACCAGGTCTTCCTATCCGTAATTTGGGTGCCATCATCGAAGAACATGCATCAAAGAATAACTGTTCAGTAGTGAGAACTTATTGCGGTCATGGTATCAACCAATTATTCCATTGTCAACCAAATGTTCCACATTACGCAAAGAATAAGGCTATCGGTGTGGCTAAACCAGGAATGGTATTCACCATTGAACCCATGTTATGTCTAGGAACATACCAAGATACAAACTGGCCTGATAACTGGACAGCTGTCACTCAAGATGGTAAGAGATCTGCTCAATTTGAGCATATGCTTTTGGTCACTGAAGATGGCTGCGAAGTATTGACAGCAAGAACAGAGACATCTCCAGGTGGTGCCATTCCTAGAATCTGAACGCATTATTCAGATGGTAGCCCTTGGTTAGCTTTGCATAGCGGTAGGTAGTATTGTTAAAAATTTGTTCAACCCTAAAAAGGTGCTAAAAGAATGTATATGAAAGTAGATGATATATATATATATATATACAATGCATTATCTTGAAGACAATAAATATTATCGCAGAGTATACCCTAAATGGACTTTTCGAGCCTGTAAGCGTTCCTAATACAAAATTTGCAGTGGATATACGATATGCAACACTTCTTGGAACTTTGAAGGTCGTAAACCAAAGACACGTTAAAACCCCTGCATAGACATTATTCGAGTTGGTTATGTGGAACTGTCACTGCTGAGAGGATGACCGTTTTCCTCATTGAAGACTGTTGGTTGCGTAAATGTTGCTAAGAGGAAGCTGATTTACATGACTGGAGATCTTTCATGGCATCCTCACCCTAATACTAACACGGCACTAGAATCTAAGGTTTGTTTAAATCCTGGTATTTGAGGGTTATACCCAACTGTAAAGGGTAACTATGCGGATCATTCTTGTGGTTCTTTCATTTCCGTACACAAAATTTAGTTGATGCTTTCAACAGTCATTCAGTGTGACCCCCCGGGCCCGACCTAGAAAGTATGTCTTGACACATTACCGAATTCAACATCATGGCAACACAACACAATAAAAAGAGAAAGTATTCTCTTTATTAAGGTTTGAATACTATCGTGGTTATGAAATAGGCTGATGTTAAGTGATCCCAGACAATAACTTGAACAATTGAACAATTTCTCATTAAGCAGATATCTCTCTTAAACTCCAAATATCAACCAATAAATTCTTGCTGAATCTCAACTTCAGTCATTCAACAATCTGAGTTGATCACATAAATAATGGCTTCGTTGTTGGTTGTTAAATATGGGGATTTTTGAGAATGTGAAATTAATGTAAAAGATACTCTCATGAGTTAGTGAAAATATCATTGTATAACGAATTGAACCCCTGATAACGATGAAAGTTGGCGAGCGTTACTAACATGGTGTTTATCTAACGTTTCAGCTTGTTTTCAGACTTAAGACGTGATTTTGGTGCACTGGATACGTAAACATAGGTCGTAGCAAGGAGCATTAAACGAAAGCCGTTACTTAAAAATTCGATTTCCACCGCCATTGAAACCCAGCTACACACAACTAATCATCAAAGACTTTCACTAATCCAAGTGGACCCAATAAACACAATTTTGATTTGCCGTTTACAGATTAAGACAGTATTTTGAATTGTGTGAAAATTGATGAAATTTGGCAAATGGTCATATGGTCATTAAGTGAATACGCCGCTCGTATAAAAGAATTGAATAGCTATGGGTAACTGTGACTGCAACTTTTTTCCCATTTGTATCAAGTCTGAATCGATCTCTTTATAAGTCTCTGTTCTGTATACTTCTTAACTTCTCTAGAACCTTAAGTGACCCCTAATACGTCATTTAATCAATTGAAAGCGTCAGTGTACTATACCAACCTTTATCGCTGCACTTGTAGATTAACAGGACGAGTTTAGAGACGCATTTGTGAATGGAGTATGACATCGATTAGCTCTACATTTAGAATGCAAAGACTCTACCCGACAACGTAACAAATGGTTGGTCCATCTCATACAAGATTCCTCTGTATCTTTTTATATGGTGGAACTTCTTTTAATCTTCTTTTTGTCTTTTCATACATGCTTATGGATTGACATGTTCATTACGAACTGAAATGGTTTTAAAGAAACACTACTCATAATACATTGAATAAGACCTCCAAACCTTGTCAGAAATCATTGAAGGGAAGTCCAGATCAATGGTTGAGTAGTACAGTCACACATCAATAGAAGGAATTCATAGGTGAGCGAAAGATGAAGCTTTCTAACTGTTTGCTACATTATACTTCCATATTCTACGCCATAGAAGTAGTACGCCGTAAGTCACTTATCTTCTAAAACTAGTTGTTGCGAATTTCGGATTCTTGATAAATGTCTGTCTGATTTTAATGATTTTATTTTTAACGCCCAATGCGAACCAATGATTAACAGCCGACATTAATGCGTTAGGAAAACGCTAAGTTTTTTTCGGCAAACATTTCATGGCATGCATGAGGTCATCAGTAGGTGTCAGGAAAGAAAAATAATAGATAAAGTTTATGCAGGTCTTGCTATTAACTTGCCAATGCTTCCTTGCATACACCGAAATACTAGATCAAAACAGCAACGTTGATATTCAATTATATGCTCCTTAATTTCATGTTGTACTTATGCATGGGTTCAATGGTAACACACTTGACATTTATTAAGTTTGCCATTTATGACGTCGCAAAGAAAGAGGCGGGAAGGAGTATCTTTCACATGGTGCGACAGAGTTATGTTTGGTTGTAGTCATTTTGCCGACGTCCTTGCTCTATCGGAAATCCTATCAATAGGGTTGCAGTATAAAATGAAAACTCGCCTTATTGTTGTGGCAGTACAATTGCCAATATAAATAGTGATTGCTCTTACTGCGTGAAGTAGTTCACATGTGGTCGGATCTTTTTGACAGATATGGGTTTGGCATTTCGTAATCCTAGATAAAAAAAAAAAAGTTATAACTAACTCGTGCATTTGACCCAGAGCCCATTGCAACCATGCATAATTTTAAAGCCTAATAATATTATTCATACGGCCCTAAATTTTGGATCTATACAATAGTATTAGCACCTATTTTTTTTCTTAAAGCAGCTATCAAGCTTTACCACCTACCAATAACTCTTACTATAAAGCCACACTATATTCGATGATCTCCGTAGAGTTGAAACGCCTTCGTGGAAAACAATACTATACATTTTGCACCACTTGTTTTAGCCCCACCATAAAACAGATGTCATATCACATGTAGCATGCGTTTGAACGCCTTCGTCACTCACAAATCCCATCCCCGATGCTTCAAATGACACTAATTGTATACGCCCGATTATGTGCACTTTGAAATAGGGAATATGGCTTATGCAATAGAGAAGTGTAGTCTCAACTGCTTTCATGCATTGTGTAAAGCAACAAAAAGACTATGTCTGCCTTCATGAAGGTAATTTATTGAGCCCGAATAACACATATTAAGTGTATGCAACTCACGGTGATCTATATGCTTGCCTTCAGAACCTGGGGTAGGGTTGCATGTTGTTATACGTTTGTATGTTAACTTTCTTTCATATCGTTATCTATAGGGGTTTTGAACCAATGTCCGGGTAACATGCAGTGTGAAAAAAATTCATCGCGCTTGTGCTGAGGCCAACTTCAATGATCGAAAGAAACAACCTAATGATACTAACTCCATAGATAATCTGATCCAAAAGGGTAGTGGGAAAATATGTCAATCCAACTTCTTAACCCTAAGGCCGAGTCTATCAGACGTTCTCAGGCGTTACTGGTCAACATCAATGCCGCCCAGGGCTTACAACAAGTTCTTGCTTCCAACTTGGGACCCAAGGGAACCTTAAAGTTATTGGTAGATGGATCAGGCGGATTAAAGTTGACTAAGGATGGAAAAGTATTATTATCGGAAATGCAAATCCAGCATCCAACTGCAGTGATGATTGCAAAGACAGCAGCTGCTCAGGACGAGATTACCGGTGATGGCACCACTACAGTTGTCCTTTTGGTTGGCGAATTACTCAGACAAGCTGAAAGATTTATCAGTGAAGGTGTTCACCCAAGAGTGATTGTTGATGGATTTGAAGTAGCTCGTGAGCAAAGTTTGAAATACTTGGATGAGTTCAAAATCTCCGATATAGACACCCAAGATCGTGAGTTTTTACTTCAAGTGGCTAAAACTTCATTAGTGACTAAGGTTCCTCAAGACTTAGCCAATGTATTGACTCCAGTTGTCACAGATGCAGTGTCTCTCGTGAAGCAAGGTGAAAATTTGGACTTGCACATGATAGAAATCATGACAATGCAACATGGAAACGTTATGGATACAGAGTTCATATCTGGTTTGGTACTTGACCACGGTGCCAGACACCCAGACATGCCCAAGAGAGTTGAAGATGCGCACATATTAATCCTTAATGTTTCATTGGAGTATGAGAAGACTGAAGTTAACTCTGGATTCTTTTACTCGACGGCAGAACAAAGAGAAAAGTTGGTTCAATCAGAAAGAAAGTTTGTTGATGACAAATTAAAGAAAATCGTGGAGTTAAAGAATCAAGTTTGTGAGTTAAACTCTAACAAGGGCTTTGTTATCATAAACCAAAAGGGTATCGACCCCATGTCCTTAGATGTTTTGGCAAAGAATGGTATCCTTGCCTTGAGAAGGGCTAAGAGAAGAAATATGGAAAGATTACAACTTATCTGTGGAGGCGAGGCTCAAAATTCTGTTGATGACTTGTCCCCTGAAGTATTGGGATACGCTGGACTTGTCTATGAAAACTCAATCGGTGAGGATAAGTTCACTTATGTTACAAAGGTTAAGAATCCAAAATCTGGTACTATATTAATTAAAGGCTCAAACAACTACATTTTACTGCAAACAAAGGACGCGGTCAGAGATGGGTTAAGGGCTGTTGCGAATGTGGTTAGAGATAAATCAATTGTTCCAGGAGGTGGTGCATTTTTTTTGAGTTGTAGTGCTTTCTTGATGGATTCAAGAAAGAATACCAAACTTAAGGGTAAAAACAAGAGCGGAATTCAAGCATTTAGTGAAGCTTTGTTGGTTATACCTAAAACCTTGTCAAAAAATGCCGGCTTGGATTCCTTGGAAACTATATCCAACTGTCAGGACGAAATTGTAGATGATAGAGTTGTTGGTGTCGATTTGAAGACTGGTGAACCAATGGATCCAACTTTGGAAGGTATTTGGGATAGTTATCGAGTATTAAGAAATGCTATAAGTGGTGCTGTCACTATTGCTTCCAACTTATTGTTGTGTGATGAGTTATTGAAGGCCGGAAGATCTTCATTAAAAGATCAACAGGGCCAACAGCCACCAATGGGACCTATGTAGATAGAATAAGATTGATTTGTGTCTTTGGAGTACATGTTTACAAATTTGCCAATAGTAACGCTAAAAATACGAAATGTGAAGTGCTTATAATTTAAAAAGTAATTAGTTGTCGTACATGAAGAATTTCTTTCAGCAAGGGCCAGGAACTTTGGGTGCTTCCATTGAAAGTATGACTCCTTCCAAAAGTTTCTTAGTCATCAGACAGTGGCAACTACGAGATTATCTTCACTCCACATTCTTTTTCGTGTTCCTTATAATCCATAACAACCAAACGTTAGGTGATGCCCTTAAATCTCCTAAAAGCTTTACAATAATGGTCTTATAATAAATGCATGTTCCCAAGTACTTCTTAACACAACAAAGTGCTTTAGATGGCTCTAATTAACACTGTTGACTAAGCGATTTTACCAAGCGCCGTACCAGTAAACTTAGTTTACTTAGACCAACGCTTTAGGCGGAATAACTTTCGGCGAACGAAACTGTCGACATACATTTGAAACAATACATCTTTCTTAAAGGTATTGTAGATTCAATTTCACATTATTAATGTATGCCCCACTATGCCTTTCCTGTAAAGATAATACCGAAAATTGCGTTTCTCTTTAGGTGTCTTCTTCTTAATTGTCTGTCTGAAATACCGCTTAGAGAATATTTTGCAAGTGGCCCGACTTAAATGTATACAAGGTAGTACTAAGCGGATATGCTAGCTTCCGTATCGGTATCAACACTACTGCAAGAACACTTAATGCGGAAGTTTCAATTATACTGGTGCAGTTACAATTTTGGATTGCAAATGCCTACTGTATTTTCCTTGATAGAATGTCTATGGTGAATGGCAATTGAAGTTTAAGCAAATATCCTTTTAAATTACATACCAGATATTTCAACTATGATAATGACGTGGAATTAACCAAGCTAAAGTGGGGCTAAAGTTTCTAACTAAATAAAGCAACTTGTGCCACCAAAGTCTAGTTACTGGACAGTGCCTAGTTACGGAATCAAAAATGTTCCGTCTACATCACGCATCTGCGTTGCGTGTAAACCACGAATTCTATCTCGTCAGGATCCTACCAGATAAAGAAAGCAAATGAACTTTTAAAGCAAGAACTGAATTATATACTTCAGATTTATCCCGTTTAATTGAGTTTAAAAAATGATTTTAAATGATTTTGAAGGTCTAGTTTTTTTGTCAGTTTTTCAGTTGGAGACCATCCGATGAAATTTGCGAAGTGAAGAACAGACACAAACTGTTGGCCCTAGAAACAGAAAAACACACTCAGCAATAATATAACACATGCAGTACGTGCAGAAGTACAATGCACATGCGTAATAATATTTTTTATGTACTTGGTAGACAATTCTTTGGTGGACAAATCTAGTGGGGAACGAATATGCGCCTACCTCAAGGTCGAAGGCTACTGCCTTTTCACAAACATAATGTCTGAAGGTTGCAATGGAACACCGAGTTACTGGTGACGATAATGGATGATCATAAAGTCCTCTTAACCCAATTTGAGAAATATGCTTGCCTCAAGTTGCATCAAAAGCAACAATAGAAAGGAAATCCATTCCATTCACTTTATTCTAGGACGCACTATGCTTGAATACCTGTCCTGTTCAAGTCATTCGCTTCAAAGAATAATACGTTATTCCTTGTCATGCTTCAACAATCACGTTCGGATGTGTCCGACATTTTTTCCTACCTATGTTGCCTTGGGTTTGCATATTCGTATTTTGGCTTTACGCGTGTAACATGTTGTTGTCTGCGTTGCCATCTCCTTCTTTTGAAGTTTTTTTTAATTTTGTGGTTATAATTCTGAAGCTCTGTTAAAAAATAAATGAAGCTAAAAAAGAAAAGTATCAGAATACTGTAACTAGAAATTCAACATTGAGCGCTAAGTAGGGCCAGATTGACAACAACATATATATAGCTTGTGATTCCGTTGCTTGTGACTTTTTCTAATAATTGATGAATTCGTTCCAACTATTTTTTTGAAAGGAGAATCTATAACATTTAGGGCTTTCAGTTATTTTGGGGTCAAGACAATTAAGCTTCCTGATTGGTAAGTTTAATATCAATTACAAAACTTACGACTAGGTTAGATAAAATCGATTACTTTTGATTCATTCCTTCATCCACCCAGCCACATTTTGTCTTACTAAAGGAAGGTCAGAGTCAATTGTATATCTACTTTCAAGCCTTGAAACAAGACACTTTATCTACATTGTGGTTTTTATTTTTTATTGTTTTGAGAAGTCAAAGTCATAATTCGTTTACGAGAGCTCAAAAACACTCGATCTGCGATTAATACTCGATATATTCCACTCCACAATTACATAGTATCCTTAACTGCGTAATCATCAGTCATATATTGGATCCTTAATCACCATAAGGCTACCAATAGGAAACCTAAATTCTCAAAGGTCAAGTAGTTACAAATACGAGGATCTCGTGGAGAAAAGCAACAACCTCAAAAGTGTGATTATAACGGAGAAATTACATTTCACAATCAAAGCTTACACCAAACCAGACTTTTCTATTGAATTTTGGAAACTTACATCTTGGCACCTCTGAGCCATAAAAGTTATCTAGGGCACAAAAAACCATCATCACGAAGGATTTAAACCTTTGGTTTTGTTGTCACTGTGACTTATTATGAGTGGATTATATCTGCCTTCAAAGAATAACCCGGATAACATAAATTCAGTGTATGGTACTGGTTTTTTGCCAACACCGTCATCACAAAGTTCTGTTGCATCCACTGCTACTTTTGGACAGACCAATAGTCAAACTACAGATAGACTCTATTTAAATACGTCTGCAACTCCGCAGTCAATGCTGAACAACCAATTACCTTCTATCCCGTCAAAGAAGTTGACAACATCGGGCGAAAGAAAGGAACCAACTCAAATTTCCCAAATCGATTCCCTGATTCCCAATATCCCTCAACTGATACCACATGGATTGTACACAGCACCTCCCCAAAACGAAGACATGGGTTATCAATTATATCTGAATTATATGGGAGATTATCCATCTGGAGAAATACCTCAACAGTATCTGGCCCCTCCTCAATCAAACGCGTCTCCAATTTCAAATACTGCCAATCATGGTAGATATCCATCCAGCATTCCTCCAACATATCCCAACTATTCTCTTTCGCCGAGTCTAGGTAGAGCCGCTCCAGAACATGGGGCATCTTCACCTTCTACAGCTCAGCATCAACATCCGTTAGGACAAAGTGAATACGAGAACAACGTTGATCACGGATTCGGTACATCTCCTTCTTCAAATGTATATATGATTCCAGGAAACACATCGAATCCAACTACCACAACTAGAAATTCAATTCAAAATTTAGGACTATACGTAATGGCTGGCCCAAATACAGTTAATCCAGTACCAGTTACACATCCCTCTACTACGTCAATGTTTCCATCAAATAACACACAACATCCACTACTGAATTCAAGCATGTATATTTCTTCAGTTGGATCCAAAGGATCTTCATTGGCCATACCTAATAAAAAAGAACCATCTGCCAGTGGAGGAAGTTTGCAAAACCCGCCAAGTCAGCTTGCTGATCATCAAAATGGAATGGGCCCTAATTCCAAGTCGATAAAGAAAGGTAAAGTAAGGAAAGGCAGTATGTCTGCTACATCGTCTACGAGATATAGTGGCTCCAACACTAACGGACAAGCAAAACCACCAGCTAAGAGATCAAGAATGGGATGCCTAACTTGCCGACAAAGGAAGAAACGTTGCTGTGAAACCCGTCCTAGATGCACTGAGTGTGCTAGATTAAAATTGAATTGTGTATGGCCAATTCCTGGGTCTGAACATAAAAACAAGCCTAAGGAAGTCAAGAATAACGAACAGACAATTGATCATGAAATATATGGGAAGATCAAAGTCTTAAGAGGTATAGTGGAATATAGGAGTAAGTAAATCATATCTGTTGGAAGTAATAGCGTGCTTATAGTAAGTTCAATGTGCATGATATTCTAGAGTCTTATTCGACCTAGGTTATCCTTAAAAGTTATCTATTATTTAGTATAAGAATTATACTATTGTAAGAAGTCTCTTATTAACCCACTTGACGTATTATAGAAAAAATCTAATGCTTTCGGAGTCTTAAGAAAGGTAGTATCACTCATGTACAATCGACGATTTGGATGCTTTAGTCGGAACATATACTAATTTATTCCGTTTGAAAACCACTGATCGGGTTATAATAGATTGTAGTGAAACCTAGTACTAGCAGCACTTCTTAAAACTGGGATAATAACTTTATTTCGTTTAAATGTGGATATTCAACTGGTAAAAACCCAACAAACGATATCGATATGAATTAATCAAAGTGCCAGCGAATCACGGTAAAAAATTGCACTGGATTTTAGGCGCCGTTAAGCGCCGTTGCACAGTCAAATGTTGAGTAAGAAAATATATTCTTTCATGAAGACTTTCAATCTATCCTGTTCTCTGTTTGTTTTTACTTTCAAATTTACAAAATCCTTCACTAGAATAGGGGAAATACCAACAATATAAGGGGATGACACTGTTATTTACATAATAAGTCAACAATGAGGAATGTTTTTATTATGGTTCAGTGGTAAGGATCCATCTTAGAATATTTAACGGCCTCGAATCATTCTTGAATTCACGGACCTCATTAATCGGTAGCAAGTGCTTCTATAATTACGTTGTTTTGAGCTTAAGAATAGAATAGAAACACAAACGATATGTATTATCCTCCTTTTTCAAATCTAGGCCAAGGTCAGTTGTGAAAACGTAGGAATGCAGCCCAGCTACAAAAACTCGTTAGAGATAAAATCATATGAATTGTCGGGATTGAATCTTCAATTGAGCAGTAACGAGCAAAAGTGATGCTTTATCGTGGACAATGATGTTAAAAGGGGAATCTTGACCCCAGCACCTATACAAATTTTCAGGTCAACAGACGATTATTTGCAGCTATATACTAACACAAACCCAGTTCAGATTGATTAAAACAATAAGCTCAATGTAAGGATTACAAACCTCGGGGTCAAGTGGAAAAACCTTTGTTGGGATTTAAATGTGTTCACCACTTAGAAATGTTAAGCGAGTCAAAGAAAGCACTGAGCTTAGCTTTTGAAACGACAAAAACAGCTACTATTGATATTTTGCGATATAATCATTGGTATTACAGTTCCTAAATGAGCATTTAATTGATGTACCAAGTAGTCGTACGAGATGTTTGGGTGTATGACTTAGTATTGCCCAGTAAGGTAATATCTGATTTTTTCTCAATATACAAAGAAGTAGGGAACAATGTGATTTTACAAACGAAAAGTTTCTACAACTTCTTCTGATAATCGTTCATCTTTCCAAACTTTATTGTATCTATGGCTTTTTCGAAAGGAGGAAAGCTTATGGAAAACTCTGTAGTTTGGTTAACCCTTAACACCTGCGGTAGATGAATAATTAGCCTTGCGTCTAATCGAGTTATACTACATGGAGCAGTCTCAGTTTTCATGCAGACACTCAAATATGCGACCTTTTGTTTCGAACGAGGGTTGCCGTTAATACTTGACAAGCACAAAAATACGCGAGTTAACAGCCGTCAGACACCAAGTCTTTACACAAGCCATCCTCTAGTCACAACGTTTTGATTATGTAAAAAGTTGAAAGGCAAGCAAAGCAGAAAGCAGAGCAAATGAATTACAGGACAGTGACTTCATTGACACAACAATTTTGAAATTTAAGACGTGTGGAGTAATTCTACCACCAATTTTTCAAACGCTCTAGATTCTGCTGTACTAATTAAATGGGGTGCAAGTTCTCTCATCAATTAAAACTATTCTACACATGCAGGCTATATTTCGGTAAGGACTAGTGTCAATAATATAGATAACATTATATGATATTATTGTCATTATCCAAATTAACACTAAGTCCAAGTGGACTCAATGTTAATTGAGACTTTAATTTTACACAGAATCAAGCTTCCAAAGTGTGATTTTTGGACACTTTTTCTTTTTGACTCAGTAATAATCTTAAACAAACATTTGCGTGGTAATGAAACTTTAAAGTAGTTCCGTGGAAAGCTATGCGTTAGAGTTGCTAAAACACTTGAAGAGATTCGGTAATTGTGATCTTATACTGTAAACCTCGTGAAACGTAATTTTTCAACAAGTACATAATTTTTTCAACTAACAAACGCATCATAAGGGACACTAAATCCCAGACAACCAAAGTGCAATTTAGACAAACATTCTATAGACTCAGGCGGTTAAAATTTGTAAATAGACACAACCAACGAATTTTTTTACTGCCAGCTGTACGTGGTATTTAGACAGCTAATGTTGCCAAATCGCTGGTTGCAAATAAGAGCTTTAAGGTTATATCTTGCAACCGACAAATGCGCACACTAAATTTTAAGGTTACAAAGTATCGATGCAGTTCTGCAGAACATTACGCGGACAAAAAATATTCCTCGAAACCTCAGACACCTGTCAGCGTACTCATAAAACCTATCAAGGTTAAATGTACAACTTATTCTCATGTTAAATCCATTAAAACACAAGAAAGTTACAGCCCTCTTCTATTAAGTAAACGTGTGTCAGTCCACTGACGCATGCGTGATGTGAGCGTTAGTAGAATCTGTGGGTCTCATGATGAGGCTGAGATATCAAAGGTATGAAATGTGACATCACCACCTTCATCCTGGCTTTAATCCAATGGCACGAGGTCCACTTACATTGTAAGTAACTTTTTTTTGGGGGGCTTGGTTCGGCACTAAGATAATAATAGAACGATGAAATGATCATGCATTAATCATCGCGGTTAATGTAACTTTAATTTGCACCAGCTGGAAAATACTCTCGAGTAATGTATTGACTTTATATATTCAGTACGCAAACGGCCGTCGATGTCGCGACACACATTTCCTATTTCGGAAATGTTGGAAATGTTGAAGTATCAGAAAAAAACACCTTGTTCCCAATTAGTAGTCTGGAGTTTCAACCAATAGAAATACAAGTGACTCTGAAATAACTATCAAACATAAAAATGTCGTTGGCTGAAGGCGAGACGCTCAGAGATAAACAGATTGGGCTATTGGAGCGGATGCTCCATTTGAATCGTGATGGAACCCCAGATTTGACTTTAGCCATGGATAAGGAGGAGATCATTTGGAAGGTGTTGATTATGGATCTGAAAGCACAAGAGATCATATCGTCTATACTTCGAATGAATGATTTGATGAAGTGTGGGATCACGTGGCACTCGTTGATTAATATCCGTAGAGTCAACATGCCAGATACTCCAGCCATATATTTTGTTGAGCCTACCATTGAGAACATAGTCATCATAATAGAAGACATCAATCTGGACAAATACGATGAGTTTTATATTAACTTCACCACATCTATTGATCGGAATCTCCTTGAGGAGTTTGCTAAGAAGGCGTCAATGCTGGGGAAAGCCAATAAGATCAAGCAAATTTATGATCAATACCTGAACTTTGTGGTTACTGAATCCAATTTGTTTTCTTTGGGTATGTCTAAGTATTTCTACAAGTTCAATAATCCTCGAGTGAGTGAAGATGAAATTGAACAGTACGTTGAAAAGATTTCCAATGGACTTTTATCAGCCGTTATAACTTCAGATTCTATACCAATTATTAGATGTCCTCAAGGAGGAGCTGCTGAGTTGATTGCTACCCTGTTGGATTCGAAATTGCGTGACTATTTGAATAATTCCAGAGGACTTAGTAATGGAGGTGCTCCTGCTGGAGGAGGAGGGGCTCTCAATGTTAATAAAAGACCAGTGTTGGTTCTTCTTGATCGGAATATTGATTTAACATCAATGTTTGCTCATTCTTGGATTTACCAATGTATGGTAAGTGATGTGTTTACTTTGAAAAGAAACAGAATTACCATAAGAAAATACTCTGAAAAATCGTCAAATAATCCTACTCAACAAGAATATGATTTGGATCCAAGAGATTTTTTTTGGAATAAATATTCTGGATTACCGTTCCCAGATACTGTTGAAAATGCTGATATTGAGTTGAATTTATATAAGAAAGAAGCTCAGGAATTAACAAACAAAACAGGAATTTCATCCATGAATGATATCAACAACCTAAAAAGTGATGATAGTGCGGACACTTACCACATTCAACAAGCTGTGGATTTATTACCGGAATTGACCATTAGAAAGAGAACCTTGGACATGCACATGGATATTCTAGCTTCGTTAATTGGTGAATTACAAGCTAAAAATTTGGATAAGTTTTTTGAAGTTGAACAAAATGTCGGCAGTACCAAAGTACAACAAGAATTCTTAAATTTGTTCAATGAAGCCAGTGAAAGAAATAATGGTTCAGACAAATTAAGAACATTTTTGATTTTAATTTTGACTGTTGATACACTTTCTGACGATTTTATTCAAACCATTAGAAAGAAGTTCAGTGAAACATATCCTGAATTAGATTTAAGTTCCTTTGACTACATTGTAAAGTTCAAGCAACTTTCCAAGTTGAACAACTATGCCAATTTCAATGACTATAGCCAAAAGAGTAACTCCGGGTCTGATGTTAGCAATAATGCAAGTGCATTATTAGGAGGTTTATCGTCCAAGTTATATGGTTTAACAGAAGGAAGAATCACTGAGGGACTTACTTCTATTGCATCTAAAATTAAAAACTTTATACCTGAGAAGAAACAACTCCCCATTACAAATATTGTTGAATCAATAATGGACCCCTTAAACAACGCTTCAAAGTCTTGGATCCAAGTTACCGATGAATATTTATTTTTTGATCCTAAGTTAAGAGGCGGCCATTCCAAACAACCAAAGAGACAAGCATACGATGATTCTCTTGTATTTGTTGTTGGAGGAGGGAATTATATTGAGTATCAAAACTTACAAGAATGGGCAGCATCATCGACTCAAGCTGGATCAAAGGATTCAAAGCGGGTTATCTACGGAAGTACGGACATAATTTCCCCTACACTCTTTTTAGAAGAATGCGCAGAGTTAGGAAGAGCATAAAAGTATAAAACATAATTGATAATGATTTTAAAGGTACCCTTTACTTTGTTCCAAAACAGCAATTGAACTTCTGGCATCAAGGAATAAGAATTCACATTCTTCAACATCTTGCACGCCTATTTCGGTACGACTAGCATTCTGACTTAAAATACCACAAGGAGTTAAAAGTTGCAATGCATACCGTAAGGAGTTTTTCACCGCATGCTCAGCCAATTTGTCCAAGGCTTCAGCAGAGATAGATAAGCTTTCAAGAGTAGCTCTTTTGGAAATAATGGCTTGCACTTCTTCCTTGTTGTATGACAAGGTCTTGACAATCAATAATCTATCTATCAAATCTGGAGGACATCCATGAGGAGCTTTGACATCGTCATCAGAACCTTTAACTGTAGTTAATCCTCTGTTGGAAGCCAAAACCACTATCGGAGCTATAGAGCTTTCTAAAGCTTTGTTCAAATACGTAAACAATTCAATGTCCAACATGTTGACTTCATCAATAAACAAAACACCAGGGATCAATTCGGCAACTCCCTGGTCGATATATTTCGATACCACTCTGTTAACTTCCAGTCTTAATTTATCGGTGATTTCAGTCTTTTTTGGCTTTAACAATTGACCCATCATGGATAAAACATCCTGACCACCTTGAGGTCTTGCATTGGCCACATCCAAATCATGTAAAGTAACATCTTGAACGATTTCCTTCTTTTTATGAACCTCACCTTTAGGTAAAGGGACATATTCTTCAGCTTCCAAATCAAATTCAGTAGCATAAGCATCTGATCTTCCAACTCTTTTGACTGCTCCAGTATTAGCTTCAATGTAGATCACATCTCCAACAGTGACTCTTTCCTTTTGAATACTCTCATAAATACTTGGATCTAATCTTAAATTCTTGGTCCCTTTTGCAGTCTTTAAGCCAACAATCACATGACTAATTGTCTTACCATAACCTCCTAAGGGATTCTCTGCTTCTTCTGGAGTCAATTCGATGACTTCACCTTCATAAACTTCCTTTGTTTCTTTGATTCTTAACCCAATGGCCTTTCTAAAGTTCTCCATCAACGCTGAAGTCTTTTTAACTTCGGCAGAATACAATTCAGAGCCCACAATAGGACAAAATGGAACTTTAGGTCCTAATTCTTGAGCAATGGCTAAGGCTAACGCAGTCTTACCGGTCCCGGGAGGACCAGCCAATAAAATTGCCTTCCCAGACATTCTTTTACTTTTAATCAAATCAACAACAACTCCACAACCTTCTCGTGCTGATGTTTGTCCGATAAATCCTCCTTCAACCTTCTTAGCGATTCCATGTTCATCCAAGCCTAAGCCTCGAATATGAGTATGAGCGGCTGTTCTGCTGCTATCTTTTGCCTTAGGATCTTTGACCTCGCTGATCTGTACCATTCTTGATTATTAGAGAATGTCTGTTGGTCAGTGATGCTGTGTAGTTGAAGTTTGTATGTTGAAATTTATCGATGGCTAAATTTTCAAACAGGATATCACGTGAATACTCACGTGACACCCGACATATATAATGAGAAGAGTCCTAGTATTGCAATAATATATGCTTGTCATTCCTTATTATGAAAGCGCCCAAATCTGTTCCCCAGCGAGATCACTATGCTAGACTTCTGTACATGTTCCAAGCAGGGCAGTGGGCCAGCGGTGTGGAGCTGCTGCCTCTCTCCAGATACATGCTTCGGCAAATGAAGTTCACCGCTCAAAAGGGTGTGCTCAAAGTCCTGCCTCAGCTCAAGAGAGTTGTGTGCAAGCAGTGTCACCAGATGCTTGTAGCAGGCTTGACGATGGTACAACGGGTAGAGAATCTTAGTAAGAGCAAGAAGAAGCACAACGATGTGTTAATACATGAATGCATTGGATGTGGATATACTAAAAGGTATCCTATTGGGAAGAATCGAGAGTATCGACTCTTTGCTGAAGATCAAATGGTTCAAGCAGGACAAGAATCAGAAATACGACAGAAATAATTTACAGTATATATAATCATATGTTAACGTCAATTAATCTTTATCTACTACAACCCTTGTTGTAACCTCTCTCCGATCTTTTTAGAAGCAAACGATAAGGCATTCATGAACCCTCTCTCACTAAGATCAAGTTTAAGTGAACCAGTATCCGTGGCCAAAGATGAACTGGAAGGAGGATTGGTAACTCTACTCACCACAATGGCTGGGTCAATCTCCAAGATAATCCCATCATCAATAGTCTCGTCAACACAAAGTGCAACCATATCAAACTTCTCCAAAATCGTCAGCTTATCAACTGCACGATCAAGCAATACAGTCAAACTCTCTAATAAGTTAGCACATAAACTATAAATCAACGATTCATTCTCATTCAACTTCGCCACCACAACTATAATCACATCATTGGTCTGCTTATATGTGACCAAATGGTTATCATATAATATGATGTCTTGGTTCATCTTGTTGATTTTCTCAAACAATGATTTTTCAAACTTGGTTTGGCCCGTTAAGTTACTCAATGGTCCATCTGTGCTACTGGGATCTTCCGGTGACTGGTAATATTTGGCAAAAACCCGACCCCCTTCATTGTCTAGTATCAACACGGCTGAGACCGTGTACAATGATATGTTTAATGACATGGTTATTAGTGAAACACAGTAGTAATGATGATTATGTTGTCCTTTTGTTGATGCTAAATATTTGTTGATTATAGATCACAAAAAGGGGTCGTGCGCGGTGGGTGCAAAATTCAAAGTATAGACTGGTGGTATCTATTAACTAATTACAGTACCCATTAGTTACAGCATGAATGTATATTGTGCTAAGATTGTGCTTATATAAAAAGGTGCACTCGTTTATGCAACCCATGAGAAAATAAATTCATGGATGGCCTTATGGAATGGGTTTTGAGCATAAAAGTCTCGGGTAACTGCTTGAGCAAAGTCACCATTCGTATGATTACCAAGTGTGGCCATAGCAGCAGTTCCATTGGCCATAGCAGCAGCTTGTGCAATCTTTTTCCAACCAAAGACAAAGTTGATGATCAATCCACCAATTAAACCAACAGCTACAACCAATGGACCGAAAACATTATCCAAATGCTTACCTGATCTTTCCATAATAATATCACGTCTCTTCATAAACACATAGTAGCCCCAGACACCACTGAATAACGTAAGACCAAAATATATGTAGGCCAATGTTTCAGATAATTCAAAGGAATTGGCTTTATTGGCCAGAGAATAGATGATAAACGTAAGCGATGAAAGTAAAGTGGTCACATGCAACCATCTGTTGAAGGTACGTTCATTTGCAAGCCAAACCTTGGGTTCTATGCGTAACGGACCGGCATTCTTAATGTAGCCTTCTGGTTTAGTGACCCCCATAGGTAAGTCAGGTTCTTCTTCCTCTTCACTATCAACGTCAATCAATTTAGACAAGGTAGTAGGGAAACGAAGTAACTTGGAAAGGGCTCCGGGAGCATGTGAATCAGAAATATCATCATCATCCTCATAATCTTCAGAAGAATCTCCATCGTCCAAATCACGTGCACCTTCACCAGATGGACCAGCAACTTGCATACCACCATTGAAACTGGCAGTCAGGTTGGATCTGTCCAAAAGTGAAACACTGACAATATCTCTCTTGGTAGGAGAAGTAGAAGAGGCAAGACCACTTTCATCGACCTCTTGGATTTTGGGGACTGTGGAATTGGAAACAGTTCTGTCACCTACCAAAAGAGGACTTGAAAGCGAAAATGACTTTGATCTAGGTTGGAAATTGTCCTTAGTATTGTTCAATAATGACTTAAACTTGGCCAAGTTCTCTTCATCATTTTGAACCTTTTCAAGTTTCAATTTGTTTTGAGCGATTTGTTGCTTGGGATCAATAGTCAAGGCAAGTTTAACTTGGTCTTGCAAACTATTCAATTCATTGAACCAAAGAGGAATGTTATCCAACTTATCGTCTTCAAGGAATAAAGAAGCAACACCTTGAATGAATTTACTAAAGTTAGGAACTTCAGTAACCAAGCTTGTATCGTGGACCAATTCATCAACCCAATGAAGAGACTTACGTTTAGCAGATTTGATTTTGATTTCCATGACTGAATATGGAAACTTACTGAATTCTCCGGAACGCAAGTAAGCATGCTGGTTCTGAGGGTTCAGATCAATGTCAATACGATGCCAGTTACTAGGATCTCTGATAGGACGAGATTCATCAAAGGAATCTTCTCTAACAAAGAGTAAGTTGGAATCAATGACAATTCTGATCCGATCATCACCTGGAATTTGGAACGCTTGTCTTTTATACATGGTTCTAATGGCTGGTTGCAAGTGATTATCCTTGATGAACAGTTGTAACTTACCAATAGTATCAAGAGAACCATTTCTTTGAAGTTTAGCCTCCAACTTCTTCAGTGGAACAAACAGACCATGAACAAAGTCATTAAGGTATTTCTCCTTAATTTGAACCCTTTCATCAATGTTGAAATCATCATGAGTAACGTCAAAGTTCTTCTTTTCAACAGTTATCTTGGGTCTTTCAGACAACTTCCCTACCCATTTGATACGTAAAGTAGATGAGTTAGGACTCTTCACTAACTTATGGTTATACATGTCAAAGTTGGGTGAATCAAAGTACAAACAGTTGATAACTGGATTATCATCGTCATCGTCATCGTCGTCATCATCATCAATATCACCATCCTGGTTTTCTGCACCTCTTCCATTGCCATGTGACTGGTCATAAACCAACACAGGCAAATGTCTCAAGATAGTTGTCTTCACTTCCATCAAGTTGTCTGGGTGAATCCAAAACTTGAACGATTGATAATCTTGAATGGTTTCATCGTTGAATGACGATAACTTGGACAAAGATTGATCCACATCATAGTTATCTCTGAGGAACTGGAACAATGCAGACACCTTATAAAGCAAAGGAGAATAATCTTCCAGATGGAAGGGTAACTTCTTAAGTCGAACATTTAGCAAAGGTTGAACAGAGAACTGAGGGTGTAATCTATCGTGTTTCTTAACGATTTTGGTGAACCCAGTATAATTAAGTCTTTGGAAATGGTCCAACTCTCTTGTCATTGACAAGACTTCATCCAATTCTTTTGAGAACGCCAGAACATCAAAACCTGATGTCTGTTTGGTGGTCAGAAGTTGTAAGTCATCCAATTCAGCACTTAATTCATCATACTTTTCGTGTTGGAAAGTGTAAACCTTTTCCAAGTCTTCGTCCAAAGCAGCAACAAATAATTGTTCATCTTTATCCAGCCAGTTATCCTTAAGAATGACTCCTTCCTTCAACAATTTCTTCAAATGAGTGTAATTCATATAGTATTGCTTCCAAGGAGTATAGATCTCCTGATCCATTTTGTTGCCGAACAACATGATACGGGGGGTGTCTTGGTTCTCTGGAGCAGTAGACATCGCAGCAACCAACAAGAAGAAGAGAAAAAGAAGAAGTGGATTATAATGTTTATGGACAAGAGCTTCAGATACTAAGGCAGCCAGTTGGTCAAATAAATTTCCTCCAAGAGCACTACTACTCCATTTATTAATTGAACCTAATAAACAATCCTCTATCAATAATTATTCGATTCGTTGTATTCAGGTTTAATGGGCCTGGTTATGTGCAGACAATAATTGAACAACAAAGCCAGCAGCCGAATCACGGCTGACCGATACAATGCCTTTAATGTTACCCGGGAGAGAAACAATAGAGATGGTTGCTGTTAATAACTACCAGTGGTAGCTTAGAATACGGCATCGTATATGTTATAAGTGGTAAACTTTGGTGTGCTTTATTTGGATCAATATGAGTGGTCTGTAATGTACTGCGTGGTAGTAAAATTAGGTACTAATGAAAGATGGGTTGAAAGACAAGATAATATTGGTAGCGCGGTGACGATGTAGTTAGCACTGCTGTAGGTTCGGCTAACGAAGCTCTTAAACGTTAGCTCTTTACGATCTTCCTCTTTGATATCGTTAGTACTATCATGATTATTATACTACCATCTTAATACTGATATCTACTGGCGCCATCCTCTTATTCAGTTCATGGCCCATTGCTTGCTATCAGTAGTTGGTAGTGTCTTCACAGTACATGTGTCTAATAATCTCCACTCACCACGTGGGATACAAACAAGCTTTGTGACCCACACACGCACATGTCAAAATAAATTCTGTCCAAACGAGAATTGATATACTATGGACAGTATGTGTTAAAAGTTAGGTCATATGTGATATTATTAAATCCATAAAACTTCATCTAACAATTAATGCCGTAATTATAATTATCCATTTTGAATGGTGTCATTTTATTACATAAGCAAATGAATGTCGCGAAAAAATGTCGTACATATATTTGCTGCAAAACTAATTACCGATAATATGCAATATTAATGTAGTGTATTCCACTATCTATAGACTCTACCAGACATCCTAAACACCGACCAGGTTCAACTTGCCATTAATCGTCTCAACTTCAGCCGCCAACAAGGCCTGTTCAATATCAGCAATTAAATCGTCAACATTCTCAACACCCACACTCACACGTAATAAAGTAGGAGCAGCATGTTCATCACTCAATGCACGCCATTCAATCAAACTTTCAACTCCACCAAGCGATGTGGCATGGTGGAAATATTTCAACTTGGATGGAAACAGTTTTGCGGTCTCTTCATCCTTCAAGTCAATGGAAAACACAGGAGAATGGTAGCCATTTATGGCTTGTTTGGTTACAAATGGTTCCTTTTGTAAAGATCCATGGTAAATCTTGATCAATACCTTGAACTTATCGCGGTTGGAATCCAAGAAGGCAACTATTTTGGAAGCATTTTCACTTTGTTTCAATACTCTCAACTCAAAAGTCTTCAAGGACCGAAGCAAAAGAGAAGATTCCAAATTTGCTATATTGCTTCCCAAATAGACTCTATCTTCTACTAATTTTTGATAAACATTAGTATCTTTGGTGATCAACATACCAGCAAGCAAATCACTGTGACCACCAAAGTATTTGGTTGCACTGTGCATCACAAAGTCTACACCAAAAACGAAAGGGTCTTGTAATGGTGGAGGGCTGAAGGTCGAGTCGATCAGAATGACGGCACCTTTAGAGTGAGCCAAATCAGTATAGTATTGAATATCATAATGCTCTCCAGTTGGATTTAAAGGAGTTTCCAAATGAACCAAATCACCAGGTTGCAATTTATCAATGGAGGCAGAGTCATATAAATCCAAAATCTCCAACCCATGATTTCTTTCCCAGATTTTAGAGATTCCATGAACTCCATGATAAGCTTTTCCAATGGCCAACCGTTTGGGATTTACATGGGTAATCAATGCCAAAAAGGCCGCAAGTCCAGAAGCATAAAGGACAACATTACCACCAGTTAAGGTTGAAATAGCAGCCTCCGCCATAAGGCCATTAGGATGAGATAATCTGGAGTAAACAATTTCATCTACGTTGAAATCACCTGCATCAGAAGCCTTAACGAGCTTTGAAGAGTCCAGTGGATAAGAAAACGTTGTCAGAATGTTGATTGGAGGAGCCACGTCATGAACTCGGGCGTATTTGTCGCCTCCGTGGATCAAGTTGGTGGAAATTCCAGTCATAGTGTCAATTTCTTAAGCAAACAAAACGAGTTCTCTATTTACAAATAGAGCTTGATAATTGTTGTTGATGTTTAAACTAATACAGAAAACAGTTCTCTCCATCTTTGTATCCCGGTACCGGCTTATATATCGGCCTAAGGAAACTCTGCGCTACCGTATATACAAACCCAAAAGAACTGTATGGTACTCGATGACTAACCTTGTCTGACTCAAGAATATGTCACTAGAAACTAATTAGCTGGACTCTGTCACAATTCGGAAGGAGTTTCCTGATCTGGCTAATTTTTGCATGCCGTTTTCACTGATCGTTGAGATGCACAGCTGTTAAAAGTGTTTGCTTTGAATGTTTATAGCAACTTACATCGCAAGCAAACGGATTAAAGTTGCCATTTACAGACCAATTCAAGTCACTTACGTTTTGGGGGAATTACCATATCAAATTGTCCATTAAACTAATCTAGTGGTAAAGTGTGGCAGGATATACGGTGGCAGGCCGGAATATATTTCCGTTTACGTAAATGAGCTTCACTAATTGCTGCAAAATAGTCCTGAATGATTACCAAAAGGAAGGCAAAATTACTTTTAATGATTCTATTATTATTATTTGTAATTATGTACTTACTTTTGTAATTCAGCCTTAACCCATCCTTCTAAACCACCTTTGATAATGATGTCTTGCAAGTTTGTACCCAACTCTCCAACCTTTTGGGTCAAGACAACATTTCCATTAGCATCTTTAACTTCAACCAAAGCCTTAGGAACATCCCATTTCAAAATCCAGCCAGTACGAATGGTCAACTCATTGGAGTCCTTGTACAATTCTCTCAATTTGTTGATCAAGTCAGGGATTTCTAAAGTTAGCAAAGCGTTATTGATGGAGTTACGACTGAAAATGTTTCCGAATGATCCAGCAACAATCATTTTCATACCTCTTGCCAAAATTGCAGTAGCAGCTTGTTCACGCGAAGACCCAGTACCAAAATTGAAACCAGAAATGATAATATCACTTGATTTGGTCTTGTTCTTAAATTCAGGGTCATAGTTTTCCATACAAACTTCAGCCATTTGTTCCTTAGTGATATCGTCTTGGTAGGTGTATTTACCTGGATAGATACCATCAGTATTAATATTATCTGCATCACATAAGATCAATTCACCTTCAATCAATTGTGGGAATCCTTCCAATACTTCTACAGCAGCAGAAGAAGCATCTTCTGTTACTTTCGATTCAGCAACTGGAATTGAAATGGATTTAATGATTTCCTTTGGATTTGGAACAGGCTTGCCCTCTAACTCCTCTGGACCTCCAATCTTACCCAAAACAGCAGAAGCAGCAACAATTTCAGGTGATGCCAAGTAAGCTAAGGCATCCTTAGACCCCATTCTACCCTTGAAATTTCTGTTAGTAGCCAGAATACCGACTTCTCCATCCTTCAACAAACCAGCACCTAACCCGATACAAGGACCACAACCGGCTGGTAATGGAATAGCACCAGCATCAAGGATATCTTTCCAGTAACCCTTTGCTTCGGCATCTTGTTGGACGTTAGAGGAAGCAGCAGCAACGTAAAATTCAACATCAGATGCAACCTTATGGCCCCTTATGACATCAGCAGCTGCTTTGATGTCACTCAAACGAGAGTTGGTACAAGAAACCAAGTATGCTTTATTAATAGGAATGTTTTGGTTAGATAAGGTATGAAGAGGGTTTGAAATTTTGACGGAGTTAGGACCTGAAATGTTGGGAGATAAGGATGATAAATCAACCACTAAATGCTTAGCATATTGAGAATCTGAATCAGATTCCATCTTATTGTCAATCAAATTTTGAATTGTTGAAGAGTTAACACGAGGATGAGATTCAGGTAAAACATTCAATCTTGTCTTGTAAAAGTCCAAAAGAACATCATCTACTGGGAACAACCCAGAAAGAGCACCCCACTCTGTTGTCATATTAGCAATTGTCAATCTATAATCCACTGGCAACTTCTTCAACCCTTCACCAGTGAATTCAATGGCGTGGTTCAATACTTGATCTTGGTTGAAAACACCACATAAAGTGATAATGATATCTTTACCGGTAACCCCCTTTGGTAATTCCCCAACCAATTCAACCTTGGCCACAGGAGGGATCTGCCACCAAGTTTGACCGGTTGCCCAGATTGAGGCAGCATCGGTTCTAACGATAGGTGTACCCAAGGCACCAATACCACCATAAGTATTTGAGTGGGAATCAGAAGCAACTGTCATATTCAAAGGGAAAGCATAACCTTCTTCGATCATGATTTGATGACCAATACCACGGCCAGCAGGGTAGAAATCGATTCCTTGTTCCTTTGCAAAGTTTTCTATATTTGAATACTTTTCCAAGTTCTTTTCCGACTTATTTTGAACATCATGATCCAAAGTACAAACGATCTGACGATTATCTTTAACTTTGGTGGCACCCAACCCTTTGAATTTCAATGCCACGGGCCATGAATTATCATGGGACATACAATGAGCTGGTTTAATGGAAACATAATCACCAGAGAAGACTTTTTTACCAGGACTTAACCCCACAGCATATTTTTGAACAATCTTTTCAGTCAAGTTTTGGCCTCTCCATAAACGGTGACCAACCGAGAAGTTTCTTCTAGCTGATAGTCTTAACATATTGAAACGGGAATGAAGATGGTAATAGGGAAGTGACATTCAACTTAGAAGTGAAAAAAAAAATTACTTATCTAAAGAAGGCTATTGTCACGTGACCTTTACCTATATTCATTACATTTGTGAGTCATGGTATTGGATGCCGTGGGAGTTGTGGAGATAGACAGTGAGTGAGTCAGGGCCTGAGTCGCGCCGGTACCGGCATACACAAACTGCCCTTGCATTAATTCTATACAAAAGGAAGCATACTTATTTAATCAGAGCAAGTACAGCATAGCCAAATAACATACTACTAGCATGGATGCGCAAAACCCAGATCAAACTGTAGCACATGCATGGTTCTCGTATAGGGACTTTGAAATCTACGGCCTTTCAATAACCGAGTAGAAGACCAATATTGGCTACTTGTAACTCATCAAGCTCATTTTATCCTCATAGTGCATCCATTATGAGTAGGATCAAGTTACTATACACTGAATGGTATATGCTGTGAAAGAAACAGTTGGAAATGTCTCACCATACTTATGATGGCTGTAAGAGAAGATAAGCGAAAAGTATATAAAGATGACACTATGTATATACTTCATTTTCTCACGACATTGTCGGTAGACATATGACACTATACACTACACTGCTCCATACAACAGACTACAGCACACTACAGCACACTACTATACTATACTGCACTATACTATACAACCCTACACTGTAGTACACTACTTACTAAGCTCAACATGTATTTGACCATACTCTAACTCTCTCCGCTTCCATCAACTTCCCTACTTCGCCTTACTGTTTTCTCTTTCTGTCGTGTACCACACTTTCAGTATTAATTGACTCTCAATTTGGGAAATGTTCTCATGTGTCTTTAGAAACCGCCCAAAACTGAAATAGCCGAATGTGAAACCAATCACCATGGTCAACACACTTAACGTGCCTTCATCATACTTATACCACCTCAAGTATATCAATTGAGGAGCATAATAATATTGTCGCATTTGATAGTGTTTTATTTGATAGTCCCATATTTCCAATATGAAGTCATGGATCGCATGGTTGGCTTCTATAGTGGTGTCACTGTTATATGTGGTGGCAATATACTACCATACACCAGCTTCCCTAAAAGGTCTAGAACGTGATGATCTGCGAGTGATACACCATAGGATGCATCGATTGGATATTCTTACAGTGCTGTTGATCGTGATAGTCCCATTATTGGTGGCTACTATTGATGGAGTACTGTGGTCACTGATCATGAGATACACTGGAGTGGTACCTGGATTCACTATTAATCATTCAATTCAATTGGATCTATTGGGCATCTTTAAACTGTTGATATTGATATGTAGCTTATATGTGGGTCCCATTACCTTTAATGCCTATTATTATTATAAGTATGCTGGAGATGAAGGAGGTTGGGATTTATTCAATGATTTTGTTGATAGTTTCGTGATAATACAAGGGTTTAGGGATCATGTTTTTGCTCCTATAACTGAAGAATTGGTTTACAGGTCAATGGTACTTACATTATTCCATCAACAAGGTAAAACCTGGTATACAATGTACTTGACTCCATTATTATTTGGCATAGCTCATATTCATCATGGATATCAAATGAGGTGTCAATATAAAGATTTACCTTTGAAAACCATAATTTTTGGTACTTCATTCCAGACTTTATACACAACTATCTTTGGAATACTAACCAATTACTTGTTCTACAAATATCATACTGTATGGTGTTGTATAATGGTTCATGGTGTATGTAATCTTTTGGGGTTCCCATCATATACGAAATATGCCACCCCTGTTATTGTGGATCGAGATGATACTACAGAAAATACTCAGCCTGATTCTGAGCCTCCTTCTACTACTAGTGCTTTCTCAAATGAAGGCAAGAATTTATATTTGGTACTGTTAGGCATTGGCATAGTTCTTTTTGTTGTACAGGTGATCTAGGTCGTGTATCCCCAATGCACTTTTCAGGTACCGAAGATACGATGGAGAAGGGCCTCCGGATTATACTATAAAGAGTGCTAAGTATAGGCATCCGTACAATAGTAATGGGATATGCAAGACGTAAGGTGACCATGATTATTATTCCGTATAGGCATTGTAAATGAGTGGCATAACTTAGAATGTCGCAAGTGATGTAATCCAGCTTTATTTAGCATTCCGTGGATGCAGGGTGCAGTAGGGCAGAACTGAGTCTAGGCAGAGTAGATAGAACAGACAGAACAGACAGAACAGACAGAACACACAGTCTAGCTGAACCGACAGTACAAATACAGTACAAATGTCACTACAATTAACAGTGTAGACCGTTAGTACAAATCACAGCGAGTTCAAACAGTCGTTGTACAAATTCTTATATGCGAGCACCTGTAGCTTAACCCACTGGAATCATCCCGAACCATAGCATTACTAATAACTACCATAATAACAGTAACATACGCCAACATACACTATCTATAACCACTAGTGTACTCCTATATAATCTACTCCCATGATTTACTCCATAGTACACCCTTCATCTTGTGCCTGATTGAGGCAGCCTTCTACTGCCGCATTTGTGTATCCATTGATTGCTGTCGCAAAAATTCCACGTCTCAATTGAAAATCGGCACCACCACCAGTTTCACATACTCCACCATCACCATCAAAGGTGTCACGTTGCTGTAAATACGTCGTGTGTTGTATATAGTGGTTGTCCAGTAAACACTGATCTAATCACAGACTTGTATTGGGCACTAACAACGGTTATATTATTCAGTCTACGTCTATTGATTCAGGTTACGTCTATTGATTCACTTCTATAGTGATACGTCAGACAGTGATACATCTACCTCTATTTATCTGTTGTGAATAGTGATCTACTCTTATGAGTGCCTGTCCTTAAAAGTCATATAAACATCATCCTTTCACCATGTCGAATCTATCCCATACGTATGAGTCCGCCGCAAAGGACATTGAACAGGAAAAGAAAATGGTGGCTGCGCTTAAGCGTATGTCTATTGGTCAACAGCTAACTTATGATCCAGATCTTCCTCCTCCATCAGTGCAATCTACCTCAGATGAAGTCTTAGATTTAGAACATTCCTTAATCAATTTGTCCATAGATACTTCATTACCTCCATCAGATTCGTCTCCGTCGTCCTCCTCCCCCTATCCTTCCAAACTTTTATCCCAAACGTTCACTAAAAATCAAAGTATGATTGGTGGTAATAATAGTTCAAATTCCCTTGTATCATCTCCAATATCTCCTGCAAGTGCTTCAGAACTAGATGATCCAGATTCTTATTTCGATGCCTCCCTGTTATCAGGGACAACAGACCCTTCAATAAAACATCCATCTCCATCTCATTCAAGACCAGCTACCCCATTGTCAGCATCTTCTTCTCCGTCAGCTTCAGCTTCAGCATCTTCTGTTGATCTTCATTCAGGTTCACCATCAAATTCAGTCAATTTTGATAACAGTCAAAATAATAATAATAATAACCTTCTTTGGGTACCAGCAAATATGCACCCACAAGTGAATCCAGAGAAATTTAAGATGCATGTTAAATCAACAATGGAAGAAATCATGGAAAGACAAATCAACAGAAAGAAATCTCTTTCTCGTAAGTCATCATTAAGCAGCTCTTCCCTTCCGGACACTGATACGAACTCACAACAGCAGCAACCACAAGCATTATCATCAACTTCATCCCCATCTACTCAACAGCAGCAACATCCACAAATGTACATTCCAAGCAGTGCTTCTCAATCAAGCTCTTCCAGATTGAATACTCCTCAGCATCCGAACTCGGTTCTGGAGTCATCCCAGGCATCCTCATCAAATTCGACGTCATCTACAGGAATCACAAGAGATGTAAACCCACAATCAGCCAAACGCAAATCTGAAAACTTGGAATTGAACAAGCGTTACAGTAATCCTTCGTTACGTGAATTATCAACAGAGTTAGAAACATTATCAAAATTAGCAGGCATAGATGCAAGTGATGCAGTAACATTAGCTCGAACTTTGAGTTCTAACTCAATTGGTTATACTTCTGTTGAAAGGCTAGCTATGGATGAATTGGGAGGTGTGAATACCCCTTCCAATTCCAATAACAATTCTTCTAGTTCGGGTTCATCCTATGCACAACAAAATCTTTATCTGTCGTCGCCTCAATCTTCTGGTTCACCATATTCATCATCCCCCTACCATAATGACCCATACTACCCTAGTCATGAAACCAGCTCATTATCACAGGACTTTTCACTTAAAAGAGCAAGAAGATTAGACTATAGAACATTACAAAGAAGTGGAGTACAAGCAGATCCAACGTTTAGCAATGCTAATGCTAGTGCTAATGCTCCCAAGAGAAAACCTTCAAGGGAATCACAATTTTTGTTTAGAGTTAAACCAAGAGACTCTTCTCAAAACAGCACGTCATCAGAATCTGCTGCTGGACATTCATTTCAAGCGGACACTGATCCTAATGCTAGCCACCCTTCCAATTTAATTGGCCCTTATCAATATCAAGGGCAGAATCAGAACACGCAGTCAACATTCTCTTCTACTCATCTGAAACTTCCACTGAATGGTCTGAAACAACAGCAGTACAACCAAAGACAAACGTTGATGGGTGAATCTCCATATCCAACGGGTTCCCTGAGGAAAACATCTCAACTGAACTCTTCATTTATGGTAGGAGGATATCCTAGCAACAAGCCTGCTACCAAGCAATATCAGAAGCAACAACAGTTGAGACAAATGTCTCAACTGCTTCCAGGAATGAATGTTAGTGTAGGTATGGGAATCAATCCCAATATGAATTTGAAATATCCCAAGTCAAGATCAAAGAAACAGAATGCTTATCCTAAATATCATGTTCAAAACCATCCTTCTCTGCAGCAACAACAAGGCTTCCCCCTACAGAGACAGGGATATCCACCTCAACAGCAACAAGGATATCCAACTAAGCAACACCAACAACTGGCTTATCCTTCTCAGCCTCAGGGATATCAGGGCCAAGTATATCCAAAGCAAGGTAATGGACATAGACTGAACAACCATGGGTATCCCTCATCTTCATCAGTAATGCAACAACAACAACCACAACAACAGCCATCGGGATATCAACCACAGAAACAAGCTCAACCAATGAATGCTCAAACTGCTATGGGTAACACTGCTCAATATAATCGTTCAACTATGACCAGTGTGCCTAACATTGTGCCAAATTCACAGTCTCAACATCTAGCAGGTTCTACTCAACCTACACAACAGGTTTCTCCTAGATCAAGAAGAAACAAAGGTGCTTATGCCATGAACACCCGTTACCATACTACAAAACCACCTGGAAAGACTGGGTATGGAGCTGCCCAATCAAGTATAAATCAGAACTTAGATTTGTTGAGGTCCGAGATTAATGAATTCAAAGAGACATTAAACAAAACAGAAGGTCCGAATGGAACCTTTGATCAAACGTCCTCTCAGCAAGCTTCAATGCAACCTGAAGCGCAACACAACCAACAATTGCATCAGAACGTCCAGCAACCACAGCAGGTTTATGAGAAGAATGCTCGTACAGGGAAATATCAAAAAAGTCAAGAGAACGAAGAGGTTGTTGATATTAGCTTTGACACTAGTACACAAGATGTTAGTTATGAAGATACATTGGGAATTGAACAAGAAGTATTAAAGGAGCTTGAGTTAGAGCATCAGAGAGTTTCATATAAACCTAGACAACAACAAGATCCTAGGTACCAACAACAAGGTATGAACATAGAAGAAACAGCAGCAAGGCTGGAAAAGAAAGTCATACCATTGGGTACATCAACACCTCCATCTGAAGTTGAAGAAGTGTTGGAGCCTCAAAGGCAGATCTATGATGGCATTATCTTTTCCAATGCTGATGAAAATCAAAATATCGATGAAGAAGCATTGACTGAAGTTGAAGAAGTCAAACCACAACAACCTCAAAGGACTTCTCCTACCAAAAAGAAGTATGATATGGTTTCTCATTCTCGTCATGAATCCGATGAGATGGAAATTGACAGTGGCTTAAATTATGGAATCACATCTTCTGGTTCTGGAGTTAAAGTACATGTTCATAAGAAGTCTGGTGATTCCATTTTATCAGGACGTAAATCATATGAAAATACCAAGCAGTCTTTAGAGCCAAAAACTTCACTTGAAAAAAGTGGAGCAATCAAAGCAAGCCAACCTGTTGCCAATTTAATTGATAATCCCAATAAAAGCTTGAAAATGAAGAAATCATGGGGCTGGCTTCGTGAAAGGTCTGCTAGTTTTTCGTCTATTGAATCAAAAAACCTTGCCACTAGCCCGATTATCAACAACTCCAATCACGCAGGTGCAGTCGCAAGTGCAGGTATTCTGAAGACTCCCCATAAGACACCACTGTCACCTAAATCTCCAACAAGGTCAGTTTCCAATCCTGAAATATCCTCTCATTTGGAACAAGATGAGAAGAAGGCAACTACGCCAAAAGAGAATATGATTACTAAATTATTCAAGAAGAAGAAGGCAACTGCAAGTAGTCTGAATTCCAATGCAAAGGAAGCTAGTGCTGCCAGTACTGTTAATAGTGGAGCACCATCTTTATTCACGACTGTTCGTCAAGAAAGTACCACTATCGGAGTACCATTAATTCACAGTGATTCCGATGGCACTTTAGACGAAGGAGGAGACTCCCGAGAATCAGATTATGAATCAGAACCTGACTCTAAGAAACGGAAAGGAATGGGGATCTTCAAGAAGAAACTGAAACTCCTGGTTAAATCAGAGAGACGTCCATCACACCATGATAAGTTGAAGAATATTCTTTCCATTAACCAGAGTGGTGGAACGAAAGGTGACGGCAATAACAGGAATAATAACGATGAACCTATGGGAAGCAATTTTGGAACAGAACGAGATATTTCTAATGTGGAATTGGATAGTATAGCTGTTGATGAGATCAAAGATGAACCGCTCTCTAAATATGAAGATCTTGATGTTGATCAAATTGAGGTTGAACTTGATGCCAATAAAGCATTGGGAGGCAATGGAGTACGGAATAATAATGAAGTAGATAAGGAGAATGTAAAGACTGCAGGCTCAAACGAAGAAGATGCAACAGGTGAAGGTACATCAGTAGGGGTTACAGCTGGAGAAGAATCCACAATTTCAGTTGCTGGAGCCAAACCTGCTGATAAGACTGGCAATACTCCTTCGACATTAGACATTCAAGAGAAGATTAAAAAGTCTATTAAAAGGACATCAAGAGCTAATCAGCCAATCCAATTTACAGATTCAGCCTTTGGGTTTCCCTTACCACCACCATCCCAATCTACATTGATTATGTTGGATTATCGATTCCCAGTTCACGTTGAAAGAGCCATTTACAGATTATCCCATTTAAAATTGGCCAATCCCAAACGGTCATTACGTGAACAAGTTTTGTTATCTAATTTTATGTATGCATACTTGAATTTGGTTGATCATACGTTGCATTTGGAACAACAACAGATAGCCACACCTTCTGGTACTTCTGATACTGAACATGAAGAGGAAGAATTAGCTAGTGGTAAGAAAAAGGTAAAGGGAGAGATTGTTAGTATTGATTTAAGTGTTGTACCTTAAAAGGATATAGTATAAAATTTATAACGACTATTATTATAATCCGGTCTGTAACTTACACCGACAGTATACAATTTACACCGAATTATGAATTCGCAATATAGAATCCATCTGGAATCTTGCCATAAAGTATGACATAATATATATTTATACCAGTGTGGTATAACACATAGCTCATGGGTTATTGAACTAAGCAGGAAACTTAGATATACACCATACAATCTAAATTTTACCATTTCCATTTTATTTGCTGCAACTTTAGTCTGCTTTTACTATTATATTTCGTTCAGCTAGTTCCTTGTGCTGTTAATGAATTAATATACAAGAGTCTCTCTATTTTTTGATATTGGGTAGTGCAATAATCGATAATTGGAGGGATTGAATCAAACTTGGGTACGCCTAACTTAAAGGTAGTAGTCGTTTTATTCAGACTGAATCGTATTAACTCTCTTCTAAGTGCGACTTGGTTTCGTAACCACTGTATATTTAGATTATGTATCCATATATGCTTAAGATCTTGGTAATTCTAAGACTACACGCTTCTAAATATGGGTGGAAGATATCTCAACTTATATTCCAATTCAACTCACACTTTCTTCATAATTAGAACCCCTCCTCAGCTTCAACCTCCTTAATTATTACGACCCGGACTCTCCGATGAACATTTCCCCCTTCTTTTATTGGTGTTAGGTGTAAGATTAAAGTTTTAGGCTTTAAACAGTGTAGCCTTTTCTAGTGTCGTTCCCAGATCAACTTGCGGGGAGTGATTCTCCACGACCTCACTTGTATACGACGTTTAATCAACACTCTACATCTTTTCTATTATCTTTGTGATTGGCAGGATATTATCAGCTTACAGTATGAATGAAAGCAACTTGGATGATATGGAAATAAGTGAAAGGGTTCGAATTAAAAGGAATATAAGGAAAGATTTTGAAATCAATTCTGAAGCCGACTCTGAAATGCCGAACGCCTGGAAAATATAAAGGCAGTAGCGTTACCGATGATTTTTACTGTTATACTTGTTTTGTGATCTTCTTGTTTGCAAATGCCAGTGATTGAATGATAATAAATATATGTAAATCCAACAAGTAAACGTGACTACTAGATGCAGTTGAAGTAATGTGCTAATGCACAATCCTTTCATGTTTTCTGATGGTTCCATATCATCCAGAAGTGTGCTAGCGACTTTTGGTTATTTGAGAATACAGAGCATACATGCAACTGGCCTACACTACTATAGTTGTCATACACTACCAGAAGATTGATCTATAAATGCCACAATCACTTAGTCTTGGAGAAAGATTTTACTTAGAATTTGTATTCCATACTATTAAGATTTACTGCTGTAATATTTTTAAAAGAGATGGTTAATTTGGTTTGGGTTCTTTCAGGTTAGTTAATATCAAACATGTCCAATTCTTTTTAAGCAATAAATATATTACTTCTATCCCCTCTAGTAATATAATTAGAAGCTACAGAAAAGCTATAATCACTACTGAAGTTTCCTGTGTGATTCGCCTTCAATTCCGATATCGATGAGGCATTGGGTGCCAACATCTCATTTACCAGAATGTGCAACTACCTTTAACCATTCTACAATGCCCGCCTCCGTTGGCACCCAAACTTAAAGCGGCCAATATTGTGAAACACGCAATAGAACGTCATAACTTTCGGTGTAATGAGATAGCGACATTGCCACACATAAGACGTACTGTTGATATAGCAAAAGCTACCATAAGGCCAAATGCAGCTGAATATATTGCAAATAAACCTCTTGTTACATCCGATTGCATAAAAGTACTTGTTTCATCAAAGCCCCCTACTAAATCCACAATACTTAAAAATCCACACTACATACAATCAGTAGTGATCGCTAATGCAACACACGCTATGACATATGCTGCCCTTTTGTTTGGTGCATTAACAAGAAAGCAACACAAAAGATTTACTGTAAAAAGCCCAAAGAATACCATTAGAGAACATGCCCATGCCGTTCTACCAAATTCACCGGTACCTTTCTCCGACAGAACACTATCCGAAATCATTGACTCACTTATTGGCATGATATCACCTGTTGATACTGCGTAAATATATAGAAACACCGAACACAACCACAGCGCCTATTCCACCTTTTATTATATTTAATCTGATACGATTGTTTCTGTCACTGGCAGGTTCATCGGACGTTTCATCTTCAAATAAATCGATCTGGAAATCTGTAAGATCGTATCAAGACATCTTTATATTGTATTTATCTCCTTGGGTGAAAGGAGACGTTTTAGACTACAAAAGAGAGATCAATAACTCCGATTGTGGGTGCGAAAAAATTTAGTATGAGAAAGAGGCTTTAGAATGAGAGCAATATGCAGGCCAGATATGCCTATCAAACCTGTCAAACCTGCAAGCCCGTTGGTCTTCAACATCTCGTTCATCAGCAGTTCTACTAGAGCCATTAAACCAACCCCCAACTAACCATGACCTTCAATTCCATCTTCAAACGCAGTGTACCCTTAACTCCGGTCATCCTTGGAAGGAATCTTTCGGCAATCATCGTTAAGACACCGAAGGCTCAAGGTATTCTAGTATCTTAACCCACAACTGTTACACAATTATGCCTCAAGTGACCTACTGGGTCTCCAGCATGGACTCTACTCGGAGCCCACACACGATAAAAACACTTGGATGGTGGTGGTGTTTAGGAGGGGACCTCATCAATGCTTCCTTTGCTTTCTTAAGCGTGGAGGAAGGTGGCAGTGGGGATAGGACAAAACATGTGCAAGAATTATTAGAACCAGGTGTGGAAATGGTGGCAGTGGTTCTAGGAGTAATGGAAGGCAAAAATGGTAGTGTTTGATGGGAGTGGTGGGCCTAATGTAGTAATAGGAACCACTGCCGTTGAGGCCATTGGTTGTTGGATTGAAGTCGAGGACGTTTCACTTAAAGTATCGTTGATTGTAAATATAGGTTCCAATACCTCTAGTGGCAGTTGATGCGAAACAAAAAATGGTTAAGTGGCTGTAAACAAAACTTAGAATACACCTTAAGCAGAATACAATTTACACCGACAGCCGACATTCACCATTCTTCCACACTGTACGGTGCTATTCACATCTATTCGCCAATGATTATTCGACACTCATAACGCACTTCTTAGAAGCGGGACGGAGTTAATAATAAGCTATCTTCCTATTCGCACCCATACTTTAATCGTGTATAACACCATTCGGTCCAGAGCCATAGCCGGATACACTCGGGTCATCGCGATCAGGTGATCACCGCGTCGTACAACTAAATAAATAATACGTCAATTATTAACAGAATATAACCTCGCCTACCTAGTCTTTATTCTACACTATAACCGAGTTATGCCCAGTTTACCTTTACTCAGAGCCTCGGACGTTGCCAGCCACAACACTGCCAATGACTGTTGGGTCTCGTTGTACCACCGAAAGGTGTACAATGTTACGCCATTCTTGAACGAACATCCTGGTGGTGCGCAACTAATTCTCGACCACGCCGGGAAAGATATCACTGGGATAATGGCCGACATGACGTCGCACGAGCATTCGGAATCAGCGTACGATATCATGGATGACGCCTATCTAGTCGGCTACGTTGCTACCAAATATGAAGAGGAAGAACTCCTTAATAATCGATACGGTAAACCAGTCGAGGTGACCATCAACGAGGGAACAGAAGATGTCTACAATTTCCACGACGAGTTGCCTCCGGAAACGGTCATGTCCATCAAGACAGACTTTGAAGAAGATCACGTTAAACATAAGTTCTTGGACTTGAATAAACCCTTGTTGATGCAAGTGTTGTGTGCTGATTGGACCAGAGAGTTCTACATCGACCAGGTCCATAGACCAAGACATTACGGTAAAGGATCAGCTCCCTTATTCGGTAACTTTTTAGAACCAATATCGTTGACCCCCTGGTGGGTTGTGCCATTGATTTGGTTGCCTCCTAACCTTTATTTGACTTGGATGGGAGCCTCTCAATTACCTTGGTTAACCAGTTTTAGTTATTGGTGTTTGGGTCTCTTTATATGGACATTGGTGGAATATTCTTTACACCGGTTCCTCTTCCATTTAGATGATAATTTACCAGAACATAACGCCTTCTTTGCCTTACACTTTTTATTACATGGTGTTCATCATTACTTACCTATGGATGGTTATAGATTGGTGTTGCCTCCAACGTTGTTTGTGGTGTTGGCTTATCCCTTCTACAAGTTGGTGTTCGGTCTCTTACCTTTCCATATTGCTTGTGTTGGGTTCGCTGGTGGGACCTTGGGCTATATATGTTATGATGTTTGCCATTATATCTTCCACCATACCAAATTGCCTGAGTTCTTACAAAAACAGAAAACTATCCATTTAGAACATCACTATAAGAATTATCAGCTTGGGTTCGGAGTCACTTCTCAATTCTGGGATGTTGTCTTTGGTACCACCATCACTCAAACCTTTCAAAAGAACAATTAAATTTATCAATGTTCAAGTCGTACAACATATTCATCTTGATCCAATCGAAAGCCTCCATGTTCAAATACCATTTGCTTGGCTTCTTTGTGTATCTGCTTCCTTTTCTTGTGTGGTCGACCTTTATCTGGAGATATATGGTTCATATGAGCTTTTAGTCGTAATGCGTTTTGTATAAGGTGATGTTTCTGATTAATGAAATACCATGATTTAACTTTATTATCGTCATATTCTTTCTTTTCTTGTTCTGTTAACTCATTATAGTATTTCTCTATGGCTTCGTCTCCTGCCAATTGACTTCCATCTTCAAATTCATATTTGAACGTATTATCTTCAAAGATCACGTGACACGAGTTATAAACTGATGCAGTATTAACTTTAACACCAGCATTAGCTCCTTTTACTCTTAAACTGGCTAATACAACATCTTGCCAGTTAAGTAGTGTGACAGGAGCCTTTTTCCGCTGTTGCATACTTAAAAGAGCGTCCAAAAGCCCATCAACCTTATTGGCTATACTCTTTGAAACCTCCATAACAAAATCATCAGGTACTTCACCAACATCTCCACCACCACTAATCTTCAATGCCCTTTGAGTCACTCGAGACTTAATGGCACTAGCAACCTCATTCAATAAATCGTTCCGACTATTCGTCAAAGTCTCTTTAAAGGTCACCAGACCATAATCTCTTATCTGCGCTTCAGGCTCATCGTCTTCCAGGTCCCATATAGAATCAGTATCAGAATCAGTATCGGAGCCTGTTCCGTCAGACTCTGTAGCGGCTTCACTAACATCAGTTACTTGTCCATTGATATCAGTCGAGAAATAATCTCGAGGTATAACATTATCACTGTACGTTACTTCGGTACGGGGATCAGGTACTTTGGAGTCGCTCAACGGCCAACTAGTCCATCTTCTATTGGGCCACGATGGATCTATGCGATGAAGAAGGTGGGCTGTATATAAGTGCACAGGGAGATCATGACGATAAGTATGTTCAACAGCAGTAAGAACCTCTTCACGGTCTTTACGTGTAGCCATTGGTAGCAAAGGTAGTTGTTATTTAAGTCATCGGGAATCGTAATACTGTTTATGTATCAAAGGACTGCATATAAGAGACATTATATATATCTAGTAGTTTAAAGTATTTAAAGCACATACAAAGAGTATACAAATGTTATAGAACAAATTCAGCCTGTATTTCAAGTATATATAGCATATATAAAGCATGTATGACCCAACTATAAAGTTATATAAACAGTGTATACAGTTGTGCACTACTGAATAATTTTGATACTTACATCATTCAGTTCACCAATTGCTCCAAATAGTATTCATCTTCCGATATCATACACCATACTTATTCTAATCAAGGACTAACATACACAACTCACACAGCCCTGACTCAGTACTAACGTAATGTCATCGATGAACATCACTTTATATATTTTGACTCGGTCCTGCATGTACCCCAGGCTTATCGGACTAGTGAGTCAAAACTCATCTGAAAAATTTCAACCACCAAGTGAAGCTCCCCACCTTCGTCATCACCACCCTACAACATGTCATACCAAGAACAATTCTTAACCACTGCATTAGAGTCCAATGCGTTGAAGTTCGGCTCCTTCACCCTTAAGTCCGGCCGTCAGTCTCCATACTTCTTCAACTTGGGATTCTTTAACACCGGCAAGTTATTGTCTAACTTGGCATCTAGTTATGCTCGGGCTATCATTGATGCTGGAATCAAGTTCGACGTATTGTTTGGTCCAGCATACAAGGGGATCCCCTTATGTGCCATTACTGTTGCCAAATTGGCTGAGTTGGACCCAGAAAACTATGGTTCTGTTGGTTATGCCTTCAACCGTAAGGAGAAGAAGGATCATGGTGAAGGAGGATCTATTGTAGGGTCTGGATTACAAGGGAAACGGATTTTGATTATTGATGATGTTATGACTGCTGGTACTGCCATTAACGAAGCATTTGAAATCATTGCTGGTGAAAAGGGTAATGTGGTTGGTTGTATTATTGCTTTAGACAGACAAGAAACCACCACCAGTACTTCTAACCAATCAGCTACTCAAGCTGTGTCCGAAAGATATGGAATCCCAGTTATATCCATTGTATCTTTGACAGATATTGTTTCATTATTAAAGCATAAGCTTACAGAAGAAGAGTTGGCTTCTATTGAAAAGTACAGACAAGAATATGCTCCTAAATAGATAGGAATGCCCTAAATAGACAGAAATGCTTTAAATAATATTAACTATATATTAACCTCTTATCTTCATAATCTTCTTTTTAGGTTGTTTTGGAGCAGTTGAAGGCTTTATTGCTCCCTGTGATGGTTGTTCTGGAAGTGGATCATAGATGCTTTTAGTCATGGGATGTTTCATGGTCAAACTGGAATGAACTGGGACAATGGTATTCATTCTGAACCCTTTAACCAATGGAAGTTCCAGTGGTTCAAACCCAGTTTCATATTCTTGAGGTAATGGAATCCCAGATCCAGGTCCAATACTGGATAAAGTTGTTGGATGAGCTTGTAAATATGATGCCACAGCATTCAATAAGCTTCTTTTACAGGTAAATCTCAGATCCATCACTTTCCCGTCTTCAAACTTATCTTTAATTAGTATTCTAACTCTCCCCGGGTTCCCAAAGTCTTGAGGATGTGTTTTATCCAACTCCAAGAATGTATTAAGATGTAATGCTCGACAAGCATCAGAAATAGTCTTGGCTAAGGGGTTAACAACTGCCTTGTCCACACTTACTCTTCTTCCTTCCTTATGAGACCGATTCTTATCAAAGTAACATGGATATAACACTTGGAACGATTGCAACCGTATACGGTCTTCGTCAGTAAACTTATTGGAGTCTACAATCTCTTTCTTATCGACATTCACCACGTCATCTGTCAAGGAAGGCATTGCTTGATACTGCTGTTGCTGGTGCTGATCTTGAGAACGAACAACTGTTGGTTGTGGTCTGAGAGGTGCTATGGGAGTGTTCAACGTTGGATCAAATTGGGCAATATCCATGTCCAAGTTGTCGATGTCATCATCATCGATTTCTTCTAGTACTGGACGATTTGACATTGTGTTGGTGGGGGAAGATACTGGTTAAAGGTGTGGGTTAAGTGTTGATGAAAATTTGTCTTTAGGGTAGTATAATTTTATTTCCGAGGGTAACACCGGGGGTAAATTGTACTCGAGTAATGATGAACCATTCGGGTTAATAGACTACAGCATCTTATAGTCATACACTACATAATTCCGGATCATACAGATCATACATAAACCGGGTCACATATTAAGTACTATAAATATAGCTGTTGTCCACCGGTCCAACAACATTAGCACTCAACAAACAGACTGGAATACTGTACAACTAAACTGGACTAGACTACACTAGAGTACAGTTTACGAGACCACGTTACACTACAGTAGACTCTACTGTTCTACTACCGTAGACTGCTCGAGCTACCTCATAATAAACTGCTAACTGTGGCAAACCTGTGGACACTGTGGAACCTGTGGACATGGAGTCGTTTCAATATGAACCGACGTATTCCAAATCACATCCGGATATCCAATACTTCCAACGGATCAAGAACACCCATCATTATCACCTTCACAAGTCCAAACAACTGAAGCGATCACCATCAGCATCATCATCAACAGAAGTGCTAGCCAAAAATAGACCTCATATTGATCCTTATAGCCGGACCCAATTGGAGTCAAGATTAAAAACCTTCAACGTCCTCAACTGGCTTGTGCCTCTGGAAACGTCCAAGGTATCAGACTTGCTCTGTGCCCGAAATGGATGGTGTTGTCTCTCCTTCTCTGTGACCAACAACTGTAAAAACACATTGGTGTGCGGGTGTTGTCACAAACAATTGGTGATACGATACAACGATGCTATGAATTATACTGTTGCTGCTACAAGTGAAGACTACTTGACTGATATACTTGATGCTAAGGATTACATCAATATCAATAAGGAACTAGAAGACGTTTACTATAAGCAAGTCACAGGTAGTGGACATGGTTCATCTTGTATATGGAGGAACTTCGAGACTCCATTAGATGGTGTTTATTATTTAACTCCACACCTTAACTCCTCCAATACCATTTGGATAAATGAGTACTTGGTATCTTTAAAAAATCTTATAGATAACACCAAGACGTTGACGGAATGTTTGTCAAACTATATTGTTGTGTTTGATGTTGATGATAATGAGTTAATGACTAGATTCATCCAAGTTTCAAATAAGCTATTGCTTTCGAAACACTATCAAGATTCTGCTTCTGGTTCTTCTACCTTGCCATCTGCTATATCTTACACTCCAAATTGGCTTTATAAGTTGGCAGTGTTGGGATGGAACTTGAACGTTCAATCCTTTGGTAACCAACTAGTTCTCCTCTTAATATGTTCCAAATGTAACAAGAGACTCTTTCTAGATTCATGCAACCACAGTCCTATACCGAAACACGATGTTACTAAAGTTGACAAGAACTTGAAATTATCCCAAGCCAATGTGTTGAGTCCGTGTCCTGTTCCCATAACTGTTGATAATGAACAAGACGAAGAGGAAGATAATCAGTTGGATCTAATTGGTGAGCATAAACCGTATTGTTCACTTATCCAACGTGTCGATAACGAGAAACCATTCCATGAATATTTCATTCGCATGTTGGTAGATTGTGAAACCATACTTAACGATCAAGCAAAGTTCATCAACACCAATGAAATGTTGATCGATATGGAAGGCTCCAAAAAGAGGAAACGAACTGATACTTTCAATGATATCAATGAAGGAATTGAAAGATTGAATAAACTTAAAAAGTTGTATTTTCATCAATAAATCTCTTCAATTACTTTCTTTGTTTCTTCAATTGGTTTCTTAGGTGGTTCACTAAAATCCAAGATTTCAATAAACGTTTCATCTTGAGTTCTTTGAACGGCTGCGACACAACGATTGAAATCAAACCTAACTTGCCAGATTCCCACAGTGGCATCATGTAATAAATCTCGTACAAATTCTCCAGTTTCCATATCCCAAAGCTTTAACATTTTTTCACTCCCACTAACAGTTCGAAGTGAATCATGTTGGAAACATGTTATAGCACCACTATGACCTTCAAATTGATATATACCTTCACCCGTTTCTGGATTCCATACTCTTAATGTGGCATCTGCTGCTCCACTAACAAGATAATTATCTGAAAGTTCAAGTAACCCAACCAATGAACAGTGCCCTTCAAGGACTCGAATCAACTTGCCGGTTTCAATACTCCAAACACTTATTTTGGAATCCATAGACCCAGAATAACATATCTTTTTCGAATAATCTAATACCGTAGTATAAATCCGATCAGAATGACCAGTGAAAACAAATTTACATGAACCAGTTGGCCCATCCATTAAATCCCAAACTCTAACAGTAGTATCGTATGACCCAGAAACTATAATGTTCCCATACCCACAAACAGTTCGAACAGATTGTGTGTGGCCCAGTAATATTCCCACCAAATGCTGGTTACTCAGTTCATTGCTATCAATAGTTGGTATATCCATATCATCATCATCTTCATCTTCACTGACTAGTGGTAACTTCCAAACATGAAGATTGCTATCTCTTGAACCAGTAACCAATAAAGGCTGTTTAGGAAAAATAATGTCTTCCCCATTTTCATCAACACCTATTTTAACTGGGTGTAAAATATCTAAGCATCTCACAGTGGAGGTATGCCCTCTAAAGACATGGGTACATTTCCCAGTTTTAGTATTCCAAATTCTTACTGTACGATCAGTTGAACCACTTATAAGAGTATTGCCAGTATATTTAAGGGCCCACACTCCACCATCATGACCTTTTAAAACCTTCAAGAGTTTGCCTGTTTTGGGACAATAAATATTGATCAACTTATCATCAACTCCAGTGACAATCTTCTCTTCATCTTGTTGAAGACAAGTAACCAAATTCTTACCTTGTCCAGGTACACTTATACGCTTTGGTTCATAAGTTGGGTCCATCCATCGTCTTAAGATGGTACGACGTTTACGGTATAAAACTTGACCAATATTGGAATATTTAGGAAAGAAGTTCCAATCTTCAAGTAATTTGGGGTCGTTAATTTCCTTTTCAATACATTCTGGAGTGATAAGCTTATCTCTAACCAATAGGTCTATCCACAACTTCTTATTATTGACGATGTTATTCCAACTTTTGCATACCTGAGACATGGCACCTAAAGTTTTATAATCCATATGAGAAAGGATTCTCACGGTTATTTCTGGAGGTAGCCCGCTAATCAAATCTCTTTTCAAACTACCATACAAAATATCTGTGATCATACTCAAAGTACGCCTGTTGACGTTTTGGAGGAGTTTAAAAATGAGATAATTTTGATTTCTTTCATTCAAATGAACCGAAAGATTAGAGATTAAATCCAATAATTCTCCTTGGGTTTGAGGTGAATTTATTAGTAAATTCTCCATGGGGTCATATCCTGCTTTGGAAGGTCCGGTTTGAACTGGAGATGCACTTGGTGAAGGTAAGGGTAATTGTTGGGGTTGGTTATCGTTATCTTCATATTCTGGTATCGAATCTGGGGTATTTGATGAAGGAGATTTATCAGAAACAGCAGTAGAAGCATTAATAGTGGTAGTACGTTCTTCGTTACCTGGAGTAAGGTCCATTTGTCTAACATTAACATCGACTCCAACCATAGGAGTGTCCTCATCTTCAACTTCATTAACTATGGGAGACATAACACTGGTAAGACGACGTTTTGGTGGATGTATTAACGACAAAACATCCTTCTGATCCGAATGCACCGAGGTTTGAGTTTCAAAATCACTTATGGCCGTACCGTCATCATCATTTAATTCATTGGATACGTTTCTTATTCTCTTTCTGTTTTCTCTCAGTTCTGTGGGAAGTAGAGTAAGTTTCTGGTACTCTCGAGGTAACCACGAATCAGAGAGTCTCATGGCAGTATTTAGAGGTCTGAGATCAAATGTTGGCACCATATTTTTGAGTGGGAAAGGTGGAGGTATATTGGCGGAGGTAATACCTTCCTCCTTCATGGTAGGACACGAAGGACCTGATGATGTAGATGGTGTTGTGGTGTCTTTTATATGAGACATGATAAGTAGAGGCAGTATGGGTTGTATATAGGGATTCTTGTAGCAGCAGCAGCAGCAGCAGCAGCAGCAGCAGTAGTAGTATTAGTTGTCGTGGTAATGTATTAATGGTGTATAACAATAGTAGTATCACTAGTGTGTTACAACTGGTCTAGAACTATTGAAAAAGATCTATTTTTTTCTTTCTTTTTTTTTGATGATATCTCCAGAGATATAGGATTTAAAATGGTCTTCAACAAGTCTTTAGCTCTTTCCAACCTGCTACTATTATCGGACGGTAGATGTATGTGATGGTTGTTGATGGTAGAGGGAGTCACCGTGGTATTGACTGGCTTTAAATTTTTCCAGCGGTACATACACGACCAAAAGTGTATATTACAGTACAATACAGTATATTACAGTATATTACTTTAAGATACAGATACTATACAATGAAGTGTAACAGATACAGCAAAGTATAACAGATACAGTGTATTGATGTATGATACAGTACCCTACGTGTACCGTAACATAACACGTCTAAACATTCTCAATGTGGATACCAGGTTGACCAGGAATAGCATTCTCAATAATCTTCCCAGTACTACTAACGGTATAATCTTCACCAGTAACAATGTTCTTGCCTAATGTAGACCCATTTTCAAATGCTATAATGTTCAATTGCTCAACTTCTAATTGAACAGGAGCATTCTTAATATTTGGAATGATGGTCAAGAGCACTTCTGACTCGTTGAAACTCAATTGTCTGTTCAAAACTGTTTCTGGAGATTCAGTAGTCAATCTTTGTTTCAAGAATGAAATGAATGGCATGGCTCTCTTCATGTCTTTACCAACCTTTTCTCTAATGGCTTTATTATCATCTAAACTTTGAGATTCAAATAGTTGTCTAACCAATTCAATGTATTGCTCTTGCCATTTAGGGAAGGTGGTTGAAATGTACAAGGTCAATTTAATTGGTTTGGTGGAATCAACATCGGCAGGTTTCCCACCCTTCTTCTTCTTTAACACTAATGCTTCAGCTTCACGAATGGATCTGGATAAATCACGAATGTATTCCAAAGAATCAGAAATAGACTTGGATACCTTCTTATTGGCTCTAGGGAATGAAGCAGTTTGAATGGACCCTTCATTACCCAAGACTTCACGATAAATATATTCAGCAAAATGGGGAGCAATGGGGGCCAACATAAGAACTTGACTTTCAATATATTTCAATACCAATTCCTTATGCATGCCAATATTGGAGGAAACACTATCTCTATAATAATCTCTAGATGTTTGGAAATCAAACAATCCAGTTACTAATGCTGCCTTATAATTGGTTTCCTTATATTGTTCATAGGTTTTCTCAATTAAATCATTCATTTCATTTTCAAATGCAATATCAAAGAAGTTGGTATCCGTTGGTCCAGTTCTTAAGGAATCCTTGTTTCTAATCACTTCTTCACACCATTCCTTCAAGGTGGTCAATCTTAAAATGGCAGCATTGGCATTGGATTCATCGAAATTAGCATCTTCAACAGTATCACCAGCATCGGCCAATGCAATTCTTGATGCATCAGCTCCAAACTTCGCAACAATTTGTTCTAAAGTCATGAAATTACCAGTGGATTTGGACATCTTAGCATTGTTCAACATCAAATGTCCATTAGCTCTAACACCTACGGGCCATAATCTCTTGGGGAATATGGCAACATGGGTGTAAATGAAAAAGGTTAAATGGTTGGGGATTAAATCCTTACCGGAAACTCTTTCATCCAATGGATAAAAGTATTCAAATTCTCTTCTCATGGTCTTCAACTGTTCAATTGGAATATCAGAGTCAATGGTGTCTCTTCTGGTAAAGATATAATCAAACACTTCATCAGTCATTTGTTCGGGCCTAATATCAAACTTACCAGCAACCTTACCATAATAATCTGAATGCAAGAAACGGGAAATGGTATAATAAGCCATGTAAACTGTGGAATCACTCAAAGATTCAACTAAAAGGTTTTTATCCCAAGGTAATTTGGTACCTAAACCAAAGTTTCTGGTAACAGCCCAATTCTTTAACCAATCCAAAACTTTTTCAAAGCCATGTCTTGTTTCCTTAGAATATGTTTGCATTGAAGCCAAACATTCTAAAGCTTGACCCTTCCAAGTTTCTTCACCATAATCAATAAACCATTGATCTTCCAATGAAACAATACATTCATCACCAGATCTGGAAATAACAATCCCCTCAGGTTCATTGTAGACAAAGGCATCACCAGAGGCAATCAAATCGGCCTTAACTTTGGGCTTAGCATCTTCAACCTTATCACCAGAATATTTACCAACAACCATAGTACCGTTGTAGTAACCTTCCTTGTAAGCCAATTCCTTAGCTTCAGCCAATTGAACAGAGTCCTTTGGAGATTGAATCTTCAATTGCTTAACTAAATATTCAGCACACTTGTCACCGTACTTAGGAGTACTAACAATGGGCAAGATGTCTTCCACAACCCATTCCTTATCAATCTTATAATACTCAGGCTTATGGGCCAACTCTCTAGTAGTAATGTAATCATCAGGAGAATCAGATGGAACACAAGTAACTACACCAGTACCCTTAGAAGCCAAAACAGTCTCCATAGGCAATACTCTCAAGTTCTTGTTGATAGCCAAAGGAGCAGTGATCTTAGCACCAATTAAAGCCTTACCATTGATACGAGCAACAGGCTTATAGTCACCTCTCTTTGGAGTTAACTTTTGGTACGACATGTTCTTGAAAGCACGTTCAGTGGTGATGTAATAAGTATCCTTACTGACTTCAAAAACACCATAATCAATCTTAGGAGATACAAAACAGCAAGTTTGTCCATACATGGTTTCTGGTCTCAAGGTAGCAGCCACTAAAAAGACATTCTTGTTCTTGAAGTCAAAATCTGATTGAGCAAACACTTGTTGAGCTTCTTCTGGAAACTCATCAACCTTGATCTTAATACCAGTGTATTCTTGAGGGTTAACACCTTCACCAGATTGTCTATCGTGATCCAAACAAGCTTGACCATCCTTTTCAGAGTAGATGGTGTATCTTTCACCAAACTTAATCTTCCCGAGATCTCTCAATCTGTTGATTTGCCATCTGACAAAGGCATCATAGTATAAGTTGGCATCGGTAGTGACCATAGATCTTCTCCAATCAACTCTACCACCAAAAGCAGTGACATCCTTTTGAACTAAAGGAGGGAAGAATTGGAGCCAATGATCAGGATCAGCAAACTTGGCAACTTCTTCCTTGCTGATACCCAATTGCAACATGATTTCAAATTGGAATTTACCCCTTCCTTGTTTAGCAGCAGCTTTGGATTTCTTAGCCTTGAACTTGGTCACATCTTCACTCTTAGCTTTAGGTTCAGCAACAGCAGCAGTGGTTTCTTCTTCTTCATCTTCGGCTGGGGCACCAGAGAAATCAGCTCCAAAATCCTCAAGTTCTCTCTTAATCTTGTCAGCAGCAGCCTTAATGGGCATACCGGTACAGTGGAACCCTAATGGGAACAAAGCTCTCTTACCATTCATTCTCTCGAAACCAGTGGCAAATTCAGCCTTGGACAAAGTGAAACTGTGTCCAGCATGTAAAACACCATTCATGTAAGGATAAGCCATGGTAGTAAAGAACTTAGGGTGAGTTTCTCTAACTTTATCAACATCTTCATTGGAATCTTCTGCTAAAGTAGGAGCATCAACTTCAAAAAACTTGTTCTCAGCCCAGTACTTTTGGTACTTCTTCTCGATGTCTATCAACGCATCCCTACGAGAAGTATTCTCTAACTTGATAGGAGCACTCATGTTGTATCAGGATGATGTTAAAGTAAAGATAAGGTGACTACAAAGTTAGCGTATAAAAATTTTTCAGTTATAATGAAATGGGCGCTACCATATACATATATAATACATAATATCAAGATAAGCTGCTGCTACTTACTAGCTGCTCTTCTTCTTACTGAAGTTGGTACCATCAACCTTCTTTTGGGTTGACTGGTCATATTGTGACTGGCCATAGAATTATATTCATCCTCTGTAACCACCTTTAATGAATCCAAGCCTGCTTCTTTGAGCTTAACCTGGGCATTAACAGCATCTTCACGTGAACCAAATTTGAACAAATACGCCTTCGATTGTTGACCATATTCTGTAAATAGCTCTATTGGCCCTACCAGATTCCATATTAATGTATAAGCCTCTTGTTTAGAACATTCAAACGGCATTATAATCACGGAACGACTGTGTTCCGTAGTGCTATGTTCGGTACTATGCTCTGTCGTAGTATGTTCCATCCTAATACCATCATCTAATGTCACTGCTAATCTTCTCCCATCCAATTCAACCCCGTTCATACTCAAGGCTTTATTGGCTGAACTTCCATTACTGTAGATGATTTTAGCAAACCCTTTGTTCCTTTCAGTTTCTCTTTCTTCCGCTTCCATAGTGGGCATTATTATCTTTTCGATATTGCCAAACTCCAGAAACACATTCGTAACACTTTCTTTAGTGGTGACAAAGTTCAATCGATTTATGAACACCTGTCGATCACGAAGTGGCTCTTTGGATTGGTTAAAGGCCTTGGAAGCACGATGAACTGCCAATGTATATTTCTTCTTCCCGTCTTTGGAATACAACACCTTTTTATTCAAACTGTTAATGGCTGAGGATGCATCCTTGGGATCTTCAAACACATAGAAAGAATATTTCTTCATATAAGGATGGACGGCTTTGATTACCTTGCCGAATTCATTGAACATGCTATCCAATTCTGACTTTGGTAAATCATCTGGATAATGAGAACACCATAAGGTTGGTTGTTCATATGCTTCAATCAGTAGAGTATTTCCGTTGTACTGAGTACCGTTCAATGCCATTATACTTTGAAAGGCAGGTTCACCGTGTACTTTAAATATGGCTACGGATCGTTTATCGTCGAGGTATTCCAAATCAAAGATCTCAACGTTGATGAGGGAACTAAGGCTGTCGGATGTAGATGGTATATTAGAGACTTGAACCCAAAATGGAGTAGAAGCTGAAGAACCTGTAACAGCAGTAGTATCTTCATCTAATCGTGGCCGCTTTCTAGATTCCATCATAACATGATCCTCTTCTTGGTTAATATCAACATACTGCTGCACAATATCAATACCGTAATCATCTTCAACAGAAGCATTTAATAAACTCCAAAACTGACCTTTAGTTGGCCCAACTATAAGCTTGGTGATGAAACTCACAAGTGTGTCATCGTCATAGTTTGGTCTCTTTGAAAGAAACGACAAGATCTTCATCCCATAATAATAGATGCTATTGTTACGAGATACTTCAAATGCTAAAAAAACCATAGCTGCAAACTTCCATCGTTCATATGAGTAGTTGGACCTTACTTCAACCAAGTAGTCCATTACGGCTCGTCTCACATACACCAAATCAAGTATCAGATGACCATCCTTTACGGTCAATAAATATGCTCCCAAGGTCACTGGATCATTGGGGAAACATCTATGGAATTGAAGAAACATATACTCTTCTTTAGGATCACCAAAATACTCTTCCTTCATGAGATCTAAATAGAATACCCAGAGCTTAAACCAATTACTATCACCAGGTTCAAAGTACTCCGAGGTTCTCCAGAACAAAACCTCCACAGCTTCAGGTTGATACTTCTTCACGCTAGCTATGTACGTTTTCCATGTTTCTATATCTTTAGGATCTTCTTTTAGCTGTGCTTCTAATGTTTCGTAGTACCTCATCTGGTGCTTGGTCTTCTTATATAGTTTGTTCCCGTCTATCATTAGTGTCGCGTACTCTTCTTGGGGGTACTGTTGTGAAACAAACGACGAATAAAAGCTGAAGGTATCGTCTAGATGGACATGAGGAGTACTCAATTGAGTCGTAAACAAGTTACGCCAATCATCAACAGATCTCGACTTATCTTCAAAGCGTTGTTGCACTTTATTGAACGTTTGATGGCTTTCAAGCCAATGGAACCGTCCATATCGGTAAAATCTTGACTTTTCAGGATGTTGGCAAGCCTCTATATCCTCTTCTATGTTGCCATCCTCATCAACGAGCCATATGGCAGGAGTAGATTGTCTAATACATTCAGTGATCTTATCTACATAACAAGACAGAGCATCATCAAGCCACGAGTCAGCCAATTCTGCATCTTTATAGCATTCGGCCAATTCGTGTTTACTAAGTACTTGCAGTCGTATTTGCCCCATTCTGGCTTCTATGAGGGCATGAGGATTTCTTGATGCTCTTAGTAGCGTTAGCCACGGTGTATACAGTAATGTGGGGGAAACAGCCATATACAAAGCCGTGTCCTTATTTTGGTCCACATTAACAGTGTCAGCCATTGGGTATAGGTTGTTATTGGTACGACCAGGTTCCATTGGTATACGTTCGAGCTCTTTTTGTGGGGCTGGCTCTTTATTCTTCGTTGTATTGATTCGGAAGGTCATCGCGAAATAAAAGTGTAGCGATGAGATAAGCACTGAATTAGTTTGAGGTTAGCAATATAAAAGGTCAGCTATGGACGCAAAGGTTTACTTACAGTCGTATGGGTGGCAAGAAGGAGAAGCTCTTCAGAATGGCGGGTTGAAGAAGCCTATTCTTGTCCAGCATAAGAAAGACACCAAAGGGTTAGGGCACCAGACTAAAGATGCATCTGTTTGGTGGGAACAGCTTTTCGATGGGACACTTAAGAATATGGAGGTTACTAAGGATAATGGGGGAGGAATCAGTTTACTGACGAACTTTGAATCTGTCGATACGCATATGAGGAAGCTGCTATCACCGTTATATCGTATGTTTGTTCAGGGAGAAGGGTTAGCAGGAAGTGTTGGGAAGACCAGTGTTAATGAGAAACAAAGGTTTGATGCCAAGGGAGCGATGAAGGTTGTTGATGAGCTTTTTCAGGTGAAGAAGAAGGATACCACGAAGAAAGAAAAAAGGACTAAAGAGAAGACGAAAGAAAAGGAAAAGAAAGAGAAGAAAGAGAAGAAAGAGAAGAAAGAGAAGAAAGAGAAGAAAGAGAAGAAAGAGAAGAAGCTGAAACAAGTGTCTTCGAAATCCAAACATGAATTAAACAGAAACGACAAACCTCATAAACACTCAGATTCTAAGAAGAGGAAACGATCCGAAGAGTCTAAACTGTCAAAGAAACAGAAAGCTACTTGAACAATATTTATAGAATGATAGAATGAATAGACTATTAATACAGCATGACTTAAACTTACCAGATTGTATACTACTGCAACTGACTTTACAAGTGACAGTACTACTGACGGTACAGCTGACTGTATTACTGACTTTACAAGTGACAGTACTACTGACTTTACAAGTGACAGCACTACTGACTGTACTACTAACTGTACTACTGTACGTTTACTATATGCTGCTGCTGAATATATACCTATACCACGGACTGCTATACTGGACCGTGCTGTGCTACAGGACCGTACTGCACTGTTTTCACAATAGTGTTGTCATATGTGCGACTTAAAGAACACCATTCTTCATACCACACCAATGGTCAAGGACAATAACATTGTGGTCGGATGGAAGGAACCATATAAAAGGAAATGGTTGGTCATTGCTATACTAATTGCTTTAGCCCTGCTTAAATATGGTGCTTTATATTGGGTTGTGTTTTGGATAGGTGTATCAACACTTCCGTTAGCCATCTATGGGATCGCTTCTAATCGACGCCACTTACGTCCTATAAGCATTGACAGACCTCAACGACGGTTTCAATTCTTGGAATCAGATCATTGGATCAAGGCAAAAGCCAAGTTGATGGTCAACACCAATAAATTGGATGATCCTATAACTTCAGATTCGTTCCTTATATCCGAGTTATTGAATGATTTCATTGATCTTATTATTAACGAGTTTATAAACTCTTGGTTTGTGAAGATATCACCTTCCAATAACCTGTTTCAAAATGCCTTAAAGCTAGAGCTTCAAAATGTGACACGTACGATTCACAACCGGTTACTGACTATAAATTACCCTCAGTTATTGGTAACCAAGATTCTACCCTTGCTTCAGGATCATTTCGAAGCCTTTAATAAAGCAAGAGATGCCATAGTTCACATTGCTAGTCAAAATAAGATTCCTACAGATTCATTGGAATACGATATAGAGATTGCCAAAGCTTTTAAAAGAGGTGGTATACATTACGGGGTGACCATTGGAAAAGGACATGGTACAGAACCCAAATCCAATGAAATACACTATTTAAGAAATAAGGTAGCTTCAATACTCCCATATTTATTATCGGAGCCGGAATCGGAGAATGATATTGTGCTGGCATTGGTACGGGAGATTATGGCTTGTACCATACTTGTAAATGTGTTTGGAATGTTAAGTGAAGGTGACTTTTATAACTTGCTTATTGTTAAGTTCATTGGTGATAATTTGAAACGTCAAGATCAAGTCAAACAGTTAAGAGCAGCTTTAGAGGAACATACATTGAAGCTGACATTTGTATCTCCATCAACCCATGAGATTAGATTAAAGATAGCTCTCTTAGATAACTCTTCTCATGTATCTGCGTTCAAGCAGATCATAAGTGAGGTTACAAAGTTGACTTCCTTACAAGAGTTGAAAGATATTCGGGGATATATTACTGTGGAGTTTTTCAGTTCAGTATCATCATCACATAATGAGAAGCTATTACGGAGAATGAAGAAAGTAAGAAATGTTTTGGATGAACGAATAAGAGCCTTAAATAAGAATAAGACAATAGACAATAGCATTGACGAATTAACCATATATGATATATTTGATAATTCAGTTGTCTATAAACAATTTGTGGCATTTATGAATTATAATGGTAGGATCAAATATCTTAATTTGTACAACGATATTGAGAAGCTTAAAGCACCTCTTGAAGAATTGTCTATGGTTGAAGAAGACGACTATGACGAAGAAGATGAGGTAGACGAAGAATTTGAAGAGACTGAAAGGTTATCTCTTTCTCTTGGATTCTCTTCTATGGATGATATAAGAAGAATAAGGCGTGTGTACTTCAACGATGATGATCATATTATTGATGAAAGCTTGAAACAAGCCATAGATCAACTAATTCTTAAAGATGGGACTAATGACTTTAAACTATATATGAGGGTAAGAAAGTCCTTATTCCGACTACAGAATGATATCTTAAAGTCACTTGTTGAAGACGATTTACCTGCCTTTAAGCAATCAGAATTCTTTCAAAAAGTGGTTGACCTTAAAGTTTTTCATTTCCAGGAACCTTCAATTGAAAACACAGCAGACGTTGATACTCTTGATACCATAAAGAACTATACATATAAAGAAGATAACAATAAGGATCAAGCTGATGGAGAAATAAGTCAAACGGTAATTAAAGCCGTTGAAGATGCGTTCACCCAAATCATGAATAGTGATACCATGCAATCAACAACAGCAGTCTTGAAAGACTCTAAAAGAGAACTACTAGGTTCAACAATACCATCTAGTTTATTTGGAGATGATACACATGTTATTGGTGGAAGTTCACGTAATTCTAATAGGAATTCCCGGTTATTTGATGATGAACTAAGTGAGAATGAAAATGAGTCTGGTACTGATACTGAATCTATTAGTTTAGATTCTTCAGAGCCTTCATTGCTGAGTGGAGGTGGAGGAGGAGGAGGAGGTGAACAACTGCAGTTATTCCTTGCTGGGCCTGGGAATTTGAGTTTATCTGAGGAGATTGTTAAACTTAATGAAGATTTGCATAAATTGACTGAACAATTGTCGATTTTGGCTCCATTAATTCGAAAGGCAGAGCTTACTAATAATGTTAATGAATTAAGGATTTTGATGAAATCTAAGACCAGTTTGGAAAGAGAAATCAATGCCAAAGAATTACAACGACAACAATATATTGTACAAGAAAATGATAATTCCTTATATGGCAAGTCCAAAGTTAGCATTCAAAGCTATATCATTGCCAACGAACATGATAAGGACTATGTTTTATACATTGTTGAGGTTCAAAAGTATTCTGCCGAGAACCCCAACGTTACCACCGCTGGTTGGATAGTTGCAAGACGATACAGTCAGTTTTATAAGTTGAATGAGTATTTGAAATTCAATTATCCCAAGGTTGGAGGTTTAAAGTTCCCCAAGAAGGCAGTTCTGGTTCTCAAGTTTCAGCAACGACAAATAGTTGAGCTTCGGAAACAATTATTGGAAGAGTATCTTCAAGATTTGATTAGGATACCTGAGATTTGTTCTGATAAGGCGTTTCGAGCCTTTCTTTCCTCGGAGAACTTTGATTTGAAGAGTAGTCTGCTGTTTGGGAAGAGCATACAATCCTTGTCCAATAAGGTGTATTCTGGTCTTTCTACACGATTAAATCCTGAACCTTATAGAAACCCGAATACTGCTGTAAGTACTAGCGCTAGTACTAGTTCTGTTAGTGCTACTGTTGCTACTGCTACTGAATTGACTGAGAACATGAAGGAGATGCAAAGAGAATTAAGACAATATGATGATAGTAGCAGCAGTAGCAGTAATAACGAAGATTCTAAGACTACAACAGTATTCGTTCGACTGATATGTGATTTTCTTATATCGATCTTCCGCTTAAAGAGTTCCAAGACATGGCTCAGAGGTAGAGCCTTGGTTGTTATCTTACAACAATTGTTTGGTACGACTATTGAAAAGAAAGTGTATCAATTTGTTGATCTACAAGTGCGAAGTGAATCCAAATTGATAGACCTTCTAGTGATGACTAAGAACATGTTGTTCCCCAATGGACACTTTAAAGATCCTCCAGTGGTTAGAAGTTACTATGAAATGTCGACCACCAAACAAGAAGCTCGAGTTATCTTTGGAGAATTCATGAAGGAAGCCTGTGGTCGGATTTTTGGTGTGGTAAATACCAACTACGCTGCTACACATTTATTTGATATGGTTCAAGTTGATTTCCTTAACGAGCATTTGATGTTTGAAGTGTTTGATTTGTTAGTTGCCGAAGTGTTCCCCGAAACTGGTACAATTACAACACAAACACCACCACGGACAAGCCACAGTTAGAGACGTGCTTCGGTTAAGTTCCATTCGGTTTTGAGTTCACAGCCTCCACAAACCAATCAGTGATTCGTTTGATAGGCGCACTATCAGGTAAGTTCATGTTAATAGGGGAATGGGAATCTACGCAGGAATGAATGAAACTTGGATTGGTGACGAGGGCGAAGTTCAAGCCTTATATAATTGATCAAGGAGATTAGAACAGATAACTTTATTTCTTCTTTCAGAACTCAATTGATTTGAGATTATTATGTCCCAAGACTCAAAGAAGGCCCCAGTGGTGCCTGATGGTTGGCTAGCCAAATTTGATGACAAGTATAGTACGTGGTATTATGTTGATTTAGCTACAAAGAAATCACAATGGGAGGCTCCAAAAGGAACAAGGTTTGATACTGATGGCAGTGATGTTGCTCCCCCGCCATATAACCCCAATTCGAAGTCCAATGACAAGAACAATAGTGGAGAGTCCAGAAGTGGTAGTTATGGAGGAGGGCACCAAGGTGGTGGTTACGGAGGTGGACACCAAGGTGGTTATGGAGGTGGACCTCAAGGTGGCTACGGTGGAGGTCCTCAAGGTGGATATGGTGGAGGCTACGGTGGCCCTCAAGGTGGCTACGGTGGTGGCTACGGTGGACCTCAAGGTGGTTACGGGGGATACCCTCCACAAGGTGGTTACTATGGTGGTTATCCTCCTCAAGGTGGATACGGTGGCTACCCTCCTCAACCTCAATATGCTCAACAACAGGGCCGTAAGAGTGGTATGGGAGGCATGGGAGGTATGGCAATGGGTGCAGGTGCTGGTTTACTTGGTGGAGCATTACTTGCAAATTCCTTTGATCATATGCAAGAGGATGCTTATCAAGATGGGTTCCAAGATGGAGCTGATTTTGATGGCGGAGGAGGAGATTTCTAATAAGTATTATAATGTGTATGTTAAAAGTATTAGAGAACATTTCTACGGATCAAAATTGGCTAGGTGTGGACTTTACTATTATTACGTAAGAAAAAACTTCATTACGTAAGCAATAGACGTAAAGTTTTGGCCGAAAATTTTAACCAACCAAAGTAATGGAAATTCAATATCAAGTAATCATCACTTGGTGTATATACAACACTTACAATAAATAAAAGATCAACTATGAGATTTACAAGGGTCTTAAGACAAGCCGAAGAAGTATTGGTGAAGGCTGCTTCCGGGTACCCCACGGGTATTACTGGATTATACCAACATCCTAATCCCAGACCAGCATTGATTGCCTTGTATAACCATACATTAAAGGTATTGGATACCAAGTACCCCAAGGAGTCCATTTATAGACAAGCCACCGAGACTTTGACTAAGAACAGATTGAAGATTGTTGAAGAAGATGAAATCACTGAAAGCATTGAACAAAAGATTGGAGGAGGTTTAATTGAAGAAGTTATAGTTCAAGCCCATGAAGAATTGAATTTAGCTAAGGAATTGGCTGAATTGAAGGTTTGGGAAGATTTGGAAGAAAAGCCTTTAGATGACCAATGGGTATACTTTGGAAAGAAGATCTAATTGGGTATTTATAGTATAGCATAGAAGAAGTCATAGTTTTGCAAGATGATAGTGTTGATATAGTACTTAACCGAATCATATCCCAGTAAACGATTACCTAATCACGTGACATAGACTACCATGTAGTAAACTTGGTACTATGATTACAACAGATCAGTAGTAGAGTTATGACTGTGTTGTATAACAGTTTAGAGTAGTATGCAGAGTGCCTAACATCAGTATGTACTGGCTTATTAGCGGTTACTACTTTAGAGGCCGTGTAAATTATACGATACACTAATACATGGACTACATACATTGACTCCATACACTGGATACATACTCTGTACGTACACTGTACGTACACCGTACATGCACCGCTTACAGTGAAACTGTAACTTTACGGCTATAATGTGACACGTCATATCAATACACCATTACACCTCAATTGCACATCAATGTATATAATAGTGTAGCATCTCACATTACTTTGTGGTTTCATTCCTCTATGGACTCGCACTAAAATGAAAAGAACACCGACACAAACAGACCAAGAACCTTGTACGACTCCAGCAGTACATCACCATATATCAAAGTACAGTACATCACAGTACATCACAGTACAGTTCATAACATGGATACGGTACGTACGTTTGATGCGTTCCCCAAGATCAACTCACAACATAGTGTTCGATCAACTAGAGGTGGTCTTTCAACCATCTTAACCACCTTTATGGGACTCTTGATCTTTTGGGTAGAAGTTGGTGGATACATTGGAGGATACATTGATCATCAATTCACATTGGATAACAGTATAAAACAAGATATTGCTATCAACATTGATATGATGATTGCCATGCCCTGTGAGTTTCTTCATACCAATGTATTGGACATAACTGATGATAGGTTTTTAGCTGGAGAGTTACTTAATTTTGAAGGTACCAATTTCTTTGTACCTTCAACATTCAACATAGATTCTGAGAAGGAAGTGGTCAACGTTGAATTGAACCAAGTATTTGCTGAAAATATGAGAGCTGAATATCAAGTTCAAGGTTCAAGACTGAATGAAGGGGCGCCTGCTTGTCATATATTTGGGTCTATACCTGTCAACCATGTTAATGGAGATTTCCATATCACTGCTAAAGGTTATGGTTATCAAGATAGAAATCATGTTGATTTACAATCACTTAACTTCTCCCATGTGATAGCTGAGTTTTCATATGGGGAATTCTTCCCATTCATGAATAACCCATTGGACTTTACAGGTAGAATAACAAATGATCATTTACAATCTTACAAGTATTATACCAAAATAGTCCCTACCCATTATGAGAAACTTGGGTTAGAAGTGGATACTCATCAATATGCTCTCACTGAACAACATGTGACTTATAAAGCCAGAGAGGGGATACCAGGGATTTTTTTCAAATATGATTTTGAACCAATCAAACTTATAATAAAGGAGCAAAGAATGTCCTTTATTCAATTTGTGGCCCGTATAGGTACAATATTGGCAGGTATAATGATAGTGGCAGGATATTTCTATCGTTTGTATGATAGGTTGTTGACCATCCTTTTTGGTAAGAGATATGCCAGTAAAGATGATGAAAAGAAACAAGGAGGCATTTTGGATTCAAAACAATATTGATAGACTTTATATGTGTCATAGATTACCTAATATGGTAAGTAAAAACCATCACCTTGGTTAATTATTAGTAGTAGAAATCTATCTTTCATAGTTCTATATTGTAAGATCATATACCTCTCAAATATGATTCAGTATGGTAATCACTGTATTTGTTTATCAGATCTGAGGACTCCTGTATGTCCTTAATAATAACCGTTAGGGTTATATAATAATACCCGTTATGAGAACTGTATCCACACCATTTGAGTCATTCCAGGCTTCGCGTGCACTTTCCTAATTTGGTGTGTACCATAGACCTGGCTTACAATACCATTCAAACTAAGTAACCACATAAAAAAATATATATGTAGATATATACATATATACCAGTGATTCTTCTTACAGACATATACAGTATCAATGAGTGACAATGCACCTGCTAAGAAGAAGGTAACTCGTTCACGGAATGGATGTCACAACTGCAAACGAGTGAAGATCAAATGCGATGAACTTAAGCCTATTTGTTCCAATTGTATCAAGGTCAAGGCTCACTGTGACTATTCATTAAAACTTACCTGGGGAGGTCGACCATTTAAGAAGAAACGAGATTCCGCCGAGTTGAATCAAGGCACAAAAAAGAGGAAGCAACAACAGCATGTTTATCCCATGAATAATAATAATAATAATACCAATAAAAATAATGCTAGCACCCCATGTCATCTGAATGGTCTACAGTTTGTAGTACAGTCATTCAATGGAACTCAACAGGGACCCTATGCATCACCTACAAAGACGATTATCAAACAGGAACCAATAGAATGGCAGTTTGAGTCTCCATCAACAATGACTCGCATAGAAAGTGAACCCATGTCAAGCACCGTATCTACTACGACCAATACTAATGAAATACCAACCAATAATGAACTACCAGCCAATAATGACATTAATGGTGATATTCCCAGTACCCCTAACAACTTCTTTAGTCCGTCTGGAACTGATCTACTATCGAACAATCTTCATGTTAACTTCCAAGATATCTCTCATGGTATGGAAAGCCTCTCTCAAGCATTAGAGAAGGTCACAGGTGGTGGGTCACTGTTCAACTTGGCCAACTCGGAGATATTCCAGAGCTTCATATCGAGATCATTAGATGATCCCAACGTATCCACACCTGCACAACCATCACCCATAGACCCAGCAACAGGTTCACGATCTATGGGAACAGGGTTCTCACCAAGAATAGTGGAATTGGACATGGATAACTATTCAGCAGATTTAGCAAAGATCGAAGAGTGTATGCCTGAAGAGAAGGGAACATTGGATATAGCTTCGCCTCAGAAGGCTCCTATAAGATTATTCTCCAGGATGCCCAATTCAGCTGGCGATAGTCATTGTTACGAAGATGATGATGATATCATTGTGAATCACAATAATAACAATAATTCGACTCATCATAATTATATCAGTGATGATATGGAAGTTATGATGGCTGATGACTCTTATCAAATAGCTGATAATGCCTTGAACCTGATCCCTCCATCGTTAACTCCGTTGCCGGAACTTCTTCTACAGGTGCCGTATTATCGTCATCTACTTCACTTTTTCATTAACGTGGGGTCAGCACATCTTGTGCCTGTTCCAGCATATCTTTACCATGAGAATCCTTTCAAAGTCTTATTGCCCCAAATGGCTATGGAATATCCAGCGGTTTTGACAACGTTGTTGGCATTTTCCGCAAAAGTAAAGTCAAGTATCATTGGCAAACAGGATGCTCCTCAAACCATCGTTGACCAATTGTTGAAACGGTCTTGTACCGAATTAATTAAGCTTTTGAAAAACAAAGACAGTTCCACTTCTGATGCCACTTTGGCTACAGTAATGTTACTTGCCTGCTATGAGCTGTTTGCTTCCATAGATTTAGAAAAGCATAGGACCCATGCTGTGGGCGCAAGACAGATTATCAATGCCAGAGCATCACTGTTAAGCATTCAGAGAAGCTCTACCATAACAGCAGACACTCCTTCATCAACTCTGTCATCTTCAACTACAGATCAAACATTTACTGTTAGTGAGGGGAACGTAAACTTCTTCTTGATCCGATGGTTTGCTTATTTGGATGTCATAGGAGCATTGAGTGCCACTAAATCCCAAAAGTTATACTTGACGAATTTGGATGAACAAGGGAATTATGAGCTTGCCAATTTTATTTGTTCCATCAATGCCTCTGAAGATCCAAGTGAACCTAAAAGAGACATTGACCACATTATGGGCTTTGATGTACGGTTCTTGCCATATTTCAGCGAGATTACTCACTTAATAAGAAAGAGATGTTATTTTGTGGAAGAGGAAGGTAATGATCCCTCCATACTTCCTATTGACTTGATAGCAAGAGCTCTAGAACTAAGAGATAATATGGTGGAGTTATATGAGATGGGTGAAGAAAGAAGACAGGTGATTGTGGATGAAATGATCGACAAAACAGCTCGTAGAAGGGCTCAAAGGAGAAAACTGTTTGTAGAAAATGGGTCTCCCAGATCAACTAAGCTTACAAGTTTAATTGAACAAAATAAAATCTTGAGAGCAACCAACAAGTTGTTTTTAGATATGGGATTAATTAATCTTTATCGAAGAGTCTTGAGAATTCCTCGGACTTCTTCAATTATTCAAAATCTTGCAGTTGGAATAGCTAAAAATATGGAGGAAAATATTGTTTCCCAATCTCCAGCGGAAATTTGTACTGTTTTCTGCTCTTTCAGTGCAGCTTGCGAAATACTTGATCCCTTTTACCAACAGTTCTTCTTTGATAGATTCTCCAAGCTAAGTGACATGGGTCATGCAAACGCTAAAAAGGGGCTTGTTATTATGCAAAGATGTTGGCGTACGGGTGAGACGTGGTTCGATGCCGCAGAAGAATTAGACATTGATGTTACATTATTGTGACTAAAAACTCACCCCGAACACAGCGAAAAACGTGTATCAACTTTTACTGCATATAATTATCACCAACTTTGCGATGCTCTTGTAGCATAAAACTTTATAGGAATCAAATTGGGATCACAAATACTGAAATTGTTACGCTTTTCTTCTTCTTCTTCTTCATTAGCTTATAGATCTCAGTCGGGACATCCGTCTTATTCCCGACATGACGAGCGAAGGCGAACGCTTATCAAGTAGTGACATTGTCCTGTTAATAGACCGCTCCAAAAGAGAACCGTCTAACTATGACCTTCAAACAGTAGTACTTCGTCAATGTCTACAATACTTGTTACAACATAAAGATAATGAGCATTGGTTTTCGGACATTAATCTTCGACCTGCCGCGACCCAGTCTCTTATACTATTCTCGTTCCCCAACAATGACCATCTCAACAAGTTGACGCCGTATTTTGAGCGTAGCTTGAAGACGTGTTTTGACTGTCTATATCAATTCAATGAAGGGGTCATTCAACTTAGACAGACGTTTGCGGTTGATCGGAAGATCCCCGTGGCACAGGTAAACCAATTTCTTAAGAGATTGGCTGAGTGGCAACTCGAAGGGATCTCCAAGACAATTGATGAAGCCGTCAAACAAAATCAAGTTAATAAAGAGAACCCACAACTTATGAATGCCTTAAAAGCGTGTTTGATGTCTCCAATGTTGATGGAACTTCCTGGTATCCAACTGAAATTTAAGGAGTTAATATTCAGCTACACCACAACCCCGTTGATTGACCTGACAATTTGTTTATACCCGTCGTTGATAGATTTCCTTTTTGGTGATGATCTGGATTTACGAGAGTGGGCATTGAAGTTGATTTCGAGACTTAGAAGTGGGGGCAGCAATGGTGAGGTCTCCTACCTTGGAGAAGCCACCTTATCGGTCATCACACAGTACTTCTATAAGATACAAGATGCTAAATACTATACCGAGGATAAGGGAGTCTTGTTCTGGAATAACTTGCTAGAAGTGATAGATTTGATTGGCCGGGATACATTCCTAACTAAATTGAACGTTCCAAAAGACATTGAAGTCATGAGTGAGCTTATGGATGTCCGTTTATTCCCGGCACTTACCGTGTTTCATCGTCATGTTGCTTCTTTCCCCCGAGCTCCATTATACTCCATTTTGCTTGTATTTCTGAAATATCTTCTGATATTGGGCAATGAGTTCTGGAAGAATATCACGCCTTATTCGTACCTTCATTTCACTGACCCAATTCTTACGAATCAGGAATTCTTAAACTGTGTTCGTCAACAGAAAATAAACGGGAAACCTTTAAGTGTTCAGCAGTGTTCAGATTGCTTGGAGTGGATGGACATCCTCCCCACTACTTTAAACGAATCTCAAAGGTTCAAATGTCTCGTCACCTTGATAAGATTCTTATTGAAGGAAGCTCTGACCATGAAAAGCGAGTCTCCTCTTATTTCCCTTTTATATGGGAAGATCATAGCATTACTGAAGGGTTCACTCGAAATAAGTAAGCTGATAGACATCAGAGACCCTAAATTAGGCATTGAATTGATCAAACGTACCGAACTTAGGATGATCTTGGATACTCTGGCTAAATGGCTTGTCAGTGTTGCTCTTGGTAATTCTGATTCAGAATTCGCATTAGAATTTGGAGCTTTGATAAAACTGGCATTGGCTTTTGATATCAGGTTTTTGGCTCACAATACCGCTTTACTTCAGGACAACGATAATAAGAAACCAAACTCATATGATACTTTCCCTATTCTTTGGCAAGAATTGTGTAACATACCAATTCTGGGCATGAGTAAGGGTGGTAAAACTTTGGTCAAAGACATTGTTGAGTCGTTTCAACTGGCCGCCAGTATAATTATGTTTAATAATAGGAAGGATTTGGAAGTGACAAAGGGCACAGATAGATACTACCATAATGCAGCAGTGGAGAAAATTTTTGACTATATCTCTAAGTTTTTGGAGAAGTTAAGTTTGTTGGATCCAGAGGTTATAAATGATATCTGCCTGGATAAATCACTGTCAGGTATTTTTGGGTGTATTTTCTCTCCCAAAATTAGACAGGAAGCTTTGGCTGTATTGTATGGAGCGATTGAAGACGGTGGTACAGTGGAATCGCTTTCTAACGTACTCCGAAATAATATGAACCAGACCTTGGTTTCAATTAATTATAATTTGACGACCATTACCGCAATTGCAGCTTTTGAACAGTGTCCCAAGAATGTCCGGTTTATGATGGACGTTGTGCAGGTGTTACTTTCTCCTCAGGAAGGGGTGATTATTCAATTACCCAATGTGCAAATTCATCTGAGCATTATTGAAGACTTTTGGTCAGACGCTTGGCAGTTTTTGTCGATGATTTACCGTCAAACGTTGGTATGGGCCAGTCGTTATAAGTTGGACGAATTGGTCGAATTTACTAGAGACACCTTAGATTTAAGTCATTCTTTACTAGATTCCTTTAGAAACATTGTTGATACTTTAGATTTGTCTCAGAAGAAAGATGTCATTGAACGGATGTTTTTAGTGTTTATGAATGCCTTTTTTCATGCAATTACCTGGCTTCGATTAGGGGACCCTTCCTTATTGAATTCATGTGTTCTGTTGGTATTTAAAGGTTTTGATCTTGCAGAGGATCTGGGAATCTCTATCAGCTCCAAGTTTGTTGAAGCATTTGCTAGATATGGAACCAAAGCAAAGAAATATAATAACAAACTTACAGAGCAACAATGTGGTGATATCTTAGATAGAGCCAGGAAGATTGACGCTAAACTTGTTCAATCTATTATTGATGAAGTCCAAGCTCTGAGAGCTCCAGCTGCAGCTGCTAATAGTGGCTCTTCTCGAGAGACTACACCCAAAGCGACGTATCAGTACGAAACTCATCAACGACTTCCCAAGCAGCAAACTTTAAGTCGATTTGGTGTCTACACCAAAGATCCACCCACCGCTCCTGAACCTAAGAAGATGCCCACGTCTAATTTAGATTCCATTAGAAAGGATCTTCTCAGTTCGAGAGGGGTAGTCCCACCACTCCCTAAGAAACCATCTTTTGATCCAGCACCTCCTCGCCCATCAGGATTTAACCACAAGCAAGTGGTTGTTGGACGTTCATATGCTGCGACTCAAAAGAGGAAGCGAGTTGACAGTGATAGTTCTGAAGGTGAAGAGGAAGTTGACTTTTCTGATCTCTTTGTTGATAAGAAGAAGAAGTCCAAGGTGATTGAGCTTGACATCAACGGAAAGCCAATTATGAAGATCAACTCTTTATCCAAGGCAGACAGGAAACAGAAGGAAGAAGAGAACATGAGAATGAGATTGAATGTGAACTTAAAACCTCTTTACAGTTCTATTTTGAAATGGAACTACAACGTTACAGATGACTTCCCTACTAAGGATACCAACATTTACAATATGACAAAGGATACTTATGACGATGCTCGAGACTATATCAAAACCACAGAGCCATTATTGTTTCTTGAATGTTGGCAGGGGATTCAACGGTCCAAGCAGATGGAAGAAGAAAAGCCTTTCCAAATTACTGTGGGAAGCAGAGCCAGTGTTGACGGTTTCTTTGATGTTTATGCCTCTATTCGTAAGTCAGATTTGGCGGTGTTGAAGATTAGTGATGCTGATTTGTTAGTCCTTGGACATGGGAATGGGCAAGAGTTTTCCAATGTTAATGACTCCATAAAATATTTAAAGAGCCCAACGACAAACACTTGTTTGGCCAAGGTGAGAGAAGTGAAGTCTGCCAACATGGAGTTTGCGGACATTACGTTACGAGTTTTCCCCCAAGGTGTAATGATGGGAGCCTTGACTCCGAAATCGGTGATAATGGCCATGAAGGTGATGCAAATGGTTACTGTGGAAAGAGAATACACTTCTTTGAGAGGCTTGCAATACTATGATTTATACCACGACGTTATTAAGGCTACACCTATTTCTCCTATCAATGTTGACAGCACAGCCATGACGGAAGTTGCGAAGGCTTACAATCTTAACGATTCTCAAGCGAGAGCGGTACTTGGATCGTACGATAGTGTTGGGTTCTCTTTAATTCAAGGGCCTCCAGGTACTGGGAAAACCAAGACCATTCTTAGTATTGCGGGGTATTCGTTATCTAAGATGCACAGTAAGAATGCCATTCGAGCTCCTCAAGCAGATGCTGCTGACACCAAGACGACAACAAAGCAAATCACTCCCAAAATACTTGTGTGTGCACCTAGTAACGCTGCCGTTGACGAATTATTGGTTCGTTTGCGGCTGGGGGTGATGAACGACCGAGGAGAAGTTGTAATTCCCAAGGTAGTTAGATTGGGGAGAAGTGATGTTGTTAATGCAGCCGTTAGAGACTTGACTTTAGAAGAGTTGGTTGATGCTCAATTACAAACGAAACAAAATGATTTTGTTCCTGATCCTACAATTAGAGTTGAACATACCAAATGTGTTACAGAACGGAACGCCATAAGAGCTCAATTGGATCATGCCAAAACCAGTGACGAGAGACTGGACCTTGAAAACAAGTTACGGGATATCAACAAAAAGAGAAACAATTTAGCCAAACTACTTGATGAACAAAGAGAAAAATCTTCAATTGCATATCGTACTCGAGAAATCGATAAACGGAACATTCAAGCACTGATCTTGACGACTGCCGATATAATTTGTTCCACACTTTCAGGTTCTGCACATGATTTCTTAGCTAGTTTGTCTATGAAGTTTGAACAAGTGATCATTGATGAAGCGTGTCAATGTGTGGAGCTTTCAGCCCTTATCCCCTTGAGATATGGGTGCAAGAAATGTATTATGGTTGGTGACCCGAACCAATTACCACCCACAGTCTTATCTCAAGCTGCAGCGTCTTTCAACTATGAACAGAGTTTGTTTGTCCGAATGCAGAAGAAAAACCCTGAATCGGTTTATCTCTTGGACACTCAATATCGTATGCATCCTGAAATATCCAAATTCCCCAGTAAAGAATTCTACCATGGCAAGTTACATGATGGACCTAATTTAGCGGTCTTAAACACCATGCCATGGCATTCGGTAACTCCGTTTTCACCTTATAGATTCTTTGATATCACCAGTAGACATCAACAGAATGATAAGACGAAATCCTTCTCCAATTCTATGGAAGCAAGAGTTGCACTTGAGATGGTTGAGAAATTAGAGACGGACTTCCCTGATGAACATATTACCCGGAGATTGGGTATTATTTCCCCCTATAAGGAGCAGATTAGAGCTCTTAAACGGGTTTTCACTACAAGATACGGTCCAACAATTGTGAATGAAATTGATTTCAATACTGTTGATGGGTTCCAAGGTCAAGAAAAGGATATCATTATTATTTCCTGTGTTCGAGCCAGTGAGACTGGATCTGTGGGGTTCTTGAGTGATATACGTCGTATGAATGTTGCACTTACTCGTGCAAAGACATCGCTTTGGATTCTTGGTAATAAATCGTCTTTGATGAGAGACAAAGTGTGGAACCATTTGATTAAGGATGCCGAAGAACGTGACTTTTTGAGTGAAGCATATAGTGGATTCTTGAAGAGACCATTTGTGCAGAAGCCCCCCAAGAGAAGCCCAAGCCCAACAACAAATGAAGAAACTTCGATGGAGACAACAGGTGAAGAATTACCAAAAGCATCTGATACTAATAATATAATTAATAATAGTATCAATACTAGTATGCATTCAAAGGTATTCAATGAAAATGTGAACCCATCTCAGTTTCCGTCAAGTTCTGGAGCTGTGGTTGAAAGCCATCAACAACTTCCAAAGAAACCTATTATGATATCACAGCAACCACAACCAATTGAAGCAGATTTTGCTCCAAATATTCGAAACTTTAATTATAATGATGGTGATACAAATAAGCAACAAGATTCTAGAAGCTGGAGGCAGGATTCAATGCCCCAAAACAGGCACCATAACAATAATCATGATAATAATAATAATAATAATAATACATGGGTAAGACGAGGTCAATACAAGAAAGGTTGGAATACTCATCATCCGTCCTCAAAACCATACGATAACAATATATCAAACTCGGTCAAACTGGATTTATTCCGTAGTAATCCCAAATATAATACCTCGAATTCATCCAACTCCAAATACCCTTCAAAGAGAAAGGACTATTTCATTGCCAAAGCCAAAGAGCAGCTGATGAAATCGCAAGGTTATCATCAGAACGGACAACCACCACCACCACCACCACCTCCTCCTCCTCCTCCTCCTCCTACTGGGTCATCTTCAGAAGTGGTTCCTCAAAAACAAGGGGTTCTTCCTCCTCGAGGTCAACCTCAGGGATACGAAAACTCTCGTACTAAGAGCAACAACAAGACTCCGTCGATCTTCATCAAAAGAAGAAGACCAAACAAGTTCAATAAATAAGACGAAATGACTTTCATTTCATTCATTCTTTCTTTATTTGTTTGCTTGTTCCTACAAGAAATGTTTCTGAAGGAACAAGATCACGATCATTTGTATTCATTACAAGGTTGTTGACCAGAGGAATCCCAAAATAAGTCAAATCATTTGATATTGTAGTGGATTCTTCATGAGCCCGAAGGTTAGTGTATTGGTGTTGACTTTTATGGTCATTAAGGAGCCACTCTTCCGAGATACCCACACGAGCCAACGAGGCCAAGCTATTGGAAAGATCAACATTGGCTACTAGATTAATAGCAGCAATGAGTGCTCTAATTTCGTTAACTATGGCAAGCTTCAAAGTGGGGTCAAACTCTTTAAAGTTATTGCGTTCCAAAGTACTTTGGATTTGGTTGATGGAGGTTTCGATGATTGAAACAGTTGTATTCTTTACTCCATCAGCTTGCATGTTTGTGGAAGCTTCCAAGTAACTCAAGAGCTTCCGTTCTTGCAGTGCTAGAACTAGTTGCAAGTCTGACCAAGCCTTTTCACATTGGTGATAGTTTGCAGCTATTTTCGAGGCTTGAAGATCCAAATCTTGTAGAGCTTGTTCCTTGTGCTTTAGAAGTAGGAGGATTGGTTCTAGATTCAATTTGGTCGAGATGGTATTCTGTTCGTCGTCAACTTGCAATTCATTAGTCTTTGGTATGTGAGGAACAGATGAAGAAAGTTGATGGTCAGTGGATTGGTATTGTTGATGTTTATCATTAGGCAAGTAGGTTTGGAATATGGCAAGCACGCGGTTTCTTATCTTCTTTGAGCTGTTTGAGCCCTTGGCGAACCCCTTTTCATATGGTGATAATGGTGTGGAAGGTGGTGGAGGTAAAGAAGTTGGCTTTGACTTTGAGTTGGAGTTGGCATTTGATGCTGACCCTTTGATTGTATCGTTACTTTGAGCCAATTCTTGGGCTTTTTTGCTGGAAGCTTTGTATTTATTCATAAAGGTGACATCAACGGTTGCGTAGTCGATGATGTTATGGATCTGACCCTCGGAGACCCCCAGTTCATTGAGGAAAGAAAATAAAGCTTCGTATCCCATTTGATCAAGATCTCGAAACATCGTCACATGTTTTGATGTCTTACTCTCCAAAACAGAACTTGTGGAGTTGATTTCTGCATTGAGAACCAACTTCTTGTTGCGGAGACTTGAGAGTTTACTTTCTAATTCAGCAATTTCGTTATCAACAGTTATGGAATCGTCAAGCAAAGAGGCCAATTTGTTGCCGTATTTGCTTGAAGTGCTCTTGATGTCCGAAATCTTGGCCAAGAGTTTGGCTCTCCTTTGGTCCCATTGGTTGAACGAAGCGTATGTGGCAGTGACATAGTTTCGTTCCCGTTGATAGAGCTCATGGAGGGAGCAGTAGGCTTCCGATAGTTTTGTTAGACACGTTTGAATCCTCAGTCTTGTTTGGTCCAAGTTGTCGTTGCCCTCATTGATGTAGACGTCTTGTAGCCTTGTAGTGTCGATCAATTCCTGTTGCAACGATTGGCATTTGCTGAGCATGAACTGGACCATGTTTTCACCTGAATGGGTTATGTTTGGAGGCTTGGGGAAGTCAAGAATGACAGAGGGATCAGCCATTGAAGCATCGTTGCTCACAGTGGATGTGAGTAGATCATCGATCAGATTGAGCCGGCTATCCTCACTGTACTCGTGGCTGTACTCGTGGCTGTCCTCATCACTGTCAGTTAGACCTCCGGGTATCACATGGGAATCACTGGACTCACTGATGGGTTCACTGGTAATGAAATCGTGAGGGATCAAGTCTTCTTCATCAGACGTTGTGGACGCTGACTCCTTACGACCTTCATCTAGAACCGTAGAGTCTAGATTCACTGATTCGAACCCGTTCATGGTGAAGAAGAGTGTAGAGTAAGATAAGTGTGAGGCTATAGGGTTAGGTGTAGTATATACAGTACAGTCAGCACTGAACTGGTTCCACAGTACGGGGCGGTCTATAGGACTACGGCACACTATTATACGGTGCTCTACAGTTTGCTTTAACGTTCTGTGATAAACTGTGCTGTAATATACTGTGCTGTGATATGCTGTTCCTTGATATACTGTTTCTTAATACGTGCTGAAATATACTCCGTACTGAAATATACGCTATAACATTCGCCGTAACTCTGTAGCTGCTCTTGACTAACCAGGATGTATGAGCAGTCTAGAACAAGTTAAGTGTCAACGAACTAACGACAGATTTCGAATCAATGACCTTTTCAAACTCTTCAAAACTTATCTTCCCATCGCCGTCCAAATCGGCTTCCATTATAGTCTTATCAACAATTTGCTGTAATTCTTCATCCTTCAAGTTCTTCCCCACCATCATCTTCATCACTATGAAAAGCTCTCCATTGCTGATATATCCGTCTCTGTCAACATCATATAACTTGAACGCAAACGTAAGCTTATCCGATTTGGATGACTTCCCACTGAATGCACTTAACCCGGTAATAAACTCCTGGAAATCAATGGTTCCGTTCCCATCATCATCAAATACATCCATAAGACGTGTAGCTAAGGGGTTGGACAGAATCCCAGGTATCGCAAGGAACTCATTCTTATCAATGGTCCCACTTCCATCTTTATCTAATTTCATAAACCGTTTCCTCATCCGGTTGATTTCCTCTTTATCGAAATTGGTCCCCTCCATTAGGGTATCCAATATCTTGGATGATGAAGCTCCCATAATATTTGATTTGTCTTTGTATAAAGAGAGGTAAGGTGTTCCTATAGTTAGTAACTTTTGGCATACGGTTTTGATAGGGCCAATGATGATTACGTAACAATTTGTGTATGCTTACGTAAGACTGGAATATGGGTTTATCAAAGAAACTACCATAAATTGGGTATTATAGTGTCTGCTGATCATTACCAAAATAATCTTAGTGTTTATTTTGGCTAAGTTTAACTATTAGAACTATATTTACCTCTATTATGGCACACATTCCTTATCTGTAGCGCACATGCTGTCCTTATCTGTAGCGCACATGCTGTTACTACAGTAAGCCCATGATTGTTACACATATGAGTGTGCAATTTCATATATCCACTACTATAATTGGTACGTACTTATATTATCCATATAACTAACAAGACACTCGTTCTGTTCATTTTCCACTAATGGCTTCTTACGATCACAGTATCACTGAGTTGGCTTTGTATTTGCTTAATACTTATAATTACGTAATCATGCGACTTGCGAAAACAAAATCAACAGATTCAAACCCAAACATCAATTAATACTAATAAATAACATGAACACCTTCATGTGCTCTGATTGAGCCACCATGAACTTCAACCTAGAAAGTGCACGTGATACTCCCTGTAAGAACATCTTGATCTACGGCTATTGCAAATACGAAAACAAAGGGTGTGTATTCAGTCATCATAAGGGACAACCCACAAAAGGACCCAACTCAAGCACAACGTCAACTTCTGGTTCAACTGCACCGTCATCTGCTACGGCAACTGCTACGGCAACCACTGGGACAACTTCTGCATCTGCTGCAACATTCAAACTAAACTCCGCTCCTGCTTCCCCTTCATCTCCAGCAGTCCGCTTATCGTCAACTATGGTTGTGGGTGGTAGTACTGAATCTAAACGGAAATACAACTTCAACACGCCATCTTTCCAACCTTCAACATCAAACGCCGCAAGTGTTTCAAGTTTGTCCAATAAATTTGCTACACTTTCTCCCAAGGTGGCAGATATACCGGTGTTTGTTCCCTCTGGCTCTGATGATAATAGTGGTGGGATAAAGAAGTTTAATGTCTCTACTCCTTCTTTCAAGCCACTGAGTCTAAACGTTAACGATGACAATGAGGGTTTACAGATGGGAATTCAACAAGAGCAACATCAGCAACAGCTGCTCCAGCACCAGCAGCAACAACAGCACCAGCAGCAGCAACAACAACAACAACTCCATCAACAACTACATCAACTGATGCAGCCGTCCCAATTAGCTCCAAATCAGCAACAAAGACAAACGTACCAGGTTTCAATGGGTCCAGTAACACCTCCAATCCATCCCCAGAAACCCTTGGGTACTGGTGCTGCTGCCTCAATTAACCCGTACTTGCCTAGTTCTCTGGGTACTTCCCTGGTACCTTCTACAGCAACTCAAGATATGTATTTTGCTCTGGGACCTTCACATCATAATGTTGGTTCGTATCCATTAGCATATCATTTATACGCTCCAGCACCTCCTCCAAGACTCACTATACAATTACCTCCACATGAAACCAATGCCAATCATTTGTTCATCCCCAATGAATTACGAGAGTCATTACATCGCAAGAATGAAGCAACTCTTCAAACATTAACCCACAGCAACTTACCCGGACATGTGGATGTCTACCATTCTTTAGTCCCCATTGACAAAACTTATAATCTACAGTCAAGTACTTGGGGTATAAGGACAAGCACTTATAAAGTGTTTTCTCAAGTAGATGGGAACCCATATGTGTTACGGAAAATCGACCATAATTTTGCTATTACCAGTGAAACTCCATTTAAGACTATTCATAAATGGAGTTCCTTAACAAACAGTAATGTTGTGAAGTTACATGATGCATTTACCACTATGGTGTTTGGTGATGAGGCATCATTGGTGTTTGTGTATGATTATTATCCAGAAGCAAAGACTTTGATGGAATTACATTCTAAAAAGGGAACATATTCCAACGAGCCTGTTACTGAGGAATTATTGTGGCTGTATATTGTTCAGATTGCCAATGCTTTACAAGGGATTCATGAGAAATTATTGGTTGCTAGATCATCTCTTGATCTTAGCAAGATCATTGTTACATCCAAGAATAGAATAAGGCTATCTGCATGTGGAGTTGATGATGTATTAAATTATGAACTAGATTCTCGTGGTATATTGAACCTGAATTTGGCAACCTATGTGTCTGGATTACGTGTTGAAGATATCAGATCGTTTGGATCATTGATTGTTCAATTGGCTGCCTTATTATTACAACCAAGTCAGAGACAAGGAGAGCCAACTCAAATTTACAATATTATCAAAGCTTCCTGTGGATTTAGTGAACAATTACTTGAAGTTATTTCCGTATTATTGAATCCTTCTTCTCACCAAGTGAACTCCATTGGTCAAATTATTGAACAATATCTTGCAGTTAAAATGATCAAATATTTCAATGATGTCCAAGATCAAAGAGATTTTATGGAATCCCAACTTAGTAGTGAATTAGAGAATGCCAGGCTATTCCGATTAATATGCAAGTTGAACTTTATTTTAGATCGACCTGAATTCGAAGGAGAAAACCCCATTATTTCCAATGGAAATCTTAATGGTGGTGGGAATGGACCTCTGAATCATAGCAGCTCAAGTTTACCTGGTGGTGGTGGTGGAGGGAATGGTGGTAATTCCAATGGTGGTGAAGGCAATCAAGAGTACGCTAAGAATGGAAGCAAATATGTTTTAAAACTCTTTAAAGATTACGTGTTCATGCAATACGACGATATGGGCAAGCCAGTTGTTGATCTCTCGCGAGTTCTTACAATTTTGAATAAATTAGATGCTGGGATTGATGAGAGATTTGTGTTGGTAAGTCGAGACCAAAAGAGTTGCATCATTGTTAGTTTCAAAGAGATCCGCGATCTTTTAGATTCCGTTTTCAGACAGCTTACACGGGGTTAGATCCCGTTTAAAGATGATTGGAAGATAATCATGGTGTTTACGTAGAAGTTTAAGATCAAACAACTTTATTATGGCTCAATGTATTTTGGCTAGGGTTTCCTAATTGGGAACAATTCAAGGCCGAATGAGCATATATTCTTTTTGAACCCTGGCGCTACCGTTAAATTCTGTCGCTTATCCCAAAAAGGGTAGTGGCGTCATATTCTACCTGCTTTCTGTTTTAGGTATACGAAAGCGTGAAGCGCTTACGATAAGAAACTGGCTGCAAGGTTCGGTATAGAAAGGTTTATGCGACAAGTCAAGGAGTGATGATTATCCCAATTAACTTGGACCTTCCAAGTTGGGTATCAGGAGTAGGGAATGCAATCCCATTAAATCGGGATTGCAAAAGTATATAAAGAGGTCAAATCTCTGTCATGTAATAAACTGTTGTTATTATCAGCACTAGTAATAATTAATATTACGACCAGTAATAATACGACTTGTAATAATTGACCAGTACCACTACCACTCCTACTATCATGACTGTTGCAGAAGAATCAGTCAACTACTTGTTCCAAGGTAAGGTTGCCCACAAGGTGCCTCACATCATTAATGGTAAGGGGCTGACAATCAGTGTTGCCGACCCCAAGACTGGCGAGACCAGTGTCTTGATTGATGCCATGACCGGTGCCGCTGTTGGAGCCCTTGGATGGGGCGATGAAGATGTGGCAAAGTTCTATGAAGAAGGACTTAAGCAGTCTGCTTATTCGTTCCCTCTTACCATGTGTAATGAGAATGCTCAAGCATTGGCCAAGTTCTATATTGATAACAGTCCCAAGGACGCGTTTGCTGCTGCGTTATGGTGCGGTTCTGGTTCGGAAGCTAATGAAAACGGTATGAAGATCGCTTACCAATACCATAAGGAGAAGGGCAACACCAAGAAGACCAAGTTTTTATCCAGAGAAAACTCCTATCACGGCTATACAATTGGTGCTATGTCACTTTCTCATGGGTCTAGAACTACTCCATTCAAAAGTATTATTGTCGCTGACGAAAAGACCCCCAAATTGCCTGTTATGTACCCTTACAGATACCAAAAGGAAGATGAAACCTTGGAAGAGTACGGTGATAGATTACTTGAAGCTTATGAAAAGAAAATCTTGGAAGAAGACCCGGACACCATCATTGCCATTGTATTGGAAACTCTTCCTGGTTCTTCGCTTGGTACTGTTGTCCCTCCTCCAAACTACTACAAGGGCATCCGCAAGTTGTGCGACAAGTACGACATTTTGCTCTGGTTAGACGAAGTCATGTGCGGAACCGGAAGATGTAACCCTAACGGTAAGTTAAACTGTTGGGAAAACTTTTTAGATGACAACGAAGGTCCTGACATTCAAACGGTTGGTAAAACCTTGGGTTCAGGGTACGTGACCATTGCTGGAGTATTGGTGTCTCCAAAGGTTAAGAATACTTACATTGAAGGTTCAGGTACCATTATTGGAGCTCAAACATATGCAAGTCACTGGTTGAATTGTTATGTTGCTCGTAAAATTCAAGAAAAGATTCTTGCAACTGGCTTGACTAAGAATGTTTTTGAGAAGGGTAATTTAATAGGTAAGAAATTGACTAAACTGCTTGAATCAAGTCCTATTGTTGGAGAAGTTAGAGGTCTTGGAGGATTCTGGAGTGTTGAACTCGTTAAAAATAAAGTCACTAAGGAACCCTTTGATCCAAAAATGGATGTTGGTCATGCTTTAACCGATATTTGCTTTAAAAACGGGGTAACTGTTATGGGCTTGGGTGGATGTAATGGTGTTAATGGTGATCATATTTCTGTTGCTCCTAACTTCACTATTACTGACGACGATGTGAGTGAGATTGTTACCCGGATCACTAAATCTGTTGAAGAATATGTTGAAATCTTGACGGCCGAAGGTGCTATTTAATATAATAATAATTTTGTCGATAGTATATTAATAAGTTTGTGTTTTGATTAAGGGGTATTATTATTACCCTTCAAAGCTGTAGCGCGACATTTCTCATCATGGAATATATGTAGGATTTATGGAACATAGTTAATCCGAGCACCATAGAGTCTAGAAAAAGTTCAAAACTTTCAAGTTGTGAATTGCTAGCGATACCGAATTGCGTAACAAATGTAATTTACAACTGGGAGTATATTTAAAATTCATAGACAATTCGCAACAATTTGGTGAGACTCCTTTTAATAGTTACAAACTAATATTGTGCTCGGAGGTTTAATAAGAATCAACTGTAAGCAATAAGCTACATTCCCTCCTCTTGAATATATGGTTGAACATTAAGTCGGATAAACTTCTACACCCTGCTTGCAGTTTATGTACCAGCAATGTGTAATTCTGCATTAGTACTTGTTCTCCGGATGTTGACACCCTTGTTCATAGTCTTAAACTTCGCTACTGTTTATTCCTTGATCTACAATACATTTCGTATTGTTAGTAAATCTCTTACCGGCGTAAATCTCCTCACATCGTTGTAAGTCTATTACCAGCGTAAATTTCATACCACTGTCATGATATTCTACAACCTTCTAGATCATAGTGGTATACTTCTTTACTGCTTATTTAATTTATGTGTTCCTACTTGAACCACTAATCCTTATTACCAAAACTTAAATACCCGAACTGAATTCCGAAATTAGTAGCAGCCATAGGCGTGCGCTGTCCCAATTGGATGATGGTGGGCGAAGGTAACGGCAAATAGCCAAGCACTCATAACTATACGCATGTATGAAGTATGAATGTCTACGTGCGTGTGTCTGCATGTATGTATGTACATGAGTATTAATGTAAAGTCTATGTGTTCAAGTGTCTGCATTGAGATGAATATCAGCAATAGCTCGTGACTTAAAAGAAATAACCAACAAGTGCGGTGAGTCACGACTCGTGTGCTTACGTCAGCCAACATTTCAAAGATGACTAAATGGGGATGCTTAATGAACAAATTTCCTGCAAATAGCCGGTTCTCCATAGAATGGTGAGTCAACGGGATGGACTGTCGGATCCAATATAAAGAACAGATAATAGCCACAATTTCGACTACTTCTTTCCTTACTCTTTCCTTTCTTCTTATCTATTATTGGTTACTTTTGCTGGTCAACTAATAAGGAACCCTATATCCAAACTGAAAATAAACAAACGCACTTCCTAGAGTTCTCTCACAACAACTTTTACTCCATCTATTATTATCATTCTTATTATTGTTCGTCTTCTTGTTTGTTAGTTATCGTCGTCATGTCTATTAACGCTTAGAGGCACCATATGCCAAAGATATGTTTCCTCTAGAAGACTTACCGGGTATTTGACTTTTTCTATTATTATATTGTTGTGATTATTTTTATTATTCTTATTCTTATTCTTATTATTATTTAATTGGTTGGTTGGTTGTTTACTATTATTACTGTTTTTATCATTATTAACTTCATTTGCTGTCTTTATATATTTTAAATGGCACTTTCACCAGACTCCACTCCGGATTTGGCCGTGGCCAATTTACCCCAGGTTATTTTAACCCTATCACCCCAAAATTTGACTCCTCCACCTACTGGTTTGCTTAATCATCATCAGAATCATGACTCACACTCAGGTCCTAACATCCTTTCCCCAACAAGTTTCAAGTACTACAATGATCACTTGAACAAGTATCAGTTCAACTTGATTTTGACAAACACTGCAGTTTCCCTTCTTAAGGTGATTTACCCCACGTTCTCAACTGAACCAGAGTTACGGTTCTTCATAGTGGAGATCTTACGCCGTTCTCGCACTTCAATCCAGTCCTTACAGTTGGCATGCTTTTACATTGTCAAGTTGATTCAAGGAGGTCGCAAGCTTCCTCTTTCCCTTTGCAAGTCTCCCAAATTTCTTTTCTTGGGGTTAATCATTCTTGCTTCTAAGTTCAACCAGGACTATAACTTTTCCTTCAAAAGCTGGTTAAAGATTTGTGGAGTCTCGGACTCGGATAATGGTGGATTTACAGTACAAACCTTAAGAACCATTGAACGGGACTGTTTGCAATTGTTAGACTACAACTGTTTCATTGACCAACACTTGTACAATAACTGGTGTAACTTTTTGGCCATTTTGGGCTATGATTTGGTGGTTAAGCAACACGATTTGTATGCGAATGATCTTCAATTCTCAGACATGCAATCCACGCTGTTTGGAGTTAAGTTGAACTTGTGGAAGACGTATTTGATCAAGAACTTACAATTGGATACCTTGAAGTATACCCAAATCAAATTCACTGATTATTACAACAGCATTCTCAATACAAAAGTTGTTTCTGTTGGAGAAGTTAAATCTTTATTCAATAAGAAACACAACATTGATGATATGGATAGTTCATTACAAAAGAAGGTGAAGGTATAAATAAAGACATATAGAGACATATAGCTTTATATATATATACATACTTTTTTTAAAGGACATATAAAACTCCATCCTTTCCGAATTTAGAAGGTAATGGAATGGGCATAAACCCATCACTCCCACCAGTTTGTGAGTTTTGTTGCACCATGCCATTCTTTTTATTGGTTAGTTTCCCAATAGTGAAGCCTCTGGTCTTGATGGTCCCTTCCATCTTATCATTGACATTCACCAATTTAAATTCTAGACTCTGGCTTAATGCTCCGTAGCTTCGAACATGCACCGGTAATACCCGGTAGTCAAAGAAATCCGTGGCAAGCACTGGTCCAAGAATCGTCAGCCATGTGTGTTCCACAACTATACGACTTTGGAATAAGCTTCTGGCTTGGTTGGAGTCTTCAATCAAAGGGTGCATTCCATAGCCCATTGGCTTATGAACGTATATTAACCGAAGAGGTGCAAACTTGGACCCATAAGTGACCATGATGCCTCTACTAAGAAGGTTTTCTCTTAGGGTCAGTAGCCAAGACGATCCACCGGGAATAATTGCCCCATTGGTCAAGGCCAACGTCAGATAATAAGTTTGGGGAAGAACCATGACAGTGGGCTTCAACTCTAAGGGGTCGCAAACATCATCATTAACAATGGCAACTTCACCACACGCAGCAGTTAGCCCACAAAGAAGCTTCACAATCTCATTGCCTACAGATTCCATGGACTCGGCATCGGTGTCTTGGACTATCACCAACTTATCCTTGTTGCTTAACTCATGGTTGAAAGGTAGATGTTTCAACGTGGCTGCAATTGCACTTATGGCATTGATCACTTGATACTCAACTGTAGTCTGGAACACGAGTTTCTTAATGCTAACCTTCAAAAAGGCTCCCTTATCGTCAGCTGGATCGTATGCATTGGGAAACTCGTTCAACTCATTGGAAGGCTCTAACGGTCCGCCAAATGCCAGCGTCACAAACTGTTCAACCAAACTCACCAGCATAAGCTTTAATATCCCATCTTCTTCTTCAATGTTTGCATCACCGGAAACAATGTGGACGGTGATGCTCAGTACAAATGCTCCTAAGATCACAGCTAAAAGAGGGAACCCAAGTTTCTGATACGTCTTGAAGGGTATCACCACTTCTGATACCCTCCGAAGCTTCAACGCTTGTGACACTTTGGTTACCCGATAGTTTAAAGCGCCGACACTAAGGGTCTTGTCATTGATGCTAAGTTTTCCATTACCACCATTGGTGTTAGCATAGATGGCCCAGACATCATGCAAGTTCCCGTTTCTCAACTTGTAGTGGTCGTAACGAATATCCAAGCCTATACGAAGCTTGTCGGGTAAGTCTAGCTTATTGCTTCTGTATATGGCACTCTCGTCTGGTAGCCGGGTAGGCTCAATTGAACTCTGTTCTTCAAGGTAGAGAGGATGGACGTCTCTTTGACTTAAGAACCATTCTCGGACAATATATACCGAGACAAGGATAGCTGCTGCCGCTATCAACTCACTTAATGAAACCATTGATGGGGGAAGAAAGTGACTATATTTGTGATCTCGAAACGACTATACGAGATTTATTTCCGTGTTAATGTAATCGTACGTATGTACGGGGTTAAGTTGCGGCACAAAATATTATTAAGCAGTTGACACATCAATGGAAGTTACACTTGTCATTCATATTCTCTACAAGATCATCACGTACGGAGATGTATAGTATATCATCATGAGCATACTTTCAGATCAGCTTAACACCATACACACATTAAATTATAATGTCACAGGTTTACAATGTTTAGCATGACCTTAGTGGTACAAATGCCATCGCTGCAATTGTATTGTATTAGTCTATTAAATATAAGTTTCGTAATACCCATATGATCACCTTATGCTGTATATTTTCCAGTACTACTTTTACGCAGTGTCGCAGTATATCTCAGAACACTTGATCAAGATCGCAAGATGGTCTACTGCCGAAGTACACAATGAACAACCTCCATTGCTTACTACGACACTTGGGTGATATTTATAATAGATTGCATTGTATGTCGCCCTGTTTATAGTCATCATGATCCACCAAGAAAAACAATCCCTTAAATTAATGGGTCTAATTGTTTTAGCATGGATCTTAATGTTCTACTATCACGAAGTCTACGTTCCAAACTCTACGGTCTCCCAATGTACTTGGTCTGATACCCATATAAATGATCCTGACTTGAAACATTCATCTCCTGGTATGTTTACCAAAGTCATGTTGGTAGCAGATCCTCAACTTATAGATGGCCACACGTACCCCGGAAGAGGTGACTTCTTACTTAAGGTGTCACAACATACAGTGGACATGTATCTCCACCGGAACTATAAGGCCTTACTAAATAGATTGAAACCAGATTTTATCTTCTTCCTTGGCGATTTACTAGACAGTGCACGAAGCTCGCTGGACGAGTACTTCGACACTCAAGTGGCCCGGTTCAATCGTATTTTTGACATTGATCCGAGATACAAGTATGGTAGTAACGTATTCCTTAATGTGGCTGGGAACCACGATATCGGGTTTGGCCATCAACTTATACAAACAGCAAGAGAAAGATTTGGTATGGTGTTTGGGGCCCCTAACACCTATGTTGACATTAATGGTATAGATTTCGTTACAGTTGATGGACCTCTGCTTTCAAGTCCAGATCCAATAATCAAAAACGAAGCTATGCTGTTCCTTAGTTCGTATAGGAACAACAAAGAAAGACCCTCATTAAGAATTCTTCTTACTCATGTACCGTTATACCGTGATCCGGTAGCGAAACCTTGCACAAACTCTCGAGAGAACCTGCCTTTTGCAATCACCAAGGGCCATCAATACCAACTGATTCTTGATGAACCTGTAACTGACGAAATTCTTCAGGCCATTCAACCTATAGCTATATTTTCTGGTGATGATCATGACTACTGTAAGATTGACCATATTTTGCACAATTTTCAAACTAAACAGCTGACCAGAGTCATAGAATACACTGTCAAATCCATTAGTATGGCCATGGGGATAAAGTTTCCCGCAGTGCAATTGCTAACATATGGAAGTATTCCAGATTTAGGGTTCACATATACTTCCAACCAATGCTATCTTGAGAAACCGTATTATAACATCTTCTCCTATGTTACTTTGGCAGTATTATCCGGGGTAATATTATTAGTGATCAATCTTATGAAGAGACGTACGTTTGTTGGTGCTGCTAGATCCGATCAGGAATCTAATAGCGTGACTCTGAAACCATTACATAGGGTGGGCTACAAGTTACTACACTTTGTTCGTGATGCCCTTATCACAGGGATAGCTGTCATAGTGGTTTATGTCGCTGGCTTTTGTTGGTGGTAAAGGGAACCTATTGATGGAGCTCCTTATATGCCGCACGTGGCTCGCACGTGACCGAACCTTATCATGAATACGGACGTTATGTTATCAGGATCCATGTGGTGAAGTGTTGAAACATCTCAATTACCACATGTATTATTCAATTGTTAGTGGCATGGGATAATTTTGATACTAACAATAAGCCACTTGCAAAGCTAAACTCTGCAAGCATTAACACATCCATAGTGTCGAAAATAAGCATACCATTATCATGTTTCAAATATGAGTAATACTAAACTCTACCCCTAGGAGATAAGATTATTTGTTAAAAGGGGAAGGTTCTGACCAAAAAAAAAGCTACCCACATGTAATTGACAAATTGTCTTTTTTTTAGACTCTCTAATTCATCATGGGATGTATAGTCAGCTCTCCTGACGACTTTGACAATGATCCATTCAGTCAAGATAGACTTCTTAATGATGCCATTGATAAGGAATTGGCGAAGTCTAAGCTTCGAGACAGAAACCAAATCAAACTTCTTCTTTTAGGTGCAGGCGAATCAGGTAAGTCCACTGTACTTAAGCAACTTAAACTTCTTCATACTTCCGGGTTCACAGATGGAGAAAAGAAACAGTATACTCAAGTGATTTGGGTAGATGCCATTCAATCCATGAAGATTCTACTCCAACAAGCTAGAAAGTTACATATCCCCCTTGATTGTGATGATGTACTGTCCCCCTTGGCTATTCATCGAGATATCTTACTTGTGACAGATCCCTTTGGACAAATGGATACTAGCGTTGTTGGAGGGAATGATTTTCTTAACGAATATGTTATTAGATATTCTAAAAACTATCGTAGTGAACGAAGGTTGAAGTCAACGGGTATGGCCAGTGGGTTTGTGGAGGAACAACCACAATCTTTACCTCCACCCAAATATTCTTCTTCAAGATCTGGAGGTCTTTTAACTCCAACTTGTGAAGAAGCCAAATCTCGGCTTTTCAAAGCTTTAGAAGCCGATGAGATTTCAAATGCCGAAATTGATGATGATGATGATGATGATGATGATGATATGCACAAATACGAGCAAAAAACTCATTATACGAGAAATGATATAAGTGAGGCAATTACGAATTTATGGAAATACGATACAGGGATCAAGAAATGCTTTGAAAGAGCCAATGAATTTCAATTGGAAACAAATGCAAGTTATTACTTTGATAACATAGAACGATTTGCAAACCCGAATTATCAATGCACTGATCAAGATATTCTTCATGGACGAATTAAAACTACCGGGATTACAGAAACTAATCTTAGTGTTAAAAATTATAATATTAAAGTATTAGATGCTGGTGGTCAACGTTCCGAGAGAAAGAAATGGATTCATTGCTTTGAAGATATTACAGCGGTGGTATTTGTGCTTGCCATAAGTGAATATGATCAAGTTCTTTTTGAAGATGAATTGGTTAACAGAATGCATGAAGCCATTGTTCTTTTTGATTCACTCTGTAACTCACGATGGTTTGCTAATACGCCATTTGTACTCTTTTTAAATAAGATTGATTTATTTGAAAAGAAATTGGCTAAATCAAATTTGAAAGATTATTTCCCGGAGTATACCGGAACCGCGAATGATGTTGATACTGCTGCTACGTTTTTTGAACAAGGGTTTCTACGTTTGAATAGAACTAAGAAACCAATCTATGTTCATAGAACTTGTGCGACTGATACTCAATCAATGAAGTTCATCTTGAGCGCAGTCACAGACATTATCATCACCCAGAACTTAGAAAAGAATGGCTTACTTTAAAGTTGATTACGTAATTTCTTTTCAGATGCAAATGTATTTAGAATAGACTAAAATAACAGGATTATAAAAAGATAATATAGCAGTAGGTAAGGTGGTGGTGGTTAGTTGTGGTAGTAGATATTTTTGGAAAGAAAGGAATAATAAAAGGAATAAATTGTTGTCTTAAAACAATCACCATCTCATCATAGCCATATCGTTTCTAACTCTCATGTAATCAAGCAAGTCTTCGATTTGACCGGTACCAGAGATAACCACATCTCTATCCCACAAGTTTTGTTGAGCCCATGCCTTAACGTCCTTCTTAGTAACAGCATCAATCTTTTCCAATGCAGAGGCAACTGAAGTTCTGTGGCCAGTCAACAACAAGTCGCTAGCAATGTGACTGGAAATGTCAGCAGAAGAGTTCAAAGATTTCAATAAGGCAGTCTTGGTTTGAGCCTTAGCACGAGCAATTTCTGCATCGGTAACAGATACAGATAATCTGTTCCATTCCTTCAATGTAAAGTGGACAAAGTCGTCAATTGAAGCAATGGCAGAGGTTTCAGCGTAGAAACCCCATAACCCAGTGTCAGAGTATGAAGTGGAAAAGTGTTCATAAGAGTCAACAATGTCGTAATCTTGAACAATAGAGGCTAACTTGGGGGATGTGAACTTGGCAACTGCAGCACTAAGATCAAACTTACCGAAAACTTGAGAAGCAACCTTAGCAGTTTGGTAGTAAGGGGAGTTAAGAGATTCACCGTGAGCTGCAATAGAAATATAAGCCTTTGGCATGGTGTCATCTCTCATTCTAACTTCAGAACCCAAGAATGAAGCAGGAGAAACAATTGGCTTGGGTCCATTGGCAACGTTCAAAGAAGCTTCTAAACTGTTGACCAATTGCTCGTGATCAATGTTACCAGAAGCAGCAATGACAACGTTATTGGAAACCAAATGAGACTTGGCAAATCTGGCAACATCATCTTTAATTAAATGGGAGACGGTTTCTTGAGTACCTAAAGTTGGTAAGGATAAAGAATAACCTTGGAAAGCAGTAGCATTCAAGTGTTCTAAAACTTTACTCTTTGGGTTAGCTTCAGAAGCAGCAGCTGCTGAAGCACTGAGAGCTTTGATTGTGTCAAAGTTAGCAGAGTCAAAAGCAGATTCTGGCTTGGAAGCAATAGAAGCAATCAACTTAGCAGCTTCAGCAACATTGGCATTGGTAGAAACGGCAACAACACCGTTAAATTCCTTTGAGTTTTGAGCAGAAAGAGCAACACCTGGAGCATTCTTTGAAGCCAACAAGTTGGTGGTCAAAGCAGCAAGACCATTGGAGTAGGAATGCTCAGATCTAGATCCACCACCGTAAAACAAACCAACAGCAGCAGTAGTAGCGTTGGGGTTAACTTCAGTAGCTAAAGTAACACCATTAGTTAAAGTGGTGAACTTGGTACCAGAGTTGGCAGTTGAGACAAAACGACGTAATGTCAAGTTCTTAGCACGAACAACAGATCCACGAATCATCTTTATAAATATGGATGGACAAAAATGATATATACAATCAATGACAACCGCCCGAATAAATTATTAGATGAAGTACAATCTAAGGTACAACTTCCTTCACTGTAGGTTTTTTCTATCTAGTGTGGTTTGGTTGAAGTTTTGGCACATTCAATTGGTCGTACCAACTAAAATTTTTCGTCACAAATCCTACGACCGCGACATTTTAGTATGGGAGTTTCGGACCAATGATAGCTCAGATAAATATAGTGTGGTGTAATCCTGAGACATATTTGTGTAGCCAATATCTCATATGATTGCACGACATTGCAAAGTCGATAGGATGGACCACCATACCATGGACCATAAAAGGGGACACTTCTAACACTGTGGTAGAAACAAACTAGTACACATCTAGTTCCCATAACACATCTGTAGAACAAGTAAACGATGATGGCGTTGGTTGATGCTGATTTCTTTTGTTGACTCTGATTTCATGTGCTCTTATTGTCGTCCCAAATGGAACCATTCGCATACATTGTAAGAAGCCCACTATCAAAATATGGTGTCAGATTGGAAACAACCAGTAAACTATCCTCTGGAAATTCTAGTGGATTTGAATGCGACGGTGGTAGAAGATTACGTCGTCTTCTTATTGTAGGTGTTGTTCCAATGGTCCTGCCATACTTTTCCCGTCCTTCCTTTAAATTGGCTGCAAATATGTCTACTGACGGAAAGTTCTCTTTAGCCTTCTCATACCTAATCGTAACCCCAGTCGTAGACATATCTTGACCAGGGGAGTTCGATTCTTCTGGTGCTAACCGTAATTGATGATTCCGCATGACCTTTGACAGTGACACCGAGACTTCAGCAGGTGTTGTATCCATGGTGTATAAGTCGCTACCGAAATGGGGTTTGTGAGTAGGACTATTGATACCCTTAAGGATGTCTAGAAGTCTATCTCTCTTTCTTGGTGTAGTTTCAATTACCCCTGCAACATATTGATTCATAGGTTCTTCTTCTCCCCCTAAAGAAATGATATCTGACGAGTCTACTTGATTTGCATTATAAGATGATAGAAGGTGCACATCATAGCCAATGTACTCTTCGTCGTCATCTCCTTCTTCTTCTTCTCGTCCATCAACATCAACTGGTACCTCTACTCTTTTTAGTAAACGTAACTGGTCCGACTGAACTCGTTGTTGTTCAAGTTGCGGAATGGTTCTTAGAGAAAGCAAGGGGGTATGCTTTAATCTTCCGGAAATCACTCGAGGGTTCTTTATTCGATAGTATCTCTGTTTAGCTCGTAGTAGCAAGTAGTCGAATCGATACCTGACATCATGAAACACGTATTCTAATTGATCGGCCATTTTTATGGTATATTCCTTGAAAATGGGTGCAAAAACAAACGAAATCGGGTGGCCCTTTGGAAGGTAGAGAGGTGAAGATCTTCAACTACTTTCCTGATGATACTTCTTATAGACGAAGAGATAGCAAAGCAAGTATCAAATGAATGTCGTACAAATTTAAAGCTAAAAAGTAATATGGAGGTAGATGTGGGAGACTTGTGAACCGCTGAAAGAAAGAAAGAACTATAGCTAATTATAATTTTCGTCCGCACACGGAATCGAACTGGTTACAGAAATTTCGTTCCGTATGTATAATTAAATATTTACAAGTATATAGTCTTCTTCTTAATACAATACAATGATCTTATTTGATCAAAAACACATACGATCTATTCGTCATGGCAGCTTTATGCATTTGTGAACGCTTATCGTAACCTGCGGATTTCCCTTCAAAAGCAGAGATGATTTCTTCTGCCAAACGAACTGAAAAATCTGGTGAACGCTTCTTCTCTGACCCTTCAATAATCCATTTCAAGGCAAAGTTCTCAGCTTGCCTCTTTCTTAATGCCACAGGAACAGTGTAATTCTTAGCATGACCGGTTCTTTTCACTCTGGTGGTCACCACGGGTGCTAATCTGTTAACTGTATCGTATAATAAGGCCACAGGATCTTGTCTTGTTTTCAAGTATACAATATAAAGTGCATTATGGACAATCTTTTCTGCTCTTGCCTTCTTACCACTTCTCATAATCAAATTGGTCAAATGACTTAAAAGAGCATCTTGCTTCCCAGGGATCTTGAATGATTTTAAGGCTTCAGCTTCTTCAATTTGTTGTTGTGAAGGTTCAAACTTATCTACCACCACATTATGAGGATCTGCCAATTGAGATACATACACTTCGGCTTCGGTCTCAGGATGGTGCTTCTGTCTCAATGACTTCACAGCCGCAAGCCAATCGTCAACATCCTTTTCACTAATGCTTTCTTTATTTATAGGGTACACTTGAGCAGTTAAACTGGATTTGGTAATAGTTGATGCCTTGTTGGAGTTAAACCGCACTGCGGTTGCAACACACAGTGCAACAGATTTTTGTTGAACAGGAAGCCATATCTTGGACCCAGCACCCTGAACAACTTTTAAGCTATTTCTTATCATCACGAGGGTTGAAATAGACCTTTTAAGTTCTATTATGTGCTGCCTAATCTACTTTGATACTAATAGTAGTGAAAAATTTTCGAACTAAAACCACGACGGTTTTGTGAAACGCGAATACCGGTAAACGCACGCACGAATCTGGGGAAAATCAAAATCTAAGTCTCCTACCATACACTTATGCTAATACGTGTTACTGGTGTTTATCTACCATAGTAACTAACGGCATAAGTCATTGATATACTTGTTGTGCTTCATATAGGGAACAGGAGCAACAGCTATACTCAATCCAACCGTTTAGGTAAAGTCCTTTACGGCAGTACTGATTGGAATTGAACAGGCAAATATATATTAAAAGATCATAAACAAAAGACTCAACAATTTAAGGCTTTTAGAGTAGGTCCTCATTATCGAGTATACGGGATTGTGAAGGACGCATATATTCCTTACCTGAATGCATTTGAGTTTTAACAAAGCCACGCCTTCCTTAGACGCTGATGTGAACGCCTTCATCACCGAAATCGCTACTAATAAACATGTTCCTAAAGAGATGGGGTCTCTTTGGCAAGACAAATATCTTCCAGGGATACTACAATGGTTGGACGAACTTGTTATAAAAGGAACTACAGCGCCCCATGATAATGATGATAATGATGATAAACTGTTCATATTCATTGAAGACACCAGAGGAACTAATGTACCTTCAGAAATCATATACCAAAGTAAGAAGATAAAGCTTCAATTAGAGATGCACTTTACAAGGAACCCTCCCTTTACATTACTTAGAATATGTGAATTGGTGGCAGATCCTATCAAAGCCGGTTATGATATCAATAAAGGTAATCTTGTGATTCTTAAGTTCTTTAATTCGCTTGCCAAGCTAGTGGTTGTGTCTTCAACCTTGAATGATTTCCCACCAGAAACGTTTTCTGCCTTATCCACCAATGGTGATGCCACCTCCATTACTAATTTGTCAAATGGGATAGATAAGGAAAGTTCCTCAGTTACTATGGTCAGGATACCGTGGCTAGCAGAAGTAGAAAGTGAACCAGAAGTATCTGAAGATAGTATTATTTCAGAGCAATTAAGCTTTCAACAAGAATCCAATACAGCAATCGATGAAATTGAACAAGTGCAGGCTGAACCAATGGGTGACATACTTCCAAATTCAATTAGTGTTGATATTGAATCTAAACCCACCATTGATAATATTTCAAGTCCTCCAATAGAAAGTCCTGAAAGCAATGATGCTCATACAATTCCAACATCGCCAGACTCTCCCTCTGAAGAAGAAGAAGCAGAAGCAATAAAAGAAGCCCAAGTGGTTGATTCCGAAATAAAGAAAAGAAGTTCATCAGAGGCTGGCCTTGAAGAACTGGAGGGCTCAAAAAGGTTTCTATGAGCCAGAAAACATTTCAGATAACGCCGGACAAATCTGATACCTTTGATTCTTAACGTTGTAAATTTTGTACATTCTAATTAGGAGATCTTGAACGAGACCTGGTTCGTACTCGAGAATAGTTATTTCTTCTTTCATTATCGGCGGGAATATATCTATCTCTTGTAGCCCTTCTATCTCTATTATCTGAATATCTTTCACGATCTGAATATCTTTCACGATCTGAATATCTTTCACGGTCTGAATATCTTTCACGGTCTCTAAATCTGTCTCTGTCTCTGTCTCTGTCTCTGTCTCTGTCTCTGTCTCTGTCTCTGTCTCTGTCTCTGTCTCTGTCTCTGTCTCTATCTTGAAACCATTCCCTATTACTACTTCTATTGTAATTTCTGGAATTATTGATGTTAGAGTTCCTGTTTCTTCTTTCTGTACGATCATTGTTTCTATTATTCCCATGACCGCCACCACCTGGGCCACCACGTCTCTTCTTATTAAAAGAAGGCATGAAATCCCCAGCTAATAATATGTGAGCAGCCACAATTTCATTGGCTTGCTTTTCATATACAAACTTCCATTTCCCATTATAAGGACCTTTATCCTCCTCAAATATCCATTGATTAATGGCTTTAACAGGAATATAATCAACAAACAATGGAATTCGATTCAATGCAAATTCTTGAGGTTTTTTGGGAGGATCGATATGTTCTTTATCACTGGATTGCTCATATTTCTGACATTCAATTTCATAGTTTTCTTCCATCCGTTTTTGTAATTCGGTTACCAACTCTTGATACTCTTCATTATCTGGATACACACCTCCATTTAACTTATCTCGTAATAAAACAGCACCTTCTTCTTTATCAACCAACACAATGGCATGGGTTCTGGTCCGATTCATCCATGCTCTTTCCACCAGATAATCCCCAAAGTCTTTTAGACATTGCTTCAAATAATTCTGGAAATTAATGGCATTTATAGGTCTACGCAAGTTACCAACCACCAATGCTCTGGTAATATGGAAACTAGAATCTCCATTCACCTCATATACAACCTCTTCTTGTGGATGTATACTTGTTGATGCCAGTAATCCTTGATTATCAACAACTCCTTTAGTTTTCTGTGATCTACTACCACCATTATCGTCACCATTTCCAGCACCACTACCATTACCAGAACCATTACCACTAACACCAGTAGCACCAGTAGCAGCAGTTTTAGCAGTGGTGTTCTCACCAATGCTTTCCTCCCGGATCTCAAGAGCAAGTGGAATCTCGTCATCTGACGATGCCCTATCATTATAATCAAGTACTTCAGAGTCACTCATCTTGATACAGTTGTTTTCAGTAACAACGCAATACAACACAACAATATGAGCAACGTAACGTCTATTTCAGATCTCAGTTCGCTTCAACAACGTACAATGATACAACAAACAATACAATCACGTAATCCAACACTCTACGGTCTCAATTGCTGCTTTAGTGTAAACAACTGGTGGTAAAGCGTTGTTTTCCATTTGAACTTGCGACAGTTGTATACAGAATGGGCGCTACCATAATTTCGTGAGATATTGGAGAAGTATAGTGGTAGTGTAGTGTGGTATAGTAGTACAGCCTTATAGTGTTCAAGCGAGTAAAGTGTACAGCGGTGAAGGGTGTAGTTATGTTACTCTAATTACTATATACAATATTGACCTATGCACCAAAGATCTTAGCAACAAGACCAAATAATCCATTATCTGCTGTTTCCAAGAGATAAATACCATAAAGTCCAACAGACGATCCCAAAGTTAAAAGTCCCATGGCCATCTTATGCCATATTCCATACACTCTTTTAGGTATATAATCAATGATACATGATTGGAATCCACTATGAACATGATAAAGTAACAAGGTACTGAATGCGTAGTCTACCATAGGATAATCATTACCAAATATAAATGGAGATAACCCTAAAGGAACCATAGCAACAGATGCGAGTCTTTCATAAGCCCAATGATATGAACCATGATAAAAGGAAGAGTCGGGTGGAATATAAGCGTCATTAACATCTCCTACAATATGTCCTGGGGGTTGAGGAATCAATTTAAACTTGGAAAAATCAGGCTTTAATGAAAGCTGACGACGTGGAAGTACAGAATGTACCCGCCCAGGAGTATATTTGATACCACCTCGTATGGTAAACATGGTTTAGGTGGAGAAGAATGAACTTTAAACTGTAGATATCATCTCCAATTTTTATTACTGAAAAATAATATTCAAATGTCCTGCACATATTCATGGAATATACCATGGGAAATACCCGAGTAATTACAGTATAAGGTCAGCATCTTCTTTAATCTTATATTACACTATGTACAAATAATATGATACTCATAATCTACCATGAAGCAACCTTAACACCAGGAATCAATCCATGTCTGGCTCTTTCTCTGAATGTGGTTCTGTTAAGCTTGAAATCGGGGATAACAGACTTGGAATTCCCAGAGGCAACACATCTGTCTCTGATCTGACTGTAGGAGGTATATTTTGGCATCGAGGCCAATTGTAATTGGGCCTCCAACCGAGCTCTGGCTGGTAACTCGGTATTACGAGCAATGTACCTTAAAGCATTCCTAGTCACTTCGTGCTCATTATATTGGAGTCTTTTAAACTGGTCTCTGATAACACGTGCGTTGATGTGGACGTGTTGGGGCAAGTCAAACTTAACAGGGAATCTAAAAGGCATCTTGATGGAGTGGAGAATGCTTGAAGGTTTGATAATTGATCATGGTGAAAATTTGTCTTATTGGAAAATTGTAACGTGCGCTACCATAGTCACAATAGGAAGTATACACGACCCGTAAAACTCAATTTCCTTAACGATAAACACAGTTTATACTACAACAAAAACCTGAACAAATATACCTACGTATTACAGTTAGATTAGAGACAAGAGAATAGAACCAGAATTTTAAGAATTTATAAATATGCTGTTTTATCTTCCTTTGAATCTATTTTTTTAACAATATGTTCACCATACACCGGCGCTACCACGTCGAACTTACGTATAATCAATTGATCAGTATTTGTAATCCAGTGTCAAACAATTAATAATAAACACCAGTTATACTTCATAATAATGTTCACTGGACTTGTTGAAACTATAGGAGAAGTCTTGGAATACAAGCAATTAGATGAGTCACATAGTGGTGGTAATGGAGTTAGTATTACCATTGGAAAATGTCTGTCAATACTTGATGATGTCCATCTTGGAGATTCCATCAGTACTAATGGTGTATGTCTTACAGTGACTGAATTCGATAATGAAAAAACTAAATTCAAAGTTGGTGTAGCACCTGAGACACTTAGAAAGACTAATTTAGGAGATTTGAGTTCTGGATCTAAAGTTAACTTAGAAAGAGCCGTGACCAGTGATGTCAGGTTAGGTGGTCATGTTGTGCAAGGACATGTCGATACTATCGCCAGTATAGTTGATAGAAAAAGTGATGGGAATGCCATAACATTTACATTTGAATTAAGAGATAAAGAGTTTATTAATTATATTGTTCATAAGGGATTCATTGCTGTTGATGGTACTTCGCTTACTGTTACTAATGTTGATTATGATAAGTGCCAGTTCTCTATAATGATGGTGGCATATACTCAATCTAAAGTTGTTTTACCTTTGAAGGAGTTGAGTGAGACCGTCAACATTGAAGTCGATTTGACTGGGAAATTGATAGAGAAGCAAATAGAATTGAATCTAGCTGGTCAAATGAAGAATGATCAGAGTCCTTTGGTGCAATTGATTTCCCAATTAGTTAATGTCAAAGTTGAAGAGATACTTAAGAAAAGTTAGGATAGAATAATACAGAGTTTGGAATACAGTACAGTAGAGTATATTAGAGTATATATTGGAGTATATTAGAGTATATATTGGAGTATATTGGAGTACATTAGAGTACAGTAGTAGTACTATAGTTCAATTAATAGTATATTGCAGTAGTCAGTGGATGAAGCTCTATTGTACGTCAGTTGAGCACTACAGTAATTTCGTGTACTTACCAAAACATTATGATGGCAAACTCAACACTAACAACGACTACCATTACCTATACATTTTACTAACAAACAGTATCAAGCAACACACAGTCACACTATGGATATTATAATTGGCTTAACAGTGAAAGAGGGCACAATTATTGCCACATCCAAGGCAGCTACTCGAGGAATATCGATCTTGAAAGATAATGATGATAAAACACGTCAATTGAATTCCCATAATCTTATAGCATACACTGGAGAATCTGGTGATACGGTGCAATTTGCTGAATACATTCAAGCCAACATTCAATTGAGTACAATGAGAGAGAACGAAATTGAGTTGAGCCCTAAAGCTGTGGCATCATTTGTGCGTAATCAACTTGCTACATCGATTAGATCAAGAAAGCCATATCAAGTGAATGCTTTAATTGGAGGATACGATACAAAGACTCAGAAACCAAGTTTAAGTTGGGTTGATTATTTAGGTACTTATGTCGAGTTGCCATATGGAGCACATGGGTATTCTGCATTCTATTGCACTTCACTCTTTGATAAACATTATAGAAAGGATATGACTATTGATGAAGGATTGAAGTTATTACAAATGTGTGTTGATGAATTGAACAGAAGAATGCCCATTGATTTTAAAGGAGTTTATGTTAAGATTGTTGATGCTGAAGGGATCAGACAAATTGACTTTAATTAGATATATACATATATATACTCTCTATACATTAAGCTCTACAGTTATTGATTTCCAATACTAATATATCAGTGGCACCAACTTTCTTCAATTCATCCATAACATCACCGATTTTCTTCATCCCCACCATTGAAGAAATGGCTACCCACTCCTCCTCATCTTGAGCAGAAGTCTCTAAGGCAGACACAGTAGCTGCTCTCTTACCTGGAGTAATAGCAAGACATTGCTTCAAGATAGATCTGGGGGCATTGTAGTTACACAAGACATATGATTGAGCAGTTAAGATCCCCACGAATCTTTGATGGATTTTATCGACCAAATCTGGGAATTTAGGGTTCTTAGACCTAATTAATCTGGCTGAAGTAGATAACACAGTTTCAATGGCTTTCAATCCAGCAGCCTTCATGGTTTCACCACTTTCAACCAAATCAACAATGGCATCTGCAACCCCCAAGGCACAAGAAGCTTCAACTGAGCCTCCAACATATTTAATTTTGGTCTTCAATTGAGAATCATCTTCCACACCTTCTAATTTCTTGAAATATTCAGTGGTTAAAGAGGTGAATGAACTAACAATCTTTTTACCAATCAAATCTTCAGGTTTGGAGTATTGGCCATCAGCAGGTACTTGGATTTGTAATTTACAATTACCAAATTCCAAATCTAAAAGATCTTCAACGTCTTCTTCCATGTGCAATTCTCTAACTTGATCGTGGCCAGTGATACCAAGGTCACAATTACCTTCACCAACAAATGTGGGGATATCAGCAGCAGGCAAGAATACCAAGGCTATAGGTAAGTTGGTACAGAGAGCAATATCTAGTCTATTGGAACGTCTAAACTTGATGTCTGTACCCTTCAAGAGAGTTACACATTTCTCATATAATCTTCCCTCTATTAATGGTTAGTATACGTTTGAGCTCATAGTTTACGGTGGATTGAACATACTTTTGGGGACGGCAAATAATAACCGATCGGGCAAGTGATTGACTAAATCCATGGTGGTTCTATGTGGCTATTATTATGATGAAAGATTAGATAAGATATTGATGTTAATTAGTAGTGAAAAATTCTGCGGTATGACTCAAAGTGCGGCACGTTTTATTCCGACGGAGCTCCGTGAGAAATACATGCATACTGGAATGCTGCTATGTATTGTAAGTAATACAGTATAAAGTAATACACTGTAATGTATTGTAACATACTGATATGTACGTAACATACTATAACATACTATAACAAACTGTGATACTGTGATATACTGAATGTGCTGAGATATATACTATACTGTGTCCTTAACTTGTTTCCTTCGAACAAACCCTGAACTATGACCATACCAATAATTATTGAACCCCCAATTAATCAAGATCTTGCACATATCAAACGGTGTAAAAGCTGGCCACATCTTATCGACAAAGACTATAGCACAATGAGGATCAACACACTGCCAAAGTAAGAAATCACTTAGTCTAAAAGTACCTGACGTTCGTACTAACAAATCAAGTGGAGGCGATTCATTAGTGTATAAGTAATTTGAAATGGTTGATTCATCAATAAAAAAATCATCTTCATCTTCATCATCTTCATTTTCATGAGCAACTATTTGCTGAATCAGATGGGTGATTTCATCTCTTGAAGTATATGGAATACAAACATTAAGGACAGCTCTAGTATTATGTTTTGTCATTTCTTCGGATTGATGTAACACATCCTGAACATCCTTAGGAAGTAGTTTAACGTTCCCCAATATTTTTATCTTTATTCCATACTCTTCAGCCAACTCACCTTGATTACTTATTTGAGTAAACTTGTCTTTAGCCAATTGCATCAACCATTCGACTTCATAACTCAGTCGTTTGAAGTTCTCAATCAGGAAAGCATACACACTAGCACATTCTACTCCTGATTCATATAAAAGCTCCAAGATCTTGGCCATAGACTCAAATCCTAAACTATGACCTTCTCGAAGTTCAATATGTTCTTTCTTTGCATATCTTCTATTCCCATCCATTATAAGCCCCACATGTCGAGGAACAGGTCCTGTCAGAATAATATTTCCCACTATTGTCTTGATAGAACCAAGCACATGGTCATATCCGGGAAATCTGGAGATCCATTCCAACATCGTTAAAGAACAAGTGGTTAATTGTCATCTCGATTCGTTGTACTTCCAACTTTGTGTCAAGAACAGAGCATAAAATAGAAGGCACAATTTACATGAATTTAATTAGTATGAGTTCAGTGAGAGTTAAGTGTGAGATACAATAAGTATAATAAATAGAGCTATATTAACTTAAGACTCACTAGACCGTGATAGTACTAGTGTAGACTGTAAAATTATGTCATATGATGGTATAACTGTGTCATTGTAATTATGGTACAGTGATATGTGACTAGAGACTTCTACAGTAAGCCTTGATTGAAGTATAGAGTACATAGTGTAGTATAATAGAGCAGTATAGAGTGTAATCTATAGTAGAGTGTAATATAGTAAAGTATAGGCTATAGAGTCAACTAAAGTTAGTCTATAATATAGTCGACAATATAGTATAAACTCTTTCGTGCACTTACCAGTACCAATTTGCTGAGATGAGATGCCATTTGTAATCCTCTACTACTTCTAATACATCGCCAGCTTATCCTTCAAGTTACATAGATAATAATTATTAGTCACCATGCCAGCGCCAACTGAAGAAGAAGAGTTCTTGACGGTGGATGAAATTGCCGAGGAAGTAGTGGGAGAAGAAGAGGATGAAGTTCATATTGATGATGAAGATGAACAAGACGATGTACAAGATGATGAAGAACAAGCAGAAATGGATATCGATAACGAAGACCAAATTGAAATAGACTTATCAAATAACTCCTGGACCTATTTTGACCAACATAAAGATCTGATCTTCACCATATTCAAACACCCACTGTTACCAATGGTAGCCTCTGGAGGTGGAGATAACACTGCTTTCCTCTGGACTACTCATACCCAACCTCCCAGGTTCGTAGGGGAATTGGAAGGTCATAAAGAATCAGTTATAACTGGTGGGTTCACAGGTGACGGCAAATTTGTCATTACTGGAGATATGAACGGATACATTCAAGTACACAAGTTCAGTAAAGGGGGACAAAAATGGACCAAATTTGGTGATGTGGAGGAAGTAGAAGAAATCTTGTTTATTACTGTTCATCCTCTGCAACCATATTTTGCATTTGGAGCTGTTGATGGATCTGTTTGGGTCTATCAGATCGATGAATCCACCAAATCTTTAGTTCAGTTAATGAGTGGATTCTCTCATTCATTGGAATGTAATGGAGGAGTTTTCGTTAATACTGAAGATGAAAATACTTTATCACTAGTAACTATTTCTGAAGATGGTACGGTGGTCAATTGGAACTGTTTCACTGGTGAAGTCAACTATAAATTACAACCTCATGATGATTTTAAAGGAGTGGAGAGTCCTTGGGTTACCATTAGTGCTAATAAGAATGTCATAGCTATCGGTGCACGTGACGGCCAATTGGCTATAATAAATAATGATAATGGTAAGGTTGTTCATTCAGTGAAAACCATTGAACAAGTTGAAGATGTGGCAGAATTATCAATAGAAGCTTTAACTTGGTGTCAGAACCCTAACTTATTGGCTGTGGGTTTGGTCTCTGGAGATTTAATTATATTTGATGCTGCTCAATGGAGAGTCCGTAGAAGAGTTAAAGTTGATGATGCTATTACCAAGTTGGAATTCATTGGTAACACTCCAATTTTGGTTGGATCCAGTATGAATGGTAGAATCTATAAATGGGATGCTAGAACCGGTCAAGAATTGTTTGTTGGTCTTGGTCATAACATGGGAGTATTAGATTTTGTTACTATGGAAAATGGTACAAAATTAATTACTGCTGGTGATGAAGGTGTTTCGTTAGTGTTTAACACGGAAACTAATTAATAGGTAAGACACTGCGGTATAAGTTGCTACAATAAAAGATACAGTAAAAGATTTAATGAATGGTATATATAGTAGACATTCATTGGTTTTAAGGTGTCGTAGGTCGTGCAATGTTCAATTAGACGAAGAGTATAACTTTGGCTTAATTAGATCATTTAGTCTATCACTTCAGTCTTTTAGTATATTACATTATGTATCTGAAATACCTTGAGATATTCAAGTTCCTACTTGTCTGAATACGTGTGAGAACCCACTTTATTTAGACCCTATTCCAACCCTGATTTTCCCCCGAAGCTGAACCCTATTCAGTAATCTCACACGAATGAGCTAATTAATAGATTCTTAACCTCATGCTTTGTCGCTACTGTGACTGAGCATTCACCCCTTGCTGCCAACGCCTCATTGGCTATGTCAGTTAGCTTATGCTTCAGCTTTGCAGCCACCATCCTGTAAATATTAAGACTTAAACTGTTCCTAGAAATAGACATCCCATGACCTCATCTTACGCCATTTTGTGTACTATCTCAAACCCTCACGTGACCATGTATCACCCCTTCGCCTTACATTACAAGTTAGGTTCAGACCAGAGTGACATTTAGCTGCAGTGCGACAATTGGCGATATAAATTAAACGTTTAAGATGCAAAATATAAAGCAATAAAGTTGCCACTCTTCCTTCTACTGTACTTCAGTGGAATGGAACCAATGCAGCTTAAGATTGCTCATGGTGCAGTCACTGTGTTTTAATATACAAGTCACTTTGTATTCACACCTGAATCACGAGACTTCCTATTCCATTTCAATTTGCAGCCACTGCCAGTACAGCAGAGCCAGTCAAAAAGAGCATGAAAGTGGCCCTCATTTCAGATTATATGACATTTAAAGATCTAACAGTCTACTACTGGGTTCAGAGGGAAATTGACGCCAATAATCAAAGTCTTGCTTTAATATTAGACACGGGAACCTCCAGTATCACCTGATGGGTGTAAAAGATAGAACATTCAATCCAATATATGGCGCTCTCTCATTGGTGGATTTGTCCACAACGACAATGGAGCTTACACTTAACAAGAGCAACAGAATCTGATATTGATATTTCTAGAAGACCGAACAATTGTGCCTTGATGGGTCATTTGACACTGGTATATAATTATTTTTAAGCTCAACAGCTCAGCTCCCCTGTTTAATTCCATTCATGGATATGTCATTTTTGGAGATTTGAAGGGTAAACGGGGCTCATATGAAGTTAGTTTTAGTGGTGTTTCCATTAAAGTCTATCCGATTGGAATAAGGACATATGCAGATGCTTATATGGGCATTCTTGGATTTGGTTTAATGGAGAAGAAAGTATCTATAAGAAGTATTTGAGTTTACCTGCTAGAAAGAAATTATAAGGACTCATCAATGGGGGGTATGGGTATAGAGGCCCTATTAACTGTTAGCTGTTATAGGCCGAGTATCGTATCGATCAAATTGATGGGCATTACTAACCCAACTACATTCTTTCCTTAATCTTTAGTATTGGTTTATATATCTGGTTTGCTTTTGATTTCCGGTAGATTTTTAGCTCCTTCTTTTAAAATTACGGGTGAAAATCCTCTCCATCTAAACCCCATTACAATGAAAAACTACGAAAATTATTGGATGAGAAGGTGTCTGATCCACAATGCTGAACTAAGAAAAGCAAATGAATAATTGACTATAGTATCTGTACATAGTACTATATAAGATTAAACAGTACGACAGTGTTAGCTAATACAGCGTAATTAGTTCACTTTGGCATAACATTTGCTTACACTTGAGACTACTTCATCAGAGTGCTACCATCTGGGCACCACACGACCATCTAGAATAGGCATACGCGTTACACGTCTTACATCAAATCAAATACTCTACTACTATATTTCTATTACAGTTAACTAACACAGATTGTATACCTCATCCATAATATCTCATCCGTTATGACCACTGACACCAAGTACACTCCGTCGGAAGCAGACATGAAGTTCTACTATGAACGGTTCCTCCCCTTCAGATACATTTTCCAGTGGCTCAACCATTCACCGAAACCCACCAAAGACTTTACCATGAGAGAATTTGCCTACGAGCACCGATCCGGAGCTTATCAACGGTACAATTCCTTTGGGGGACCCGAAGAGTTCAAAGAGAGTGTTTGTCAAACCAACCCCACACGTTTTGAAATTGGAGCTGTTTATTCCGTTAACCCTAGGGAAAGAAAGTCTTTACCCAAACAAGCATTGAAGCCTTTAAGCAAAGAACTTGTGTTTGATATTGATTTGACTGATTACGATGACATCAGAACTTGCTGTTCCGGTACAGATATATGTGAAAAGTGTTGGAAGTTTATTAAAGTAGCATCTATGATTATTGAAAAGGCTTTAAGAGAAGATTTTGGGTTTGAGCATTTGATTTGGGTCTTCTCCGGTAGAAGAGGTGCTCATTGCTGGGTTAGCGATGCTAAAGCACGACAATTGGATGAAATATCTCGGAAATCCATAGTGGAGTATTTGGATATACTAAATTCCAAACTGTTGGGAAATAAAAGTCAACGGAAACTGTTGAATTTAAGAAAACCATTTCATCCTCATATTCAACGGTCTTTTAATATTTTAAAGGATGAATTTGTTGATATAATTCTTAATGATCAAAACCCATGGCATACATCAATTGACCAAGATAATAGAAAAAGTTGGGAACAAATAGAGGAATTGTTACTGTTTATCCCGGACAAGGAATTGGCATCCCAATTAAGAACCCATTGGAATGATCAAACATTTGAATCGAATTCAAGAAGTAAGTGGGAAGATATCAATAAATTTGCTTCTAAAATTTTAAAATCCCAATTACAAGTCAACCAATTAAATGACGCCAAAAAGGAAATTATCATCTATTATTTATACCCGAGATTAGATGTTGAAGTGTCACGTCAATTAATTCATTTATTGAAATCTCCCTTTTGCATTCATCCAGGAACTGGGAATGTATGTGTCCCATTCAATCCTCAACAAAATATCTCCATGGATCCACAAGATGATGATTATGGATTTAATCCAATGCATGCACCAAATTTAAAAGTCATTCAACAAGAGTTTGAAGATTGGCATAAACAAAATAAAGGTACAGATTCTAAAATACCTGATTTCGAGAAAACTAGTTTGAAACCTTATATTGAGTATTTTGGCAAGTTTGTTAATGATTTGGTTAAGGAAGAATTAAAGAAAAGACAAAGAGATGATACTCTTGACTTTTAGGTAATAGGACATGAAAATTCTCCAGATAATTGATCAATTAATCTGTTTTCATTGAAATTTTTATCCAAAAACCCACTATTGTTGTTGATTACGATTTTGGATTCTTTAATTCCAAATACAGAATCCAAAAGTCCACCTCTTTCTTCTTGTTCAACATTAGCTTCTTCAGATTGATGATACCATTCAATATATTCCAAATCAGAATTATACTTGACAGATCCAGAATTAACCCAAATATCACCCAGATTTAAATATGGATAATGCCATTTGGGAACAAATATAATTGTGGGTTTTGTAGATTTCTTGCCAGTTATTGATAAGGAGAATCGAACTGCCTTTAAATCAAATTCACAAGTCTTTATATCTCCTGCTGTGGCAACAACATAAGGTCTTATAACTGCTCTTATGGCTCTAACCCCATCAGGAGAAGGGAAATAATGTTTATTATGATCATAATAGACATTAGAACTTGAAGGAGATATTAATGTATGCAGACTAGAATAACCATCCAGTTCATTAGTTTCTGATTCAGTTTCACTTGAATTGATCACCAATCCTCCATTACCATTGGAAATGACTCTTTGATGACGGTGATAATTCTTCTTTCTTGGACTCAATCGATGTAAATGTTTCTTATCGATGGGTTTAATGGTGATATTACGGTCATCAGCTGACCAGAATGAAAAATCTTCATTATTCCATTGATCTCCTCCAGCATGGGAATTAATGCTGGTATAACACCAATAAGTATGATTAATATTAGAACCCTCTAAGGCATATCCAATGGCATCCAAAGCAGCTGTTTGAGCATAATATCTTCCAGTTAGAAATCCCTTTTTCTCATCCATATCAAATGGCATACCAGTTTCAGACATTAAAATTGGAATGTTACCCAAGTATATTTCACATTCCCGTTTAATTTCAAGGAATTGTCTTCTAATACAATTTCTTATGGCTCGTTCACCAATTACCATTCCAAACACTGGATTCCAATATTTACCACGCATAATTCCCAAAGTATCAACGTTATATTTTGAGTTCCAATTCTTAAACATTAAGGACATTCCATCATAATAATGAGGACAATACACTGTTTTGGAGTCAACAATATGATCTCGACTTATTTTCAAATTAGGAGGAATTTCTAATACTGGAGCTTGAATTAGAACAAAGCAATTGGGCCAAATAGATCTAACCGTTGATTTATGTTTAGCGTAGAAATCAACAAACATATTATTAATAAAGAAACTCACATCAATCTTGGCCGGTTTCTTTCCATCATCTCTGGAAACAATGTTATATTTTGGATCAACTTCATTAAAGAAATATGGACGTTTCAACTCACACTGGGTTTCACCATATTCAACTCTTTTGAATAATGGCATTGACTGTTCTAATGGTTTCTCTTTATTCCAACTCCAGATTCCAACGTTGGCGAAGATACATTCACCCAATATCCAATTGGGGTCTCTTTCCCAACCATAATGGGAATCATAAGTTGATGCTTCCGCTTCAGAAAGCCATGCCCTAGTACCTTGGGGATCAATGATTTGAGTATCATATTTCTGCGGTCCCGTGACACTTATTCTGTATTTGTCCACTTCACAAGGTATACCCATTCCAAGTTTCATGCATTGATAAGCTGTCGGACAAGTACTTAGCCGTAGCTGTTGACTATCCGGGATGGAACCCAAATGCTCATGACCAATTAGGCCAAGGTTTGGCTCATTCATCAGTTCAAACCCGAGAATCATACCCTTTTCTAATAAGTGTGGGGCTTTCTCGAGGACAGCTTGACAAAGTAACTTCATACAATTGTTATAATGGTCTTGAAGATAGTCTTGAATGTTTTTACCATTCAACTTAAAGTCCGGGAAGTAGATTTTACCAGCAAAGAAAAGAGTAAACATCACCAACGAAGCCAACCGTTTATAGTTGGAAGTCCATAACATTTTAGGATAATCTTCGGGGTCATCATCGCTTTGGAATCTTTGTTCATTATGTAAGATGGCAGCCTCATTCTTATGGAATGATTTAGGATCTAATCCAGCAGCATAGAGAGTCCACATGGGAGCACCACTACCACCGGTGAATCTTGACCAAACATCTTGATGCATTTCTAATATCACATATAATCCACCTACCTGATCTATAATGTTCAACATTTCAATTGTATAATCAATAAATGCCATATCGTATTTCCCTGGTCCTTCATGTTCAATAGCTTCCCACGTCAACAAGTATCTAATAGTATTATACCCCCAGGATTTGATTCTTAGAAAGTGACTAGCAGCTTCGTCTAACGGGAAAGGTCTCCCTACAAACGAGACTGTGTCTCCTTCAAAGAAGATGTTTCTAGCCTGTTCCGAGTTACCTCCAGCATACGATGGCATGTACGGTTTCGCCGGAAGTTTCATGGCCCCATCAACATTGATCCCCTTCAAGGTTATCTTCCTTCCGTCTCCGAGCACAAAGCTTCCTCTGCCATCTGTTTCTAAGGGAGTACACTCGAGAATCAGCCATTGATCCGTTCCCTCCTCATCAACAGCTGTAGGTTCTAGTGGTGTCAGGGGTTCACTTCTTCGAGACCCTAACATCCTCACTCCCGCTAACGAGCTCGTACTGTACAAGCTTGCCTTCTCAGCTATGGCTTCCCTGGTATTCTTGACGAAATCTCTCATTGACAAAGAAAGCAGTTGGTTAAGCTAATGATTTAGTTTTAGTTTCGGGGCTTAAAACATCACTTATTTCTGGAGTCACCCTTACCGCATTAGGCAATCCATGCCGCACAGGGTACGATATACGGTAAGAATAACGTATGGCACATGGCACATGGTAAGTGTGCATGTACATACGGGTACCATACATGGGATACCATACATGGGTATGTACTTTGTACGTACCTGTCGGTAATCCGGAATGTCTATGATTACCCCACCTGGCTGATTCACATGATTCAATAGCTGATACACCCAAAATAGTGAAAAATTACCGTAAACGGAAATGGTTACCTTCTCAACTTTTTCTGATTACTTAATCTCCAGGAGTTTTGATCCTTTGTAAACCGATTGAATAAAGGTTGAATCTTTTCATTCTTTTGCCGCTCATTTGTATCAACAGCTTGAAAGAATTCGGGTGCACATTCAACCAACCATTGCGGTTCCACGGTTGTGGCACAATGCATATATTCTTTAGTAGTCATTAACAAAGTATGATAAATGACATATTCTGGTTTCTTACCGAAAAGTGCCGATGATGGGTGCATCACCACTGGTGTTTCCCCAATTAAAGTCTTGTAGTTTGTTTCATTGCCGCTGTTATCTCTTTTAGCAGAGTTCTTGAAGAATCCAGCACAAAGAGCCCATCTCACTTTATTGAAATCGTTCCCACACAGGATGATTGGTTGGTGATACCGTTTCATGATTTGAGTAAGTTGTCTTCTAACCTCTTGAGCCCTCTTCATGCTCCGTTCATGAATATAATTCTGCTTGCACCATTGAGAACCATGGCCATGTCCACTGCTAACCCATCCTCGATACACATTGAGTAACGTGACGTGATCGCCAGAAGAATGGTGGAACCGGGCCTTACGTTGATCAGCAGCCTTCATTTCTTCTTTAGGTCGGAAAAACACCGTTTGTACGGAAAGCATGGCAACTATGGTCATGATCTCGTCAGAACATCCATATTCAGCCAGGGAGATTAAACATTTGGCTAATGCAGGTTCCATGGGGAAATCAGCCATCTTCCGACCTAAAGACGTCAAGGAACCCTCAGAATCAAGGGCTGAGATCACAAATAAATCTTGTAAGGCTGCAACCATTGATTTTAAAGCTGGGGGGTCCATGAAATCAAAATGAAGTACATCATTGATTCCTATAGCTTTAAGCATAAGAATCGTATGGGCCAAGTTTTGTCTTTGAATCTCAGGTAAACTATTGGGTTGCATATCTTTTTGGAAAGATTCTTCAGTGTATAATCGATAACATTTCCCTGGTCCTGTTCTACCAGCTCTACCACTTCTTTGATTGGCTTGAGCCTGGGAAATGGGAGTCACCATCAATGAGTCCATTCCTAATCGGGAATCATAGACATTAAGCTTGACAAACCCTGGATCAACAACGTAATAGATTCCATCAATGGTAATAGAAGTCTCAGCAATATTAGTAGCAAGAATCACTTTCCTGGACCCATTAGGAGTGGGCTCAAAGATACGGCTTTGCATCTCCGAAGGTAGAGATGAATAAACTGGCAATATGATAAGCTCACTACCAACAGATTTACCCAATTGTTGGACTCGTTCATATAATACTTCACAACTGGTGTCGATCTCCTCCTTACCAGTTAGAAACACAAGTATATCTCCTGGACCTTCCAGCATATGGATTTGCATTACTGAGTCCAAAGCTGAAGCCAAATAGTCAGTTTCCGGTTCCTTAGTATAAAGAATCTCCACAGGGAACGTTCGACCGGGGATTTGTAAAATAGGACAATTGTTGAAGTATTTAGCAAATTTATTGGAGTCCAAAGTAGCTGACGTTACTATCACTTTCAATTGAGGGTTGTTGACCACTGCTTTCTTCAAAAGAGCAAAGAGAACATCCGTAGCAATGGTTCTTTCATGTGCTTCATCCAACATAATGACCGAATATCGTTTCATATCTGGATCATTCAACGCTTCTCTTTCCAACATACCATCTGTCATATATTTAATGGCAGTATTAGGTCCCGTATTATCTTCGAATCTAATGGTATACCCCACAGTCTCACCTAACTTCAGTCCAACTTCTTCTGCCACTCTTTTGGCAACAGATACTGCTGCCACTCTTCTGGGCTGTGTACATCCCACCATCTTGATGTGGTCCCCATTGTTTTTAGTAAACCCTTCTTCATATAAGTATTGAACGATCTGGGTGGTTTTCCCAGACCCCGTTTCTCCTACTATCACCACAAATTGGTTGTCCTTAATGGTTTTAACTATCTGCTCTCTCATAGCAAAGATGGGGAGTGATTCTCGTTGTTCTTTCATTGATAACGAGGTTCTCTTCCCGTATTGAATGTTCTTCTGAGTCCTTGTCCATTCGGTGATGACTGCATTAGTAGCTTCGTCCCGTTTCGACTCTATCATGGGATCTGCCATTCCTAAAGCTTGCGCTCTTAAAAGAGACTTGTCCTTTTGTTGTTTGAGCTTTTGATCTCTGAACTCCTTCATAAGTTGTGACCCATTGGAAGCCTCCTTGACAAGCATATTTTTGTCGTTGTCTTTAGGCACCGGCTTTGGCAACAGTTCCAGTATATCTACATTTTGAGTCAGTAAGAACTTTGGTTTGACCTTCTTGAGTTCAACATCGACCTGAGGACCTTCGTTAACCGAGTGAGTGGTATCACCATTATCATCACCAATATCCGTATCTTGTAGCTCGGGGTAATCCTTGATGGAAGCAACACCAGCAGAGATCAACTGTTGTATCTCCCAACGTTCTGGACTCGTCAAACGACGACGTTTGTTACTTCCTGCAAATCTATTAGTTCTATCATTGTAACCATTGGATTGGTCGTCTAGATCTTTCATGGACAATGAGATCCGAGGTCGACCCCTAGCACTGGCATCTACCTTAACGACTCGCACCGATACTTCCTGGTTTACAGACACCAACTCTGACGGATGCCTTACAGTGGAATGGGATAGTTGCGATACATGACACATTCCATCTGGTTGTAGCTGTACGTTGCCATCATATAAGCTAATGAATACACCAAAGTCCTTTATGGATCGGACCGTACCTTTATAGATGTTGTTTACCACGGGCAAAGGAGAAGGGTGGGAACGTCTTGACTCTAATCGTATGGGAGGATTAACATTGTGTGTAGCTGCTGTGACTGCTTTATCTGCTTTACCTGCTTCATCGGCTGTACCTGTACTCACCTGCCCTCTAACAACTTCATACACCTCATTTATAAACAGTTGAGGGAAACTATCACCGCCGTTGGCTGTAATCACCTCCTGGAACCCATCTCTTGTCCCCGTAGCATTCTGTTGATAAAGACTATAAATAAACCGGGTCACCTCTTGGGCATCGTCTGGTACACCAAGATGACTCGTCACAAGGTTCTGGATCGCTTTTAGTGTGGTGGCGTTGGCAGTAGTCATTGGTGAGAAGAGATGAGGTTGGTGAGAAAGATCTCAAAGTCTATTACAATCACAGGACAGACAGAAGACACGGACACTACACTCAGCAGACACTACAACTACGGACATTACAAGCACAGACACTACAGACACAACTCATACAGACACCCTATATTATCCTAGAGCATACCCGCTATCCCATGTCATCACTATTGCCCAAGCCAAAGTACTCCAACTATGAACCGCCTAAATGGGGCATCTACCACCAACGAACTTCATCTTCCTCCTCTATTCTAGTTCCCTCTCTCCAAAGCTCCACTACCATAATAGACAACACCAACGCTCCAAAGAACACCATCCAGAAACTACATCTCAACGATGATGGCTCCATCAACTATAACGCCACCTTGGCCACAGTCAATGCCGACCCCCATCAAAGAGTACAAGCAACATACGACGATACTGTTAGTCTCAAGGCCCGGTTTCCAAGGCTCAAACACTCGTTCCCTCGGTATGACTTGGCCACTTGTCCTGACGATACATTGAAGCAATGCGTCATTGATACTCAAAGGACGATCGATGCCATCTTGAAGCAGAAGCTGGGCCATACGGCTGTTGATAATGATACTGCTACTCTTTCGTCCGGCACTAACGAGATACTAGTGTCTACATATAGAGAAGATCCTTTGCTTCCTCCCAAGTTTAGGCTTAGAAAGAATAGACACTCGGGTTCTCCTTCCGTTCCTGCTCCCATACTTAAGAAGACATCCGAAGCCAACATCACCAAAGAAGACAGAGACAAATGGAGAATCCCTGCGGCCATCTCCAACTGGAAGAACAATCAAGGGTTCACCATCTCCATAGACAAAAGAATGCAAGCAGCTCATGGAGGTGAAGGTTCCAGCAGTGCTGAAGACGTTAACTTCACCAAGTTCTCCCAAGTGTCAATGGCTCTCCAACAGGCAGAGACTGAAGCTCGGGAAGAGCTCAATCAAAAAAGAGACTTGATGAAGCAATTGGAAGAGAAGAAGCAACGAGAACGTGAACTCCAATTAAAGGCACTTGCTGAGGAGTCCAGAACAAGATCTAAAAGACACTACAATGGTGATAATACAAAGTATCATAAACGAAGACACCATTAATACACACCTTTAATATACACCGTTAATGTACACCATTAGCATACACATTATTACCGCTTCTTACGTCCTGCACGAGCTTTAACACGATCTCCGCCTTCATAAAGTGACCGTTCAAATTCATCAAGAGCTCGAGAATTCACCCATTCCAAAACTCGTTCAAGCTCCCGCTGTTGCTTAACATCAACGAGTTTACTTTGAATCTCCTTCTTGAATTCAGCCAACAATTCAGGGTCTTCGCATTTGTTAGCTTCCTCGACGGTTTCTATCTTGGTCTTTTTTCTCAGTTGAGCTGAAGCTCGAATGCTTCTCTTTGAACCAATTGGAACGAGTCCAGAGTCACTAGAAGTAATCACTTTGCCAGGTGATGATTGGAGTTGGTTAATTCGACTTTGAACAGTTATAATTTCATTGCGTAGTTTCTCTTCTGTCTCAGGAATCCGTTCCAACCATAAAGCTTTCCTTCTAGCTTTGATACTCAAGTCAATAGCTTCTTTAACTATTAATAATTCCTTTCGCAATTGTGACTCTCGTTTCCCCCAAGGGTTTAACCATTGAATTAATTGGGTGATTTCCTCTGGCTTATCGTAGAACTTCCAACAAGATCCATTCAAAAGTGCACTGGGTCCTTCTTCAATCATCTTCCGTTGCATGGGTGAAAGCTTTTGAACCACTTCATAGTTACTAAGGGCTCCAGTGTTATCTAAGATTAACTTTAGGTCATTTTGGTCATCACTACCACCCATAGAACCCCAAATCTCTGTTTCTTTAATATGAATGCCAAACTTGTCCTTCGACGTGACTTTATAGAACTCGGGAATCTTTGTAAAATCCATGACTTTGATTTCATCCTCCTTATTCTCCAATTCTTTTTCATTCTCTTGTTCTTGTTCTTGTTCTTCAGCTTCAACGTCAATAACTTCAGCTTTAATTTCTTCTACTTCTACGGGAGCATTATCATCGTCTTCAGCATCTTTAAGTGGTTCAATGGAAGCATCCCACTGGTTCAAAATATCATTAATAGTTTCAATTGAAACTTTTAAGTTGGTTTTAATGTCATCTTCACATGGTCCTTGTATCCATAACTTCCCTATCAAATAAGTTTCCTCCAAGACTTCATCCTTATCATCATCGTCTTCATCATTGTCCTTTTTCGTATTGTCTTCACCACTACCGTCTTCATTGTCATCTTCATCATCAGCACCACCATGTAAGGTTGGTAACCCATTATTTTCAAACCACCAATACCTATTGAAATGTCTATCTTTACCTAAAAGCTTGACTCTTTGACAATCCATTTCCGTGAGTTTACGTTCAAGTTCTCTTTTGGCTTTTTTCAATTCTTCAATCTTCAAAATTGCACTTTGTTTCTCCCTCCAAAGCTTCTTATATTCTGGTGCCCGTTCAGCTATTTTCTTCTCTTCATCATTCATTTCTTCTGATATTTTGACAATTAACCTGGGTCTTCTGGTGACATTCGGAGTATGATTCCCATTTTGATCCTTAGATTCCTTCTGAGCAATTTCATACATTTGTAAATTGATCTTTTGAGCATTCTCCACTGCAGATTTAAAATCCTTGATAGAATCCAATCTTTGACGTCTAAGATTAGCTGATTCAACCATTGCAAAGTCAATATGATGACGTACAATCTTACCATTCACTAATAATGATGTAAGGAAGTTCAATATTTGAAACTTGACATTGATATCCAAATCAGAATAAAAGTTAGTGAGAACTGATTGTGCTGTAGCTGGTGTGTCTGAAGGTGCTAATATCCGATATACTTTCTCTATAATTGGTTTGTAATTTGGAACATATTCCACTATAGACAATAATCCAAGCATGATTGTTTGCCAGTTTCCATCCCGAAAATTACGTTTTCTAAGTCTTTCATGCCATGGAGTACCTCTATGATTCATAACTGAATAAGCATTATGTTCCCTGTGTTCTTCTTCGTTGTCTTTATCCTTGTCACCATCGTTGGATCCTTCTTCGTCATCACTTTGACCTTCGGAGTCAGATTCATTATTATTGTCCTTTCCAGATGAATTTTCTTCTTCAACATCAATGACTTCTTCGTCATCTCCTTCTCCCTCTTCTTCCTCCCTATCCTGATTCTTTTGCTTATTGGATTTGCTTTTCGTCTTCTTCTTTGCAACAAAGATTATATCGCTATCTTCATCCTTGTCTTCGTCGTCATCATCTTCCTCTTCTGCTTGACTAATGTTTTCCACATCAATGTCTTCAGCTTCTTGATCTATATTATTGTTCTCAGGATGAAGATATGACTTTTTGGGAGGTAAACTTATTTGAAGTCCAAAGATACCTTGAGTTCTTCTCAATTGTTCTTGAGTTGGATTCTCATTAGAAATGATCGCCCCTAAAACAGCACACCAGATTTCATCTAACAAATCACATCTTCCAATTTCATTGTACTGATTGAAATTCCAACCCATTGCATAGACGAAATCATCAAAAGTGAAAGTATCAAGCTTAAGAACCTTATGATAGACATTAATAAATATCCACGATTGTAATGCTTCTTCTATTGACCGGATATAAGGATACTGGCGACTCTTAATATCATGGTTAATGGTTTCAATTTGATTTATAATGTCAATGTCATGTGGGGTCTCTTCAAGCTTATAGTTCAATTCAGATAATGTTTCTTGTAACTCCGAAATCACATGTTCATTCCATGCTCTTGCATTCTGAGGAAGTAGCATTGGTGAAGGTGATGGTTTAGGATTTTGAATATCAAATCTAAGTTCATGGTCTTCCACAATATTCTTTTTAGTTGGTTGAAATGAAGAAATTGTTAACGAAACCAGTGGAGTACCTCTTTCACTTCCATTAAGTGGAATAGGGGTATGACTTTCCATGGCGGCAATATCCAATTCCCTTTGTATCTTCTCAGGTACATAATGAGTGGGGAATAGTTTCCGATAATCTCTATGAGATAAGTCACCGTTCCCATTAATAGTTGTAAACTCACCATTTTCATCTGGTCCTCCAATTGTAAGTTTACCCAAGGATCCCAGTTTCTTCCCAGCTAAAATAGCAGCAGAAGTTGCAGCAGCTGCTGCTGCTGCTGCCAATTTCTCTTCTTTAGCTCTTTTCTTTTGATTTTTTATCAGGTTTGGGTTTGGTTTACGACCTTTCCTTTTCGGTTGAGCATCTTCACCATTCATTATGATTGGATTACCGTTTTCATCCAATTGTAGTTGTTCTGTCTTTCGTTTAGTACCTCGTTTCTTATGTTTAGTACCATTCTCCTTTGAATTACCATCTTCGGTAACTACACCATCACCATTGATGGTAGACCCATTTTCGTCAACATCATCATTCTCGTCATCGTCATCAGAATCACTGATTGAACCTTCACCATAAACAATTTCTCCAGTGGGGGTTGAAGCTGAAAAATGTTTCAAGTCTTCAGGATATTCTTGAGGGATATGATATTTTTTAGCAAACTTATCTTTTACTACCCAAGGAGCACCAATTCTATGAGATCTTGACATAGTCAATTTGATGAACGTCTTGATAATCCATTTTGTGAAATGGTTTCTATCTCTTGAAATTCTATCATTGGTGACAATGGCTTCCTTTCTATCATTTAATCTTACCACTAGATATTTAGTTGAATCTTTGGAACCATATTGAACTTTTTCTCTAATGGTACCTCTTTGACGAACATTTGAATCTTGATACTGATTATTCGTGGTATTAATTGAACCCTTTATGAATATGGTTTCACCCGGAAAATAATCATTTTTGAAAGTCAGATATACTTTATCAACCAAATGATCTAATCTTGTTATTCTGTTGAACTGGAGAAACCGTAAGATATGTTCCCTTAGAGCTTCTGGGAAATTCGATTCCACACCCGTGATCTCCTTTTGTTCAGATTCTAAGGCTTCAAAGAAAGTTAAACATGAATTCCCAGTGATTTCACACACAAACTTTCGTCTATTGTAATAGTCGATTCGTTTCAAATAATCCTCGTATTCAAGAAACCATTCCTTGGTGTGTTCAATGTAAAACACTTCGGTATCCAAATCTTCAGGTATATGAGGAGGTTTAACATATGCCACTTGTTTTCGCTTATAAAGGACCATGATCAATCAATCAATATACACGTATATACATATATGTATGTATACGTAGGCAGTTATGTATGTGTATACACGTGATTCTATTCAACTCTTGCGAACGTACACTCAATCTGACACGTCAACTCTTATCACTTTTCTGGGAGCTATGCTATGATTATTTCTTCCACTGATTATATTTTTTTTGTTTGGTGCGAGTAAATTTTTGGTATGGGTTTGGTTATTGTGTCACATCCACAAATCAATACGGGATACCACAGAGGAGTTGGTAGTTACACAATAAATGTTAGTAGTAGTAAGCAGTTGATAGCTGTCAGTGATAGTTGGTAGTAGTTAGTAGAAGTGGTTAATGGTAGTAGTAGCTAATAGCCAGCAGTAGTAGTAGTTAGTGAATGTTATTGGTCGTAGGTAATCGTATCTGTTGTATCTCTTGTCAGTAGTAACGTCAGAGGCTACTGATATACCTTTGTTTCTAGTACGGCTTGAAGTCTACCTAAACTGTTTCACTATAAAAGAATAGAGCAGAGACACGCGATTTAATAGTAGTCTTATGCCACAGGTAAGATCTCATTTATATACTATCAGTACTATTATTTTTGCTAAGCTTCTTTGGCTGCAAATCCCGTTGCAAAAACACAAAATCAATTGCCTTTCCCACTTCTTGTAGTCCCTAAGATCCTTTGGTGGTATCTGCTTATTACCAACTGAATTCCTCTATTGTACCCTTAATTAATTGATCAGTTACTTTAGGGTTTAAAACTCATTATAACCTAAACTCCTATTTATCTCCCACAAAATTTCAACAATACCAAGCACGGACATGCAAAACGGTATAAATACTTATATGTAGGATATAAAATTTGGTGTTCGGGTGTCGTGTATAAAGAAGGGGATCTTTTAGTGGTATTGTTTTTTACTTTACTATCGGATAACTGGATGTAGCTGTAGCTTGACAACGTATATATTGTTGTGTGTATACATTCATACATGTGAGTGCGTGCTTCTATGGAAGACGAAATATTATGGGGCTTCATGATGAATGCTTGTTGTAGAATAAAGCCGGAAATGGATGTTGGGTGAAACATTCAAAGTTCTACATCCTTATTGTATTCCAATCTAGGAGTCGAGCCGGGCCTAAAACCACTTCTGTGACACTATGGTAGCGCCGTTGTACAAAGAAATCGTGGTGGGGGTGGTACATCCCGATGTCTAACTAATGTTGGTTGTTACTGGTAGGAGAGATTAATCCTACTGAAGTTACAAAGATCTCCCGCATTATTTCTGTAGGATTACATGTAATGAATGTTATCTACTTCCTAAAGAAAAAAGATAATTATAAACCATTACTCATGCTTCTATTGGCGTCCCAATTTTGCAACCAATCTTTGGATAAGCAGTATTGACACCAATCATGGATTATTTGGGAATAAAAGAGAAATCTACCCATTACCTATTAATGTACAAGTCTGATACAAATACGCAGAATCCAGAATAACTGCAACATAAATTCCAATTGTCGTTTTCATGCTCAGTTGCTCACGATATGAATAATATAGCAAGCAAATGATACCTCTATATACTGAAACACTAATTGACAGTGAACACACAAACAGTTAAGCCTCGACAATCGGGAATTAAACAGGGGGTTGATACCACGGCCATTGTTTGGTGACTTGCCATTAGACGTGCTTCTAGGATGATTATGTTGCATTGAAGTTTTCGAGGTGTTTCTAGCCCCATCATCGATGGGGTCAATGCCTTGATCTGACGACTACATTCGTGGATATCATTGAAACTAATTCTTGTGATAGCTTATGTATCTTCTTGATAAATTGACTAAGACTGAAGAAGAAAAAGTATATATATATATATGATTATGATACATTGGAGGATATCAAACTCAATTTATAGGCGACGAATCAGAGTAAGGTTCTAATTATTTCCCAGGTGCAACTTTACCTATGGTAGCCCCGGCGGGGAGATACCAATTGGTATAATAGAGCAATAAACAATTGTCACGTGATTTCATAACTAAAATATACCGAACTTCTGTAAAGTAAAAAAAATATAAGCAAAAAATGGGCTAATGTTGACTACTCTTGTTGCCTCGCCATCAACAGGAGCTTCAAAATCCAATTCGTCTTCCGTAACTCGTTTAGCTCCTGCTGCTTTAGTAAACATCAGAAACATGTAATTAGCAGCAACTTGAGACCAAGTCAATTGAATATCAGTGACAGTAGATGATGTCTTTTCTTCTAGTTTAGAATTCTTATACTTAACCATTTTCCCTGGGTCATCTGTTATAATACCGTATTGTCTTAACCCCGCTGTCTTCCCAACCTTGTTCAAGTAATCGTACTGGATAGTGTTATTGATGGTCCATGAATATAAACATAAATCATTAGTCTTTAGCAACGGGACAAAGTTGACTAGGAAATCTCGGGACCATGTAGCAACATATATCATCAGAATTCCTCTGACCTTGAACGTATATTTATCCTTTGGTGAAGTTAGGTCAAGAAACTGATTATACTCCAAATATCTAGTGGAATCTTGACAACTGAAACTTATATGAAAGATTTCTGGCTTCATAATATTCTTATCAGAATCAAAAGTATCTTGGAACCATTGAGTTTGATTCATATATTTAAGGAAATTGATATCCCAAACCCCAAACTGAATTCTTTGACACCAAAAGTTCAAATCGTCTTTAACAGAGAGTAGATCTTCAAATAAGAGTCTCATGATCTTGGGAGGATTGAATCGCTTAATATCCAATTGAATATACTTTGAGAATTGTTCACCGGCGTCTTCTTCTTTGCAATATTCAATATACCAATTCAACATATCTGTAAACTTCAATAATTTTTCACCAGACTTAATGGTCACAAGGTCTTTAAGGTCTTCATAATTGGTCTTCAAAATATTATAATCCGCTTCACTGCCATCACGATGACAAAAAATTCGTTTGGTATTAACATCATGACTTATTACCACTATTCCATCTTTAGTAACCCAGGTATCTGTTTCAATGTTGGTGGCTCCATCTTCGTAGCAATGAGTGAACCCCACTAATGTGTTCTCAACGTATTTGGCTTTGTATCCTCTATGGCCAGTAATAACTGGGTTACTCATAGTGGTAAATGGACGATAAAGAGTACGGACTATAAATGGCCGTCTCATTAATCTACTTATATTATATATATATATATATATGAGTGGCAACGTGCCGTGCTATTACATCAGGCTTGAAACACGCATGGGGGTAGTGTACGGACTTAAGCGGGCTTAAGCGGACTTAATAACAGTTAAACCTTAATGTGTATGTTATCTATAACTTACTATCTTTGGATTCATTAACAGCAATTTTGATAATCTGATAAGCTAAACTTTCTGGAGCAGGTAATGCCAATCCTTCTGGATTAAACAGCATGTCTAATTCTTCATCATCCCTTGATCCCGCAACCTCAAGCAATTTCTTAACATAATCAATATCAAACCATCTGGCATCATCAAGTTCGTTATCATGACCTAAATGAATCTGTTCATTGATACCATTGAATTCTACTGTTGCCACGCATCCAATCATCAAGTTAGCAGGGAATGGCCAAGGCTGGGTCTTAACCATTTGAATCTCACTACAAACAACACCTGTTTCTTCCCAAATTTCTCTCTTTGCTGCAGTTTCAACCGTTTCACTGGGTTCCATAAATCCAGCAGTACAAGTATACATTTTAGCGAAATTGTAACGTTTATGCAACAGTAGAAGCATCTTGGTACGCTCTTTATTCACAATGGCTATGATCACCACGGCGTCTGTTCTAGGAAATGAAACGTTGGACACACTAACACTTTTAACAGGACACACAAACTTATCAATGGTCTCACCTTTATCATCTTCAACTTGTTTGGTCTCCTCATTAGTACAATAAATTTTCCCACCTCCATGGATAGGAATGGTCTTGGAGCCACACCCGGGACAAAATCTATTCCGATCAAGCCAATCAATAAACATCTTACCGTGAGAAAACAATGCTGCTTCTTCTGGAGTCAACATGCCTAAAACATGTTTTCTGGAAGTGGTGAAGAAAAGTGACTTCTCGTTGACTTGCTTATCTGATTCCAATATATGATTTACAATTAGTTGTCTCAATTGTTCCAGCTTACTAACATCAACACCATAATAAGGAATCCCTTGGTATCTACCTTGGTGATCAAAGTATCTCTCTTCATCTTCGGAGATCTTGACCTTATTCAAATCCAATCCAACGCTTTCATCCTTCAACCCCAAGAACAAGAACACGGGTTTATTGTTATCTCTTAAACCTGGATCCTTGGTACGGTTATCTGAGATCCAAGTGTCAAGAGTTGATCTCCAGATTTGAGACGACCAAAGACCTTTATGCTGCTGCTGCTGGCTATCCCCGTTGGTTAACACAACCAATTTCAGACCCTTTATCGCACCTTTATTGAATAGCGGATGGCCCTGGTTATAGAATATAAACCTGGTGGATGAATGGACTATCAGCTTAGAAATGAATTCAACATCTTCTCTAAGAAACAGTACTCTATTAAGAACCTCTGCTCCGTAGTAAGCAGAGGTGTCAATTTGGTTTCTATATTCGGACGCACTCATGTATGTTTTGGTATAGATAAGCCTTCGAGATACTTGAATTGACTTTAACATTCAAGTGGGGTAAACTTTGGTAATGGATTCGTTCTGGTTATTCATGTAAGTCAATGAGAGTAATTGTGAGGTACACTTCCAGCTCATGTGATTAAGAGTACAAATTAATCTATTGTAACAATACGATGCAAGCGAATATATAAATTCGCACAGAAAGATGTGAAGACGCAAGAGAACGCATACGGTATCGTATATAGTGAGTGTACGATAAAGCACCATAAAGCACCATAAAGTACGCTAAAGTAGCCATTCCAATGAACAAATACCATAGCACGTGACAAAGGTAGTGAAATTTATGTTAACATTAGTTAGCAGCTGCTTCTAATGTTGATATTGACTTTAGTTTACTTCATTCATGTACTTCATGAATGAATTTACTTTATGTAACAGTATTAAGCATAAGTTAGCTTTCATCTAATGAAAGCCAACCAATCACTTAGCACTGGCCTTATTCTTCCTGGGACGTATAGTCTAATCAAACCATTGAGTATCGGTTGGTAGATAAAGTTAAACCCAGGTAAATGTAGAGTAGTGTTCTGCCATGGTATGATGTATTCACTATTTACAAGACTGAAATAATTAGTTAGTACACTTCTTGTTGAAGTTCTTCCTCGTCTTCTTCTTGATATCACATACCTTGATCTGTTCTAATTATCCACAATTATATATACATAGCCTAAAGTCGCTTGTTAGTAAAGTCAGTTCCTCCATTTCTTAGAATTCTTTTTGCATTATAATTCTTTAATCAGATAATAAATTGATCGTATCTTCAAATTGTATTCAGAAGTCTAACGTCTGAAAATCAATGGGGATCATCATAAAATAATAATAATATGAAAAGAATCTTACTAATTATCACACATACCGTTTGATTCATCCCATTCTAATGCTTTCCTTTACCACTTTAGGTAACCCTTTCATCCATGACTTCCTATTGGACTTATCCAACAAAATAAAAACTCTTCCTCCTTGTTTCATTCTCCCAGTTCTTCCGATTCTATGCATTAAATCAGAAGAATTCCTGGGGATATCATATATAATCACATTCTTAACTCCTTTGAAATCTAGACCTCTAGCCATTATATCGGTCGTTAATATAACTTTGATCTGACTTTTATCCAAATCATCTTCAATCTTAGTTGGTGGCTCGAGGAATGGTCGAATAAGTTCTAACCTATCTTGAATACCATCATTGGATGATAATTGAACAATATCTTCCTCTCGGAAATCATAATCTAATAATCGATTTCTAATACTTTCTAACTCCAGCTTAGCATTGGCAAACACTATGATTCTTTTGGTATAACCCTTTTCAGTACCATCATTATGAATAGCATAAATACACTGAGCTAATGCCTTCATCTTGGATCCATTATAAGGCTTCTCAAAACAATCAATTAATTTGACTTCAATCTTTCGAGGAATCTTATGAACATCCTTAGTATAAACTCGAATAAGAGAATTTTGTGGGAATGTTTGCTTGATAAACTTTCCAACATCTTTAGGAACCGTTGCAGTACAAAGTACTAGATCCCGACATTGTCTTAAAGATTTTAAAATGCTAGTGGTATCTTCAACAAATGAACCATCAAGTAAAGTATCAGCTTCATCAAAAACACAAAACTCCAACCCATTAAAATATCTAAATGGTCGAGCATAATTCGTAAGTTTTGATAAACTAGTGATTTTCCCAGGAGTGGTGATAACAATATCTAATCTTTGATTACAAGCATCAAAAAATTTATTAGGTGGGACATTTTTATCCCATTTAAAGATTCTTAAACCAAGATTAGTATTATTATCAGGTAATCTCATAAAGTCCTTGGAAGCAGTATCATATTTTTGATCCTTGATGATATCTTGCTCAATATCATATTGGATACTATTTGCACGTTGAAGGGTTTGATAAATTTGGTCAACCAACTCATAAGTTGGAACCAAAATCATTGCCCGAACAATTTGAGCTTTCTTCAGTTGGTGATACTTTTCAGGCGAAATTTGGTAAGTTTCTAAATCTCTTTCCTTTAATTTGGTTAAAAGACTGGCCAAATATGCCCAAGTTTTACCTGAACCTGTTTCAGCTGCAAGCAAGTATGTATTCAATTTTCTCATTTGATTTTGTTTCATGAAATCATTATAAATCTTTTCACCGTTATTTCCAATAGAATAAGATGAATCTGTATCCTTCGAATTAACATTCTTAACTCTGGGTTGAGTAATTCTTTTAATTGCTGCAATTTGGACACTAGTAGGTGTCAAAGTCAATTCTTCTTTGGATTTAACATAAGTGTTTCGCATCAAATACCCATGTCTAATTTCTTCCTTCATGGCATAACGAACAGTAGGAAAGATTCGTAACTCATCAAACGATCTAATTGCATTAGTAAGTTGTTCAGTTCTCAAGGAGGTTTTATCGGTAACCCCACCCAAATTCATAAACTTTCCAAAGTTGAACTCCTTTTCGGGTGCTTCTCTGACGAAATCCACTCGTTGATCCCGAGTCATGTTCTCCCAATCTCTTTGGTGTCTTCTAGTTTGTCGTTTCTTGGGAGCTCGCCTTGGTTGGGCAAAACTCCGTATTGCCATCCATTGCGGATTCCATAAAATCCTCTTCACCATCATCCTGTGAGCAATGTGAACATATATGTAAAATATACGTGACAATTCTACTCAATTTTCAATCCTATCACAGTAGCATCAATACCGGAATTATACTTCCGTAACAGTTCTGTTACCGACAAAGTAGTACTAGAAGAAGAAGAAGAAGAAGAAGAAGAAGAAGAAGAAGAAAGAAGAGAAAGTAGTCTCTTGAGTGCGACAAAAATTTTCACTTATGTTCTTTCCGGTTTTGTGTCATTTAGGTCGGTTGTAGTACAGTTGTAATACAGACTCTTAACAGTAGCCATCACCAACTGACCAGCATTAAGACCACGAACAAGACTGATAGAGCAGAGGTTCAATTGATCATAAAAGAGTTTCCGGTCCGTAAGCAACTCGTTCTTTGCAATTGGTCATCATAATGTCGCAAATATTGTTCACTGCCATCGTAGATAACTAAGGATGAGCACTCAAGATCCAGTAACGTAGTTTATCTATTCTTGATATTCATCAAGATGTTATTATTTATCCAATTGACATCCAGTGGACCATCCTATCCATAGGTGCATGCGAAATCGGTGGAGAGAGGACCAACTTGAATAGGGGTCGTGCACACAGATGGTACCAGATGAACCGAGTAGAATTAGCTGTTTTGCAGTGTTCAAGGGGTTGAACGTTGCAACTGGGCGTGATGAGGGAATGTATTGTCGGAGAAGACTAACATCAGTAGTGCTTCCATTTCCACTGTCACGGTCGCTACCACGCCACTACTACTACCAGTTAGCCTGACTTCAACAGAGCCAATCTGTTAGTGATTGCTGGTGGTCTTAGGTAAGCGCAGAGACATTGCTGTGGTAGTGGTATTAATGTCTCAAGTATAGGGAAATGTGATCACCCTGTAGTATCCACTGCATACAGAAAGCTCTTTGTAGTCTAGAATAGTTCGTATTTGTAGGGGGTAATATGTAGGAGAGTATCGCAGTATAGTAAAATATACCGTACGAGTTGAATTCAATGAAAAACATGATGTTTCTTTGGTACTTGCTAAAGATATGGATTTGATTGGAAGGAAAGCTGTTATCACAGGAGCATCTCGTGGACTTGGGGCTGCCTTATCATATAAATTGGCTTCCTTGGGATGTTCAGTGACTTTAGTTGCTCGGAACAAAACTCTTCTTAATCAACAACTTAATCGGTTACCCGTAATCAACCAAGATCAAAAACATGAAATGCTTCTGTATGATTTAATGAACTTGATTTCAGATACTGACTTAAAGAAATCTCCCATAGTGAACCATTTGAATCAAGTATCTATATTAGTTAATTGTGCTGGAGTAACTACTCATTCATTATTAGCAAGGATCTCCGAACAAGACATTAAGAATACTGTTAATTTGGATTTGGTGGTGCCCATGCTTCTTTCGAAATTGGCCTATAAACAATTGTTCAAACTGAAACATGATCCATCAATCCTTAATGTCTCTTCAGTCCTCAGTATCACTGGTCAAAACGTTAATGGTACCTCGATCTACAGTGCTTCTAAAGCTGGTCTCTTAGGGTTCACTCAAGCTTTGGCTCACGAATTGAGAGATAAAGTAAGAGTTAATAGTCTTTTGCCTGCTTTAATACGGGAAACAGACATGGGAAGTATGGCTAATGTTGGGTCCAATCAAAGTCTTCATACCATTTCTTTACAACAAGTGGTGGATAAAGCAGTGGAAATTATTACCGATCCAACTATTAATGGGAAATTTGTCGTAGCTGATAATGAGAAACTTCCAATACAATTTGACTATTGAAATAAGAGATATCAATAATACATCAATATTATATCACTAACATATGAATACTTGAAACAAATAAATATAGTAGATATCTAAGCCTTCATATATACTTTATGTTTTATCTGTATCGTTTGATTACGTAATCATCCGACTTATCACCAACCTGTTGAAAAATTTTTTGTATACAATTTTGAACCCACTAAGTAATCATAGCATTATCCTTAACTACTACTCATAAACTCCTGATGTTGAGAAGCGTAACAACAAGGGCATTGGCCAGGGTTCCATCCCGCAGCGTCAGAAGTCTTAGTAGTTCAAATATTTTATTGGCACCCAAGAAGAAACAAGGAGCACAACCTGCTAAGAAATTGAAGCAAGGGTATAATAAGAAGAAAGATGGAGCCGGAGAAAAGAAAGCTAAGGCAGGAGGTATGACTCATTTAGGCTTTGATGATGCTGTTAGAGCGTTAAAGTTTGAGAAATTGGCAGTTAAGTTAGACTCCTTAGAAATTGGGAAATTACAACATAATGGACTTGAAAAGTTGCAACAATCAGTTGTTAAATATGATGATGAAACTCAATTCGCATTATTCCGTTTAGGAATGTTTAAGAAGTTCCAACATCATGAGATGTTTGAAAGTCCTATTTCCTTAGTTTCAAACAATACCTCCAAATTGTCAAATGAATTTATTGATCAATTGGATGGTCCTTCAATTAATAATAGAGTTTGTTTGATAGGAGAGAAGGGTACTGGGAAATCAACATTATTGGCTCAAGCTGCTGCACTTGCGCGATCTAAATATAATAATGAAGTGATTCTTTTACATTTGGAATCTCCATTGAAAATCACTGAAGGTTCATCTGATTATTTCTTCAATAAATCATTAACAAAATTCCATCAGCCTATGTTCACCAAGAAATGGCTTTATAAATTAAGAAGTGCCAATGAAACCATTTTCAAAAAGTTGAAATTAACTAGAGATATTCTGTTTACTATCAAAAAGCAAGAATATACTTTGAAAAAGGATGAAAATACCGTTTGGGATCTTGTTTATAAGAATAAGGATTTTGGTAAGATGGCATCAACCAATGCGTTCCAGTTTCTTTTAGAGGAACTTATTCATCATTCCAAGGAAGTTCCAGTTTTAGCCTCTATAGATGATATTAGTGTGATTACCACTAACCCCAACACTGCATACCGTCATACTGATTTGAAGAAGATTCATGTAAGTGAACTTGAAATTGGAGATTTGATTTTGAAGTTGATCTCCGGTGAAGTTTCCTTTAGTAAAGGTGGGGTTTTGTTAGGAGAATCTAAAGATTCAGGGAAAGACACTCATACCTTACGTGTTGGGTTAAGACTTGAACAATATGATCCATGGTTGAAAGCATATGAATGTGATAATACTATTGCTAACAAATTTCTTGCTAATGAAGGAGTCAAGGTGTTTGATGTCAAGAATTTAAGTTCTGAAGAATCGACTGAATTATTAGAGTTTTATGAAGCTACTGGGGCCCTTAAAGTAAGACCATATCCTGCTAAAGTTCACAAGACCTTAACAGCTGTGGAACAAGCAGAAGCAGCATCTTTTGATAAGACATTGCACTTTGAAAAGATTGCAAAGAGTTACTACACTATTACCGGAGGTAATCCACGAGAATTATTAAAGTCTAGTGTATTATCTTATTAAGTATGAAGATTCATGTAAATAGTATAAATAGTGATTAAATCTTCTTCACGTAAAAAGAGTGTCTTCTTCTCTTAAATATTCACCTATATCTCCCTGTCTAAAGGCTACTATAGCAGTTGGTTGTAAATTTCTTGCTTCGGTAGTTGATTTAGCACTAACTCCAAATCCTAAGGGTACATCATTCATAGAATATACTATTAACCCAGCATGTTCTGGAATATCATCAGACATCTTACCCACATGGGCTTTTAAAACGTGATTCCCATATAAAAAGGGCATCTCACCATTTTGTTTAATCCAAACCTTATATTTGGCATACTGTGCCAAATATGGTAAAGCAGTTATATGTAATCTGAACTTACCGGTCTTTGTAAACTTCCCAAAACAAGTACCAATGGACATCAAGTTTTGTCTGGCAACAGATGTGGCGAATCTGGCGATTTGTTCACTGACATAATACACCCGGTCTTTTTGTAATCTGAATACGTGGGGGTTGGTAGGGTTATCGATTAAGAAGGTTATGTTTCTACCGATATAGTTGGCCAATTTTTCAAACACCACCTTGGTTTCCTCCTCAGTTAATGGTCTCATTGTGTAGTATGCGTATGTGGTATAATGTAGTATATATAGTATGGTATGTACAGATGAATAGTATGTATAGTGATAGTGTCTCTCTATGTGTTCAAGTACTATCGATTATAGTATATTTTCTCGCGATGAGATACCCTCCGACATTTTAAGTGCACCAAAATTTTTCACAATCTCATCTTCATCATCAACGACCAAAGATGGTAGACACTAATCCCGATGATCAGAATGATGATTCCGCCTACAAGCGTGGCCAACAGCATAAATGGACTCGCACACGTAAGGCTGACCATGCTAATGCTTCAAAGAAGCAAAAGCGGGAGAGGGAACACAAGGTTACGTAGGTACGGATAAACTATTACGACTTTACACCGCTTTATGAGCTTATACTAACGTTACAGGGAATTCACTCCAAGATTAGACGAGGATGGTAACCCCTTGCCCAAATCAGAACGTAAGCCCAAGAAGAAAGTGGCTGTTATGATCGGGTACTGTGGCACAGGATACAATGGTATGCAGATTCAGAATAATCCCGATGTTAAAACCATTGAAGCTGAACTCTTCAAGGCATTTGTTAGTGCTGGTGCCATTTCTCCAGAAAATTCAGATGACTTGAAGAAGAATGGGTTCATGAGAGCTGCAAGAACTGATAAAGGTGTTCATGCAGCTGGGAATGTCATTAGTGCCAAATTAATCATTGAAGATCCTCAGATTATTGAAAAAATTAATAAGGAATTACCTGATCAAATTAGAGTTTGGGGCATAGAAAGAACCAATAAATCGTTTGATTGTCGTAAAATGTGTTCTTCAAGAGTTTATGAATATTTATTACCTACTTATTCATTATTACCTCCCAAGCCCAAATCGGTCTTGAGCGAGTTGATCCGGTCGAAGAACGCAGCACATCCGGGGATTATCCGAGATGATACCGAGGGCTCGGAATGGTGGAGTGCAACTGAAAAGGCTATTCTTGATGAAGGTATAACCCCAGAGCAATTGCAAGAAGCTCAAAAGATCTTGGAACAGCAAAACACCCTAGTTGCTAAAGCTGCCGGTGGCACAGAACAAGGTACTAGTGAAAAAGTCAAGTTGTACAATTCCGACGGAACCATCACTGAGGCTGGAAAGCTCATCAAATCAATTAAATCAATTGAAAATAAAAGAAGAAGAGCTTATCATGTTTCTGAAGAAAGATTGAACTTATTCAGAAAAGCCATGAGCTTATATGAAGGGTCTCATAACTTCCATAACTTCACTTTGGGTAAAGACTTTAAAGAAGCTTCGGCAAGAAGGTATATCATCAAGACAACTGTGTCTGAACCATTTGTAATTGAAGGTACTGAATGGGTGTCTATTAAATTACATGGCCAATCCTTTATGCTACACCAAATCAGAAAGATGATTGCCATGGCCGTCTTAGTCATTAGAACCGGATGTCCTTTGGTCCGGATCACTGATTGTTTTGGCCCCACCAAAATCAATGTTCCAAAGGCTCCCGCCTTGGGGTTGTTGTTGGAAAACCCGGTTTATGAGGGCTATAACGCCATTTTGGAGAAACATGGTTATAATAGACTTGAATTTGGGAAATATAAAAAGGAAATGGATGCTTTCAAAATGAAGTACATCTACGATAAGATTTATGGTGAAGAAGTAAAAGAAAACACCTTTTATAGTTTCTTTGGCTTCATCGATACCTTCAAGGGTAATGCTGTTGATACCAGCAGTAATGAAGGTAAACATATCTTTGATTTCTTGGGTGCTGTGTTCGATTCTGGCTTGGATGAAAATGGTAATATCAAACCGGTTTATGTGGAATCAGATGCTGATAAGGTCTTACCCAATAAGGCTCAAGATAACGTTGATTAACGCATCTTACTAGAAACTCTTTAATAAACCTTATCTTACTAAACAAGCTCAATATTTATATTTATATAGATAAAAGAAACAGACATCATTGCTCTCTATAAATTATATCCATGCTTGGTTGTTCAGACGTCTGTCTTGCATTTGTTGTTGTTGGGCACCAGCTTGTTGCTGTTGTAATAATTGAGGTGATTGTGCCAAGGGTTGTTGATTGGTTGAGAATCTTTGGAAACTAGATGGGGCATTGGCATATTGCTGGTACTGTGGTTGTTGTTGTTGTTTCTGAGCGAGTTGTGGTGTTTGCGACTTTTGTTGGCTTTGTTGTTGCAACTGTTGCACTTGTGGTACTACTGGTGATTGTGCTAGTGATTGTTGTTGTTGCTGCTGTTGTGATAGCAATTGTTGTTGTGCTTGTTGTTGTAATTGTGGAGATTGCTGTTGCAATTGTTGTTGTTGTTGTTGTGTTGGTGCTTGTTGTTGTTGTTGTTGTGCTGGTGCTTGTTGATCTATATCTCCAGTTTTCCCTTGCTGTTGCCTTTGCTTTTCTTGTTGAAACTTGTATAAAGTCCAATCAAACACATAATCATATTTATATTCTTCCCTTCTAAACAAATCTCTGAATAATTTTCTCAAATATGGATAATCTGGTTTATCATCAAATCTTAAAGATTTAACATAATTCATATATTCCAAAAATTCAACAGGTAATCCTTTACATAAAACATCATTTGAAGTGGTCATTTTCTTTTCCATGATTCTATCATATTTTTGTCTTTTGGTGGCAGCTTTTAAGCCTTGCCATGGTAAAGAGCCTCTGCAAAAATAAATCAAAACATAACCTAAAGACTCCAAATCATCTCTTCTCAGCTGTTCTATACCTAAGTGAGTATTAACAGACGCATATCTTGCAGTACCAGTTAAATTCTTATTTTCTCTATAGGGAATGTGTAAATGAGTTCTTGGGTCTCTATATTTTTTAGCCAATCCAAAATCAATCACATTAACTTGTGAACCTCTTCTACCAATCCCCATTAAGAAATTATCTGGTTTGATATCTCTATGAATAAAACATCTGGCATGAATATACTCAATACGACAAATTAATTGATCTGCAAGAAGTAAGACGGTTTTATAACTGAATTTGCGATTACAATAATTGAATAAATCTTCTAATGAAGGTCCCAATAAATCAATAACCATAGCATTATAATCACATTCAGTTCCATACCATCTAACAAACGGAATACCAACACCTCCACTTAAAGCCTTATATACTTTAGCTTCATATTCTAATTGAGGATGTTTGGCTTTAGTATTTTCTAATTTAATAGCAACTTCTTCTCCACTAATAATATTGGTACCTAAATAGATATCCCCAAATGACCCTGATCCAATTTTCCTACCAATCCGATATTTCTTACCTACTCGTAAGTCGAGTTGCATTTGATTCATGGTGGACATAATCTAGAATATTGATATTATTAATTATGTGATACGTAGTATTCCAATCCTTAAACGACCCGCCCACGACACAGACAGGGAGACTATGATCAAAACAAACCCGATGAAAAAGACAGAAAGACACTTGCGTTTGTTCCGACGAGGTTTAAATGGTCTCTTTGATATTACTTAAAAGGGAACACTTGATTATTCACAATGATGAACAAGGGAACAGATGGGCGGTTGGGATTACATGAGGATCTGTTTTCCAAAAAAAATAAAGGGAAAAAGAAAACCAGCGTGGTCGTGTGTGGGGCCAATGCCATCATGGTGACTAGCACACTGTGGAGGGGCAGACATACAGTATAGGGCCCACGGCGCCCACGGATTAGCGTTAGAGTGAACGGAATATATAGTGGACTGCTTATACTATATGAAGATTTTGCTAGGATGAGATTTGACATGGGAAGTGAGGTACAAGATGAAGAAATACATGTGGGAAGCACACTGCTGAGTATATAGCAGGATAGTTGCATATTACAATAGATATGTTGAAGAGGGTTAAGGTGGACTGTGATGAAGTAAGCTGGCGATAGATGTTGGAGCCGTTGGAGCAGTTGGATCAGTTGGAGCGTTGGAGCAGTTGGATCAGTTGGAGCGTTGGAGCAGTTGGAGCAGTTGGAGCAGTTGGAGCGTTGGAGCAGTTGTTAGTGTAGTATTGTGGTGTACTGAATCGCGACATTCGACATTTTGCATCCACACTCGGCACTCACTATATTTAATGGGGTAATACAAAAGTGTTGGTAGACAAAGAATAGAGAAAAGCTGAGTCTGATGGATGACATACACCAAAGCTGACGATAATGGACATTGCCGTAGACAGTTTCTTTTAATTATGTAATCAGTTCTTTGATTGTTTGTGAATGGACGTATGTTGCCAAAGGTTTACACGGATTTATGTGAAATACTCTTCAAATGTTGAACACAACAACGTCACTCTATTTCGTTACGGAATGTGATTTTTGTAAGCAAATATATTAGGACAGACTTGTATACATAAGGTAAAATAGTGTTTCATACACATGTGCTTTCACCAGAGAGTAATGTCGTACATATAGTGTACGCTATCAAACTCTCGTACATAGGATTAGACAGAGGACACTAATGAATATGAGTCTGAATCATCACAGATACATTGGTAGTATAACACTCTTAGTGCACGCTAGTACACGTCAGTACACGTTACTGTCCGTCAGTACACGTCAGAACACGTCAGAACACGTCAGTACACGTTGGCACAAGTTACTAGACGTTAGTACTACTACTATGCACCGTTGGCGTACTGTGATTATAGGCCCTCTTGAGAATTGTATACAGTCTCCTTTTGCGTCGATTAACCACCACTCTCCTTACCATGACTAGCCTCAACCAGATCAGTACCAAGTACTTTGAACGACTCTTCATCACCAAGAACAACAAGTCAGATGAACGGAAACCCCGAGTCCTACTCGTGGACAAACACACCACTTCCATTCTTTCCCTAAGCTATACCCAATCCCAATTACTTGAACATGATATCATTCTTATTGAGTTGATCACCAACCACCAGAACTTGAAGCAAATGAAGAACTTGGATTGTATAGTGTACATCAAGCCCACCGCTGACTCCATCAACCACTTGGTCAAAGAGTTGAGCCAACCCCATTACTCCAAATACCAAGTGTATTTCAATAACATTATCACCAAACAGAACCTTGAGAAGATAGCCGAACTGGATGACTTGGAAGTGATTGTCAGGGTGATGGAATTGTTCCAGGATTATCAGGTGATCAACGATAACTTGTATCAACTTGAAAATGACCGTGATGATATAATTGATGAATCCAACCAGTTAGTTAGCTTGCTATTGGCTTTGAAGAAGTGTCCTATAATCTTTTATGAAACCAAACTGAATATTGAGTTACGGAAACTTGGTAGTGAGATCCTCTATCAAATCAATTTGAACTCTAATAACAATCTATTTGATGATGTTAACAGTAACTTAGACACTCCCCCGGTTTTGTTGATACTTGATAGAGATAATGATCCTATCACGCCTTTGATATATCCTTGGACATATCAATCCATGATCCATGAGTTTATAGGTATTGAAAATAATACTATTGCTTTGGCTGCTGATGCAAACGGTGCTGCTGCCCCTGCTGCTGTAACTCTTTCAGACAAATTCTACCAACTGTCAATCTACTTAAACTACGGTGATATCAACGACAAATTCCAAACTTATGTTGAACAATATAAAAAGGAAACCAAACAAACAAGCGTCATCAACAACAATAATCTTCAAGACCTCAAGAAGTTATTAACGAAATTCCCGGAATTCAAGAAATTATCCAACAATATCTTGAAGCATTTGAACATCTTGACCAAATTAGATGAACAAATCAACCACCAAAACCTTTGGGAAATTGGTGAATTGCAACAGATTATTATTGGGAACTTAGAAAATTATCCACTAATCAAAAAGAAGATTCTTCCAATTATCAACAATCTGAGGATATACACTATTGATAAGGTGAAATTGTTAATCTTATTAATGGTTAGATTTCCAAATCAACAGAACGATTTCAACCAATGGATTAACCAATTAAATGATCCAACTTATACTCAACCACCAATAACAAAGAGTCAACATTTATTACTTGAAAGTTTCAAGCTGAAGAAATTGTTCCCCCATTATAACTTTGAAGCTTCATTGTCAGATCAGTCCAACTCCAATGAAGAAGGTGGAATAGGAGGAGGATCGAATTTCTTTAATAAAGCAAAAATTAATACTTTATTTGGTGGGAACCATTCAAATAAATCGGAGAATAATGATAATATATATATGCAATATACTCCTCGGTTGAAGTCAGTACTAGCTAATATATTACATCATCAGTCGGTCCAATCGTCCAGCCAATTCACTAAATTGGTTCCAGATAAAGTTAATAACCAATATGGTAATTATGATGGAGCTATTAAAGATATCATCATATATTTCAAAGGAGGAATCACTTATGAAGAATCAAGAATTGTCTATGAACTTCAACAAAAGTATCCAAGCGTTAACTTGATTATTGGAGGTGATAAAATCATTAACAGTAACGATTGGTTAAACATATTGTATGATAAAGTCAATGATTTACCCCAATCAGGTAACAATAATCAAGTACTTGATCTTTTATAAATATTATGAATAATATCAGGAATATTATGGAGCGTATTTCCCATACTTTTGTTCCCACACTAAAATTTGTTCGGTTAATTTCTCCATTAATCCAAAATTATCCTCATAATCTTTAATCACTCTTATATTTTCTTGAGCCAATTGCTCCGAATTATTCTCCTTGTAATTGAATAGTTCAAGTTTACTTGATTTTTCTTCTTCCAATTCAACTTGTGTTCTTCCCAACCATTCCAAAATGGCTCCCGTTCGTTTTCGAAGTTCAAAGATCGATGACTTATCACTAACAAATCGAGGTTTCGAAGGTTGACTAGCCATTTCTTCTTTGGTTAATGCGTCATTGTTTTTAGAGTTATTATTGTTATTATTGTTCGTTGATGAGGTTGATTCTGACTTGGAATTCATACCTCCTCCTCCTCGTGACTTGGCTCTCTTCGTTTTGGGTTTGGTGGTTCGTTTACGAAGTGACGATACTCTATCGACACTATCGTATTCTCCTTCTTCTTCTAAATTAGATACATCTTCGTTATCTTCTCGTTTGACTCGTTTACCATTGTCGGAATGGCTACTTCCTTCACTCTCATTTCCATTCGTTGTGGTCGTAGTGGCCTTGGAATCCTCTTCAGTACCAGGTAGTTTCCGTTTACGAAGTCCTGCTTCTTTGGCACTCTCACGTAACGCTTTTTGAAGCTGTTCATCATAATCATCATAATGCCTTCTTTCTTTCCGCTTAGATGACGACACCAGTGAGGGTTGAGTATCGGAATCATCACCATTTCTACGACTCGATACTGACTGTCCGGCGGATGATGTAGTAGAATTAGCATTAGAGCCTGAGCCTGAACCAGAGCCAGAACCAGAACCAGAACCAGAACTAGACATAGTCCCGGGCCCAATCCCAGTTCCATTAGATTTGATTTTCATTCCAACTTCCTCTAATACCTTCTTGCGCTTATCATTGACAGGCTTATATAACGTACGTTGATATCGAGTCCCCTTAGCTCCGTTATCAATCACCATGATGTGAAGGTCAGGCAGACACTGTTCACAAACATATTTATCAGGGACTTCATCGTTGGTGAATAACCCAACACAATAGCCATGTTGCCACACCAGACACTTGTCACATTGAATGAATAAGCCTTGATCGATACGGATTTGATACTTATTTTGTAGCACTGTTGACATTTGAGGGTGTATCATCAGTGCTTGAAGCTCATCTTCACCACAAACACAACGAGTGACTTCCAGTTCATCATCTTGAGGCTCTTCTTCTGGCTCTGGCTCATATGTATGTGACTCGTCATATTCTTGATAACTCTTACGACCAGAACGTCTGGTCATCTTTGATTGGGGGATTGAAAGAGATATACAGTTGTGTGAGTGTGTGGAGTGAATTACTTTGGCATATCAGTTTGATGTGTTAGAACTTATTCGCGCTACCAGAGACTCATACTTACGTAATAAAGCGTCGCCGGATCGTAAAAGGAAATATGTTTGACCTAATAGTAAGTTAAATTATACAACTTAATGATGGAGTGATGTATTATGATACAATACTAACGTAATACTAATATATATATACATATACATAGATTTAATAGTTTCTGGGAATCTCCATTATCAAGGTACCATTTCTATCATACATACCTGGATTCCGAATATATTTATCAAGTTGTCTGTAATTCCATATTAAATCCGTACCAAGTTTCATTTTATCCTGCAAATACTTTGAACTAACTTCTGGGTTAACAGATTCCACCCATCGTTGAGTAGTTTCTATGAATTGCACAAACAAATCATCTCTTTCCTTCATTAAACGAGCAAATTCACCATCTGGTCTTCTTGGAGGAACTGTATGCTTTTCAGTTGGAATTGGATATGGAGCATTGAAGTTATCTTGACCACCCAAATAATCTGGGATGTAATGAGGTTCAATGAATTTAGTCAAATCTTTATAATCCTTCGTGAATCTGATTTTAGAAGCCACCACTGGATCTAACCAATTCTTAACAATATTCCAAACAGTTGAAAAGATCCAAGGAGCATTATGAATAAGGATAAAACCCAATGTTTCAGGGTAATGAGCTTCAAAGATCTCTGCTAAGAACTTGATGGCACCATAATCAGCATTCTTTAACGAGAATCCACTTAAATCAAAGAAAACAGTACATTGATCCACACCATCGATATTTTCTTGTAATAATAATTTAGTCCATTCAATGGTTAACACAGCAAATCTTTGGGTATCAGCCAAGGGCGAATCACCAATTAAATGCTTCTTGGCTTTGAAAATAAATATAGGATGGCCTTCTTTATCAGTACCTCTAAGATAACATTTGGATGTGGTAAAGTTCTTTGTCAAACCAGGACATGAACCATTAACATATGAAGTGGAATCACCTTCAAGGGTCCAATCATAAGCAGGGTATTCGGTGGCTCTCCATTGTAAAGTCTTAGACATCATTCCTATAGCCTTTTCAATATCCCATTTTCTAGCTCTTACAAACCGCAACAACAAGTTATCGATATGATCAACAGAAACACAGTTGAACGTAGTTTTATGCAAAGTCTTTGGATCGTATTCAGAGAACAAGGGGAAAAGGTTCTTATGATGAACAGAGGTGGAAGAACCAGAATTGCTGTATCCATTATTACCGTTGTAACCATTACCATTACCATTATAGCCGTGGCCATTTCCATTACCATTACCTGCTTTCGATCCAGTAGGGTAAACTTCACCATAATCAGTTAAAGAAGTGGAAGCAGTCACAAACCGTTCCAAAGATAAGTTATCACCGTCATCATAGGTATCGTCGTCCAAAGAATCATCGTACCATCTTGAGTGTTCAAAAGTTTGCTTATAATAATTGGAATAAATGGCCATAATCTTGGGATCGGGTTGAGTTACCTGATTATACCTTTCCATGGAGGATTGGGTCTGGATCTTACGTAATCTGGCCGATTCAACCGGAGCAGCCTTCTCCTCCACTTCCTTCTTCTTACCAAACATCCCACCTAACTTCAGCTTTTTGGAACCCACGGTACTTCTTGAATTGGAAGAATTGACTGAGTTTCTGGTGTTCGATCTTCCTAACGCGGTTGATGCCATACCATTTTCGTTATCGTACATTTGAGTAATGGTGGAAGCAACAAAGCATTCCTTGTACTGAACGTCTTCATCCGGGAAGTCGATTGGGTACCCGTAATATTTCAACAAATAAGCCCAAGTTTGCTTAAACTTGATTTCTTGATCGGCACTAAGAGTATGAAGTCTTCCGGGAAGACTCTGTGGAGTTGGATATTTAGGTGGTTTGGGATATGGGTTACTCATTGGTAAGGAACAAACTATACAAAGTTAATGTAAAAGTTAACACGAGTAAAAACAAAGGGTAATTATTAAAAGCAGATTGACACGATTAATGTAACATTTGTTCTTTTATATATTCTCAAGTACCGTAAACTTACGTACCGGTGTAATTACCATGTATGGAAAGTTCTAACACCACTGCTAAGAAGAACCCAGGGAACGCAAAAAGTGGAGTAGATTGATTTAAGCGTTGTACGTAGGCTTTATACGAATTAGGAAATAAGATTTGTTCGTCCGTGGTCAATTGCTGTTTTCGGACTCGCTGGAAGGTATGGAATAGGAGTGGGAATACCATATTGGACGTATTGCAACGGAACAGCATTAGTATTGGAATCTATATGTTGGGTATATCTTTAGTACCATATAGAGTAAATTCGCCATACTATACTAATGAAGCGTGCTAATGTATATTAAGTAAAGCATGGTACAGAGTCTAGACTATACCATTTAATACCGTTTACAGTATAATTGTAGCATACATTAGAGCATTCTATAAAACCATGCATTCCATTAATTAAGACTTTACTTAAAGTTTAATCTGGTTCTGGTTCTGGTTCTGTATAATCTTATCTTCTCTTTTAGTGGTACCCCACAAAGAGTATATTTCATCTTCTCACATGCTACCATTATCACCGAGCTCCACGACGTCTGGGATGAGCAATCTTTCGACTGGCAATAACTGGGCCTGTTCCTGCATCAAACCCTCCACTACCATTACCAAATCCTCCAGCCACATTGTTGGCACTATTACTATTAATATTGTTACCTATACCTCCAAAGATCATCGCGGGATCAGGAGTATTTTCTTTACTTGAGATGCTTCCAGTAAAGTTAAATCCTCCTGGTTGAACTCCTCCAAATCCTCCTGGATTGCTACCAATGCCTCCTGCTCTGTTAACTCCTCCAAATGCTGGCGACGCAAATGGGCCTCCTCCTGCACTATTGTTTACTGGTGTAGTTTCTCTACTGAATCCAAATTGCGGGGGTTCAGCCTTGCTCTCTCCAAACGTAAATCCTCCCTGTGGTTGAATACTACCGCCAAATGGTGGTGGCTTGTTAGCATTAGCATTAGCACCTCCAAATGAAAACCCAAATCCTCCAGGTCCAGGCCCAGGTCCAACTCCAGGCCCAGATCCTGTTCCAGCCCCGGCTCCGGTTCCAGCTCCAGAAATAGGAGTACCGGTGCCCGATCCCCATACCAGAGTCGACGAAACGCTTTCATTATTAGTGCCAGGAACATTCAATTTAGTGCTTGTAGTACCATTGTTCAGCCCAAAAGTAAAACCCATATTATTGTTATTTTTGTTATTGCTGTTGGTGTTAGATGACGCACCAAAGATCTGTGCTGGATCTTTATTAGCCGTATCTCCAAAAGAAAACGTTATCCCGTTCTCTTTGGTGGGTTGTGACGTAACTGTAGAAGTTGATGCATTGGCCAGTGTTCCAAGCCCAAAAAGTGGCTTCGAAGCTGTAGAAACTGGCTCTTTAGTACTCCCAAAGCTAAATAAAGGCTTGGGTGTATTCGAACCTTTATCAGCAGCAGGAGCACCAAAATTAAATGGCTTAGGTGATTCACTAGTCCCATCATTGGCCTTAATCCCTCCAAATGAAATGCTAGGCTTTGGAATTGTGTCTGTCTTCTTCTCACTACCTCCAAAAGTAAATGCAAGACTACCAGCTGGTTTCACTGAACCATCATTATCACCAAACGCAAACAATGGTTTAGATGATGCGGGTTTCTCTGTAGAGTCGAGTATCTCTGAATTCTTGGTGGGAAGATCATTAGTAGTATTCTTGTCTTCAGTAGCAGATTTCACGGGAGCACCAAAAGAAAATGAAGGTGTTGTGGTATCTTTCTTTTCACCTCTAAAACTGAATACTGGCTTCGAAGTATCCTTAGTAGATTCACCTGAAGTAGTTGATAATGATGATGCTGTAGTAGGAGTTGTGGGTTTTGGTTCTGCAGATGCATCTGATGGTTTAGTTGACGCTCCAAAGGTAAACTTGGGAATTTCATTGGCTGAACTACTATTATTGTTTCCTCCAAAAAGAGGAGTTCTGATAGCTTCAATAGAGCTCTTGGGAGCAAAATTTAAACCAGATGAAGGTACAGGTGTTTGTATTGGTGTTTTGCTTTCTGTTTCTTTGTTGTCGTCATCTCGAGATCTCTTATTTATCAGGAGTGATGAAGAAGCAGTCTCGCCCTTCTTGGTACCTTGTTCATCCTTTCCTTTAGAAGCGATGCTGGCATTTTGAGAAAGTCCGAAACTAAATGATGGAGTGGATTTGGTGGTATTAGCTGGCTTAAGAAGTCCACCAGATGATTTAGATAATGCTTGTGTTCCAGACCCAAATAAACTTCCTGATGTAGATTGAGAACCGCTCCCAAAGCTTAACTTTGGCAAAGTGGGTATTGACGACCCGTCAACATTAGTGGAAGAAATGCTACTACCAAATAATGAAGATCCTCCTGCTCTTTTCTTTCGTGGGAGATCTTGTTCGTCATTATTATGATGCTCTTTCAATTCTTGAGCCTTTTCTGAAGTTTTCTTATCTAATTCCTTCCGTTGAGAAACAATGTTTTGTATTTCTGTCTTGTTGATGTTAAATGTAAAACCTGCACTAGGTTGGGTGGGGTTATTAGGAGGTTCATGGCTTGAAGTGTTTGTGACGGAAGAAATTGGCTCCTTTATTTTGACAACATTAGCCAAACTTTCCTTCTCCTTAATGAAATCCGAATCCAATTGGAGCCGTATTTTGGTACTACTCTTCAATGTATTTTGAAGTTCGACCTCTTTACCACTTGATTCAGTAACCTTTCCTGTTTCTGCTTTGAACAGAGGTTTGCTAACCAGACCCAAGTAACCATCATATTTACTGGTGACAGACTTTTGGTGCTCATTATTCTCTTCATTAGTTACATCATAGAAAAATTCAGCGACAAAGTAACCTCTGTTGTTCTTTCTACGTTTGGCATTGCGTAATCCACTGCTGGATTTGAGTTTACGCTTTAAATTGACGAAATGCAATGACTTTTCAAGGTAATTGGGATCGCGTGTTTGAGTTGATGTTTCCACCATATTTTTAGAGATTGTAGTAGAGGAGGTTTCATTAGGATCCACCATATACTTTAAACGGTTCTCCAAATGTTGTCTTTCTCTCATGGCTCTCTTCAACTTAAGCAACTCATATCTCTCCTTAGGATCCAAATTGATGAATGGTGGACGAACCAAATTACCTTCTTCATCAGTATATAACGGTGCATATTCTGATTCCACTAATGCTTGGCCTGTAACAATGGAATTATTGAAATAATTGCTATTGTTAACAAACGTATGATTGCCATCATCATCACCCATACGTAAAGTTGTTGATTCAGCTTCAAACTTTCCAACAGGAGGAGGACTAAGTTGACCACCCATTGATTCAGTTATTCCTACTAATGGAGATTGCTCTCTCATCTCACTATCACCAGCCAACCCTACGGTATCTTTAACAAGCAAACTATTATACGTTGTGCTTAGTCTTCTTTCTAAATGATTATTCATGCCCTCGTGTTCTTCCTCTAATGATGTAGCATAATCTTGGTACAGTCCTGGGTGAGAGGAGAGAGCACTAGATCTTGGAATAAAGCCCGATTTGTTGCGCATGGCTTGGATGCTCATGCGACGTCGTTTCTCCAGCAGAAAGTTGTTTTGCAAGGGTTCATTCACCCCGGCCATGGATGTACCATTAGCATTCAATATTGATGGTGAAGATGTTAATGCTGATGTTGACATTGGAGTTGGACTCGGTTGAAAGAATGCAAGCACTTTCCCGAACCGGCCACGCCAAACTCCCCTTGAAGCACCGGTTCCACTGCCATTATTGGTTTCCACCGTCTGCGGACTTACAGACCTGTTTGAGCTCATTGATTGCCTGGTGCTTATTATGGTTGCGGTGTAGTAGTAGATAATGTTTAACTCAATGTGTTTTTTTCATTAGCTTTCAATTTGAATTATATTGGTATATGCACGTCCTTGATATAAGATGAGCCAGAGGGAATGCCTATAACGGTGCTTAACTACTACTTCAAATACTAATAGTTAAATAGCCGTTCCTGGCTGTATATTGCAATCACTGTTTATAAAGAGTATGTTGACCATATTGAATATCACAGCCCTTTCTTTGTCTTTATTTGTCTGTTGTCTTTTTCAATATATGACGGTACTTCCACATTGACAAGACCTTTGCACTACCTGGCACTTGATATTAATCTTCCATTGGCAGGGACCAATTGTGGTAGATTTATTCTTTAGAGACTGATGAGTTGATACTGAAATAGTATTTGGCTGCATCAATGATCATTACATCGGAGCCACAGTCGGAGACATCCGAATGGGCAATTGTCAAGGATGAGATTTCATCTTGTTCAATGCCATCGTCCTCGTGCGAGCCCTGTTGAGGAAGAACACCATCCAGTATTGGAGTAGTGGTTGATGTCAATTGAGTTGAGTCTAAACTGGAGCTTTTACCTGAAGTTGAATTTGAAGCGGCCATGCTATACTCTTGAGCCAGTATCGCTTGAACGCTATTCATTGGATCTGTCTTGGCCATACTCACTTGGAAACACAGTAGGTAGTTGGCTAGCTGAGGAAGGCTTTCGTTTTCAGAGTCGGAGTCAAATTCAAAGTCTGATTCAGAATCAGAATCTGCTTTCAAATCTGCCGCCAAATAAATGATTTCCTTTTTTGTGTGGACTTTAAAGTAATGATGGAGTATTTCGTCAGTTTCATTGAGTTGCTTCACCACCTCATCCGTAAGCAGGTGGTATCTTTCCTTAATTGAATAAGAGATGTTGGAATTGGAACTCATTCTTGATAAAGTTAATGTTTATAATATACACAATCAACTCGTAAGGCATCGTCTTCTTTATTTATATGATGCCATGGTTTTGGTATGCTTGGTGATTACGGTATGTGGTTCCAGTATTGTTTTTCGCAGCCAAAAAAGGGACCGCGCTACCACCAGGAAGGTATACCAGCATTGTGGTACACCTTAAAAAATCCTGAACAAATCAATTATGTATTGTTACATGACTATATGTATTATTACGATATATGCAGTTGGTTCTGTTGTTGAAACTGAAACTGTTGCTTAGGCATAAACTGAAGCGTATCATCATCAGTATTGGCTGTAGTGACACTCGCACCAGAAGATATACCCTTGTGGAAATCACCTGACCCAGATTGATTTAATGTAAGTCCATTACTGAACCGGGGATCAAAAACCGAATCATCATCTTCGTAATATGAAACAGCGGGGTTCTTTAAGCTGGTAATTGGATTATCACGAGCCACATCATCAATTTCTTTAACCAATTGAATCATACTATTCTCACCATAATTAACTCCATACGCCGCCAGAATAGGTATAACTCCTCCTACCCAAGCATCTATGATCCGTGCTCTTTGTTTAGTGCCTAAACGAGAAATAGGGAACTCTCCCTTCTTGATAAAGGCAACTATATCAACGACTAAATGATGCTTACTAAGAATAGTATTGACTAAAAGCGGTACCAATGACGCAAAGTACCGACTTCTCTTGGACTCACACACAACGATAGTATATTCAGCACATTTGAATACACAGGAACCATTTCTATATATATCAGGATGACATGATTCAATGGTCCGTTCAATATCAATGGGGAAGTGATGAAGTCCCATGATCTCAAAGGTATCTGATATTTTACCTAAAACAAATAATGGACGGAATGATTGAGTTTCCATTTTAAATTCTTCTCCAGGATTATTGTCACTGTTTTTAATATTCCTGGTAATTGTAACGTCATAGAGAAACCCTAGATCTCCTGTTCTTAAGTAAGTCATATTTGGATTCCCATCAACTATTTTACCCATGAATTGATTAGAAGTGAATTGATCAGAAGGTCCCTTTGGTCCATTAGTAAAGCCTGCCAAATTAGCTTCAGAACAAACCCAGATCTCTCCAAACTCTCCTTCTTTACATATCTTGCAAGTTTCCGGATTAACGATGGCAATTTCGGTACACACTGGAACCATACCTGAATCTTGAATATGCAAAGCGCTGGGTACCTCAACCTGGTTCACCACAGAAACATACCCTTGTCTCAAAGCAATAGGGTCTAGGAATAAATCAACAGGTGCAACAGACATATAAGACCTCGTAGATATGATAGGGTTGAAGAAATGACAATAGACGCTTGCCATTGATGCAGCACTTAATTTTGTAGGCAAAAAGACTTTAGCAATCTTTCTAAGCATATCAATTTCAACTCTACCCTCGGTACTAATCATCATATTTTTAAGTTCACTCAAGTTGAAGCCTTTGGGTGTGAACTTAATAGCAGCGTATTTCAACATCTGTTCAGTGACAAACACATCTTTCACTTTATGACGGGACAATGCTAAGAAAAATGATAGAGGACTCTCGGCATATGTCACTGGAGACATCAAATATGTTGTAGTACCCAAATAGGGTCCCAATAAAGCTGATTGAATCAACCCTATCCCGGCAGAATGACGAACACAACCAATGATAACTGACCGATTGGATAAATTTAAAGTTTCCTTAAAAACTTTGCAGATACCTACTATAGATTTATGACTTAAAGCTGCTCCCACTCTGTAATAATCTGAAGTGAAGTTCAACCAAACCATGGCCACAGTATTCTCATCTCTAAAGTCAACAGCAGCTTGGTACTTTGCAATTTTGGAATTCAAAGAAGCAACATTTGATACCTTAGTGACTTTAGCAGTATTTTTCACTTTCAAATTTTTATATCTGCTAGAGAACTTCTTAAAGGAATCAGCAATAGGTCCATTCTTTAAGAACTTTTCAACCTCTTCATTGACAAGGATCTCATGAACATCAAAGTCTCTAATGGCCCCAAGGAATGCCGGATAATCTTCACCTATTCTGTTGGAATCAAAGGGAAGCATAGGAATAGCTATAATTCCACACATAAGACATGCGTATAATGCAACTATGAATTCTTCAGAAAGTGAATACATTAATATAACATACCCACCTGCTCTGACATCTGACTTTTCAATCAAGTAATGACAAACGGCATAGACTCTTTGTTCAAATTTCTTCCAAGTCAATGGTTTACTGCTTCCTTTGAAATTCTCTAGCGTATGAAAGGCAATTGAATCACCGGAACTTGCAACTCTGAACTTCAAGATATCCAAAATTGATTTGAAATCTGTTAAAATGGCTCCTGTACGTTCATCTATTGACTTATCCTTGTAGTCAATTGAAGAATATTGAGGAGGAAAGTTGGCTAATGCCATACTCCTAAGTTCAGAGACATATGGAGACCAAATTCCTCCAATGACATCTTCACCATGAGGGATCATACTTAAAGACTTTCGAACAAAAAACCGAACATATTCAGCTTTAAGAGAGCCCTCTAAGAACTTCTTTTTACAAAGCATACTGGCAATTTCTTTCCCCCCACTTCTCCAAATCTTAGGCAAGGTATCACAATCAACTACCAAGACACAATAAAGTCTTAAGCAATGGTGTTTGTATAGAGTGTCAAAACATCTTTGAGAAATAGCATTAAGTTCAGCCTCATTTAAAGGAACGGCACTGTAAATTTGTTCTCCTTCCTTAATGGCTTTATTATGTCCTTGATTATTATTATAGTCTCCACTTCTTGTATCTGTCAACGGTTTTTTGATGACTTCTGCTTCCACAATAGCCACAGGTAAGTATTCATTCCCAATAAAGATGTCAAAAATGGTACAATCGTACAATTGTTTGACTTCACTGGCTAATGTTGTGAGTAGATGGGAGGAATAATGGTATCGAGTACCATTTCCATAAACCAATTCTTTACCCAACTTATTATATATTTTTTGATCCAACCAACTGACCTTTTGTCTTATTCTATCTTCATATAACCCCAAAATGTACACTTTCCCATTAAATGTGAATCCTAACAAACCAGTTCTTAGAAAATCCATTTCAAGGGGTCCGTTGGCATCATGACATTTGGCATGGAAAATCAGACGGGATTCTTTTCTCATACCATAAAATCCACCGGAAAGACAAGGACTATCTATCCATATTTCTCCCAATTCTCCCTGACGAGCTAATCCACACAGCTCAGGATTAACTACTGCTAGAATTGCATCCGGAAGTGGATATCCAAAGGCATCCACTCTTAAAGTTCCTTGAGTAATATCATCAGTTGGAGGGTTGGTATCGACTACCTTAACAATATTTCTTGCTAAACTTTCTTTATCAATTAATACTGAAGAAAGACCGTTTTCATCTTCATTAACTTGCATATCTGTGATACCAAGACGGTCTTTCTTTCCTAACCAATCTCTCATTGAAATAACCATTCCTCCGTACTCACTTAAAGTTAACATGGGCAAGATTGCATTAGCTGGATCCTGACATCCTAAAGGACGTAAATATCTATTCATTAAGATTTCAAGAAATTCTCCATCAATGGTCAATGCATTTATTAATACCCATTTAACACAGGAAAAGTCAACTGCTTGAGTCTTGGAATAATATCTTGTTTCATTGGGTGCCTTTTGATAATCATAAGTGACTCTTTTTAATCCAAAATAATCTCCTAAAAGTAAAGAAGCCCGACATTTGGAAACAATATTAGCATAAAGACCTTGGACTTCCATTACCTTTTGTGGTGCCCATATCAAATTATTACCGGAATATACCGTGAAAAGTATACCAATAATAATCCCTATGGAAAACCGTATATCAAGAGTTGCCAATACAACACATCTGCCTCTACGATACTCTTTGGCGCTTCTTTGTAAGTCACCCTGAGAATTGGGCATACTCAGTAACGTTGAATTCAATGAATGCATTTGATGATAAATTGTCCGGTGACTTAAGGCAATACCTCTTAATTCACCTAATGGAGACCTTGAAAACTCCACATAGGCCAAATCCGAGAACTTGGGGGATTTCTTTGTAGAGGCAAGCCAACCAGATATTTCTGTTTTTTTAGCTGAACCAAATTCTGTAGTTCTCAAACGTTGAAGCTTTGATGGCCATTGGATACGCAGTCCAGAGGAATTATTATTCACCTTCTCCAAGTCTTTGGCTACAGCATCTGAATATAATAGAAGTTTGGAGGAAGTGAAATTAATAATATTAAGAACTTCACTTAAGGCAATGTCTTGATGAATGGGGATTGCAACAACTTTAGCCAAAAAACATGCAAATAATGCCACGGTAAACTCAACCACTTCCCCGTCCTTATATAGCAACACTACGGTATCGGAATTTGAAAGACTTGTTTTATGTCTAATCTCCATGGCTATTCTAACAGCTTTGGTATATAGCTTTTCCCAAGATATAGAGTAGATCTCCTTCCCCTTCCCATCCAATACGGTGAACGCCATTTCTGTCTTATAGATGGCCGCTCGCTGTTGTAAGATATTCACAAAGAAGTTCTCATACTCTTTGTCAACTATTGGTGACTGTTTCCGGGGGAGTAAAGGCGGTTGCAACTCGGCATTACTAAGTTCAGTGTTGTTATATTCTTGCTGCTGTGCTTCATGGAGTTTGCTGACCAGTCTCATGATCTCTTCTCTTCGGTTGATATAGGTCCATTGATCTATAACCTTATGATTGAAGTCATCTTCCAATTGTTGAAGCAAAAGTGCCATGTCGGGAGGGATGTCTTGATTCAAGGCCCCTGAGGGTCCACCTGCTAACCCTGAAGGCCCACTCGAGACGTCTTCCGATTGCGGCACAGCCATTGGATGGTTTCTGCTGTCACCTGTAGTCTTTGTAGACATTTTGAATGTGGACAGTGCAAGAGCTGGAACCGGAACTGGGAAAGTTGGTGTTGAAATTAGTCAGAAAGTGAAACAACGTTAGTCGAGTTTGAAGGTTGGACTTCGTTTGAGGCACCCTCGTATTAGAGGTTTCTGTTTAGGAGATCCGAGGTAAGATTACACAAAATCATTGAAAAATTTAAAGACGATGGGATGCATCTTAAGTATGGCATCTTAGTTTACTGTAACTATTTTACATGCGTGTACAATTGTCGTTTGAAGATATCTGGTATGCTAAATAGTAGTGGGACTCGATGGTGTGCTGAAAGACTCCATGCTAGGTTTGGCCTTGTTTCTGTTCGGAATGTATTCGTGATGGCAAGTGCCAAACGAAATAGTGGAAATAAGAAGAGAACTGCACTTCCACTCCAAGTTGAAAAGAGAGACACTATGCGACGCATTGAAGAGAAACGAGTAGATAATCTTCAACGTGAACAGAAAAGGAAAGTGGAAGCGATCAGAGATCTTACCAGAGATGCCGTTCAAATGCTTCAAGAAGATATGCCAATAGAATCGATACCCCACAACATTAACAGAAGGAAACTGACACCGACAAAGAGTGTATTGAACAAAGAGACAGATGATAAAGCTGATGATAATACTTTAGTGAGTAAAGTATATCTGACGCTTGAGGAAAGTCCCAACGATGTATTTGTTCCTAAGAAACATGGCTTACTTCTTCCTATAGTGGACTTACCGGAGTCAATATCAGATAGACTCGGTTTGAGTGTTCAGTATTTACTCAATAAGCAAAACCAACAATGGGACTTGGTGCTTAATCAGTTACAACAAGAAGGTGGTTTTGTAGGACTACCAGTTGTAGAAGTTAAGAAGTTCATTTACCAGATTCCTTATACCAGAATTGGGCTGCTTATACCCCAGTTGGAAAAGCTCTTGGAGGAAGCAGATATAAAGAAATCAAGCAAGATTATCAACCATTTCATCAAAGGATTATCTGTTGGACCAACTATCAGCGAAGGAACTCTCCAAGTGATTGAACAGTACGCCAAGTACATTACTGATCATAGGAAAAGACTAAAGCTGCTGACCTACCAGTTACTTGTTCAAGTCTATGGTAAGTGTGGTGACATGGATAAGATCAACAAGTGTTTAAAGGAAATGCAAAGTCATGGACTTAAACTCTCTAAAGATGTCTACTCCAACATCTTGAAAACAAGTGTCTACAAGAAGAAGGACCATAAGTTGTCGGTTGAATTATTTGACTCCATGAGGTTTTTACTGTTGGAATCTCGTCCAACCACTGAAACTTATCAAGACATCATTGTATCTTATGTGAACAATGGTGACATTGAAAAGGCATTGGATCTTTATCAACAAATGCTTGATGAAGGGGTAGAACCCAATCAACAAATATTGGTGGCTCTTGCTAGAGGTTGTTGCACTCACAAAGACTTTAAATTCAAGTCTTGGGATTTTGTCTTTGACATTTATAAGAAAGGCTGGCAACCTAGTCTTGAAACCTTTGAGTATATGATTTATTTGGCTGCTAGAGATGGGGATGTTTCACTTGCCAGAGCTTTATATTTAACATTGAATGAATCCAAAGCTGTTACGTCAAGATCATTTGCATTTTTACTTTTGGCCTATAGTAAAAGTGCCTTGAAGGTGCCAGAGCAGGAGCGACCATTGCCCACTCTAACGATGCATGAAGATGGGAGATTATTTAGACGAAACATTCTTTTGGGTATGAAATTTCCTAAGGCAGATGAAGGTGAGCCTGCATTTGCATTGCCATTGCTTCCAGTAGTTAACATCACCTCTAGGGCAGAGATATTGGCAGAGACAAGTGCCCTATGGGCACACTCGTTGATATTTAATCGTCAATTCCTCAACAAAGAGACGGTCAACTCGTATCTTAATGTGGCTGCTGAGATGGGTGGTATTGAAGATTTCAAAGATAGATTTGATAATGCCACGTTTCTTGACCCTACTGGTCTTCAGCAACGTACCAGGGTTATTATAGAAGAAGTTGAAGAAGCTGCAGAAGCCAATTTTGAACAACAAGAAGCTGAAGCTGAACAGAACTTAGCTGTATCAACAACTAAAACCAAAGCACCAATCTTAATGGAAATTAATAATGAGCAAACTAAAATTCAAAGAAGCTCATTATCTTATGTAATTGCATTGAAAGCAGCAGCTTACTTCAATGACTACGACTTTGCTAAGAAAGTATGGACGGAACGTGGTGATTTCAGAAAGACTGATGGGTTCCGGAATCTTCTGTATGGAACCAGAAAGTACCAAGATTTTGAGTTTGCTAGTGCCATGATAACGTGTATGGCTCGTATGAACATGCTTGACGATTCGATGGCAATTCTTCTTTCAGTTTCCAAACAGTTCAAGTGGACCTGGAAGGAGCTACATGAAGTCTACAACAAGTGTGCTGAGGTGGGTAATGTTAACTACTGTAAGACAATCAAAGGTGTGATTCACTCGGCACAGCTGAAGTATCACGGGAAGATCTCCAAGGATGAATACCGTGTCTATGCCGCCACTAAGGGATACTAAGAACTTGTATATATTGTATATTTAACGCTATGTAAATAGATTATGGGAATAAGGAGTGTATATAGGTATCACGTGATTTACACACTTAAAATGCGATTTTTCCGAGGGAGATTATTTCACCAAGTGCAAAAAAGTTGAATATCCAAACCAAACCTACAGTCACTTGTATGTCCTCTACATACCCTACGTCATTATTATGGGGAAACAATATATCTCCACCGTAAATACATACGATGCTCATCATCTGGACATTCTAGACGTTGTTGTGTTGAACAAGTACACAATCACCGTATCTGGAGATGGGTATGCTGCGTTCTGGGATAATCAACAGGTTGAAGGCCATAATCCCAGAGAATTTGTTATACGAAAGCTTATAAATAAGATTGGGATACACCACATAGCATCATACGAAAATGTTTTGGCCACAAGTGGTGTTCGGGTCTCGCTCCTAGCATTTGGAACTTTTGATGGAAGTGTTTCCTTTGGGTATTATGTTGATAATGACATCAAGACTTGGAAAGAAATATCGTTTGAACAAGTGACTGGCAAAATGTATTGGATCCCCAAGTTGTTCAAGGATCCAGAGTCCAAAAATGATTTACTTTTAGTTACACAACCAACGGGGAATACTGCTGTGTTCAATTTATTAATTGAAGCCAATGATGGTAATGTTAATATTTCATTAGAACCAAAGGGACATCTCAATGGTGGGAATGAATCATTCCCCATGTCATGTGCTGTATCTGAAACAGAAACCCCTAAAGCAGCAGTAGGATACGTGGATGGAGATGTTATATTATATGATTTAAAGGATTTGAGTCCACTTTTCACCTTCCATACCACTGATTTACAAACCGGTTCCAATGACTCCAATTCTATTCCTAGAGCATTGGTTTTCTCTCCTGGAGGGCTATTACTTGCAGTGGCCCGTGATATACAATCTTCAGGGTCAATTACCTTATATGATATGAAATATGGTGAGAATGTGGGTCAATTGACTACCCCTACTCATTCTAGCAAGGCAGCAGTTGGTGGGTTTGCTCATTCCGGTTGGATCATGGGTCTTTCATTCAATGAAGATGGTAGTTTACTTGCTAGTGGAGGATTTGATAGCTGTGTTCGTTTTTGGAATATTGATACCAGAGAAAGAGAAGCCACCATTCAGATTTCAGTTACAGATTTAGACAATACTCTGAAGATTGGTGAAATGGATCAAAGTATAGTTAGTGGCGTACAATTCATTAATAAAGGTGTGCGTTTTGGTGCTGGTGGAGATAGCAACCAAGGGGTATGTATCATAAGTTTTGATAGAGGTGTGAGATGGTATAGAGAAGCCGGAGGTATTTAGTACTAGAGTCAAATGAATATATATAGATATACGTGACTTCCATGTATCACATATAGCCATGCGCTACCAGGTAACCTCGGAACTCGTACCATTAACTCTGATCTGTAAAGTAAACATACATTACACACCAAAAAGATGTTGCTAGTGCAATGTTATTATCATGCTGGCTGCTGATGACAATGTACGTGAAGGTATAGGAGGACTTCTCCGGCTTCTACTGAAGGGCGTGAACACAATTGATACCATTATTTCCCTTGAGGACTTGATACAAACACACGGAGCTAATAATGAAGAGATCATTACCTTGATTGATATGGTAGTTTCTAGTGTATCTAAACTATCAACACTGCAACGAAGCGATATAGTGACGCGTTTGTTAATATCCAATCAGGTGGACACTTTAAGTAGTGAAATTATCTACCGAATACTTGGTGTGGTGGGACAATCCCCGAAGGCTTTGAAGTCGTCAACTAGATCGATTCAATTGAAGCTACTTGACTGGCTAGTACGACTGATCCACTTGTTTGGACTGGGGATATATAGTAAGTTGCGTCATATGAGTTCTATACTTTTCAATTACCTTTCTTATGAATATCCTCGTCCTTATATTAGTCATTTGATATTCCTATCATTGACGACTAATTTGGAACAACCATCATTAGTGTACAATACCATAAATCAACCTTACAAGGCTGTGAAAAATTGGCAGGTTCAGAAGGTGGTTGATTTGTATATGAAATTTCCCAACGACGACTATTTAAAGGCGCTCTTGGTTCTTTTCCAAACATTGGATCCAAACCTCAACCTTTCTCAGTATACAGAAGGTGGTAATGTCATTAATTTCCGACTAGGTTCTTCCAAGTTCAATCCAAGTATTTTCCAGTATGCCAAACATGATGAATATCTAGAACGTTTGAAGACCGTGTCTACCAACGTTAGTATTTTTGAAGAGAATGAAAAGGTACGACTACAAGCAAAAACAAAGATGGATACAATCTCTTTAGTTTCCCGTGGTGGTAGATATAAAAGAAGAAAATTTATAGGAGGAGGAGAAAGTCATGAAAGTTATTATCATCAATTGTTCAACCCATTAAAGACATCAATAGTGGAGATCCAATCTATAAAAGATATGCTTTCGAATTTCGAAAGAATTGCATGTGCTTCCTCCAATTCAGTATTGGATAAGCCAGTTCTTAGTTTAACCAAACGGTTTGAACGACTTTATATGAATCTTAACTCCATTGGACACAGCGATCCAACTTTAGAGTCATGGTTCAGTATATCCAAGTTTGCGCTTGAGGACAATAGTCTAACATACCCAGAGTTGGTCAATATTGTTGACAATTTGATATTGATTCTAAGAGGTCTGGTAGCATGCAATATATATATATTGGTAAAAGATTTCGTTCTTGGGGAAATATGTCCGAGACTATCCCAAGAAGAAGACGACGATGTGGAGCTTAAAATTTATCTTCAAAGACTACGATTAGTTCGATATCTACCACCCAAAATCAGTGGGAACATTTATGAAAACTTATTGGACCCTCTATTGAACACATTAAAACTAAGAAAATCCAGTCCTTATTGGCCAGAGGTTGTATGTTCTATGTTGTTCAATATGAAAGATTGGTTTTTACAGATGTGTCAGTTAATGCAACGAGCAGGTGGTTCTGCAACTCCCAAAGGATCACGATATTTCAAAGTCATAAATAATGGATTACAGGCTATCTTTCAGTTCGTGAATGAATTTCTAATTAGTAATTCAGCTTTGGAAGTTGATATCTACATTTTACAGCTATTGCAGATATTTAAGACCATTAAAGACGAAGATTTGCATCGCCTAGAACCTTCTGCTGTGCTTTTACATCCATCTTCCATATATCATTTCCTTCTATCATGCAATCCTCTTGTTGTATCTGAGATTTGCGGCTACATTGCGCGTTCAAAGGCATACATTATTGACCAAGAGCATGATATACCCTTTAGAAGCTGTCGGAACTCGATTGTTACCGATGCAATCAACTTTCTTTGGAGAAACCAAGGATTTTATTATCAAAAGGATAGTGCCAATAAAGCCATGCTACTCTCTCCCAAGTTCCTTGAGCTTGCACAGGGGAAGTTATTTATTAATGACTCTGGAGTTGTTTTATTTGAAGACGTAGGAAGTCTTTACCACAACGCTGGGTTTTCATTTCTTAGTGCTCAATTGGTATGGAAGCTTGAAGATTCTGAACCTAACATCACAGTGAGACATCTGGGTCCAGTTAGTACCTCAAGTATAAGCAAGTTACGTGCTGGTGCAGACGATACTGAGGTTTGGCTAGACTTAACGTATGGTCAATTAGCCGTATACATTCTTAATCAGTTGGATAAGTTTGGATTGGAAGGGTTATGTGATTTGATATTCAGCTCTGTAAGTGGTCTACAGAACCAACGAGACGGACAGAATTAATAGAGAGAGTTCAGTAACATTACTAACAGCTTAAAACACTTTAAATCGTACTGTAAATCATCCTGTAGGTCGTATTGTAGCTCATACTGTGCTTCACTGTACCTCTTACTCTCTTTTGGTTCACACCACAAACAAAAAAATTTAAGTCCACTCTTCTTCTACAAGTGCTTGTGCTACAAGCATGCTTGTAACTAGACGGGTACCCTGCAGAGGGGTTCGACAAGTTGTAGTAGACATTAATAGGCGGACATTAACATCCGAGAGGAAACTTAAGTTGAATGAACTTGATGGAAAATGGTCTAGAATATGGAGATCGTTATCACCAAACAACGATCTACACCCCACAAAACATTTGATTGGTAAAGAAGATGCTAATAGACCGCCATTCTATTGTCTTTCGATGTTCCCCTACCCTTCTGGGATCTTGCATATGGGCCATGTACGAGTGTATACCATTGCTGATGTAACATCACGGTTCAAACGGTTACAAGGTTACAATGTGATCAGTCCCATGGGATGGGACGCATTCGGTTTACCAGCAGAAAATGCAGCTGTTGAAAGAGGAATAGACCCTGCTATATGGACAGAGACTAATATAACCAAAATGAAGGAGCAAATGAATTTGATGTTAGCTGATTTTGATTGGGATAGAGAATTGGCTACTTGTTCACCTGATTACTATAGATGGACCCAAAAGATATTTTTACTTTTATTCCAACACGGATTGGCTTATAGGAAGGAAGCAGAGATCAATTGGGATCCAATTGATAAGACTGTTCTTGCGAATGAGCAAGTGGACTCTCAAGGTAGATCTTGGAGATCCGGAGCCATTGTGGAAAAGAGACTCTTGGAACAATGGTTTATAGGTATTACCAAATTTGCAAAGGATTTAGATAAAGATTTGGAAATTTTGGAGCAATGGCCTTCTAAAGTCAAGTCCATGCAAAAGCATTGGATTGGTCAGTCTCGAGGAGCTGAGATCTTATTCCCTACCACTGATGTTGAATGCTCTCAATTGGCAGTATTCACAACTAGACCTGACACTTTGTTCAGTGTGCAGTTTATTGCGTTGGCATTTAACCATCCATTGGTCACCAGAATGGCTAAAGAAGACCCAAAGTTACATGAATTTCTTCATAGAGAATTCCATGATGGTTCTAAAGATGGATACCTCTTGGAAAACGTGACTGCTACCATTCCTATTGACGTTAACAATAACAAGTGCTCTAAGTATGATGTCCCCATTTATGTTGCTCCTTATGTTCTTGGTCAATATGGACATGGGGCTGTTATGGGATGTCCTGGCCATGATGAAAGAGACTATGAGTTCTGGAACTTACACAATCCCCAAGTACCTCCCATTCAAGTTGTACGTCCTAATAATGTGGCTAAAGTTGGCGAACTGTTCAAACTTTATACCGAAAAGGCTGGTGTGCTAGATGATCTGCTGGTGTTACCAAATGGTTTAAGTTCATTGGGGTCCTACAGAGGAAAGAGTATTGAAGAGGCTACTTCTAGTCTTATAGATGCGTTGGAACATCATAAACTTGGTGAATCTACGGTCCAGTACAGAATTAGAGATTGGTTAATAAGTCGTCAAAGATATTGGGGTGCGCCTATTCCTATTATTCATTGTGATTCATGTGGACCAGTTGCAGTTCCTGATGATCAGTTGCCTGTTTTATTACCAGCATTACAAAGACAACATTTTGAGAAGGGTAACCCATTAGAAAACTTGGAGGAATTTGTTAATACCAAGTGTCCATCATGTGGTGGTCCAGCACATAGAGATACTGATACTATGGATACGTTTATGGATTCTTCATGGTACTTTTTAAGGTATCTTGATTCAAAGAATGATTCTAAACCATTTGATAAGTCTATTTCACAATTCATGCCTGTTGACATGTATATTGGAGGGATTGAACATGCTATATTACATTTACTTTATTCAAGATTCATTTCAAAATTTCTTGCTTCAATTGGGACTTGGGATGGTAGTCATTTCCGCAATGAACCATTTAAAAAATTGGTAACTCAAGGAATGGTACAAGGGAAAACATTCACTGACCCTGAAACTGGAAGGTTCCTCAAACCTGAAGAGGTGGATATTTCAGATGTTTCAAATCCTGTAATCATTGCCAATGGAGCAACTCCAAATGTAAGTTTTGAAAAAATGTCCAAGTCCAAGTACAATGGTGTTGATCCTGGAGAATGTATTGCTAAATATGGAGCTGATTCTACCAGAGCTCACATGCTATTCCTGGCACCTGTTTCTGACGTTTTGAATTGGAATGAAGATCAGATCCAGGGTATCGAAAGATGGTTGAAGAAAGTCATTGGTGTGGCGGATATTATTGCAGAGAAGAAGGTGGTATCAAAATCAAGAGGTAACGAGAAAGAGTATCAAGATATTGAAATCAATGGAATTAATCATAAGACAATTAAGTTTAATGAATCTGAAATCAATTTATTCAAAGCTCTGCAGACTTATATTGAACGTGTTTCTAAGGCCATTGATGAGGATACTTCCTTTAATACGATTATTTCTGATTATATGAAATACACCAATGCCATCTATACCGCGTTGAAATTCAATGAAGATATCAATAAGCAATTACTCATTGACGTTTACCGAAAACTTTTGATTATCATGTCACCAGTGACCCCATGTGTAGCTGAAGAATGCTGGGAGACACTTCTGAAGCACTTGGGGATCGAATGGAAGACCATCTTCAATGAATCTTATCCTAAAAGCCAAACATTGGTTAGCACTGTGGTCAATTACAACGTGTTCATCAATGGTAAACCCAGACATCTGTTTGAAGGAGCTCTTGATTTGCTTGAACAAAAAGAGTCAGATATCATAAGCTATATCCAGCAATTTGATAAGGTCAAACAACATTTAGGTGATAGAGAAGTTAGTAAGATGATACTTAAACCCGGGTTAATAAGTATCATTTTGAAAAAGTAATTCAAATTCATGTATATATATATATTAAGTCCTGTAAATAATAATAGTATATCTATATCTATATTAATTGTCTGTATTTCTCCACCACTGCCTCGGCTTGAGCTAACAATTGGTTCTTTCTGGTTTCATCACACCATGAACCGTTAATACCGGCAACCACGATCTTCTTCCATTCATCCACCGTGAATCCGAATCTGGTGTGGACAGTTACGTAGTTATCGAGGATGTAGCCACCGAAATATGCTGGATCGTCGGAGTTGAGAGAGAAGGGAACATCATTCTCAAGGAAAGTCCGAATAGGTAATTCACTTACATCTTTAACCACTTGTAATTTGACATTTGATAAAGGGCACATGGAAAGCATGGTCTTAGATTCGGCCAATCTGGCCATCAACTCCGTGGAGTTTTGAGATTGAACACCATGATCAATACGAGTAACCTTTAATAAGTCCATTGAGTTGGAAACATAAGTATGATCACCTTCTTCACCAGCATGGGCAGTTAAACCCACTTGTGGGAAAGACTCCTTTAAAAATAAATAACATTCTTCAAAGAGATGAGGTGGGAAAGGTTTCTCTGCACTATCTAAACCTAACCCATGGATAATGCCCTTTTCATAGAATGGTTTAGCTGAATGTAAAGTTTGCATGCCTGCTTCTGCAGGTAAGTGTCTTAACAAACACATGATCAATTTGTTAGTGGTACCGAATTGATTATTGGCTTGTTTACAAGCTCTATCAAATCCAGCAACTACGGTTTCTATGTCAATTCCTCTTTCGACGTGTCCTTGGGGGTCAAAGAATACTTCAGAATGCAAACATCCATCACTGTGAGCCTTTGTGAAATATTCCATGGCCAAATCATAGAAATCATTCTCATGCAAAAGAACAGACATCCCAATGTAGTAATGGTCAAGGAAATCTTGTAAATCAGCAAAATTGTTATATCTTTCAATGCATGCTTCAGGAGATTCTGGGAATTGGGCTGGAAGCGTAATGTTATTTCTTTTAGCCAATTGAAATAATAATGAAGGTTCTAATGTGCCTTCTAAATGTACATGATGTTCACACTTAGGCAATTCCCTAAGGAACTCGGTCATATGATGATTGCACTCGTGTAAAGCCATGCTTGCAATTGATATATCGTTCACTTAAGAAAATATACTCTTCACAAAGACTATGAGCCATTTGGGCTAGTTTTATATACAACCTATCTCATCTCATGGAGGTTAAAGCCGATAGCCGTTAGGCTGTCAAAAGAACCTAACTTACACAAAATCAAATGAAAGGGTATCACACGGATGGTCCGTCGGAACATTTGGCTAGTTATAAGTAATGTAATGGTAATCCACCATTTTCATGAAAAATAATGTGAGTAGTTACATGTGTGTGTAATTGATATTGATGTTTGTATATGTATGCGAATAATTGAAGATAAGTTTAGTATTACTGAAGTATATTCTAGCAACTATTGCAGTTCTTATCCACAATGGTATAAAGTCGTAATCCAACGCACTACTGTATATACTAATACTGCAGTCAGATTGCTCGTGCTGCAATTTCGGCTATTGTTAGTGTCAAATATTATTCTTAGTGAAGAAGCAATTTCTGCCTACGGTTTAAACTTTGTTGAATTAATTTGGACTGAAAAGACTGTATCACAAAGTTCTATTAGCTCATTTTCTATGGAGGTTAAATTCGTGGGAGATGAACAACGACAAATTATATAAAAAAACTACTTTAGCTTTTTGGGTTGGATTTGAATTATGTAGGCTTAAGATGAAGTAGCATGGTGAAGTAACAAAGCTGGTTGTTAAACTGGTGTTAAGTAAGTTGACACGACATGAATATCGCACCACCAGTTAAACGAATTCATCAACCTTCCCACACTTAACCACTTAAAATACGATGGTAGATTATACAGAAAATCACTATAATCATTGGGCTTTTGTCAATATATAACCATGGAACTAAATTCACTGAAAAATCGGCTCTGAAGAAGAAAACTTCACATATTTGAAATATGCCCTTTTTATTAGGAGGACAAGAACATGGCCTTTGTAGCAGCACAAAATCTTGAAGCAGGAAACAAAGGTACCTTCTCCCCATTTCCCCCAACTAAAGTCAATTTGTGAGTTCAAACCTTCTATCGCTTTTCAGCAAGCCATGTGTTATACTACTCACTCATAACATAAAAAAAATATGCAAGAAGGACACCAACTTCATCACCAAATCTCTTGAGCCAGCATTAGAATAGGGTCTGCTAATGTGAAATAGCCACGTTGAAGAGCCCACAAAAAGTCTCATTGTACTCTTTTATACTAGTGCTGATATTCTATGTATAATAAAAGGAACGACCATCCAACTGTATACGGCCAGGAGTTAGCCATAAAAGTAGTCATCGCAACATTTAAAGTACTTTCCATCTCGTCAACTGAAGGCACATCGTCAAAAGAATTAAGGTGGGGCAAACACAATCTAGCTATGTAGTACCAACATTTTAACTTAGAGTTTCAGTGGAACTCAAGATATCCAATAGTCCCCATGATGAGTACATATTATGAAGTTTATTTAAGCTGTCACATGTCGGAAAAGGTTGACACAAACATGGAAGCTTAATATCTTTTATTCGCAGCCAAATTTTCTGCTTGACCTTATATATACACTTCACTTCAGCATAATATCAAAGCCTGATGATTGGGTAGCAAGAGGGAGCCCTTGTCAAAAGTCACCAAAGTTCAAGCAACTTCTGAACAGTATGAAACATCCTTACGAATATGCTTTTATGTTGTAGATATTGGAGGTGTGGAGGTACTGTTGGGATCATCTAGCATCAGATTTGAAATCGTCCGTTTCATTCTATAAAGAGAAGTTGAGCATGTCAATACTTATTTGGAACAACATTTTGTTTCACACCTTTCAGCCCTGCTGGATGCATAAAATGTCTCTACAAAATGATAGCGTTTGTTTCAAATTTCCTTCTACGAAACTAGGGGAATCTCTCCAATAAAAATAAACGACGTCACAAAGACCATCAATTCTCCACATTTATGCCCCAGTAAATGATTCGATTGTGGCACCTTTAGTAAATGTGTGGGAACATGATCCTGAATACTGTAATAAGACACAAAATAGTCACTTCAGAAGTATCTAAGAATATCTCTCCACGATCATCAACCTCCTCGGTGGTACGGCAATCTAAATTACCGATGACATCAAATCCCCAAGAAACCCATCGATCGTAAATTATCGTATTTTACTCGTATATGGATTCTTGAGAAATGAACTAAGAGTCACGAGGCTTAACTCAGAAGAGATCAATAGCACATATTTTTTCTTTCCGACTACGGCTGAAGGGCATCAGTACTTAGACCTAACGAAATTTGCCGTGAACAAACCAAGTGCTCAGTTGTTCTCCCAAGTTGAACATCTAAACAGCTAACCATGAGATCTGGGCAACCACAAAAATTTCAACAAATCACTCAAAGAAACCACGCCACACAAAGGCTAACATAGATCGATACTTAGTAAACGCTTCTATTGTAGATTTTTTACATGATCATGGGATTCTAACACTTCAGCCTTGACAAAGGCAAAGCATTCCCTCAGATGGGGCAGGAGGAGGCGGAGAAAACAAAGCATACCTGGTCCCCTATGCATTACGTAATTGCTTACGTAATGAATGTGCCTTATTTCCTGTTGCAGTCTATTTTTATATACTGGTGGTGGAGATCATCAAAGGAGTATAAGAAATCATTGTGTTCAGCAAAAGGGCTTACTCTTTCAATTGATTTGTAAACTTCTTATCAACTTGAATAGTTTAACTTTTCTTCATTGGCTGGCCAAGCAATATTAAAAGTGAATTGGTACCATGAGTAACCCAAATCATAACAACACGTATCAGCCATATAGGCCATCAGGAGGTCAGCAACAGCAATATGAAGACACTGCTGGTGCACCTGAATCTGAATATGGATACTATTCTAACGCTGGACTGCAACAACCACAACAAGAAGGTGCTTATTTATTCAGTGGAGACAATTCCAGCTCTCATAGTATCAACTTTTCTAGACCTACTCCAGCGTATAACCAACAGTATCAAAGTAGTGGTGGGGCGGACGATCAACAAACCTATAGACCTTCCAATATCTTTTCTGCGCCACTGCCAGGACGTCTTTCTAGCAATGAAGACCCTTTTGATAGCTATGATAACTACGAGTTGAACGATATGTCTAACACTGGTTACGAAGGATACGATAACTTGAATCAGAATCAGAATTATGGACAATCTTTCGTGCCCCATGCTTATGAAGACGAAGAAGAAAGAGAATACGATCGTAATATCCGCTATAACGATATTCAAGGTGATTACCTTGATTTGGCTTCTATCCAGATCAATCCTCCTCTGTCTCTGTCACCCTTTGATTCTCAAGTTCTGAGGTTGTATCCAATGGCTGAACACAGCGCTCCACCTCTACCTATTCAACCGGACCAGACTCAACCCCAAGAGTCCCCCTTTATGGATCAATATGAACAAGAACCATTAGAAGAAGAATTGGAACCAGAACAGCCTCCTATTGAGGAGCAAATCAGAGCTAGACCTCAAATGGGTATTGCCACAGGTATCAATGGTCATTTGGTGTTGGATTGTCCCGTTGCTCCCGAGTTATTGGCGAAATATCCTACCTATAATCCTGAATTGAAGGATGGTGGATTAAGTAGAGAGTTTTCCTATATGAGATACACTGCTGTGACTTGTGGACCTTCTAACTTCTATAACGAAGGTTATATGTTGAGACCAGTCCATTACCCGGTTCCCAGACAAACTGAGATCATGGTTGTTATTACCATGTACAATGAAAACGATATTTTGTTGGCCCGTACCTTGAAGGGGATCAAGAAGAACATGAAACACTTGGAATCAAGAACAAAGTCATCCACTTGGGGTAAGGACTCTTGGAAGAAGGTGGTGGTGTGTATTGTTTCAGATGGTCGTAGTAAAATCAATGAAAGAGCTCAAGCTTTAATGGCTGCCTTTGGTGTGTATCAAGAAGGTTTAGCTAAAAGTATGGTTGATGATCGTAATGTCCAGGGTCATATCTATGAATACACCACTAGAGTTGGAATCAATAATATTGATGAAACAGTTAAATTGACCACTACGAATGTGGTTCCGATTCAAATGCTTTTCCTTTTAAAGGAAAAGAATGCTAAAAAGATTAATTCCCATAGATGGTGTTTCCAAGCCTTGGGGAGAGTTTTGGATCCCAAAATTGTGGTTTTATTGGATGCTGGTACTGAACCTTCTGAAAAATCGTTATATAACTTATGGAAAGAATTTGAAAGGGATCCACAAGTAGCTGGTGCTTGTGGTGAGATTAGGGCTATGTTAAGAAAGAGAGAAGTTCTAACTAATCCTTTGGTTTATGCTCAAAACTTTGAGTATAAAATCTCCAACATTTTGGATAAACCTATGGAATCTGCTTTTGGGTTTATTTCAGTTTTACCTGGTGCCTTTTCTGCTTATAGGTATGTTGCATTGCAAAATGATGTTAATGGCCGTGGACCATTGGAAAAGTATTTCAAAGGTGAGTTTCTTCATGGTTCTGGTGAAGTTGATCCTAATGATGATGAAAGAGAATTAAAACTTAGACAAATGAAAGACGAAGCAGGGATCTTCACTTCTAATATGTATCTTGCTGAAGATCGTATTTTATGTTATGAATTAGTTGCTAAAAGAGGTTGTCAATGGCTTTTACGTTATGTTAAATCTGCTAGTGCTGTCACAGATGTTCCTGGTGGATTGGCAGAATTCATTCTTCAAAGAAGGAGATGGTTGAATGGTTCTTTCTTTGCTGCCATTTATTCTTTAGCTCATTTCCCTCAAATTTGGCGTTCATCTCATTCATTTGGTAGAAAAGTGGCATTCCATATTGAATTCTTTTACCAATTGATCAGTTTGGTTGTTTCTTGGTTTTCTATTGGATCTTATTTCCTTGTGTTCAGAATATTGTCTTCATCTTTATCAGCATCCTCGTTGAATTTTGCTCCTGGAAGAGCCTTTTCGCTTATCTTTTTGTGGTTATATTTGGCTTCTATTGTGACAACATTTGTTTTGAGTTTTGGTAATAAACCAAAGGGTACTGAAAAGTTTTATATTGTGATTGTGATTTTCTTTGCCATATTAATGGCATATATGATTTTTGCAGCTATATTCATGGCTGTTCATTCAATTCAAGAAATCATGAAGGAAGGACCCATAACTATATCGCTTTTCTTCAAGAATGCTGCTTTTAGAGATTTGGTGGTGGCAACTGTATCAACATATGCGTTATACTTTATTGCTAGTTTCTTATATTTGGAGCCATGGCATATGTTCACATCTTTCTTACAGTACATTTTGCTCTCTCCATCTTATGTTAATGTGTTGAACATTTATGCCTTCTGCAATATTGATGATATATCCTGGGGTACCAAAGGTGACACTGGAGCCAAGACTTTGGGTGTTGCAAAGGTAAGAGATGATGGTACATTTGATGTTAACATTCCGATTCTAAAGGAAGAAATTAACCAATCTTATGAGAATCAATTGGCTAAGATTAAAGTACCTCCTCCACCAGAAGAACAACTGGAATCTACAAATGAAGATTATTATGCCTTTGTTCGTTCCATGACAGTTTTAGTCTGGATGTTTTCCAATTTCGTGATCATTGCCGTGGTCTTAGAGACTGGAGGTCTTAACCGGTTGGACTCAGCTTCTGATCTCACTCGTACCACGAGATCAGAAATCTTTTTAACGGTTATTTTGTGGACTGTGGCATTCATGGCTTTGTTCAGGTTTGTTGGTTGTGTTTGGTATTTGGTTTCCAGAATGACTATTGGGTTTAAGTCTACTCCCAAGAGACAAGTTGCACCCACCGTAATCAAGTACTAAATAAAGTAATATAGTGTTTAAGTAGTGTGTGACACGATTGTAGTGGGTCGTTTCAGTTAACATGTCCATTGCCCGATCGGGAAGTCTATCTTGTCACGTAACTATCCATCAACACGCTTGCGGTATACAGTAGTACAACCGGTAGTAATCTGCTAACACTCATAATAGCAAGTACTATAGTTATATAACAATCATAATGTCAAGCAGGAAGAAGCTTCTTTTGATGGGCCGTTCAGGGTCTGGGAAGTCACTGATGAGGTCCATCATCTTTTCTAATTACTCAGCATTCGATACAAGAAGGTTAGGGGCCACCATAGATGTTGAACATTCCCATTTACGGTTCCTTGGGAACATGACATTGAATTTATGGGATTGCGGTGGACAAGATGTTTTCATGGATAATTATTTCACCAATCAGAAGGACCATATTTTCAAGATGGTTCAAGTGTTGATTCATGTGTTTGATGTGGAGTCTAAATCTATTAATAAGGATATCGAGATCTTTGTTAAGTCTTTAACCAATTTACAAAAATATAGTCCTGATGCTAAGATCTTTGTGTTGTTACATAAGATGGATTTGGTACAAGTCGACAAACGACAACAGTTATTTCTGATTATGATGGAGAAGTTACAACTGATATCTGATCCTTATCATTTTGAGTTGACAGGATTCCCCACGTCGATTTGGGATGAAAGTTTATATAAGGCATGGTCTCAGATAGTGTGTTCGTTGATACCCAATATGAATTTGTTTAATGAAAGTTTGGGCAAGTTCTCTTCCATATTGGATGCAGAGGAGATTATTCTTTTCGAGAAGACAACCTTCTTAGTGATCTCGCTGACCAATCAGAGTCTTTTACAAGCAGTCGATTCTGCTCCACCAGATGACTTGGACCCCAAACGGTTTGAAAAGATCTCTAACATTATCAAGAACTATAAACAGTCTATCACCAAGTTAAGGTCCAACTTTCAGAACTTGATCATCAAAGGCTCCAATGGTAACCATTTCTATATCGACGTGTTAACAGATAACATGTACATCATGGTTATCTTGAAGGACAATGAACAACAACCTAATGCGTTCCATGAAGAGCTCTTGGTATTGGAGAATATCAAGAATGCCAGAAAGTGGTTTGATAAGATTGAAGTGGCGGTTTGATAGGAGCATTCACAGTGAATCTGTGAATGGTGCTTCACTACTGTTAGTCCATAAATACTCATGTACAACCTACATACCGGTTAATTGTCATAGCTAGTATTACCGTCGATACGCAGTAATATCGTCAGAGGCTTTCTGGCATCTAGTTTAATATTAACCTCTATGCCACGTGAGCATCGTATACATAGGAGTGAAGCTAAACTGTAAGGCATAACAGTTAAACTCATACAGTTAACTTTTTCTTACCCATTAATAGTACTACTATACTGCCAGTACTACTATACTGCCAGTACTATACTATCAGTACTACTATTGAGCTTGCACGATCACCTAATAATGCGCACCGCTTATCAGTCGGGCACATGTTACCTAATCAGGAGATGTATCTCCGGTCTGTCGCGGGTGCGTGTACGATGGATGGGCTCGTTTAATGCATAAAATAAAATCAACATTATACAAAAATTATCAGTACACCAATCAGAGAGGAGATACATTCAACCAAGTAATATGGGCAAGTTGGTGGAGTTATTGAGCCATCCTGGCGAGTTACGTAGTGTGATTCAGTTAAAGTATTTTCGGGAAGAAAGTAATCCCGTGGGTAAAGGACTGAGAGGACCTGATTTGATTCGATGCTATGAATTGCTAAATTTGACTAGTAGATCATTTGCTGCTGTGATTCAAGAGTTGAACCTGGAGTTAAGAGATGCCATTATGATCTTCTATTTGGTTCTTCGTGCTTTGGATACGGTTGAAGATGATATGACTATTGACCCCAAGATCAAAATCCCCTTATTGAGAGGGTTTGCAAATAAATTGAAGTTGCCATCATGGTCTTTTGATGGCAGTGGTCCTAATGAAAAGGATAGAGCTGTTTTGGTGGAGTTTGACGTGATCTTACGTGAATACAAGAAGTTGAAGCCAACGTACCAAGATATTGTTTCCGATATGGCTAATCAAATGGGTAACGGTATGGCTGATTATATTTTGGATGAAAGTTTCAACGCTAACGGTGTCAATACTGTTAAGGACTATGATTTGTATTGTTGGTATGTTGCTGGTTTGGTGGGTAAGGGATTAACTCTTTTGATGGGTGAAGCAGAATTCTGTGACCCAGCTGCTTTGAATGATGACTTTGCCATGTCTACTTCAATGGGTTTATTCTTACAGAAAACAAATATTATTAGAGACTATCATGAAGATTTAGAAGATGGTAGATCATTCTGGCCAAAGGAAATCTGGAGTAAGCATACAGATCGTTTATATGCTTTCCATGAGGATCCAAGCCAACAAGCCGCTGGGTTAGCATGTATCAATGAATTGGTTTTGAATGCTTTGGGTCATGTCAAAGACGTTTTGTCTTATCTTTCATTGGTGAAGGATCCATCTTGTTTTAATTTCTGTGCCATTCCCCAAGTTATGGCCGTTGCTACTTTGGCTACGGTTTATAACAACCCTGATGTGCTACATAAGGTTGTCAAGATTAGAAAGGGTACCACTTGTTCATTAATCTTGAACAGTAGAACCTTACCAGACGTTGCAAAGATCTTCAGACATTATATTCAAGTGATTAACCATAAGTCAGACGTGAATGACCCCAATTATTTGAAGATTGGTATCAAATGTGGCGAAATCGAACAATTCATCGAACTGATGTATCCATCGGACACTGAGCATCAGAAACAACCCAAACAAATCAACAAATATATTGAAGCAAGAGAAGATTTGGACAAACAAGTAGGTGCACTTGTTACTGAAGAGACACTTAGATGTAACACTGCTTTAGTTGGTGTTGGGATTGTTTTCTTTGGAGTAATTTTATACTTATTGTAACCATAACTTAGTTTTGAATGTAATATATATGTATGAAGATGAGTTGACATTTTACCTAGTTATACCACATTAGTGATACAAAACCATTGGAAGTTCTATCTAATACTATTGCTTACGTAAGAAAGAGGCATATTGTCCGAAAAAAGATTATAAGCATTCAGATTAATGGGGTAAGATTGGGGTAAGGACAAAATTAATTTTTTAGTAAACATTTTGCCCCTTTCCTTCTTCTACAACACTCAATTGACTGGGTATAAATTATGTCGTTCATCATAAAGAAGATTACCTGGTCGGAGTATCAGATAGAAACTCCGATCCTCTTGCAGGATGTTAATGGTGCTTGCCCCTTAATATCTATAGTAAATACGCTATTGATGAGCTACGGGTTGCTTCAAGCAGATGTGATTCTAAATGACGTTTCAGATCTTCTGAATCTTCAGAGAGAACGATTAAAGGCTGTGACAGCTCTTAGAGATCGATTGGTTGAAAAAAGCTCTGTGAGTTTAGAGGAGATTGTCAATGAATTGGTTTGGCTTTTGGTTGAACACTTCAATTCAGGTAATGATGAAGAGAACACTGAGTTGGTGGAGATATTACCTAATTTGAACTACGGATTAAACGTTAATCCCGACATCACCAATGGCTTATTTGGGAACGAATTGGGGACCCGTTTATTTGATATTTTCGGGTTGAAATTGAGACATGGTTGGATTGTAGATCCATCCGGTGATAGTTCCGAATTGGTTGAATTGGCCGAAGAGTTGAAAACGTATGACAAGATCCAAGACTATTTAGTTGATACAATTGTGCCTACTAAAACAACAACCACAACGGCAGCTGCAAAGGCAAAGGCTATGCCAGTATCTGCTGCGCCTCCGACTAATACATCATTATTGCCCGAGGTTCCTGTCACGACAACAACGACAATCGCATCCCCTGTTGTTCCACCTCCTCAACCAGCAGATACTCTTGCCTATTTGAGACCAACGGACTCGCTCCGAAGTGCCACTTCTGTCTATCCTGAATCTACTACAGATTCTGGAATTAATGACTCTCAAGTAGTTTACACACCTTATACACCGGTTGCACCAAACACAACTACTGCAGCTCCAGTGCCGGTTCCAGCTAATGCAAACGTGACTAAGCAACAAACTCCCAATACGACAGCAGCTAGTGCCACTGTCACATCCACTGATGCTCCAACTGTCACAACTTCAGATCAAAACATGGCTGTTCCATGTCCAGCATTGAGTTTTCCAGAACCTTCACAGTCTGTTGATGATATTATCAAGGATCACGAATCACCAACGGGAAGATCGGAGTTCAGTCCGCCAGAACCGTCTGCTATTGACGCTGTTAACCAGCCAACTATTACACCTGCGCCCGCTCGTATTGCTCAGAACTCAGTTGAGTACAAAAAATCTGTTTTGCGATCTTGGCTTGATCGTCATAGTGCACAATTGACTACACATGGACTTGATTCTTTGAGGGACCAATGTAACCCAGGAGAGTTTTTAATTCTTTTCAGAAACAATCATTTCAGTACTGTTTACAAAAGAAGTGATCAAGATTTGTATGTGTTGATCACAGATTCATTACTTCAAAGACAAATAGTTTGGCAATCATTGAATTCCATTTCAGGTACTGATGATTTATTTTTTGATGGTGATTTTGTTCCCTTTTTTGAATCGGAAGAACTGCAAGATTACCTTCTTACTAAAAACTTACAAGAACAAGAAGATGCCCGTTTAGCTGAAGAATTGCAAAAACGATATCAAAAATCGAGCCAAAAAGGAAACCACAAGACAGCAGCAGCAACTAACAAAATTGTTCAAGAAAGGACGGGGAATGAGAATACCCCTACATCCTCTAAAGAAAAACCTGATTACAGGAAACCACCTAAGAATAATAAAGATTCGAAGTGCATTTTGATGTGATTATAGATTGACAGACATCTATTATTTCTAAAACTACAAGATAACATTCAACGCAAATAAGTTCATTGTTCTTCTTCTTCTTCTTCTTCCTCCGCTTCCTCCTCCTCTTCCTCTCCTTCATGTTCATTATTCTCTTCAACATCTTCTTCACCTTCATATTCCATAGGATCGTACTCTGATCTGAAGATATCCATTTTCTTAAGCTCGTTGGTGGTTGGTTCTCTTAACTTGAAGTTCACCACGTCAACCGTGTTATTCTTAAGGAACTTATTAATCTCGGTATTAGTGGAATCTCTATGTTTCTTCAATTCAATTCTTCCGTTGACAGGATAGTAATATGCCATTGTTCTCTTTTTGGGGTTTTCCTTTGAAGGAATGAACTTAACACTTAATTCGGTATTTTCTTCAGGGAACTTATGATAATTCATATCATAGTTCTTTGCAAATTTGAATTTATATTCATCCACAAATTCTTCATCTTCATCCAAAAGATTAATGGGTTTCTCTGGTTCTGTGGAATTCAACCTGTCTTTCAATTTTTCAGCTCTTGTCTTATCATTATAATCTCGATATTGGTACATTGAAATCCATTCCCCGTCTTCACTAGTAATGGGTTTAAAAATGGCTGATCTTAAGGAAGTCTTCTCGTACTCTTCATCGAACTTAGAACCACGTTGTCTCTTCAATAATTGCAAGTCTCTGGAAAGAGATGCACTCCCAGTGAACTTAAGCGCAAGAAATTTAGAGTCCATCATAGAAGTATCTGGTAATAATGGCCAAGTACTCACAGCCTTCAACAGTTTCTTCTTGGGGTGCTTTAATTTGGTCAAGTCATTCAATGTCTCTTGTGCTTGTTCAAACATATTTTCAATCACCTTCAATTGAGAATCAGGATCGGTTTCATTGGTGTTCAGTTTCTTCTTGTTGACGTCCAACCCTGAAGACTTAGAGACGTTCTTCTCAGAAATATACTCTGTTCTTCTAAGGAATGCAACTCCGGGTTCCGATTTGGAGATCTTACTTATGCCCGCATCTCTAAGTAACATTCTATCACTGGGATGTAATGACGATGGTGTCTTCCTTTCAAAGATCACATCATGATCGCCCTTGTCTAAAAATCCCGTGTTGTTGATCAAGTTCAAGTTCATTCCAAATTCATCATCTATTTCTCCTATAAGACTCTTGAAGTTTTCCTTCCGAAACAACGACAGCATCAACTGTTCACTCTCAGTCTTAGTCGACACCAGTTCTGTCAAGTTGTACTTGAGCAACTTCGGATTGACCGGTGGCGGAGGAAGGTTGTTTCTGTATCGTACCTTGGCGATGTAATCTTGTCTTATTGGTTTACTTGGTTTCTTCGAGGACATGGTGGTGATCTACGTAATAAATTGGTGGTGGTTGTTTGATGTTAAGTTAACCTTTGATTTTAAAGTTGAAATTTTCCAAATATCTGGTAGAGACACGACAATTTAACAGCCATACTAGCATGGCTTCTTCTAGCACTGCTACTACTACTACTACTAGAACAACTACAACTACTACAACTACTACAACTAGAACTACTATAACTAGAACTACTACTACCACGCCCATTAGCACTACCGTTGCTTTTTCTAGTAATTTCTGTTTATAAACTATTAATAAACACTCTAACATTTTTCGCACTATAACTGCCACTGATTTATCTTATCTCCATCATACAAGACATAATCAACATCAGCTACAACCCCAAACCGGTCTTGGATCTGTTCTTTAACTTGTTTGTTCAAATCCAAATCTTTGGCCTCAATGACTGTATATCGAGAAGCATCAAGCTTATTTGGATCACGGGAACGGATTCTATCAATATACTGCTTTGGATCTGAAGTACACTCTTCACCGTTATGGATGATGATTCTACTGGGTAACATATCATCATCACAATCACCATAATTATCAACAGCATACAAACTAACAAACTCTTTCTTATACTTCTTAAGCACCTCTCGAACTTTGTTTCGGAACTCCAGTGTTAAGAAATCATCCTTCAAATCTTCCATTTGCTTAAGCGCTTCTCTTCTCTCAAGGTAACCAATTCCATCATCAATGGTCAATGTATGCCGTGGAAGACCAAGCACTTGCTGACGCTCAATATAGTAAGGAAGTCCGGCTACTATAAGAGGCAATAATATTAATCCAAAACGCATTATCAGTATATTATCTGTGTGTATTGATAAGAAGAGGTATATCAACTAGTTTGTAATAAATCCGCACTAAACTTTTTGCACCCAAATATTCTGTCCGACATTATCCGTCCGGTGAGACCTTCAATGCATCTGTTTGCATTTACATTACATATGCAAGTGAATATACATCTTCTATACGGTTTGTACTTCTATACATTCTCTATTCATTATGTGTCCTTGAACAAAGTTGGATCAACATTACCCCAAGTCAAAACTTCATTAGACTCAGGCTTATCCAATGCATCCAAAATCTCCAATTCCAAATCTATTTTACCATAAGTATCCACAGGAAGAACATCAATGTTTTGGGCAATTCTTTCTGGCTTGTTGGATTTAACCAATACAATGAATCCTTGAAGAAAAGCCCATCTCAACAAGATCTCCACCTTATTAACCTTATACTTTTCAGCCAAACTCACCAATTCAGGGTCATCCAACTTATAACCTTGAGTCAATGGTGAATAAGCTTCAGGTAAAATGTCGTGTTTAACAAGAAACTGTCTCAACTCAACTCTGGGCAACCAAGGATGTAATTCCAATTGGTTCAACACTGGCTTGATATAAAAGTGCTCTGCTTCAAATAACTCCTTCAAATGGTCTACACCAAAATTAGAAACCCCAATTGACTTTACCCAAAGGGCATCGTTATCAACAGTATGTTCTTGAAGCGCTTTCCAACTTCCTAGACGTTTCTCTTTAGATGTCAAAGGAGAATGCAAAAGAACCAAATCCACATATTTGATATAAGGTTTCAATTCCTTACCAATCTTTTCAAGTGCTGCAACAGTTGCTTCATAACCTTGTTGTTCGTTTGTAAGCTTTGTGGTGAACCAGATATCACCTCTTTCTACTTCAGGGTGGTCATTTAAGAAGCTAGCAACCCCCTGGGCAGCTTCAACTGCATTATTATAATATTCAGCAGTATCAACATGTCTGTACCCAGCCTTTAATGCTTCGTAAGTGAGTCTGGCGGCATCTCCTTTTGGAACCAAATAAAGCCCGTATCCAATTACTGGAATTAGCTTATCATTGTTAAGCTTATACTTAGAGGCTCTGTTTACCAGGATTGAAGTAGTAGGAATGCTAGTCATGATGAATGAGAGATTACTGTTTCAAAAGAGTACTATAAAATTATTTAAATTTTCAACTACGTCATGGTGATTATAGTTCCCTATTTATACTTTTGGAATGCGAGCCCTCCCCCACACTCCCCCCCTTGAAAATGTCACAGATCGACATCGGCAACTCCGGACAAAGAAATCGTGATGGAACTTCATTGATTCTTTGAAGGGATTTCGTAGCGGGGAAACTTGCTGGCAGTCGGCCTTGGGTTGTTGTATTTTCATCGTATACTCAAAGGCTCAATTGAGTTCCCACGATTTCGTAATGCTAAGTGGTAATGGTTAGTGATTTGGCCGTTTGCACCTTGTAGAGGGGCAAATCTGCCGTTTATTCTCCGCTTGCTCTCTTGGCACATTGTTAAATCATATGGAAGCGCCTAGAGCGGCATGGAATTGCGAACACAAGATTGCTTGTCTGGTGCCAGGTCACGTGAAGGTGCTAAGCCGTCCACGTGAGTCCTAGCTATGTTAACGATTTGCCTTTGAAGTGTAAGAGGAAATTAATAGGCTCTTGTCAAATTAATCGCATGTGAGCTAACACCTTACTGCTTTAGAGCCGTAGCCTTGGTAGGAAAAGTGATGCGGTGCGGTTGCAAAACTTAACCATGGAAAGTCCATGCCGTTGGTTAGAAATTCAAGACATAAATATTACTTCGTAAATTGACAACTGCTGGATAATACGTAAATACATGCATTTATATACATATGCATAAAATTACCACATAAATACGAGATATGGTTACAGTTTAATCCATGATCTCATTGCTTATCTTAGAGAAAATCATGTTGTAGCCACTAGCATCAACAGTTCTAAACTAGAGGAAAAGGATGCCTTATTTCTAATGTCTCTATCACTGTTGAAATTTTTCACAACTAGCTACCATATCCCAATCTGACTATACTGAAGTCGATGAGTGGCCATTACATCAATAGCAGAGTACCTCACGTAAACCCTTATCTTTTACTATTCGCAGTCATTGGTGTTTGCACGACGTAATGCTATTTACCCAAAGAAAATCGTAATTGCTCCAACACAATAAATGACTATCGAAATAAACAATAGACAACTTACTTAGGGTATAAACTACGCTATTGGTGACGGTGTGAAGACTTAAATAAAAGGTAATTCTGAAAGAGGTAGGTGATACCGAGAATTTTAAAGGGCTATAGAGATAACTTTTACTCCTTGCTGAAGACAACATCAGAGAAATGTCAGGGAAAAAGAAGACCCTCTTAAAGGTTATCATCTTGGGAGATTCCGGGGTGGGTAAAACATCATTAATGCAACGATTTGTCGACGATAAGTTTAGTCAACAGTATAAGGCAACTATCGGGGCGGACTTCCTCAGGAAAGATTTGACTTTGGATAACAACAAGCAAGTCACATTACAAATTTGGGATACTGCTGGTCAAGAAAGATTCCAAAGTTTAGGGGTGGCCTTCTACAGAGGAGCAGATTGTTGTATCTTGTGTTTTGATGTCACCAATGAGAAATCATTGAACAACTTGACATCTTGGAAAGATGAATTTTTGGTTCAATCCAATATCTCCAATCCTCAAGATTTCCCCTTCATCATCATTGGTAATAAGATTGATGTTGATGATAGTAAGAAGATTCCTTCCTTACAAAAGAAGTTGAACAATATTGTAAACCAGTTGGCCGTCAATGCCAATGGGTTGACGTATCCTGTGTTTGAGACTTCTGCTAAGGATGCAATCAATGTACAAGCTGCATTTGAAGTTGTGGCTAAGATGGCATTACAACAAGAAGAAATCAATGATGCCAATGCCAATGATGCTTCTGATGACTACAATGATGCCATAAACATACATTTGGAATCAGAACAAAGAGGCTGTTGCTGATGGTCGTTCATATTTTATATTTTATATTTTATCGGATTATCTTCCTTGTTATTTTTGTTTTGTATTGTTATTTATTATTAAACGTACTAATACATACATAATTGATAGTAACGACCGTAGCGTGTGAAACAGTTCACTTCTTGTTGATGCACATACAAACCAACTTGAGCACCATGTTGAGAATATCGTTGTTGTTGTTGTTTTGTTGTTGTGAGTGTTGGTGTTGTTGTTGGTATTGAGGTTGTTGTTGTTGGTGATATTGTGGTTGTTGGTGATACTGTGGTTGCTGTGGTTGACCCCATGAGGAAGGAATTTGAGACGACAGGCCACTGGTCAAATCTATAACTAAAACACCACTGTTTTTAGGGTCTATCCAATGTTTCAATCCAGTACTGTCCAACAGTTCATCAATTGCAGGCTTCAACTTGGCAATACCATTGGTAGAATGATTCCCCTTTCCTACAATGACCTTCAAATGGCTCTGGTTGGCTTGAATATCACTGTGGATCCGTTGTTGAAGAATCCATTGAGCTTCCTTAACATATAAGCCATGTAAGTCAATCTCATCTCTGTCAGAGTCGGTGTTGTTCTGTCTGAATACATATTCTGCAGCCATACGATTGTTATACTCGGCTTCTTCTAAAACCTTCTTGGCTTGCTCACTGTATTCCTTAGCTTTAGCCTTGTCACCAGCTTTAAAAGCTTGTTGACTCTGCAGACTCAACTTGGACCTCTTCTTGTATAAGTCGTCAGCCTTATCTCTAAAGGCTTTGTATTCAGAGTCAGTAGCATGGTTGTAGTCTCTGGTGGTGTTACCATCGAGGAATGCTCCTCTATTAAGAACCTCAGTCATGTTAGCGCAATAAGCACTAAAGCTAAATAGTATTTGTCAATGTAAGAAGTCAAGTAGTAAACATACTTGCAAGCGATATCAAATGAAACTCGGAGCTACCAAAAAGTACACTGAAACATACAGTACAATGACATCTCTGCCAAGGTGTTTTCTATCACCATGTGTTCCCTCGTAAATCACGTGCATTAGAATATAAAGCACCCGCTTTTTATAATGTACCTACTTTGACCTTTATGCCGAGATTAACAGTTATTTGTACAGACATCCGCTGCTTATGAAATATGCTAAATTGGTATGAGAGTTGATGTTTATGACCGTGAGATTGAACCAGCGAAGAAAGTGCACACTTCAATAGCACCAAGGTATAAAGTGGTGTTGGACATAACCATTTCATTTGATGTGGTTTCTTCTTTGCAGCTGAATACGAGTGGATTGCAGTAAAAACGGGTTTCGCAGACATTCTCATGCAACTCGTATTATTGCTTTAAGATTACGGCACCTTTCAACTTTGTCTTAACAACACGCTGTCTTAGAATAAATATGTTAGCCGCTGTTATGACGTTACAAGCTATTAGAATATTACCACTAGGTATCGCTCAGAAGGGAGGCCACCTTTGGCAGCCAAATAGTCGTGTCTAGGCAAAGTAAGTTGCTACAAGTTCAATTTTAATCATGTCTTTATTATAGATGATCAGCATATAACCTCGGCCCAAACCTTTAGTTGGTACGAAGAACTACACATCAACATCAAACTAAGCTAAATAAAAGAAATACAAGAATATAACATAACATAACAATTCAGAGCAATAACAAGTTTCAAAGACTTTGAGATAAAGTCAAACTCTTCTTAACCAATCATCAACTCAGATAAACAATCGCTAAGTTGCTTATTTCTTACCAGCCTTTTGAGCAGCCTTGGTGACCTTACCAGCCTTGTCAGACTTTTCAACAGCCTTGATGACACCGACAGCAACGGTTTGTCTCATGTCTCTGACAGCGAATCTACCTAATGGT